CCAACTTCAGTGGACGGGCAATCTTGCGGAAGATGAATCAAGCCCGTCCGACAAAATTTTCAGCCAAAATGTAATCGCTTGAGACGACGATTCACACACAAAAGCCCCCATCCCCAAACTTATGTCTCAAAGTACGCTTTTGTCTTGCTCTCTGGTGGCTTTCCATCGACAGGGGTAAATCCAATGCTCGAAGCATTGGTCTACGGCTTGATACAACATCAATTTGGTACTTTCTTGGGATAAGGCACCTGCGAATGGTTCTGCCGTGTGTTTTGGATGGCAATGCAGATATCGATGGTCAGACTGCATCTGAGGGCATATTTCAGTAGTGAAATGCTTTTTACGGAATACTTTTCTTTTCTTTTCCATTTTCTCTCGTGGTTAGGAAGAACGTTGTTCGCCATCCAAACTACAATTTTGATATTGTGTTACGGAGCTGAAAAGCCAGGCAACTCGTGAAGCTCGTTGACACTCCTGAAAGTGAGCGTATTTCGAGTTAGATATTCTGAAGTAGGATGGGTTTCAAATATTCATGGGTTTGTGTCTTATTCGGGTATTCATGACTACTGATATGCCGGTTTATCTCGGCGCAGATTGATTCCAAGACAAAGCAACTCTTAGACACCAATGGCAAGACTGGCCGAGCATTCCAGCGCAAAGCCGAAGCAGCGAGCATACCATCCCTGAGACCAATACTCAATTCCATACAATGGGGCGCGCCTTTTATCAAGGTACCATCAACGCGCACACTTTTCTTAAATGCTTTGGTGCAGGTCTCAACTTCGCCTCCCGTTGCCTTGGAAAAGGCATCGTCCTCCACCAGGGCAAACATCACAGATGCTTTGACATGGGCTGCCCAGTCCTGCTGCCATGTTGGGAGCCATATTGTAGGAACCTCCCGTAGCTCGGAATAGGGGGACATTGCATTCAAGCGCTCACTTTGATTGAGAACTTCTTCGTCAACAGTGCCCGGTCGGAACATGATGTGATCCTTAACGTCCAAAGGAAAGCGTGTGTGTTCAGGCCCCGAGTTTGGCTCGGGAAGCGGGTTGTGGTTCATTGAACTGGAATGCTCGTTCCCATTCTGGACACAATCAATCCTCCTAGGGGGTACAATTGGCTCTGGCCTTTCCCATGCATAGCCGGGGCTACGATACCTAGGTACCTCCCATTGATCCGAAGCTGTGGCAATGGAGAGCGATGCAATTGCAACTGTTGGGAACGCCAAATTTGGCCCAAAGAGCAGGGAGGATGTGGTGATGCAACCAAAAGCCCGTTTCCTGGTTGAAACTGGATTCCTTGGGAATGGGCAGGAAAGAACTGGTACCGCCGTAGCATGGTCGATCGATAGCGACGAACGGTACCCCAAGAGCTTTTCTTGGGATAGTCGCGGTATACTGGGGGCTTCTATCAAAGTAGTTGCAATCGTAAGTTCCACCGTGGAGTGCCACGATTAAGTGGCAGGTGGCGGGAAGGTGGCCGAGATTCGGAGGCGATTGGGATGTTCTGTATCCCCGCCACGGTGGCGCCGTTTGCCAATTTCAATTTAAAAGACTGCATAGTTGTAAAAAGCAGTGTGGGACAATTGTGGGGAAATATTGAGAAGGGACAGGTTGATAAGACTGTTGCCAAATGCCTGAGTATTAGGACTGCTTGGGGAGCTTTATAAGGACACAAGAGAGGCAGGTCCAATGACTTATAGTGCTGACCGGAGACCCTTGTGAGAGGGAAAACTTTGGAATGCTTATGCTAACTCCGAAAGAAATAATGGAACTTATGAACCTTCGAAGTACGATGGGAACGTAGTAAGAAATAATGACATCAATGGTCCTAGCAGCGATGCTCATCAGTCAGCGTAATTGTGTCACGGTCGGATTTAACGGTCTACAGTCTCGCTATTTCCATGCCGAGTCCGATGCGTGACTTTTAATATATATGTTATATATATACCTATATATGACAACAGAATTTGCACTCCACAATCTAGCTAAATTTTCGGTGCCGACCTCCGGCGGAGGCTCTTGTTCGCCCCGCCCTGGGCTATCGGATACATCATGTCGTGAATATAAAAGAGTACATAACCTTCACCCCAAGTAGACAATTTCCACGCTTCATTAAAGCCCAATCTAGAAGGCACCAGATCATCATGCAGCAAGCCATCATAATTGACGAAGTTGGCAAACCTGCCGTCTCGATCAACCGGCCCATTCCTCAGGCAGGGCCTAACGAGCTCCTCATCCGCATCACGGCTGCAAGTCGTAAGTAACCTTACCATCCGTTCCCTAGTTTCCCTTCAATCGATGATACTAATAGATTGTCAATTGGTTCTATTTAGTAAATCCAGCAGATCAGAAAACTCGCGACGAAGGGCTTTTCTTTAAGCATTCTCCTCAAGTGCTAGGTCACGAGCTTGCTGGGGAAGTGATAGATATAGGCGAGGAAGTGAATACCTCGCAATTCCAGGTTGGCGATCATATCTTCGCTCAGGCAAACTTCATTCCGGGCCAGGAATTGACCGATTCTGGCGCCTTTCAACATTATGCAGTCGTGGATGCAAGGTTTACAGCCAAAGCGCAAGCCGCCGGTTTGACTGATGAAGAGGCAGCTACCATTCCCGTCTGCGCAATTGCATCTTTTATTGCCATGTTTCACTCCACTGGAATGGCCCTACCGATTCCTACTACCTCTCACGTGTCACCGGTGGCTTCTGAATTTGCCGACAAGGCCATTGTGGTTATTGGTGGAGGTTCAAACTGCGGGAAATACGCAATCCAGTTTGCAAAGCTGGTTGGGTTTGGCCAAATCATCACCACTGCGTCTGGTCAAAATGAAGCTGGACTAAAGCGAATCGGAGCCACCCACGTGATAGATCGGCATGTTGGACAGAGCGCCAGCGTTCAGCAGATTCGGTCTATCACCGGCGAGGATTTAATCTACGTCATTGACACGGTGAACATGGCCCCTGAGCAGAAGTTGGGGCTGGCTATTCTCTCAAATACGAAGAAGGGGAGCCTGATCACGCTCAACCGCGTTCCGGAGGGTAGATTCGCTGCAGCCGAAATTGGAAATAAGTCGGCCGGGTACGAGCACAAGATGACATTTGGATTCAGTGCCCTTTACCCTGAGCTTTCGGGAATCTTTTGGAGCAGAGTGGCCGGTTGGATCGCACAGGGAGTAGTGCGACCTTTGCCCTTCAGCACCGTCCAGGGCTTGGATCCTGCAACAGTGAACAAAATTTTGGATGATTATCGCAATGGTCAGGGCCAGAAGGTAATTGTGAAACTTTGAGTTGCCGTGAACATATTAAGAAGACAGTTTGCAAATTATCTCATCAAAGCAAGATTTTTATAGTAACGAACAAATTGCTATTATAGCTGCATTTATCTCGGGGGAATTTTATTACAACCCCTATGTGTAAGACTATGTGTGGCCTTTTTTCCCGGTTTATTAACGACTCTCGCTTTGTGTGTAGAATCTACGCCTATATAGATCTATACTCGTCCTACGTACAGAAGTATCCCGGGGCCCTTCTACAGTCGATTACACCCTAACCAAGAGCACAAGACCTTTAAAGAGTTATATATGCTCAATTAAGAATCTCCACTTACTACGTCAGCATCAGAGAAATAACGCTTCGCTTCGCTCCGCAATTATACTGATAAAAATGTATCTAGTCTGTAGATTACATATTACCGTCTAATTAAAGGCCGCCAGTATACCCCCCCCCCCCCCCCCCTCCGTAATCCAACCCCCCCCATTACCAAATGTACGATCCATAGTGTAAAGTTTACACTATACTGTAATCCTTTGATCCCGTAACATTACCTAGGTACTAGAGGTTTTCCGTGTTCTTTGCCCCATAAAGGCCTATATGGTATCTACTCTGAGAGCCTGAGCCTGGGCACCGTCATTCAATGTTAAAGCGGCGGCAGCCCAAATAGGAAATCCCTACCCGCCAGGGAAAATCCGGTACGTATAGGTGCATATATATATTTCAAGGTTTTACCAGGTACAACTTGGAACCCGTCGAAGCAGTTACCCTCCGATCTCACAGAGCAAGGCAATTTTCCCGTGTTTCATTAGCAACACGTGGCCTACTGCCCGTATGATAGTACTAGGTACCTACCTAGGTACCTAGGTAGGTATCAAGACCCTTGGTTTGATCTCCCATTGTGCCCAGGTTCCCATGGTCTTCCCGCGCCGAGTTCGGGAAAGATCGGCCCTGCATGATATCCTCTTTGGGGGCGGAGGGTGAAGACCGCGTTAATGCAGGGGCTTTAATATCACCTCCCGAAATCAGAATGGGGTCCTTGATCATATAGGTAATATGTCCTCTCGTGGAATGTCGACGGGTGAGTGTGGCTGCATGGCTCTGGGGTCATCAACCGATCTCGGACTAGGAAGTTTCAGCCAAGTCAGACATCTACGATGGGATGGTGTACGGAGTAGATTCCAGTCAGAATATCCTGCCTAGGTGACTCTTACATTAAGTTTAGACAAGCTGCTGTCTTTGTCGTTTCTGTTTGGCTGAGATCGTTCAGCCTTCATCAAACAAACAGCCTCTACCCTGGGCTTACCTAGGTATTCTGGAAGGGCATCTCAGCCTTGAAAGTAGCCAAGACGTCACACAGCGTCCACGGGTGCAGTTGCATGAGTAACCTTGCGCATTCCGCAATGGCTGCAGAAACCCCAGATGTCAATGCTAGCGGGCCCACCTAAAAAAGCTGTGGCCCCTGTCATCATTAGCCCGCGGGGACGTCACTTGGCGATGGCCCAAGAGTGCAACACTGCTAACTTGCTACCAAGTCAACTCGCAACTCGAAGTCGGGGTAGTTTGAGGTAGGGTATGATTCATTTCGGATGTCGGCTGCAGGTTCCGCAACGATTTGGAAAGTAGATTTGGCATCCAAGTATATAAAGGGACAGCGGAGCCGACTAAGAAGAGCAGGCAACACGAGAGCTCGCGAGAACATCAAGAAACAAGTATTTTATAGGCCAATATGAGGAGTTTCATCCCCATTGCTCCTTTGCTGGTCTCCAGCGTGGCTGGGACTGCCATCTCGAATGCTATTCGAGCGACTGCGGCATCCGCGAACCCTTTCTCTGGATATCAGCTCCATGCCAATTCGTACTATGCCTCCGAAGTGTCCTCGTTGGCTTTGCCTTCGATGACTGGCACTGCCAAAGCTGCCGCCAGCTTGGTTGCTGAGGTCCCATCCTTCTATTGGCTGTGAGTCCACTCGCGCGAAGTTGTATCATTTCCCTGAATCGAGTCTCACAATTCGAGCAGAGACACTGCTGCCAAGGTCCCGACTATGGATACCATGCTGGCTGAGATCAAAGCCAAGAATGATGCGGGTGCCAACCCACCCATCGCAGCCCAGTTTGTGGTGTACGATCTTCCAGACCGTGACTGTGCCGCACTGGCAAGCAATGGCGAGTACTCGATTGCTGATGGCGGAGTGACGAAATACAAGGCCTACATCGATGCGATCCGCAAGATCCTGGTGCAGTATTCGGACGTCCGAACTATCTTGGTCATTGGTTAGTAGGCAGCCTCTTGGGAGGAAGAGCACCAGGCCAAGTGAACCATGCTAACAGTTCTGCCAGAGCCTGACAGCCTGGCTAATCTCGTGACCAACATGAATGTCGCAAAGTGTGCTAACGCGCATGACGCATACTTGGAGGGCACCGACTATGCAGTGAAGCAGTTGAATCTGGACAATGTTGCCATGTATCTGGACGCCGGTAATTATTTTGTCGCAGCATCTTCAGGTGCCCAAAGCTCTGGAAAGGCTCTGACGCATGAATCTCTCATCCAGGACATGCCGGGTGGCTCGGGTGGCCGGTCAATTTGAGCCCTGCAGCGCAGCTCTTCGCAAACGTCTACAACAATGCCGGCAAGCCCTCGGCTCTTCGAGGTCTCGCGACAAACGTTGCGAACTACAATGGCTGGTCATTGTCCACCTGCCCATCCTACACCTCGGGTAACTCTAACTGTGACGAGAAGAGATATATCAATGCTATCGGCCCCCTCTTGAAAAATGCAGGCTGGGATGCGCGCTTCATCACTGACACAGGTATTTCTTTCTCTTGATCTGTAGAGAGATCAAGCGGGGTGATTCTTGTCATATATTGGCTTCGAGTACTGATCAGAGTTTCCAGGCCGAAACGGCGTCCAGCCCACCCAGCAAAATGCTTGGGGTGACTGGTGTAACGTCAAAGGAACTGGGTTCGGCGTCCGGCCAACCACGAACACTGGCGATGCCTTGACCGATGCATTTGTTTGGGTCAAGCCCGGCGGCGAAAGCGATGGCACCTCGGACTCGAGCGCGGCCCGCTACGATGCACACTGTGGGTACTCCGACGCCCTTCAACCGGCACCGGAGGCCGGTACATGGTTCCAGGTAAGCATCCCAGCCAAGAAAGGTTCGGGGATAATTATTCTAACGGTTTGTTAGGCATATTTCGCCCAGCTGGTCCAGAATGCGAATCCATCGTTCTGAGGGCTTGCAGGTCATTCGTGGTGGGGGGTCTTAGCGGGTGGCCCGGGGCATATCTGGATATTTTTGGCCAAGGTTCACAATTGATGCTTGAAGAGATGTTATTATGAGGAAATTGAATCCCAAGATGCCTGAGAATCATTTTCGTGGGCCCAGTACCTGGGTGTAAAAGTCCGGGGCCAGGAACGAAGTCGTAGACTGGTATTACCCGATTAGGTAGGCGGTCGTCATAGCCGGCATGATCCTGACCGCCCCAATAGCTTCGATAACGGAGAGTGGTGGGCATCCAGGGCTCTCCACTCTCTGCATCTGACACTGCGCGCCGTGCCAGAAGATCACCCCGAACCCGTTCGATCCCAGTCATTCTGGTATACAGCAAATAGCTATTCCGCTATAACCTCATCTACGAGGTCTGGGTGCACCGGCACCTACCTCACACCACCCCACCTGCCGGTCTAGGTGACTTTGTGACAGCCTGCATCAACGCAAGTATATCTGTGGAGGAACGAGCACAGGCCGGAAAAATGGAGGACTTCAACAGCGAGACAGACAGTGATTACACCAGCTACTGGCGAGACTGGGTAAGTGGATTTTTTTTTTCTTATTTTTATGAGAGCATCGTGTTGCCAGAATGAGGACAAGCCAAGCAGCGGAATTGTGGCGCACCCAGGACACCAGGCAGAGAGATGGCATACACCCGACATCCATGGATGTGATCGCTGAAATCGGGCCACATGGACGACTCAGCGACTCAGCGATCTGGACGACTCATCGACGATGCGATTTGGACGACTCATCGACGATGTAATCACGACTAAGCGCCAGCGCCATCACCACGGCGATTGGCTTTGCTTTTCTCCTCAAGAGATTTCCAAGTCTCTTTTCTTTCCTTCTTTACCTTGTCGCATATTTCCGGGCTCAGTCTCTTGACTCGACTCTCCAAACTCCCGAAATGCGTTCTCCCGTCCACAAAATGCGCTCTGCCTACCACTCCCTCACGCGCATGATCCGTCGCATCATGCGCACGATTCGTTGCATCACGCGCATGGTTTTAATCCTCTTCTGCATCGCGCTGCTCGTGTATTCTGTGATACACCTACGAATTGCTCTCTGGGATGGGTATGATCCTCCTAAAATGCCGCCGCTCGAGCGCCTCGTTCACCTGATCAAATGGGCACTCTCCTTCTGCCTCTGCGTGATACTGGCTCTCCTCCTCAAAGACGGACTTTGTGCTTCGACCCGCCATGGAAACTCGGACTCTTCCTCTGGGGGGCCCGGCCCCGGCCCCGGCCCTGGTAGTATTGCCTTAGGGTCTGGATTGTATGACCTGGAGCTTGGTACCATGGAGCCCGGTACGGGCAACAACCCGCCCGGTGCTTCTCAGCCAACTCATGGATCTGGACATGGCTCGAACCCTGTCAACGCTGCACAGCTCTCCCCTCAGGCCCGCTCACCCCTCGATCTCTCGATGGATCCTCATGATATCATCCGCAATGCCTTTTTCAACGTACTAATCATCCACCTTCTTGTTATCCAGTTTGTTTCGTCTCGTGGCAATGAGTATTTCTGCGAGATTGACGAGGACTACCTCACCGACCGTTTCAATCTCACTGGTCTGAACACCGAAGTCTCTTACTACCAGTATGCGCTTGATCTTGTGACCGACGTCTTCGACCTTGATGCCGACGACGACCTACGTGAACAAATTGAAAAGTCGGCGCGCCACCTCTATGGTCTTGTCCATGCTCGATACATCGTCACCACTCGGGGTCTCGCCAAAATGGTATGTTCTAGACTTTCCATGCAAATTTGTATGGTAGACGCCTGTGCTAACTGCCCTCCAGCTCGAGAAGTACAAGAAGAGTGACTTCGGAAAGTGCCCTCGCGTCATGTGCGACGGCCATGCCCTCCTGCCTATCGGCCAATCTGATCTGGCAAACATGTCCACCGTCAAGCTGTACTGCCCCAAGTGTGAAGACATCTACAACCCCAAGTCGTCTCGACACGCCTCCATCGATGGTGCATACTTCGGCACCTCATTCCACTCCATCCTTTTCCAAGTCTACCCTGCTCTCAACCCCGAGAAGAGCTGCCGTCGCTACGAACCCCGTATCTATGGCTTCAAGGTGCACGCCGCAGCGGCCCTTGCTCGCTACCAGGACGGAGAGCGAGAGGATCTCAAAATGCGCCTCGCCGAAGCCGACATCCAACATCGCTTTATCGAAGATAGCGAGAGCGATGACGACGCCTTCCAATATGACCAGGATTACCCCGAGGGTCGCGCTGAAACTGCCAAGGCCCAGACCCAGGTCGGCGATGCCGCTCCCGCGATGGAGATCGGCAACTAAACATCGCTTCCAGGGCTCTATGCTCGAGCTCAGGCTACAGACAAGAAGTTTTCTTATGAATTATGTACGGGCGTTCAGCGTTTGCCTGGAGGCAGTCAAAAATGTGAAATGAATAACGTAAAACTCAGCCGGCCCCTGCGTAATCAGTTGCACAATGGGTCCGCTCATCATGCAGAATAGTAGTAGTATATCCATGAGCTCTCTGGGTCACTGAGGAGCCAGCCCCATTTCCCGCAGCTGCTCGAGGGCGTAGATGATGGCATAAGCCAGCTGGTCTCCCCGCTCCCACGCTTCATCGTGGGCACCGCTAATAGGCAGCACACGAACTCGTCGGTCTCGGTGTGACAGTTCTTGCACAGGGATTTGAGCCTCCAGCTTCTCCCACTGTCGGAGAGATTCTTCCATGCCTTCAAGCTGTGATTCATCGACAAGCTCGTCCTCTTTAGACTGTGCCAGCACCGCTAACCTTCCAGACTTCCAGCCTCCTTCTACGCCACGCGACCCAGCCATTTGCGCCGGCGACACTCCATCCCAGAGAAGTTCATCCGCCTCAAAGGCCCCTTCGATGAACTCTCTATAAGCCGAGATATCAGGGTGCGAATCCCGCAGTCGCCTCAGGTCATAGATTCCTGCTACACCCACAATGGCAGTGGGTTGTGCCGTCAATGGCGGCGGCAGAGGACCCGGGGAGGCCGAAACAACGCCAACACTGATTTCTGGATTCTCAGTTGCCCCGCTAAATGCCTGCTCGCGATGATTTGACACCGCGCCCATCACGACCTGGAAGGCAAGCGTTGCGCCGCAACTGTGGCCAACCAAGATATACCGTCCACCGAATGAGTATGTGTTCTGCAAGAATGCGAGCGCTGCTTCCACGTCCCGGATGTGATTTGGGTGCTTTGCATCGCGGAAATCCTTCGGGGAAGTGCTGATTGGGTCTTGCGGGTGATTTGGGTGTGCGCTGAGACGGTATGAGATTGATGCGAATCCTGCAATTGGCAGTCCTGGCGTGTCGCGCAAGATGGATTCGGTTGCGTCAAAAGAGTTGTTTGTGACGGCCGGATCCCGCCAGGCACCGCCGTGGATGAAGCTGGGAATATCGTTAGTTGCTGTGTTCGTCGTCCATCGCAATCAGGGGCGTGTGTACATCACCCAGTAGCCCTCTCTCTCTGGAGCCAGTTGTGTGACTGAGACTATTTGGAGGTTATGGACTCGCCCGTAGGCTACTGTCCGAGATTGGTTCGGCATGGTTACTTGGAGAATGCATTCTGCACTGCGTAGGCGCGATGTGATTTATGAGGGTGGGGGACAGTAGATTACGATCAATTGGAGATAATTGGTAAGGATTGACAGGGAACGTTGAGACGGATTCTGTGTCTTTTTCCCATCCAAAGCCCCGAAGTCGGACGCTCAACAGTTTGCGACCTTTCCACCTAACACATATGGACAACATGAGGTCCAACTCGCCCTCCGACGAGGTGAACTCAGCGACCACCGTGTGCAACGGTAATATGACTGTATTGCCCCTCTATTCGCGTGGGGCTCAAGCGTCCAGGGCGGTACGGCATTACACAGTGTTCTGTGTATCGCACTAAGCCCAATCAGGGCCGATGGGCTCCTTTCACACAAACCGTCCAAGTCGACCATCCCGACCTTAACAATCGCCCAAAAGTTATAATCTTGCACAATGGCCGAGTATGCGACACCAGCATTTTGCTCCCAGGATCTGACACTAACAAACTATGCAGAACCCCCGCTCCTCTCGCGGCCGTTCAGGTCGAGGCTTTGGTTCGTCTTCCCCGAAGAAAATCTCCCCAGGCCTCGCCAGGCGGAATACTGACGTCGGATCTCTCAGGTGGTGATGAAAATCATCAAGCACTGCTCTCAGACCTTCCCTTCCACCGCCACCGGTGCCCTCGTCGGCATGGATGTCGATGGATCTCTCGAGATCACCAACACTTTCCCATTCCCCGTCGTGGAGGTGCCCGCCGAGTCGCACTTTGACAACGCCGCTCCCAACCCCGCCGCCGCGGCTCCCCGTGCGAAGGCCAACGCTGCCTACTCCGCAGAGTACATCCGCATGCTGCGCGAGGTCAACACCGATGCCAACAACGTCGGATGGTACACTAGCGCCAACATGGGCAACTTTGTCAACATGAACGTGATCGAGAACCAATTCTACTACCAGAGCCAGATGAACGAGCGCACAGTGGCTCTCGTTCACGACGTCAGCCGCAGCGCCCAGGGCAGCCTCAGCCTCCGCGCTTTCCGTCTGTCCGCCAAGTTCATGGCTGCGTTCAAGGAGAACAAGTTCACCTCCGAGGAGTACGTGGAATCGCCTACGCATGGAATCTGCCATGCAAAAAGCACAAACGGAATACTAACGAGCCCTGTAGTCTCCAAAAGTCCGACATGCGCCACCCCGACATCTTCGAGGAACTGCCCGTCAAGCTCCACAACTCGCACCTGATCACCTCTTTCATCCACCAGCTGCAGTGCCCGACCTCCAACGCCTCCACCGAGCTCCCCTCCTCCCTCGCTGCCCTCGAGTCCAGCCCCTTCAACAAAACCTCCACACTCACCCCCAACCTCGACAACCTGTCCCTCAGCATCGACCCCTTCCTGGAGAAGAACTGCGACCTCCTGCTGGACAGCATCGAGACCCACAACACCGAGGTCAACAACTACCAGTACTACCAGCGTGTGCTTGGCCGCGAGCAGCAGAAGATCAACGCCTGGAAGCAGAAGCGCGCTCAGGAGAACGCTACCCGCGCCACCCTCAACCAGCCCCTCCTCCCCGAGGACGAGTGGCAACGCCTGTTCAAGCTCCCTGCCGAGCCCAGCCGTCTGGAGAGCATGCTCAACACCCGCCAGGTGAACCAGTACGCCAGCCAGGTCGACAACTTCGTCTCGTCCAGCACGGGCAAGATGTTTGCCATCAAGGGCAACCTGCTGCCCAACGAGACCTCGAACTAAATGACGACTGCGGGGAGACACGATGCTTCTGGGATTGCATGACCTTTTTACGGCGTAGGGAGGGAAAATGTTCTCTATTTGGGATGTTAATATGACTTCCTGTTTCTTTTTTCTTCTATGGCCAAGTCGTTTTGGCCTGTCTACATCGACTTGTCACTATAGAAGGGATTCTTTTTCTTATTTTGTTTAGATTACAACAATGAACAGGTCACACTTCAACTTTTCTTTATTCACCTCGACAAAATTCCAATACTAAACTTCAAGGTTGGAAGAACTCAGCACTACCGATACCATCTACAGCTTACCTAGGGCTACTGCTTGGCGAGCTCGTAGCGCTGAACAGTCTTGGCACGCGCATGGGCATCTGGGTCTCGAAGAGAAAGAGGAACCGCGGCCTCAATCTGACGGGCAAGCTCCAGCCGGTTCTTGGGACTACTATCCTTACGAACGGATTGGATACCGGTATGCAAAACAGGCGGAAGGTCTCGGCAGGCCTTCTCGAACACACCATCCTTCGCCTTAGCAGCCATCGGGATGCATCCGTTAGCGACGGTGTAACAATCGCTCAGAGCGGCGAGGGTCGCGGAGATATCCTTGGTGTGGAACTTCAGGTTGTAGATCTCGTTTCCGAGGGTTTGCAGGAGGCCTGTACGCTCCTTGGTGTAGGCGGGTGTTCCTGCAATGTTAGACATCTTGATGGTTTGGGGTTTGGCTTGGAATCTGGTGGATGTTAGCTTGAGTGTAGTTTGGGGGAGACTTAGCTTTTTGATTGGATTGATTGGATGGTAGATTGTGTCTTGTTGTTGTTATTGATGTGATGATGGAAAGAGTATTTGGCTCGAGGCATCGAGGAGCTTTATACATGTCGAATCATGCGTCTATGCGGAGGCTTGGAAGGCAGTTCAAAATTCAGGACAAAGGTAGAGCACAAAGGAATCTTGAGGTCTGCTTTGTTTATTGTTTGTGACTTCTAAAGGCTATTCTGATGCACAAAGGTTGTCAACAAAGTCGTTGTCAACATCTTTTTTCATTGATGTATTCCACATGCCTACGCTTTATCGATGCATGAAAGACTGGCAAGACAAGGCTTAGTCTACCACGGATCATCACTAAGCTTCAAAGGAACATGTAGAAGCCTCTGCCCAGCCTCTGTCGGAGCAGGTAGTCTCCCAGCACGAATATTGATCTGCAAAGACTGATGAAGCAGCTTCGGGGCGGCAAGGCCTGCATCACGTTCTTGACGCATAGCCACGAACTCATCTTCAGTGATGCCTTCTTTGAGATGCTTGTTGAGCTCTCTGTGGTCGTGAACACTCATCCAGGGGACAGGCTCGGAACGGCCTGCCGGAGGATAATCATGGCCAGTCCAGATCTTCACATGCCCGGGAAGACTGAGCAGCTTGCGACCTGATTGGAAGAGATCTTTGGCATCGCCGCCGGGAAAGTCGCATCGTGCTGTGCCGATGTCTGCGTGGAAAAGAGAATCACCACAGAATACATTATCTAGATAGGTGTTAGCATGCGTCGGCATACGGAGCTGAAGAATACTTACCTCCAATCATATATCCGAGATGATCTGGCGTGTGGCCTGGCAGGTGGATGGCTTTCACGGTGATGTTTCCAACGGTGAAAGTCTCATCATCACCAAGCAGCCTGTCAAATACCTGCTTGTACTCGCTTTTCGGGACGCCGTATCTCTGACTGAATAGCTTTTGAACTTGTTCGATACGTTGTCCAATGCAAATGGGCGGCTTGTGGTCTTGACTTTGGCGCAGACGTTTTTGCAGATATGAGGCAGCACTCAAATGGTCTGCGTGGGCATGTGTTTCGAGAATCTTGTCAATCTTGTAGCCGTTCTCCTTGGCAAGAGCGAGAAGAGCATCTGCCGACTTGGTCGTTATCGCTTGCGTTGCGGGATCGAAGTTCAGAACTGGGTCGATGATGACTGCGGTTGATGTAGAGGGATCGGCAACGATATATTGCCATGTGCCTGATGTGGTGTCGAAGACATCGTGTATTGTTGGTTCTTTGGGGGAAGTGGCAGTGCTGTACAGTGCCCGATATGTGGTTGCAATTGGATGATTGGAAAGGAGCTGAGATGATTTTGGCGAAATTGGCGTTGCCACATTTGCGGTATGTGCTCCTTTTACTGGAAACTTTCTCGATGTTGTTGAGTTTCTGGATTCCCTCACTCCCGCGGCTTGGTGGATATATCGCGATTGTCCGCTGCACGCAGATATTGAAGCACGCGTATATCTGCCGGACACTCCCAAGACCCTGGACGCGTCCCACCGGCACGCGATGAATGGCTGCTGGAACGGTCTCATAATGAATTTGTATTGGGATTCAGATTGATTGAGAATCCCTTCGGCTAAAGGTCTTAGCAGGTGTTGTGACAGTGACTGGCTGGCACAGGAACGGAAAGTAGACAGTTATTAATTCTGAGAAAGAGAAACAACTGAGAACTGAAGAGAGAGAGAGAGAGCTACGCTTCACTTGAGATGGCACATGACCATCTTTCATCTCAACTTGAAGTATGTACTTCCAAGGTTGGAAACCGAGAGGTCGGCGATTCGGGATCCTGCGAACCTGTCAGAGGTCGGCGATTGAAAAGCGTCATGCAGAGCCACCTTAATTAAATTCTCGCAGAGCTGGCTAGAGCGCCGTTGGTTCTAGATATCTTGATCCCTAAGAAATTCCAGGTGGCGACAGCCCTGGCTCCGCTCGTCCCGAAACGGCGACTGACGTTTTTGATCCAAGCCCCTGATTTGTGATGCTGCACAGAGCCCACAGATATAATTGAGGAAAATGAGACTTGATCAAAGATATAGTTTTCTCGGGAAATCCAAAGCAACCAGTTTTTAAGTGCTATTGAGTGCTGTGTGATGCTGATGTACAATAAGAAATGAGAAATGAGAGTACTGCACAGAGTAAAGTATTCATATCAAATATAGATATAAAGCACAAGCTGCAAAGAACCGTGCTGCATATGGATATGATCTAAGTACTCCGTACAATAAGTCAGGCCATCAATAATCACTTGGATGTGAAGATCGGCGACTGAAAGCCGAGAACGTCCCCGGTATCGGAAGGGGTTGATCCGATCCCGCGATCACGACATCAGCTAACAAGCTTACTGCTTTGGGCATTTCTGGATATTCTTCTTAGCATCGCATCTTCATTGAGCTTCACTTCAATTTACGATGTTTCAAAGTCGAGCCTCAGTAGCAGCTCGTGCTGCCCGCTCTGTGGCCTCCCAATGCCGGGGTCTTGCGACCGCATCCCCCGTAGCTAGTACGGCCCGCAGCCATAAGGTTGTAGTGGTCGGTGGTGGTACTGCCGGTCTGTCCATCAGCCACCAGCTCCTGCACTCGGGCAAGTTTGCCCAAGATGACATTGCTGTCATTGACCCTGCCGAATTCCACCACTACCAACCAGGCTGGACCCTAGTCGGCGGTGGTCTGAAGAACAAAGAGGACCTGCGTAAGCCAATGGAGAGCCTCATTGACTCCAAGTTCAAGTTCTACAACCAGGGCGTTGGCAAATTCGCCCCCACAGAGAATGCTCTGACTCTTGAGAACGGCGACAAGCTGAACTATGAGCACCTCGTCGTGGTGCCCGGCATCCACGTCAACTATGGCCAGATCAAGGGTCTGCCTGAAGCTCTCGCTGACCGCCACTCTACGGTGTCATCCATCTATGGTTATGACACCTGCGACAAGGCGTTCCGCACCTTCGACAACTTCCGCAAGGGAAATGCCATCTTCACCCAGCCCGCCGGCGTCATCAAGTGCGCCGGTGCTCCCCAGAAGGTCATGTGGCTTGCACTGGACCTCTGGAAGAAGGCTGGTCTCTACAACCCCACCAACGCCGCCGAGTCTCCTATCAAGATTAGCTACGCGACTGGCCTGCCTGTCATGTTCGGTGTGCCCAAGTACAGCGCGGTCCTCGAGCAAATGCGCAAGGATCGTGGCGTCGAGGGTCTCTTCCAGCACGATCTCGTCGCTCTGGATGGTAAGGCCGCTGTCTTCTCCACCCCCAACGGAGAGGTCACTCGCGAATACGACCTGCTCCACGTTTCCCCCAAGATGGGTGCCCACGCGTTCGTGAAGAACAGCCCTCTGGCCAACGAGAGCGGCATGGTCGATGTCCACGACAACACCACCCAACACAAGAAGTTCCCCAACGTCTGGTCTGCCGGTGATGCGTCCAGCCTGCCCACCTCCAAGACTGCTGCTGCCGTCACCTCCGAGGCGCCAGTTCTCGTCCGCAACCTTCTGCAGACCATGGAGGGCAAGGCTCTTGATGCTTCCTACGATGGCTACACATCGTGCCCGCTCCTGACCGAGTACGGCAAGGTTCTGCTCGCCGAGTTCAAGTACGGCGGTGAGCCCAAGGAGACCTTCGGCAACTGGTTTGGCATTGACCAGGCTGAGCCTCGTCGCTCGTTCTACCACCTCAAGAAGGACTTCTTCCCCTGGGTGTACTCCAACTACATGATCAAGGGTAACTGGGGTGGACCTAAGGGCTGGCTCTAAAGGGTCTCAGTTCATCTTGTACAATAGAGTCTCTTAGCGCCTCTTAATATAGACAGTGGTAGTCAAAAATATGACACCGTTACAGATGGTAAAACGACAGGAATCAAGTAGTTCGTCCGTAGATGTCTATAGCTATAGTGGCGACAATATCAAGATGAATGACATCACGGTCCATCATTTTGAGAATAACAGCCCTGGGGTCGTGAAAATCCGGGGAGTTCAGGCTGCTTGCAAAGGGTTGGTTTTGCTGTTGAAGTTCCTCGTTTTCTCGTTCTCACTGTCCAAAGATCCAGAATGCTTCCCCCAAACACACCCACCCGCATCGAAAATGTACAACAGTCATACAGACATTTGGATAGTAAGTCAAATTGAAACCCGAACTTACTCCATCAAAACACTCGCGATTAACACAATTTGCTTTCACCTACAGGCGGGCACGTTTGCCGCAGTGACCGTTGAGTGTGTGGTCTACCCGCTTGACACGCTCAAGACACGCTACCAGTCTCCCAACTACAATCAAGTTTTCAAAGACGCCAGCACGGGAGCAATCAAAAAGCAGCTCCTTTTCAGAGGCCTCTACCAGGGCATCGGGAGCGTAGTGCTTTCCACAGTTCCATCGGGTATGTTACGCCCATCTTCCAGCGAAGCCCCAGAGCCCCAGAGCTCCCATCGACTAACAATATATCAGCCACTGCATTCCTCACCACTTACGAGACGATAAAGAGTATCTTCCACAACTCATCCAGCAAGGAACCAGACAATGAGATACCCCCAAGACTTATAAACAAAATCCGCCTGCCATTCACCCATTCCCTACCAGCTCCGATCATGCACGGAATCGCATCCTCAATCGCCGAGATGGCGTCGTGCCTCATCCTCACTCCAACAGAGGTTCTCAAACAAAACGCGCAAATGATCCAAGCAGCTGAAAAGAAACAACACCAGAAATCTGCCACCCGGCTGGTCTTGTCCCGATTCCGACATCACCCCTGGCGTCTGTGGAGCGGATATACAGCTCTCTTGAGCCGGAATCTACCAACTACTGCGATAAATTTCCCACTGTTTGAACACATTCGATATCATATGATCAAGAGATGGCGAAAGCACATGGACAAGCCAGTTGAGGAGTATTCACAGTCTGATCGGCTTTTCGAACGCGCTGTTCTGACAGCAACTTCGGCTGCCATTTCGGGCTCGATCGTGTCGATAATCACCAACCCTGTGGATGTTGTCAAGACTCGAGTCATGCTTCTGGCTGGCGCTCAAGATTCGGATGAAATGAAGAACAGCTCAGGTTCAAAGAAGGCTAAGTGCTCTCGGAAGGGACCGCTGGCTGTTGGGTGCGATATACTGCGGAAAGAAGGAGTGAAGGCACTTTTCAGGGGTGTATTCATTCGGGCTGGATGGTCCGCTGCGGCTATGGGCTCCTATCTGAGTCTTTATGAAACCGGGAGGTTTTATCTGGAGAATCGGCGACGAGAGAGGGATGGTCTGGCTTGAGGTTCTATGGGACACGGCGATGAAGCTTAGCCTTGCTGCTGACTTCAACTTATCGATTTGAATGTATGATTAAAGTTAACTTGTCAAGGTGAGTTGAGTATGAGATTATGGTTGTATTTGCTTAGCGGAAATCTTGATACCAATGTGATTGATACTCTTTGTTCTCAACATCCTCCTCCGGCGGTGGAAAAGTAGCAAAGAAGTTGGATAAAGAGCTCTAGGCGTAGGAGAGCTAGTTCAATCTCATTGTGAATGGGCATTAATAACTATTTTTTTGCCGACGCCAAAAGGCAACAAAGACTCTTTGATGCTTAAAATATACCTAGTTATGCAGAGTATTTAAAGGCGCTGTGTTCCTTACAATGAGAGACAACCACTGATATCAACTATACCACTTACATACAAAACAACTATTCCAGATCCCGCATATAAAACAAAAATGTCAGGACAACCCACCATCCAACCCACCGAGCCAACCCGCGAAGACCCAACAGAGACCGAAGAAACATGGGACGCAGATGACGAACAATCCGACGACGAAGGTTCGTTTGACCCCTTCGAAAACTTCAGCTCGATATTGATTGATCTCCCAGAACCCAAATGGTTTTTCAACTTCCACGTTTCCCGCGACTCACAACCCACACTCGGCACAGACGGTATGTCAGATGGCTGGATAAACAAACCATACTTTCTTTGGGAATTGTGCGCTATCCTCGCAGCAGCTGGAACCGACAAGGAGTGGACAGAGAAATTCGAACAATGGAAGCCCACCTGGCTTCTTGCTCGGGAACAGATGCGAACTTATGGATGTTCACACTTTTCGTCGGAATTCCCTCTGGCTCCGATTGGTCTTGCTCTGATTAGGTTTCCTGAGGATGGTCGGGAGTTTGAGATTGACCAGGGTGATGATCTTGGTGATTTTGAGGATGGATCCGATGTGTGGGCTCTGTGGCGATATCTTGTTGAAATGCCTGTTGGGAAGGATAATATGTTCGAGGTCACGCTTGTAGAAGAGGTTTAAGCCTAGCAAATACCAATAAAGTTGGAAATTTCACATTAATCGTCTCGCTATCGATACGTGCTTCACGGTGATTCAAAATAGTACTCAATGAATTTGATATCGAAACTTGCAGATGACCCTTTCAGAAACGACGATCTTGGGCATGCTGTACTGCTACAAGATATATTCATAGCAGCTTGTACCCTAACATGTAAATTGAAAATAATTATGTAGAACAATAATTGTAAGCCTATTTTTTGATGGCACAGAAAGACGGGCAGGGGAGATGTTCATTTTTTAGAAAAAATATGTGGCTCATTGATGATATTCGTGGCCATTGCTTAGGTCCACGGGTGGGTTCTGGGGATTCCTTTCCCTTTCACTCTTCTTCTTTTTTCAACCAGTCCACATCCGATTGAACCGGTGACATCTCCATACCCACCTCATCTTATGCCGATGAATCCTGGAAGAACAAGAGAATCCCGAGCCATAGATCGTCAAGAAAAGTGGCAGGAGTCAAGGAAGACGAAAATAGTCGAGAGCACATCTGAGTGCAGGCTTTAGTCGTCACTATCGTCAGACTCGTTCCGATCAACCAGGGCTCTCAGGATTTCCAGAGCCTCAAGAACATCCTTTCTGGCTCTTTGCTTCAACCCAAAGCCGACCATGAACTTTGCCCAGCCTCCACGTGAATCTACGATTTTCTGTTCCTGGGGTGTAAGGCCAAGCCCTACATCCAGAGAATGTTAGCAACCCGAATCTTCACATCGATGCAACGGGACTCATACGCTTTGATTCACGAGGATCATTACCGGAGGCTTCATCGTCGGAGAGATACGCATGGAACTCTTTTTCGTTATTCGGGACAGCCGGTCTCAGTGATTGGGCTTTTGAACCCGATGCCGACCCAAAAGAATTGGCGCCGAAAGTCGTGTTGGGCTTTCGATAAAATGGGTTTTTAGGGTTGCTCCAGCAGTCCTTCGTCCAATGGCCCTTGCATTTATGGATTGCGCACCAGGGATCATCCTCGTCCTTTTTGGGGAAGATTTTACGCTCTGGTGGGACCCGTCGGTCATGCAATGGGAAAGCACGAGTCGGAGCTGCAGACACCGGCGCACGATGGCTGACTAGATCACGCCCAAGACGACGAGATTCCGCCGTGAGGAAGCTCTCGTACACTGCCACCAATTCCTGCTCTTGGAACCCTCTTCGATCGAGACATAGTGTGTTCAGCCACGGAATGCATCCCGGGTTGTTGCTCACAGCGCCGATGAATACATGGTAACAGAATACCGCTGGTACCTGTTGGCCAGGCAGATACGATGCTCGCATCTCAGCAAGGTAGGATCGCCACTTGTGAAGGAAATCACCTGCATTTTGTCCTGGCTCGTATTTGTACGAAGTCCACCGAATCGATTTCAGACACGGACTGAGGCGGCTGCTGTCTTCGCAGACCTCGCGTAGAGACTCGAAGACTTCATGTGCTGTTCGGCCTTTGACGACATGGTGAGACATTCTCTCATGAATTGTGGCTGTCAGATATCCCAACGCCAGTTTATTCCTTGCTTCCCATCTTGCTTGGTATGGTTTCTCGGAGTCGGGTGGTGATGAGGTTGAGGAAGCGGCCTGACAAGGTAAAGAAGGATTAGATGACTGGGGAGCAGCTTCATGAGAATGCGATCCGAGTGGCTCCTTGGGCCTGATCATGGCCTCGATAGCTACGGCCGCAGCAACGATATCTTCCGGCCTTTTCTCCACGCCAGTGATTATCTCCAGCAGATTGATATGCTTGGCACCGAGGACCACCTCAAGGTGCTGCTTCCACTCATCCCAGTTACTCTTCCCCTCCAGGATGGGGAGGAAGGAACTTTGGCCAGGCCTGTCATGGGTAGACATGGTAAAGGTATCAACGAAGTTGTACAACGTTCGAAGAAGTAACGAAGAATTCAAATCCCGAGAACGCCCCGGTTATCGGCAATGTGTGTCTTCTGAGGATGCTTGAGACTGGTCAGGAAGCAGGTAAGTGGTCCCCCTGGAAAGGAGTCTTTCGAGGGCGGGCTTTTGGTTTTGAAGGCCCTTATCTATTCTTCGATATGCAAGGGAAGGTAGTTTGATGCAGTAGAAAGAGGTGTATGGGGAAGGAAGGTTAGTTTTGGGTTGAGTTGAATGAGTACAGTTATTTATGAGAGTCAGTATGATTCACGGCAGACAATAAGCATGGCTATCACCCGGGCAAGGTTTGATCAAGTGATTTGACTGAGTAGTGAATGGATTCTGATGTAATTGACAAACATGATGAATGAAGTGAATAATGCTTTGTCATTTTGATTCATCTGAAATCATTTTTCAATCAAAAGACAGCATTTGTCAATCCATCTGACTTTTGAACAAAGGCCATGTAAAACGGGAATATTCAGCATCTAGGAGCCAAGCTATAAAGCGTACTGAATAGTCACTATTTAGGTTCCCCATCTACTAACTCTGATGAGAATTAGGCTATTGAGTCCCTGGAAACTCACAACCTTGATAAAGCCACACCCATGGATCGACACCCGGCCACTTCTGGGCAGAAGTATGTCCCCAAGTCTAAGGAATATAAGTATACTGTCATGGATCTCTTCGAGGCCACGCTGAATAGGGCAGTTGAGGAGATGGAACGCACACAGCTGTCTTTGGAGTCTTCCAAGGTCGCGAAGGACGAGACCCCCGAAGGTCGAGAAACCGGATCTCCAGCTACGAGCAGCGAGACATCGCCCACGAATTCCTGGCAAGTCCGACAACCGAGCCCTAGTCTGAGCGAAAATACTAGCCCTCCAGCTCGACTGGCTTATCCAGGGGGTCCTGACCAAGCTCAAAGCAAACCTTCAGAACAATGGAATGCCCTGGGGGTTAGAAAAGCGCACAAAACTCTCAGTGAATACCACTAACATAGTCTAGACTTGGATGATTGGCTGACAGTGAATAGAACAATTTGATACCGAGGGTTTGAATCTCATATACTTCCTCGAGGGTAGTAGAATAGAAGTGACTATACATGTCCACGGAATCGCCCACCGGTAGAAGCCTCGGAAGTAAAACTTGGAAGTACCAAGAACTATTCCGAATCCCAAATTGGAGACTCAGATAATGTGGGAAATGCACTTGAGAATTGGATGCCCCAGGAATTGTCCCCTTTAGGAGTCGGGCCACTTACTCTTTCCCTTTCCCTGCCCTTTCTTCTTCTCTTCTTCTCTTCCACTTCCTCACTTCTCTCTCCTTTCACTTCAAGCTCCTATTGCTCAGGCTACTTGGACTGTTTTTATTCTTCCAAGTATCTTCATTTTGTCTCATATTCTTGATCCAAACATGGCAATCAAAGAGCCAACAAGCCTTGCCGGGCAGGCACTCGCTGACTCCGCGTTGCTCCAAAAGATCGACAAGCTCTTTGAGTGTAACGTGGGTGACTATGTGGACCTCCCTCAGCTCGTCGTTGTTGGAGACCAGTCGAGTGGCAAGAGTTCCGTTCTGGAGGGGTTGACCAAGGTCAACTTCCCTCGTGACAGTGGTCTTTGCACCCGTTTCGCGACGAAAATTACCTTTCGTCGAGACCTGAGCGTTCCACAAAGGGAGATCTCCGCGTCGATCGTTCCATCGGCCCAGGTCGATGAGGATGAAAGACATAAGCTACAAGCATGGAAGGCTGCTGATCTTCAATCTCTGAGTCCGCAGGAGTTTTCTAAGATGATGCACGAGGTACACGAGCCCTACTGTTTCCTGGTTGCATCAGGGCTAACGACTAGCTCTAGGTCCATGAGCAAATGGGTATCTCTACTCAAGATGGCGATAAAAAGCCTACATTCTCGAACCACGTTCTACAAATCGATATCAGGGGCCCAGAGGAAAGCCACCTCAGTGTGATCGATGTGCCCGGTATCTTCAAAAACACAGCATCGGGTCGCACGACCAAGGAAGACATTGCTTTGGTCAGGAACATGGCCTTGGAATACATGAGAAAAAGCCGATCGATTATGCTGGCTGTTGTCCCTGGAAACGTGGATATTGCAACTCAGGAGATCATTGAGCTGACACACGATGAAGACCCGGAGGAACTGAGGACTTTGAAGATCCTCACCAAGCCAGACCTTGTGGACAAAGGTGCGGAGCACAAGATTGTGGAGCTCATCAATGATGGAAATGCGCAGGGTCAACTGGGCTGGATCCTCGTGCGCAATCTGAGCCAGCAGGATATGAATGACGGAAATGTGGATCGCGACAACGCAGAAGCAGCCTTCCGTCAGAGCTTGCCTTGGAGCCAGGTGCCCTTGGAGAACTACGGCATCAAAGCGTTGAAGGTCAGACTCCAGGAATTGCTCACGGCGAATGTGCGCCGCCAGTTCTCAAAGGTACGTTGAATCAAACTCTATTGGGAGATTGCTAAACAAAAGTTTGAAATTCCAGGTTCGTGACGAAATCACAAAAAAGCTTCAGGAGACCAAGGAAGCTTTGGACTCCCTTGGTGATCAACGTGATACCCCAGAAAGGCAGAGAAGAATTCTTTTGGAGATGGCCGCGGCGTTCCAGGACATCACCGTCCACGCAATAACTACAAATTACGGAGCGCACAAGATTTTCGATTCGGACGAGCATACTCGCCTGGCAACCTTGATCGCCACGAGGAACAGCGAGTTCTCGGCTGACGTCGCAGTTGCCGGTCACACATATGATTTTGGCTCACCTTTCAAGGACAAGTTGCCGCACGTACTTCCGTACAAAGAAAACACGAAACAATCCCGAAAGCATATCAGAGATCTTGAGGACAATGATATTCGGGAGATTCTGGTTGAGTCTCAACCCGTCCAGCTTCCCCATAAGTATGGTATTCTCCCTTGGGTCAAAGAGGTCTACGAAGGTGGACGAGGCTTTGAGATTGGCACATTCAACCACAACATTCTCTCAACTTTGATGAAGAAACAAACTGTCAACTGGCCCACCATAGCTTGGGGCTACATCAGCGACATCATTTCCTATGTTCACCTGTTCATCCAAACAGTTATTCGCAAGATTTGCAAGAACAGTCAGATTTGTGCGAATATCCTTTCAATGCTCAGGGAGGGTCTTTTGAAAAACTACTCCCGAGCGGTCTCGATGGTTGACTTTCTGCTTGACATTGAGCGAGAAGGAACTCTCGTGACTTTGAACCACTACTTGAATGATAACCTTGAAAAGTGGTATGTTCATCCCTCCTTGAAAGAGAAGACCCCTGGCAAGCAGCTAATACTCTGACTTCAAGTCGTCAAAAGCGACTCCTGGAGCAGGTGAGCCCAAAGTCTCTCGACGATTGCAGTCACGGGAGAGTCGTGCGCTTGGCCGACGTTGCCACCCAACACCACATGAGCAACGTGGACCACACAGTCCAAGATATCCATGACATCCTTGAGTCGTACTACAAAGTGGCTCGTAAGAGGTTCGTGGACAATGTCTGCATGCAAGCTGTCGATCATTACCTGATCAGTGGCCCTGAGACACCCATGAAACTGTTCTCTTCTACTTGGATCAGCGATCTCTCGAACGAGGAGCTGGATGATATCGCTGGAGAAGACATGGGTTCCAAGAGGAAGCGTCGACAGCTGAAGAAGAAAATCAAGGACCTGGAGGCCGGAAAGAAGGTGGTGCTGGGATGAATGTCTGCTCAAATTGAGACTATGGGCTTGGTTGAATCCCGAAGGACCATGGCACCTGTTACTGTTGCTGATGATGAGTTGAATTATGTGAGACTTCGGAAAGCCGAACTTTGAATTGAATATGGAATATTAGGATAGCTTTACACAATGAGCAAAATCAACATATCATTCCCTCGCCTGCATCACAACGCCAGTACATCACGATGCCTAAAGGCATGGTGACCGCGCACCTGGAAATTCATCTCACGCCTGGCATTGCTTGTAGGTGTCAAGAGGAATTAAAGGGCATGTAATTTCCTCAAGTTCTACTAGAAGTATCGCCGGGCGTCAGTTCATCTTCGAACTCAACTTTCAAAAACCACGATGCAAATCCAACCATGAACTTTTCACTCACATATATACATGTTTAATATTTAAGTGCTGGCCTTGCTCGCGTCATAAGCCTCAACCTCAAGCTCGATCTTCATCGCAGGGAACGCCAAACGCGGAACAGCGATCGCAGTCCACACAGGCCGGTGATCAGGAATGCGAGCACGGAGCTTTTCGACAGTATATTCCCACGAGGCATCGATGTCAACATGGTACGAGCGAAGCAGGTAGACATCCTCCCATCCTCTTAGGTCAGCAGCCTGGAGAACACGATCGACATTATCGAATGCTAAGTCGATCTGGCGCTTCCAGTCATTTGCGTCTAGATCGCCGGTTGGAGTCCAGCCGCCTTGACCGGAGCATTTGACGATGTTGCCTGGGAGGAGAACGGCCTGGGAGTAATGGCCGAGGTCGCTGTGCTTCTCGCCGGCGCCTTTCTCGTTGATGTATGTGAATGACGACATTGAGGTGGTTGGATGGGTTGGAAGGTATGCTATGAGTCTGGATAGGACGCAATAGTGAATAGAAGAAATAGTTGAAGCTTTGGAGGGGTATAAGAAGGAAAAGCACAGCGGAAGTAAAGACGTGATGTAATGGAGTTGAGATGGAGTTGTGGAGACCTTTGGCGTGGAGATCCCGCTCCTCCACAACGCCTCCATGACACCTCCATCCCTCTAAATCTCTACATATCCCGCTCAATCGCCTGCATGGAGTCGCCCTGTCAGGTAATTTCGGTCAAATCCTTCAGATAAAATGAATGTCCTACAGTTCCTACCCATCCAGACGTGAGAATATAACTCCACCCGGTTGAGAAGCCTCATCCAGATTCCAGATCAACTTGTCGACCTGATTCCCAGCGCTCGTCTCGAATGAGAATTTGGAATACGAGGCATCAGCGACAGTGTATCTTCCTCTCCGCTTTCCCTCATCATGGCCCAAGGCCCATTCAAAGACATTGTCGCGCAAATGACGCAGTCTATAGCGCTGAGATCGCAAATATTGGAACGAAACAACAAGAGAGTCTTTATCATCGGGATCCAAAGAAACTTCCAAGTCGGACTCATAAGTCAAGTTCGCATACTTACCCACATATGCATCAAGCGGCAACGGCCTTGTGTCAGGCGCATGTTCTTTCGCCAAAGAGGCTTGCATATCTTCGAACTGCTGAAGTCTGCGGCGCTTCCCTTCCTCAGATAATGCGACATAATTTGTCCGCTTTGGGAAATCGAATAACGCTTCGATGAGGACACGGCCAGCCCAATCGGCGACATCACTCATAGCAATGGCATTTGTAAGAACGACAACTGCCGACTGCGTTTCTGGGAATAACGCAAGGAAAGAGTAATAGCCCACTGTTGCGCCTTGGTGGTATATGATTGCACGACGCTGACTCCCATCGCCCAATATGGGGAGATCGGAGATTTCCCAGAGATCTGAGTTATCGCCCATCAGACCCACCACGCCCGGGAGATGAGCTTGCAGCCAACCAAAGCCGTAAGACTGTCCCGGTAGCAACTTGCTGTCGATTGTAGCCTGAGGTTTGAGTATTTCGGGAATTTGTTTCAAGATCGACCGAGTGGGTGTATCAGTATCTTGGCATGCATCTAATGTTACTTTTGACCACCGCAAGAGATCGTTCACGGTGGAGTAAGCGCCACCCGATGCTTCGAAGAATGTCTCTGCAAACGGTTGTCTCTGTTGCAACTCATGGGCATCACCGTCACTCAGCGATGCGTATGCCTTGGAGAAATTGGGGTCTTGGAAAGATGGCCAAAGAGTAGTGCGATTCATACTGACGGGCTGAAAGACTTCTTCCTGCAGATATTGATGAAGCGGCGATCGGGTCACTTCTTCAATGACAAGTCCAGCAATCGAGTATCCCCAGACAAAGTACATCCAGGCTTCTCCAATCGCAGCCACCCGAGGAATATGATGGAATATTTCTAACAGGGAATCAGCAGGTAGTAGCATCTCACCATCGCCCTGAAATGCAAGATTAAGTGCGACTCCACCAGAGAGGCCAGAGCGATGAGAGAGAAAGTCTGCTATGGTGACTTCTTTGGCAAACTGGGGGTCCTGGTGGGAGAAACTTGGTAGAAGCTGTTGCACAGGAGTGTTCCATTGGAGTCTGCCATCCTCAACCAACTTTCCAATCCCAGCTGATACCATGGACTTTGTAAGGGACCCGACTCCATACATTGTGTCTGAGTCTGTAGGGGTAGCGTTTGAAACATCTCGAAAACCAAAGTTATCGGTGTGCGTCAAGTTGCCCTGGTGTGAGACCCCGACTGAAATGCCAGGAACGCCTTCGATAGAGCGTATCTTCTCTATCACAGATCTCGATTGATGAAGTCGGTCAATAATTGATGCGGTGGACGAACTCGACCTAGGTGTCGCACGTTAGCTTGCTCGGGGATAAAATGCGATGCACCAAACTGGAGTAAATAGATCCCGCTTGAGGCGAGGAAAGGGGAGGAAGGCTAGTGGAGCAGTCTTCTATGCGCCGCAGTCCCTCCAATCCTCAAATCTGGCCTTCCAACCTTTGAACACAACCTCAAATATTCAAAGGTCACCACAAGAGGCATATCAAGAAACACAAGAATGCCTACATGTTCGCGGAATGAAACTTGGAGCGGAACAGAATCAACCTTGGGAGATAAACCCTCAGAGAAAGGTTTCGTGGTCGCAAAGACACTCGCCCTGGCCGCATGTTAATGGGCATCAACTCGCGAGGGGTAACGGATGGGATTCATTTCAGGAGGAACGCGCCGCGGGTGACAGCGCGACGAAAAACGCCACTCCCCAATCAAGAGCCCGTCTGTGGCCGGGGTTCTCTGATCACCAACTGAACCCTTGAAAGTGATTGGCCAACTGGAAAGCCCAGGTGTGATGAGATACAAACGAGCCCACCCCGACTCCAACACCTGAGGACGGATACTGGCTACGCATAAAAGCACTGGTTTATACCGATGCTTTGCGTGGATGGAATATACAGTCTTTTGACCTCGTATCTCATTTCACTTGAAGTTCCAACACCCGTACCGGTCCATGATAGCCCTAAATGCAGGGTCTCGCAAAAGTTCGTTTGCGGTCGGCCGTTTTTCAGGGTCATAGACAAAGACTTTCGACATGATAGATTGCACAAGCTGTCGCTCGACCGGATCAGCACCGGGGCGAAAGTATGCAATTTTCGCAGCAAGGGCATATTTTGGATCAGCAGGTTGAGACTGATCATACCATGAATCAAGTCCCGCGGGGTGCGTGTAGAGACCTTTCCAATGCGCGGGTAATGGGCCTAAGCATTCGACCATCCCGCTTACAACTCCACCCTCGAGGAATGTGGGAAATGGAGGAAATCTCAGGTAGAGCATAGAAAAAGCAACCATGTAGCTCCACATATCGCAGGCAAAACTTGGTTCTTGTTTATGAAGTCGATCTGGAGAGCAATAATGCATAGGTGGGTAGCCGCGTTGCGTGGTGAGGTCGTCTATTTTCTTCGCTAATCCGAAATCACAGAGATAGAATTCGTCGGTGCAAAGGTCGTCGGGGACTTTGACGGGGCTCACTAGCTCGCCCTCCTTCCAGAGATCGACAAATGGTATTGTTTGCTTTAAAGGTCGACCCAGCGACTCAAACTTCGCGCTTCGGCTGAGACTATCGAGAGGAGCCATTCCCCACATGCGGTTCCTCGCATTCAAATCTGTAGCATCTGTCTTAGCACAGAGGAAAACAAGAGGCGAGAGCATGGACTAACCGCGATGTATGATTCCAGCTTCATGTAAACTTGCCACAGTCTCCAGTAATTGTCGAGCAGCAGACATGCGAGATGCCACAGGAATTCTTTTGAGGGAAAGAGTGCTGATAGACGGCCCTTTCACAGGGAACACAAGGACCCTATGTTCACTTTCATCGTCGCGGCGTAGAAAGAAAGTCTCAGTATAGATCACCAGGCCGGAGGTATTTTGTACGGTTTCGATAATCTCATCCTGGATTCGAGTTTCATTGTCGCCCCATTTCCCCAGGGCCATGACTTTGAGAGCCACGTCCTTCTTGTCCTGTAGGTCGAATGCCATCCAGACGGTCGAGCCACCACCAAAGCCAAGCTTGTGTTCAACCCGGTACCTCTCGTTGAGCACTTCCCCAAGGCGAATGGGATAGAGGACATACTGGTTGTCCTGTGGATCGTACCTGTGCCATGGCTCAACAAGCTCTTCGAGATCGAGTTCCTCATCTTCATCCTTCACGAAGTCGCCAAAGTCTGTCGGGTCTTCAAATGATGCTTCAGTGTTCACCATCTCATATATGTCGGCAAGTGGCCGGACGATGAGATGTGGAGTGTCAAATGCGGAGGAACAGCAACGAATGTAGTCTTCTTCCTCACACCGCCTGTTGGTCTCCGTTGGTCTCCTGCATCGGTGCAGGGGTGAACCCCATGCTGCTCTCAGCTCGCAAACACTCTCTTTCTGGATTTCATCAAATGATTCATGCCACCTGAAGAGCGGAACAGAAGCTTTGCCATTACCAATCTGCGAGAGAAAGCTCTTTGTCGCCTAGCCCTACGGCCCGGGGGCTGGGCATCCAACATGACGTGGTGGCAAGGACTTGGAGAATCGGAGTGGAACCCGAACCCCATCAGGGTACTCCAGACTACATCGTGGAGGTGAAATTGGAGATGAGTTCTCAAAACCTCAAATCGACTGACATACAGTTATGTGCTTGAAATCATTTTCCGACAACGACGAAAAGTCAATCCTCTCTTTGTCCTTTTCTTCCTTCATTTGAAATGACGCCGACAGTACTCATCGTTCCTGGATCATTTACACCGGCTGTGTTTTACAGCAATCTTGCAAACCACATTCGGGATCAAAGCATCGGATGTGAAGTCTACGACCTCCCATCGACCAATCGCAAGCCTCCACAGCAAGCTGCAACTTTTGAAGAGGACGTCGCCCTGATTCATGGCAAGGCTTCCGAAATTATCCGAAGAGGCCACGACGTACTCCTGCTTGCCCATTCCTACGGAGGCAGCGTTGCAACACAGGCGGTCAAGGGGTTATTGAAGACTGACTCTCAGACAAACGGGTTGGCAAACGGTGTCCTGCGAATTGTGTACATGAGCTGTCCAATCCCCGTGGCCGGCCATGGAATTTTTGAGAACATGGGAACTCTCCCCGAGTTCATGAAAATCGAGGTAGGAATAATCCCATCTGGTACCATCCACGGAGTACTCTGTGCTAATTTTCCCGTCTAGGGCAACTTCCTCTACCAAGAACCTGAAGTCAGTGGTCCTTTGATGTGGCCCGATCTGCCAGAATCCGAAGCACTGGTATTTGCAAAACAGTTGACCTGGCAGTCCCGGTTGAGCTTTGATGGGAAACTCACATATTCTGGATACAAATACCTTCCTGTGTCCTATATCCTTTGTGGAAATGACCCTGTTCTTTCTCCTGCCTTTCAGCAGCAGATGATTGCTTTGCTTGAAAGGGAAAGCCAACAGACGGTTGACGTGCATACTTGCAAGGGAACGCATTGTCCTAACCAAGGGATTCCTGGGACAATTGCCCAAATCATTCGAAGCATATCCGATGTGCATATCTGAGAGTTGTACGGAGTACTACGTGTGTCAATTATAGATATATAACTAGGGTTCAGGTCTGGAAGGGTACCTAGGTAGAGGCGAAGAGAAAAAGTGCCATAGCGTAAAACTACCCAGAGAAATATTGAGCATTGTGTCTGAGATTCATTGTCTTTCCAAGGTTTACTGTTGAGATTTGGGGGTATAAGAAGTTGGAAGTGAAGAGCCGATTTCATTTCTTGTCCTGTTTTTGTGATTTCGATTTTTCACTCTCCTCCAGAGCTCGCAAACAGGACCTCGGGATTATATCTCGATGACAGCATCTCTCCATGGCAGTTGCCACAGTCCACCTCGGCCCCCAAGCCGTTTCCCATCTCAAATTGTGCTGATAGAGTCCCAAACATCGAGGGCAACCGCGCATGTGCAACTAGAGCCCCAGATCAAGCAATATGTTCCGCAAGATCCATTGCACAACCAAAGGCCGAGAACGATTAGTCGCGTGCAGCCGCAATGCCAAATTGAACAGGACATTCTTCAGAAGCACGCATCTAGCCGGGACGACCTCGTCGTAGAACTCAGCGGTCCTAGCAACGACGAAAGAGTGGTCTGGCTCACCATCAACCATAAGAATACTGGCAGCAATGATTTCGTTCAGAATTTCACGAGCTCCGACCTTGAGGTTCCGGATGACCTCGGGCACATGGTCGGTTTGTCTTCTCAGTAGGCCGGCTTGGATTTCGAGGTAAGACTCGAGTTTGGTCCTGGCGTTGAGATAATCCATGACAAGTGGTGGCACGGACATTTTGCATCAATCGTTGCCGATTTGATGAGGTGGAGGGTAGATCTGTTCGATCGCATCAGACTCGAGTTCGCGCGGGTATAGAGGTTGGGTGTCCAACCAAACTGGGGCTGTACCTAAAAAGGGACCTTTCGGTCGCTGGAGTTTCATTAGTATAGTTTTCTGTCTCCAAGACGCGATAGTGTACCTTTTGAAGAACGCGTTTGGATGTTTGGGCAGATAAGGGGTTTGGAACGATCCGATCGCGATGATGCCGAAGTCAAGAGCGATCGGAGTGAGATGAAAAGGATATGGGGGGCACCAAGTGTGTGGGAGAATAGCTCGTTCGGTGCACTTCACATCTCTCTGCCCTAACTCGGGTTTTGGGGGGGAAGGCTTGTTTGGTTCAAAGAGAGTATCAACATGGCCACATTCGTTCTAGTATGTTCAGCTTTCATGGTTTTATCTTGCCTGGTAGATCACTCGGAATATCAAGTAGACAGATAACTATTGTAGACAAATCAGTATAGAATTCAAAGGTTCCTTTGGAAGTTGTGCAAACATACCTACCTATGTACCTAGTAGATATCGTACTCAAGCTTCATCACCTTTGCCCCACGGTGATGCCCTCGACGACAAACTCGGATATAGATCAAGGACTTGGGTTTAGATGAGCAGATCTACCAGTACAATCCAGTTGGAGAGGGCAATTTGAATGCTGAAAAGGCGCCCTAATAGGAAAACAATCATATTTTGCTGTCATAGTATCGTGGAGGTTCATATCTGTCGTCACATCCTGTTGCTCGTGCAATCAACACAAGACAGACCAAAAAGATCGCTAGAAAAAAAGTAATATAAAACATAACAGCCGCCAAATAGTAGCACATCTCACATATAGTCATTTTCGGTTAAAGATTCGTCAATTTGCGGAACCAGCTGGGCTTCTTCGCCGACGGAGCTTCCTGTCGACTTCCAGGTCGAGACCTCGCTCGATCACGCTCATAGTCACCACTTCCAGAGCTGCTCTTCATGCCTTCACGGCGCGAGTCTCTTCGTCTGGATCTCGCATCTTCCTCTTCCTCGTACTTGGCCCGTCTTCTAGCCTTTCGTCTAACGGCGCGTCGGGCCTCCTCGTCCGACGAAATTGAATTGCCAGTCCCACCCGCATCTCCAGGAGGCGGCATATCAATGACAGTGGGCATGATTGGAGGCGGCTCAGGAGGCTCATCTGCTTGAGAATACACCCAGGAAGAAATCTTGTCTTTCCCACCACCAGTCATATAAGGCTCTCTGGATGGTTCAATAGGCACCTTGGACTTGCGACGACGAGCTCGATCCTTCGGGTCTTCCCGATTACTCCGCGCTCGGCGATCATCTCGCTCATCGTAGAACTCCTGCTCATCGCGCGCACGACGACGACTCATCTTCGCAGCCATCATCTCTTCTTCGCGCATTTGTCTTCGCTCCCGACGCTCCGCAGCCCTAGCCTGCGCAGCTGCTTCCGCAGCTTCAGCTTCCGCAGCAGCAGCAGCCTCAGCCTCGCGCGCTTCTTGCTCCTCGCGAATCCGGCGTTCCTCACGCGCAGCTCTTCGAGCGCGTCTTTCTTCCCGGATTCGATCCTCCTCCTCTTCCTCGCGAGCGCGCTCACGTGCGCGCTCTTTTCTCCGCGCCCGTCGCTCCTCTGCTTCCCGAGCCTCGATGTCGCGAACCTCGGCTGCAGAGGGGGCTTTGCGGGATCCGTGGCGTGAATGGCGTGCTGCGCGTCGCGCTTCGCGGTCGTCGAACTCTGCCTCTGGGCCTGGGCCTGGCGCATCAGTGTAGAAGCCCTCGGCGTCGGTGTCTGGGCGGACTGAGCCGCGGCGTCGATCCTCGCGTCGTGCTCGGCGTGCTGCGTCGCGTTCTGGATCGGGGGGATAGCGCATCTCGTCGTCACGGTATGAGCGCGACTTTCGTCGGTCGGGCATTTCGGGGCGCTCTGGGCGCTCTGGTTTGGCTGTCTTTCGCAAAGAGCCAATGAGTCCCATCAGGCCACCACTTTCTTGTTTCTTTGGCGGTCCTGGTGCGGTGTTTGAGCGCTTGAGGCGACGCTCTCGTGGGGGCGCATCCACGAAGGCCATGTCGTCGGGTCCTGAGATAACTTCTGGTGCGGGTTGCGCTTGTTCGGCGTCAACCATTACAGCCTCGTCGTCTTCGGGCCTTGGCCGTGACTGTTTTGGGGTTAGTCATAATTCAAGAATGGAAGGACGTGACTTACCTGTCGTTTAGACTTGCGTTTCGACCCTCTGGAGTCTTCCTTGGGAGAGTGTCCTTCGGCATCTTCCATATCCACGACAACGAGATCGTCATCCTCAATGGCGTACGGGTCACGAGCTAAGAAGTCAGCAACGTAAAAATAAAGTGGGTGGACACCACCTACCGGACTTCCGTCGTTCCGTGCGCGGCCGCTCACGCCGAGCCTTCGTATTCATCCCCGTCAATTTAGCAGCCTTGTCAGACACCTCAGGCTTGTCTTCGGCCATCTCTTTCTCAAATGAAGGACGTCTAGACGCAGGTTTCGATGGAGACTCATGTTTCCGAGCCGATTTGCTTTTGGACTGAGGCGTGCCCAGAACCATGTTCGCCAAGGTCACGCCACGTTGGTTCTTCGATGGACGACCTTCTCGTTCGCGTCGCTTTTCACGGTCGGAAGACGATTTTTCAGCATCTGGTTCAGCCTCTTTGGGTCGCGACTTGGTTGATTTCGTGCGCGTCGCACCGGGGGACCGCTCGCGGGTGGATTCCTTTTTTCTTGGCTCCTCATCGCGGGGCTTATCTTTCTTAGCGGACTTTTTTGGTGGAGGCGCAGCACCGAAGAACGAGCCCCAGGTATTCGTGTTGCGATCAACACGAGCTCGTTCTTTCTTTGCAGGCTTGGGTGTTGCCTCTGCCGGGGGCGCTGGGGGAGCGCTTTCTTCCGCTGCTGGCTCCTCAGGGGCTGGCTCGGCCTCGGCCTCAGGCTCAGGCTCCGGTTCAGGCGCGGGCTCAGGATCAGCTTCGGGTTCTGGAGCTGGTTCTGGTTCAGGCTCAGGCTCGGCCTCGGGCTCTGGGGCGGGCTCTTCGGGTGGGGGTGTGGGTTCTCTGGCGGCCTCCGCAGCCGCTGCAGCTGCAGCTGCAGCTGCGGCCTTTTCAGCCTCAGCCTTTTTGTACTTTTTCAGTTCCTTCTTAGACATCTTAGAAAGATCCGGTGCTGGCTCAGGTTCGGGCTCAGGTTCAGGTTCAGGTTCCGGCTCAGGCTCCGGTTCAGGTTCTGGCTCAGGCTCAGGTTCGGGCTCGGGTTCAGGCTCAGCGTCATCTCCAAAGTCAGGGAAGCTCCCAGGAAGAGAATCCTCTTTCTTTGACTTGGACTTGCTCTTCTTGGCTGGCGCAGGCTCTTCGGCAGGAGGTTCTGGCTCTGGCTCAGGGACGGGCTCGGGCTCGGGTTCAGGCACTGGCTCAGGTTCAGGTTCGGCCTTCTTCTTCTTCAGCAGCCTCTTCTTCTCCTCCTTAGCCTGCTCCAGTGCCTTGATCCGCTCGGCGACACTCAGTTTAGAGGCCTTTTTGGAAGACTTGACTGGAACTGGCTCGGGTTCTGGTTCCGGTTCCGGTTCCGGTGCTGGCTCTGGCTCTGGCTCGGGTTCTGGCTCAGGTTCCGGCTCTACGGGGGCCTCGTCGGCCACATCAATGAGTAAGTCTTCCTCTGGGGCTGGCTCAGGCTCAGGTTCGGGCTCCGGCTCTGGATCCTTGGCCTTCTTAGTAGACTTTGATTTGCTCGTAGACCCTCCCGTGAAAGCTGACCAGAAACCTCCCTTGGATTTCTCCTCTTTGGGGGGCTCAATTGCCTTAGCTTTCTTCGTAGTCTTGGAGGTCTTGGGGGCCAACTCTGCCCAGACATCGTCGTTGAAGGATTCCGGCTCCGGAGTGAGGCCTTGGGCAGGAGGTGTTGGTGCAGGCGGAGGTGGCTCAACGTCACCGCCCTTCTTCTTCTTCTTCTTGTCCTTGACAGGCCCCCATATCCCCCAGGAATCATCCTCGGCTGGCTTTTCCGGTTCTGGCTCCGGCTCTGGTTCAGGTTCTGGCTCCGGCTCTGGTTCAGGCTCAGGCTCGGGCTCCGGTTCGGGTTCAGGTTCAGGTTCAGGTTCAGGCTCAGGCTCGACAATGGGTTCTGGAACTACCTCGGGCGGTTCATCTGATGGAAGCTCGAAGTCCTTTCCAGGGATAGGGAGGCCTTTCTGGATGAGTTTCTTTTCGCGCTTCTTGCGGTCCTTGGATGAGAGATCACGCCAGCCGTCGTATAAGGGGTCGTCAGGCACAGACGGCTCTGGCTCTGGCTCGGGTTCAGGTTCAGGTTCAGGTTCAGGTTCAGGTTCAGGTTCAGGCTCAGGCTCGGGTTCGGGCTCAGGTTCCGGTTCGACTTTGCCTTTCTTTTTCTTCTTTTCCTTGACCGGGACACCCCAGGCACTGAAGGCGTCCTCGGGCTCAGTGGCCTTGGGTGGTTCCTCTACAACGGGCTCCGGGTCCAGGGATTTCTTGTCTTTCTTTCCCGCAGGGCCCCATCCGCCCATCCAGTCGTCGTTGGCCGTTGGTGGGTCTGGAGCTGGGGGGTCAGGGTCAGCTAGAAGATCAATCTTCTTTTTCTTCTTGTCCTTGGTCTTGACTGGGACACCCCAGCCCCAGTCATTGTCAGGATCAGTAGCAGGCGGAGCCTCCTCCACTACTGGTTCAGGCTCGGGCTCGGGCTCGGGCTCCGGTTCAGGTGCGGCTGCAGCTGCGGCTGCAACTTGATCCTCATAGTCGGCCAGGGCTTTGGCGTATTCATCGTCCTCGTCTTTGTGCTTCTTCTCCATTTCCTTTTTGGCTTTCCTTTGTTCTTTCTTGGACATTCCTGTATACCAAGCTTCCTGGGTGAAATCAGTTCTGACTGGGGGCTCGGGCCGGGGTGGTAGAGCCTCAGCTGCAGGTGCAGGTGCAGGCTCGTCCTCTTTCTTGTCCTTGCCCGAAATGCCCCAGCCGTCTCCCCAGTCATTTTCCTTGGTGTCATCCGCAGGTGGAGAGCCAAGGTTGCCAAAATCAAACCCGGTCTTGCCTTTCTTCTTGGACGTGGTGCCCCAGGGATTGTCTTTGGTATCTTCACTTCCGGCTTCAGCCAGAGGATCATCCTTGCTACCAGTGGTCCAATCTTTACCCCAGCCTCCAAAACTGAACCCCGTACCCCCAGTTTTGGGGGCAGGGGCATCAAAGCTTAGGTCTAGTTGCGGGGCACCATCGTCCAGGGTTATGTCTTGAAACGCTCCCGGTGGGGCCTCATCCTGGGACAACACTTAGATTTTTCCATAGATTAGAGAATCATGAATACTCACCTTTCCCTTCTTCTTTTTTCCTACACTTGCAAAACCAGCCCATGAGTCGTCACCGCCACCGCCTTCCTCAGCCCAGCTGAGGTCATTGGCAGCGGAAGCTTCTGCGGCTTTTTTTTCCTCCTCTTCCTTGGCCAATCTGGCCTCCTCTTCCTCTTCTTCCTTCTTTTTCTTGTCCTTCTTGCCACTCACATTCCAGTCGTTCCAATCGTCACCGCCGCCCCCATCACCGCCATCTCCATTGCCATCACCTGCACCGCCTGATCCTCCGTCACCCCCATCACCGTTCGTGCCATCGTCTGCGCCATCTCCGCCAGGCGGGGGAGGGGGCGGTGGTGGGGGAGGCGTAGGCGGTGCGGCCTTTTTTGGCGCGGCTGCCTTTTTCTTCTTGTGTTCGCGGATTCCCGTGAAGTTCTCAAAATCAATCTTGATGTCCAGCATGGAATCCCGGAATAGAGATGGTGCCCGACTCTGCGATTTTTCTCGAACCGTTGGAACTGTGTAGGCAATGGGCTTCTGCTGGGCCAAAGGTGGAAGCGCAGAGTATTCGGGGGGTAGATCATGGACCACATCGTCGTAAAAGGGGAGCAGGTCGTACGATGGTGGTTCCGAGCGAGTCGGAAGGCAAGAACTCAATCCAGCGACCAGGACTGTCTTTTGGGCCGAACGGTCCAGCGAATGGAAGATCCCTCGCTTCTCGAAAGTGGCCCAGACATCGTCCAGAACTTGTCCTGCCTGTGTCTCCCAATCCGTGTATGCGGCATTGTCCCTGCTCCAGGTAAATGCGTGCCCCTCAATCGCGGCCATGATTAGAGTCACATGCGCCGAAGTACACAGCCTAATCACTGGGTTCGGTTGTGGAGCGAACGCATTTGTCGAGTCTGGATCGAGCGTAGGCAAGCTTTAGGGCGCCAGTCGAAAGGGAGAGTGTCTGTTTGGTGTTGCGCAAGGGAGTGGTTGGTACTGAGGATTCGGGGAACAATTAAGTTGTCTCGGGGTAGGACCAAGGAGTCCTGGAGCCTGCACGACCGGCGCGAGTTGAGCGTCGCTTCGAACAGGATTAGAGTATGAGAATATATTGGGTATCAGAGAGAAAATTGAAGTGAAAAGGCGAGGGAAGGAAAAAGTCAAGGGTCTCTCAAGAGAGGGATAATCAGGCGGTGGAGGTGATGATCATTCCTCCAAGTGATTTTCTCTATACTTTCGAGTCCGATTGCTGACCTCTTCGTACTCGTACACGAAAACAAAATATTATGTACAAAGTCGTTCAGATTGATGTACAAGACAAGTCTCTTCTGACCTCGCTTGCCCCAACACCTTCTGTTCATGACCGGCCAAACAAACCCCCAGCCAAAGTGGCTGGGAACCGGAGAGCGAAATTATGCTTTCCGCACATGTACGTTAGCATATGTAGCGTAGTTCAGACTCGCATTTCTTGATTAACACTGTCTCTAATCCAATCTGCATGGCATACTTCGAAAGCCATGTAGCACAGACCTGATCGTACAGAGCACATGCAGCCTGACAGTCCTATCGATAACAAGAGCACCCCTCCATCAGCACTGCAGGGGCTTGGAGATCTTAACAAACCACCTTTAAATCCAGGATGTGTCGTATGCATCCCATCTAGATTTTCACGCGTTTTCATTTACTTCGGAACCATGGTCTCGCCCATGTCCTTCCATGGATGACGAACCTGGTAACCGTGGGTGCCCAATACTATCGCGGGTACACCCGTCTGCAGGGAATAAACATTGCAGACACTCGGAGCAGACTAGGTACTTTAGTATCAGTACAAGGTACTTAATCTACGAACAATAGGGACTAGTAGACACTTCTTGAGGCACTCGGCTCCAGTTGTGGACTCGATGACTCGAAGACTCCCCAACCCTGCATACAAGATTCACTATACTCCGTAGTATGTATATCCACGTTTCCACCAAGTGCTTCAGCTGAACTTTAATACATCTGGATCTACTGGAAGTTTCTCACTGCGCCAACGTGTTTGATACACAATACTACCGAAAAAGAGGACGTGCTGCAAGCGCAGCGCATCCATTGCTCACCGCCACTTGAGCATCGGAGCAAAAAATCCACCAGTGCGGGGACAGTGGGGAGACCGTGGCGAGGACCGATATAGACATAGTCACTAGCTCTGACTCATTCAGGCCAGTGAACTGAAACATACGATGTAGAATTGGTGCCAGAATGATCGAAATGAAGAATTTGGAAGAAAGTACTAATTGCGAAAGCATGTCACCGAGTGTGTCCGAGCCTAACAATACAATACAACAATAGGAATCGACGCCAGAAACAATTGGGCCAGTGACTGTAATACATTGAGCGACCTAAGAAACAAGACTCGATTGGGGTCGGAAGTAAAGGTGAAGAGAAACCCAATTCCCTGTCCTTGGATGGAAACGAAGCCATCATCAGGTGAAAGCCACAAGCTTATCATGCTTTTTGGGCCTTCACATATTTGGGGGGGACGCCATACGTCTCCTGCCACTCTCGAGCGTATCGCGCCCTGTCTTTTTCGCCGAGTTCGAACAATTCCTAGCCAGTCATTAGTATGTCTGATTTCACGTATCCCTTGGGGGTCCTACCTCTTTCTTCCAAGCTGGAAGGGATTTGTACTCCGCGGCAACGGCCTTTGCGAAGTCCGCTTGAGTGGTTCCAGCTGCGGGCCCGGCAGAAGCTCGTTGCTCGGCGAAGTAAATGAAGAAGGGAGACACGGGTGCTTTGGGTCTGCGGTGGTCTTTGAGAGGTTGCCAGTTGCCCTTGGTTAGGTTGCTGAGCTCTGAGCGGGCTTTGTTGGCTTCAAGGATCTGTTGAGGGGTGTGTGACTCGATGAACGATTGATAGGCGGCCTCAGAGGCAATCTTATTCTCGGCAGCTTGGGCTTTGTATTGCTATATCTGACGGTTAGCCATGAAGGGGTGAAGGAGAAACCGTTCACACGAACCTCCAGCTCAGAGCTGGTCAGCTCACTGTACTTTACGTGGGCGGCCTTCAAGCGCTCAGAACGAGATCCGGAGGCCTTGTTGAGCTCATTCATTATCGATGACAGACAGAGGTGCCGGGCGGTCGAGGGAAGTCGCGCGGGTGGCTGCAAGGCAGTGGCCTTCAGATCCTTCATATGTTGGCGTGCTTGGATGAGTTTTTGGGTCTTTGTGATCGGCTTCTGGGCTTTCTGAGCGTTCTCGCCTTTTGCCGTGGCAGCTTTCGGGGTTCTAGCCTTGGGCTCCTTGGGCTCCTTGGGCTCCTTGGTAGCCTTGGTTGCGAACGTGCTGGATTGGGTAATCGGACGCAGTTTTTGAAGCTCCTGGAGCTGTGGGCGTGCCTGGATAGGTGCGGCAGCCAAACTAAGACAACGAAGCTGGCTCTGCACGCCCATAACCCCGGTAGGGCGCCGCGCGACACTGCCGTACGCACGAAGGGCGCCCCCGCGGACGGAGATTTTGGAGAACATGATTGAGGTGCGCTGTAGCGATACTAGCGGAGTAAGCCAGTACCAAGCTTCAGTTAATGTGTAAAGTTCAAGAGGCTTGGGGTTGGAGAGCTAGTGCAAGCTAGGAGGCGCGCGCTGTTGTACCTGTCCGCATCGGGTTAGAGGATATTACATAATACGTCGCAAAAGCCTGGAGGTTTGCATCATCGCGCTGGCAGAATATCAAACGTTGTCTCCAGACGGCCTAAGGCCTCATTTGTCACATCGAGAAGTGTTTGCGCAGAGTTCCACCACCTCTGTTTCTCACTTCGTCTCTTCCTTTCTCGCTCCGTATCCCCGGTGCATTTGCGTTTCAGTAACACTCACTAATCAGCCTGCAACAATGGCTCGCCGAGGGGATACTCGCTCACCATCACCTGTAGGCAGCACATACTCTTCATCACGACGGCGCCGAGAGGATGATCGTTATGACAGAAGCAGGCGGGATGATGGGCGCAGCTACCGCCGATCCCGCAGCCCAGAAGTAAGTCAGACGCATTCCCAACCCACCTTGCACAGGCAAGTCGCTGACCTTGGCAACTCACAGCGTCGATACCGCGGTGGCCGTGGAGATCCTCGTGACAGAGATGGGTACCGACGTCGCGATCGCTCGGTAGACCGCCGCGATGAAGACAGCTATCGGCCTCCTCGCAGGGAGAGATCTCGAGACCGCCGTCGATCCCGAGACAGAAATGACGATCGTGATTACCATCGTGACAGAGATATTCGGCCCAGGCGAGATGACTCCCGCGAGCGCGACCGCCGGAGAGCCGATGATTCTGCTGATGTGAGACCCAAGTTTAGACGGGACGACAGTCGTGACCGTGCCTCAAGTCGACGGTCAATGTCCAAATCACGAGAGGTGAGCCACCCCATCTATGATTCCGTGGTAGTAAATGGGTCTAATCGCACCCAGCAATCAAAGCAATCCACCCCAGCCCCCAGTGGTCCAACCGATGACGAGAAGAAAAAAGCGGACCGACTAGCCAGAATTGCGGCTTGGAAGCAAAAGCAAGCTGCCGAGCGCGAAAAGAACCAGCCAACGCAGGCAACCAGTGACCCTAAGAACGCACTGGACGCCATTGACCGGAAATCCGCCTTATCGCCAGCTGCAGGTTCACCTCAGACCCCCGCCACGCCAGCTGATACCGAACCTCCAGCTTCATACCCTGGAAAATTTGACCCAAAGGCCATTGCCAAGTCATCATCCACGAATTCGGCAGCTCCAGCTGTACTAGGTACTGATGTTGCTCTGCCGAACTCTGCAAAGTCGTCATTTGCCCCAGGTACCACCGCACCTCCTGCCAAGCTCTCTGGGCCTTTGAAAGCGAAGGGAAATGTCAGTGGATTTGGTCTTGGTGCGAAACAGGTATCCGACGTAGAAAAACAGTCCGCACCTAAGACTTTGGGTTTCGGCGATGAAGAATCCACCCGCAAGAAACTCGAAAAACTCCCAACTCCACCGCTGGATGACGCCGATGGGCCCAGCGCACCGGGCGATGATGCCGCGGAGGACGAGGATGTTGAAATGCAGGATGAAGGAACAGAAGAAGATGCTGCTGCGGTTGCACGTGCAGCAGCTGAACGGCGAGACGAACGGCTGCAAAATCAAGACAAAGACGCCGTCGCGGCGGATAACGGAACAAATGCTCAGGGTGACTCTAATGCCATGGATGTTGACGAGGCCGAAGAAATTGACCCTCTGGATGCGTTCATGTCTGAACTAGCAGGCGCACCACCCCCGAAGAAGACTGTCGGGGCTTCCTTCGCAAAGAGAAAGGCCACCCAACAACCTGAGGCGATGTTTGGGGATGATGACGGCGTTGATTTCACCCCAGTCGGAGACGAAGCTGCCGAGGATGTCCTAGCCATCGCGGCCAATAAAAAGAAGAAGAGGGAGATTCCTACCGTCGACCATACCAAATTGGAATATGAGCCATTTCGGAAACAATTCTATACCGAGCCTGCACATCTTGCCGAAATGACGGAGGAGGAGGTTGCAAACTTGCGTCTTGAGCTTGATGGGATCAAGCTTCGTGGCTCCGGCGTCCCTACCCCAGTTCAGAAGTGGTCACAGTGTGGACTGGGCGTGCAGACACTTGATGTCATCCAGAAGCTTGGCTATGACAAGCTCACTTCAATCCAAGCGCAGGCGATTCCCACAATCATGTCGGGTCGCGACGTTATCGGTGTGGCGAAGACTGGATCAGGTAAAACGGCGGCTTTCTTGATTCCAATGTTCCGACACATCAAGGACCAAAGGCCACTGAGCGGAATGGATGGTCCCATGGGTCTGATCATCTCTCCGACTCGTGAACTGGCTACCCAGATTCACAAAGACTGCAAGCCCTTCTTGAAGGCTCTGGGTCTGCGCGCTGTTTGTGCCTATGGAGGAGCTCCCATCAAGGACCAGATTGCGGAATTGAAGCGAGGCGCAGAAATTGTCGTATGTACCGCCGGTCGTATTATCGATCTTCTCGCTGCCAATGGAGGCCGAGTTCTCAACTTGCGCCGTGTCACGTACGTCGTCATTGATGAGGCTGACCGCATGTTTGACATGGGCTTCGAACCTCAAGTCGTCAAGATCATGGCGGGCATCCGACCGGACCGCCAGACTGTCCTCTTCTCCGCAACCTTCCCCAAGAACATGGAATCCATGGCCCGTAAAACACTGAATGACCCGGTTGAAATCACCGTCGGAGGCCGAAGTGTTGTCGCTCCTGAAATCACCCAGCTTGTTGAAGTCCGCAGCCAAGAGTCAAAGTTCGTCCGTCTGCTAGAGTTGCTGGGCAATCTCTACTCGGACGACGAACATGAAGACGACCGCACACTGATTTTCGTCGATCGCCAAGAGAACGCCGATGATCTGCTGAAGGAACTGATGCGCAAAGGCTATCCGTGCATGTCGATTCATGGTGGAAAGGACCAGCTTGACCGTGACTCCACAATTCAGGACTTCAAGGCTGGAATCTTTCCTATCTTGGTCGCGACCTCTGTGGCAGCTCGTGGGTTGGATGTCAAGCAACTGAAACTCGTAGTTAATTATGACGCACCCAACCATCTGGAAGATTATGTCCACCGTGCTGGCCGTACTGGTCGTGCTGGAAATACCGGAACTGCGGTGACGTTCTTGACGGAAGACCAAGATCGGTATGCGAATGATATTGCGAAGGCCCTTTGGCAAAGTGGGCAGGAGGTTCCTGAGCCGGTGCAAAAGCTTGTTGATTCGTTCCAGGAGAAGATCAAATCTGGAAAGGAGAAGTCAATGGTTGGTGGATTCGGTGGTAAGGGTCTTGACCGGCTTGATGACAAGCGCGCCAACGAGAGGAAGCGTGAACGGGCCTCTTACAAGACCGGTGATGGCGATGATGACGAGCAGGAGGACAAGGAGACCAAGGAGGAAGAAACAGAGGAACGCTTCAACAAGGCGTTTTCATCCGTCCAATCCGCTGCGGCGCCTGCACCCGCTTCCTCGTCGCTTCCGGGCGTGCCCAAGGGCATTGACCTGGACGGCAAGATCACCGTCCACCGCACCGAAAAGGACTCCACGGGAGGCAAGAATGCGCTTGACAAGGTTGGGTCAGCGGTGGCCGACATTCATGCACGTCTCAGCCGCGCCGGCGTGATGAGATCGGGCGTGCCCATCGACAACCGTGGTCCAGATGCAGGCGCCTTCCACGCGACAATGGAAATTAATGACTTCCCCCGTAAGTTCTCATCTTTACTCCTTTTACCTGAACTCATGCTCACATTTTTTTTTACAGAAAAAGCACGTTGGGCTGTTACCAACCGCACAAACGTGGCCAAGATCTTGGAATCTTCCGGAACCTCGATTACCACAAAGGGCAATTTCTACGCAAATGGAAAGGAGCCCGCTGTGGGAGAGCTTCCCAAGCTGTACATTCTGGTTGAGGGTGAGACGGAAATTTCGGTTACCAACGCCATGCGGGAGCTCATGCGTCTGCTGAAGGAGGGTACTATTGCAGCTGCCGACAGCGAGGCTCGTGCTCCTGCCAGTGGCCGCTACAATGTTGTTTAAATCATAGCCACATCTAATTCTATGACTTGTACAAGTACAATTTACTAGGCACACTTCCAGGGTTATTCGTAGTCACGTGTCATCCTTATATGCCCACCTGGGCAGGTGTTCCCAAGTCACCCAGGATAACACTCATCTCGAGATTAGCCTCGCTCACACCTAGTACTGCAAGAGCAGCTTTGAATATAAAACCCACTCAGCAAGCCGAGTGGAGACCAGGAAGATCATCAAATGACATCATCTGTAAATCCAATCGCCAAACACTGGAGACACGCTGCAATCGCCATCCAACGCCGAAACCCAAGCACACCCCGCATCAAAGAAACCCTTTATTCCCACCTCCGCGCCTCCGCAGCCCCATCCGCATCCCTTGCAGCCCTCTCTTCCCGACTAACCTCCCCCAGCGTCTGCGCATGAGTCTGCGCCTTCTGCGCCGCCAATTTAGACCCCAGCTTGCCCTTTGGCCCGGCTTCGGCGCGTTTCTACAATATCAGTCAATATCACTCTAGCCATGTATATCGATAATATTTCCAAGGTTCGTACCTGCGCAGCTATGGCTGCGTTTGCGCGCGCCTCGTCAGCGCCGGCGTTGGTGCTGTCGCTTTCGCCTAGGGTGCGGCCTGGGGTGGCTTTCCAGTTCGTCTTTGCGGGGACGGAGGCGCGGGGGGCAGCATTGGGTGGGTTGGTTCCGACGACGCGGCCGGGTTGGCTGAAGTTGTCTGAGTCGTTGCGCGAGCAGATGTTGCCCATTGTACCTAGGTGGTTGGGGAGGTTCCGGGATTGGAATGGAATGGTGAGGGAGCGGAGGTCAGGTTGGCGCCAAGCCCGTTGGATCTATCATCTCTACGGATAGATCTGTGGATATCAACGGGGGTTTTGGTTGTATAGTTTGGAATATGGCCTGGTGTGTTGTTTGCTTGTAGATTATTCTTTTGGGTGTATGTTTCAAATTATGGGGTGATCGAGAGGGGAAACAATCTGGGACCTGATGTTGACTGCATGGATGTATATGTAGGTCATTCTCAGGTAGAGTCCCACCAGAGATAGCCCTCCTCTTGGGCCCCAAGAGCTAAATGAACCTTTGACATTACCTAGGTATAAAATTTCCCTCTGCTTACTGAATTAAACTAATAGTGACTGTGACCTTTATGAACCTCCAGGTTGTCCAATTGCGGTGTGTACAAGGCGGGCCCTGGAGGGACGATAAGATAGATCTGCGGCGGTGAAGCGCAGCCAAGTCCACGTTGTGCACTCCGGAGTACAGATCCCCAGATGACGTTGCATGTGAGACTTGAAAGGGTCTGAGAAATTAAATAAATACAAATTTGATAAGTATAGGTATTGGGCTGACAGTAAGAGATGGATAGAACCTTGGAAGCCCACTTATGGCGGGCAGAATGCTGAGTCACTATCGACGATAGGAAGCGCATTCCGGGGAAAAAATGGACTTGGAATGTTCTGTGCAGAACAACCTTGGAAGACCATGTGCTGATAGTCAGACCAGCGTGGAAGATCTAGGATTCAGTCGCATATCGCGGGATCGCCAACACGCGACATTCGATTCGCCCGAAATTTCAGACGATGACGCCCTGTCCCCAAGGTCCCCATCTCCGCTGCGTCCCAAGGGTCCTCACCATGTCGTCCCCCTGATCTCGAACTTTTATTGCGACTCCCACAAGGTACTCTGACTCCTCACTTGCTGCATGCCGATCGCAAATTGTCCGTCTCGGTTACTCCTTTCCGACCAGTTTGAGCGAATGAGCCAGAGCCAATCTGCACGACGACATCAAGCGGGACCGTCTGCAAAACGTACAACTTGGGAACTGGTGTGGCAACGCGGTTTTCGGCTACGTGATTTGTGAAGCGGGATATTGTACCTGAGGGTCATACACTATCCCACTAGTGGTCGCACCCCCTCGGTTCCTCAACTGCATTTCCCCCGTCGTGTCCGTCGTACACCTGGTGACTCTGTTCCTGGAGACTCCATTTTGGTGTCCCGCCCCAAAACCCTACTCTCTCCTGCCTGAAGTGATCCGTGCACCATGGCGTCTCAACCCCCAGGCGGCGAGTTCTGCCTCGAATGCAACTGGGAGGCCTTTCATATAGACGGCAAAGACACCCCGGCCCCCTCTGAGAACCATCAGGATCATTGGACTTGCTCGGGCCACACTCTGCCAGAACCCTTACCCCCCTGTGAAGTTGACGAGGCTTGCTGTGATGTCGACGACTGCGCACTAGACTGTGGGTCAGCATGCGGTGGCTTCTTGGACTGTGACGATTCTACTGTCTGCTCTGCGACCCATTGCGAGGACGATACGTGTGAAGATACTCACTGTGACGAGGATCATTGTGACCCCAACTGTGAAGAGCCCGACTGCGAAAAACCTGACTGCCCGGAGGATCACTGCGACAGTATTGACCCTCTTTGCTTCGACGCTCATTGCTGCGACGGTACTGAGAATCAGGATTGTGGCTTCGACACATTCTTTGGACTGAATACTCCTTTATCGCTAGACAATAGTGTCTTCTCCTCGACGGCCATGGCACCTCACATCCACGGCCATCCGATGAAGGGCATGGACCACACCCTCCCGGGCACCTTCGACCCCAGTCAGCAGCAAAATTTCCTCTCTTCATACCAAGCGCATGCTACACACTGTGAGCAGGATGTACCGAATCACTTCGAATGCCATGACTTCCAAAAGGATTGGCAGGCGATGTTCCCTGCTCCCCCTGCCCCGACGCCGAGCGAAGTGAACCCGGCGGAGGTTTTCCACATGCTCGGAATGTGCTCTGACTTCTCTATATGTCAAGATCAACATGTGCCAGGACAACAGAATAACTTTGATGGCTTCGAGAAACCCAAACTCAACACGCCTGCTTTGAACTGTTACGACCATGGCCACCATCATCATGTCCATAATCACTTCAAGAACCCCAACGATCTCAACCTGCAAGCCACCCGAAAGGGTCCTCATCGCAGTCACAATCGTTGTCGCGCTCACCATCATGCTCACTCTCACCCATACTCTCCTTATTCGCGACACGCCCGCTCAAGTATCAGCTCCCATCTCCACTCGAGTCCCGGAGAGACCCCTCCGCCTCTCGATGGCGGTGCTTCGTCTATCCTCACTACCCCTGATTTTTCCGAAGACAACGAGCTCCATATCTGCAAGTGGGCACCCACTATCAACGGCATCAAAGCAGTCTGTGGTGCTGCTTTCGCCGACTCATGCGGTCTGCAAGAGCACCTCATCGCTGCGCACATGAGCACGGTTGATGGAGCAAAGGGAAACGGCTATTATTGCTGCTGGGAAGGGTGCCATCGTCCAAACGAGCCCTTCTCACAGAAGTCCAAGCTCCAAGGCCACTTCCTCACGCACAGTAATTGTGAGCCCACTTTCCTCCCTGACTAGCTGATCACCTCGGTTAACATCTCATCCTAGACAAAAACTTTTCCTGCACGGTATGCGGCAAGACATTCGCGAGACAAGCGACTTTAGATCGACACGAGCGCAGTCACCGAGGCGATAAGCCTTATACATGTAAACACTGCGGCAAGTCATTTACGGATAGCAGCGAGTTGAGTAAGTCTCTATGAAATCTGCCAACTGAGGAACACCGACTAAACCCGTCAGAAACACACTCGCGCACCCATACTGGCGAGAAGCCGTTCAAGTGCACTTGGCCAGGATGCAACTTCACGACAGGCGATGTAAGTTTCGAGTAAGCTTCTGCTTCGAGTATTTCTTCTAACATTTGAATAGTCTTCGAACATGTCCAGCCACAGACTGAGTATGCTTCCTTATTCCCTCAGAGTCCGTGTTCAATTTACTGACAATATATCTAGCTCACGGAGAGCGAAGACACAAGTGCCTCTTCCCAGGTTGCACCAAAAGCTTCACGCGCCCTGGTAGGTTCTCTTGCTATGATATAAACCCCTTTTAGACAGGTAACTAACACCTTTACCCAGATCAACTCAAACGTCACCAAAGAACAACGCACAAGCACGAATCCTTCTCAACCCTCCCATCACCCAGTTCCGACCACTTCACAATGCCCTCCTTCGCTATCGTCTAATGATCCACCTCTAAAGACCTTACTGTGTACGATTGTCATGTTTACGACCCAACAGAATATGGCGCTTCTTGCGGCCGGGCGTACTACGGATGGCCGGTAGACATTTTGTGTCCGGCGTTATGGAAACTCATGAGTACCCCAAAAAAAGTTGATACCACCCCAGGCCCACCATCGCCGGGACATTATGATCGAGTAATACCAATTATATTAGCAATCTCTTCAATGATTCCTATTCAAATTTCCAATGCCATGACGCTTTATGTGTTGCTAGTACTAGGTAGTAGATTTTGGTCGAGAACATGTCACATCCCAGCACACCAACAACTTGCAAACCTCAACATACAATCCCGAAATGTTTCACAGGAAGACTCAAACCTTGAAGTATCCACGAATGCAAATTTGTATCCCAAAAGCTAGACACACACCCCTCAATCCTCCATCGCCCTCTCCTCCAACGCCTCAACAGCCTGCTTCAACTCCCGAATCCGCTGCCCAACCCGTCTCCGCACCTCATCCTTCACCCCCTGCGGAATCTCCGCAGGATTATAATTCGTCTCAATAATCGCCCCATCCCCATCCGCCTCTCCCCCCTCCCCATTCTCATTCTCCACCTCCCCAGGACGAGCAGTGTACAGCCCATAAACAGAAGAAAGCTGATTCAACGCATCCCTGGCACTCTCCCTATCCGACGCCGCATAAATAGTAGACGTATCCGTACTTTCAGTCGCGATCTCGAACTCGTCTTTAGCAACTTCGTACAATTCCTGAAGTTCTTCGACAAGGAGGTCCGCTTCGGCTTTGCCGCTTGAGCCCTTCAGGTCCGCATAGTTTCTGGTGGTTGGTTTGGGGAATGCGGATATAGAAGGGAATTGAGTTTGGGTTTCGCGGGGACGCTTGGAGCTCAGGTGTAGTGCTCGAGGGAGTTGAGTGAGTGTCCTCGGTCGTGCTTGGCGGAGGCTCAGGCGGAGGTTGGAGGTTGCCCGTCCTGGGCGGATGATTGATAGACCAGACATTGGGGTGTTTGGAATGCTGGTGGTGAGGTTTCTGGAGGGAATTGGGAATTTGGGGACGGGTTTGAAGTGGCCGGTGACAGCTGAGCTGTGGGTGGCCGGCTATCGGAAATGACGTCAGGAGATTCGGGATCACGTGGTGATAAGGATCTATACGATGGGCAGACATCAGCCCAACTTGGAACATCCGTGGGTGTTTGTCAGTCCAGCTTTGTAGCATGTTACTCTTCTTCATCGTTGAAACACTGAATAGCGAGCTCCCTACGTGTATGTCAAACTCTGCGATTCTAAGGTTGGCCGCAGTATTAACTCATCAAGAGGTCCACGGGTCAGTACCTACCTAGTAGGTACTAGATAGGTACAGATATATATTCAATCTCAAAAGCTGGAAGTGACAGTTTGGAACGGCACCTGGGCATCTGAAAACCTCGAAACTCCCCCGGTCAAACCTTTGGAAACCTTGGAACCAAGGAGTATATTCTTCTAACTTGGAAGTACATATTACCTAGGTACTAACCCGGAGGGCTGCAGGGCTGGAAGGATACATTTTTCCAACATTGTCAGTCTACCTAGGTACTTAGGTACCTCTAAAGTGGCTGGAATACAAATAGATCCAAAGCGAATGACTGGTACCTAGTAGGAACAGTGGCTTAACAAGTGCCCTTGGCTTCAAGGTCTGACGCGGGCGATCTTTTTGACTTTCCAAGTTGTCAACGGTCGTGCACTCCTTTAGACCTCGGGAGGATTGGAGCTGTATCTAATCTTATGGGACTTGGAAACGGCTGTATCAATGCAAAGAAATCAGGATTGAAGTCCCAGACTGTGGTGATAGATCTTATGTTTCAGAGCGTTGATTTCACAACCTTGGAAATGCTAAGAGATGCCATTACGGCCTGATATTTCATGATTGCACCGAAGAGGAGCTAGCTGCATTAGCTACCTCTCGAAATAGTAAGAGCGCGATGGCGGTCTCACAAAGCAGACAGGACAATGGGAGAATAGGGCCCTGACCCAAGGCCAGGGGGAGGAAAGTATGGGGCCAAAATAGAAGCTGAACCTTGAAAGCGTGCCTCTGAATTGCTAAACACGCACCGGGTCAGATTATATGCATTGATGGTCATGATGCTGAATCATCCATAGACCGCTTGTTGATTTATCACATTGCGCACCCGGGCAGTTTACCCATTACACTAGGTACATTGTTCAACTAAATCCAAGCTGTGCCGACTGGATCTTAATAGAAAGACTTGTTCCTCGCTTCAGACCTGGCCAACCTCGCAAAATACAGTTAGTCTTGAAAGTTCCCTTAGATACCTGTCTCGAAGAAGTCACCCGTTCACCTCTCTTTCATTCTCCCTTCTCGTTCGAAAACCTTCAATCTTGATAATTCCAACAACCCCCCACCGGGGATCCCCGTTGGGATTTCATCACCCATGGCGGTATTTCCATTCAACCTAAAATTCTCCGCAGTTATTCTCATGGTAGCATCGCTTCTAGTTGGACTCGCCTTCTGCCTCGGACACGACGCGTTTTATCAAAACTTGAACCGAACGCCTGTGCTAGATGGACACCCACACGGCTTTTTGAATTCCTCGTTAAACCTGTCAGACCAGCAAGTCTATGTGGCCCTAGGGACATTTTTTGCGTTCCTAGTGAAGAGCTCTTTGAGCTTTTCAGTTTCAACAGTCTTTGACCAGTCGGCCTGGAGGACTATTAGAGGCCGCAGGAATGGAGTTGGCGCTATTGATGATCTTCTCTCCACTCTCAAAAATGCCTTGACTTTATTCAATATACATTTGTGGAAAAGGTACCCGATGGAAATGGCTCTTGCTGTCATATGTTGGCTTTTACCTGTCGCGTCGATCATATCGCCTGCCACATTGAGCGTAAAGTTAGCCTCGTTCGATCAGCAGACGCTGATGAAAGTGCCCCGCGTTGACTTTACCAGCACAAACTTCGCTGATCTCACTTCGGTCTTTGCGCAAGATTCGGGGTGGATGAGCATTTATCGGAGCCCCACGGCGGAAACCCGAAGAATCATGAAAAGCGTGGCGGCACAGGGCTCAATCTTGCCAATTGATCCCCCAGCTGTGAATTCGTCATGGTCATTGAGCTTCCATGGCCCTGGTCTCCTCTGTGACGATGTGGATGACGCGATTGGTGCTTATATCACAGAAAATGTTGCACAAGTAATGAAGAAATCCGTGAAACCCAAATCTAGCAGCAACATGAGTGATTTGACTAGATATGGATATCTTTCTTGGGCACCCGACTCAGAGAGCTTGAATGGTTCAACTCCCTTCTATCAGATCAATGGCAGTGACACATACAAGTCGCGCCTTTTCCGGGTTCTTGGCCCCGAAATGAGTGATAAAGGGAAGCCAGAGGATACTGTTGTTGAACCGAAGCATCCTCTCGTTCAAAGAGCGCCTTTATCCTTATTCGTGGCTACCTTCCCAGGTGTGCTGGGCTATAGTGAATATGACACAGCTCTGGAAAATATGGACAAAGCCGTGCAAAACTCAACGATTATTCGTTGTTCGCTCCACAATAGCTCATACCAGGCTGTGCTCACCTACATCAATGGAAGACAGACAATTCATGTGAAAGACACAGAGGTCATCAACTCCGTCAGTCTCTTTAGTGGTACTGCCAGCTTCAACGACAGCTCTGGGGCTTCCTCAAACACGTCATTTATGCAAAACCCTCAAATTATTGAAAGTCTGTCCTACCAGTCTCTAATGGAGGCTTTCAGCAGCATCCTGGTGGGAGGGATCAGGAACTATCTCAAGGTTATGACAGATGGAACGAATGAGACCCAAAGTGTGGCATACTGGGAGAAACCACAAACTGGTATCATATCAACAAAATTGATGGAAACGAAGGAGATGCGATCGATTCAGTTCACCACAGGCTCTAATACGGACACTCCCTATACCGAGTACTGGAATGCGAGATCCGTCAGCCCTTCCCACTTGTCGTCCGTCCCACTATCGGAAGCCCTCGAGGAGCTCTTTCAAAATACCACTCTTTCCTTGATGAGTTCCAAGGCATTCCAGTATGTAAATGCCATCGAAACGAAAGCTCGACAGCATGCTAAGCATTCGCAAAAGGCCTAACTACACAGTGAACGATATACCAGAGACGAACGTTACTATAACTTCTGACCAAAACATTTACGTTTATACACGGTCAATTCTCTGGGCTGCCTATGGTGCTGCAATTGGGGCCACTGCACGAAGCATTGCTGCAGGAGTCTTCTTCTATTTCAAGAACGATGGATCATACAGCACGAAATTCTCAACTATATTCAGGGTCACTCAGGGGGCCATCGTGTCTACAGATCTTAGCCCAAAGGATCATTGTGGTCTCGATCCTCTCCCAGATCATATTGCGAACGCGAAGATGACAACTGGATTTCACCAAGACGATCATGTTGAGTCTGTTGATGGCTCGCCTGCGGCTCATTTACGTCATGTCCGTCATGAATCACCGGCTGAAGGATGATTGCTCGAGACTTGATCTGCGCAATAGGGTGGGTTGGGCCCGAGATCCCGGTCGCGATCCCAGCCAAGTCTGGACTCTGGGCCTTGAGCCTAGCGCCCAACCCAGCCCAGAAAGCCCAGAGCCCAGAAAGCCCAGAGCCCAGAAAGCCCAGAGCCCAGAAAGCCCAGAGCCCAGAAAGCCCAGAGCCCAGAAAGCCCAGAGCCCAGAGCCCAAAAAGCCCAGAGCCCAGAGCCCAGAAAGCCCAGAGCCCAGAGCCCAGAGTCCAGAGCCCAGAGTCCAGAGCCCAGAGCCCGGCCCGGCCCGGCCCGGTAATGGGATCTGGATCTGGGCTCTTGGCTGGTGCAGAAATCAACCGGAGATCACGTCGCCTGGAGCAGGCGGAGGAATTATGGCTTACATGTTCTTTATGTGCTCGTCCGAGTTCCCATTCGTTTCAGAGCTGATGTTCTATAGTTGATCTCATCGACAGAGGCCAAAATGGTTCATTTCTATGCTTTGTTTGCACTTTCTGTGCATCCGCTCTCTTCAGTTGGCTTCTTTCCCGTGAAAGCCTCCTCAATCTGCGCGAATGATCGACCCTTCGTCTCATGCATATAAATCAGACTAACAATAACTGTCACAACGCAGCATCCTCCCCACAAAAAGTAGGCGCCGTAGCTGCTCTTTGCAAGCAAGACAGGGGTAGTCAAGGCTACCAAGAAGTTGGATACCCAGTTACTCGAATGGGATAGTGTGGTGGCCGATGCACGCGTCCGCTGTGGCTGGATCTCGGCGCTGTAGACCTTCACCGAAATGCCCCAACTGACAGAATAAAGGGCAGCGTAAATGTAGATGCAAACAATCACAACCCAGCGGCCAGCGCCGGTTGACTTATGCACAGCGTCTCCGGCATACAGGCCACCCATCAAGAACATTAGGATTCCCATTCCAACGCCACCGTAGATGATGCTGCTTCGCCGGCCCCATCCATCAGCGTAAATGAGTCCCGGAATTGTGACTGCAAAAATGACGATTGCCGAAACACCGGATGCTAGGAAACTCGCTTCCGATGAGGCAAGACCAGCCTTTTGGAAGAGCTGGGGTGCATACTGAAAGTAACGAGTTAGTGAGATTCATGAAATCAGCGGAGGCGCTTGGGGCCGAGACTCACGTAAAGGACTCCATCAATACCACTGAGTTGTTGCATTCCCATCAAAAACACAGCAAGAAGTGTTCGCCCGCGAACGTCTTTTTCAAAGATCTCAAGAAGCTTCTTGGTAGTACTTTTCTTCTCATCTGCTGACGGTTCAAAGTCGAGCTCCGTCACTTCAACGTTTGCCTGAACCTTTTCGCGCTCCTCAGGACGCACACCCAGCTTCACCCAAGCCTCTTCAGCCAAGGCGTACTTTCCATGCATTCCAAGCCACTGTGGAGATTCCGGAAGGAAGCAAAGCGACAAGCCACACATCATCATGGAAAGGCTAGCCATAACAACAAACGGCAATCGCCACGAGAGCGATCCCTGAACACTCGACGTTCCATAGCTGACGAAGTATCCCAGCACCAATCCCAGCGTAGTAGCCAGCTGAGGACCAGTCGTCATAGCGCCTCGAGTCCGAGTGGGCGAGATCTCGCAGATCAGCACAACGAGATTTCCGAGGAATAGTCCCTCTCCGAGGCCTTCCACGATGCGACCAACAATGAACATGGATAGAGCAACGGCTCCGGCTTCAATCGCTGCTCCGGCGCCAAAGATGAATACACCAATGGCGATACCTTTGGGTCGACCGAGTCGATCGGCGACGTAGCCTGCAAAAAACGAGGAGAGAGCAGCGGGGATCAAGATACACGATACGATTAGACCGTGGATCGTCGAATTCTCACTGCCTCCGAACGAGGCCTTGAAGTTGGCCATGTCGGTCACAGGACCGATCGTGCCTGTGTCCATTCCGAAGAGAAGGCCGTTGGCCGAGCAAAGAATGCATCCTAGTAAATATTTTGGTGGACTTGGAAAAGTCGAAGGGAGCAATCCCATTCTCTAGGCTGAGTACCGAGTTGTGCCAGGTCGATTAAGAAATGACGATGCTGATATGTCCAACCAGGTCAATAACTGCAGTTCAAGGTCTCCTTCGACGAAAGAGTATTGTGTCGAAACAGCGAAGAAATATGTTGGAGTGTCAGTGAAAATTCTTAGTCCAGCCCTGGAGGGACTTTGATTCTTCCCTTAGCTCAATGGATAATTGGTAGATCTATCAGCTACAGCCCCACGGATATTCGTTTCTAGATTCTGCGCGTATGACTACAAAATGGTGGACTTGGCGACATGATAGCCCAATGAGGCAATTTTTACCACTACGTCCGATCCCTGCAGTCGGCCCGTGTCGCATGCCGTGAGCATGTCAGTGCCATCTGATAGCTGTCCGATGCTTTGGCCTCTTGCATCTGAAAGTGCTGGCATGCGGTTATCGGGCAGAGTTTTCGGCTTTGCTTTGGAGCTTCACGGGGAAAGTGAGCCGAGACCCACTATCCGACTTCTAGAATCGGCAATTAGGCAAATGTCGGGCAAATTTACCTTGTAGAAATCCGTAGTGAGCACAGACTTCAAAGTTACCTAGGTATGTACTATAGTGAATCTAAGAAAAGTGCCCAGTGCGTCTCTAGGGCTTAGGGTACATAAGCTTCAAAATCTCGGAGCTTATATTCATCGATATCGGTACATATACAGAAAGCGGTTCGACAGGTCTTGGTCAAATTCATAAAGATATCCTTCAAAATTCGTGCAAAGTAAATCAACCGAGCAAGATAAGGATGATGCACCTGGAAATCTGAGCATTCTAATATTGAAAAGCATCGGAAAATATCCCGAGACTTCTTAGGTTCCCCTTGGCTTCGCATATGATCCTAGACTTGCATTCAAATAGAAGAAATTTTCTGAATTCGATTCGATTCGACTGGTAACCTTGCGCTCACCGAATCTGCATACTGTATGTAAATCATGGCCCTGGAGCCCTGGAAGATCCCCAAAATGGACATCGAGCCGAGGTGGAGCCTGCGGATAAAGTCCAGCGTGGGGGTGGAGACAGGCACCTTTTCCTCCACTCAGCACCATCATCGGCGACTTGTGACTCGGAATCCAGGGTGATTCGGTGGCCGATTCACTATCAACGCATCTGAGTTTTGCTATCTATCTCTTGAGAATTGACCGAGCAATCCTGCACATCACGATTGGGCAGTCTCGGTAGCGATGTGCTCAGATGGTTGCTTTTTCAACATCCTCTATCTCCTGAATCACATGAGAGTCAAGACCGGGGGCCCTCTCCTTCTTCTCCTGTGTATTTCCAACTTCAGTCAAATGCGCATCGGCTTCGTTTGAGTCTTGCGTAAACTCGAATTGCCGCCATTCACAGTTTCGCCAGCCAGTGCCTGCCATAAGTGGTTAGGTCGAAGTAGTTCACTTCCGAGTATCTCAACTTACTATGGGCTTTGTCGTAGGTGGTCCAGTCTTCCATCAAATAATGGAGGAAGCCGCCATGTGTCACCAGAGCAATATGTTCTTCGGGGCGATTCCAAAGCCAGGATCGCAATTCGGCGGCGCGCCTGCGAACAGCTGGTAGTGTGGGAGCATATATGCCTTTCTGCATGGGTCTTAGTTCAGTGGTCTCGATACCTCAAGGTGCGATTGTGCAAAATCCTACCTTTGAATTCCACGCTGCATCAACAAGTGTGGTATCGAGGTTTGCTTGATCGAATCCCGGAGCCGCCTCTGAGATGAGTCCAGGGGCGCTTGATTTCACATAGGCCTCCTCCCATCCAAAGTCACATTGGAAACCACTGATTTCTTGTGCATTGGGCACCAGCACAAATGGTATTTGGCGTTGCTGCAACTCTGGGCCGAATGTCCATGCTGCAGTTTGAATCGTGCGCTGGAGAGGCGATGCGACTATGGCAGAGATGTCCTTTGCAAATGGAAACTCGTCTCTGAGTTGAAGACATTGCTCTTTTCCCTTTTCGGTCAGCAGGGGATCGCGAAGATGGTGGTTGTTCTGTGAGGTCTGTGAGCTACTTCGTAGGTACCAATACTAGGCGCTGGGTGAACTATACGTTGATGTTGTGTTCGCCTTGACCATGGCGGATCAAATACAGCTTTGGTGGCATTTCAGCGAAGTGGTGTCAAGATTGAAAAGAAGTCCACAACCAAGAAGCGTGCAAGTCGCGACAAACTTAACTCTGCTTGAGATATCCATCTGTTATTTTCCAAAAGTCACCTTGTGATTATAGTAATGCAGCCGAGGGCAAAGGTTCCGAGGTCAAAGTACAACGTCGAATGCTTGCTGTATCGGGACGACCCAAAGAGGAAGTCGAACCGAGAGTGCCCACACGGACGTCACCTGCATTTACCCGGGGCCGAGACAACCATTCACCCGATTGTAGAATTGTTCCCGAGCAACTCTCCTTCACGAAATGCGAAATGCGCTCATACACCGGGTGGTAAGTATGTAGTATGATCGACAGGGTCATCGCTGATATGATGTAGTATGACCTGTAGAGGTCGCAAGTTGAAGTGCGACGAAGCAAAGCCAATCTGCGGCCCTTGCGTCAAAGCAGATCGGGAATGCCGATTCGAAGAGCGAAGTATATTTCGTAATCACAATGTTGCCTCGCCGATTCGAGAGCCAAGACGAAGGTGTCGCGGTCCGAAACGAAAGAGTTGGGACACTGCGGAAGAGCCTGAAGACCAGACGTGGGTGGAGGTACCTAGCGAGCGTGAGTGTTGTATCCTGAATGGCGTCTGAAACCTGCTAAATGCATCATAGTCACATTCATTCAAGTTGAAGACCCCTACTCTCCAGAGGGTGAGAGCGCGTTGCAGAGTAACAATTTTGAGAACGGAGGAAGCAACGATGTTCCGGCAGGGGAAGGTGAAGAGGCTCAAGCTGGAGACAGCTCAACACCCAGGTCAAATCATGATTCGGGAATCAGACTACCACAATCCAGCTCTATCTTACACCAACAAATAGAGCTAGACCCGAATCTGGCTTCCTGTGGTGACCAACCCCATGAATATCCGGATCGCTCTCTGTTTAGCTCTCCCGGCTGGAGGACACCAGCGACCAATTTTACAGCTGAAACGCCAGCAAGTATTGGGGTTTCGAGTTCAACACCCAAGACCTCTTCTAGGCACGCGGACTCCAAAGTCAGTGTGTCTCACATGCTGCGGCACTTCAAAGAAGGCCCCGGTCAATGGTGAGCACCCATCAGAAAGGCCATCACTATCACTAACACGCTACAGGATGGACCTTTTTGATACAACCGCCTATTTTTCATCAAAAGTCCCAGTGCTCGCCGCAACAAGACCTTTGCTCAAGTCTGCAGTCTGCGCTCTTTCCGCGAAACATCTACAACACGTCCACCATGTCTCGACCCCAGAAAATCAGAAAGGGTTCTTGCTCCCATTCGCGGACGAAGAGACGTGGAAATACCAGTCTGCAAAGAACTACGATCAAGCACTGGGGTTTCTCAAAACGGCCATCAACCTTGGAGCATACAATGACAGCCCCTCCGATAAGGAAGAGATGCTCGCTGCAGTGGCAATACTATGCCTTTATGAACTAATGGACGCTCCAGGCACAGCATGGAAGGCCCATCTCAGCGCGCTACCTTTATTCAATGACACATCAGCCGCAATGCCGGCCCAGTCCTCGGTAATAATTCCAAAAACTGCGATCAAGGGTCCTATTTTCTGGAGTCTAGCGAGACAGGATCTACTTTGCGCTTGTAAGTTCGGCAGTCTTCATCTCCAGCTAACTAGTTGTTGACCGATACAGTTATCAGCGAAACATACACCCGCTTGGACCTGAAAGACGTACGACTCTGGCAGAATGTTGGGCTGGTTACGGATGAGCATGGAAACCTATTCCCCTCACCCGCGGCGAGTCCTTTCGATACGCAGAGCACTCTTGGAATTGAAGAAGACATGAAAAGCAACGAGCTCACCTGGCTTCTCGGCAAGATCGCCAACCATCTCACCGCGGGAGACTCCATCATTCCGGAAGATTTCATACTCCCCCGCGAAGAACGCCCATACATCGGACTGACGCAGGAGCTCCTCCATGACCGATGGGAGATCCTCATGTCCGAGCTTGATAAATGGTATGACTGTCTGCCATCGACCTTCACGGAAGCTGCCCGCACACTGGGCCAAGGGAGCTGTGAGTCCGGGCACAAGCTTGCGCTGGAGACTTTTGAGCAAATTTGGTACGATTTGCCACTATGTGCCGCGACAGTGCAAAGCTATCACCAAGCCAGGATATTGTTGTTGGTCAATCAACCTCAGCAGTCGACAGCCATTCGATCAACGGTTTCTGCGCGATTGAGGGCATACCGACACGCGTTGAAGGAGGCGCTTTATCATGCTAGGGAAATTTGTGGGATCAATCTTGCTAATCCGACGGATTCTGTGAGGATCAATTCTGTGCAGGCTCTCTTTGTTGCTGGGCAGGTTTTTCAAGGACGGCGGGAGCAAGATGCTGTTCTTGAGATTCTTGCTGGTATTGAAAGGGACCTGGGATGGACGACACAGTACCATGTTGCAAAATTGATTGATGAATGGGGACGGCACGATGAAATGTCAATTGAATGATAAGGGTGAATACTGCTTAAGGGGGATTCTCTTTGACGCGATTGACAGTTATGATTTATTATTATACCCTATGCCAATAGATAGCCATCTTTTTTCCATTGGCCCATGGGAAAATTTCCTTTGTTAACTTCCTTAAAAAAAAAAAAAAAAAAAAAAAAAAACACCGTGCGTGTGCCCACCGCAGGGAACGATCCCTGAGCCTCGGTGTCGCCAGGACAGTAAAGGCAAAACTAAAAAGGGAACGGTGGCGTCTCAGGATCAGTAGGTCCTGAGACGCCGCATTCCTCCAGGGCCGCCTCAAACCGATACATATAAGAGCTAACTTAAGTCTGGGAAGGCATGCGTGGAAATAAAAAAGAAAGCGTGGAAAGTGCTCATCGTAGGGGAAGACCCCCAGACCTCGGTGTCGCCAGGTTAGGAGCCAATTGAGTCAAAGGGACTTCCGGCTTTGTTTGGTCTAAATGAAACCTCCCAAGTGGGCGTGCTATTCTGGGGGCGTTTCTTTGTACAATGCAGAGATACTAGGATGACTTTTGTTCTCAAACGACCCCAACAAAGGCTTGATCAACAAAGGCCCATTGTGAGCTCAGGATTGATTCCGAAAGACTCGGACAGCTTAAATAGACCATGACCTCCCAGGCAAGATTGATCATCCAAACGACCTAACAGACAAGGATACCAAACAAGGAACAACAAGATTTTAACAAAGTCAATAGCATCCAACTTATACAAAATGTCTGTCCTCGAAAACGTTAACAAAATGATCTCGAAGGCACCTTCGGTCGCCGACATCATCGCCAAGATCACCAAAGGCAGCCGCCGAAAGGCGCTAGTGAGTGACATCTCGGTTGATGTGCAACAGGCATTCCGGGATGTCTATCACTCAGGCAGGTGGGAAGAGATTTACAAGGGCGAGTGTCTATCTGCCAAGTCTCTACTGGAACGCCAAGTTGACATTCTTCGCAATGACCCGAACAAGCAGGGCCAAGCACGCTTCCGAGGTGTTATCAAACAGCTCCGCAAGCTCTCCAACACAATGCCCTTCATCAATGGGCTGGCGGATGGAATGGCTGGTCATGAACCAGACTGTAAGACGATTCGCAAAGCCCCTCGCGGGTGGTTCTTTGCGGATGGTGCAGAGCCACTTGTCGATGAAGCTTGCATCGTCGTGGAATGCCAATTGGATACGATGGCGTTCAATCTCATCAATTATGGTATTTCGTCGCATTTGACTGTTGCGGATTCAATTGAGCAAGTGATCAAGGAACTTCAGCAAGATTTCCTTCAAAATGAGGATGTCTATGACATCTCTCGTACTTGAACTCGTGCGGAATGGGAGTCTCCCTTTCGACACTCATCGCGAGAGACTGAGATTATACCCAGGTATATGTGCTGGTTTTACCTAGGCATGGAAGAGAGTATAGTTCCAAGGTTTGGATTCAGGACAGAGAAATTCATAAGTTCGATTGCAATTTCCCTTGTAAAATCGATCGTAAAGCTGTTCAACATTTCATATTCATTGAGTAAATCAAAATCATTAATGAGCGTATTCAGTTCGTGTCTCATGCAAATCATGCCTTTCCTCCGAACAAAAACCAATCAAACTTCAAAATCGCGAAATATCTCATGCAGCCTGTGATAAATGCTAGGCTCAGAAATTATCTACTCCTGCTGACCAGCGTTGGCCTTGATGGCCTTGTCCTGGTTCCGGTCCTGGGGGTTGGCCGGGTAGTTCTGGTAAGAGCCGTAGTTCTTGTAGTTTCCGTAGCTCTGGTACTTGTTGTTCTGGGAGCTAGGAGTGACCTGAGGGTTGTTCACATTGTTCTTGTTGACAGTGCTGGGGTTGGGCGCGATTCCGTGGTTGCGATTATAGTCGTTCTGGCCCTGGTTCTGGTTCTGGTTGGCCTGGTCGCTGCCAGCGTCGCGCCAGGTGCGGCGCTGCATGGTCTTGGTGGCCACATCGCGCTTTTGGTTTGCGTGCCATTGGCCATTGGCGTCGGTCCAGCCGTTCTTGTCTCCGTTGTTGTTAGGGTGCCATTGTCCGTTGGCATCGGTCCAGCCATTCTGGTTCTGGTTGTTGGGGTGCCATTGGCCGTTGGCGTCGGTCCAGCCGTTTTGATTCTTTTGAGCATCGGTGGATACCTCGCGCTTCTGGTTTGCGTGCCATTGGCCATTGGCATCAGTCCAGCCGTTTTGGTTGTTCGGGTGCCACTGTCCATTTGCGTCGGTCCATCCATTCTTATCGCCGTTGTTGTTGGGGTGCCATTGTCCCTTGGCATCAGTCCAGCCGTTCTGGTTCTCGTTGTTCGGGTGCCATTGGCCGTTGGCATCGGTCCAACCGTTCTGGTTCTTCTGGATGTCCTTGGCTACTTCACGCTTCTGGTTGGCGTGCCATTGACCATTGGCATCAGTCCAACCATTTTGGTTGTTGGGGTGCCATTGACCGTTGGCATCAGTCCAGCCATTCTGGTTCTGGTTGTTAGGGTGCCATTGGCCGTTGGCATCAGTCCAGCCATTTTGGCCGTTCTGGGCATCAGCAGCCAGCTCGCGCTTTTGGTTGGCATGCCATTGGCCATTGGCATCAGTCCAGCCATTCTGGTTGTTGGCGTGCCATTGACCATTCGCGTCAGTCCAGCCATTCTGGTTCTGGTTGTTAGGGTGCCACTGGCCGTTGGCATCAGTCCAGCCATTTTGGCTGTTCTGGTCATTGGGCCAGTCACGGACCTGGGCCACACCGGATGGACGGGCCCATTGACCGTTCTGGTTCTGACGCCCGTTCTGGTTGTTGTCGCGCCATTGGCCGTTCCGGTCCACATAGCCATTCTGGTTGATCTGGCCATTCTGGCTGTAGCGGTTGTCGCCGTTGTTTGGAATGAACTGGCCGTTCTGCCAGTGACCCTTGCGGTATTGGCCGCTGGGGTCCCACTGTCCGGTCTGGTCATTGGGGTCGACTGGGAGGGCGAGGGCGGCCAGAGGGGAGACAGCCAGGAGCAGAAGGCCGTTGATCACGGTGTAGCGCATCTTGAAAGAAGCAAAAGTGAAAGAAATCGAAGTTCGGGTTGTCTCTTGGTCCTCGGAGGTTTCTGTTGGACTTGGAGGCTTTTGTTTTTCTGTTAAAAGATATCGACCTAAGACCGGCTCATCAAGCAGTATTTATATCTTAGCAGACGAGCTTCGAGCTCATGAATTACGTACCTTAAACTTACTTGTCGCTAGCTCTGGAGATCATGAAAGACATGCTTTGGCATCACTTCGCGTGATTTTGCGGTGTGTTGATACTAGGCAATGATGCCAAATCGCCAATTCTGCAAGGGACAATGGCAAACGTGTGGTCGAGAACCACCTTGCCTTGCGGGATAGGCGATCTGACGCGTGGTGATCATAAATTCCCTCGACTGTATGATTCAATTGATCGTAGTCACAGAAGCTCGGCGCTCAGTGGAGACTGTGGAATAATTGCATGATGAACCTCGCATGAAGGTGCAGAAAATGTGTAGATCACGACTTGAAGGGGCTTAAGCGCATTCCGCGGAGATTACCCGGGCTCGTAATATCGTGGTTGGCACCAGCAAAGACACGTTGATGCCATTCTCTCGGATGTCTTTGATTCGCATGTTGTGACATCCCTTGGGGAGATCTCGCGTTGTCTGTGCACTCCGCTCTGGAGCTCATGGTCTGGCGAAACGCGTGAGACATGCAGTACACACATCTTTGTGATTACGTGTGAAGCTCAATTTGCGTTTGCGATTTCATAATTGATGATGGGCATCTTCAGGCTTGGAGTTGCGGTCAGAAGCTTGGAAGGGTGGCGAGGTATTTTGCTGCAGGGAGCTTGAGCCGAGAGCGTGTTTTCGACAACTGGGATTTCCCTCTCTTCCAATCTTTTCAAAGCTCCCTGAATATTTCACTCACTATGTTCTGTGACAAAAATTCTGCCCTGGAGTCCCCGAATGAATCCGGGGAGCGCCTTCTTGCTGAGGAGGAGGGCGCGCTGTGGACTAGGAACGAAGCATCCTCCACATTGCGTTACAATGGATTTGCAGCCGGTCTTCTGCAAACAACCGCACTCTTACTGTTCTTTCTGATCGGTGCGTTGTTCGGTTTTCAATGGCGGGGAGACATGGATTCACTTTGTGGCGCACACACTTCCCAGTACTGTAAGTTGATCTACCCCGATGCCATTCCAACCACTCACTGTTAGCCTAGCAACATTCTCTAGAGAGATTGGGACCAAATACAATGTCAAAGCATTCAACGGCTCGCTCTTGAAGGAAAACACATTCCGACTAAACGCAGGCCCAGAGGTTGACGCGGCGTGGGAGTCATTGGGAATCAATTGTCAGTGATCAACTCGTTCAATATAGCACGATCTCTGCTCACCACGTATTTTCCAATAGACCGAAGTGTCCGAATACCATCTGAAGATGCTGAAAGGAGTGGACTTGCTGCCGACCAGGTGAAAATCAGCACAAAATATGGAGGAGGATTTCCAGCAAACGTAGAAGGTTTGCACCATCTCCACTGTCTGGTACGAGTATTCCCAATGCCTTTCATTTGCACCGTTCACTAATATCAAAAAGAACCTGCTTCGACAGTCCCTCTTCTACAATTATGACTACTATCATGCGAAGGGCGAAGGCTCATTCGTCAATGATGACTACATTGTTCGCCACCATGTCTGTACGTTTGAAACCCCTTGAGTATTGCTTTACTATCAAATTTACTAATCATGCTCGCATCAAAGCTCACTGCCTTGATATAATTCGCCAACAGCTCATGTGTACCGTAGATACTGGAGTTCTGGGTCAAATATGGATCTATCCTGATAGCCCAGAGCCATATGTTGACTTCAACACCCGACACCGTTGCAAAAACTTCGAGGATGTTCGTGGGTGGGCAGAGAAAAACCAACTTCCTCTAGACCCTCCGTCAGATTTCCTCCAGCCGCCTGTGGAGGGGGATCGAATTTACAACGAAATGCCATAAATAGACCTTGGAACCTTGGAAGTACCTAGTACCTAGTATGACCCCAAATCAAGTTGTGAGGATTTAGTATATATCTATCAATATTTCATGTTACGGATAAATTTGCTTTAAACTTGGAACGTAATCTGGTCTTTGATCCTGAAGTGGAAAAATAGGTAACGTTTTCTGATTGTATATTTTGCGCTTGCAGTGGAAAATATCATGGATGAAGCGAGCACTACCGAGGGGCACCGTAATACCTAGGTATGGATGCAACTGGAAATCTAGACAGCGGTGAACACCTTGAGCTATTTGATCACATCCCCAAATGCACTGTGAGTAATACCAAGAGGTATCGAGCAGACGCAGATGTTCCAAGCTTGGAAGGTGAGAGCCTTTGAAACCATCGCCGCGGCGAATGTACTCTAAGATCCCAACTTTGGAATCCCTGCTCTTGCCAAGTCAAATAAAGCTAGGGGCATTGGGCTAGACCATATATTCGACTCAAACCTTGGCAGTGGTCGAATCGGTAACGGTATACATATGTGCTATGCCCAGGTGGGGGCCGGAATGTGATGCTTCTCTCTCAGAATCAGACTCGGGATACCTGGAAGAATCCGGGCATGTATTGTCTTCTTGGGTAAACTAACGCCCGCATTTCGAGGCCAATATGGGTATGCATACACATAAATCTTGGTATATTGGATTTGAATAATCAAGTTCCTATATAGTAATGCCCTCTTCGTTCATGGAAATGGGATTGACCCCCCTGGCTAACCTCATCAAACCGGCGACTTATTCGCTCGTAGTTCTGGCCATACCTTCCAAGTTCGCGGAGCCGTATAGACACCCAGTCTTGGTAAATACGGTCTGAAGTCGCAATTCCCGCGATGAACAAAGGCCATACGATTCGTACTAGAAGACGTGGCCGGCTTCGGTGCATTTTCAAACTGAGCTCAAGGACCAGAGATACTGCTGTTGTTAGTGGGAGAATGTTTCTTTCGTTGTTTTCCAGTCCTGATTGATTTTTAACCAGATCATCGAAGCACAGGTGGAAATAGACTATGGTGCCGTAGAATGTGATGGCGGACCAAAAGATTGTTTCCATCACGCGACGATCGCCAGCGACATCGCAGGTAGGAGATCTTTTGGCCGATATGAGGACGGTATCATATTCCTATAGCAATTGGTTAACACTTTCAGGAAACCCTCACTGTGACAGACTTACCATGGCCAAGGTATTTATCTCCTTCACAATCTTCTGATAAGGAGAACCTTCCCCAAAGCTTGTATCTGGTCCCGCACTGTGTCTGAACATTTCAGTAATTTTGAACTGAACCACATGGCTGCGGTGATAAAGTGTGAGGCCTGGTAAATTTTCCAAATCGTCAAGTTGAGACGAAATAGGATATCCATCGCCCCAAAAGCGCGAAGGAGACTGTCTACTCAGTCTATATAGCTCAGTCAGGCTTAGAGCAGTGTCCCCCGTCTCGGATTTCAAGAAAAACCGAAAGATGTCGGTGTCCAGCCGAGCTGTTCCTGACCCAAAGAAAAGCGCAGCAGGAGTAAAGAAGTACAGCGTCCAAAGAAGGTAAAGCGGCACACATGTACCGCCCAATCCGTTGGTGGGTCCTGAGGGCGGAGCAATCGGAGCGGAGTCCTCATTGCTTGCATATTCACCGAGTGTCGTGGCGTCAGAGTGGGTCTCAGTCTGCTGCAAGGGGATTGGGGCGTCAAGGATGGCAGTCTGGGGTGTGTGGCCTTGGAGCAAAGGGACAATGTGGTTGTGGAGAAGGGTCTCAATTCCCCGAATATGAATATTGATGGCAGATGCACCACCTCCAAAGCGGTTCTCGTAGTCTATCATCAACCAGAGGGTGATGAAGATGGCCTCAATCTGTTGGGGAGATTTTACCTCCTGCTTGAGGGCCTCTCGGAGACTCGACAACGCTCGGCCGTAATGCACTCTGCCATCCATATCTGATTGATCAATGGCCGGCAGGGAATCAAGGGCAGTAGCTTCCGCATCATAAAGTTTTGCCCGGTAGATCTCCCTCGCAGTGCTGGCCAGTATCATGCTCATGACCATAGGCTCTTTGGGGGCTATTTTGTGGTATGTATACGAAACGGTTGACCATGGCCAATGCTTTCCCAATGCTACGACCAAGATCGAATCTTGGAGATAGCTCAAACATTCACGATCAAACCCGGACAGTGACAGGGAATTGGCGGCCTGGATGCTCCGGCCCTGCACACACGGTGACCTTTGAAGCGAAGGTGATTTCCGCGAGTATGACGTCATTCGCAGATGAGATGTCTTCCTTGCAGGAACAGGACTATTTGCGGTGCTGTCGCCATCCCTTAGGGAGTCTTTGACAGGGTTGCTCGTAGAGGTACGCGTCGACCTCCGCGGGATGGGGCCGCCTTTCCACTCGCACAGGATTTGAGCTGCAAAACACCGCCTACATTGTGGCTCCTGGTGCGCTTGACTTTCCAACTTTTCCTCGTCACATTTCACCTTTCGAATGCGGCAGGTTCGGCAACCTTGACGAGCTGTTAGCCCCCGTTGATGCAAGGGAGAGGGCCTGTGGATCCTTGCCTGTCCTGGAACGGGTCTTCCCCGGTTTATGCATTGCTGGTCATCTGGCCTCAAGCGATCGGGCTGTTTCAAGGTCGCATTCTCGGCTCGCACGCGAGATCTGGAGACGCTTAAGAGTTCCAGAGTGGAATCTCACCAGATGTGAGGGGAAAGCGGAGGGGAAATGTTGGAGGTTTGTAGTGCAGCCGACCTGAGGCTGCCGATTGGCTGCGTCGGCTACTGGAGGCGCTGCCGAGAGGTTATCGGGCCGGGATGTGATTGGCCCGTTTTATCGTCACGACTTCGCAGATAGGAAAGTGTTGAGAGTGACAGTCCACGGGCTATTTAAGGAAAAACAAACACCAAGCGAATCGAAAAACCTCACCATCAGCCACATCCTCAACCATGCAATTTTCCGAATCCCAAAGCCGCTTCCTGGATAGCGTCCAAGGCGCTCTCCGTCGCTATGATTCACAGCTGAAAGATATCAATCAGAAGGTCCGCCGTACATTTCAACGGATCAAACACAAGACAGAGTGCTAATTCTACATTAGATCTGGTCAAATCCCGAACTTGCATACGCAGAGTTCGATGCACATGATCATATCTGTGAGCTCTTCGACAATCTCAAAGCGGAAGGATATTCCGTCACCCGCAAAGCATATGATCTGGAGACTGCCCTTGTTGTCGAATATAAGCAAGGTGATGGCGGTCGAGTTGTGACCTTCAACGCTGAATATGATGCTCTTCCAGGGATTGGACATGCATGCGGTCACAACCTCATCGCAACTAGCTCGATTGCAGCCTTCATTGCAGCATGCGAGGCTATGAAAGCCCAATCCAAACAATCCTCAGGCAATGGATTCACTCTTCGTCTCATGGGAACTCCCGCAGAAGAGTCCGGAGGTGGGAAAGTGCGTCTCCTGAATGAAGGAGCTTATAAGGATGTGGACGCCTGCCTCATGGTTCACCCTATTCCGATGGTGCCCGGGAACCCTGACCTGATGGGCATGGCCTCCGTGGTAGAAGGTGGATTCCTCGCCAATAACAAAGTCAAAGTGACTTTCACTGGTAAGCCGGCACATGCTGCTGCCGCTCCTTGGGAAGGCATCAATGCATTGGACGCTGTGGTTTCGGCATATGTCAATATTTCAATGCTGCGCCAGCAGATACTTCCCACGCAGAAGATCCATGGAGTCATTGCTAATGGCGGTGATCGGCCGAATATCATTCCGATGTCCGCGACTGTGGACTATTATATTCGTTCTCCGACCGTCAAGTCACTTAAACCCCTGACTGAAAGAGTGGTGAAATGTTTTGAGGCGGCTGCAACTGCAACTGGCTGCAAGGTTGACTTTGAGTGGTATGTGGCAACAATACTTGAAAAGAATTCAATGTCCGACTAACGAGATGTATACAGGGGTCCTTCATACGACGACCTCAAATCCAACATACCGATTTGTGAAAGCTATGTCTCTGTGATGCGTGCACTGGGCCATCATACATTGCTTGATAACTCGACACAGAAGAGCACTTTGGCCGGGGCTTCTACAGACATGGGTATGTAACATTGAGTGTTTTAATTTTGCCGAACCGTCGCTAAATCAAAATGCAGGCAATGTCTCCTATGCAGTTCCTGGCTTCCATGGAATTTTCACCATTCCCACTGATGGTGTCAACCACACGCCCCAGTTTACTAAGGGCGCTGGCTCCGAGGAGGGATACAAGAGAGCCCTTGCATGCGCAGCGGGAATGGCCGTCGTGGCCTGTCAGATACTCGTGGACGATGAATTTGCTGCGGATGTGAAGAGGAACTTTGATGAAAACTGATCACGATTTGAATGATTATCTGGGTGTATATAGCACTCGTGGACAAATAACATAGTCAAGATAACACCCTTGCAAAACCTACTAGATACCTAGGTAGGAAGTACCCGTAGAATGCTTTTGGATAGATAATATGTAAGACCGTAGAAAGTGCACCAGGGCTGTCATTGGCTTCCCTCGCTTGTTATCTGTGGTTATGACTTCAAATTCCGCGTCCTAACGAGATATTGTTTATCGCCTGATGAACTTCAAGGATTAGGTTGGTCTCTGTGAAGTCTAGATTTGCCAAGATGTGACTACTTGCCGAAACAGCGAATAAGCAAATGAGAAGAAACTCTCGGCGCTCTGTTATCTGGGCTTGTGAATTTGCGGGGAAAATCTAGGTTGTTTACTTTCTTCAGTAATAGATGCTAGAGGGAGGAGTTTCAGCATAAATAGATACGTCTTTTGCCGTAGATAATTCTTGCACCTTGAGATAAATTCCTCTTTTGCTCACATTGCACTCATTTCTTGTTGTTGGTATCTTGTCACCTCGTCTCCACTATGTCTAGTTTTTCTATGAAAGAAGAGAAAAATGGTGACGACAACCTCGACCAGCAGGCAGTTGAAAATGGAACGCTTGAGTCGTCACTCGCATTCTCTACCGCCGCAGAAAAAAGACTTGTCTGGAAGATCGACTTGATGTGAGTTGCTCTATGAAAAAGAATGCTCAAGTCGTCTCCCTCCCGATTTCCTAACTGGCATCCAGGGTGCTTCCGATCATGCTCTTTGCGTACATGATGGCCTTCCTGGATAAGCAAACACTCAACTATGCAGCTCTCATGGGAATCCGAGAAGATCTTCACCTTGTCGGCTCTGAATACAACTGGTCGTCGAGCATATTTTACTTCGGCTACTTGATATTCTCGTACCTCTACCCCCTTTTTGTTCACTATTGACTATAACTAACACTCTCAGCTATCCGGCATCGCTGCTAATGGTCAAATTCCCACTTGGAAAATATCTTTCAACAGTCTTGTGAGTTACACATTTTCGATGCAAACTCCTACTCTTCTGACACAATACAGCATTTTATGGTCATTAATTCTAGCTTGCCATGCCGCTACTACAAACTTTGCAGGCTTAATGGTGGCTCGGTTCTTCCTTGGATGTGCCGAAGCAAGTCTCTCGCCGGGTTTCACATTGATCACCTCTCTCTGGTATCGAACATCCGAGCAGCCCCTCCGACATGGAATTTGGTTTTGCGGAAATTCTTTATCGTTGATTTTGGGGAACTTGATCGCGGTTGGTATTCTTCAAATTGATGACCGTCTTAAGGCGTGGCAGGTGAGAGCTATATATTTTTCAAAAACGCATGTCCACAATCTAAAACTCTGACGCTGCTGGCTAGTGGCTTTTCATTATTTTTGGAATCATTACATTCCTGTGGGGCATCGTGATGCTGTTCAGACTTCCCGACTCACCAGCGACCGCGAGCTTCCTCACCGATGAGGAGAAGCTCATTGCAACTGAGCGACTGAAGGCTAACCAAACTGGCTTCAAGAACTCTAACATCGACAAATCTCAGATCATGGAAGCATTTGTCGATATCAAAACTTGGTTGCTGGCGGTGTTGATTTTGGCAGCCAATATTCCAAATGGTGGTTTCACAACGGTTTGTCAAGCCTGTATCAATTTTGCACATCAGGTCGACTCACATTGATATATTGCAGTTCAATGGCTTGGTTCTACAAGGATTCGGCTTTTCGACCTTCCATACCCTGTTGCTTGGTATCCCAGGTGGTGCGATTGTCTTTATATTTGTGCTTTCATCGTGAGTCTCATATCCCGTGGAGAAGCATCAATATGCCTAACAGAGAACTAGTGGAGTCATCTCATCAAAGATTGCAAATACCAGGTGTCTGACTATGATAGCCTGCAACGTGATAAGGTCTATTCCAATTCGATGCTAGCTCAACAGTCAGAGAAAAAAAAGCTGACATCCCTCTAGTATCGTCGGAAGCTCTCTTATATACGCGACTGGCTCGGTGGGTTCTCGATACGCAGGCTTGCTCTTGATGGGAATCTATTCCGCGGCAATGCCTATCTCAATGGCGATGATCAGTTCCAATATTGGAGGCTTTACAAAGAAGGCTACGGTCAGTGCAGTGTTCTTCATAATGTATTGCGTGGGGAACATTGTGGGCCCTCAGCTCTTCTTTGAAAGAGAGGCGCCCAAGTATCAGGTACGTGGGCAGGAATTCTGTCATACTATTTCGTTCTGTCATTAATCCACCTGGGTGATAACAGAGCGGTTTCCTCGCGATAATCATTTGCTTGGTCGTATGTGTCCTCGACGGGTTTGGACTTCTGTTCTTCTTGCGTTGGACAAATGCGAGACGCGAAAGAACGCGCGTGGCAGGCACAGTGTCCCAGGACCAAGAAAAGGAGGATCAAATCGGCGAACCCATCCTTTTGGATACCACTGATCTGAAGAACAAAGAATTCCGATATGTATACTAGCGATGTTTGCGCTGGGCATTGCATTATCTCTGAGCCGAAAGTCCGAAATGACCGTGATGAACATATTTTGACATGGCCCCTCAAGATGTAGTTTCCAACACAGGCCCAGTATAGAAATGTCTAGCACGTAGCAAATAATAAGCAATGGCCAGGATGATAGTACCGAATGTCCCGACAACGCTGAAATTCATCGTTGTGACGGTCGGCGCGATGTGCGGAAGCCAGAAGCTGAAGAATATGACGATGATCATGTACACCACGGCATATGCATTGATGACTGTACCAATAAACCCTGGAATGTGGAATGGTCCCCAGACCAATTTAGCACCCGGAACGTTGATCGCACCGTCGCTGTCATTGTAGGTGGATATTTGTCCCTTGAAGCGGCGATAGAGAAGCAAAGAGGCGACCATCAGATAGGAAATATATATGGCCGACACTGCAATTGATAAAATGTCCTGGAGAGCGACTTCTGATCCGATGTTGATGAGGCAAAGTAGCCAGGCCACGGTCGTTATAAGAAGGATGGAATAGATGGGTATGCGGTTAGAAGGCAGCACCTGTTCAAAACGTGAGGATCCTGAAAGTTTGTTGAGTGGATGTTTTGACTTACTTTAGACCACACTCGCCAGCCAGGAACTGCCCTGTCTCTTGAAAAGGACCAAAACTGCCGCGAAGCGGCAGCGAGCATGCCCATCACACCAAACATGGATATCACCAGCACGATGGTGGACATCAGAACAGCTCCGACCGTGGATCCAGTGGAATGGAAGAAGATCTCGATGAATGGATATCCCGTTCGAGTTGACAGAGCATCTTGAATATCTCCCATACAGAAGAGAAGAGCGATGAGCATGCCGAATCCGAGGATGCCATTGATAAGCACACACAGCATCATAGCGCGTGGAAGAACAATAGCCGCATTATGAATCTCTTCCGCCATCTACAAATTATCAGCGGTGGTCTCCCAAAAATGCACCACGACGATAACTTACATGAACGACCGAATCACCACCCGCAAATGAAAAGGCGCAGCCGGAGAGTCCAACAAACCAGGAGAGACCCTGAGTCGGCCACTCCCCACCGTTGAGAAACTCTGTGAAAACCTCCCGCGTGGAATTGTGATCAGCCAACACCGTCATTGGTATAATGATTGCCAAGCATCCGAGGACATGCAACACCAGAATACCATGTTCCAATCGAGGGAGCAGTTTGCCGCCTATGAGATTAACAGCAATTCCGACGAAAAGGGATGCCCACATAATCAATGTCCCTTGCCAGGCTTTGGGATTGTAGTTGTCGTACACAAGAATTGCAACACCTTGTATTTCAGTTCCGGCCAGGTGAGCAGCCGCGGCCAATGCAGTTTGCCAGCCAATGACTGCGATCCATCCTAAATCGCAACTTTAGTGACACGTTCAACACTGGTAGCACTCGTCTTACCGGTTATATAACTGAGAAACTTCTGGTAGCGGATTGGCGCTAGCATGGCACACCAGTGGTATTGCCCGCCGGATGTTGGTGCCCTAAATGGTCAACATGGGGACTTGGGCTCTGGATGATCAAGCTCACATTGATGACAGTTCGGCGAGGACTGAGAAGCAGCAGGCGGTGCCGGTCCAAGCAAATATGAAGGCATACACTGCTCCTGCGCTTCCGCCACTGAGGTACGTCAGTTCAAGTCTTTGAGTAGAAGAGACATTCATACTTTTCCAATGGGGTGATGAATGTTCTTGCAATAAGATTAGCATATTTCCACAACGATTATAATCATTTGCCAATACCCAAGTAGTCCTTCCCACGTCCCGAGAACAGTGCAACTTAGTCCCAACACTGCCCAGACACCAAAAGTTCGCTTTAATCGGAGCACCAAAGATTAGCTTGTGCGGGCGCTGAACCAGAACGTCGACGTACTTTCAACACCGGCTTCTTTCCCAAGCGCTGGAGCTGAACTCCATCGCGGTCACTGCTCGACGAATCCCGAGCGATTTGAGTCATGTGTGCATCTTTGGGTTTCTGATCCATTGTGAACTTGACATCAGGTCAATAAGCGCACCCAGGAAGAAGGGGTGGCAGGGCGAGACTAGAAATAGTGGGACGAGCTAGGAATGGAGGCTCTGCTGTTGACCTGGGCGTTACAGATACAGCACACCTGGCTCAATAGCACGTCGATCATCCAGGGTATATGTTTCCACGGGCGAATCAGCAATGCCATTGGCAGTTCCACCATGCATGCTTGAGTCGGTGCTTGAGTCGGCGGGAGGGGAGTGCGGTCCGATATCGAACTGGGCCTTAAGAGGGAATGTCGATCGATGGAATAGTGGTAGATCATCGCTTTACCTGCTTCGAAGATCCAATGATATCTCGACCCCTGTAAATATGGGCGCCATGCGACAGGGATGTGCTGTAGTAGGGGGAAAATCCAGGGGGCCGGGATGTGAGGTGGTATTTCCACGGTGGCGCAAGTGAGTTGGCCCAATTTACTGTACTCCGTACGAGATTCATGTGAAGGCCCAACTTGCAGAGATTCGTAACTTGATTCATTTTCATTTCTTTATTGTCCCATTTTCATACCGCCATTGGCGCAGACAACACTGCCAGTACACCAAAGGCCATCGGGTGTGCATAACATGCCAACAACACCAGCAACTTCGCTGGTGAATGCGGGTCGGCGACCACCCATTTTCTCCTGAATTAATCGCTTTTGCTCATCCGTCAGACGGCTCAGAGTTTCCTCATCATTGAGATCCAACTTGCTCATCGGCGTGTTATCCTGGTATCCTTGGATATCCTTCCAGAACTGGTCTCCGGTCGCGAAGTACATATCTCCAACCACCGGGCCGGGGTTGACGGCGTTGACAGTCGCCTTATCCGCAAGCTCGCGCGCCCATGTGCGCGTCATAGCCTCAATGGCAGCCTTGGTGCCGCCGTAGATTGACTGGCCGACGAATCCGAGCGACGAAGACACACTGGAGATACTGACGATGCGACCGCTGCGGTCATTGGGAAGGAAGGGGGCGCATGCCTGTGTGAGGAGGAGAGGAGCGAGGACATTGACCGCGTATTGCCAGTTGAAATGCTCGGCTTCGATGGGACCCTTGGGGTCATTGAGGTTGCGGTCTTGGGAGACGCCGGCGTTGTTGATGAGGATGTCAATTTGGAGCTTGCCGGCCTTGCTGAACTTCTCTTGTGCGGCAGCAAGAATCGCAGCGACGCCCTCGGTGGGCTTGCTTAGATCCGCTTGCACGCTCTCGCATTTGATGTTATGGGTCGAGGCCAATGTGGTGCAGAGAGCCTCGGTCGGACCGCGCGAGAACTCAGAGGTAAAGTTTAGAAGCAATGAGCAGCCCTTTGCGGCCAGGTTGCGCGCGATGGCTTCACCAATTCCTGCGGGATGTTAGCGTGGTCCCTCATCAATGCGGGGGAGTGCTTGACCTCGCGATCCACCGGTCACAATGCCGAATTTTCCTTCAAGTACTCGGGACATTTTGTGTTCTATGAGATGCAGAGAGAGAAATCAAAAACAAAAGTCTATGCCATTTGAAATCGGGGGAAACTGGCCTTCTTGAACTCGTATTTAGCCGAAATTCCCCACGTTTCGCATCCCCCGCCGGCGGAGGAAAATTGCCCGATGCAGCACCGCGGGGGAAACACGGCTAATTTCCTCTTCGGGCCGACTTTCGGTTCCCGGGGTCTTTTGGCCGGAAAATTGAACAGGCATGTTCCACATATGTCCGGGCTCAAGTCGGAGTATCCATTCACAGCCTATTATCATCCGGGACTCATCTTGACAGCGTAATAATATACGGGTTTGTGAAAAAGGGCAATTTGCTATGATTGACGTCAAAAGATCTATGTACTGTGGATTGTCTCGCTAAGCGCTAAGCGGCAATCTTTCGATCTCGGGCGTCTGAGCACTCGGGATTTCAAGAACATCCCTCTCACGCGACCATGGGGCTTGCAATACTATGTACAACTGCATCCCAAAATGGCATTCAACCGGCGCAGATGAAGTGGGGCGGAATCGTCTCTATGCTTCACTCCCCGAGACTGCCTCATTCCCACCTCCCTCAGAGCGCTCCTTGTCTTCACCTCCTACATTCAAAATCTGCATCAATCGCTCAGCAGTCAGATGGTCATGCGCCCCCTCCATACGGTGAGCATATCTCAATTTTCCCCTTTGGAAGATCCACTCGCCACCCTGCTGGTTCCAGTTTCCTCCCCGTAAACCCGCCCACCCGCGATGCCAGATTTGTTTGAAAGTCTCGGCAAGTCCCATGGGGAATGAAAAGTTCGAGTACGGCGGCGGCTCTGTGAATCCGTCCATTGTCCTCTTCATCTGTAGCTTTTCATATATCCGCGCGGAAGGGTCGGAGTAGAGTGGGAAATCGTCGGTCGTCTCTTCCATGTAGGGCCCGATAAGGGCGTGATCGCCGCAGCCAAGGATGATGATCTGGGCGGGCCTCGCGCTCAGAGGGACCGTGTCCAGTAACTTTTGAGTCATCTGGCGCGACAGGGTTCGGACATAGTCTTGATCATAGACACAGAAGAAGTGACGTACTGAAAATGTGTGTTTAGTTGAGTATGTGAGGTATTTTGGTGCGAAATACTCACTGAAGATGACAATGGTTGTGACAGATTTCCCTTTTCCTGCTACTAACTCCCCAAATCGAACAGGCTCTCCCTTGGCGGATTGCACCTCGAGCTCATAGGCCTCGTGGAGGGTATCATCTGTCAGGAAGTCGGGTCCCTCGATTGGAAGATTGAAGTCCGCCATGGCATATTCAGGGCACTCTGAAGATTGTGAAGAATGAAAGCAGACTCTTTGGCAGACAGACATGTGAGAATGTCTGACATCATGACCTCGTGGCAAATGTGGGGAAATTCTAGGCCGGGGCCATTTTGCCTTTTGACTTCCTTGGTTTTTGAGCTTATTCTTAATTCTACTGCTCTTGGGCTTTCTTGCCACCCAGAAACTGGAATTATTGGGGTTGGCCTGTCTCCCCCGGGAAAAGTCGACCAGGTGCCTCTCCCTGTGCTATACTAAGAGCCTTCAATGACAATTCGCTGGAGTCGAAGTTTCAGGAGCTCGCATGCCTAGTCAGGTGTAATGTTCCAATACTATATTTGGTCTGGAAATTAGTTCCAAGGAGACAACAAGGGCGCTTTAGATATTCATTGGTGTTGACTACGCGCACGCGCACCCCAAACTCGATGACAGTGCATGTATGGGCTCATCATTTAGCTGCTCCCATTTTCATGTGATTTTGCACCATCGACATTAAATCCTATAATCGGAGTATGTCCATTCATGAGAAAAAAAGCGATCGTCGAGCCTTTAACCACGAATCGGCGACCGATGAACCCGTACTCGGTAGGGAGCCAAAGTATGCGCTCACCCCCCAAGGTAATCCACCGATCTGATCGCGACAGACGAATGGGGGAGTTGTATGTCTTTGTCAAGCCTGAATTTGGAGATTCAAAATCACCACCAAGTGGTTGGTAAAGAATGGTAAGCTCGGCCGTGAAGCTTAATTCCAAGCCCTTGCCGTCAGGTGAAAACGCAAATGAGTCAATCCATTCATATTGGGCAACAGGGTAGAGGAAGGTTTGTTTGAGCATGCCTGTAGCTGTCTCGCGAAGCTCGATGATGATATTGAAGTCTTTCTCAAACAATAAAGCAAGCATCTGCCCATCATGTGAGAAGATCACTGTCCTGGCTAAGAGGGAAGGTTGGTAGGATCCCATGAAGGTTTGCACGTGTTTAGATGACACCGTATCCCACAGCCTGATAATCTGGGTCCCTCTGAGTGGTTTCCCGTTGCCCATCAAGTGGTAGCGGGAGCTTGCTGCTAGGATCCTTCCATCAGGGGAGAATACAAAAAAGACATCAGCACAGAGCTCTGGATCACTGTCAATTCTATGCTGTGGTGTGCCCGTGGACATATCCCATATCCTGATCACTCCCTCATCATGAGATGACGCTACTTTGAGCCCGTCTGGGGACATCGCCACTGAAGTGATGAAGCTGCACTCATCGGTTTCACCTTTGATGGTCGTGGCATCTTTGATCGTCTTCCGGAGATTCCAATCTTTCGTATCCCATAGTCCAATAGTGCCATCACATGCTCCTGATAGTAAAACTTCCCCATTTGGAGAAAGGCGTAATCTAGTGATCTTGGATAGTTCCCCGCCTGTTTTCGGTTGCTCCATATCGTCGTGGGCATTCCAGAGCATTATGATTCCGGAAGCAGACCCGGACACTAGAGTTTGACCGTTGGGAGAGAAGATGACCGCAGTGACCGGATCCACCACGGATTGACATCCTAACAAATGGGCATTCGTGCCTTCCGTAGTATCCCAGAACATGATTTTCCGATCAGACGAGCCCGATGCTAGAGTACGACCATCTGGTGAGAAACCAGTAGACCAGACCTTGTTGGAATGGCCACGGAGGGTCTTTTGTAGAGTACCATGGCACGCGTCCCAGAGCTTTATCGTTTTATCACTTCCGCTTGATGCTAGACAGAGCCCGCTGGGAGAGAAATCCAAGCAATTTATCTGGGAAGAATGACCACTCAAGGTCGTCAAGAGGGTGGACTCGACGGCATTCCAAATCTTGATAGTCGTGTCCAAGGACCCGGATGCAAGTATGAGACCATCGGGGGAGAAAGCCAGAGCCGAAATTCTTTTAGAATGTCCCTTGAAGGTTTGACGCAGTGTACCCGTATCCGCATCAATGATCGAGAGTTCTCCTTCCTCTGAGCCCATGGCTAGGATGTGCCCATTGCAGGCATTCACCACTGCGATGGTTGGTTCAAAGGGACTGCGAAAACGTATTTCCTTCCGTAGTGTGCCAAGAACTAGATCCCAATGACTCAGAATTTCCCCCCTGCCCACTATCAGGGATTTCCCACCATCACAGAAAGTCATATGGGCAGGGTCAGGCCCCCAATAGGGAGCAGCCGCCAAACTTAGCTTCCTCACCCCCGTGATCGTATCCCAGATATCAATGTTGCGGTACCACAGTGATGCTAAGATTGACCCCGAAGGGGAGAAAGCAAAGGAGTCTATCATGCCTCCATGGCTATGCAGTGTGTGACGGTTTGCACGCCACGTTTTATCAACCACCGGAAAAGCTTGAATGTGTCTTGTGACCTCTTTTTCAAAGAATGTCCGCTTGACAATGCTCTCACTGGGCGCAAATACCAAGCCGTGCGAGTACAACTGAAGTGGAGCGGTGCCTGCGACATGGGTGGTGTAGAAATTGAACCTCTCGGCGTCCTCTAAGAACCGTGAAAGTTGTGGATCAACATAAATCTAAAAGGGATATTAGCTCGATGCTCAAACCACGATCGTGAAAGTCTTCCACTTACCGTGGTTGCAGATTTTAATATGTCGATCATTCCAATCGCCTCAGATAGTCTTCTCATCAGCGCCAGGGCCTCGAGCCAGTGAAGGAAATGTTTTTCAAAAAAAGACAGAATATCCGATTCCGAAACATGACCTTTGCTACGTTGGAGGTGGTGCACCCAAAAGTGGCAGGCGTACTGCAGTTCAGGGTGTAGACGTTGATCGATGGTTTGCTGATCAATGTCCTCCAACTTAGTTCCGTAACTCGCAAGACCACAGATGTTGTGTTTTAATCCGGACATCATCACCCGGAGACAATGCGACGCTAGCTTTCCATGGGTCTCTTGTCCATTGACTTGGAAAATGCTGTCAGTTGTGATTAAAAAGTCTCGGAATGATGTGTGTAGAGTGCATATTGGGGTGGTATAATCCTTTGGTACTGCCAGGACAGAATGAAAGCATCGCAAACCACGATCAACATCCTTAGCAGGTATATTGATCAATTGAGAAAGAGCAGTCAAGGAAAGTGGATCAGCAAGAAGAATGATCACTCCGACTATTTCGAGGAATCTTTGTTTCTGTTTCTCGGCATCTCTCGTACTGTAGCCAACAACAAGCTGGTTCAAAACTGGTAGATACGTGCGGTCCATTTGATCTTCCGATGCTGTCGCTGGTTGGTCAAGAAACTCCCGCAGACGTTGTTCTGGGTCAAAGGTTTGGTCGCTGATGAAACGGCAGATAGTTGCGGCGAATATAAACAATGGGCTTGCCATACGTACCAAGCGTTCGATTTGATTGGCTCCAGGCCAGTCGGGATCAAGTGACTCCTTAATCCGAACGACTGAAAACTTGTATTTCAAAAACAACTCGATATCGTGCTCGATGACTGGCAAGGGAAGCTCGTTGAGAACTAAGTCCCGACGGTTGCTGTTCTTGTTGACCTCAGTCTCTATGTCAAACTCAGGCCGAGTGGTCAATAGAATCCGGAGGCGAATCGTAGGGATTCCTTGAAGTCTGAATAAATGCTTCAAAATAACGAAAATATTATCCCTTCTGTCGCATTCATCCAATGCATCGATGATGATGACAATAGTTGGCAGTATTTCTGGCCGGAAGCCGAGGAGAGGCTGATAAAGAAGCTTGTCGAACTGCTCGCTCAAATGTCTAGAGCTAATCTGGCCATCCTTTTTGACTGCTTCCAGGATTCCGGGTGAGATTTCTGGATACCTGATGGCCAAAAGCCTCGCAATGGTGGACATGAACAGTCGGCCGTCACCCCTGTCAGCATCTCCTCTTTTGAAAAAGAAAGTCGCGCCGAGCAGTCCACGACTTTGAAGATCTCGTGCGATCGTTCGAGCAACCGTGGACTTTCCAGTTCCAGCCATTCCTTTCAGGCAAAACATGAATTCGTCTCGTGATTCGGCCCACTGGGAGATCTCCCGAAGAAGCTCTTCTCTGGTTCCCTGAAGGCAAAACTCTTCATTCTGATTGGCGTAAGAATCATAAGACGCTGTTTCAGCAATTGGTAGATTGGCAATAGCAAGCTGCTCCGTGAATTGCTTGAGATATTCCGCGAGTTTGTCGATTTTTGATAGGATCATTTCTGCTTGTTCACCCCTTTTGAGGTGCTGGTCCCGCACGATGCGTCTATCGAGACCTTCCAGCGCACGCTCGATTGAGTCTTTCAACTCGGTCAGTGGAATGTCAACCATGGCAGAGACACAGTCCCAAAGTCTTTTTGCTCTACTGGCAGCCAGTTCTTTCTGAACCTGGACTGTGTAGCGTAGGAGTGCCAGATAGAGTCGGACCAATGCATCTCCCACGTTTTCTGGGTCAAATGAGTTTGGGGTACGATAGTATTTCTGCTCGATGAAAGCGCATTGTGCCAGTGTGTCAGCCAGATAGTCTGACGACTCGAACAGAGCGTCTTGGCGGTCGTGATAATTTTCGGTCATCTGGAATGAAAGTTGTCCCCTTAGTGAAGTTCAAATGGTTTCTGTGATGAAGCCATACCGTCAACCCCAACGAGACCATCGCCCACACACTGGCAGCGTGTTGCGTGGGATCAAGCCCCGCAGCAGCCCCGATAACTTCTTTGAATGAGAGCGCTGCATCCAGTATTCTCCTGCAAGATTTGTGGAACCTTCCACTGGCTTTGATTTGGAATTGTCGGTATCGCTCGGTCGTCAAGTCAACGACCTCGTCAACCACATTTTTCGTCTCGATGGGGCACTGCTGATCGCGCGATTTTGTTTGGGGTTTGACTTCCGACAAGATAGCCTGCTTCTCCGCATCCAATTTGTCGAAGGCAATCGTCCACAGGTCCTGTGGTTGGAAGAGCTCGACTGGCAAAGAGGCTTGACTTGTGCCACTGTTGGCAGATGGGATCGAAATGGTAGCGACACTATTGCTTGGAGGGGTCGCAGGGTCAGGTTGCGGTGGTGGGCTCTGAGACTCCTCGTCTTTTCTCAATTTCTTGAACAATGAGCGCACCCGCGACTTGCCCATGTTGTTTACTTCTCGTCGGTTCAAGTGCTATTTCTCTTCAAAAATCACTGAAAAGTCATGAAACGAAAGCGGGATGCTCCCCACGGTGTTTGCGCTGGCAGCGGCTCAGCCGCAGGGGCTGAGCGATCACGCTAAGCGTTGGGCGCGTATGGCCTGCAGATCATTGGATGGCCATGGCGTTTACAGTAGGAGACAGCGGGCATTTGCTCGACGCCGTGGACTTCTCGCATCTTTCCATCAACATGGATACAGACTGCACAGTGAGAAGGGCCGATCTGTGCTCCAACTTGAGGGGTCTCTTGTCGCAACTTACGGGGTTTCCAGCTCCCAGGTCTAAATTCTGAGATGTGTCCACACTCACACCTTCGAAATCCACATTCATGTGCAAAGTGGGCATGTGTTAAGTGCATATGTATGGGTTGGTTGGGATTTCAATGTCGAAACTTTTGAAGCCAAAGGGCCTGTACTGAGTAGGTGGGCTTTGCAAGGCAAGGCCCAGCCTACGCAGCACAGCCACACTCATGCGAGAACACGTAGGGCTCCCAAGATTTCCCCACGTTGTGACTCAATCTAAGTGGCAAATCTGGTGATTGTGTGTATCTCGATCTATATACAGCAATCCAGTCTCAACTCTTCCAACCATCCGGGTGGAAAAATTAAATTATTTGTTGTTTCATACATTGTTCTTCTGAAGAACTTCCTCATTGATCACGAGGTTTGATCTTTTCTACCAATCGAATGACCATGATATCACTGTGGTATTGCTGTAACTGTGATTTTGGACCTCATGACACGAAAATCTTTGAACAATGCACTCTGTGTGGAACTCCATGCTGTCCTCGATGTTCTTTGAATCCACCTCCACACGACAGACTGCTGCGGGCACAGCAGCACTTCAAGGAAATGCAGGCATCGCCGGCATTGCTGGCATAACAGGCATCACCGGAATCACAGGCATCACAGGCATCACCGGAATCACAGGCATCACCGGCATCGCCAAATCGGGAATCATCCTTGGGTGATAAGAGCTCGTCATCTAGAGCAGAAACCAATGCGGACATACCAAACCGTCCCACCGGTAACGGAGAAAGAACACAACGCCACGCCGCTGGGGCAGGTACTGAAAACAGTGACTTCTCCTCAGGCCAAAGCTCCCGCTCACAGAATCGTATTCCTTGGCTTCTGAGATCAGTGGGTATATCAACCATTCAAATGAGCCCCGTTCCTGACAGAGACATGCCGGTGTGGGATCTCGTGCCGGTGTGGGATCTCATTGATACTACACGGAGCCTGGATATCCCAACATTTCATATTGTTTATTCGTCATTGCTTGGCTCTAGGATGGCAGATTGGGTCTTCGAACAGTTTAGCCAGGGACTTTATTCTCCCGGTGAAGTCCAGACACTCAGAAACATTCTGGTCGAACTGAAGAATACCCAATCCAATATCATATGCATGAGAACGAAGGACACGATGTCCAAGTGGAATGCCTTCCAAGGAAAGGTGGAGAGAGTTCTAGGGGATACAGTTGACTGGTGGCCCTTCCATCCTTACATGGCACCTCTTTCCGAAGGAGAAGTGAGACTATCTTGGGACTGTGTATGAACCGATTCCACAACCAGAGAAGTCTTGGTTCTGATTCTGATGTTTCTAGACCTGCGGTGATCCTCGTTGGGCAGTTGTTCCAAAGTCCTTTAGCACCAAAATGATCGATCTTTCCTTTCAGAATGCAACACAGCCCAGCCAGGAAAAGGCACCGAGAAATGACGTTTCCCTTTCGAACAAGTCTTCCATCAATGATAACTTTGGCATGAGGACGAGATCGCAAACTGTGAGGTCTGCCTCCCAATCAGGTCTTCCTCGATCGGCAGTCGAGCACCAAAGTCCAGCAAGTGCTCAAATTACTCATCATCAACGACATGCTTTCCTTGTTTTTTTCAATTCCTCCATCCTTGGCAACGTACACCTTCTCGCTCAGACAGATGTACATAACATGAATGACCAGGAGTTTTTCAAATGGCTCCGGAACTCATATCACTCCCAACGCGGCGTTTTCGCCATCTGGTTTGGACTTTTCAGATTTTCACACTGTGAATTCTTCCGTGTAAGTTCACATGAGATCATATTTGATTGTTCAATGCTATCAAACATCTGAGATAAGAGTCGACCAGCTGAGTACCATTAGTTTCGAAGGTTTGACGGATATGAGTACGCTCCCCTACTGCCAGAATATCCCGATGATGATCAACCATTCTATCATTTCGCGCCAAAGCCCATGCGCCCTCGGCCACCAATGGCACCGCACGAATTCAATCACTGGTTCTATAAAGATACGTGGTCTAAGAGAGTCCAAAGACTGAGTTCCAAACAGCGGCATCAGGAAAGAAAAAAGCGCCTGTGTTTTCCCTTGGGAAGCAAGTGCGTGGTTGAAGACAAAATTCCCAAGCGCGAGACTGCTCTCGAAGAAGGCGTCCCTGTGAGTGAGGATTTCTGGGGTCTTTACGTCGTTGAGAGACGTTCGATTTTTAGATTGGGAGTTTACAGCCTTCTTTTCCTCTTTCCCTCGATTTATTTCTTCTTTGCGTGGTTGTTCCAATGGGGCCATCTGGGCGATCTGCAGAACGCATCGGTTCCCATTATGCTTTCACTCGCCCCTCTGGCGACTTTTTGGGGATTCATTCTATCGACCTCGCCTAGGTTTGACAATACGCGACCGGTGTGAAGTTAACACAAGGTTGTGAGAATGCGGCTGAGCCTAGGCTTCCGCACCAGCCCAGTAAGCCCGGACCCAACCCGGGCCCGGCCCAGTGGGCTCTTCCGGGGGCCCACTGGGCCCCAAACATTACAAACATGCCGAGATTTGGTCTTTTCATAAATAATGCAGATTTTGACGGTATTTTTGAGTATTCGTGTACTATACTTTGGAGAAAATAATCCTGAAAGATTCTAAGAACAGCTTGTATATAATCCCGATACTGGGCCCGGGTTTAGGTTGGGCCCTAGGCGCTGAGCCCACCTGGCAGAGCCCGGACTGGGCTGGGCCGCCGGCCAGGACCTCGGGCCCAACCCAGCCCAATGCGGAAGTCTAGTTGAGCCGAGGGCTCTGGATATCCCGGGGTCCACATCCTCTGCGACGTTACAAGGAATCTGAAATGTGCAGTAAGACATGTCCATTTTGCCTGACTTGAGTAGAAGGCGATGAAAGAAATGACTCATTGTAACTGGGTATTATTTTTTATAGAATCCATTCCCGAGGTTGAATCTCGGATGACCTTCAATGCCGCCGTAAGTGCAGGGCGCTATCTCTCGTAGACAACAAATCATCATAGCGTGTGCACAAAGCAGAGACGTCCACTCGCGCTGCTCTATCAGTATCAAGTACCCAAACCTCCGCCCACCGCGCCTCATCGATCTGCTGCGCCGATCCTTTCCGCATCGCGCTTCGCAGAGATCGATAGATCCCTTGGTTCGGATAAGCAACCAGGCCAACTGTCGCCGATCCCGTTTTAACAGCTAAGCTGACCAGTCCCTTGCTCAAACCTCCAGCGACACCGAGGGCTCCGCGCTCCTTCTTCCCACGGTAGGTGTGCACGAATATATCAGTGAAGCCTTCGTAGACGCCGTGTGTGAATCCTGACCATCCCACGGCCATTCCACTTCTCCAATCTTGCACAGGGGCATTTGCGTGTGATTCATCACCGTAGAGTCGGGGAATTGCCCTCATGCCTTCGGTGGCTGCTAGTGGTATTTCCACGAAGGCACCGCGCGAAGACCGGCCTAGGAACTTGGCAAGACTCAATGCTGAAGCAAGTGCTATCTGCCTCCCGTGGCTGGAATCATTCGAGTCAGTGCCAATGCTTTGTGGGGCGTTTGATGTTTCCCGGGCATTCGATTGGGTCCTAGATGAGTCCCCGTTGCTTTCGGGAGTGGCTTGAAGGCGGCGGTATTCTTTATATGGATCGACGAAGATTCCAGCTCCAGCGTCTGCCATACCCGCAAATGTTGACAGCGTCGCCGATGAAACTGCTGTGACTGGCTCCCACCGCCGGACTTCTATGCTCAAGGGCTTTGTTTGGTATCTTTGAGTAATAGGTTAGTGTCTGTGGACATCCAAGACCTCCAGGGATAAAATCAAACTCGAGTTCTTACCGTTTGAGATGCTTTTCCTGTAGACGACCCCGGTCCCTCAGCATGAAACCTGCCATTTTCGACATTTTGACCACACGCCGGCCTTTCTTGAACTTCCAAACGGCTGGTTCTCCGGGTATAAGGTCGCATTCCATATCTTGACGCGGAAGATGTGCATGGAAAGAGTTGACTGCCGCCCGGACACCGTTTTCCCGGTTGATCTGGTCGCCGATTCTTCGAGCCACAGCGGCAACTGCTGGCTCCAAGCAGAATTTAATAGCATCTGCCAGATTCTCTACATTCAAGGATTTGTATGGGATCGGCTCCGGTCCAGCGCCTGTTGCTTTGACCATGCTGCCCCAGAAGGGTTGGCTGTGCGTCACATCCAGTCAGCAAGTATCCACGATACTTCAGGGACATTGAAGAGATACGTACTCTCCAAAGAACGGAATTATGACGGTCGGCTTTCCGTTTCTTAGACCGCAGGCCGTTGTACCTGCTCCTCCATGGTGAACAACGGCAGCCACACGCTGGAAAAGCCACTCATGTGGGCAGTCGCCAACGTAGTAAATATTGGGTGATTCCTCCCCTTGCATATGACACCATCCTTTGGCTATGATAGCACGGATCCCGGTCCGTCTGATAGCTTCGAGTAAAATACTCAGTGTCTCCTCCATGTTATCGAGGACGATACTTCCAAATCCAATATATATTGGCGGTGGTCCAGATTGAAGAAACTCTTCAAGATCTGGCGGCGGCTGATAATCAACCGGCTCGCGGAAGAAGAATCCGCATACATCTATTCTGTTAGTGGGTTCTTTAATGATGTGTGCATCCAACATACCAATATGTGCACCCCAGTCTTGTGGTTTTGGTACCAATGCCGATGACCAGCAGTATGTGAAGGGAACTTCGAGTGTTTCTATCAAATTCGGACCCTCTGTTGCTGGTATACAATCTAGATCCAGAATATCTTTGCGGAATGCATTAATGAGATCGCCTAGCCTGAAACACGCAAGTTAGCAAATCCAATCGTTGCCTCATGAGGTGGGAATATACCCTTGCCACGTCAGCCACTCAACGAAGTGATACGAGATCAAGTTGCCAACAGATGGATTAGCTCCATTGTACTTCATATTCGCCAAAGGATGAGGGAACTCTCTAGTACTAGTCCAAGGCATGGTAAACATCAAATGAACCGGAACCCCGAGGGCCTGCGCACAATGGACATGCGCGAAACTCGGGGGATTCGCGATGATGGCATCTGCCACAAAGGGTGTCCCTAGGCGCTCATCCGGTTCCACGCACGAGCACCAGCACCCATTCAAGATCTCCGTGATAGACGCACGCTTCCGCTGGATGTCTCCTGCTCGCAGACTCTTCATGCTGGGAATTAGCCCCGGATGGCGCACCATGTAAGACATCAACTCGACTGGATCTCCGCCAATAGAGAAGAATTCCAGACCTGCGCCGAGGACAAGCTCCTCGAACATGGCGTGGGTGGCGAGACGGACACGGTGGCCATGTTTTCGCAGCTCAGCTCCCAGGGCCACGAATGGTTGCACATCTCCGCGGCTGCCTACCACTTGGATAACGATGTTGAGATTCAAGTCAAAATTGACACTTGGTGTCAGATATGACGTAGATGTGTGTTGATTGACATCTGTTGAGTTTGGCGGCTGATCACTCAGAATATGTTCTAGGTTGCGGCTGAGTCGAGACCCGACTCGTACATCCACACGGCCATCGTTGGTCGATAGCAGTTCCGGCGCTGCCGCCGTGGGGCACGGCAGATGTGCAAATGCAGCCGTTGACTGATCTACCCACTGTCTACTGCTAGTAGCTTCGTACGGGGGCGGAGGGTCCCAGTTATCGTCATCGTGTCTGGAGTGGGTTGTGTCCACCATGGCGGTTCACTTCAGACAAGGTAGTGAATTGGTGAGAAGTGTTTCGAGACATTTCGACGGGGGCAAGAGTATCTAAGAATATCGAAAAAGCGCGGCAAGAAGCCGAGGGCATCGAGGGTCGGGCATTGCGGAAAAAATAGAATCAAGACCCTTCCAAGGTTGATCCCTGACCTGACTTCCCGATTGGTCAGGGGAAAAAGGGTTGCCTCCGCTGTGGGGCTCCGAGCTACGAATACGCCCTGAATTGCCGAAAGGGGAAGGTTTCGGGTCCACTTTTTACTCTCAAAATCGGCAACGGCGCAACTCTAAAACCTGGAACGCGACAACGATATTAATAGACGTCTCTTTCTAAGCATCTAGTCTCATTGAAAAAGCCCAGTAACCCCGGACAACACATCCTTCTTCAACCTACTCTCCAAGACCATTATGCCCAAACGAGCCCCCACCAACCTCGACCAGTACTGGTACAAAGGAGGAGTCTGTGGTCTCGTTCCTCGAGCCGCACTCCGCACCCTCCAGTTCGTCTTCGCTATCACCGTCGCTGGCCTATACGGTGTCGATCTAGCGCGCGCCACAAAATCCAACACCAAAGCCCCCACCGAATGGGTATACGCCGAGATCGTTGCCGCCTTATCAGCTATCACCTGCATGGTCCACTGCTTCGTGACAGTCGTCCACGTGGCATGGTCGACATGGGATGGGGTCTTATTCGTCCTCTGGCTCGCACAAACTGGTGTGTTTGGAAATATATACACGTCAGGCTCAGCCACTCGCGAGTACCTTGAGGAGACTGCGTCTCTTCCTCGCATGCGTGCTGCTGTTTGGATCGACTTGGTCAATATGCTCATGTGGTTTGCGACTTTCATCCTGGGTATTGCCTGGTGCTGTCGGACTCGGAAGGTTACTCGTCGGACGGATGAGCTTCGTCGCACGGGTGAGCTTGAAAGATTGCAGGAAACGGGGACGACGAACGATGTTGATGTGGAGAGTGCGTTGGACGGATATAAAAAGGAGCTGGAGGAAATGGATGCAAAGCGTGCTGCGGGGGAAGGCTCACTGTCTGAGAAGAAGGCAGTGCCTAATTTTGAGATGGAAAAACACGAGAAAAAGCTGGATGAAAAGAAGAAGAGAGTGTTGGAGGTCTGAGAGCTATCAGCCGGTGCAGATTCATGAGGTTGATCAAGACGACACGTTTCATTATGTTTAGATGGTCAGATGCCGAGATTTTCACAATTCTATTAATTGTCACAACGTTCTGTTCAAAGGTTCTTTCCTTGGTCATAAAATCGATATGTATATTGACGAGGTTACTTCCAAGGTTGATGAGCCTCTTCGAACGCCTTTTGGCACGAGGCCAGGATCATAGTAGTTGCGTAGCAATGACCCGTTATGTCCTACCATATCACCTTCTCTCTCACTCCTCTCCTCGCTCAAGGCCATTATTATCCAACTACCAAAACAAGCACAGTTAAAAGTTTCATGTCCATTATCCCAGACTCAATATCACGTTTTATCAACGGCACAAACCTTCACCACGGAAAGAGAGGATGTAGCTGCCGTGCACACCCAGGGCAATAACCAAGTACGAACCTTGGAAGTATCATTGATATAACTTCAATCGCGTCTTGTATTTTCAAACACTACTGAACCATTTATCCAAGGGTATGGACATGTAAATCCCAAATGTTTGGAGAGTGGGGCTCTCCCTTCTCAGCCCTAGTGTAGCTTAGTTTTCTCTTCTCTCTTTCTTCTCTCTTCCCTCTAATCAACCAAGTTGAAGAGATCTTTTCCTCGCTACCAAAGTAGGATCCCAGGATGTTATGAGTCCCTGCGTCTGCAGGATCTAGATTCATTATCCTGCATTCTGCATCTCTGAATTCAATCAACAAAAGAAGCGGCCCCGGTTGACCCGCACCAACAACGCGCCTGCAGGCCCACTTGAGGCCCGCAGACCACCAAATCGAAACCCCAAGTTCCTCCCCATCGCCCCCACCCATCCATACCATCGAAACAACCGATTCCAACAATCATCATGGCGGCCCGATCTGATCTACAGTTGATGGAGCTGGTTCATACCAGCTACACCCCCGGTGATGAAGTCCCGCTTCTGATTGGAACAAAGAACTGGAGAAAATGGGTACACATGTTGAGTGCCTCGATCATCGGCGAATCGGATAACCATTGGAAGTTGATCATCGGTGAACGGAAGGAACCAAAGCCTTTGTCTATCGAGGAAGCACAGACCCTACTGCCCGAGTTCCAAAAGGGGATAGAATCACAGGCTAAAGAAGATGTGATGACTGTTGCTGCGGAAGACGTCCAACGATACCGACTTAATCAGCAAACCGAATGGAGGTTAGCGAACAATCAGTGCTTCAAATGGATCGTGAAGAAACTCGGTCCAAATATGATGAGGTACTCCTATGGCGTTCATCTAGCCCCAGAGCTTTACGCTAAGCTGAAGAACATCTGCGAATCCAACAATCAACAATCCAGGGCAAATGCTCTCGGTGCCTTGATGAATTTCGAGTACCGCGGAGTAAGACCAGTCGAATTTATCGTCAATTGGAAGCTGAGGCTTCAGGAATACGAAGACATGATGGATGCCGGTGAAGGCCTCGGAGCTGCCACCATCATAAACATGTTCCTATGTTCTGTGGGTCGGGTTCCTGGCACTACGCCATGGCTTGTTTCGTACAATCTGGATCCCAAGAAGACGAGTGAGCAGAACCTCGAAGACCTGTATGACAGTTTTTCTGCCGCCGAGGTCTCTTGTCTTTCGATTTTAGGCTGCGGCCAAAACCGCCGACGAACAGCCTGAGTAGAAGGCAAATGTTGGGGTTGAATCGAAGCCATCATCCAAGCAGAAGGATAAGAGCGATAAGCCCATTTTCTCACATTGCAAGTATCATGGTCACTCCTGGGATGATTGTTATCACAACCCCGTCAACAAGGATAAGGCCTGCAGGGCTGGAAAGGGCTATAAGGGCTATAAGGGCTATAAGGGCAAGAAGCCAACTCTGACACCGTCAAAAGTGAGCACTGCTTAGAGAGTGGGTATGCCCTTCCGGTCATCTAGTTTGCTTGATTTTCTCTTCTCTATCTCTTCCCCCCAATGAACTAACTTGAAGAGATCTTTTCCTCCCTAGCATAGTAGGATACCAAGACCAAATATCATATATGCTAGTTATACCGAATGCGTATGTTCCCACTTGCTCCTACACGTTGGACACGTGCGCGCCCGCGCTAACCATTGATCCATGCATTGTTTGTGGAAGTTCACTCCACATCGTGCCTTGCACCAAGTCAATTCCTCTTCGTGTTGCTCATCACCATCACCATGGTCCTCATTATTGCCATCTTGGCCATCGTCGGTATCATGTTCCGTTTCCGCGTCAGCCTCGCTCGTGTGCTGATCTTCATTTGAAATATGCAGGTCACACAGGCAAATTCCACAAGCTCCTTCAATCTCACGACGGGTAACTCGCGGCTTTATCCCCACGTTGCTATGGGGCTGGGTGCGGCTAGAGACCCGAGCCACTGTTGATGGGCTTTCTTGTGCTTGCCTCAAAGTCCCCTCGGTTCTGGTGAAATTGAATCGAGCTTGGGTCACCGCAGGCACAGTAGCTGTCAACGAGAAGACGGAATATTCTGTGGGGCGTCTCTCCACTCCTCTGGCAACACGAGGTTCTTGTGATATCTGTCTTCTTGGTGGACTTTCCGAGGTTCTTGGACTGACCGTCCTGCTTAGACTTTCAATCTCACGACGACTAGAAGATCTTGAATCATGTTGTCGGTCATATTCGGCATCCTCAAGGCGTCGCAGCTCATCCAATGTTTCACGAAGTTTCCGCAGAAGAGCTGCCCTTTCTCCTCTCTCTGTACCGGTACTTCTCACAGTGTGGGTTTGAGATGAGAGACTCGCTGTTCTCGATGATGGCGTCGTCGGGGTCTGTGATTCGAGATATGTACGGACTTTGCGTTTAAAGCGAGATGACAATTCCGACGCTTGGTTCTGATGAAACCGTGTGCATAGGACATGAGGGGCCAGATCTTCCAGCAGAGTATCGATACTCAGACCGGCGTGAAGCCTCTCGGTGCCCTTATCGAGCAACACCATTGCTGACCTGCGGCCGCGTGCATTGGTCCGCGCATGACAGCGACGGCGCTGTGAAGGGGCATAGCCAGCACACCAGGGCTCTTCCTCTGGTTCGAGGTTGATAATCTCGGATAGAGAAAGGAGTGATGGACTTGAGCGGGAGGATTGTCGGGGTGGCATTGTTGATTTATCGGGATTTGAGATAGGTAAGAGACACTTCCAAGTTCTAAATTGAGGGGTATAGTTTGGGAACGCCAATTTTCTTTGGACTGTACGATGGCTGTGGCGAATGCTCTGATTCTCTTATTCTCAAATGATTCCTTGGGCCTTAAATACCTGATCCACGGGAGTGCACTACGCAGATACGCAAATGCCTCCTTCTCTGCCACAGCCCCGAGGCGTGGCGCAGTTGACCAGGGATCTTGATAGCACCACATATCCTGAATGGCGATGCCTAAACGTGCATGCGAAAAAAACCCCCGAAGTAGCTTTACCCAAGGCACCGAGATCGAGGGCACGGGGGCTGTACAGACATGCCAGGTGGGAATTTGACGAAAAGAGGGGTCGCCGATCTTCTGTTGGTTCTGAGTGGCACTTGATAGGTTCAAGATGGTGATACGTTCTAGGGTATAGGACTTTTGCAATGCTAGACATGCAAGTTGTGTTAGTGGCGCTAAATATGGACAACCCTTCCCCTCCTTGTCCTCCAACTTATTTTTAGGCAGCGGAAAGACAGACTGTTCTGCGCAATACATATGGGAAGCCCTGGGGCTGGTCCCAACCCTTATTCCGGATCAATTGTGTTGGAAACATCTCACAACTCTAGGGCTTCCAAGGTTATCTGATCCAATCATAGGTATTGCTCTTCCAAGGTTTCCAAAGAGCCTCATCCTCAGACTTACATTCCACGCCCTCTTAACAAAATACATTGTATGTATGAATGTGCTTTTCCACTGACAAATAATATCTGAGACGCAGGCTTTCAATGTATACATGTGAAAGAAAATTAATCCTCATCGGTATCCAAATCTGGATCGGGTACATAGTCCATCCTCCCGTCATAGGTATCGATACTTGGTAAGTTGGTATCATGCACCTGGGCATGGATGCACAGTGAAGGAATGAAAGAGCTCCGTTCCTCGAATTACTTCCAAGTTTGTATAGCCCTCGAGAATGTCAGAACCGTCAATTCTAGTCAACTAGATCTCTGACTAAAATAATGAAAACCCTCGGCATTTTGGTTCCGCCAAAAGATGTGGTTTTGGGTGGTGAAAGCACGTGACAAATACAATGAGGGATTCCAAGGTCACGGATTTGAAAATTACGGGTATTTTTCAGTGGAACGACACCTCCACGGGTATGTTTACAGCTACCTACACCAGAAAATATTTCATTTCCAACTGCATTTTTCAACATGTGCACGACTCCAACGCCTACTCATGCCGCTATATTCTAGCGCTAGTATTGTTTCTAGGCAAAAAAGAGAAGATGAGTAGGTTTCCGTGGTTCTTAGGGGTGAGTACGGTGCTTTTATATCATGCCGGCCAGCGGGATGCTTATAAAACTTCCCATCTCTCCCAGCCTCGTCAGTCTTCCTTTTAAGGAACGTCAATGAGCCTGAGGGGGATCGAACGCGCGACATCTCCCCCGGCCCATATGGGGCTCGCGAGGAAGCGTTGCGTTATCGTACCGCTCGACTATTGGGACCTGTTAACTAGTATATCTCCAATTTTTTGTAATAGCCTCGCCTGCAGCCTACAGTCACAATATCAATCACCAAGACCGAATCTCTGGGTTTCTCACTGGACAGATGTACGGCCGACCCGGTGCCTGGGAGACGAAACTACCTATGTACTTGCCATGGAGATATGTGAGCACAACCCCCGGGCTATACCTGAGAGGTACAATCTAAAAAGGAGAGATGGGTGTTGATGCATCATGATTATCCCTCCCTCGGTTGACAAGATCTTCTACTTGTGATATAAGAGATTCGAGATGCAATAGGTATGGTGCTATACTCGGCAAGGGTCGGCTTCTACCTCACTCTAATGGCTCTACCCTTCAAGTTCAACAAATGGCATGTTTATTGGACTAAGAATAATCAAGTCTTGAGTGTGATGGTACATGCTAATGGATTCACACCATCACCTGGGCTGGTATGAATCCTGGAATGACTCTGAATCAGTAGATACATCCATGGATTCAACCCATGCGGCACCCCTGCATAGCCAATGAAAAACAATAAGACTTGGCCGACGACCACTCCTCTTTCAAACTGTGGGAATCCAAGCTCGAAACACCGGGCCCTTGTAGATTTCAATCATCAAGTCCCAATCCTTCTATCATCACCTCCAACTCCTCGGCCCGACTCACCCCCGCAGCGGTCTCATGATTGCGACCACCGACAGGCGCTCCGCACTCGGGACACCTGGCCATTTGCATGGCTCCTCCACACTCTCCGATTGTGAAGGGATGATTGTTCTCACACTGGTACCAATGGCCAGTGCCTCTGAACTCCTGTGCCATCGCCTGCAAAATCTCCAGGCGTTCCTCGTGGCTGACCTGCGTATAAAATGTCCCCTTGTTGAGCATAATCCTGGTGCCTTCAACTTCCTCGGGTAGACCGCGTGTCTGTCCGGGGTTTAGATCGCAAAGTGTTTGGGCCTCGTCAAGGACAATTGTAGCTTCCTTTCGGAGATCTTCGGCGAGGACTGGATCCATCGAATGTTGTGACTCCAGGATGTAAAATTGAGCAAGGAAGATCGTCCCTTCCGTCTGATGTAGGATCCGATGAGTGTCGATCGCATCATTGATCATGAGCTGACAGACGGCTCTGTTCTCCTTAAAATTGATAAAAAGTTCGCGTCGGTCCCTTCCTTGAGGAACAAGCTTCTTCACGCCGAGGAAGTCTGTCAGAAGAGCGAGTTCAAGACGAAGTAGCAGTGACGCGGCTTGAATCTCCCCCTTGGTCTGCAGAACACTTTCGTCAAATGTGAATTCCTTTGAAGTTTTCTTGCGCCGACGTGCATCCTCAACCATGTTGCGAACCTGATTAAATGGCTGCTCATCCACCTTGACCTTCTTTTGATACTCTTTGATCTTGCGGCGAAGGGTTAGGATATCAGCCCAAGCAAGGATCTGAGTCCTGCTGCCGACGATACCACTCATTCTGAGCACCTGTTGCCCTGGCGAGCCCGCAAGTTTGATGTCGTCACCACTTTCAAACATGGAGACGGCCGCTGCCTTGGTATCGGCATCCTTGCGATTCTGCAGTCTGGCCAACGCAGCCAATAACTGTTGGGCTAGAGGCACATATTGCTGGTTGACGTACAAAATGAGCTTCTTGGTAGCTTCATCCAGTAGTGCGCGTCGAACGAGTCTTCCATAGCGTGATAGGCTTCTCAGTGATCCGCGACACGTAGCGCATCTTCGAATGTCGTCAATTGAGAAGGGCTCGGAGGATAAGGCAATGGATATTGGAGTTCCGGAATCATCCAGATGGTAATGCTCCTTGATGCCCATTTGACCATCCATGCTCTCAATCGTCAAGAAATGACCACATCGGGGGAATATGCATGGATTCTCATTGAGATCGATTTCTTGGTATTTCTCACCCAAGATGAAGTCCACGGGTGTCTCTTTGATATCCTTCGAAGCGCAAATCTGGCAGTACTTCACAGAAGGACAAATTTCGCCGCAAACAGATGGACACCGATGACTGCAAGACAGGAGACTCTCGCAGCGCAGAGAACATGGAACATGGTCGCAGGGCGCGGCGCATGGCATTGAGCAAGCGCTGTGAGGACACGCGGAAAGACAATTTGAGACCGCACATGGGGCGCATGGCTCAGAGCACTTCCGAGGGCACTTTGAATGTCCGCATTCGACATCACAAGGCGAGTTGCAAGGCGGGCACGCAACCATTCCATGACACTCTATCTGGCAGGTATGGGAGCAAGCTGTGTACGGTCTGTCGCATTTCTGCTTGCATGGTTGATGCTCGACTTTTGGGCCTTCTTCCGTTTTCTGGACGCAATTCCAACACAAACGCTTGCAGGCATGCCCACAAGTCAATGCAGCACCACATTCCTTCTTGCAGCGGTACTCATTGGCAGTCACATCGATATTGCATGCGACATAGACTGTGTGCTTGCAACCTGGGACCTCCTTGGGTACAATCTTTGGGCATTTGACTTGAGTCAGATCTTGTGCCTCCCAGCATTGGAGCGTCCGCATTGGATGGCCACAGGGCAATATCCGTTTTGCATCAAACGTAGGGACAAGACACTTCGGCTGACAGACATCCCCGCACTTCCGAGGACAGGAATGTGCACACTCCTTCCGAGGACGAGGGCAAGGTTCTGGGCAATACACAACGTTGTGGAGCATCTCAGAATGGCACTTCTGTTTGCATGGATGACCACACTGAAGGCGCTTCCCACATTTGATATTGCATCCTCCCTCGGGCGAGAATTGCACGAAATGGTCCGGCTCTGCTACCGCAATTGGAGTGTCGGGGTGTCGAGGACAACTGAGCTCCAGCTGCTCTCCCAGATTTCCTTCTGACTCCATGATTCCAAGAACCTTGCCCCACATCTCAACGCCTCTCGCCGTCTCTGAGTTTCCGATGATGTACATGCCGTGCTTGGCGCGGGAAAGGAGAACGTTGATGCGGTTTGGCGTGCGGAGGAAGCCACATCGATTCTGGCTGTTGCTTCTGACGAGAGAAATCACCACAACTGTTGCCTCCTCGCCCTGAAAATTGTCGATTGTTGCAACTCTCAGTGGCTCAAGCATGGTGGACTTGCATGCTGTGGTCTTTGGGAGATCGGTGTCGTCTCCCGCGAGGCCTGCATTCTCTAAATCTTCCAGATCCCTGTCGCTCAACGTAACAGCGTGTGCGCCGGCGAGCCTTCGGCGTATGCGGTGAAGTTGACCGAGATACGGTGTCAGGACCGCAATTTCTCCACCCCGATAGACGCCCTGATTAAGAAGATGGCTAACCAGGGCAATTGTCACTTCAACCTCATGATTGTTCCAATGCGATGTAGTCATTGGATCTTCGCTGTTGGGATCACCTTCTGGGTAGCGATGATCTAGCCAGAAAAGGCGCTTCCGCATTCCCACAACTTCTGGATAATCAAGAACTGATGGCGCATCTTGTAACCGTGGATACAAGGTATGGCGAATCAGACGAGATATCGGTGGGGCCATTCTTCGTTGGGTCTCTAGGCTGCAGAATGGGATTTGAATTCCGACCTCATCTTCGGGGTTGACCAGCCTCTCGAATAGTGATCGGTCGAGTGCATATTGTTTACCTTCAACACTCTCACGAGAAAGTCCGTAGTTTTGGATCTGGGGTCTGAGCTGCTGGTGATCACCAATGAGAACCATTTGTTCAATGGATGGAAGCAATGAAGTCAACAAATGAGCTTCCAGAACTTCTCCGGCTTCCTCGCAAATCAGAACTCTGGACCTCAGCCGACGCAACATGTTCAAGCTCCGTGCGAGACCTGTAGTTGTGACTCCGACGACATCAGCATCGCGAAGGCATCTCAGGTCGAGCTCATCTCTAATGCCATCCCAGGACGTCTTGGTCTCGGCATGGGAAACAAGCATTGAATGTGCATTGTTGTAAGCTTCAGTCCTCTGTGTTTCTGTCCAATGTTGGTAAAGAACCTTCCGCTCTCGGGCGGTCATTTGATCGACATGAACTTTAAGAAGAGTCTCCAAATCGCGGGGCTGGTTGCTATTTTGTTTCGCGCCCCTTAACCACGATCCGATAATATCACCGGATTTCGTGTTCGAAACTCGCTGCCAACCATCATCGTCTTCGCCAAAGAGCTGATTGTAATGGAAATAGTCGATTTTCTCAAGATGATATTTGAGACCTCTCTGGGTACCAATGATGTCGAGGTTGAGTTTTCGAAACTCAATTGCCTGCAGCTCAAGTGTTCGGTGCAAATTCCACTGATCCCTCCTCTCCATTCGGGTTTTCTCTCCCTCACGGGCAACTCGTCGAAGATTCAGCGGCTCCAACATATCAGACTTTGATTGGGAGCCGATGCGAATGATCTGTGATGTGATGTTACTCTTCAAGATGTCTTCCAAGAGCTGGTCGAGTGCATGGTTTGTGTAGCAGACGCATATGATTGGCCCGAGTCCACCCTCGATGTTCATCTTGTTTGCTAACAACACCTTGATCAATGCCACACCGGTGTAGCTCTTCCCAGTTCCTGGTGGGCCTTGAATCAGGCCAATGCGTCGTTGCAATGAGCTCACTAGGGCGGTAGCCTGTGCAAGGTCCAGAGAGGAGTGTCGCTGAAGTCTTTCGACCTCTGCCGGCTGAGAAGGATGGACCTTCAGTGTCGTGCCATCATTCATCAAGCACTTTAGATCAAAACTGAATCCTGGCGATGTTGCATAGATAGGGGGTGGTACATCGGTCAAAAGTGAAAGTGACTCCAGGTCCTTGGGGGCGAGATATTCAGACATAGACACTTGTCCAGTCTTTTGCATCTGTTGGAGAGCGAGTAAGGTTGGCTGGAATGAAGGCAACAAAATACCTGGAAATTCGACCAATGAAATCTTCAAAGGGTTTCCCGTGGATCTCATAACCTGGCAGTCAAAGATGTACTGCCAATTTTCCCTAGTGGGCTCCACCAGCTCTAGGATAATGGATGCCCGCTGAGGGTCTTCCGACAGCGAGCTAGACAAGACCTCACGCTCATCGGTGGCGGCTGCCTTCTTGTTGGGTCGAGGAGGGGTATAGACCACACAGAATGTTGCGAATCCCCTTGGATCGAGGAGGCACACAAGCGCACTTGACTGAAGTCGTTTGGAGAGACTCCACCATTCCTCTCGCTTCTTTTCTTCGACCAGTCCTCGGACATTCATTGGTTGGCTGAAGCTCACTACAAACTGCAACCCAGAAGTCTTATGGAGATCTGCACCTTCAACCGTGACTTGTTTGTACACATGAGTTCGCGTCTGAGCTCTAGGACTCTTGTTGTGAGGACTCGGCCACAGCTCAGCATGAATCACATCTCGCAGTTGACCAATTGTATCCTCTCGCAGCAGGCGAAAGTTTCTGTCGAGGAGCCCAGAAATTCCATTGACATGCCATTGTCGAGGGTCTTTCACTGGAAGATACTCCGCACGAGAGCTCGTTATTTCCTCGAAGGTTGGCATGATCTTGATTCTTGTGATGTTCTCATGGTCATTGTCGTGGCGGCCACCGGGCGGGTCTCTCTGAGTGACGAACGTAGCAGGCTTCTGGACAGGCGTAACCTTCTTCAAATTGCCCAGCAAGTTTGGCAGAGCCAGCCCAACATCAAGCTGGCCCTGTAGACGTTCCAGGTATTGAACTGACTTGTGAAGGGAAATTGCTTCGTTTGAGGCTGAAAGCGTGGTGAGGAGTTTCGCAAACTTGATGGCAACGTTTTTCAAGCCATCATGAACAAATGCTGTCGAGTTCAATTCGATGACCTGAGAGAAAGCGAGTAGAGACATCTCGAGATGATTGGCGACATCCAGGGGATTTCCAGTTTCCGATTCCGCATATTCCGCTAGAAACATGAAGAATGGATGAGCCCGACGACCCTGAGGGCCAAAGATGCAGTTGTACATTGTAACCACAGCCTGCTCAAGTACCAGTGATGCCACAACATTCGGGAAGGTAATGACCTCCAGGAAAGGAAGAATCTCATCGTGAAAGATCACCTTTTGCCCAGCCGCCGAGAAGGGCGTAAAGTCACGCTCAATGAGCTCTTGGATCCGTTTCAACCCACCTTCCGAGGAGAGGCATTTGATGACACTTTGCATTGTGGTCTCGTCGGTTCCCATGAGTCTTCTCGCTTCCTTGAAGAAGGAACCAATGAGTCCACCCAGTGGGCGCGCGAGTGGGCCAGCGGAATTCTGGGCTCTCCATCTCCCGAATGCAACATGTTCGTCCGTGTGTTCTCTGCTTGTCCTCGATGATCTGTTAGTGGGGGCTCGGCCTGTGGACTGTTGGGTGTGGTCGGATCGCGAACGATTGGAGTGGCTGGAGTCGCCTCCAGCGAACTGACGACGAGTTCTATGATCATCAGCAGGGTGCGCCATCTCCATATGAGGATTACTTACTTTTTCCCCGCCATGGGGCACAGCGGCTCGCCTAGCCCTTCGTTTTTCGATGTCTGAAGGTCAGAAAAGAAAGCGATGCAAGATGGTGAAAGGATTGAGATAATGTTTTTGAATGTGAACAGAAAGAGAAAGAGAAAGAAGAGAGAGAGGAAGAATAGGAAGTGGGATGGAGGGACAAACAGGAAGTAGTGACAGGTCGAGAACACTCCAAAGGCAGCAACCATCAAACAATACAGAAGCAAACAACATTCCTTCTCAATGACAGTGTTGCTGTCCTTGGTAAATGTCGCTAGTTACGAAACAAGGTCTCCCAATGGCGGATGTATATTTACCTTGAGAAGTTTACCCAGAGCCCACGATTTTCAGCAGACAGGACAGAACCTCAACCGACCACAGGCGATACAACAGCACTTTCCTGGTCATGATACCGCTAACCTGTCAGTGGAATATTCATCGATCTTGGATCAAGAGTCTAGATACTCCATACGGACTTCCATACTCTAGAAGCCTCCACACCCCCTCGGAACAATTCACACAAAAATCCAAGATTCCAAGGCTGCATGCATGTGCCAGATCGAGCCCCAGGGCTCTCCGCATCCTACTCAACCAGCTCTTGACATGTTCACGGGTCTTGCTGCGAAGGAATCAGTGCTCTGCGTCACTCTATGAGATTCCGGGGCAAGGGGCGCCTGGTGAACGACCGGGGAGCAAGGCATCGGTTTCCTAGCACCACTTCATAATCTCTACGCAGACAGACCTCGGGGTCAACACATATATGCTTTAGTATGGGATTCGTGGTCTTTATCCAACGAGTACCTGGCCAGCGTATCCAGTGTTCCCGAAGTTTGCGACAACCACCCCGTCCGGCTTCTCAATTCACTTGCGTAGTGGAGGATGTAATACAATGACAGCACAGAGTAATCCTAAGTAATCGTAAGTTTATTGGATCGCTGGTGGATTTCAAAACGATATTTATTCGATGGAGTCTCAGGTCAAAGAAAGGATCAGACGGTGACGGCCACCTGGGTTGTCCACCTGGCACCACATGACTTGAATGTGATCAAACGTGGCTTGCCCATTTGCCATGCGTGTGAGAGACAACGCTCACACCAGTTAACCGTCAAGCCCAGCAACTGCGCACTTCAATCCATGACAGATTCCATCGCCTGGATCTGAACAGCGAGGCCTGCGTTCATAACATCATCGACCTTCATACACATCGCAATGCTCTCCCCGACAAGGGTGGCGCTTTCCGCCACATTGCAGAAGGTGCCAATTTCTTCATGCCGCTTGACGAGCCGATCCTAAACCATCTGACCCTGGCCTGCGCCGGTACCGGAGCGAATGCATCCAGCTTCTCGAAGCCTATCACAACCAAGCAGTTTTATGCCCGACTAAGAGCGGAGCAGCTTCGGTTGAAGTCTGCGCGGAAACCCAAGGCCCCACTGCCCACCGGAACGAGTGGCGGAAAGAAAAATCGATGGGCTTCCGGAGCCTTGCGAAGAATCGACGCTCCTAGCGGGGAGCTCCGACTGCCCAAGTTTGCGAAGCAGATCTGTCAAAATCCTGCGCTCTTCGGCGTAGTAGGCAAGAATCTTCTTTGCAACCAGTGTCGGGGCTTCAGTACGCAATGCGGTTATCAAGTTGCCTATACGGCTTGCGTAGTGCGGGCTGAAGACCGATGAACCGCCTTTCCTCTGGAGCAACGATGATTGACTCACCTAAATGAAAAATGATGGGCAATAATTTCGCTCCGGCCCTATCAGGATGCGACTTGAGAAACAAATCGGTGGGACCGTCGATTGAGTTGGTGGGTTTGATAAGTCTGTAGGGTGGCCCCGGGGCTATCAGAGTGGTACGCAACGGTACCAAACCCCATTGCTTTTGAGGCTTCGATGTCGATGAACAGCTGGCTGGCTCGGTCGTAATGTGCGAACCATTGCGGGCGGCGGAACTCGTTTTGTAGAGTCTCAAACGTTTGTAGCTCCTCTGGTGTCGGATTCGACAGGTGTGTTTGCCTTGCAAAGGACTTCCTCGCCGGACCGGCAACTGGGGCACCTCGTAAAAGCCTCGTCTTGCGGTCCTAGAGGGGCTGGGCCTTGCCTGCGTACATACTTGGTGAGCATCGATACCTCTCGCTCATGAATGAAGAAAGAAGTGGAGGGGTTGCTCGGCTGGCGTGGGGCTCGGTGATGCGGATGATTCTTTCTCATGGACCCGAATGACAAACTCGCTGGTTTGGCTCATCATCCGGCATTGCCCCTGCATCTGTGTGCAATGGTGTCTGGACCTGGTCATGCGCTCACAACGAGATAGCTGGGTCGCTTGGACACACTCTTTGAGGTTCCGTGCAAGGACCCGAGGTGGAAGCTGCGCCGGATCAGCACTCATGATCACCCTTTTGAGGCTTGCATAGTTTGCCATAATAGGAATGAAGCAAAGGTTTCTAAGATCTTGAAGCCTCTTCAATCAGGAGGTAAAGCCTTTTGTGTCTCGGGTCCCAGTACTGTTCGTTGGTGATATCGTGCACGTCAATGTTTCCCGCTGGTTACGTTGTTCGAACTCACGCAGAATCTTCCGTGCTGCGGTATTCGCGGTGCAAGGGATCACACGGGCTCTCTCACAACAGAACGCTTGTAGTTTACCCCACAGCGTCTGGAACCCCTCCTGCAAATCCTGAAGTGATCTGGAGAGATGACTAGAAGCCTCCCTAGTTGGATCGCAAGGCTCCACCTGGAAAACATTCCTTATTCTCGGGACTGGCTGCTAGTACGCAAACTTCATTAGCAATTCTTCCCCGCGCGAGAATCTTCGGATTGCGATTGCGACAGTCGCGCTGTGGTCTGTGTATATGACCGCTGGCATGTCCTGTGGGCAAGACCCGATCACCGGTCACGGCTTTCACGCTGCCCAGACCAGACATCCTACCTCGAATTCTGTTGGCCAGTATTTTTTTTTTCTGTGGCTGTCAGTGGGCTGTTCGGGAAGCAGATTGGTCGTACGCCTCATTGGTGCGGCGGTGTTGTCAGGTCTCCGGGCTGTGTGTCTGAGTGATGAGCGACTGCCCCGAAACCCGTCGCTTTAGAGGCGTCAATGTCAAGGAATAACTGACAGATTCTGTTGCAGTGAGCCAGCCACTGGGATTTCCAAAATTTGTTCTATATCGCCTGAAATGTCCGAAGCTCGCCTTCGGTTCATTTCCACGGTTGGGGAGGCGGGTCTGCCTGGAGAATTTCTTCCTCTCCGAGCCAGTGAATCCTGGCCACGAGCAGTGTCTCGGATTCGTGAAACAGCATATCTTCCGAACGAAAGGTGATCCGTGTTTGGAAACGAATCTGGCGTCGCCTCCAGGCATGCTGCTCAACATCGGACAAAGATACGTCCTTGAGCTCTGAAGGGACCCGTGGACCTTACCCAGGTCAGCATTCGCAGTTGGCCTCGCGCTCTTGTCTCGCCTTCATTCAGAAAATCAAGCGTACAAGCCGAAACTTGTTTTCTTAGTAATCCCAAGGGTATTGTGTCGTGTTGATAAGATTGGGATTCTGTCACTAACAACGGTCCAGCCGTCAGTCGCTGGAAAGTGGATCTCGAGCGCACGGGTAGGGCGTTTCGCGGGCTACCAGGGCTTTCTTTTGAGGGCCCGGGGTAGCTGTGAGGGGCTGTGAAGCGAAACAGGAAGCCTGTCCACCATGTGGGCATCGCAGAGGCTGTCTTGAGGCAGGACCACCGTGAGGAGGCCTTGAGGCCTACGTGGCGGGTCTGTCAGTAATGCCTGCTGGGCATTAATTTTGCACTGGAGGCAACGAATCAACACCCGGGCCCCAGAATCGGTCGGCGTACACTTTCTTCACAATTCAAGGGGAGATTGTGCCTTGCTCGATATGCCATTCAACAGGCCACGTCAGTTGACAGCCGAATGGAAATGTTTCCATAGAGTCTTGAATCGTGAATGCGGGGCTATCAATGGCCTCCACAAGTTCATCTAGGCCTGCTAGCCAAGCTATGCTCCTGAGAGGACCCACACACGATGTACAGGCTAGAGCTAGGTGTTAGAAAGATCGGGGAGTCTTGCGAGGTTGGGGTCAGTTTCATCACTCACGACTTTTTCCGTCTTCCAACTTTGAAAAAATTCCTGGATATAAGTGGGAATCGTCGGCTCGGGATAGCCAAGATCACAATCCCAGATGGGCCGCAATCCATATTTGGCCAACTTCGCTAAATCGCGGGAATCGCCACGGGGGCGCGGCCGGCTTGAGCCGGGCGCCGAGCCAGGCGGCTAGTGGCAAAGTAGCCTGAGCCAGCCCTGCAGCGAGCTTGCAGATGGTTCAAGCTCGGGGGGGTTTGGTAAGGGGTGGTGGTAGAGAGGTGGAGAAAGAAAGAAGAAAGAAGAACAGAGGGTTGGAATGAGATAAATAGGAAGGATGTAGGCAAACTTCCAAGGTTGGAAGGCAGGTGCTGGGATATATATGCGGCAGGTATTCTTCACTTGGGCATCCATAAATCCAGATCATAACCTTGGAAGGATCTGAGGAACAAAGTGATAATCTTTCATTTGTTACCTGGGCATTCACTTTTTGATTTTAATGAATATTTGAATAAAGTGTTAATACTTCATTTCCGGTTCAGTTGTAAAGTTTTCTTAGATCTTTACACTCCTTCCAAGGAGGAAGATAATCCAGTTATTTAGTTCAGCAAACAGCGCATTTGAGACCTTGCTCCCTTTCATCAAGTCGTGGCTCCATAATCTGAGTCTAAACACAGTACAGTATATCTTGTGGAGCTGGGGAAATGCTTGTCAACGCCAAGTCCACCAGTTGACGGGTGTGGGCGAAGGCGGCGAGGGCGCGGAACGGCACTGGGAGTGGAGAAAAGCCAACTCCCACTGCATACAACATTCGCACACCACCACAATTGCCTCAACATGTCCGGCCCTGCATCCAGAGTCCACATTCTGGGTCTTGGAAGCATTGGTTCCTTGATCGCGCACTCACTGCGATCTCTGCCCAATCCCCCTGCTGTGACACTACTTGTTCATCGCGAAAGTTTATATCGGGAGTACGCTGCAAAGAGCTGGAAAATCGGTCTCCAAGTCAGCGAAACTGGCCCAGTAAAGGAGCAAGGGCCATTTGATCGCGAATTAATTAGTAACTCTCGCTTGGACCCAATCGATCATCTGATTGTTTGCGTCAAAGCACCTGCGACGGCTTCTGCCCTCGAACCCATCAAGCATCGACTCGGGAAGCACTCTACGCTATGCTTCTTTCAAAATGGAATGGGTCAGATTGAGCGATTGAATCAGCGGGTCTTCCAGACTCCTTCGGAAAGGCCGAGCTACCTCTTTGGCATCGTGCGACATGGTGTCTACTTGAAATCCCCAACTGAAGCTGTGCTATCCGGCCTAAGCGGTTGTGCTGAGATTGGCAAAGTTCCCTCAGACTCGGCTCCGGTGCCAGGGGATTCCGACTTTCTCTTGAACACCTTGCTACAGGCACCTAATCTTCGATGCACACAAGTGGAGTGGGCGGATCTTCTTCAGATCCAACTGTTAAAGCTGGCAACAAACTGCGTGTTGAATCCTCTGACGGCGATTTTAAATATTCGCAACGGGGCTATCAAAAATAAGCCAGCAGTTGAGACGATCTATCGCGACATCTTGAAGGAGATCTCTCTTGTTTTCGCCAATCTGCCGGAGCTCCAGGCCCTGCCTCATGATCGAAGTCGTTTTTCATCAAGTGCACTGGAGGCTTCTATGCTGGACACAGTGGATAAGACCGCTGGAAATTCCAGTAGTATGCGCGAAGACATTCTGAAAGGCCGTGGGACGGAAATTGAATACATGAACAATTGGATTGTCAATCGCGGCGAGGAGCTCGGTATTCCGTGTCCTGCAAACCGTCTCATGACACAATTGATTCTAGCAAAGACATTAACAAAGGCTTCGGATGGGAGGTAGTCATGATAAAATGACAAAATTGAAGTGTTGCGATTTTTCGAGGATGCGGTTAGGCGACTGCATCAATCAGGGGTTTTCTCATGGTATACACTTTGGTAGTCTGTTTCACTGGGTAGTAGTACCTTTGTTAGCCCCTGGTCCTACCTAGTATCATACAACGTACTGTCATATGAAAAACGCGGTTTGTTTACGACGAACGCTAAACGAAGGAAAGTGTTAGCCGTATGAAATGTTTCAGACAACGTACGCAGGTGGGGGCTGAAACCCCTAAGCGGGCAACCGTCGACGGCAAGTCGCAGGCTCCAGGTTCAACAGCCCCAATTGGAGACTGGAACTTGTCCATGCTGACTCGGCTCCTCAAGTTGGAACTTCGAACGGACATGGTCTTCGGCTTGTCGCAACTTTACGTTGTTCTAACCAATTTCCATTTTCAAGCCCAACTTTGAATTGCAGACTACCAAAGATCTCATCTAGCGTTAACCCCCAAGGCCGGCTATCCAGAAAGATGATTGACGGATCAATTAATACTGCTGGAGAGATCCTTCATGTTATACAAATCCGCGTCCTTAATCTTTCGATAAGCCCTCGAGGTCATGGGAAACTGAGTCGTGGCATTGAATCCATCAACCATGGGTTCAACGACAAAGTCGACATCTCTCTGTACCTCGCCGTACTGGAAGATTCCAAGGCCTGTTTATTCCAAAGTCCTCTACCCAGGAGCCGTTTGTCACATATTTTTGCAACCGAGGTGTTGACAACTAACGTACTTTTGTTTTTGCGTGTGGGCTTCTGTCCGAACTACGCCTACCACTCAACTGTGTAAGCATCTCAGCTGAAATGAGCTTCAGGGGTGATGCCGAGCCAGCGTCTTCGGCAGTGACTTGCTGTCGGTCCACTGCCCTACCGGTCTTTGGCGACTGCTATGGCTCAGGCCAGTGATCCGTGTTGATGGAGGTGGATCTGGAATGCCATCGGGAAGGCATCCGAGTTGGTGCAGGGGTTTCGGCAGTTGTCGTCATAGTTGGGCTTCACTCCTTACCTTCCGGCCCACATCACGGTGGTCCTGACAGAGGCAGAATTTTCATCACTGACATAGGAACGCGCATTCCCTCTTCAATCAGCCTTGGAAGAACCGAGGACTGAAGATCAGAGAGCCCATTCAGCAGATTCCCTCGAACGGTCTTTGCGGAAGTTGACGGTGCCAGTCATATTGCAACGCCTAAGCGAGGCTACTCGAGGATCATCTGCAAAATTGTGGGCAAATGGTTGTGAGGTGTGTATTTCAGTTGCAATGAATTGGCGAGTCAAACAGATCAGCCCCACCGTAAACTCTAATTCCCAGTCTTGGCTGCCACTTTGGGACTAGCGGATATGCGAAGTAGTTCAGCACGAGGATGTTGCGATTTGGCCATGGACATGGACGTCGGTTGTGTCAATTCTGAACATGCCACCTTCACCTCCCTCTGCCAGACGACATGGGCATCATACGCCTTGGATTAGAACTCCCATCGTCCCACGAGACCTACTATGATCACAATGGAGACAGCTCCTCGGAGCCCATCTCTGGCTCTATACGTCTCACAGCACCGACGGAGGCAGAGTTGAAGAGCCTCGAAGAGATCCGAGTATCTCTCGTGTTAAGGGTCTCTACCTCGACCGAAGACGAGACTAAGCAAAGCCCACCCATCTCGAGTCGTATTTCCCGTCTCATGTCACTTGGTTCACCAAACACCAAGCAAAGAACACATACGTACTCCGTGCTGGAGAAACTCACACTCAACCTACCAGCTGTCTCAGCGGATGCCCGCGTCGGCTACTCCCCCGAGACAGGAATCATCTACAAAGTCCCCTTTTTCATCCCAGTCCCTGCCAACCTGCCACCAACGACGGTGACCGAACAAGGGGGCACATCACTTTTAATCGTGGCTGCTGCAGCAACGGCCGATGGAAATGTTATTGATACGAGCCAGGAACTCCACATTATTCGCCACCTGATCACTGATGTCGATCCAGTCCAACACACTCGCACATATGAGACCTCAAGAGCCATTCGTGATGTGACCCTCAGCCAGAACCTGGGGCAATGTACAGCGTCGAAACTTTCACTTTCAGCAAAAATATCCCTCCAGCACCCAACGACGCCTGCCAATCGCGCCATGGAATTCAAATGTGTGGCAGTCCGTGCCCTGCAATGGCGGATGGAGGAGGTCACCAGAATCTTCACCAAACCACACGCCCCTCGCCCACCACCAGACAGCCTTACCGGCTGCGAACCCATCGAAGAAGCTTCGTTTACTCGAGAATTATTCCATGGACATCAAAGGGGTTATTGGGGGACGGCGGATAATCCCATGGTGAAGAATCCATCAGACGGAGAGAAGGGGTCGACCATTGACATCCCGCTGGAGATCGGGATCCCGCAAACCGTTACACCCGCGCCCGAAGTCGGTCTGGGATGTTATGAGTTCGACTCGGAACCGGTTGAGTCCTTATCCAATAGACCACCCGCACGCGACACGGTGGGGCAACAAATCGTCACTGTCGAACACCGGCTCCGACTCGATGTCCTCCTTTGTGAGGATTGTTTTCGCGCCCAAAACAAAACCCTTGTCGACCGTAAACCCCTCCCGGCTGCTCTTGGTGCGTCGTTCCCGATCTATATTGGCCTGCAGGCCTCAGGCAGCGAGTGTCTGTTCCCGGCTGTTCCGCCGTGTTATGCGAGTCTCCCGGCCTCACCACCACAATACGAACTCTGATTCCCCACGCACTGCGATCGTGGCGTTTATACGCCACATCTTAATTATTCACGTTTAATTCGACGAAGACTTCACCCAAAAGTGAAAGTGAAGTTCCTCCGAAAAACCCTGCGTCATAGTGGAGTCCGAGTAATTTTGGTAATAACACGATACCGTGCAAAACTTTTCTCGAAACGGGGCGTCTATCCTGTTTAACGAGAGTTCCTCTCTTTTCCCTTTTCCCTTTATTAACCCCCCAAACCCACTTTGGACATTTGTTTTGGACTCGACAGCGACAACTCCCCCTTTGCGACCAAACCATTCCCGGAACCCTACCCTTGGATTACAGCCTTTGCGACCTATCTCAGCCTGTGCGACTTTCCACTGCGACAACTCTACTCAGCCGTTGCGACATACATGATACCAAAGCACCATGGAGAAATCTCAGAAGCCCAACGCAGATTCCAGCTTAGAAGCCCTCGGGTATACCGCCGAACTGTCACGGAATCGATCAACATGGCAGGTGATATTCATGTGCTTCATCTTGGCCTCCGTGCCCTACGGATTATCGACGACAATGAACTATGCCATTCAAGGCGGTGGCTCAGTCTGCATGATCTGGGGCTGGATCCTAGTCTCGCTGATCATGCTGTGCGTCTGTAGTTCCCTAGCAGAGATAACCGCCGTCTACCCCACCGCCGGTGGCGTCTACTACCAAACCTTCGCCCTCTCCCCGCGCTGGTGCCGTCGCGTCACATCCTGGATCTGTGGCTGGTCCTATCTCGCGGGTAATGTGACTATTACGCTGGCCGTAAACTTCGCGACCGCCCTCTTCCTCGTGGAGAGTCTCAATGTCTTCAAAAATGCAGACGGTGCAGGTATTGCTGAAAATTTCCAGGCGTATCAGACGTTCTTGATCTTCATTGCCATTACACTTCTTACTCATGCTGTGCCCGCCTACGGGAACAAGTGGCTCACGCATATCGAGGTACGTGCTCTCCTTTCCCGCTATGCCCGTGGCTAATATCGTGTCCCACTAGACTTTTGCCATCTTCTGGACTCTGATTGGTGTCACTGCTCTTCTGGTCACCATTCTCGTGGTCGCTCGCAATGGTCGCCGCTCAGGCGAATGGGTCTTTACCTCCTTTGAGCCTCAATCCGGCTGGCCAGACGGCTGGTCTTTCTGCATTGGTCTCCTCCACGCTGCCTACGGTCTCTCCGCAAGTGGCATGGTGACATCGTGAGTAATCCCCAGCCCACCAACACCCAACCCATCTAACAATAACAGAATGTGCGAAGAAGTCCGCAAGCCCTCAGTCCAAGTGCCCCGCGCCATCATCGGCGGTGTTCTTCTCAACGCACTAGCCGGTCTGGTCTTCCTTCTCCCCGTTGCATTCGTCCTCCCGGACATCTCCATGCTGGCCCAAATCGTCTCCGCCCAACCAGTCCCAACCATCATCCTCTCCGCCACCGGTAACTCCGCCGGCGCATTCTGCCTCCTCATCCCTCTCCTCGTTCTCGGTCTCACCTGTGGTATTTCCTGCGTGACAGCCACATCTCGCTGCACCTGGGCCTTTGCGCGTGATGGCGCCATTCCCGGCTCTGGATGGTGGAAGAAGGTCGACGAGCGATGGGGTATTCCCCTGAACGCCATGGCTCTCGGCATGGTTGTCGAAATTGTCCTGGGATGCATCTACTTCGGATCAAGCACTGCTTTCAACGCCTTTTCCGGCGTTGGCGTCATCTTCCTCACTCTCAGCTATGCCTGTCCTGTCGCTGTGTCGATGTTCCTTCGTCGTCGCAAGGAAGTCAAGCAGGGTTCTTTCAACCTCGGTCCCCTGGGCTGGTTCTGCAATGTCGTGTGTATTTGTGAGTTCCCCCACGAACCCCCATCTTATTTATATTCATATTCTAATGTCCGCAGGCTGGTCCCTCCTCGCCCTCCCGCTTTTCTGCTTCCCCACAAATGCGGGCGTGACTTTGGAAACTATGAACTACGCCGTCGTTGTTTTCGTGGGCTTCCTTCTAATTTCGGCAGTCTGGTACGGCGTATGGGGTCGTAAGAATTATGTCGGCCCTGCGCTTGAGAGTTTCGACAATGGCTCTCTTAGCAATGAGAGCTCGGATGAGAGAAGTGAGCATAAATGTTAACTTGCATATTTTAGGCGATGCAAGGTTGGTCTGGCCGATTAGAGCTGGCACTCTTTCGGTTGTGTACATACTGTGTTCGTGTCTATAGAATTTACTGCATAGCTTTTTCTTTGATTTTGCTCGGTTTCGTATCGCCCACAGTACTCTGTATGGCCTCAAAGAATAGCGGTAAGTACTTTCGTACCCAACACCAATACCCCGCTAGGCACTCGACCAGGGTTTCAAATGTTGCCGGAATCTCCCGGGTAGGATGTCTTGGATGTCGATTTTACGTACAAATTCGATTTCAAAGACCAATCCTTGGGTCTTAATACGAGGTGATACGAGTTTACAATGAGAGAAAGTGTTGACGTATAGCTTCAATTGAAGAACTACACGGTCACAATCGGCCCATGGGGCCTACACAGAGGTATCACGATTAAATCCCATCCGTACGCAGTGTTGAATGCAAGACCATCCCAGGTCAATCCCACGCCAAAACAAAACAATAAGAACACACCAGTCTCTGGTGCAGGCCACTTTTTATGCCGTTGAAGGACAACCACTTTTGAGTTCTAAGTTGATGTGAACTCATATGCCAATCATAACATCGTCGAAATCATGTTGAAAGTCTATTCAAGAATATTCAAATATCAAACGCGAGAGGAAATTAGTAGCGGTAGATCTCGCTCTTGAAAGGACCGTTGACGTCGAGGCTGAGGTACTCGGCCTGGACGGGGGTGAGCTGGGTGAGCTTGGCGTTGACGTGGTCCAAGTGGCAGCGAGCGACCTGCTCGTCGAGCTGCTTGGGGAGAACGTAGACACCGATGGGCTTGCGGCCGCCCGCACCGAACTCGATGTACTTCTTGCCGAAGGCGGCGTCCTCGGCCTTGAAGAGGGCGATCTGGGCAAGGACCTGGTTGGAGAAGGAACAGGACATGACGAAGGAAGAGTGGCCGGTGGCACAGCCAAGGTTGACAAGACGACCCTCGGCGAGGAGGATGATGTTCTTGCCGTTGAGCTGGTAGCGGTCAACCTGGGGCTTGATGTTCTGGACGGACTGGGAGTTGGCCTTCAACCAGGCGACGTCGATCTCAATGTCGAAGTGACCGATGTTGCAGACAATGGCGTCGTTGCGCATGGCCTCGAAGTGACGGCCAACAAGGATGTCACGGCAACCGGTGGTGGTGACGAAGATCTGGCCAACCTTGGCGGCCTCCTCCATGGTCTGGACCTCGTAGCCCTGGACGGCGGCCTGGAGGGCGTTGATGGGGTCGACCTCGGTGACAATGACACGGGCACCCATGGAGTGGAGAGCCTGGGCACAACCCTTACCGACATCACCGTAACCGGCGACGACACCGATCTTACCAGCGATCATGACATCGGTGGCACGCTTGATACCATCGATGAGGGACTCACGGCAACCGTAGAGGTTGTCGAACTTGGACTTGGTGACACAGTCGTTGACGTTGATGGCGGGGACCTTGAGCTTGCCATCCTTGAGCATCTTGTACAGGTGGTGGACACCGGTGGTGGTCTCCTCGGAGACACCGAAGCAGTCCTCGAGCTGCTCGGGGTACTTCTCGTGAACGAGGGAGGTGAGGTCACCACCGTCGTCAAGGATGAGGTTAAGCTTCTTGCCATCCTTGAAGGCGTTGAGCTGCTGGTCCAAGCACCATTGGTACTCCTCCTCGGTCTCACCCTTCCAGGCGAAGCTGTTCCAGAACTCAAATCAGTAATTGCTCAAGCTAGCGTGGGGACCTTGGGGTGGCTTACACAGGGACACCGGCGGCGGCAATGGCAGCGGCGGCGTGGTCCTGGGTGGAGAAGATGTTGCAGGAAGTCCAGGTGACCTCAGCACCGAGGGCAGTGAGGGTCTCGATGAGGACAGCGGTCTGGATGGCTGGGATAAGGTCAGCCTCAGCTTCGGCTTATGCGCAGACAATAAACATACTCATGTGAAGACAACCGGCAATGCGGGCACCGGCGAGGGGCTGGTCAGCACCGTACTTCTCACGGATGGCCATGAGACCGGGCATCTCAACCTCGGAGAGCTCGATCTCGCGGCGACCGAAGGCGGCGAGAGACTATCAGGGGTCAACAGTGGGAAAGAAAAACATCGGGGATTGGAGGACGTACGAGGTCAGCGACCTTGAACTTCTGTGCGGGGGCAGCCATTATGATTGTATGTGTCTGATGGATGTCAGTATAGGGAATTGAATTGACCAGAGTGGATGATTTACCAAATATGTATTGATGGGAGAAGGAAAAGAAGAGAAGAGAAGAGAAGAGGAGCAGAGGAGGGGGTGAAGGAAAACTCTCCGCCCACCAAAGTACCGGTACTGCCAGTCCCACGACCGCAATATGCACGTGCAAGTACCTGTACCCAACGAGTCCGTAGTGGGCTGACAGAGTTTGGCGGGGTCCAATCTTACCTAATCGGGCAATTCGGTAGGTGAGACGCCCACCGCCTGCCGATTCCTATACCAGTTGACCAGAGCAACTAGGGCTAGTACTGTACATCCATTCCTACATTAAATATGCCCGAGGCGAACACATCTGTTCAAGCGCAGAGGAAAGCAGGCTACGTGTCAGGTCATACTCCGTACTCCGTATCGTGTACCTAGAGCCACGTTCATCAAACGCTGCAGCAGGGGAGAAAATAGAGCCCATAAAATAAAACGAGAGGATGGGAATAACTCATTTCAAAGGCTCACGGGCAAAAATCAATAAGGGGATCCACCGGGGCGATCACATCAAGTCATAGTCTCATATCATAAATCATGAAAAGCATAAAGGTCAGACGGCAGACAAGAGCCTAGTAAGAAATCTGCGGCGCCTCATGAGCCGTGTAGGGATTCCCATCATTGTAAATCGGGGTGTATTCCTTCCAGGAATCATTCGAAGACGGAGCATATTCGATCTCGTCAGGCCATCGACTTCTTCCCGGCGTACTTTGGCTCTTGGCACGACGCATCTCCCGCTTCACAGCACGATGAACACACTCATCGTGGAAATGTGTGTTTTCCTTGCGTTTCTCATTCACCTCCTTCCATTCTCCGTAGGCACCCTTGATACCAAGCGCCGCAAGACCGATACTCACGGCGTCCATGGTGTTAGCTTTGATACGACGTTTGCGAGCTTCGTCAGGTGAGATCTCGCCCTCCTTCAACTGCTGCATGCGCTGCTTTCTCTTCTCCACACTTCCATAGAGACCATGGGCGGCGTGGATAGTCGCAACACTAGCCAAGCCACTCGTCACCAGAAGATCACGCTTCAACTTCTTTTGTTTTTTTTTCTCGTCAGAACTGTCGCCTAAGTCAGAATCACTCTCGGAGTTTGAGTGGCCACGGGGCGTCGCATCGCGTGGAGCACTGGTTGGCGCACTGCGCGCCGATGCATAGGGGGGATCTTGTCCGCCGTTCAGTGAACGCGTTCGACCTACATCTCTCGAGCCTTTGCCTCGTCGTGAGTCCCTGCTGTAATAATCACTTTCCGAATCTGAACCCGAGTCGTCATATCGTCGGCGATGGCGCCGATCATCGTCTCTTCCGTATCCCCGGCTCTCTCGGTAGTCCCGGTGCTCTCGTCGATGATCTCTGCTGTCTCTGCTCCGATGATCTCTGCTGTCTTCACGACGATCCCCTTGCTCGCCTAGTCCGAGGGCTGCCATTCCCTTGGTGATGTAGTCCTGAACGCTCTTGCTTCGCTTCGAGGACCCACGCTCATCATCGCTGCGGGAACCATGACGACCGCGTGAATCATCACGACCACGGGGTCGAGACCGAGATCGCGAGACCCGGTCAAAGATTTCCTTTCCGGCAGCGGTAATGGCACCAGTGGCAGCAAGGTTCTTCAGACCATTGCCAGCCGAGTTCCGGCCACGGGAATGGGAGCGTGAGCCGCCGCCCATGAAATGACTAGCGGCCAGACCAGCAAGAGTCGACTCCACAACGTGGCGTGTTCCATGCTTGTTGGGATCTTTGTCGACAAGACCATCGGTACCGCCTGCAGTGACTGCGGCAGTGAGGACGCGCTTTCCCTTCGTGCCAGCCCATTCTCCGGGCTCTTTGCGTTGCTTGAAGGCCTCGACTGCGCCGGCTGTCAGGGCGGCACGGGCAGCTTGGACTATGCGCTGCTGGCTCTTATCGCGGCCACTGCCACGATGGCGACTGCGGCTGCGTGAGTCCGATGGCGATCGAGAGTAGGATCTATGGCGATGGTGTCGAGAGCGGTCGCGACCACGGCTGCTGTGACCAGACGCTGCAGCAGCACCGCCTAGGCCTAAGGCGCCTAGGGCTTGCTCGCTAAAGGACTTCTTGCGTCTGGGGCGGGGTGGGGAGCGGCTTGGAGAAGAATCAGAGTCATATCTGGGGCGACGAGAGCCTAGGTGATGTTAGTTCGGTTCCTTGATATCGATCGTTGCTGACATACGTCGTTCCTCGTAATGCTTTGTTCGACGAGGACGGGAGCGTGTGTCGTAGTGATCGTAGCCGCTGACCGAGGATGCGCGACGCACTGTCTCTTGGACTGGTCGCGCCGGGCGTCGAGTGTACCGACGCTCATAACCATAGTCGGAGCCAGGTGGGTATTCACGCTGGACTTCTTCGACAAATGAGTCATCGCTTCTGCGGGGTACATAGTCTCGGTCGTGCCTTGCATAGCGGCGAGGATCATCGTACGGATCAGCGTAGCTCACTGGGCGCGCATAGCGGTCGCGGGGTGAGTGATATCGACGGTCGTCGTAATACGACATGGCGGGGACGGTTCCAAATCAAAGATGAAAGTCGTAATTTGTGAATATCTACCATTCACTGGGACGATGCAGGTGAGGAGAGAGAGAGGAGAGAGAGCGAAAAAAAGGAGAGTATAGGGCGGGGCTGGGTGGCGTGACGTCGTTTGTGGGTTCAGATAGGATTGGGGCTGAGAGGACTTGGCAATGTGGCTAGAGATGTTTTGAGTAGACGCAAAAAGTACAAAGAAGCATCGGGTAAAAAAGAACCTTGGAATCAATTCTTATATATTTATGGAGTCATTTTGGCTCCCACCTAAATGACGTGGTGGTCTAAGTGCGTTGAGAAGGAAAAACTAGCCCCATCGAATGAGACTAGACTGTTGTGTATCGATAGATTATCTCCGACGTCATTATGCAGGGAGGATCAGGGAAATGGTCAGTGACAGGCTCTGACAGGCCCTGACAGGCCAGCCCTACTTGACCGCTGGGAAATGGCATCTGGCGTCTGCAAGGATGTCCCCCGACAGAGGAGAGACGAGGGGGGGAAACGTAAACAATGGTTCCACGGCTCGACTTCCCCGCATTCCCACTGGCCTCCGAAGTTTACGAGCTTATTGTTTCGCAGAGTATACAGGAGTAAAGAGTATACAATACATTGCATTTCATCGAGAACCTCCACTTCGGACTCGGAACATGGTACAGCTGGGATATAAAACAGTAAGCCACTAAAACAGGTAAAACACGGTAGGTTTCACACATGAAACTCCCGCGCCATGCAGATGATCGCTGAGGTATGAGAAACATGCAGATCCACGAAAATAAGGAAACCCCTAACCACAAAAAGAGGAAACGCCATGAGATAAAAAAAGAACCAAGACCCAACATTCGGAAAAATCAACAGAAAGTAAAAATCAAAGTACACCGCACAGCAGTGGCCGGGATCAAGGGACCATCAAAAAGAAAATCGAGAAAAGTCGTATACTAGACATGGTAGAACGGACACTCGCTCAGCGTGCGTTCGAAGCAGATCCAGGAACAGGTGCCCCTGGCTCCGTAAGCTGGCTGATATTGCGTTGATGGGAAGCAGCCGCGAACGAGGAGTCCGGACGAGCCACGGTCCATCGTGCCTCAGATTCGGGCTCGGACGTCGAGCGCAGATCATCAGAGTGGGTACGATGAGTGCGGATATGTTGTTTCATATTATCCTTTCTCGTGAAGGCCTTGTTGCAGATTGGACAATGCACACTCTTTTCGCCGGTGTGCTTCTTGCCATGACGAGCTGCATGGCCGGAGGTCGTGAAGGTCGCAGAGCAGCCGTGGCTGGCGGAGTAAGGGCACGGGTACTTGTTCTTTCTCCCGGTGCCCCGGGGCCCAGGCTGAGCGGTTTCAGAAGTCGACCGAGCCTCTGGGGGAGTCCTGGGAGGCGCGGGGCCGCGCGCGGGAAATCGGTAGGGCTCTTGGCGCGGGTCTTGTCGGGCATACGGGTGGTAACCGGCTGGCTGGCTGGTGATATAGTCGTAGGCCGAGCCATTGGAAGAACCCGGGGAGACGGGCTGGACGGCTTCTGTCACCGGGTCGAAGGGGTGTCTGGAGCCCCGGGGTGATGCAGCTGGAGACTCGGATGCAGCATGAGGCTGGGGGTACTCGGGCGGGGGCAGCTGTGAGTGATGGTGATAAGATGGCGAAGTTTGAGTCCGAGTGAGTCGGGGTGCGGAGCGAACCGCGAAGGATGGATGGTCGTCATTATTGAGAATGGACACAATACTCGTCCTGCAGCTGGACATCTCCTCAATGCCCCAATGAGTCGTCACCGGGGCTGGAAAATTGTACTAAATGGCAGGAATACACGTTAGTTCTGGATGTGCTAGCAGCCGGCTCAGCCGGGGGCTCTGGATATCCGTAGGAGCTCGAGAGACGGCCGTACTGAGACGAGGGAGGGAAGGTGAAGAGGGCAAGGAGGAGGAGAAAGGACATTCTCGTTCCCTACTTGCCACTCCCGGGGACACGACAAACGCACCAGCGGCTCTCGAAAGATGTTTGTCCTCTGCGTCGTGTAACAAGTCGACAACATTAGACCCTAAATCTGCACTTCGCCTGTAGACCTCAACAGAAACCTGATGACTTGAGCCTGTGCTGCGCTTGGTCTGGTCTTCTCAGGTGCCGGTAGGGACCGAAACGAGGAGTATATGCCGGACGATAGGATCTCTGCTGTCGGAGATCGGACTGGAGTCTGACAAATCGCCTCTTCTCGCAGCGGCAGGGTTTCTTCCGAGACTCAAATGCTTTCTGGCGATTTTCGCAGGGCTTTTCTAATTTTGCAATTGGATGTGGGGGGACACAATCCTTAACGGCAGTTGCAAACCGGGCTGGGGATGTTGCAGGAAGTCGAAGTCCAACGCCGGTTGTCTAACCGTGTCAAAGACAACTGCTCAGAGATCTGCTCTGGGGCTTTGGTTCCAAGCGGTCTACGCTGTGGTGAGATGGGTGTGTCAAGTGGGCGGGAGTGTGTACAAGAATATAGGTGGAGAGCAAGCAGGTATAGAATACAAATCACGAAAGGGAGAAAAGAAAATGATGACAAGCCAAACCAGGCGCAACTAAAGTTATTATACTTAAAATGCGAAAGAAGCCAAGCTCCAGGGTCTGTCGAGGCTCCCCAGAACACACGATACCGAACACGCTACGTTAGCGTAGTGGAGTAGGAGAAAATCAAAAAAAGGATATCTAAAATCCAAATTAAAAGTGGTAATCGCATAACAATACGTAGACCCCTAATCCACCCTGTGCAGACCCGTTTCCTTCTCCGTTTCTTCCGGCCCGCGACCCTGGAAGATCGTTCTCGTACTGCGCTTTCTGCGAGGATTTGGATTCGCTATAATTCTTCTAGTACATAATATTGCCTCTATTTTCAATGTCTTTTATCTTTTCTCCTAGTACAGTAATCGTTCAGCCAGAGTACCTTAACTCCGAGCGCTTACCATTCGGACTAGGGCTTCGGCTGGGTCAAGCGAAAACAGAAAAGATCCACCTTTTCGGCAGAACCGCGGACAATCATCACACCATTGGACCCTGAGCATATGAGCGCATTTAGAGTGTCACTACGGAGTACGATCTTTCCCTGCTCGGCACTACCCTAGCCCTGTAACCCTTGCAGACTAGCACACAGTCAAGCCTCCGTACCGAATACCATATACCGTATACCAGATTCATTCCCTCTGCCTTGCGACATACGTAAGTGATGATGTTGGAGACTTGGCCTGTTTGGGAACTAACTTCCGGCTCGGGAATTCCAGAGCGCAGTTTTTCTTTATTTTCTTCTCGCTGGATCTTCGCTGGATCAAAATTGGGGATGCTCCATTCTGGTTGGACCATGTTTGATTTCTTAGCGTCCTCTGGGTTGCCCATTCAGGCTAAGGCTATCGCGCCCTACGATAAAAGGGAAATTCATTTAACAAGAAAAATTAGTCGGTGTTTAAGATAGGCATTCGACAGGCCCAGCCCAGAAATTGTGTATTTTCACGAGCTCGGTGTTGCGCCGCTCAATAAGGGTAATCTGCGCCGAGTGTTCGGGTCCCGGATGTTCACCATTTACTGTACCGTGAACGTGGACGTGGACGGAGAACGGAGTAAAGTATACTACTCTATGGAGCACTATAGTATAATTCTCAAGAGAACCTTGCGATCGTCACGTCTCTCAAGATGACATTGAGGGAAAGGGACTGGCCCGTGCCTTCGTACTCGTACGCGTCCAGCACCCGCCCCGCTCCCGAGAACAGCTCCCGCCGTACATACGTAAGATGGCGACGTACGGACGCTCTGTACATACTGTAGTCCGGCTGTATTCTCAATCTCGAAGGAAGCGAAGATACTACAGTACGAACTGTGATGTTTATTCATGGATAGTACTAGTAGTAGTACTACTAATAGTGTAGGTTGAAGTCCTACTTCCCAAATGGTCTATCTGTACGAGATCATGCACATGCCATCTTCTGCACACATTAAGGACAGGTCGATCAAGCCAAGCTTCAATCCTCCGATCTGGAAATCACTTTCTGGGAATATAGTTCGTGGGCTCAGGACGCGGACCGTTTGGGGGTTTTCCAGCCGAGCCATGATTTGCCTGTCATCCATGCTGCACAGGGCATACGTATGCGGCCTACGTATATCCACGGTAGTCCGAGCTGTCTAGTCCTGCTTCAGCCAAATACAGTACGAAGTGCTCGTACGAGTCCCGGCTTCACTAGTGAAATAGCGTTTTGGGAGTCGTCCCACTGAGCTTACGCCACAAGCTTGACTGGTTCTGTCTTACGTGCCTGGAACGAGGACCCTTCTTTCGCTTTCATTGTGCATGAATTCGTACCCTGGGATGCAGGGCCTCGTGGCCAGGCTACTTCCGCTTACTGAGATAAGACTAGTTCGGACGTCGACTTTGTATAGCTTCGCCCTAGACCCCCATCCCGGTTAGTGGCAATGGAGTCTTACCTTGACTGGCGCACCCGCCACTTTTTTTTTTTTTTGCTTACTTTTTTTTTGCCCACGCGGCCTTGCTGATTTCGTGGCTTGAGATCACCCTATTTGAAGCATAGTTCTGGGACTCTAAATTCCAAGCCATTGATTCGTGTATTTCGGACCCCAATCTTCGTCTGCTTCGATGGCTCCGATCGGAGCTTTTATATCCGACGCCGAGATAAAAAAAAAACCAGTTTTCCCCCACTCAGTCCCCGCAGATTACACTGTCCGATTCTACAATACACTATGTACAGACATCATTTCCTACACAGCCACAGCCCCATACTTGCTTCATATTGCTGCCTGGCTTTCTAGAATCTCGTCCGAGACTAGTCACAGCATACCTCCGCATTGCTGACATAGAGACGATCCGGCCGCGTTTTTTCTCCGGGAGCACTGTTCGGTGGGGACTTCGCTTCGATATCCTGCTCCGCACTAAGCTGTGGCTTACGTGCTATTGATCTTTCATCTATTTCTAGGGTACGGGGCGACTTCTCTCTCGGGACATGGACTTAACCTTGGAACACTTCAATAAGTCCACATCAAATCTGATTGTACCACCCTTATTACAACTTTATGGTTACGGCTAATTGAAATGCTTGACACCCACTGTTTCCAGGCGGGTTCCCAAGGGTTTAGTGCATGATTACAAAGCGGAGTCGTCGGCGTCGTCCTCCGACGTCGGGAGTATTCTTTTTCCCTTCACCGCCCTGTCCCGCTTGAGGTTATTCGCTCGACGTGCATTTTTCCAAAGATGCCAGGCTTTCGCTCGGATATGGTTTGCCGAAATTGAGATGATAACATCTTTGTACGGAGTACGACAAACATGCAGATCAACTGTGCAGTAATTGCTCTTCCAAGGTTGTCTGGAATCACCGCTCAATCAGGATAATCAAGCAGGTCTCTGACGCCGAATGATTGACCATTCCAAGTGCCGGGAGACACTAAAAACCCTTTTCTAGCCTCAAGGGCTAAGGCACTGTATACGCGTATGTACCCGTTCCGAAATTGGGCACCCCAGTTTTCTTTGGCAGCCATTTCCTTGACGCTCGTAATGGCCTGATCTCAGGTGTAAATGGTCATTACCGGGGGGTGATGGTATTTTCAAACTCACTGGTCATTTGGGCACGTTTCATGGCATTCTGCCCGGTTCTGTGCTAATCCTGGATTCGAACGGCGCCATGACTAGGTGCAGGGTCTTGCCAATCGCCATTTGCTACTTGGCTGCACGCTTTTTGTGCATGCATGCATAGACATTTGCTGTTAGGTCGCCGGTGTAGTGGGGTATTTGCGCTCATCATTCCAGATAGCCATTAGGAATTTATCTGTTGCCGAGAATCCGAGTACTCTTTGGTCCTCATCCTACATACAGTCCCATCTTATCTCCGTGCTCTAGTCCCAAGGGGTCTCAATAGTATGGACTTGTTCAACCTTGAGCAACCTTGCCATATGGGGTAGGTATGCGCGCATTCCACTCGTTTCATTGCAAATTCAACAAAGCGGCACCTAAGCCTCTGCATATACGCATCACTGCAGTCAAGGGAAACTTAACATGATTACCCCACAAGCTCGGCGTGAAGCAGTCTAGGCTGCAACTTTCACGGTGCACCTCATTTATGCCAGGAAAGTGAACCCCGAATTCAGACCCTTCCTACGATTGAACCCGAGAGTCCTCGTAAACCTCAATGCATAAGACGGATCAAGATTAGTGCCGAGTCCAAAAAAAACTCAAAGCTAGTATCAATAGATCTAACGACCCTAATACCGTTTAATCAAATTTCATCTAGCCGACGTCTGAAGTGGTTATCGGATTCGGATCCGGGAGTGCCCAGGTGGATTATTGTAATTTAAACTAGATCGAACCCAGGAACCGGACCGAAATAAACATTTCTCGACTGACGTGGAGGGTACGAATAAACTCCATTATCCAACCACTAGTAGCATATTATCTTTTACTTTACTAGAAAAGGGTTCGAGCTGCGTTGTGGGGAGTGGAGTGCGAAATAGTGGCGGATGGCTGACGAGAATGCTTTCGTACCCGTGCGGACTCTAACGACCTGTGGCTTAGACTCTATGAGACTACACGGTGGCTTTACACGTCTCTTTTCGATTTCCGGTTTTGGTCTTTTTGCGAAAACGAAAACCTTCTTCGAGGCTTCTGTGTCGATTCCCAAACAAGCATTCCCCAGAGGGCCTGCTAGCGTGGCCAGAGGCATACAGGCTGCGTAAGCGGAGACGTCATGTTGGTGGATGAACCCTCGTGCTCCATTCAATTGTTATGTGTATACTAGGCTGCCAAGTGAATGGGAAATTGCCTGGTTGTTTGATAGGTTCACCCCTGCATGCGTGGTGGAGAGGGTCATGCTCGACGGCGGTTATCGTGTTATTTTTACGTGAAATTAGATGCTCGCGATGAGGGGTCAGATGCTAGGGTCTATCGGGGCTTGACGCCGCTCCGATATGCTTGATATTGTGGATGGTGAAATGAATTGGAGGGGAGATATTGGAGTGGAATTACGGATATTCGGATTGTGCTTGGGTGTTTCTCTGGGGCGGAGTACCAGCTCTGTTCTCACGCCTGCCTTGAGACGAGCTCGAGGAGTTGACGAGAATCTTTCTGGTGTTGCCCTTTTGGGCCATCGGTATATCCTTGGTTGGATCGTTGAGATCTCTTGCATCTTTCTCGAGATTTCGAGGTACACTTTCTCCTCCCGATCAAGCATGAGATTCCAGTGCTGCATCATGGCACAGATCCATACTGCCAGCTGTCACCTGAGGCGGCATCGCACATCGCGAGACCCAGGCAAACAGTGTCTATCCCAAGGTACCCCATCCGCTGAGCCATGCTTGCAGAGATACCTGTACATCCTCTTTATATCTGATCCAGACTCGTCTAACTAGGTCGATTGTTACAGCACTGTGATCTCGCCTACAAGCCTTCCTCTTCCTCCTACCAACCTCCATCTCATCATGACTGACGATGCCCAAACCCCCTTCACAGACCTGAAGAATATGCCCCAACGTGCCTCCCCCGTTGAACACTCTTTGGAACCTTGGTTGGTTGCTTTGAGCACTTCGCCTCCCGGGGCCTCTCTTTGGGCCTTGAGGCTGAATTCATGATTACCCTCAACATCGAGTTTCAACGACTGTTGTGTGTGCCGGTTTGCTGTCAAAAAAAGGCCTCCCAGGGCCTTTTCTTGCTTCTTTCTGCCCATTACCACCAGTCCAGCAAATCTCGAAGAAGCTAGAATACAACTGCCAGGCTGGCAAATTGATCTCTTTTCTAGGTTTCCGGATTCGAAGCTCAGCATCATACCATCAATGTGCCATCCAAGGTACCCATGTCCTAGCTCAACTGCCCTTTCGCTCGAAGCGTCAATCCCGCACTTATATCCTTTCAACGCTTGCGCTCTCTGGCCTGAAGCATCCGAGGCTATGCTTCAGTCTTCTCGTTGCTCTTTCGAAGATGCAAACCTAGGAGCCTTCACCCCGATATGCGGTATACTTCTATACAGAACGCCCTCTTGATAATTTGGCTTCTGTTGAAGAATGCTATCAAGTCACCACTCACATGTCTCTTTTATATTACCACCTGGGCATGTATTGGCAATATGTGAGAGTTGCTTGAAACAATCCTCAAGGGTTGTTGAGATTTGCGAATTTCTTGGTTCCCAGCTCACAAATCCGCTACACTTAAGACTCAAAGTCCCCAGGTTCCCGAGGTCACAATGTGGCTGGCCAAATACTCACTTGTAACAGGTCAAAAATCAGCTCCCACGGAGTCAACAGCTCTGAGCCACCAACCAAATCACCGCTACTATGAAACGCATATATATTGCGGTAGCCTGATGGCGAATATGGGCAACTCTCGTATCAATCACCACTAGCAAACCAGCAGACACGGTCTCTTAGTTTGTTTCCATTCATTTTTCGCGTTTCTCATTTGCGATTTGGAATCACGGGCGTACATACTCAATTCGAACGGGTTATCAACTAACGGCGCTTCACCTCATCATTTCCAAGGTTTCATCTACCCCGAAACAATTGGAGGATCCTCTGCACCGCTTCAAAGATTTTTCTCTTCGAGTCATATTGATTATAGAAACGATTGAGATTTCACCGAGAACAAAATCGTCACGAGTAGAGGTCCGGAAAGCTTTAAGCGCTGGACATATACATCAACTTTGCCACTGCAGCATCTGAAACGACTGGAATGATTAGAGCGGCCAATGAAGACATCGATGTGGTTCACACAAAGAATGATGACCACAAAAGTGTGTTTCAAGCTCTGCCTTGTCTTTTGTCTCGCAAACTTTGGAGGTTTTCTCTCCCTCCTTACCTCTTCACCCTTGGAGTCTGCCTTGTTCCAGTTTATCTACATTCCACTCTCTACACCACTTTTCAAGGCTCTACCTATCAATATATCACGAACATCCTTTCTTCATATTGTACACGGCCTCTGGTTTCTCAAACCCTGAATCTCTTACCTAGGTATTATATCAGATGTCGGGCAGACGACGGATACTACTGATGACAGCATCTTTTCGACAAAGGCCCAGACAAAAAACGTTACAGTAACGACTTCAGGAGGATACTAACAATATTTCGCTCCGGTCACACATTCTGGGTCAGGCGTTGCGACAGAGCAAACGGTGCAACTGACGACGTCACCTTTGCGAAGGGTCTACTGTTACTGATCTGACCGAGATGGCAGACTTCACTCTGAACCTGACCCAGTCTAATACCTAGCATCCTCCTTTGTTCATCCGCCTTGTTGGCATTAACTGGCAGAGGACTGAAGGGATAGCCTACACAACCAGGTATCTGTCACGAAGACAAACATAAGGCACCGTGTCGCGATGCGGGCAAGGCCAAACCCACATTGTCATTCCATCCGGGGTTCGAAGGAATCATCCGAGGGTGCGAAGAAAGACGGAGGCCCTGTGTGTCCCAGTCTGCGAAGGACACAACATCGCAAGAACACCGAGCACAACAGGAGACTCTACTGGTCTCGATATTGGTTCGGCCAGCAGCCGACCTTTCCGTCTATGATTGCGAGTCCTCGTTGACCGACAGTCCAGCAAAAGACAACAGGTTAATGCCAATCTCATACCTGCCAATACTTTTTGGGATGCCTGTACTGACTCGGAGGACTTGTCATGAAGGCGAATTAATAGGGCAGCCAGATGCGACTATGTGCTGGGAGCGACGACTCGATATGTTCTCTTTGCAGGGCATGCAGGCGCGCGCATATGACGTAGACTCGTGGCACCTGCACAGGCTCCAATATTCTGGACTCAACATTGCCCAGGTGAAAGAATTTGCTTTTTGTTTGCCCTTGTTGTGTGCTGCCCAGGTGGGCCCGGCAGTCACCAGTTGGCCTCAGTTGACAGCCAAGGGCTACATGTCAACTTCCCACCATTTCCTCAGCATATGACTCTATCGATATTCATAGACAATGTTGTCAGATATAGGCACTCGCATGGGCCACGCAAGCGTCGCACCAACCGCCTATCAGCAAGTCCGGCTCGTGGAGAATCATGCATCCCCTGGTCGTTTGCCCACCCTCCACGCGCTAGAATCGATCACCAATCGCCAGAACGGGAAATGAACCACATTGAGCGATCGACTGCGGGCAGCGGACTTTTGTTTCTGGGCAGCTGAACGGGTACGATTCAGACTTCACCTGGGTGCTCCCGTCTTGCAGGGGAGTGAACGCCTTTATAGGGCCTGGACTCTCGATATGCGTCGTGGCACCCAATTGGGATCTATGATCTTCTTCCAGCCACTCCAATTCGAGCGCTCAACCCGCGGTGGACAGTACGAGTCTCACCGGACACTCTCACTCCGTCGATCCCTTTCGCACGATGCAGAGTTCCAATATTCCGGTTATATTGGTATGCAGAGGTAGAAGCTCGTTGCTGCAAACCTGCGACGATCGACGAGACAGATATCCGCCCGTTCTACAAAAATATGAGTTCACACTGCCGGCTCAGTATCAAAGTGTCCGGACCGATCGTCTCATTGGCCCGGGCAGCAATGCAGGGAATATCATCTCCGGTCGCATTTCGTATGGCCATGCACTCGATGAGGGGAAACTCGTTCTAGTGCTATTTCCCGAGACGACTAGGGTCTAACAGGGTCTATTCAGGGTCCAGGTGCCCGATTTACCTGCGAGACTCACCTGGGCATTGCTCTACCGAGTCATCGCGCATGAACGGTAGGGGCGGTTAATAGTGAGAGCCTCAAGCACTCTGTACTCTATACGGAGTACTGGGAACAATTAAGGCTCAGCCCTAGCTATATATTGCCTAAATCCTAAATATAACTTTCTGTTTTCCCGGTCAGAAATGCAATATCCCGTCAAATTGGCCCCCAATCCTCAGCCTCAAAGCTGACCGATCATCTTCTCACCTGAAAAAACTGGCCTTTAACGAGAGAAAGCTTGCACTCTGCAGTGTTTCAAAGACTGCAGTGTCTCTTGAGAAATGGCGGAGTCATACTCGATGTCTGGCTTCATGCGCCGTCCTCAACAAACCTGGAACCCGCTCGGCTCCTCCCCCGAACCCTACGAATACCACCAAACATCACACAACTGGCGCGACAGTGACCTACACGACATAGGTCTGGGAATCTCCAGCTCAGAGGGCGAGAGAATCCCCAGACACAATCCCAACCAACCCTCAATTGACAGCGATGCGACCAAAGTCCCAACCCCGCAAACCACGTCCCCACATGTATCCTGCGCCAATCGAAGGACGGTGCTCCAGAAACGACTCTCATGGATTCCCATCACGATCTTTGTGCTTGCGCTCTATGCGACCGTCTGGTCGGGGATTTACCTGGCCATCGCCCTGTGGAAGCCAAGATGGCCCAAGGTCTCGAGCGACGGGCCGTTGAAACCCGATGACGCGGACACGATAAGTGCTGCTATTGCGAAATCTATCGAATTGTCCTATGTGACGGTCTGCGTGGCTTTTCTGGGCCAGGTCCTCAGTCGCCGGGCGTTGATGACGGGGTCGCGCGGGATCAGTATCTCGGATATGAGTATGAGGGCGTGGATCATGCAACCGGGATCCATGATCGTGCACTGGGAGACAGTGCGGTATTCGGCGCTCACTTTTCTCGGCGCGACGGCCTTGACTGCGACAATTGTCTCTACGTTCTATACAACGGCTGCTCAGGCTTTGGGTATGTTGTGTCACTCAGGGGATAGGTGTGGATGCTAAGGTGTTTTAGTTGCTCCGAATCTCTCTATGGGCCCAGTGGAGTCAAAAGTTCTACAAGGGAAGGTTGCAGCTTCATTCGCCCATCCAGGGTACATCCCCGCGAATTGCAAATCGCCCACCCCCTGGGACCAGGACCGTTGGGCACGCAACACCACCTGTATCCAAATTGAACATAGTGGCCATTCCTATCGCAACTACCAAAAATGGCTCACCACATGGGTGGACACGATTAATGGCGACAACGAAACATCATCTGATTTGAAGAAGCGGCCTGCGCCCAGTGGCTCCATTTGGGACAATACCACCATCACGGGGAGCTGGATCGAAACCCAAGATGTCACAGCTCTATCAGAGAAATATGGCAGAATGGTCATCAATGTCACAATGGCTATGCCACACGGAGGCATTCCCCTCGCAGCAATCAATCCGAAAAATGGCATCAAGCAACCGCGAGGCGCCACCGGCGAAGGCAAATATGACATCGAAGCATCTGTGGCATCTCCAGCCGTCAACGTCATTTGTGCAGGAATGGATAAGGAAGACCTCGCGCCCCTGGTCTTCACAACCTTCCCCCAAGGTGACACTTTCGTCGCCACGAACTGGACGACGATGTCACAATCTATATTCCCGAAATCCTCCATGCTGAACAGAACAATCGTCGATGACCTCTTCGAAATTGGCCCTAAATATGGCCAATTTCCACCCATCTTCGGCAAATACCCTGAACCCTATAACACAATTCTCAATCAGACGATCCTAAACGACCCTCTTCCAAATGATCCCAGTGGCAATGCATCCACCCAGTTCTCGATATACCTTCTCGGCGCAACAGCAGCAAACGATAAACCACCCTACATAATGTGCGGACTCCGCGCAAAGCTCACAGGTCACTGCTCGACCAAATTCCACACCGAATCCAGCGGCGCAAGTCTCACCTCGCATTGCGACGATCCCAAGAACGACCTACAGTACAATCGCCAGCATCCCGACATGAGAGAAGGAGAGTGGAAAACAGACTGGAAGAACGTTGCTTCAGAGTGGGCGAACTCGCTAAGTCTCGGCGCAGGCATCACAGATGGCGCGGCAAGCAATGCCCGTCTTCTAATGCAGTTGTTGCCACGAAGATACGTCAATGGGACATACAAGCTTGATCCGAAGATGCCCAGCATTGCGGAAGCACTGGCCGTTATGGCCGGGAGTACGCTTATACTCAGCACCCAGGACGCGCCATTCTACCATGATTGGAATTATACGAAAAAGACAGGATTCATTCTTGATCCGCCTGTGTATGAGCGATTCAATGCAACGGTGCAGGAGATCGGGTATGCGTCTGGCGGGGCGAAGTGGCAGGGTGTATTCTATGTTGTTTTGGTATTTGCTTTCTTGACGAGTGCTATTTGTTTGGTGTTTATGATTGTCGAAGCACGAGGACACCAAGTGACTGATTTCACGGAGCCGCAGAACCTATTCGCCATTGCTGTGAATAGTCCGCAGAATTCGCGGTTGGCGGGGGCATGTGGGTGTGGGCCTTGTGGGACGCAGTTGAAGGATCGGTGGTTTATTGGGATGGAGGAGAATGATGAGCATTATTATATTGGCACGAAGGGGGAGGAGAAGCCTTTGCTTCAGGGGACGCCTGAGATATTGGGTGAAGAGATGTTGAGTCCGGTTGTTGATGAGTTCAGGAGGGTTTCGAAGAGGAACTCTGTTCTGGGGAAACTGTACTGAGACATGTGAGCCACTATAACAACAAGAACTAATGGTAATGTTTGGAATGTAAATGTCAAATGTCAAATGTAAATGGCAGAAGCCTTTTCGAAAACAATTCGAAGTCACTACCGATGGAATATGTACAAAACGCCCCAAGGCGGAATTAGACAAATAACAAGAGACCCCGTGGGACGCTAATCGCTACACACGATGCAACGCAGGGAACGCAGTTCAGATGCGGAACTTTTGCAAGACGCCGGGAAGAGCAGGAAAAAGACGGTATAGAAAACAGGAACAGCAATAGACAAAATATAAGAGATCATCGTTCAGCTTTGAGATTGAGCCAGCTCATATCCGAGTTGAGGTTGTTCTGTCCTTGCGCAGGGACTTCGTCAATGTCTTCAGGGATGAGAACACTGGATCTCCGACGCGATTGTCGTGCTTTATCTGCCAGCATCGTGTTGGACGACATGCCTGCCAGATCGCGAGAACTGGGATTGTAGAAACTGGCACTATAGTTGCTGCTTGATGGGCGGCCCAGCCAGCTGCTGTGGGCGGCGTTTTGCCAATGCGGGTCATCGCGGTCGTCGTCTGATGCGACGCTGAGTGAGTCTGCGCTGGAGATCCGTGCTGATTGGCCCTCTGGAATGACGAGGTTTCGACTGCCCATGTCGGATGAACTGACTTCGGTCGTGGGGCTGCCGCTCATGACTTGGCCTAGGGGCTTGGGTTGGTCCAGGAATCCGAAGTTGAGAGGTGCCATGTTGGCCATGGGCCAGCCGCTGCCGCGGTAGTCGGACTTGGTGTAGACGGAGCTCATGGTTGAGCGGTCGGATGGCATGTTGCCGCCTTCTTCGAAATACTTGCCCCATCCTTCGTCGGTTGTTCGGTCTCCGGGTTGGTTGACGTGGCCGGTGGAGTCGTTGGCGCGATCGGTGGAGTCGGTGTCGATGCTTGATGCGCCCATCGGTCCGCTGGAGGGAATTGTAGATAGCGGACTGCTCTTGCCGCCGGCTAGACCGTATCCTGTCGCACCGGGTGGCTTGAGGGATTTCTCCCCGTTGTATTGACCGGTGACGATGGCGAGTGAGTCGTTCGAGGCTGCGGCTGCGGCAAGAGGGACAGGAGACCTGGCCATTGGGTAGGCACTTTCGGTCAGGGGTTCTATGCCCTGATCTTGGAAGCTCAGGCGGCTCTTGTGGTCGCCGCCAGCGCCGTTCTGCGCAGCCTGGTTCTTCTTGTCCTTCTTACTGCGGAGTAGGAGAAGAATGAGAAGTAGAATGACACCAAGCCCGAGAACACTGCCGAGGGTGGCGCCGAGGATCGTCTTGCCGTGGCTGGTGAGACCACCACTCGTGGTAGCTAGAGCAGTTGTTGTGGAGGTTGGCGTAGCTGAGGCGGAGGTGGAGGTCGATGAAGTAGAAGTTGGGGTAGAAGTTGAGGTGAAAGAAGAGGTGCTGGACGGCTTGAGTGAAGTCGAGGCATCGCTTCCGTAGAACAGCGCCGTGGTGTTGGCCCAGCCATTGGAAGTCGAGTTGTAGACCGCCAAGGAGTTGTTAGTGTGGCCACTGGATAGAACCACCATGCCATTACCCTGAGCGAGGGCATAATCTGACCAGGATGCGGTGGGCGCGAACGTGCTGTTGTAAGAGTCGGTGATACTTCGCTTGTCGGCAGAGCCAATGGTGGTAGCTGGGGATTGCAGCTTCCCCTTGGATTTGAGAAGGTAGCTAGTCACGCTGTTGGGGGAAGAGTCCATCTTGAACACTTCGAGCACTGTGTTGTCATCTTCCGAGACAAGTGCACATCGAGACGAGTCATCGATTGCAGACGGAAGGGTTGCCTCCGAGAGAGTCCAACCGGTCGAGTTGTAGAGGTAGATGGCAGTGTTGGTTGTCGAGCCTCCAACCATAGCCACTTGGGAATCACTCCAAGGCAAGATGATGGGGTTGTACAAGGGGGGTGTGCCCATGGCAGCACCGGATGACACATCGTAAGTCGCGGTCGAAAGAACGTATGAGGATTGGGAGGCGACTTTGCTGCCATCTGTGTTTCCTGCGTAGACCACAATATCCGAGGTCGAAGATAAGTAGCCAGCGCCGTGTCCAGTGCGATTCTTCATCTCCGCCGAAGTCATAGGCAGGGTCTCCCATTTCTTCTTGCTGAAGGAGTATCGTTGGAGGCCGCTGTTGCCCTCCGGGCCGGTCCCGCCGACCAGATAAAATACCTCGTCTTTGCTTCCAGAGGGCTTGCCCTTGATGCACGCAGCACCCGTGACTTCATATTCTGGTTTCGGCAATTCGGTCCAGTTGCCGTTCTCCTGGAGTTCTATTGAGGCGAAGCCACCGGGTGAGCCGTCAGGCGAGTAGACGTAAAGTGTGTCGCTATAGATCGTCGAGCAATCGCCCTTGATCTCAATTGGGGGTTTAGGGCCCGTCATTTTGAGTACCGAAGATATATGTGCCGGGTATAGAAGGTGTAGCGGTGGCCAGCCAGCGAGGGAGTCGAGTACCCTATGTCGTGATTCAGGTTACTGCCAGAGCACTATCTCATGTCGGTCGCGGCGAATTGGTGAGCACTCTGTCAATCGGCTGGCCACTGATCAGAATTGACCGCGCAAGAGCGGCGATTCGAGCGGTGGTGTCCGGAGAATTCCTCAAGTTGCAGAATGTCGGGCGGGGTTGCGGATCGCGGATCGGGTGAATTGTCGACGCAGTATCACACTCGGAATGGCCACGATGAGATTGAAACACGCGTGTATGTTGAGGCACACAGTAATCACAGAAAAGCCTGAGGCTGGGCGATCCAGTCGGGACCTAGGAAATCGAAATTGGGGGGGAAAAGAAGGAAAAATGCCAAAAGCAAAGAAAAAAAAAGAAACTAGACACACGAGGGAGCGAACGAGGTTGGCAAAACGAAGGGACTGAGGCAGTAGGACCGGCTAACGAGTGCACAGCACGGAGAGGACAGTGAGAACAGAACAGTGAGACAGGGAGAGAAACCCCCTAAGGAGGTGGGCGGATGCTAAAAAGACGCCATCCCTGAAGGGGAATCATTTCGTCACTTCGCCTCACTTGGCCCTTTTCTTTTTTAATTTACTTCGAGAACGCTACTTCGATCTAAACGGTTTAATTTGCAACTTGAAATTTCTGTGCTATTGTGCTATGGCGAGCAGTTGAGCACTCGGTGGACCCGTCTCCAGGGCTCATCTCAACCGTTACTCCGTAAATCCTTGAGTACAGTAGAGACACTGCAAGGGGAGTTAATAGTAAACAATAATAAACATCAAACCGTTTCAAGGTTTCCCAGGCGCGAACGCCCAGGGTTCGAACCTATGAACCTTGGAACCTGTGAACCTTGGAAGCGACAAACCCAACTGCCCCTTTTCCAGACCCATGGTTGGAAGATGCTCAACCATGGTATCACACTTGGCCCGTGCGTTGGCCTTTTTTCAGTCACTACATCTACTATACTCGACTAGTAGTGGACAACTTACTGGTATATCTCAATATGTCGGTATCTCACTCTTGATTTGGACTTCTATTCTACCTTGGAAACCCTGACGCCCTGAAGCCCTGGAGTAGGGAGTTCCGACTTATCCGTGGCACGAACATGTCTTCCCGCTGCCGAACTTGTTCTTCCCGCACTTATCACAAAAATTGTCGTTCTGGGGTTGCTGGGGGGTGCCGTTACCCATGATGAAGATTGGTAATTGGTATAGTTGGTTGTTTTGAAGGTGAGGTTTGTTTTTGTCAACTGTATGTAATGTGTGTGAGGGTTAGTGTGATTGCTAGTGTGTTAAAGCCTGGAGATCAAAATGGACTTGATATTTTATGTCTCTTATATACCTCAACCTTGGAAGTCCACGGGTGTAACTTAACCTTGGAACTTGGAATCAAGTCCATCGAATCTTTGTACCAATTCCAAGGTTTCTTTGCTCTATCTCCAAAGACTGGCTGCTTCTTTAACGCATACTAGGTATCACTCGTGTCTTTGATCTAATGGTTTGAAAGAGTCAGTTCGACAAAGACTCCAGGGCTTAGATGCAGGCTCATTAATATATGCGCTTTGAGATTCTAGCATTGGTTGAGACCTTGAAATCCAGTGCTCTTCATTTGCTTTGATGAGGCCCGCATACTATCCATTGGAGAAAACCCGCATCTGTCAAGATATATATCGTAGCAGCGGGACGAATTACCCAATCGGGGTTCCACCTTTTACCTGCCCAGTGGTGAAATAGGACCATGAAAAAACGATAGCCTGACGAAACAGACAGGACGATGGGACAGATCGGGACAATAGAACCTGATTCATGAAAGGGTGTACCCGTTTGAGGTCCACAGGTGTAAATTGCTTGCCTCCCGTTCCAAGGTTCCAAGGTTCCAAGGTTGATCTGAGACCTAAATTGCCCCGTGGTGATGCCTCAGGCCACTACTGTTTCCCCACACTGGTCAACTCTGGCGGTATCGCTGAAATTCGACCCATGATACCTAGGTAGAGATCAAAATTTCGCATTTAGTGCAATGAAGGCTAATATTTTCAGTAATAGTACATCCTCTTGCTATTTGATGTGTGATTTTGCTCATCAGGTTGAATCTACTCCCCCCTCTCAGCGGAACATATTCCATCAAGCAAGAGTCACGCTCGATGCACAAGGGTCGTTCAAAATGACTCTCGAAAAATCCATTGGTGACCGAGAGCGATCCGGACTCCTCATATACCTGTATCTACTCAACAAGTAATCCGAGTTACCAGAATTGACGCTGCGTTCCCAGCGTTTACCTTCAACGGGAAATTCCACATCCTCCAGATCGATAATGACGATGCGATCCTGGCAAACTAGGAAATTGTCCGGGTTCTCATCTTTATATTCGGCTTTGCATTCCCACAGAGCATATAATGCGTTCTTGAGATAAGTTTCGATTTTCTTCTCATCAATTTCAGCCGCAGCAGCTTCGTATAGAGTTTTCCCGTCCACATCAGAGAGGAAAAGTGCTCGGCGACCATGGAAAAGCCCTTCGCCAAGAACAGTTGGGATCACGGTTCCTTGGAGGGACTGCAAATTATTGTAGGCGTCAATCTCCTTTTGAAATGCCGGACTCCTTTCTTTCTTTTCTAGTTTGACGATGATCGATCTGGGAAGCACAGGGGTTGTATTGGGTTCAAACTCTAGACGATAGACTGTGGGATCGGAGGAAAATCCTAGTGGCTGAGACGATTTTGGAACGATTTTGGAATCGTTCAGCTGGATGTTCTAGAGTTGTGAAAGCTTCGTAGTCTCTTCTAATGAACAGCGGGTAGCTTGAATTACATTTGAAGCTTCCATGCTAGGCAAAAGCTTCTCCTTTGTGTAGAGTAGTTCATTGTGAGAAGGGAGGGTCAAAGAGGAACCTGAAGGTCCCAACCTTGGAAGTTTGGAAGCAAGGGGTTGCGTCAGGTGATAATAGCATCACCATCAGGGCTCCAGGGCTTCATCGGCACCTGGGATTTCCAGATTTATTTCCCAGGAGTGAAGGACAAAGGGTGCAGCGTGTCGACCTCCGTGAACCATGATCCAATATACAACTAATAGCAAAGCTCCCAATAGAGGAGCTGCCTACCCGTTCTCTAGTTAATGATTCTCCACACTCTGGCACCAGTGTAGCAGTTGCGACGTAGTGTGTGATGAAGATGATCATATTAATGATTAAATATCTCGTCCTAAGAGGGGGAAGCCCACGTGGCAACCGGTGTCCTAACAGCAGAGACATCATTGTCCTGGAATTTCAAGAGCTCTCAGCTCATCTATGGCTTCCAGCACTTACTCCTCTCATCGAGACCGAGGTCATCCTGCGATTTCTCGTGGTGTCCTATTAAAGCAACTGTAGGATTTGGTTAGCCAGGGCGTGTACACACATCTCAACAAGAATCGACATACGGCACAGTCAGATCAGCGTATCGAATTCAGTGGCGTACGAGCTGCAAAGGGGTTGGCGGCGTGGCTCATGGGAAGGACCCAGGATGTCGAATCCCCTCTTCTTCGGAGGGCTGTTCTTGGGAGGGAGGTTAACCAGAAGACCAAACGATCGCCTGTGGCCAGATTGGTTCTGACACTTCCGTGTGTCGGTTACATGTGCCAAAATGGTTCGGCGTGGTGTGTAACCCTCTTCGTCCTGGTCCTTGGGAACATCACCGAAGGCCACCATGTTTGGGGCCATGTCGAGAGCGTCGATATGCAGTTGAGTGGACTTCAGAATAAGCTTCATGGTGGCAATCAGCTTTCTGGTCTGCCCGTTCAACTCGGCTTCGAAGGGCCCACGAGTGAGGATAGCAAAATCTGCATGGCTTTAGAGGATGCAGATTCTCTCGCCCTTGTATATCTCTTGTTATTGGGGATTACCCAGATCGGCCAAATCGACTTCGGAGCTCGCGTGAGTGCCGTCAGGGGGCGCTGGCTTGGCCTCAGCGTTCATCCAGATATGGACTTTCCAGTACGCCTCGTTTGGCCCAGATTGCTCGAAGATAACATCGTGCTTCTTTCCATTGCAAACAGAAGTCATTGTAGGTAGACCATATGAAGCACTTTCCCACAAATGCGGCCCGATTGGGTGGACTTGCTCCCATCAAGGGGGTTGAACCAGGGCATCGCATAACGCAGTCCCTTTTCACGTCATTCACACTCCACATGGACATGGCGAATCCCCCGCAGAACCTGGGTGTTCGCTCTCAGCCTTCACTTCGGATCAAGACTGAAGTTCCGGCTCGAGACGAAGGCCACTGGGTGCGTCTTTGGACCATCCGACTAAGATAACCGTGAAATTTGTTTAGCCCAGACCTGCAAACTCATCTCCATATAAGTCGACATACGGCAAACTTAGATCGTTGAATAGGATCCAACAGCGTAGGAAATGTGATGGGCTTGGGGGTATAGCTCATGGAAAGATCCCAAGGAAAACATCGTCCGGAATGTAGCCGACCACATTCAAATTCTCTCTTCTTCGGCTGATGGTTTCTTTGCGTTCATCAAAACGGTTGAACCAGGGCATCGCGCAACGCAGTACTTCGGCAACTCGACCATGCTCCATGTCGGATTCCCCGCAGAACCTGTTTTTCCCTCTGTCAGGTTTCACTCCAGATACAGACTGAAGTGGCGGCTCGAGAGTCGAGACTGAAGGGACCGATCGAGACCGAAGTCACTGACCGAGTCTTTGGATTATCCGACTAAGATAACTGTGGGATTTGGTTAGCCAAGGCCTACAAACCCATCTCCATATGAGTCGACATGCGGCAGACTTGAGTCACCAAGTTGATTGCGGAAGTCGTGAAGTCGGTCTCGAGGGTTGAGCCCCATCCCGCTTCGTATCGTGTTGGCCGAGTCCTGGTAGACTCCTCAGATCGCCCTTGTTGCCTTCCTCGAGGTGAAGGCTGACATGGGCTGCTGGGGATACCCCAGAGTGACGAAAGATTCTTGCAAAGGCTTGCCGGAAAGTCGCAAGATCCTGCGCAGACAGTTCCAAACGACTCTTAGGTAGTCTCCATGCTATAGGAGTCGTACTGTGCGAATATGGGCCAGTTGCTCAGAGCTCAGTCAATTGACAGTGCCCAGGTGTAGAGTTCCTCTGAGGTAATTTGCTTCTCCGTACTGCATAAGTGTATCCAGTATCAAGTCATAAGAGACGTATCCTATGAGCTGTTTGAAGCAGCCCTAGAGGCTATGTCTGTTCCCAGGGTGAAGGTTGTCACGGTCGAGGTCCTGCAAGACCAATGTAGCAGTCGAGGGCGACAGGGCGTCTTTGTCAAAACCTGCGATATGGCAAATGGAACTTTGCCAGTCTCCCTAAGGCGAGATAGAGGGTGAAAATAACCTGATAAGCCGATAAAGGCCATCAGAGGAAGCGGAGAGAGTATCACGATCGGGATCGTAGGGCACCAAAGGGATAGTCACTGCATCCCCTTAGAGTTCCAGTCAAGAGCTTGTCAGTATCGTCAGTATCATCTCATCGTCACCTCTAGCTTGATTGTCACTCACTCAAGGTGAAGTACCCGTATTTAGGGGTGGTTCATGGGTGTCAGATAGGTTGTGTTGAACGCGTGGAGTGGGTTGCTCCAGTGTTGCAACTTGTGAATAAGAGGACCAGGTAGCTACAAGTCGTTCCTTCTTAGTGGAATGAGTTGTTCCAAAATACGTCATCGCCTTCTTTAAGTGGTTTACTTTGTCCCGGGAATCATAGCAAACACTCTACTCTTCTACATGCTTCTGCGGGAAGAAGCCGTCTCACCATCCCCAGCTATACCACACCTCAAATCCACACTGCTCATCGAAAACACTTGATCTATTGCTATTGAACAAGAAAGGGGAAACACCCACATCCTAACAGGATTTGTGGAAAGCCTTTTTGTTGTCCCGCCGGCTTAGCACCCCAGTGCCCAGGTGCATACAGGCGACTGTATAAGAAGGCGCCGGAGCGGCACCAGGATTCAGAGGGTTCCGATCGAGGCAGGATGCTGGGCATTGACTCTGCAAGCCAATTGCTCGGAATTACCTCGAGAAAGGCTGGGGGGTTATTCCTCGACTCCTTGGATATCTGCTTGACCACCAAGGCGAAGACGATACTGTCCCAGGGGGTTTTGACACGTCCATGATTCTGGAAAAAGACCTTGACGAGTGCCTTGACTTCCAGAAGTTCTTGAGCTGTCCATTCATTCAGCGAGGGATCCAACGCGGATTCCGCGAGGTCCAAGTATGTACTCCGGGTGTCTTGATCATGAACGGAGCAAGAGCTAATGAGTGAGAGTCAGAACGCCTAGAGCATACGAGTACAAGCCAGTTCATCGGTCGAAGAGATTCTTGTACGACTGGCTTACCGGCATGATGGTATCCCGGCTCAGAGATGGCCACACGGTCTCAACGCCGACGGAGACATACGAGTTGACCAGATCGCATCCCCGCCGGACCTGGGGTCTTCATTTTCGCGAAAGGGCTTGTCTGTCATTTAGCATACCGGGGATATCCAGTCCTAGGGGGGATACCATTCGCCTGTGTACCTAGATTGTCCCAAAGCTGGGCACCAAACGTTTGACGCTGAAAGGCTTTACCGTCGGAAAGGCTTTAGCAAGCCCTGAAGCCGTGGTCAAGGCCATCACAGCCACATCTGAGATCCTTTATTATCCTCGAATATCAAGTGGTCTTGCACTCCTTAGTATCTGGCCCTACGGCCACGAATCCCATCTTCCTGGCTCGCAATAAGGGTTCCTGAACCTTGGAAGATAGACTGTAGTTTGTACCCCTGGAAATGAGATCTTCCTCGAGCGGAACCACCTGGGCAACCTTGGGATCATAAAGTAGTTCCTAGTCTGCCCTATTTTACTCCAACCCGGCCTCCGCGGGTGTTGTGAGACCACCTTGGTAGCGCGTGCATCCATGGGCACAGCTGGCAGCAGAAGAAGTTGCCGAAAATCAATATAATATAACCTTGAGTCATGCATAGCACCCATGGATACCTAGGTGCCTACTAGGTACCTATGCAGAGGATGTTGAACTTTCAAGCTACATAACCCTGGAACTACAGGATGAGAGACACTACCTCCAAGCTGGATTGACAAATTGGTCATACAGACTATCAAGTAGATGCGATAAAGGAATAGATGGTATTTTGGTCTGATTACTATGACACGTAAGAAAGCCAATGGTATCGCAAAGGCACAAAAGGGTTGGATGTCCAGGTGAGAGCGGAGATACCCACTCAAGACTGGGCCTGCTTCCATTGTTGTGCCTTTGCCAGCAGCTTGGAAAGGTTGGCTGCTTGCTTGTCGTCCGCGGGGAATATGTAATCGAAGTATTCCTCGTACGTATCGTCCTCGAGCTTGCGACGCTTCTTGATACGGCGGGGCAATTGTTTCTTGACATTTTCGATCTCTTCGGGGGTGCCGCGCTGTTTTTCGAAGTTGTACCATAAGGTGAGGATATCGACGCGCTGTGAGCATGTTAGCGTGGTTCTGGGCATTCCGTATTCATACAAACATACCTCTTTGGTCCGACTTCGTTCCTTGAAGTGCTTTTCGGCCCGCGAGAAGACCGCGCGGGCTTTGCTGGCTGAGTCGTGGGAGAAGCGCGGTTGGTCTTCGTCGTCTTGTGTCCCCTCTTGCTCTGCCGGAACAGCCATCTCGAACTTGGTATATCCAAGCCACACCTTGATGTTGTCGGTCTTCTCGAGAAGTCGCTCGTACAAGGTTCGGACGGCGGCGTAGTTGTATTCTTCTTCTTCAAATTGGATGTAGGCCTTCCATAGAAGCTCGGGCATGTCAATGACTGGCTGTTCAATGCCAAGCTCGTAGATGGCCCTGGTTCGGTCCAAGTCACCCAAATCACGCTCCAGCTGTGCAAATCTCAGCCAAGCCTGGGCGCTAGCGGGGTTCCATTCCAGCTGTTTCTCGAACAGAGTTCGGCACCGTGTGAACTCAAGCAATTGCTGCTCAAGTTCAATATAGCAACGGAAAAGCTTGTCTTTCGGGCACATTCCAATGGCAATACCCAATGTCTTGCGTGCCGCCTGGAGTTCCATTTGTCGAACTTCGAAGCGTGCCTTCATCAGCCAGACTTTGGCGAATGTGAACTTTTTGTGGGGAATCATTTTCAGACATTCCTGATAAATTTGTTGAGCGCGCTCTGGCTGCTCCATTTCCATTTCTTCATAAATGGCGTAGAAGATCCAGAGATAGATATAGCGGCGCCAGTGTCGCTTTTCTTGCGAAGGGGGTATCTGTGCAATGGCGCGTTCGTAAATGTCACGCACCCGCTCGGAGTCGCCTGAAAGCTCCTCGAGACGAGCCAAGTCAATCCAGGTATCGTAGTTGCGAGGGTTTTCCTTGAGCTGCTCCTCATACTGAACCCTGCGCTTAGACAGGACCACATCTTCCACACCCTCACGATCGCCGAATTGTTTCTCAAAGGTCGTGTAAGCCTTGTGGAGGACCATAGACTTGGAGCGCGGAAGGCGGTCCAGAGCGTACTTGTAGATAGCGCGTGCACGCTCGTACTCCTTCAATTTAGCCTCGAACCTGGCGTAAGAGGCGAAGATCTTCTCGTCCATGAAGTCTTCTCCCAGTGTTTCAATGGCCGCTCCATAGACCTCACGGACCAAGTCACTTGTGCCATACTCCTCCTCAAATCGTGCCCACTTGATCCAGTTTCGAGACTCAGGGTGAACAACGGTAAAACGCTGGAAGATACCGCGTGCACGTTCGAATTCGCTGTACCGCTTCTCGAGTTTGATGTATGCGCTCCAGGCGCCCTCTTCCGGCTCCCACGACATCCATCTTTCGAATACCTGGCGGGTACCGGGAACATTTCCCAGAGTCTCCTCCATGTAGACATATTTGTACCAAAGCTTATCGACACGAGGCAAGATTGTGACGGCGCGATCGAGAAGGTTTCGGGCATGGTTGATGTTTCGCGTTTTCATCTCAGCTTCGATGTAGCGAATCCAGAGCACCACAGACGTCGAATCAACATCGAGTGCACGCTCGAAAATGGATCGCGCACGGCGGAATTCCTTTTGTTCCAGTTCCCAGGCCGCATAGCGCATCCAGTTGTTCATGTTAATTCGGTTGCGACGAACATAGTCTTCGAAGTCCTTTCTCTTTCGACCCTGATACTCATGCAGCTCTTCCAGATCGGCAAAGCGCTGTGTGGGTGCCTCGAGGCCAGGTTCTTGCCGGTCAACGGCTTCACGAAGGAGCTGTTCCGCAGAGATCTGAACGGGCGCAGCGGCCTTGTTCTTGACCCTGGGAGGCCCACGAGATCCTTCCATTGTGGCGGGTATGACTGAGTCGATTCCGTTGGCCGGTGTTTCGCAAAGCAGGAGGTGCCCAGTTAGACTGGTGTGAAAATCTGGTCGGAGATCACAGAGGAGCCCGGAACGGGGGTCAAAAAAGTTGCCAAGCAGCACCGGAGGACGGCGATCGAGTAAACAGAGCTTGGAACAATATACGTCCCCAATTAAGTGCGGAGAGCAGCTCGCTGTGTCAGAGCAGGAATTCGGGTCGATGTGAATTACGGACAAGGCGCGCAGACCGCCCTCTTCATTGCGCCTGTGATTGGCCCGGATGGTATCATTCTGCCCGAAAAGAAACCGACGCCCTCGAGCTTCATCGTGTCGGCCGATTTTACCGATTTATCATTCTGTCTACTAAAATCCTCCAAAATAAATGCACGGGCGAAATTCCAAGTATACTTCTAGCTATTGGTATATACTTGGGACCTTTTTTTCAGGTTATCAAGAGATAGATGGAAGCCCGGATAGTACATCCATGGATGGGTCCCGACTTTTTGGGCGGGGAATACAGTGCTGCGAGGCCTAAGGCTGCAACCTTGGAACAAATATTTTGGGCACGTGACGTGTCTGCGCCTGAGGATTCTCTGGGCAAACGTAAAACCTCCGGACTTACCTTTCTCCGAACTCTATCTCGGAACATCTTTTCTTCCGATCCGAAGCCCCACAATCAAGTATTGCCGGGCGGTCAAGATGTCCAGTTCCGACAAACTGAAGCAGCTCCATTCTCTGAGCCCTGCGCTGCGACTGGCTCCCCACGGCAGTCGCTTCCCAGGGTTTCAACGAACCGACCGTGCTAAACCTGTACGTTTTCGCATGCACCCATTTCTACACAGTCCACTGACAGCATCCATCCACAGGCGCACCGTTTCAGGCGCCGACGCGTTATGGCTGCTCCACCCTCAACACTCTACTCTGACTTTGACATGGAGGCGGACAAGGACGTTGATGCCCGCATGGAGCTGGCTAATGATTTTGCCGACATGGGGGATGACTTGAATGTCCAGGAGGAAGAAGCTGGCGCCGCTGAAGACCCAGTGGATGCTATCCTGGATGACGCTATCGCAGAAGACACCCCCGAAGCCGGCGAAGCGAACGATTTTGAACGCTCTGTTACGATCACCGATGAGTTGACCGTCCTTCACAAGGGCCTCCGCGACCACTACTCCATTCGCTTCCCCGAGCTGGAGACTCTCGTCACGACCCCCATCAAGTACGCGAAGACCGTTGCGATCCTCCTGAATGGCCCCCTCAACGATATTAAGACTCTGGCCGCCACTTCTGAGAACATGGTTGGCGCGCCGCTGAGCACTATCCTCGATGGACCATCCCTGATGGTGGTTGCGGTCGAAGCGACTACTACTCGAGGCCGCGACATGTCCGACGCCGAACTGGATCGCGTCACCCGCATCTGCCAAAAGATCTTGAAGCTCGATCAAAAGCGCATTGAGATCACCCAGCGCATTGAGTCGGGCATGACCGAAATCGCTCCCAACTTGGCTGTTCTCGTTGGCACTCAAACTGCCGCGCAGTTCTTGAACGCGACTGGAGGCATGAAGCAGCTCTCGTTGATCCCCGCCTGCAACCTGGCTGCCATAGGATCCGGTCGCCAGGAGGGAACAGGCTTTGCGACCAACCACGGCGTTCGATCTAAGGGCTACCTCTACGACTCGCCCATCTTCAAAGACGTCCCTGAGGATCATATGAAGCAAGGCATCCGTATTGTAGCTGGAAAGATGAAGCTCACTGTAAGCGTTGATGCTGCTCGAACCATGCGCGATGGCTCCTATGGACTGAAGATGCGAGACGAGTGTCTCACTAAGTTCGACAAAATGAATGAAGCCGCCCCGAACGCGAGAACCAAGGCTTTGCCCGCCCCCGACGAGAAGCCATCCCAGAAGCGTGGTGGTAAACGCGCCCGCAAGGCCAAGGAAGCCACTGCCATGACCGAGATGCGTAAGGCGCAGAACCGTATGGCATTCGGACAGCAGGAAGCGGAAGTCGGATACGGGACTGGCTCTGGAACCGTTGGACTTGGCATGCTTGGTCAAGAGAACCAGGGCAACATCCGCGCCACCCAGGTCGACAAGCGCACTGCCGCCAAGCTGAGCAAGAACAATCAAGGCTGGGGCACCACTCCCACCGGCAACAGTAACGCCTCCTTGGACAATCTGACCCCCGGCGCCAGCGGAATCGCCAGTGTGTTCCAAGCCCGTGGTCTGCGTCAGTCCGGCGTTGGAAACATGACCGATGCGGCCGGCACTGCCAGCACTATTGCCTTCACCCCCGCGCAGGGTTTGGAGCTCGTCGACCCCAAGGCCCAGGCCGAATTGAAACGCAAGCGGGAGGACGAGGAGAACCGCTGGTTCAACTCGGGCACCTTCACCCAGGCTCCCAACGAAGGCAACGACCAGAACAGCGGCTTCAAGGTCCCTGCCCTGCCAAACAAGCGGGTCAACCTTGGAGATGGCTCGAAGGGCCAGTCCAATTAAATTGCCTTTTGCTTTTTTTCTTGGGCTTTGCATTTCGGCGGAGTTTCCGGAGGTCTGAGCTCCTTTGATTTACGTGATACCACTGGGGTTGCGTTACTTGTTTTATGCCGCTGGATGAGTTTCCCAGCGAGAGAAAATCCTCTTCGATGAGAAAAAAAATCTAAAATGTTCAAATTATTTCCTCTTCTAGTAAATGGTCCATGGCGTAGGAAAGTCGACCCCGAGATCTGCGTAGTTGCAAACTTGGCCAAACGGCTAGGGCTCACCGACACCACGTGGACAGAAGTCGTTCAAGGTAGTCCTGGATTCAAGGGATAGTACGGTGTGCATTCAGACGAGTTTCAAAGTAATTGCGTGCTCCCATTGTGGAATTGTGACATGTGGTACAGCTCGGTAGCGGTTGAATATTGAGGTTTGCCTTCGGAATGGCGCAATCAAGGATCTACCTACCCCGTACTCCTTAAAATGTAGACCCTTCACATCCAAAGAATACATTTCATTCAATTCTTTCTGATGGAAAGGCTATACCATTGAAAAGGCGCATCCATTCTATTAGGGGAAAGAGAGCTACTTTATCCTACAGACACCGTTGAAGAGGGCTGTTTGGATGGTGATACAGAGCCAAACAGTGCGTTTGACTGTGAATCCCAACGGCCGATTTCACAAAACTTTCTCACCATGGCATTGACTATTCCCAAGCCGGTTACATTGGGTGGTTCAGACTTCCAAAGTACAACCGCCCTCAGCAACCTGCACCATCACAGCATTGTAACAAAGGAATTTGACCCTCTCCGCTTCGAAGCCGCAGCCTCATTGCAATTGCAATTGCAGTCCCAATCGCATATTCAGCATCAATCCGACGAAACAGGAGAACAATCCACCCATCTCATTGCATCTCCATACAACGATCCATCACATCTCCTCGATATATCAGCCCTAGACCACCAAGATCGAATCTTCGCATTGGCACTCTCATATCTAAAGCCAATCCGCAATGACTATGCAACAGCTGCATACACCGAGTCTTTCAACTGGAGCGAGATCTTCTCATTGGTGAAATCATTCTCGGAAGCCGAGAACCGGACCTGGACAAGACGGTCGTATTACGTCGTTATCTTTCGTTCAATTCTATTGCCCGACGCTGACGGTGATCGTCTTTATGATCTGGATGCGCATTCGCATCGCGAGGCCATTGCCTCTGGGGGCTTGTTGAAGTATTGGTTCGGGTCGAAGAACGCGGAGCGGAGGAACCTGGCGACTTGTGAGTATTATCTGTCGATTCGAACTTGTAGAACCTTGGCTGATGAAAAAGGTATCTGGCGCTCGAGAAATGATGCTCGACTTGGTGGGAGGGGGCCTTGGCATGCGCAGGCTAGAGCTGCGGCGACGGTTATGTATGAGGAGATTCTTTTCACGACGCTGCGGTTGGATATACTTGATGGAGCTGAGGGGTGGGAGTTGACTGATTGGAAGGATAGTGCTTGAAATTTTGGGTCTTGTTCATTCGCATTCGAAGCTCACAGGCGTTCATTGCTTCAAGATATTTCAACATTGAAACGTATTTTGAGTGGACTGTCTTCGGTTCTCGTGGGCTGTAAGACATGGAGCAGTAGAGTGATCTTTCCTGTGCAATCGCTCAGACGAGTGTGTTTCAATCTTATGAAGATTTGTCGATATCATATCTGCTGCGCGGCGTGTGTTCGTGGAGCAAGTTTATGGAAGTGGTTCTGGGGAGTCGAAGGACTGTTTTGCTGCATTCACGAATCACGATGAGTTCGCGACTCGCGAGTATCTCAGTTCGGAGGAAGTCAACTGGCAATGAGGTTGAATATAGTACCTGCACATATTCCCCAAATCAGACTGCACATCGCAGACGCAAAAGAGCAGAGTTCCCCGCGGATCAGCGCTGGTTGCTCCACGTCTCCCCACATCGTTCGCCCAACGGAGTTAAGACCCCCGCCTGCAGTGCGGAAATAATTACTTATTTGCGATGTCCACTCTATCTCGGCACCATTTGAATGCGATCAGATTTCACACGCAGTTGGGTCAGCAAGCATTTCTGCAAAATGTGGTTGGATAGTCCTGCCTCGAGTCTCACGATTACCCCGCCATGCACTCCAGGATATAAAGAGCAGCTGAGGACCAATTCTTCCTGATTCAAAACACTCTTCAATCGTCAAAATGGTTGGACTACAAGCCGAGAACCTCGCCGTGAACGATGGCCCCCTAACAGCGGAAAACGCAGCCCTGTTGCGCCCCTCCTCCCCATCCCTCCCCCTCTCCGAACTCCGCGAGCGCTACGAAGCAGACGGCTACCTATTCCTAAAGCAAGTCCTGCCTCGACAAGATGTCCTCGACGCCCGCAACGCCTACTTCTTCTCATTGAAGGAGACAGGCGTCCTGAAGCCTGGCACTACTCCGGTGGAAGGTGTATTCGATCCCGCCAAGAGCCACCTCGACTACCCCGGCATTGGAGCCGGACACATTGGCGGAAATGGAAAGCCAGGTGGCGAGCAAGCAGCTGCTTTTGTGGATCTTGCTTTGGACGCCCACTACCAGGAATGGTATGACAAGTTCTGTAACCACCCTGCGTTGTATGACTTTGTCGCCCGGTTCGCGGACTGGGGGAAGAACACGCTTAACTTGAAGCGCACGTTATTGAGGAATAATATTCCTGGTTCGAAGCCTATTGGTGTGCATTATGATCAGATCTTCCTGAGATATGGAGATCCGACCAGTGTCACGGCCTGGGTTCCTATGGGAGATGTCAAGATCAATGGCGGTGGATTGATTTATCTGGAGGATGGTATGTGGACCATTTGCAGAGATGAGTATCAGCGTACTAACGCTCATATAGGTGATAAGATTGGACTCGAGCTGGAAGAATCATTCTTCAGGAAAGCGAAGCAGGCTGGACTTTCCGACGAAGAGGCCAAGTCGGCATTCAACACGAATATGATGGCCACCGGTCTCTTGTCCGAATTCCCTACAGAGTTTGCGAAGGACCATGGGAAGCGCTGGTTGGTATCAGAGTATGAAGCTGGCGATGTTGTCTTGCACAAGCCGCACATGGTAAGTTCTGCCCTTTGTTGACAGACCTTAAGCTTATTCTTTAGATCCACGCCTCGACAATCAATCATGACCCAGACAATGTCATTCGACTCGCAACAGATCTGCGGTTCTGTGACTCGTCTAAGCCTTACGACAAGGTAGGTTAAGGATCAGAAACACCCTGGTGAAGCTGACAGCTGACAATCTTTCAGAGATGGATGAACTCCTACCGGTTCAACGATGGCGTATAACCGAACCATGACCATCTCGATATCAATAGCTTGAATTCCAATTGTACTAGTACAAACAGTCAAGTTCCACTCTACCAGTCGCGTATTCTACGGGAAGCGAGTTCGTTTAGTACTAAGTTGCGTAGGTGACCAAGTAGTGATAAGAGAACATGCAAGGATGGGACAGTTTCATCTCCTCATTCCAATGGCTCTGGAGTCGAATCATGATGATACCGCTGGAATGCTTCAATCTCAAGACGCTGGCTAAAATACCTGTCATTAGTGGCGATCAACACACCCCCTAGTTTCGCAACAGCACCACAGTGCATCTTAATCCAAACTTTTTACTGCTGCTTTACGGTGATCATGAAGGAGAACTCGCAGTATGAGAGAAAACATAGTCTCCTGGGTTTCAACGAATGATATGATTGTCCAGCACGGGTTGGATATCGGTAACTTGTGAATGTTGGCGTTTTACCAAACATGGCAAGACTACATTCCAGTGCGAAAAAGGCATTTCAGTTATTTCGGTCGCCAAAACATGGAGTGCTGAAGATAATCCTTGTGATGGACACTTGAATCATCTCTTCCTTATCAACACGAGGATCCCATCAAGAAGATCTCACTGCAGACCCTTCAATCCGAACATCATGTCTCCTACCAACTCCAGGCCGTGGTACTCAGTGCTACTTGCAGCTCTAGCACTATCGACCGTGCATGCCCGTCCCATCCAAGACGGAGATTTAACCAGCTTGGAAGCACGCTCACCGGTTCGCTACCCACACCACCCTCCAGCGACGAGACTAACCCTAACAGCGTCTCATCCCGGATACCGCAAACTACGTCCATGAAGTCTTGCACGGCCTCGGCCTAGCTGATGCTCCCACCACAACTACACCTGCAACAACAGTTACAGCAATCCCGACACCCTCGGCGCCCAAAGAACACAAGACCCACACCGAAACCGTCTACACGGAGAGCGACTACCCTCCCACCGAGCATGCCAGCCAAGCAAGCGTCCCCTCGCCAGGCAGCTCTTCAGAGAGCACTGGCCCAACCCCTACCAAGCATATTACATACTCGAGTTCGACAAGCTACACCCCGACCCAGGACAGCGAGGAGCCAGGCTATACGCATTCTGTGACCCAACACGTTAGCCACCACCCTGCCAACATTGAGTTTATGCATGGGTGGAGCAAGGATCGGAAGCTTACTGCCGATGATTTGCCCGGTGTGTTCGACGCTGTTTATCGCGAGTTGAAGCATCAGATCGGGGATGCCATTAATAGCTCGGATGAGCTTGGGCTGGATGAGTTCATGGATAACTTGTGAAGGGGGTGATAAGCCATGTAAAAGCGAATGTGTTTCTGTTCTTTGTATTCTTAGTATGATTTTGGTGGAATTGATTTCGCGAATGGTGGGTTGGTTATGTATACTTCAGGGCTGAGGCGCCTGGTAGTTTTATTCTGGTGGTTGTGCCTTTTAGACAAACTAGGTATTAGTGTTCGATTATTGAAGTAATTATTCTAATTGAAATCTTGTTGGTCATAAGTCCGAGTGATACGAACAATGAAGTTCATAGATCTGCATGATGTCAACGGAGTCAAGAGTCTTAACTCCGTGCTCGTTGTCCGACCGAAGATCCGGAGTGTAGCGCGCAATTATGACCCGGACACCGAGATCTTCGATTTTAAGCATTGGCTACGCAGATATGCCGCGCATCTATGGGGCAGACCTCGGGGTTAAGCTCGAGTCTCTTCGCGCTGTACCGTTCACCTCTGGCGGGGCTCCAAACCCATAAAAGAGCGGCCCACACCCTTCGATTGCATCTGCAACTCTCTCATTCTCTTTTATCTTCTCTCAGACACAGCTTCAAATCGACAAAAGCACACAATGCCTTCTCTCGTTGGAAAAGAAATTGGCCCCACGGGCTACGGCACCATGGGTACGCATCCTGTCCCACATCTATGAATTCTGCTAACAGCACCAGGCATGACCTGGAGACCTCAACCTCCAACCCAGGAGGTATGCTTTGAAACATTGAACACTACCCTTGAGCTCGGAGCCAACTTCTGGAATGGTGGCGAGCTTTACGGCACACCAGAGTACAACTCCTTGCATCTCTTGAACAAGTACTTCACCAAGTACCCCGAGAACGCCGAGAAGGTTGTGCTCAGCATCAAGGGCGGTTTGAAGAAGGGTCAGCTCGTTCCCGACTGCTCTGAGGCGAACATTCGTCGCAGCGTAGACGAGTGTCTGCACCAGCTTGACGGCAAGAAGAGCATTGATATCTTTGAATGTGCGCGACAGGACCCGCAGGTCCCCGTCGAGCAAACGATTGAGGTCCTTGCGAAATATGTGCAGGAAGGCAAGATTGGAGGAATTGGATTGAGCGAGGTCGATGCTGATACTATTCGTCGAGCGTTTGTCTCTCTCTTCTTCACTTTCTACATAACGTTAAGCTAACTGTCTGAAAGACACAAGGTGCACCCGATTGCCGCCGTGGAGGTTGAAATGTCCATGTGGTCAACCGACATCCTAGAGAACGACATTGCCAAAACTTGTGCCGAGCTGAACATCCCCATTGTCGCCTACTCACCTCTCGGCCGAGGTGTTCTCACTGGTGCTGTGACTTCACTGACCGATATCCCCGAGGGTGACTTCCGGCACCACCTGCCCCGTTTCAGTGATGACAACTTCCAGAAGAACCTCAAGCTCATCAACGAAGTCAAAGAGCTGGCTACTCGGAAGGGCATTGCCCCTGCGCAAATTGCACTCGCCTGGGTGCGCAGCCAGAGTGCCAAGCCTGGTATGCCTACTATTATTCCGATTCCCGGTGGTACTACGAAGGACAAGGTGGTTCAAAATATGGGTGGAGTGCAGGTATTGACTGATTCTGAGCTGGCTGAGATTGATGCTATTTTGAAGGGAAATGTGGTTGCCGGTGGTCGGTACTAGAGTTGCTATACTTTGATCGGTTAGCTAGGTCCAGCTAACAGAAATGACGATGATATTGCCAGTATGTCAAGGTATCAGATCAAGTGTAGAAGAGTCAACATCCAATCTCACATGCTTTCAACATGGAGATTATCAGCATTGCAGAATTCTTCGGGGTTTGTTCATCATGTAGGCGTGGGCAGTGTGAACAGACGAATGAACTTACTGGTTAGTTTTAACAGGGTTTTGGTTGTTTTTGGTGTTTATCTTGTCCATGGAGGCTCAGTAGATGAGCCATAGAGCCAAAGTTCGTCAACATGAAGACATTGAGAGGGGAGGAAGAGGAGAAAAGGAACGAAAAGGTGGAGTGTGTGTCCGGGGGGGCCGGGGAGCTCGACGCTTAGTAACATAGATCACGTGTCGTGTTATTGTCTCGCATCGCGAGCATCTACATTGGAGCTATCAGTCTGAACCGGTCTATTCATTCCCGTGCCTTGGACAATCATTCAATCCACAATGGCCTCAAGAGAGTCTCCAGGCTCACCGTTATCCTCGGTGGGCTCCATGGACGGATCAGACCATGAAGACAGCCGCGCGCACTCGCCCTCGACGTCAAACATGCCGCCCTCGAAACGGCGTCGCACTGGGGGCCCTCCCTGGATTAACAAAGAACGACACACACCACAGTCATCAGTTTGCGACGAAAACCATCCTCCCCCATCCCCAACCGCCTCAATCTCCTCCGACAGCTCCGCCGACATCCCCAACTCTCCAAGCCTCCTTGCTCTCCTGGGCACCAATCAAGAAGATGACTACAGCGGCCAAAGCACCGACCAAGTCACCATCTGCCGATGGGACGGGTGCACAGCCGGCGACCTCGGAAACATGGATGGGCTGGTGTCTCACCTGCACAACGAACACATCGGGAGCCGACAGAAACGGTACTCGTGCGAGTGGACCGACTGCACCCGCAAAGGTCAAACGCACGCCAGCGCTTATGCCCTCCGCGCCCACATGAGAAGTCACACCCGCGAGAAACCTTTCTACTGCACACTACCAGGTATGTGACACGCGCAATGGCACTCCGTCCACGACTAAATTCCCACAGAATGTGATCGCAACTTCACCCGCTCCGACGCCCTCACTAAGCACATGCGCTCTGTTCACGAAACTGATACCATGCGTCCCAACGACGCAATTGGCAAAGCCGGCTCTTCGACCGGAACTCCCGCCTCGAAGCTCCAGCGCATTCGACTAAAACTCACCCAGCCCCGCGAGCCTGGCTCCGAGGCAGAACCTCATGTCGAAGCCCCGGTTGCCCCGCCAGTGCCATCGATCCCAACGGAGCATGATCTGGAGGAGAATTCCATGCCTGAATTTGGCCCGGAGCTCGAGCTAGATGATCATGAACTCTCTTTACCCGCACGAGACCTATACCGTCTCCTTCGACGCCAGATTGTATGGGCCGGAAAAGAGACGGCACAATTGCAGGCTGAGTGGGAGGGGATTCGACCGAAGCGCGAGGCAGCATGGCGTGAGAAAGAAGCCATCTTCGACGATCTGATTGATGCCGAGGTTGGACTTTTGAGCGCTATGGTTGGCTCGGTCCCTCCAGCCAATCTCACCACTAGTCTGGAGAAATTGCAAAGACAGCAAGAACAGTTCCACAACCAACAGGAGCAGCTTGCTAGGGCCGCTGAGCCTCCTTATGTTGAGGGTGCTTAGGCCCTGGCTTTGGCTCGGTGCCTTGACTGTCCAGCGCTGTTGGCTTTCGGTTCGTTTCCCTATCTTCTTGCCTTCATATCCTGGCGTGCGTGGTGTTGGTGAATGCGTTCTTTGTTTCGTTTCCTCGGTAGAGGATATAGTGATGTCCTGCGATGGAATGTATGAATAGTTTATTTCCTCATTAGCCTGGCCTGGCCCAATAATGCCCCATTACCATGGGCAGTGACCTGAAATGATATTGTCAATAATCATCGCCCTGGCCTACATATATGAACCTTGGAACCTTTATAATTTGCCGAAGCTTCATGGATCCGTGATTGAAATAGCGCAGGCGAGGTGGAAACCATGGAAGCTTGGAATATATCGCCTTCGTGTTACTACCTAGTATTATAAGTTCTGATCACGTCCTTCATAGTGTACGAAGGACTGCTGATTCTCGGGAAAATCCTGGATGATCCTGCATTTGGTTCTAAACCAGAAGAAAAAGATGTGAGAAATAACACGCTCCCGACCGAGTCACTCAGAATCGAAAATCACTCGACGCCGTGGCAGCCACTCCATAAGATACATGTGCTGAGAAACGCAAGAGAGTACAGACTGACGGCGTATTGTCGAGATCCGCAGTTAAAGCAAAGAAAAATCGAGACTATACCGAGACTCAGCGCAGGACTCGATACCGGGAACCGATGAAGATAGAAACAAAAAAAGAGCCCAGACACGCCATGCAGTGATCATCCAAGCGCGTGAACATGCCCATTTTAAACCGAATTCTCCGTTTGCTTTTGGGCTTGCGAAAAGAGATTCGACGCCATCCGCAATGCCATGCAACGGGTTGCATCCATATGTACTTTCAAAGAAAAAGCGACGTAGACCGTTCTTGTTGGGGAACAAAGCAGTGCAATCAACGAGCCCAGGGGTGTGGTCGCAGGTGAAGCAGCCTCAAGTCCGAGAAGAAATGCAAGAGTATCATAGTTTGAGGGGAAGAAATGAGTAGGGAATTGAAGCAAAAAGGAAGAAATCACAAGATGTACGATAATGATCAATCACCGGAGAGAAAGAATAGATAGGAACCAGAAACGCTGAACATGCATGTCATGAAACCGTGCTAAAGTGAGTCTTAATGAACCAAAACACCTATGCCCCTTGGAGGGGGCACCCCGAGTATTCAAGCCGATGTACCGTTAGAAGCTTTGGAGGCCTTGCTCGCTTCCATGACTTTGTTGAACATTAGCTGGAGCTTGGCTCCGCTAGCATCCTTGTTGGGCCAGTAGTTAAGCGAGACATGATCCCTAGATCTTGTGTTAGAATGTTTTGTATGATCCAAAGTGCAGCGAGGAGATAATACCATAAGCGGACCTCTAGCGAAGGCATGGATTGCTGGCCGTCTAGGGTATTTCGGATGAATTCACCAATCTTCACGAGAGTGAGGCGAAGCTTTTGGGCTCTCTCATTCTTGTTGGGATAGTTTTTGGCGGTGATCATCGACACCTGCTTAAGGGTAGCAACAATGGGCTTGAAGAACATGAAAGCCATGTCCTCTTTGCTCGATCCGCCGTTTTCATGTCCTCTCCGACGCCGGATGTCATCATTAGACGCATCAGAGAGGCGGTGACGAGGGCGGTTGTCAAGGCCAGACCGGGGGCGATCGTGACTTGGAGTGTGGTGGCGGTCACTTCCCTCCCGCCCACCGTGAGTATGTGATCGTTGACGCGAGCGATCGGCTTCGCGATGACCTTTGCGCGGGTTTTCAGGTCTGCGAGAACTTGAGGGCGCCGGAGAAGCAGAAACACTACCACTGCCGGAAACTCGGGTGTTGCGTTTGTTATTGCGATGATGGTTGTCAACAGCCCTCCGAGCAGTAGCGTTGTTGTTATACTTATTCCTCAGCACAGACATCAGGTATTCGGCTCGTCGAACAAGGTGCACAGCACCTGGAGACTTGGTTGCCTTCTCGTCGGTCTGCAGTCGCTGAGTTTTGCGTTCTACTCGGTGCTCCTCGAGGAAGAATTTGTCGCCGAGGCCAAGCTCGGTATCATCACGAATTTGGGTCCAGGCTCCGAATCCGTGGCGCGCGATACCAACAAGAAGCATGCCGTCTTCACGTGCACCCCACATACAGCTGTAGTCTGCCAACTTCGTGGCCTCGGGAAGACGGAACGTCCTGAAATCGGGCAAGGCTGTCGTGATACTCCGTATCAGGCGCATGTCAGGAGGCCGCTCCACAATAGTCCATGCATTAAGTCGTTTCACACCATGGTGATCGAACAAGACTGCTTTTTGCTCCTTCTTCGTGGGATTCTTGCCCGCTTGCTTCATGGCATCTAGTTGATCCAGACTTTCCTGCACAAGTGAATTGGCTTTCTCGGTGATCTCGCGAAGAGCAGCACGAACGGTTTCCCGGTCCCGAGTTTGCAACCTTGCATCTTCAAGGATGAGATCTTCGGAGTCATCCATGTCTCCAAAGCGAAGGAAGGCTCGGGAGAGCGCGCGGTACTCTTTCTCTCCCAGAGGACGCTTGGGGTCCAATGAAGAGTTCTCATCTTCGCCATCGTCAATGTGAACTTGGGCCCTAGCAAGACGCTTAGCCTTTCGTTCCTCTCTTGAGTCCGGTGTTTCTGCGGGCGCGTGACGCTTGCGAGGTCGATTCTGCTCGATGACCTCTGCAAGGTAAACGTCGTCATCCTTGCGTTTTTCTTCGGCTTTGATTTCTTCAAGTTGATCCTTGGGAATGATGTCGTCCCAGGTAAGATCGTCGACTTTGATGTCGACGAAGTCGAAGGCCTTCAAGAATTCCTCGCCACCGTCTGCCTGTATTTGTTCTGCTTCTTCCGTTTGGTGCAACTCTGCATTTGCAAGAACAGAGTCAATATCAAGTTGCTCGAGCTTCTTCTGGTTATCCGTTTGTTCGAACATCTTTTGGCCACGGCGCTTCAGAATTCGAGAGATATCATCAGTGGAGTTGGGCTCAGCGACAACACGAGCCATCTTGTTTTGCATATCTGAAGCTTCCTTGTCCGTAACACCACGTTGGATGGTGATGAATTCAAGCAAAAGCTTGTTGCGGGCTCTTTCGATAACTTCCTCTTCGATGGTGTCCTTCGAGACAAGGCGGTAGACGCTGACAGGCCGGGTCTGACCAATTCGGTGGGCTCGAGCCATGGCTTGAAGATCAGCCTGGGGATTCCAATCAGAATCAAATAGAACGACCGTGTCTGCAGTCATCAAGTTGATACCCAGACCACCTGCACGGGTCGAGAGAAGGAATGCAAAGTCTGTACTGCCGGGGGCGTTGTAGTGTTCGATGGCCAAGCGACGGGCGGCTGATGGAATGGTACCGTCAAGCCTCTGGTATTTGTAGCCACGGTACTCCATGTACTCGCTCAAAATGTTGAGCATGCCAACCATTTGACAGAAAATCAAAACACGATGGCCATCAACACTGAGCTTGCGTAGGAGCTGATCGAGGAGCATCATCTTTCCACTACTGGTGATCATAGCGCGAAGGACATCTTCTCGCCGAGTGCTGCCTTCCAAGAGTTTTGCCTCAGCGTTCGGGAACATGAATGGGTGGTTGCTAGCCTTTTTCAACTCCATCATGATGTTCAAAAGAGACTGCTTCATTCCCTTATTTCCGTCGTTCAATGCAGCATAGTTTTTGGTCAAGATATTCTTGTAGTATTCCAACTGGACATCGGAAAGCTCCACACGAATGATCTTTTCGGTTTTGGGGGGAAGGTCAGATTCAACCTTGGACTTGGTGCGTCGCAGCATGAAAGGTTGAATAGCATCTGTCAACTCGGCAAGCTTTTGTGAGGCTGCCTCGGAGTTCAGATCCATGTCAACATCAACATCAATTAACCCCGGGTTGAGGAAGTCCATCAAAGCCGAGAGCTCTGCGAGGTTGTTTTGGATCGGGGTACCAGTGATCAATAGACGGGCTTGACATTTCCATTCAAACAACTTGATGTAAAGTTGTGAGTCTCGGTTCTTGAGACGATGCGCCTCATCAACCGCCATGAACTGCCATTTGAATTGGCCGAGGAAGGGAGAGTCGTTCATTGCATACTCATAGGTGGTAAGCAGGACGTGGAATTTAGGACGCTTGGGATTTCCGTCCACCATCAATTCGTAGTCCCGCAGTACTGAGCGCGCCTTTTCGCTACCGTTGTATACCACATAGTTGAGATCAGGGGTCCAGTGATCGAAAGTGTCAGCCCAGGCCGGCATAGTGGATAAAGGTACAATAACGATAAATGGTCCTTGCTGACGTCGAACATGGCGCATCCAATTAATGAACGACACGGTCTGCACTGTTTTACCAAGACCCATCTCATCGGCCAAGACGACATTGCGACCTCTGACCCAGTTGAAAGCCAGGAAGTTGAGACCCTTGATCTGGAAGTCCTTGAGCTCTCCGTTTTGGAGGAAGCTCGGGCTTCCACCATGGATGGGCTCGAAGGGTTTCCTTGTAGCGATAGTGGTTTCGTTTTTGTCGGAGAAAGGTTGGCGGGCAGTGCGGTCCAAGAATCGGTCGACCTCACGTTGGGCAATCTCACTAACAAGATCCTCGGGTTCCCAGGTGCATGAATCATAGAAGAGACGTTTCCATTTCACAAGGTATTCCGTGGTGCCATCGTCGCCATCGCGCACGCCAATGACTCTCTCGACCATTTTATAGTCTTCGATGGCTTCAACGTCTCGTTCGCGATCGAGATTCCACTTTTCTCTGTCTTCGGGTGGTGCGTCTTCATCATACTGCAGCCGAATGTCTTCATTGAGCACCTTCCGGACGTAATTGTCTACACGTCGAGTGCTACGGTAGTTCGACATGGCCTCATTAGGTTCCCACGTAGCGTGATAGTGTGATTTATCTTGCCACTTGATACAGAACTCAAAGTCGCTGCGATCGAGGTCTTGAGACTTGGGGTCGACGCCTTCCTTGAGCCGATGGTTGAGAACGACGTCGACGGCAGGGCGGGTATCTTCAGCGTAACTTTCTGCCCAGTAGCTGGGTGCAAGATCTTCAGGGTCGGCTTCAAACATTGCCTCGTCTTCCTCGTCATCTTCATTATAATTTGACACTTTGTTAGCAGTCCGCGTTGAGAAGCGGACTTCATTCAGCGAGGGTTCATAACTGGCGGTCTGCTGGAGACGACGCCTCCGAGCCTTGCTAGCACGAGCACTCTTCCCGCCATATTCCTCGCTGTCCGAATCAGACATCGACGACACGGTGGCCGATCGGGAGGCCTTGGAGGGTTGTTGAGATGTTTCCTTGCGCCGACGCTTTGCACGAGGCGCAACGACATCGGAATCAGAATCGGATGAGTCGGCGATATTGCGTGTAGTACGAGCACGACCACTGCGGCGAAGTCCATACAAATCGGGATTTTGCCTTATTAGATCGGTCTCGCTTTGGGGGGACGATCTCCGCTGGGCACCGCGGCCGGGGTGAGGGGATGAAGAGTTTTCACGGCTGTAGGGGTTGGCATCATCATCGCTGTTGTCTGCCGCCGCATCTTCATCTTCTGCATCTGATTCGGCAGATGCGCCGTCATAAGAGTCGTCCGCGGCATCGGGCTCGGGGGAGGATTCGGAGACAGGATGGGACTCAATGGGTTCGGACGGGCTGCGTTCGTGTTGGGATTCATCGTCGCCATGGACGTGGGATTCGTATGCGACAGGCGAAACAGGATAGCCGTTGGACATCGTGGAGGTTGAGGAGGGTTCCTGAGCAGATGGGATCACCATGCCAGAGGCTGTGGTTGACGGTCAAAGGTCAGCATTGAAGCTCCATTTGGGCTCGCAGGGGGTTCAAAGAGGTAGCAGGAGGTACGCCAGTGGCACGCGACCCAAAATCCGTTCAAATGGAGCTCAAAACCCGGCTGGATAGGCCAACATATTGACTTTGATGGAAGTGTATGTTTTTTGATGACGGGTGGGATGGACGCGGCCAGGCTGGAAGACAAGGCAATGGGCACATTGATACACGCGACTGGGCTTGGAGAGAGGCGCGACACGCTGCTTTGCCACCTCTAGGTGCAATCTTCCCGGATCTGAACAAAATGAGGGGATTCAAGGATTCGTACAGTGGGTCGAAGAACGCGGAGATGTACCGCGGCGAATGGTTCAGGCGACAGATTTGGACTCGAGAAAAATATAAAATCACTTACACTCCATAGCGTGGTGACCCCGACAGCGGGGGATCAGGAGATCAATGTGGAAAAGTGAATGGTGGGGAAGTCTCGAGCGTTGGAATCTTGGGGGAGGAGGAGAGACGAGACTTGAGGAAGCAAGAGATGGGACTTAGGCGCCAAGCGAAATCGCTGCTTCTGCGGCTGGCGGCCTGAGGCAGCCACGCCGAGACTGTCTTATGTAATAGTCACGTGTCAATTGCTCCAGCAGCCAATCACAGACGACGTAATCCATTGTAAGGGCACTCCCACAACGGATTTTCTACCGCCCCTCCAGGTTGGATAGTGTTGTCTCCTTGTCCCATTTCTACCTTGGTAGTCGAGTCTGCGCAGAGTCGGTGCTTTTGTTGCGCCCAGCTTATTCACCTGCGACAGTGCTGAATCGACCACTCTCTCTGATCACCTTCGGTGCTGATTCTTCGTTTTTTTTCTTCAAATCTTCCGCTTGATACTGGTTTCTTTGAACCACCTCCTTCACCATGTCTGACAAGCTCACCCGGTATGTGTCTGTACTCTCCGATGTGCCCGATTCGTTCCTAACCAAGATTTTTCTTCATAGTATTGCGATCATCAACAGTGACAAGGTTCGTCGAGAGATACCCCACTAACAACATTTTCTCCGACTCGCGAATACCTGGCTTACACGCGACTCTTCTGATATAACAGTGCAAACCGAAGGTATGCGACTCGATATGAATATTCGTGAAAGCCAGCGGCTAATGAATCCCAGAAATGTCGTCAGGAGTGCAAGAAGGCTTGTCCCGTGGTCCGCACGGGAAAGCTTTGCATTGAAGTCGACCCTACCTCCAAGATCGCCTTCATTTCCGAGCGCCTGTGTATTGGTTGTGGTATCTGTCCCAAGAAGTGCCCATTCGGTGCCATTCACATTATCAACTTGCCTACCAACTTGGAGACTCAGGTCACCCACCGCTACTCGGCCAACAGCTTCAAGCTCCATCGCCTTCCCATGCCCCGCCCCGGTCAGGTCCTCGGTCTCGTTGGAACAAACGGTATCGGAAAGAGTACCGCTCTGAAGATTCTCAGTGGAAAGTTGAAGCCCAACCTGGGTCGCTACGAAAACCCTCCCGACTGGGAGGAGATCCTGAAGTACTTCCGTGGTTCAGACTTGCAAAGTAAGCGCAAACCTATCTATGCTATTCTCGGTTGTCAACGATGCTAACCGAAATAGACTACTTCACCAAGGTTCTGGAAGACAACTTGAAGGCGGTCGTGAAGCCCCAGTATGTCGATCAGATTCCCCGCGCCGTCAAGGGACCCGTCCAGGGTGTGCACGACCTTATCAAGGCACGTGTTGCGCTGGACAACGAGGATGAGATTATGGACGTTCTCGGTGAGTGGGATCGCTTTGGCTCGACGATATGCTTGCTAATACAAAGATAGAGCTGCGCCAAGTTGCGGACCGTGAGATTAGCCACCTTTCTGGTGGTGAGCTTCAACGTTTCGCCATTGGTCTCGTCTGTGTGCAGAAGGCTGATGTGTAAGTCTATACCATTTCTCAGTGCATTCGCGCAATTGCTTACCTTTAATAGTTACATGTTCGACGAGCCTTCCTCATATCTCGATGTCAAGCAGCGTCTGGCTGCTGCCCGTACTATTCGCAGCCTCCTCCGTCCCGATGATTACGTTATTGTCGTTGAGCACGATTTGTCTGTCCTCGATTACCTTTCCGACTTTATTTGCGTGCTGTACGGTCGTCCCGCCGTTTACGGTGTTGTGACTCTTCCCTCCTCCGTCCGTGAAGGTATCAACATCTTCTTGGATGGTCACATTCCCACCGAGAACTTGCGATTCCGTGATGAGTCCCTCACCTTCCGTCTTGCCGAGGCCGGTGAAGAGTTCATTGCCGACAAGGATCGTGCCTTCGCTTACCCCACCATGGAGAAGACCATGGGCAACTTCCACCTCAAGGTCGAGGCTGGAAAGTTCACTGACTCTGAGATCGTTGTCATGATGGGTGAGAACGGTACCGGAAAGACCACTTTCTGTAAGATGCTTGCTGGAGCCCTGAAGCCCGATGGCACCGTCAGCGTTCCCAAGATGAGCATCAGCATGAAGCCCCAGAAGATTACCCCCAAGTTCACTGGTACCGTTCGCCAGCTCTTCTTCAAGCGCATCAAGACCGCCTTCTTGTCTCCTCAGTTCCAGACCGATGTCTACAAGCCCCTGAAGATGGACGACTTCATTGACCAGGAAGTCCAGAACCTGTCTGGTGGTGAATTGCAGCGTGTTGCCATTGTGCTCGCCCTGGGTATGCCCGCCGATATCTACCTGATTGACGAGCCCTCCGCCTACCTGGACTCCGAGCAGCGTATCGTTGCTGCTCGTGTCATCAAGCGTTTCATCATGCACACCAAGAAGACCGCCTTCATCGTCGAGCACGATTTCATCATGGCCACCTACCTTGCTGACCGTGTCATTGTCTTCGACGGAAAGCCCTCCGTTGACGCCCGTGCTCAGGCCCCCGAGTCCCTGGTCGGCGGTTGCAACCGTTTCCTGAAGAGCTTGGACGTCACCTTCCGTCGTGACCCCAACAGTTACCGCCCCCGTATCAACAAGTACAACAGTCAGATGGACCAGGAGCAGAAGTTGGCCGGTAACTTCTACTTCTTGGAGGAAGAGAACTGAAAAGGGCATTTTCAACGAGCATCGTCGTCGTCATCACCATCGTGATGACTACGACTCTGAGCAGCGGCGCAACGGACGCGGCGGCGGCAGGAAGATCGTGTGGTTGATGGGGTTCCCAGGCGTTTGCAGAGCCTCGGCGGTTCGAGGCAAGGGACTCTGTCACTGCGCCGGGTCGTCTCCCGGTGCCAGCGGCGGTCTCTCGGACGATGATAGCGATGAAGATGACTTACATGGTAACAGTGATCCTGGCTAGCAGGTAGCGGACTCGTTTGCTCCCTTGCTGTCCGCGGTCTGATACGCTCCTTACATTTGCGACCTGTTGCCATTTGTCAGTCATCATTCAACGCCTGGATCGTTTTCACCTTGCAACTTGGCTTCGCTCTAGAATTTCCAGAGTGGCACCGGACTGGAACCTTTACCTGCAGATCTTCCTTTAATTGTCAAAATTTTAATGGTTGATTGGGATGGGCATGGTTCATTGTTCCACAGGAGTTTATGTTTGCATGAGATTGGGAGGGTTTGGGTTCACAAAAGCTCTTCCATGAAGTTTATGATTTAGAGATGAATGTGTCGAAATGGCGATGTGGTCAATTCCAGACTGTGGATGGCATGGGCCATTGTCCTGCCTCTACATTGTGTAGATAGATTGGTACCAGCCCATTGTTTTTCAGATACAAAAAATTGCTTTTTTCGTCGCTCCATACTTCTATACCGAGTAGTTTTCACCCGTGGACCCTGTGGTCGACGCTTGCACCTGCGCAGTATGTGCCTGGGTGCCTGATTGTGGCCTGATTCGGGAAAGTTGAACTTCCTAATTGGGAACCCACCTTCAGCCTCTTTCGCCAATTACTAGGTGTTTTTGCCTGCTTTGGGTGCCTTTTCGATGTGTTCAAGAATGAATAATGATTCAAACTATACATGTCTCTATGATGCTAGCCTTGAATAAAACAGAATAGCTAAGATCGATAAATTCTATTCATCAAGCGTGCACGTGCCGAAAATATATAGATCATGTACAAGCCCCTCCCCTCCAGCTTCATCCAAGTTTCACCTGGACAGGATCCCAATACCATTCCAAAGTTTGTGTCAGACTGAAGATTAAATCTGAAGCTCTCATTACCTAGAAACCACTCCAATAGTGTGAGCTTAAAACATCCAACGGCAAGGACAACGACTTTTCCGCAGACGAGATACTCGCGTGGACAGTATACGGCCCATCCTGGAGCTTCCATTTACCCTCATGCGAGTCAAAGAAACTAAACGCATACTTGTCAAGGACAAAATCTATCTTCTGTCGCTCCCCTGATTCCAAATGTATTTTTTGGAAGGATTTCAATTCCTTCGGGGGACGAGGGTGAAGCGCCCGAGTCGGATTTCCATCGTATGAGACGTAAATCTGAACAACAGTCTTTCCAGATCGGGGGCCTGTGTCACCCACCTCGCAGGCAAGCGTGACTTTGGTTTGATCCGGCTCGCCAAACTCAGCACTTGCAAGTTTGAGGCTAAAGAGCTCAAAAGTCGTGTATGAGAGGCCATACCCAAAGTGGAATTGGGGAGTGGGCGCATCTTCTGCGTCGTAATAGCGGTAGCCGATTTTGAGTCCTTCCGCGTACAAAAGCACGTCATTATCGTCGCAAGGGAAGTTGTTGAAAGCAGGGTTATCTTCGTTCCTCCGGGGCCATGACATGGGGAGTTTTCCACAAGGATTCACTGCACCTGTCAGGACCTTGGCGACGGAAGTGCCACATTCTTGGCCAGCGAACCAGGACTGTAGGAATACTGGAACATCGTCGATGAAGGGGCTGACAGTCACTGGAGACCCGGAAAAGTTGACTACGATAGTCTTGGGATTATGAGCTGCCACGGCGGATATCAGCGAGTATTGGTCTTTCGTCAAGTCCATGGTATCACGATCATATCCCTCGGACTCGATCTCATTCGTGTTTCCCACAAATACGACGGCCACATCGGCTTCGGATGCGCAAAGAGAAGCATCATCAATGGCTTTTGAGATATTGATGTATTCCATGAAGCGAAGTGACGATCCTTGGAAAACGGTTCCTTCAACTTGGCCGAGCACAGCTGGGTCAGCTGCCCATGAATGAATTTCGACATCGACGGCAGATTCCTTCTTGAGGTATAAAGAGAACTTCCGCTCGATCTTGGCTTTGTAGAAGTAAAATGACTCAGGCTTGAGGGTGGGCTCTTGTGCCCGGTGAAAGACCTCTTTGCCATTGATGAAGACCTTCGCGACCCCGGTAGTTATTACCGAGAAAGTGTGGCTTCCATCACTTCTTGGACGCAGAGTAAATGACATACGAGTGCAGTATTCACGATCAAGAAACTCTGGCCAAGCTTCTTTGATCATATACTCAGCAACGGCAATCCTTTGTTCGTGGGCCTTGCTATGCCCCACAGCAGAGCCATTAAACCACTCGAGCAGGATTGGATGAGCGTCTAACTCGCTCTGGTGTAAGGAATTATCTTTTGCAGAGATGACATCAGGGTTGAAATGAGGAACTGTCGCATGCACCGGAACTCCCGGGCTATGCCGACAATCAAACCCAGATTTCTCAAGAGCCTCGAGGGGAGAGATGATATGCTGAGCAAGGACCTTAGCGCTCCCGCCACCACCGATACTGGGACTCGTTGCGTGATGACCTATCACGGCCAACCGTGTACCCGGACTGAGTGGTAGTAGTGCACCCTCATTCTTGAGAAGAACGGCTCCCTCAGCGGCGAGATTCGCAATGAAATCCATGCGTTCATTGTCAAGAACTGATCGTTCCGGCTGTTCTTCTGGATTGTCAAAGCGTCCTGTTTTCTCAGCCAGGGCCAAGATTCTCTCGACGCTCCTATCAACCGCTTTGATATCAACTGCGGACCTCTCAACCTCCGCGAGAAGCTTTGAGCCTCGCCATCTGGTTGGACCAGGCATTTCGAGGTCGAGGCCGGAGTTAACAGCCTTAGCTGTCGAGTATACGCCAAGCCAGTCCGAGACAACGACACCAGAAAAGCCCCATTCTTTTCTAAAATCTCTTCAATCAGGCGATGGCTATCGGCACAGTATTCACCGTTGACCTTGTTGTATCTAAGCCATTTCGTTCATTAGCCTCTCTCGGATGGCTTGCCCAAGGAAACAGACTTACGATGTCATCAGACACCATGGATCTGAGTCGCGGCACACAAGCTGGAAAGGAAGCATGTATATCTCCCGAAGGGTTTGCTCGTCAACCTCGGACGTCATTTTTGTGTGGGACTTCTCCGAGTCATTCGCAACAAAATGCTTAGGGGTTGCTGCGATTCCCTGTGATTGACAGCCTAGGACAAATGTGAGAGCCGCGTCCAACTTGGAACCACAAAATACGAGACTTCAGACTTACCATTCACAAAAGCAGCGGCCAAAGTTCCTATGACATACGGGTCTTCCGAATATGTCTCATAATTTCGCCCTCCTGTGCGCGTTCTGTTAAGCAATGCCGTGCCTTGGAGATGCTGGAATGGAACAAACTCACCTAGAGGGGAACGAATGATGTTCATGGTTGGAGCCAACAGCACATTTGCCGATTTGGTGATTGTCTCCTTGGCGATTTCCACACCGAGCTGATGGACTCGATCGACGTCGAATGTGGCCCCGACGCCGGTGGAGCATGGGAAGCAAGCCGCGGTGATACCACTCACGTAGCTCTCTCCACGAGCTCCATTGGACCCATCGGACATCTGTTATGAGTTAATGGCAAAGCGAGAGAAGCTGGAGAGCCCAGATAACAAGATTGATACAAAATTAAGTACCTTGATGTGAGGGATGAATACGCCATCCTTCTTAATGACGGGAGTCCGCCACCAATCGACCGCTGACAGAAGTTGTACTTTCTCTTCCACCGACAAGCGGTTCAGCAGGTTATTCTCCTCGACCATGACTGGGGTGATAGCTTCGCTAGATATGGATCTGGAGTCAATAAGGTGAATACACTTCATATGAAGGATATCATCCGAAGATAAACCTTAATCTACTCTTCTCTTGAGGCTTCGGAAATTATCCGGCCATCAGACTTCAGGAGTCGGGGAAATGGATCTCGCCCAGCTTTCCAAACGCTCGGCCCAAGAGACCTTCGGGAAATACCCGATCCTCGGGCGTTAAGCTCCATTGGGGTTAGACTCATGTCGTCGTATCTACCAGGGCTGGGGACGGTAGATGGAAGCATACGATCAAAATGAAGCCCTGAATAAGTGAGGGTTGCAAATTCTGAGAGAGGGTGCCAACGTCGAGAAATGAAACTAAGCTGTGCATGTTTCACAGATGGGTCAGAGCAACGACGGTTGCCGGGGAGAATCAACTGGATGTTCCTGTAGAACAGGGTGGACGAGGGGCCACCAAATCCCCGCATAACCTGGGGACACTAGACTTTCCGGGGAAGTTAGGGTTGCCGAGACAAGGACTCGGCTGACTGCCATTTGCCCCAGACAGCATAAAAGGAAGAATTTCACCGTTGTATGCGCAATTCTGTGTCTTTCTTGAAGTCGCAAAGATCAGTGAAAATCACCTCAATGTCCAGACAGAGTGTTGACAAAGAGCTGCCCAGCAGCTCCTTCGTGGAGAAAGCTGTCTCAGGCGTGGACGCAGATACCTTGGACGTCGGGCAACGAATTCAAAGTCTTGCCGACTCATGCCCACCCTTTTATCACAACCGGAATCTGCGCATTCTGTATCTCTTGATGATTCCAGGATGCATGATTCCAGCAATAACTCTCGGCTTTGACGGTGCTATGATGAACGGTTTGCAGGCAGTGCCAAGTTGGGACGAATGTAAGTTTTCTTTCTCTTTCGCCTCTTCTCTTGAGGTGATCACCCAGACTGATTCCATTTTGATCCAGATTTTGACAAGCCACGAGGGAGCCTTTTGGGTATCATGTCTGCCATTCTGCCACTTGGCTGTGTTCTTACCACACCTTTCATCTCGATCGTTGGCGATTGCTGGGGCCAAAGAACCGGTATCTTCGTTGGCTCTGTCATCATGGCAGTTGGAGGAATCATACAGGGGACCTCAGTTCACAGTAAGCAATCTGAAAACGAACCACTCGCTGCAAACTCGCATACCCAATTTAAAAACACCCATTCCTTGCAGTTGCCATGTTCATGATCTCCCGCTTCATAATCGGCATCGGTATCGTCTTTGCCAACACCTTCGCCCCGATGCTCATCGGTGAGCTAGCTCATCCCAGGGAGCGCCAGGTTGTCACTTCGCTGTACCAAACCTCTTGGTATATTGGTGCCATCATCGCCGCCTGGACCACTTTGGGGACATTCAGCATACCCAACAATTGGTCTTGGCGAATCCCCTCTCTACTCCAAGCCGCCCCTGCTTTCTGTCAGATAATCGGGGTATACTGCCTACCCGACTCCCCCCGTTGGCTGATCGCCAAGGGTCGGACCGAGGAAGCAAAAGCTGTACTGATCAAGTACCATGCCAATGGTGATGCGGGAAGTGAGTTTGTTGGCCTCGAGTTTGAACAGATGATATTATCGAGGCGGAAACCAACAACGAGACCGGCTGGATGGCTTTCTTGAATACCCCCGGCAACCGCAAGAGGTTACTCATCATTATCTGTCTCGGCGTGTTTTCGCAATGGTCGGGTAATGGACTAGTGTCGTAAGTGCCATCACAGTATCAGCATGGGACCAGTCTGCTAAAAAGTCTTAGGTACTACCTTGTCCGAGTCCTAGAGACCGTGGGGATCACGGAGACTCGACAAAAGAATACTATCAATGGCTGCCTGATGATCTTCAACTGGATCACATCTGTCATCTCAGCCCTCCTTACTTCCCGCCTCAAGCGCCGCACCCAGTTTCTCATTTCTGGCGCTGGTATGCTGACTGTCTTCGCTGTCCAGACTCTCTGTGCCGCTCTGTTCATTAATTACGGTAATGTGACAGCTGGACATGTCGTAATCGCCATGCTCTTCTTGTTCTACTTTTTCTTCAACCTGGCCTTCAACGCACTTCTGTATTCGTACCCCGTCGAAGTCCTTCCATATCCTATCCGTGCGAAGGGATTCTCTCTCCTCATGTTCTTTGGAAAAGCCAGCAACTTTATCAACATCTTGGTCAACCCAATTGGGTTGCAGGCCATTGGCTGGAAGTTATATCTGGTCTACGTGGCCTGGCTGTGCATCGAGGTTGTCATTATCTGGAAATTCTTTGTTGAGACGAAGGGTCCTTCTCTTGAAGCCATTGCTGTCCTCTTCGATGGGGAGCCCGACAAGTCTGCGAGCAGAGAGAAAGAGTTGACGAAAAGAGAGAAAGGCGAGGACGATTGAGAGACTATCCATCAACCTTAGAATGAGGATTTGATGATCTTGCCAATGAAAGTGGACGGGATGATGTATTTGACTGATATATATGAGCACACATTCACCTGTTTCTAATGGGCTCTGTGGGAACACATTTAACTAATTTCTCTGTAGCTTCAGATTTTTATATCCCATTTCCTCTTTGCTTTACTTCACTCTTACCTGGGTAATTACACTCCCACCACCAATAAAAATCAGTCGTCAACTCATACTATTCCTCACTCTCATTGTTACACTTGAAGGCAAGGTGCCCGAGGAGGAGATGGTGCCAACAATGCCGGCTTCCTCTTGAGCTCCTCGTACCCAACGAGACGCCTACAAGCTCAGAGTCATATCACCTGCTGGCTCTCGATCGGCTCAGCTGTGACCGCGCCGAGCACCAACTCCTCCTCGGGCCTCGAAGGTCTTGATTTCACCTGTACGACCGACGTTCTTCGCGGGGCGCAGCCTCCCGTAATTTCCGGGACATCACGTTGACTGGAGACATTGCAGTTATACGTGCATTTCCTACGACGGCGATGTTCCAACCAAGACGACACTCAGGTATGGAGTGGACTTCCGCATTGGGCTGGGTTCGGCTCTGGGCCCAAAGCCTAGGGCCCAGCCCAGAGCCCAGTACCGGGGGAAGAGCCCACTGCGCCCGAGGGCCGGGCCCAAAGCCCAGCCCGGTAATCCCGGGTTGGGTCCGGGCTTTCCGAGGCCGCGCGCATTCCCTTCTCCGACACAGAGCTGGTACCTGAAGCTCTACAGAGAACCCTCTTCGATTGGCCGGCCATCCGACTACTATCTACAAATTGGGTGCGCGCAACGATTGCACTCCACCAAGCGTACGACTTCCCTTCCTCGATACCCCATCCGCACGACCTACAACCGCAGGCACAACAAGCCGGATGAAAGAGCCATAGCTAGAGCCAAGGCCAAGGGAGCCCGCGAGTATATCAACGCGCAGCATGCTATGTTTGGCTAGACTCCACCAACGCCTTCAAAATAATGAAACATCTTTAGCCACATCATGTCTCCAAGTGTAACACTCGTCCCATCACAGCACGGTCTATGTCATTGACTAAAATTATCTTTCACTCCACTGGAAGATTTGAAGTAGATATCGGTCGCGATAAGATACACAGTACCTCAAAGCTATTTCTAAAAGGGAGGTGTCCGAATTCATTAGATATCACGCCACCTTGGCTATCTCTCACCAAAAACGAGCTGATGCAAATCCCGGCCCTTGAGACGCCCGGGATCTGGAAGTGATCCCGAATACTCGGGAAGACCTTCGGCTCTTTTTCCATATTCCGCGCCCTCCAACTGCTGTGTTCATGCAATGATATGCGAATGATCAGCATAGATCTTAACGAGAATGGGCAGAAGTCTCTCATCCTAGATCGTTGAGAAATGCGGGTCTTTTGGTACCTAGGTATAAATAGAGGGATATGGAAGTATTCATTCCGCAGTCTCTCAATAGGTATTTCGTGGTCCTGTCCCTATTTCGCCAAGATGTTAAAATCTCTCAAGTTGGGCATCACAATTTTTGGTCTGGGGTTGCATCTTGCAGCGGCGGCCCCAAGTACCCCGGGATCGTCGTTGACTGCGGCTCTCGTCCGGGCACCGCCCGCGCTGTGGGCTCAGCCCATTCTCAGTAGGGTATACAATGGCGTTGATATCAACGCCACGACTGATCTCGGTGTCGAATACATCAAGCTTGCTTCTGAAGAAGGAGCCCAACTTGTTGCGTTTCCCGAGCTTTGGTTCCCCGGGTAAGTCGATACCGAGATATTTGCATGCGAGGAATTATCAAAAGCTAATGTCTATTTGAACGGTAGCTATCCCCGCGGCAACGACGATGAATGGATCAAGAAGTGGGCATCGCAGTATGCCGAGAACTCCATCACCGTTGGGGACGCAAACTGGGAGAAGTTGAGATTGGCTGCTCAGGAGTATTCAATTCATGTTGCGCTAGGATTTTCCGAGGGTGTCGACGATGCTATCTACATGGCTCAATCATTGATTGACCCGACCGGCAAGGTTCTCATCCATCGTCATAAGTTTCGACCTTCTGGCGGGGAGCGAAATATCTGGAGCGATGGCACTATGGATGCATTCCAAGTTGTCAACACAACATACGGAAGAATTGGCTTGCTAGAATGCTGGGAGTAAGTCGAAATCCTCTACCACATTTACAAAACATGCTCATCAACCAAAATCATAGGCACTTCCACCCCTCTATGACCTTCCCCATGCAAGCCCAAGCGGAAGCCATCCACATTGCCTCGTGGCCTTATACCCCGGACTACAACGAGCCCGCGGCCCTGGCGTTCGAATCAGCCGAAGTCAACATGGCCGCAGCTTCAGTTTACGCCGTAAACAGCGGCGCCTATACGCTCGTCGCGACTGTAGGCCGGGCTGCAGCTTTTGGCCCTGATGGCCGTGAAATTTCCTCCATTCCTGCTAGCATCCCTGCGGAATCTGCGCCGCTTTTGCTCGTCTCTTTGAATACCACTGGCTTCTCCAGTTTACCTTCATACAACGTGGATGGGGAGCAATCTTGGAGTACCCTTGAGCAAATTCGTGAGGGTTGGCCACAGAGCGTACCTAAGGTTATTGGAACATTTACTGAACGCAAGTTTAACAACATCTCAAGCTTCCCGTGATGAGGCTAGAAGTTATCAGGCGTGATACGACCACGAGAGGGTCTGACTGAGCCTTGGAAGCTTTTCGAGGACTGGATCTGTTATCGGACGGGTATTAGCCAAACAGCCGCAGAGATTGAGCAATTAACACTCTATTATGAATCAGCTTCAGTCTCCTCTTACGGCTTTCTAGGTTTGAGACGTCGTCTATCAATGATCTCAGGGTCATAGTCCTCCCATCATCCTGTCTGCTTCGTCAGACCGCCATAGCGCTCTTCCTCTTTCACAAAGCCCACATCCGAGATAGTTCCGATGCCACAACTTCTCTTTGGCCTCTTGGATGGATTGGTTGGTATGTAGAGCATCATTGATGATCGGGGCCAAATTGTCCAGCCGTACAGGTTTCGTCATGAAGAGATCCATTCCGGAACGAATGGCATCGCGTTGGACATCAGACTGGGCAAGCCCGGTCAAAGCGACAATGACCACGCCATTCTCTCTTTTCAAAGACTTCTAAAAGTCTCGAATTCGCCTGGTCGATTCCAACCCGTCCATTACTGGCATGTATATGTCTGTTGGGGATGTTAGTAGAACATATCCACTGGAACGTCGGTGTTGATATGACTTGCCCATGAGTATTACTTTGATCCTGTACGCGTTTTCCTTGAATAGTTCAAGAGCTTCTTTTCCATCGTGCGCCTGCAAATAGTCGCATTTGACCTTTTTCATAAACGCAACAAGCATTCTGAGATTGATCTCATTGTCATCCACAAGCAGGACAGCCATGGAAGGTATCACTTCGGGTTCAGGCTGGGGCTGATCTTGCTTTTCAGAAGGTTCCTCTGCTGGAGATTCCGATGGGTACTCGGAACTGTTTATATCATTGACATTCTCGCGTGATTGGTTAGTCTCAAATGAAGTTTCCGGACCATGGCTGTAAATTGAGCTCTGATTGTTCGTCACTTCGGCGCCAGATTGCCCACCGACTCCCAGCTCCGGGACATGGACAAGCGAGTATCTATTCCGCTCGTCTGAATCGGTCCGGTTTCTAGATCGCGAGGAACGATCGACGTTTTCGCTTTTGCCTTGGGCCAGATCAGAACGCTGCTGCTGGCGTTTCATGCTGATGTCCAGGGCTTTTGCCAACTTGCGTGGTCCGCATGGCTGGCTGATGAACTGGAGGACCTCTGTATCTCCTCGCTTCCTCGCTTGCACGAACATCGAATGCGCGATCCTTGGAGACGGACAGATGATTATGACAGGGGAAGAGAGATGCTGTTTTTCGCCGGGTGCAATGGATTTGATTTCCATATTCCCCATATCCAAATATTCATGCGTGGAAATGTAAAAGTCACAGTGAGCAAATCGAGAGTCCGCCGGCGACACTGCGCGGACGGCCATACCGAGCCAGTCCTGACACAGTCTCTCTAATGAGGCACATAGGGCCATGTCAAATGTGGAATTCCCTAGTCCTAATAGCCCAATGGACTTCCCACTGAGAAGCGCTCTCGTTGCTGGGATCGGGGATTGAACAATCACATCTTCGGGCGTGTCGAGCTCAGATATATGATCGAGGTTCACAGTGATCACAGACTCAGTGCCAACATCTGGTTCGGAATGAAGCTGGATGTCACCGCCAAGCGAGGATACTATCCTGCGTGTGATATTAAGCCCCAGACCATTACCCGTTGACATGCTATCTTCTTGCTCGAAGGCAGCGAATATGTCATTTTTCATGTACTCAGGACCAATCCCGCACCCGGTGTCCTTAATACTGACCATGATCTTCGACCGCTTGGGCGCACCATCCTTTCCAAGTCTGACCGAAGAAGATTTCAAAGACACGAGGATGTGGCCCTGCTGGGTGAATTTCAACGCATTCCCGAGCAAATTCGTAAGAATCACATGCCAGGCTCCCGGTCGTGTTGAGAACTTCCAGCTTTGAGCGGGTTCGATATCAAGAATCACCTTCACTCCGCCATGGGAGTCAAAGGCTTTGGCCCCTTGGGTCGCCAATCCAGCTACTCCGCGAAGTGGGGAGCGCGTGCTATTGAAGAAAGCATAGCCCGCGACGACTGTTTCTACAGCATCCTCAACAGCAGCATCAAGTTCGACATAAGAGTCTAGCTCAAGATTTCCAGGTTTTGAACGCGAACGGACTCCCGGTCGATCGGTTTTGCTTCCAGAGCCAGCGGGGCCAATGGAATTGTATGTTGGAATATCGTTAATACTGGCATACTCAAGAAGTTAGTTGATTGATCCAAGTAGCGTAAACGCACAAGAGGCAATCGTATGAACGAATCCCCGCTGTAGTGTATCGATGGAAGTGTCGTTGAGAAGCTCCACTGTGCCGAAGATACCATGAAGAGGTGATCTAAGCTCATGGCTTAGTCCGGCGAGTAAGTCTCCTTTCGCTTGGTCGGTGAACTGGGCGTGGAGTCGGTGTACTTCTGCCATAAGGCTATGACCGAACGTTAACAGGAAGGCTAGCTCATCGTCTGAAGTGAAGACCCGGTGCTTAGCTCTTGTCCACGTCAGACTGCCTGAGTACCATTTTCCTTTGTTTGAATCCCACTGTGGCGAGAAAATGATACTTCGAGAATCGGGTGCAAGTCGTAAAAGTGTCTCGGCATCTTGGCGTAATACTCCCCGTTCGGTCCTTTTATACTTTCTACCCTTGTGACGTCGGAGATATTTCCTAAACACACTATCACTGGCATCGTCAGATGATAATGCGCCATCCTCGCCGTAATTGAAAATTTTGCCTTGAGGGTAACGGGTCAGAAGCTCGTTGAGGAATGACTCGGACAGAGCAATCCTCTTATCGTTCATGAGTTCGTCGTTGATACTGGATGTGCTCGAGGTGGCGAATGCAATCATTTCGCATGGATCCAACGCGGTTTGGCCTCCAGCGCTAGCCTGCTCTGCGGTGGAAAGTTCCCGCTGCCGAGCAGCTTCTCTGGACCGAGCTTCTTCATCGCCCGAAGAGAAGCCTTCCACAGTGCTGCTCTCGGAGTCCGAATTTGGGCTTTCTCCTAGGGGAATTTGGGAGCGGAAATTTGCATCGAAAAAGATGACTGCCTCGACTTCAATGCTTTCACGAATGAGATTGGCGCCTCGCGCAAACGCCTCCTTCACTTTCAAGGCGTACTCTTCTTTCCGCGATGGTTGTTTTGACTGATCGCTGACGGAAGGTTCTGCCTGAGACGCCTGTGACTGGGCGTCCAGCTCTGATATGCTTGCTGTTGGAATTTCAGAAGATTGGTTTTGTTCCCCATATGTCTGGGAACTCCGTTTCTGGGGGCGATCAAGATTATAAGAATGGAAAGTTAGGTGGCTTTTTGGCCCATTTGATGCCATGGATTTTGCCACTCTCTCCGATATCTGTTTGTCCTGTTGCTTTCGATTGATATGACCCTCGTTGTTCTCATCGTCCGCAGTTTGAGCGTCCTCGGTATCGGTGAGCCAAGAACTCCTGAGACTGCCTTTGCCCTCGAGAAAGCTCCCAATGCCAACCATCATGCGTTCGCTTCGGTAATGTTGGCTTCTCGAATGGCTCGTGTCCAGATATTCCATCACCGTGAGGGACATATCGACCAAGAATTCCAGGCTTGTGATGTCCAGCGCCTCGCGGGGCTTATTGTCGAGGACAGTATAAGCGCCAATCACGATCCCCTTCGGACTGATGATAGGACTCGAGGCCACAAAGCGAATATTGGGAAATGATTTCACATCTGGATGATCTTTGAGGGCATCGTCTTGCAACAGGTCTTGCTGAACGATCACTTGGTCACAAGCGCTCTGTGCGTCTGTCTGTGGTTTCATCACCGCTTTGCAGAAACTGCGCGCATATGATAGAGTACAGCAACCAATCCACAGCTGATCGCCAGGAGTATGGTGGATGTTATCCTGGAGACTAAGGGTCCGAGTAGCTTCGGTCAGGACGTGCTGCTCGTGTCGACCAAACAGCGAAATGATCACACGTTGCGCCCCAAGTCGCAAAGCTCCTAATTGCGCGAACGCAGTCAGGGCGGCTTCTTTGGACGCCCGGGCGGCGAAGTTGACTGGAGAGGTAGCCTCGACATGTTCAGGCTGCGACTTCGGAGAATTGGGCGGCAAGTACCTAGTGCGGTCACACCATTAGTCTCTGAGCCGGGAGGGGTGGTTCTGAGATTTGCCCCGCCAATGGGTATAACCTAGGAGACAAATTAAGGAAGTAGATTCACTAAAACTCGCGCTCCCTGCTTGTGGAAGAGCTGACTTTGGTCTCCGTGACCTTGCGTATTGTGGTCGGGCGTCGGGCTGGCATTGCGACAGCAGGGGAATGCAAGGCGTCTACTCAAAGAGATGGCACTTCAAGATGAGAAGATGACTATTCCAGACTTGATACGAAATGCGCCGAGTCGAACATTCGAAGAACCCGGTTGACCGCCCGCGAGCGAAGATCAACGAGAACCCACCCATGGACGAATCAAGAGAAAGAGTGGGACCCGTCCTTCCCAAACCTTAGATCATTTTATACAGTTGATGTGCTTTGTGTGGGGAACAGAGTGTCCGGTACTTTGTGAGTTAGCCAATTCAAACGCTATGGAAGTATTTTCCCAGATTTTCTCTTGGACTTCCTCATGCACACTTCACAACCGGCAGATCAGAGTCAGATCGGGGCTCGGGATCTCTCCGAAGTTATGGGATTCCCGTTAGAATGAATGTGCGGCAGAAAAGGTCACCCCGCCCAAGGCGGTGACAAACCTCGGGCAGATCGCCTCAAATCCATGGATTCAATTGTGATTCCGTTCGTGAATGGACGGCACTCTTCGTGACCAATCAGGTATGCTCCCTCGCGCCCCTCCCGAGGTCAAGGAAGCCAATCCATGGATGCCACATCGCAACCTTGGAAGCCAATCCATGGGGGGTGTTGGTATAATAACAGTACCCGCGTGGACATCAATTGATCAATTGATGCTTGTCCACGATACTAAATGCACAGTGTCAACGTTCGACTTGTACGGAGTACTGTAGACCCGCCATCCACCATATGCAGATATTTTCCGAGGTCAAAATGGCGAATCGGGCTGTGTGTCACACTAGGTGGGACTCCAGGGCTATCAATTCCACAGGTCAATCAATCAAACGGGATTATGAGACGTTGGCTCCACCATCCCGCCAGGGCGGTCCATGGGCGGGTCCATACGTCTACAATCAATTGAGACCGGGCTTAGTCACCTTTCTTGTCCGCTTGCTCCCACATGAGCAAGCTTCTAACCTTCACTTCCCTTGAACGCGCTGTTCCGACGCATTGTATATGCTGTACCAGTAGTCTCCAAGATATCTCATATTCAATCTGATTCTATCACACTTATGTTATTTGGCACGCAATGCTCTCGAAAAGGTATGGTTTCTCCCCCTTAGACAGTACCCAAGATTTTGGTATCTTAACTCAAACCTCGTCCGATGAAACAGGAAGAACTCGCAGAAGCCGAATCATGATTTCATTGATCGCTTTCAAAACCTATTCCCGGGAATCGTTTCTCAGAGCGTGAACGAGAAGCCGCTCCGTGCGGAAGAGCAGGGTCTGGCTCCGGCGAGCAGCCAGGGTGAGATAACAAACCGCCGTGCCACCTCTCCCAGTGATGCTACCAACCAGGGCGCTCTTCCTGATGGAAATGACCTTAATCTCACGTCTCCGTCCGAGGGGCTTGGCTCTTTCCCCCCGTTTTCTCATGGCTTCCAGTTTCCTGGTTTATACACCCCCAAATTAGATGGGATGGGTATAATCTCTCATAATCGGGCTGGCGACCTGCATACCCCAACAGGGATGTATATGAAAAGGCCCTTTTCTCCTTCGATCAGCATGCAAACGCCTTCGCAATACTTGCACCCCATGGGATTCGAGTCATTTAACCCCCAAGTTTTCGGCAATTACCTGGGCGCGAACAGTCTGGACAGACAACCCATCGCGTGTGACCCGAGCCTATTGATGCACCGTGACATGGCTCATGATGCCATGGAAGTCCCTGCCAGTGGCTTGTCGTTTGATGGAAGCAAGTTCGGAACATCGTCTGGCACAACCCCATCCATGGACCCTTTGGCCTCACTCGGAGACCACGCTCCATGTGTCTCGGGTGAAAGGTATGTTCCCCGGAGAGCTTGTCTTGCTCAAATTTAATTATCTTTCTCTTTTAGGCCCCGCTTCCATACATCACTAGACGCCCCGACGGCGATGGTGAACACCCCCGATGAAATCCCAGTCACCTATCTCAATAAGGGTCAACCATACAAGATTTCAGTGACAGACTTGAACCCGCCTATGAGCACCAGCGAACCCATTCGGTATAGAACAGTCATCCGTGTTTCGTTCGATGAAGAACAGCAAAGACTGGACCCCCCGGCGTCTTGGGGGATCTGGAAAGAGGTGCGAGGAGTGAATGAAGCCCCAAAGCGCGACGGAAAGCTGTTGGCCGTCGAATTCGTGAATCCCGAACATGGCGCTGAGGCTCATATCCATCGCCGTGTCCACCTCGAGAGCAATTCCGTCGATGCTTTCTGCGTCACTTGGGGGGCAAAGGACTCACCCAGCTGCGACATGTTCCTGCGGTTCAATTTTCTTTCAACCGACTTCAGCCATTCCAAGGGTGTCAAGGGTGCTGCTGTTAGAATATGCGCGAAAACAGAGATCCAATCCCCGGCCGCTGAATCAGGTCCACGTAGTATAGAGTTTGCCTATTGCAAGGCAAAGCTCTTCCGGGACCATGGCGCTGAGCGAAAGCATTCCCACGATATCACACATGCCAACAAGACCATTCGCAAGCTCAAGGACCAGATTGCGGAGGCAGAGGTCAGCGGAGGCTTTGTCAAGCGCAGACGGCACAACGAATCTGCTACTACCGCTGGGGATTTTGATCAGAACCATAGTCAAAAGAAGATTCCTTTGGTGGCCGATCTTCGATCAAAATTAGCTCTTGCGCAAGGCGCGTTTTCATCTACTCGCCCAGTGAGCGTCTTTGATCTGCGCGGCGATGAACTCGATGATCCTGATTCGCACCCGATCTGGATATCAAGTTCCGGCGAATTCCTCGACTCCACGACGACAAATCATCCAAATGCCTGTGATTCACAGGCCGCGGCGTATATGGTTCCCACTCCGCCTAGCAGTCGCACTCCTTCGACACCGCAAACCCTACGCAACCTTGAGGCGACAACGAGCCCTACCGCCAACCTGAATCAAGCGCCTAGCGTCCAAATGGCAGGTGGTCCACTCCCAGTCGTGGGCATTGACCCTACTTATGTCCCCCCGTCCGAGAGTCCCTCTAAACCGATCGCCTGTTTCTATATGCGGCTTGGTGGAGCTGGGCAACAAACACAAGATTATTACCGTGCACTTTATTTGTCGGAGCGCACGACTTGTGCTCTGGCAGACCGCATCGCGGAGAAATACAATGTCGACCGTACGCGTATCGATCACATCATTTACATCAACGAAAAAGGCATCCGCATCAAAATCGATGATGATGTGGTCCGCCAAATTCCAGAGGGTCAGGATATAGTTATGGAAATCAACCAAATCCCAGGCTCCGGTGGCAGGCAAGGCGACGCGTTTGGGTCGGCCTTGGAGATACAACTGACCTTTTAGTGTCCGATTGAATGTATAAAGCAGTTCAATCTACTCCGTAGTATACATCACAATGTGCAAGAAATTCATATTTGATGCCAGGTGGTATATGAACCCCCGAGAGCTGACGTGTTTCAAGATTGCTGGTCGATAACAGCGGCCATCGGCAAACAAACTCCCGCGTGGGATTTCTCTTCTGATAAACAACGCCCAGGTGGCTGCCCCTAGGTATTCATGCACAACTGAAACCATACGAGAGAGGCATTCAAGATAGTGTCGCATAATCAATTTGAGCATACCTCGATCATGCCCAGGTGGAGATCGTTCGCCCTACTAGGTATCTGACAGATTGTCTGCCAAAGAAAAAGAACGACTGGATGTCTTTCTTGACTACCCCCGGCAACCATTGGACCGCAAGAGCCGACTCGTCATTATTTGTCTTGGCGTGTTTTCACAGTAGTAGGGCAATGGGCTCGTGTCGTGTCGTGATCATACGGACTGGAGGTCTTATAGGTAGCAGATGTGGTATATATAGCGGTCCAGGGGTAACAGAACACGATGTTCCGTTATTCTATATTGTCGGATTCAAGGTTCGAGTCTTGGCGGGTTGTAAAAGCTCCTGCAGTCTGATATATATAAGCACGTCGTTTCGGTCATGTATCACCGATACTCTGTCCTGTTCATATGGCACACCATGGGCTCCTCATACACCCTCATTAACAACCACGTCGACAAAACTTCACAAACAACTTTTCCGTATCACCAAAAATTGAGGAAAAATTCTGAGAAACATGAGCAGCTCGCTAACGGCCGCAAAAACCCGGCGACACCTGTGCCCAGGTGTCGGGACACACAGACGTCCCAAAATAAAGAAGCAGCAACGACTTCATCATCGTACAGTCGATGGCATTGTGGCAAACCCTCTTGATTAAACCATTTGAACTAAATTGCGCTGGCGATAGAGAGGGACAAAGGAGAGACTTGAGCTAGGGAGATAGGTAAACTGATCGAAGGCAGAAGAGAGAGAGAGATCGATCAGTTGATTGAGATGGAGCTAGAGAGAGAAGAGCCAGAGAGAGAGAGAGAGAGCTAGAGAACTGAGAGCAAAGGGGAACAAGAACCCTGGAAGTGATCATGATCAAGAATCATGTGATCTCCGACATAGACTTCCGCAATGGGCCGGATTGGGCCCGAGGTCCCGGCCCAGAGCCCAACCCATTAGTGGGCTGGGCTGGGTTGGGCTCTGGGCTTTGTGGGCCGCTGCGGAAGTCTACTCCGACATAAACACGACTGGGCATCGAAGTTAAGTGACTGTTCTTCTAGCATTCATGGATACCTAGTATCCATCACTCCCCCTCTCCTCTCAGTATGTTTATTAACATGATTGAACTGACTGCATCGCGGAGAAGATCTTGGTGCTTGTTCTAAAGCTTGTTCCTAAGTTCGGCTTTGGTCGTAGCTTCGGCATGAGCGCAACTCCATGCCATGATAGCCTGCAGCAATCCTTCGATCTCCTGCTCTGTATTGTCGGCATGGATCATGATGCGTATGCCTTCAAGCCCTCTTGGTACGAATGGGTATCCACCTTGCTGAACGCGATATTTCTGTCGTTCAAGTTCATTGGCAAGGGAGCTACTCTTCCCATCCTGTGTATAGACCACCACAATTGGGGTTTGGAATGGCCGTTCCTCCCAGCCCGCGAGTAAAGGAACCCGCAGGATACCCAAGCGACTGACCCTTTCCAGCTGCGGGTGACCTTCAAGGCTCCTGTAGAAGTGAAGGACATTTTTTTGGAGGGATTCGCGCCGCTAGCATGTAATCTTGTCAGCGTCTGCGAGCTCTCCAGCATTGTGATATTGGAGATATGGATTTAAGCAGACCTTCTCGCCTTCCTGTCCTGTAATCAAATTATAGCTCGCTCTGATCGCCGCTAGTACCGGGAAGATTGGACCGGTAGTGAAGAGGAGGTTGCGGGCTGAATTAAGTAACGCAAGCTTCACATCTTGACTTCCCAACACGACTGCTGTTGAGATGTTAGTTTCAATGATAGTATAACATCGTGTCTTCCCACAAGAACTAACCGCCGGTGACCCCCAGCGCCTTGCCGAAGGTATGGATTCTGATAGCCATCTCCGCCTCAAGGCCCCAGAATGAGGCAAAGCCCGAGCCATTCGGACCCACCAGCCCGTTGGAGTGGGCCTCATCGATAACAAATGCATAGTTCTTGTGTGGCAATAGCTCGGAGGCCGTGATGACAAAGCGATGGATTGGAACGATATCTCCACTGATACTATAGAATGAATCGACCGCAAAGAGGATAACAGCTTTTCCAGCTGCGATATCGGGAAACTTGCGACAGGCTGACTTTATACTTTCACTGAACGAGTCACAGTCGTTGTGAGTGAAACGTATCAGGGCACTTGCACGGCCTTTGCGCATACCGTCATTGGTACTAGCATGGACTTTCTCGTCATGAATGATCACATCACCTTTCTTTGGGATCGACGACCAGAAGGCAACATTTGCCTCATACCCGGAATTGAAATAGGTCGCAGATTCGGCACCATGCACACTGGCGATATAATTCTCGGTCTCAGTTAGATATGCACTCGGGCCTCCTCCAACGCGTCCGCCTGCGCTACCTATCGCGAAGCCCGAGTTCTTTTCAATTTCACGCAAGAATTCGTGACTCAGAACACGGGAAGATGACAGAGAAAGAGTATCATTAGTGCCAAAATCCACTGTGCCAGGCACTGGTGGGGATGGTGGAATCAACAGGGATCCCTGGCGGCGCCGCGTCTCTAGTGAATTGCGAAGTTGCTGACCGAAGAGAGTATCGGGATTCATTTTCGAAGATTCTGAGCAAGAATTGGAGAAATTGGTGGTTTGAGATTCGTCTTTTGTGGTAGGAACTTCGGATTTGTTGCTTTATTCAAGCGTTTTCAATCTGAGTTAAATGTCGTCTTACACATACGGATCTCGGGGATTGCCTTGATAGTAAAATGAACCTATCACATGTAGCTCAGCTGACGCAAGGAGTTTCACGTCATACATGTAAAGGTCCTCGGGACCGAAACTTTGGGAAATGTCATTGACCTGCATACCTAGTAACAACGCTACCTTTGTAGTGAATTATTACCTAGGTAGTCTTATGCAGTAACGTAAATCCAGGTTCCCAGGTGCATCGGCCACTCTCAATACCATGGGATAGTACTCCGTAAATACGATAAATTATAACTGCCCATCTCAACAGGCTCTTCTCTATTTTATCTAGCGCTTTGTTAATAGTCTTTGATAGGGGTTCAATATATGAATTGTTAATTTTAGAAGAGTCAGGAAGGTACAATATCGTGGTATCAAGAAATACGATATTTGAGCTGTAAATGTCATCAACATCTGTGTTCCAATCACCAAGGTGATTGACATTTTTCAAAATGCTCTCGATGCCTAGAAACTATATGAAACTCCTTTGCCTACAAGAGAAGGTTATTATAGACTCCTATTTCCAAGGTTTTGAGATATGAAGATGTAGTTTATCGCATTTACTATGGATGGGGCTTGGAGTGCCCGCTTCACCTGGAATTGACCTTGGAAGTTATATTTTATGACCAATTACCCACCCGATCCGACAACTTACTCCGTACCAACAGTGTTGATTGAGTGGGCCATAAAGTAGGGGTAACTTCCTGCAATTACCAAAAGAGATAACTAGTCTGCCCTTCATACGCGGTATCTCAATGCATGGGTGCTCTCAATGTGACTTGTGCTTGATGCATATCTTGTAGGCGAGATCAGCAAAGGTATGCTGACAAGAGGGCGATGGGCTAAACATCCCTTGGTCACTATAGTGTAGATCTCCAGACTCAAGTTTTTCAACTCTCACACAGACCTCGGAGTACAGAATGATGGATTTTCTCCCAATGCTGACTGCATGACAGGACCACTTCACCTAGGCAACGCGTCGTGCGAAAACCTGATTCACGGTAGCATCGGAGGACCTAGGTTCGACTTTGAGTTTGAATATGAGCCCAAAACATAAACTAACCTTGGAATGGGAGCACTGGGACAAATGGAATGATTAGCTAGAACAGAATTTCGAAAATAAAGAGGGCCATTCGGACCGTACCCACTTACCTAGTAAGCAGGAGTCTGGAAGAAGACCAAAACATCCAGGAAAGCTACGTGGACTAAATATCTGCATTGCTCAAGTATAGCCACATCATTGACTTAAGCAAAACAGAAGCTAGACAGCGATCATGTCCACAATCTGTGCGATTATCCATTACCACATGGCGAGGTCAGTTCAATAATGCCCGTATCTGTTATCAGGGCATCATTTCCAACCTTCCTTGGAAGGATACCTTGCTCCCGATTGGAGAGCGATTCTTTCTCGAGAATCTTAAGATGCCATTTAGGGCGAAAAACATTTCTTGAAATTATCCATGGATTGCGGTGAAGTTGACTCTTTGCATGTAACCCCGGGGCCTCTGCACCAGTATCACCCAGAGCGCCACCCAAATAGACCACCAATGACCGCCATGAATAGTTCAACAGCGTCTTCTAGTGGAAGTCAAGTCATGTCGCAAAGTATGTAACCAGCATCAGAACCTGTATTGTCTGTATTTGATCGACTGTATTAACAAATGTAAGTAAATAAACGAAATCTCCACCTGAGCAGGGCTTTGACGGTATTGCACCAGTTTCTAAGTACCAAAGAAAAAAATTAGATTAGAAAGAAGAAAAAAGAAAAAAAGAAAACAAAACAAAACAAAAGAAAAAGAAAAGAAAAAGAAAAGAAAAAGAAAAGAAAAAGAAAAGAAAAAGAAAAGAAAAAGAAAGGAAAAAGAAAGGAAAAAGAAAGAAAAAGAAAAAGAAAAAAAAAGAAAGAAAAAGAAAGAAAAGAACAACACGGCATATATTCGAAGCCAAGGGACATAAATCAAGAGATAGATGGCGGTATGGGCAGCCCTGGAGCTCTGATGCTGATGCACGTGCCCAAGTGTTTTGACCCTCACCCAGAGGACTACCAGCTTTGCGCGTACGCAATGCAGAACTTGGAATAAACTGGGAAGTAATGGATCTTGGTAAGATCCCGATTGAGTGGATGACTCTGTGGCCTGCATATCCAGCCCCTCTAAATGGTAAACCTAAGTACCCATTCGACCTTTAAGTAATTTGCTATAGATTATCGGTGAGCGACTTGCAACTCATTTTTGCCACGTATACTTTGATTCCTCCTTTCTCGGGTGCTCTATTCGAAATATATGACATCAGGTTTCTAGAATCACCCTCCACCCGAAGAACTCTCATATTTAGTATATAGCGGTTGCTTTTAAGAAGTGTAGAGGCATTCGACAGATAGAAAAGACAATTTCTTCGCAAAACACTCTCCACAATGATGGAGTTTCAGGTCAGGAATCTCAGTTTAGAAAACTGCCCTCTATTCTTCACAATGGCAAGGCGTGTGTTACTGGAGATTCCTCTTCTGGCGGCTGTTATTCTGATTGTAAGTCTTCCTGCAGATGGCCCATAGCAAATTTGTCTTTGAGCACCCCTATGGGATAATCTCTGATGTGTGGACCCCAGGTTGTTGGCTATACAATCTATCAGGTTTATTTTCATCCCTTGGCCCAGTATCCCGGTCCCTTAATTGGCAAATTCCTCAAAATGGAAGTTGTGCATCGCGCATTGATGAGATCAGGTGGCGACGTCCACCTCCATATCCGACACTGCCACTTGAGATACGGTAAGAAAATTCCAGAGGTCAACTTTGAATGCAACGGGGCACCATTTATTTATCATTTGAAGAGAGGACAGACTAACCTTGGAACTGTGTTTGTCAATGTTATAGGCTCAATTGTTCGTTATGGTCCCAATGTACTGATCTTCAACACTGTCGAAGGTCTCAAAGGTGCGAGAATGCTTCCCTATTATGTTGCGATATATCGGAATCTTCTAACACATTCCCATTTTCAAAGATATCTATTCAAATTCCAAAGATATTGTAAAAGATGACTGTTACCAAGTGCTCCACGTGGGCGCTAAAAGCATCTTGACCGAAACGAATCCAAAAAGCCATACACAACGGGCCAAACTCATCGTGCCAGGCTTTCTAAGCCACTCTATCAATGAGTTTGAACCGAGGATTCGAGAACACGTGTCGAGTTTGCTCACTGCCCTTTCCGCAGCTAGCAAAATTGAAGGCCAATCCGTCTCATGGGGCCAGCCACTGGTGATGTCCGATTGGTGCAGCTATTCAACTCTCGACATGATAACTGACCTGGTGTTTGGGCGAAGTAGCAACTTGATTGGGCAACCGGAGCTAAGACACATTGTGTCAGATATTGAAGGGATGTTAGAGCATGCCTCCTTTCTATTACATGCGCCATTTGTTCTTCTTGGAAGGATCGACAAGCTGCTATTCAAGGGGAAAATAAGGGGCACGAGAAGATATCGTCAGATGATCAAATTGATGATGCAGGAAGCGGGGGAAAATCAGATATACAATCGTCTTGCACACCACGCGGCTTCGAACTCCCCCTCAAGCTTTGCCTTAAGCAGGACGGAGATCTGTTCTGAGACAGCGTTGTTGGTGGTGGCTGGTGAGCTCTCTCTCATGTTCCCCGGTCAATTCCTGGGCGCCCGGGCGGAGAAGTACAATGACTAAGTGAGAGAAAATAAGGATCGGATACGACGTCCACTGTCCTATGCGCAGTGCTTTTTTACCTTGCCATGTATAAACACGTCTATGAGAGACTACGACGTGAGATCCACAGCACTTTCCAGTCTCTTGAAGACATACACACAGGCCCTGCTCTCCAGAGTTGCACATACTTGGATGCTTGTCTTAAGGAGACCCTGCGAATATCTCCCGGCGTATCGAGCGCGCTATACCGAAAAGTGGGCAAGCGCGGGGCAGTCATCGACGGCCACTTTGTTCCTTCCGGGTGCAGTGTGGCCACTGGAATTTACAGTCTGCACCATAACGAAAGCTACTTCCCACAGCCCGATATTTTCATTCCGGAGCGATGGCTGCCGGGGAATGAGTCTGACTCTGTATCTGCCACCCACGCTGCATATGTTCCATTTTCCCTTGGGACCCGTGCATGTCTGGGTCGCAATTTGGCCCTGAGGGAACTGGAAATCATGACGTCTGCGATCGTCTGGCAGTTTGACTTCAAAATCTCGCAGAGCCATGCGAGCCTTGGGGCCGGACATCCACTAGGAGGGAGTGGTAGGACAAATCCAATGGAATTTCAGCTGAGTGACCACATCGTAAGTCACAAGAAGGGCCCAGCACTTCAGCTCCGGCCTAGGAAGCCTTGATTGTAAGGGTTTTCTTTTCGTACGAAGATCGATGGACCCAACTTGGGGGGTACGGAGTAGAATGACCACAGATGTTCAAATGGTGTCGAGGACATTGGAGCGTTGTGACCCACAAGAGTTTGGCTTGTTTGTTGTATTGGGGTTTCTTCCATCACGTGTTTCCCGGACCTTTCGAAAAGCCAACATTGGAACCATTTTGGGAATAGAGCACTACAGCAGAGGTTTATCATGATGATATCCAGATCTATGATTGGCTAGAGGTCGCTGTTGCAAGAAATACCTACCTACCTAGATGGTTATATCATGTACCTAGTAGGTACCTACCTACATAGGTAGGTACATAGGTACATATATGTACTTGCGTACATTGTGGTCTTGTCAGACTGCCCACATGGGCACCTGGGCAGGTGGGAATCCTGTCTCTGGGTCATGTGACCTCAGATATATCCCCGGGGCCCCGGGGCCTTGTCGCCTTCACTCCAGAGCTCTCCCTTCCTTTCGTTCTCTCTCTAGACGCCCGGACCTCGGAGACACCCTGCATGCTAGCAGCTTACCTCACTCCTTCTTTCTCAGCCAGTAGCCTCCATAGCCACTGTCTCTCAAGTCTCATAAGTCTCAAATTTTGGAAAAATGGGAGGGCGCGCGCGATAGAGAGAAGCAACTGAGCAGCTGAAAGTGAATTTTCACAAGTTTCGAAGGTTCCGAGGAGTCGTCAACACCCGGTCAGGCGACCGTGTTTCCCGAAATAGCTCGCTCTCCCCGATGTCCCTTTCTTTGCTTTTCCCTTCTTCATCTCCGTTTGTCTCTCGGTAGGAGAATCAAGCTCCTCTTCCGGCCAAAGCCTCCGACAGTAGCTTTACTACAACTTTCAAGTAAGCAAAAAGAGGTCACAAAACACTCCAGTATCTTTACAATATAGACATCTATAGCTTGGAGGTACTGGTGCCTTTTTTCTTCATGAAGAATAGCTTGATTCTTCTACATTATCTTTCCGACCATGTCGCTTATGCCCAGGTCATAAGTCCCCCAACTTGGAAGTACCGAGTTGAAAACAGACTGCAGCCATTAGGTGCGACCCCGAAAAAGATCAGTGTGACTGACTCCTCATCATTTCGATCACAGCAGAAACATCCTCAGAGCCTCTTCCTGCCAAAATACCTTCCTCTAATAAGCCGCCAAACTGATGGAGTGTCTGTTTGAAAATACCAGAATCAATTGCAGTCTCGGTGGCATTGTTGACGATTGTCGATGACAAGAGAATTGACCTTCCGCCTATATCTCCACGATAGGAGGATTCCTTATCTTGCTGTGCTAACTGTGGAAGCCACGTTTGAAACTCCTCCATCACGGGAAAAATGACCTCTTTCGTGAAGAGTACCTGATCCATATCGCCTTGCTTAAAAAGTGCCAGAGACTGCAGAAACCCGGCAAAGAGACCGGCAACGAAGGTCAGCGCCCCATTCTCAATCAGCGCTGCTCTTTTAGGATCCTCGGATCTCCATGAGGGATTTCCGAGAGCTTCGAAAACATGCTTGTGTTGCTCAAAGGCGTCTTCCGGTCCGCTGCAATGGATGGGCGCTCGGTGGGCACGAACCTCTAACGGATTGGACATGATCCAGCCGTGAAGGTAGCGAGAAGCACCCAAAGCCTCATTTACCACCCCAGCTGTGTTCTCTACCTGGCGAGGTGTACCGCTGGAAAGATCGATGACTGTGCAGCAGGAGAGATTCGGAATACCACCTAGCACATCCCGAACCACTTGATAGGACAGAAGACAGATAACGAGAACAGAAGCAGACTGGGCGGCTTCAGCCGGAGACTCTGCCTGAATAGCGCCTTGAGCAACAAGGGATTCCACTTTATCTGTTGATCGATTCCAGACGGTGACAGGGTAGCCTCGGTCGAGCAAGGCAGAAGCAATTGCTGAGCCCATGTCTCCCAATCCGAGGACAGAAATGGAGTTTGTCTGACATGAGCATTGCGAGGTCATCTCAGAAGAAAGTTTTCGAGGTTAGGTCAAGAGGTCGTTGAATGAAGAGCTACACTGGATCTCGGACTTAGATAAATAAAAACCTGTTTGAATGAGCATGTGCCACGCACATCCCCACCGCTCCTTTCAAAGCTTCCATCGGGCACCTGAGCAGCAATATCTTGTGTGGCGATCGACTGCCTAATTCACTTGAATAGTACTTGCTTGGGTGCCCAGCGGGTCTACTCGGTTGCCACCTGGGCAATCATGAAGGTACGCATCTCCACGAAATCGGGCATATATTTCCAAGATCTATCTCCTGCCCCAAGCACTGCAATGTTACATACGTATGCTAGGGGCTCAACACATGGACCCACCTAGACAGGTGTACTTCAAATTACAGAATTTGAGTGGAATATCGTGACAGAGCATCGTATTCAATCATCCCGGGCCCGCTTTCTATACCATAACATGCTACGTCCCAACAGGTTTATTCTGCGTCATCGTGGATGTCGTTCCCGGTCAGTCTCTGCGAAGTGGCAAAATCAGAAAGGAGTGAAGCAAATCCAGTCAAATTGACTAAATTTACGACTGAAGGAATCGCCGAGCGATTTACTCATTACACCCGAAGCTACCCAACATTCATAACTCTGCGTTTAAACTCTGCGCTTAACACCATGTTCGAGACTTATCTCTCTATCATATTTGGTCATTACGCCACACCATTAGCCCTTCTTCGGCAGATAGTTGGCAGTGACATAGTCGAGACGCTTTCTCAGAAATGGCCAGATCAGGCACCAGGCAAACCCGAGTATCGAATCAACAAAGAATCCATTCTTTGGACTTGACCCACGCATCTTGCTCAGCAAACACCTGGTCAGTAGATCAGTCGTGATGATGTACTGGTGAGCATCTAGCCCCGAGAATATTCCACGCACAATCTGCTCGGTGGTCTGTCCACCTCCGTCTTTTTCGGTGCCCTCAATCTGTTTGCAAAGATCTGGCTTCTTTTTCTGTTCCTCAAAGAAGCTCTCTGTGTAGAAAGTGCCTGGAAGAGAGCAATGAACATGAATATCCACCGTCGACTTGTACATCAGGGCTTCCATTCGCAAAGTATCCGCCAATGCCCGGATGGCTGCCTTTGTCGGAGCGTATGCCGCGTACCCCGGGACAGCAACCAGAGCGCATGTAGAGCTCGTGAAGACGATATGATGATTCTGGGGATACGATATGTCTGTTTGGGGGCTTGATTCTTTGACCCACCGTTTCATCAGGGCATTGGCTATAAAGGCGGAGGTAAAGTAGTTCTTCTCCATGCACCCCCTGATGGAATCGGCAGATATATCGGCGAAGAAGCCGACCTCGTCGCTTGTTCCGCCCGCAACGCAGAACAAAGCCCATGGGGCCTTGTCGAGGCTGTTGATATAACATTCGACCTGATTTCAACGCAAAATGTCAGTCAAAGCTAGCAAGGCACACAACAGGTACTCTCTCTGTTATCTTACCTCTTCCGAGTTAGCCAGATTCAAACTTTTGATCGTGACATTCTGATCCATCTGCAATTTGCTCTTCTCCAAAAGCTGCCTGGTTTCTTCCAGTGCTTGAGCATTACGTGCAATAATGCTGACATGGGCGCCTGAGAGAAAATCAATTGATGGAATGTCCAGGGGTGTTATCCCATCGGGTGGGACGCATCACTTACCCCGGCGGATTAATTCCAGGGACACCTCGCGTCCTAAACCCCTTGATCCTCCGGCCACGATCACTTGCTGCCACTATCTCAGTAACTGTGCGGATACCCTTGTATTGAAATGGAGTGACGAAGTCATTGACTGACCTTGTTGCAAACATCAAATGTGCGCCCAACCATTGCGACAGATTCTTTGATCAAGGTAATGGCCAAATGACCGCGGAGTATGCACTTGGCTGTTCTTTTGGACGATTTTTAAAATGTGTCAGACTGGCAGTGCTGTCCTGGGGTCAGGTGATCTCAGGAGCACGTCCCCCAGTCTTCTTCTTGAGCCAGTAGCCTCCCTAGCTTCTGCCTATCAAGATGCAAATAACCCATTGAACTATATGTGAGATTTTCCATATTGGATTCCACCGCTCTTTCCCACGTTGCATTCAGTACTATCAGTATCAAGAGCGTTTGAGTTCACTAGTTCGTTCTCAATCTGGCACCTGCACATATGGGCAGGCCGCACGGGTGACCGATCATACCGAAAGTTTGTGGGCCCACTGCGAACCCACTTGGCAATTGCATCTGGCGATTTACATAGTGATCGGGATATCTGGACCATTTGGGCATGGATGCAAGTTATGGCAAGCTTGTGGTGACGATCTTCCAGGTTTCTGTTCCCTTTTCGGGTTCCTGCTGAGCGGGTCTACACAAAAGTTGAGGGCTGTCAAAACCTAGTATTACGAGAGTCTGCGAGGTTTGCAGCTCAATGTATACGAACATGTAATTATCACGTTCGAAAAGCCAGATAGTCAACCTTGGGTGTCATTAATAGCAGGGAATTTAAACATAGTTGATCAGGCCCCTGAATCACTTCTGTTGTTAAGATTCCAAGGTTAGGATGCCGGTTCCCCACTTGGGCACATGCCCAGGTGTAAACACCCGGTCACCCTGGCTGTTCCCTCCAGGGCTACGGAGTAAATAGCTCGCTCTCTCCTTTTCTTTTTACCTCCCTTCTTCCTCTCTCTCGCTCAGCAGAGAATCAACTTGGAACCTTTGCTTCTAGGTAGAAGTTCCCCACAGTCGATTCATCAATACCTGGTTTTTTGCCCTGTATTTTAACAGCTCAAGTTACTCTTCTGAGATTATTCAAGTCCATATTAGTAAATAAAAAAGCTTTATTCTCTGTATACTCCGTATGCAAAAGAAATATAGAGTGTATTGAAAGTTCTCGCAGAGTAGATGCACCTCCAAGCCTCCGAGGTCCTTGCTGTCTACTTCGTATATAACTCAATTTCAATGAGATACATCAGATTTATCGATCAATCACGAGTGACATAAACAAAGCTAGGCAATCCCTGGGGTCCCTACCTTCGCTGTCAAATGGCAAGCGTTACATGAGATTTGCCACGCGGGAGATCCTGATTTTGAACAAGAAAGTTGGAGCAGCACTGTTGCCCTTTGCAGATTGGACTCAACTGCTGCGAAAACATGCATATGTGACTTCAAGAACCCTGGAAGCAATGCAACTTGCTAGTTCTGTGTGTGTGCTGGCAGTAAAGAAACTTAAATTTGCCACCAAGTATCTTGATCATCGGATGTTGATGTCGATGTTTTCATCGATGATATTTCATCATACTCTGTAGATCCTGGTTGAATCCTGCGATGAGAGCAGAGGTAAAACTTATTTCAAAGGGTCCCTCCTGTTTGACCGTCAATCGCCAGGCTACACAACGCTTTGCCTCATAAGAGATATCTGGATTTTCCATCTTTTCACATTCAAAAGATTCAGCGATTCCACCGAAACACCCACAAAGCAATTAAAATGGCTGTTGAACCAACTCCCGCCATCGTCGGTGCCATGTACGACTGTTACAGCAAAATATTTGCCGACATGCTGGGAGGATACATCCACCTTGGCTATTGGGAAGACCCCAACAAGCACGAAACACCGGAGGTGGTTGCTGATCGAATGACTCTCAAGGTGGGCGAACGACTATCTCCTGCCCGAGGTCAGCGCATCCTCGATGTTGGATGTGGCACTGGTAAAACTACTGTGCAAATCGCTACCACCTATGATGTTCACGTAACTGGCATCACGGTCAGCCACCATCAAATCGAGCTCGCCCAAGCCAAATATAAGAGTGGCGAGAATCCCGGAGAAGTCCGGTTTGAGTTTGCCAACGCGATGGAACTCCCTTATCCCGATGTCTCCTTCGACGGCGCTTATGCCATTGAGTCTTTCCTTCATATGAATGACAGACTCAGGGCAATGCAGCACATTTCACGGGTGCTCCGCCCTGGCAGTCGGCTGATCATCGCCGATCTATATCTGGATCGTCCGTGCCCTGAATCCAAAGCGATGGCACTTTACTACGAGATGTTCAAGCTTGTCACTCTGCCCACCGGCGATGACCTTCAAAACTTTCTCCAGTTGGCCGGGTTCAAGGTTCTCGATTTCACCGACATCCGAGCCAATATCCTCCCTTCCACCAAGCTGCTTGCTGAATCGGGAAAATCTGTTGGAGACGAAGAAGGCCAAAAATTCCTCGAGCTGGCATCTGGCTTGGAAGAACTTAAGGAACTTGGGTATGCACTCATTACCGCGGAGCGTATTTAGTATTCACTTCGATGGCTAGCTAGCATATTATGCTATATAGGCGCATGGTACTTTGATGATACAAAATGTGGAGTACACATGCAATTCCGAGCCCTGCAAAGGCACTGTATACCTACCTAGTAGTGAAATAGCAAAAACGCGATAGTGGTCTGACGAAGCAGGCAGGACAATTGCAGTACCATGGCCCAGGGCTATAGCCAGGAGGACATAGGGGTGGTATAGAAGTTTAAAGTTGAAGTGTCTGTCTCTGAATTGCAAGCTGCAGGGTCGTCTTCAAGGCTCCAAGGTTATATCCATGAATTCCACGAATACCCAATCATCAATCGACATCCCGGGGCGCCAGGGGTTCTCGATTCCTCACATCACGCAGTTCCTCCACTACGGTACTACTAGTGAGTGAGTGAGTTCCAGGGTTGGTACTACATATATGGTACCTACCTAGGTAGGTACTTGGGTAGCCCCACAACCCGAAGCTACGGGAAATACCCGATGCGGGACCCCGGGGTTTGACTTGGATCCCGGGAGATATCTGGATGATAATCAATTGAATGATGGCATTTTCATAAATTACTAATGGCATCGAGCTGTCTTATCTGAGTTTCACTACGATCTTGGCAAACAACGTACAAATACCCCTGCGTTTCCAGCACCTAGCCTTAAGGGCGTGCATCCACCAAAGATGTCTCGGAGGCACTACAGGCAGGGAACGTGACTTCCGTTCAGCTGGTAGACGCCTACCTTTCTCGAATCAAAAAGGACAACGTGAAAGGTGAGTTAACTCAATCTTAAGTTGGAATATGTTCTGTTTCTCTCTGCGAGTAGCGAGTCGTCATATCTTGACGAATAAAGACATTGGCAACATGTATTCAAGCAGTGGCCATTCAAAGTTACTGTTCGAAAGATATGACCTCGGCACTTTGCTGATTCGTTCATGGAATCTCAGGACTCAACTTGCGAGCTGTAATCGAGACAGCACCCGTTGACAAGGTCCGGGCTATTGCTCACCGTCTAGATGTTGAGCGCAAAAACAACCAAATCAGGAGCCCTCTGCACGGGGTCCCTGTCTTAGTCAAAGACAGTAAGTTCCAAAGTTGATACAAAAGACAATCAGGGTACGGCTGACTCTCCAAGACTTCGACACCGCCACAGAGCTGGGCATGAATACCACAGCTGGGTCATTCGTACTGCTCAAGGATGGAGGCGAAGTTGTAGGAGACTCATTCGTCATCAAGCAGCTTCGCAATGCTGGGGCCATCATTTTGGCCAAGGCTAACCTTATGGAGGTGGGTAGCGTTGACTCTATTGAGACTTAATAAATGACTGATCAGCCACAGTGGTCTGGAAGTGCCGGTGTAAATGCATCCGCATGGAGCCCCCGAGGAGGCCAAGTGTCGTCGCCCTTCGTGGTTGGGGGCTTCGCGGCGGGCGGTGACCCCGGGGGCAGCTCGTCTGGCCCCGGGGCTGGTGTGGCGGCAGGGTTTGCGCCCCTGGCATTTGGGTCAGACACCGAAGCCAGTATTGTCTTACCATCCAGTCGCGGCGCATTGTATGGCCTTCGGCCATCGACGGGAATGACGAGCAGAACAGGAGTCGTGCCCATCTCATCTTCTCAAGATACCACAGGCCCTCTTGGCAAAAGCACTTGGGATGTTGCTGTATCACTGGGCATCATGGCGGGCCTGGACCCCGACGATTCTTATACCATTCCAGCAGAACCTTTTCGACACGACGATTATACCAAGTTTATTGATGCGAATGGTTTCAAAGGTCTCCGTATCGGCGTTCTCCGGGACCCCTTCTTCGAGAGTGAGACTGCCCGGCAGCAGCTGATGATCTCGTCGTTCAACGAATCACTCGCCAAGATGGAGTTCTTGGGTGCAACTGTCTTGAAGACTTCGCTGCCAAACAAGGAAAAGTGGAACTATACTTTCGTTGGCGGCCCCGAGCGGTCGAGCAATGGAACCATTCGGATCCGTGAGTGCAGTCGACATGTCAGGCGCAGTCTCGGGAATTGTACTTTGCTGACCTGTCATCCCCCAGAATATGACCTCAAGTACGACATGGCGCAGTATCTGACGACTCGACGCCTCAACTCATCCCTAAGCTCTCTCGAGGACGTGATCAACTCGATGGTTGAATGGTGGAGCCTCGAGTCACCAAAAGGACAGTGCTGCTTCCCTACGTTCATCGCCTCTGACCAGGTCACGGATCGCGATACTTCAGTGGAATACTGGCTTGCTAAGTATACTCAAGAGCGTCTCTATGAGGATGGACCGGCCGCTATCTTCCGTGACTACAACCTCGATGTGATTGTCCTCCCGACTGAGTTCAACTCTGCCCGACTCGGTGCCGTTGGTCGTCTTCCTGTCGGTACTGTACCCCTAGGATATGATGATATCGAATTACCTTTTGGACTTGCATTTGTGGAACAGCGCCATGACGAGGGCACTGTTATCCGTGCTATGTCTGCCTACGAGGCTAACTTCCCGCCACGAAGGGTGCCCACTACCCTGAAATGAGGACGAAGATTTCCTGAGACTGAATAGAATCTACATGCTTTCAGCATGCTGTTTGTATCACTCAGCCACTATGGGCTATGCCTCATATTGTATCTTCCAAAATACCACATCTTGTTCACTTTGCCCGGTAACCGAGAGTCGAATCCGTAGGCCCAACAGTGTCCCTTCGGGGATATACCGTAGAGCTATATGTCCGAGATGCCTAACATCTCACAGAACAGAATTGACTGTATCAGGCCAGCAGTCTGAGACCTTTCCGTCGCCCTGGAAAGAAGCAACAACAGATCCCTCTCCTCTCAAAGGATTGCCTTCCCAGACAACAAAATCCTGGACCGAGCTGTCCTCGCGGACGCTCTTCTTTGACGAACCTCCAAGAATACTATCGATATTAGTCGAAACAAGGGCAATTGCTTGCCGATCAGTGAGACCAGCGTACTTGCCAGCCCACCAAGCTTCTTGTGCTAGGCCATGGATCTTCGAATCGCTATTCAAAGCTAGGCCAAGTAGAACACCCGCATCGGATAGGACTTTGGCCGGGCTTTCGGTCAATGGGGGACCGGAAAGTGCATTCCTTTTCTCCCAACTATCAGGCGCACCGCGGTTACCGGTGAGGATGACGGGGATTCCTTCCTCGGCAAGGGATTTGGCAACCTATTCAGTTATCAAGTCAATACAAAGCCAAGGCTTTCGAAATGAAGGCTTCATCTTACCAATGGAGCACCGTGACCGCCGTGTATGATCAAGTTGACTGATCGGAACTCGCGTTTGACCAGAATCAATTGTGCAATATCGTCCTGATTGATTGTGTTAGTATTTTCACCACCAGTTGAAAAACTCAAAGGGCGCAGAGGGATTATCGCAGCGTACCTCATTCAAAACTTTCACAACAACAGGAAGTGAGCCATTTGCAGCCTGAGCATAAATTCCAAAGTTCTCATGCGCGGCATCTCCACCCGCCTGAAGCAGTTGGCGGAGTCTCTCGATCCCAGAGGAGACAGATGGTGTTTCGGCGCCTAAAAGAAGACATATTAGCGTGCTTCAGATCATGATAAGAATATGATCTCTTACTTCTGGCACCTTGACCAATAACAAGGTGTAGAGCCACATTGTCCTGCCAGATACCGTTATCCAGAATTGTGGCATTGATGCTTGTACGCAACCCAACACTGACACCCTGGGTGATACCACCTCCGTGAAACGGGGCAGTAATAGCTCGTGTGACACCTCCAATCCTTGCCCTCGCGAGGGCTCTATCATGAAGATGCACACCGTATTTAGCGAAGTGGAGTGTCTTCTTTTCGTTTAGAGCGTCTCCATCCTTCGCTCCTGGGCCATCACCGGTAGAGGTCTCGGACGAAATGGATTGAATTCCGAGATTATTACCGAAGGCCACAAGACCAGGCAGAACATGACCATTCTGCAAATTAACATGCGCGGTGATCTCCTGAGCCTCGCCGGAGATGCATGCGGACCTCTCATCAAGGCACTTGACTTTGCCGTTCTCGATCAGCATGGCAAGGTCTTTGGCAGCATCAGTAGCTGAATGAGAAGTATCAATCAAGACCTTCTGGATTCCAGTAAAGAGAATGCGCGATCCAGGGCGTTGGATTTTAGCACAAACATCTTCTTTCTGGATTGCCGCAAGCGAAGGACGGGGTTGCGGAGCGGTCGGCTTTCCAGGCGCAAAAGAATCCGCGGTCAAGTTGCGGGCCCCAGTGCTCTTCAGAAGAGGCCGGCCATCAATGAATACTTGAATCGGTGTGGCACCGACTTGAAGCGGATGATCATCCCAGATAACGAGATCTGCGTCATATCCTGAACGGACATATCCAATTCTATGGTCTTGTTGAATAGATCTGGCAGGAACAGATGTCACGGCCTGAAGAGCTTTCTCTTCAGACAGACCAAATGAATGAGAAACCGCTGCTTGGTTACTGAAGGGAATCAGGTTAGCTTCATGGATGACTGGTGGTAACGTTCAACCCGAGAAGAGCTTTCACTCTACTTACACAAGATATTTTGCGTAATTTTCCTCTCCTCCATGGTCCTTTGCATTCATGTTAGAGGGACCAGCATCACTTTAGGATCAGTGGGGGTTAATACCGATTTCAATGCTACCTGGACACCATGGTCAGACAGGATCTTAGGCCCACGCAAATTGGCACCGTAAGCTTCGGCCTTGTAAAAGCTATTCTCGGCAAAAGTGGCGATAGTGATGTTTCTGAAAGCCGTCAGCGAAAGGACATAAGTCGAGGAACAAGCGGCCGTACTCCACTTGAGACTTTAGCCATTCGGGTAGTTCCCACGCCTCCAGCGCATGGTGGAAAGCATTAGGATGAATTCCAAACTCATGAAGCACAGAAACCATGCGCTCGAAGTCTTCCGGCTCGTAGCAGTGTACATTGACATTTAGCTCCCCACGGAGCAGTGCCAGAGAAGTCTCAAGTTCCAAAGCCTGCGGTAGTTCACCTTGGCCTTTGATGAATTCTGAGATTAGCCGAGACTGGGAGAAGCTAGCATCCCTAATACTAGCCGCCGTCTTACACCAGGAAGACTGGCGTCGGTGCAAATCCCGGGCTTCATCCAGATGTTTGCGCAACAGCCACACTAGACCAAGCCGGGTGTTCTTGTAGATGCCCTTGGGGTTCTCTCCGCATGCCATCTTGAGATACCTCTTGCGACTCTTCTCTGGAATACCATCATCAAGCAGTAGCTCATCGACTACTGGCTCCGCATTTGGGCCTGGCTTTGGCAAGTTCTTCACCAGATATGCTTCACCGCCAATGATGTTGGCTGAACCTGGTAGAACCAGTGATGAAGTCACACCACCCGATGCGATGAGCTCTATGGCTGGATCATACGGCTTGAATCCGTCCAGTGATCTAACGAAAGGAGTCAGGGGTCCTAGGCCTGGGCGCTCGTTCACGTCGCTGGTAGAAGGGAGGGAAGGGAACGGGGCCAACAAATGATGGGAATGCATATCAACTAGCCCGGGCGTGACATATCTTCCATGAGCATCAATTATTTGAATCCCATCACCACTCTGATGGGTTGAAGTTGAAGCCGACACGGAACGAACAATCCCTGCCTCAAATGTGATATCAACCGATTCCTTCAGTACTGAGCCTCCATCGAAGAGTGTTGAGTTTCGAATCAGGATCGTTCCAGACTGACCGGAGGTGGGATTCCATCGTGGATTTCGCCGGTCACTCGTTGGCTGATGTTTCTGATCTCTATGATGGATCTCATGGCATTTGCTCAAGCCTTCCACGAAAAATTCTTCATCTACTCCACTCGTCACAGTGGCATTGTTGAGGTATTTCATTTGAATCAGCGTGACAAGACCTGCCACCAGCAGAAGTGTTCCCAATACAAGTCTGCCATGACGACGGCAAGGAGATATGGGTGACTGGGCGAATTGGCCCGCCTCTGAGCCCAGGAAGCTGTACTTGGTCGCCATCTATGATTTGAAGGTGAGTTTGGGCGACTTGAAAGAATGAAGTCGCAGCCAGAGAGGGAGAAACGAATTGGAGGGGGTTTCTGGGAAGTCCGAGCTGGCGCAAGCATGCATCTCAATCGCGTCAGTCGGCAACTGCCCCGTTTCCAGACACTTCCCCTCGGCGAATTCCCTGTGACCTTCAAATGTCCATTAAAAAGGAATTCAGGGCTCCATGACACCATAGGGCCCCGAACACGAACCCGAGCCCGACGAGTCTTCTCGTGATTGTTTACTCCATACTTCGGGGTCGTGAAGTGATCAAATTTTGACATCTGGAGCGTCTGATGGTTAAGTCAACTTCACCCAATACGTCTACAAGGGTCTTTTTTCTGAAATTTTCATACACTTGCTCACATGCGATATTCGGTTTCTACGGTGAGATTGAATTCTGCAAGTTACGTGCCAAGAATGGCAGCGATATCGGCTGACGTGCTTGGAGAAATAACAGAGTGATCCGGTGGAAACATGAAAGAATCAGACTGGTCTGCATGATTCAAGCAAAGCATTGCTAGCAGAAGAATCTTTGGTACCTAGTACTGTGCCCAAATCGGTACCTGCTCCGACATGGCCGTGGGGGCGCCCATACAAGGTACCGGTCCACGACCAATGAACATCCCACAGACCCTGAAGCCTCTTCGGTGGATCCGGGGCTTGAATCAAGGTCCATTAGCACTCGAGTCACTCCCATTTGCCGGGAAAAGGTCCCGATATTCATTGAAGTAGAGTACTCCGGTTGGGCTAAACTTTTTCCCCCGCTAATCAATATCAGGCTCTTACCAACGCCTACCCTGTTGTTGACATTTCTGTGTCATGCCCAGGATACAATGAGGCATTCGCGCGGATTCCTGACCCAAAATAGGCTTCAGCTAGACCTGCCAAGGTATTGGCCATCCTTACAGAGCATCACGTTGACATTGCCCCCCCTCCGAGTCGCCGGATATTCCACTCCACTGGACTCTTGCGGTAAAAGTTGTTGGAGTAGAGAAACAACTATATCAACAAGCGTGCTATTACACACGTTAAGCGATAAGACTGGCACATCACGCAATGATGGGGTGAAAGGTAGCGATACTTCTTCCTAAAGTGGAGGTTGGGGAAGTTTATCTTTATATTGAACGCCAGGGTGCATTCGAAAGGGGAGGTGATCACTCAGTTCAATTGATTCCATTCCTCCAAGGACCCTCGGAAGTGCTAGAGAGACCAAGAATATGGTCCAGCTCGCTGAGAAAGCAGAGGACGTCACGACAGTGGTTGTACCCGAGCCTGAGGTACCTCCCCCCGATATCGCGGTCGCTTTGCATTCAATCATCTTCATCACAGTTGGCTGACAGAACCTTAGAAACATCAGATCTGGAACAAGCTCAACGAAGACGAGTTTGCCAAGTAAGCAATCATAGAGCACAGCGGAAAGTTTGGCACTAACATAGTCAAGACGGGTGTCTGCCACTGTGGATGAGGTGCTTCTTGCGCAAGAACAATCGGATACACTAGAGCTCAATGAAGCACGCGAGGTTCGTATCTCTTCGAAACAGAGCCGAAAGAGAAGAAAATTGGCTAACGCTGGATTCCAGCTTGCACGATATCTCGTGGATACTCATGAGCACGATCCAAACTTCCCGCCTGGCGCTTGGGGTCGCATGAATGATTTTCTGCTCAATGATACTCTGTTTGAAAACCCCGAGAAACACCAAAGAGATATTACAGAGGCCAAAATTGAAGTCTCCTTGTTGACTTCCAACAGCCCATATCCCGAGGTACGAGCTGTCGTTGAACCTCACGATGATCCTGATCTTCCCTGTGGGACCATTCGAGCCTATGTCATCGGGTTGGCATTCGTCATACTCGTGGCATTCATCAATCAACTGTTCAGCGTTCGTCAGCCATCCATCAGCATTGGCTCTGCTGTTGTTCAACTTTTGGCTTTTCCTGTTGGAACGGCAGCTGCGCGGTTGCTCCCTGATATTGGCGTGACACTTTTCGGCGTCCGTCACAGCTTAAACCCGGGACAATTCAACAAGAAAGAGCACATGTTGATCTCGATTATGGCCAATGTCGGCATGACGCTGCCAAGTTCAAGATATATCAGTATGTAGTATTCCTGCGATACTCGAAGGGATTTAGGCCCTAACAATAATCAGTTTTCACACAGTGGTTGGACAGATATTTCGGCCAGCCTTACGCCAGCTCCTTTGGATATCAGATCCTGCTGGCGCTTTCGACGAACTTCATGGGCTTTGGTCTGGCTGGCCTGTGCCGCAGGTTCCTCGTCTACCCGTCCTTTTGTATTTGGCCGCGGTCATTGGTCACTATTGCGTTGAACAGCTCCCTTCACAATGGTGAGTCTTACAGCTCTCCGTTTCTTAAGATCAAAACATCTTAACAATAGCTGCAGAGGAAAACCACTCCGTGATCGGGCCCTTCCGGAACATCTACACCATATCCCGATCCAGATTTTTCATGGCAGCATTTTTCGCAATGTTCGTCTGGTTTTGGTTCCCAGACTATATATTCGGTGCCCTCAGTACATTCAACTGGATTGCCTGGATCGCACCCCTCAACTTCAACCTTACCGCCATCACGGGAATCAAGAAGGGCCTTGGATTCAACCCTCTTCCGACCTTCGACTGGAACATCGTGACACATGTACTTGACCCCCTCATTGTTCCCTACATGGTCACCATCAATACCTTCTTTGGGGTTCTGCTGGGTGGTATTGTCATCATCGGAATGTACTGGACCAACGCCTACAACACGGCTTATCTCCCCATTAACACCAATTCGATGTTCAACCATTATGCCAAGTCCTTCAACGTGTCGATGGTTTTGGACGATCGTGGATGGCTTGATGAGACAAAGTACCAAGCATACTCGCCAGTTTATCTCGCCGCCAGCAGTCTCACGATGTATTTCTTTTCCTTTGCGGTGTACTCTGCACTTGTTTCATACGCCTTCCTGTACCATTCGCGGGATATCTCACTTGGTTTCAAGAGTTTGATCCAGAGCTTCAAGCGAGGCGACGGGGGCCACTTCAAGGACATCCACAGCAAGCTGATGTCTGTTTATCGCGAGGGTACGTGATTCAAGGCAAAACTCACTTATATGACCAACCGCTAACAAAGACAATAGTTCCGGAGTGGTGGTACGCCGTCTTGAATGTATTCGCTATTTCGCTAGGGGTTGCTGCCGTTGCTGGGTGGCCTACCTTTGTTAGTTTCAACCAAGAGGCACTGTCCAAGCACACAAACTAACAGGCCATCTCTGTAGACAAACGTCGGGGTCGTGTTCTTCGGTATCCTCCTGGCTGTTATCTTTACTATACCCACTGGTATCATCGCTTCCACGACAGGAATCGAAATTGGATTCAAGTGAGTTGTCATGCATGGCGAAGAAAAAGAAGACATCAAGCTGAACACTCACAGCGTGCTTGCCGAATTCCTTGGTGGCGCCTTGCAGCCCGGAAATGCCCTTGCAATGAACTTCTTCAAGTGCTTCGGGTGAGAATCTTTTCACTTCCTGAAAACACAATACCTAATAATAACATCTTGCTAAGCTATGTCACGACCGCCCACGCTATCGACTTTGCCAATGACTTGAAATTGGCCCACTACCTGAAGATCCCACAGCGACAGACTTTCTGGGCCCAAATAATTGCTGTGTTTGTTTCGGCTTTTGTCTGCACTGCCGTCATGAACTTCCAGATCACGAAAATCCCTGATATGTGTCAGCCGTAAGTGATCCCAGCGTACTTTTTGAACAAGCTTGCTAACCCGCAATGCAGAGATCAAAAGGACCGTTTCACTTGCCCTGGAGTCAACACATACTTCACCGCTGCTGTTCTATTTGGAAGTCTCGGCGCACGCAAGATGTTTGGAGCCAAAGGCCCTTACGCCACTTTACTATCTGCTTTTCCCATCGGTCTCGCCTTGCCATTCGTCTTCTACTTCATTCAGAAAAGACTCCCTCGCAATCATTGGTTTGGCAAGATCCATCCTGTCATGTTCCTCTCTGGGGGTATTCACTGGTCTCCCGTGCGTATTCTAAATGAACATCTTCATCTCAATTTATGGTGCTCACGCTGCTTGTTTCTAGTATAACATAGCCTACATGTGGCCGGCTGTGCTACCCGCCTATATCAGCATGAAATATGTTCGCACCCGATACCTGGCCTTCTGGGGGAAGTACAACTATGTTTTATCGGCTGCTCTATCGACCGCCATTGCCATCGCGGGTATCATCATCTTCTTTACACTCAACTACAATTCTGTCTCGCTTTCGTGGTGGGGCAATGATCCCGAGAGTGGATGCGAGGCAACGTCCTGCACGCGGCTGAAGCTTCCCAAGGGCGAGTATTTCGGTCCTCGCATTGGAAGTTACCCGTGAGCTGTGGCTTATAGAGAGCAGTTCATCGTCGGTGGCAATTTCTTGTGAATATTTGATTATGTCGATCGCATTCATCTCTATGGTTCGCTTTTGGCTGCCTCAGCCTCGGGGGGTTTCAAGATTCACTGGGCAGGAATGGATGATATAAATCGCTTGAATTGATTTGGCGCGTACGACACCTTGCAGGGAATAAAGGAAGATACGATGTATACTGAGGTCATTCAGATCATCAGATCATCAATGATATCTGTGGTATGGCATCCTCTACGATATTCAGATCAGGGCTCTCGACAAGAGTTGAGGCTAAACAATCTGCGAGGAGAATGCAAAATTAGTCTGGCGTGAGAGGCGGAAATACTGTAACCTGTATGTCCAAAACACCAATTTGGGGATCATCAGAAGTCCATAAACTTCAGTTCAAGGGCGAGGTAGAATTATGCTGTATTTGAGACAGACGTGGAAAATGAGGACTCCCTAGGAAAAGCAAATGAGATTGCAATGTAGTATGAGCTGGTTTTCCTAATCGTACAGGACAGAGATCACTTGCACATCAAGTTTCGCACTCCCCTTACTCCTCTTCCTCAATCTCGCCTTCCTCGCTGCCAGAGTGAATGGCCTTTTCGTCTTTCTTGGCAACCTCGTCTTCTTCGGGGATCGCTGATCGCTCGCGTCGAGGAGCCCGACCCTTGCTGCGCTCACGCTCACGGCTATCACGTCGGTACCGCTTCGCAGAACGGCTAGCCACACTTTCAGCATCACTGTCGCGGCGGCGACGACGGTCCCCACTCGCCACGCTCCGAGTATCACCACCACCATAGTCAAGCTCGTCACGACCTCCACGGGGATCTCCTCGGGTGCGGTACAACCGCTCACGCTCGTCTTCGCGGCGGTCTCCATCTCTGGCAGAACGGGGGCCACGGTCGAAGTCACGGTCCCGGCTGCGGTAACGGTCCCGGTCCGAACGCTCATCGCGACGGTCCCGGGATGGAGAGATGCCACTGACCTTGCGGTAAGTTCGCTCACGGTCTGCTTGCGCCTTGCGACGGTCGGCCTCGTAAGCGTCGGTTTCGGGGGTGCGGCTAACGCGGTTGCTGTGTCCTCGGCGTTCTCCGCGGCCGCTGCGGTAGTCGCGATCGCCGCGGTCGTAGTCTCGTCGGCTTCCACGGCTTTGGGAGTAGAGTTCACGATCCTTCTCTGCATCTTCGTCTCGTTCCTTCATGCGTCGGATTGCCTTGTCAAATGCAGACTCACGCAATTCATCCGACTCAAGGTCCTTGTATTCATCGTATTTTTCCAGACGAGGTTTGACATCCGCCCAGGTATCGGTCACTCGGATAGGTGGCTCTAGGCGCTTAATGCGCGAGCGCAAAGCGTCCACTGCACGGCGCTGGTGGCGGTCGGCAGCGTGCTTCTCATCTTCGTTGCGCCGGATTGCCTTGTCTTGGATGCGCTCGAAGAGTAGCTTGAGGATGTCGGGGTCAATCTTGGAAGTTCGGCGGTCGGCAGAGATAACACCGTTGAACTCTTCAAAGGTAGTTTCAGCGGTGACTTCGAACCGTTTGTCCTGGTCGAGGTTAGTATAGTTGGAGGGCTTTTGAGCACATTGAGACTTACATCAAGAACATCGAGTACATCATTGCGAGGCCCACGGAGCGAACGCTCCTCTTCCTCAACGACATCCCAGAACAAGTCAAGGGGTGAGGATCCGGGCTGCCCCAAGATGCCATGATACCTGGGGTCATCTTTGATTAGGGGACAGATATGCATCCACTTTGAGCCCGCCTTGATCTTGCCCTCCGATCGCAACTCGTTGAGAAGAATGACAAACTGCTCACGATTCTTGCGCTCCTTCCTGGCCCTGGCTGCCTTATGCTGTTGGCGAGCATCGTTGAAGGCCCGCTCCAGAGTCTTGATATGGTCCTCAAATGCGGTCAGCACATCACTCTTTGTCAAAGCCTTGAACTTTTCGTCGCTCAAGAACTTGTCATGCGCATGAATCATTTGATTAGCTTCGGCCCAGCGGGTGTACGGCTCCAGGTTGAGCGAGCCCAAAATGTCAGCCAATTCATCTAAAGCGGCCTTGCGCTTCGCGGCCTCCTGGTCAATGTGGGCTTTTTGGAGGGAAACAATGTACTCATTGAAGAGCTGACGTCTTTCATCTTCCTCGTTCGTAGATCTGAAGGTGGTCTCTCCCTCGATGATAGGGCGAATGGTCTTCCAGCGGCTGTAGTGCTTGATTTCAGGGTGACGCTTCAGCATGGTGTTGAAATCTGCGCGGAGCTTCGCGAACCGTTCCTTCGCGCGGTCCTTCTCCTGCATGCGAGCCTCCACCACAAATTTATCGAAAGCCGCCTTGCGGTCGCGCGGATCCTTCAGCGCGCGGAACTGAGGGTCTCTGATAGTGGCGCGCATGGTTTCTTCCCAGGTCCAGCTAGGCTGCACGTTGTAGCGCTTGAGCAACTTCATGAAGGCACTCTCCGCTTCCTCGAGGGAATGGTAATCAGGCTCATTTTGAGACTTGAACTCGGGGGCAGCCGCCATGCTGCTAGAATCGTATCCTCCAAAGCCACCGCGGCGGTCGTTGTATCCCCGGTCCCCGCGATCCCCGCGATCCGCACGGTCAAAGTCGTCGCGATCACGGTGGTGGGATTGAGGGGGGAAAGAAGTTCCACCAGCAACAAAGGATGGCGCCCTAGAAAAGCGTCAGAGTTATCATTGGTGGAAAGGAAAGAAGCACACTTACGCGACAGGAGGTGGAACAGCGGCAGGTGCTTGCGCAAGAGCATCTTTGTAGACTTCCGGAATCTCCCAGGTACTTTGCTTGGTTTCCGTATTGTACCAGTATTTGCGGCCGTTCTCAGCGGTGTATTCCTTGTAGGGTTGCTTCGCCAGTGCAAGCTACAAAGAGGTTAGCTAGGCTCAGTATGCTCAACGCAAGGAAATGCGAACCTCAACGGGGTTCATCAATTCTTGGGGTTTAGTCCACTGTGTGGCTTTCGTCTGCACGTTATAATAGTACACACGGCCATCAGTGTTTTTTGCCTCCTGCCAGAGGCCGGGAACTGGGACGTTGGGGTCCATTGTGAAGGTTGATGCTAGGAAGCAGAGTCAACCGGAGCTGCGATTGCTCCGCAGATCTGCCATTCTGCGCTAACGGATTTACAGACCGCCATTCGGCAGTATTTTAGGCTCAAGTGGCTGTGCTTTTCTGCCGTAGAGTTATTCTGGGCATAGTAGTTAAGCCCGCACCCCTGGCACACCGCCAAACATACCGCCTAGCACGCCGCCTTTAGGCTGTTACTCAATTACCATTCCAGCCCTGGCGCCCGAGCTATCAATTGATGCTACCAAAATAGGGGATCTCAACACCGGAGACCCGTGGACCCAGGTATCTGCCCCTGACCCCCGGGCGATATAGTCAAATTACTGAGCCATATGTCACCTCGGTACGGAGTAGAATATTTGAACCAACATTTATCTATAGTCAATCCTCCTCTGTAGTAGAATATCCGCCTAGATAGCAAAATACTAGAATAGTCATAGTTCATCTTGTAGTCATAATTACTATTAGGAGTCCATACTTTCATTGCGGCAGAAGAGCAAAAGGCCCAGGGCCAATTGAGCCTTAAATTCTGCCGGAGCCCGCCGTATTGACGACTTATCGGTTATCTCCTGAATCAGACTACGTCTTTTTGTTGACTTCACATGCGACAAGAGGTCGCAATGCCTGGCTTGGAGATTCCAGGTGAATTCCTGCGTCATGCTGTCCTTGATACAGTTGTGCCTCATGCGCCTGCCTTTGATGTCGAAGGAGCCCTGAGCTCAGCCCTGGAGGACGGAGCTGATGATCTCCCCTCTGTTCTCGCATCCATTCCCCAGAGAGCACAGATATTCTTTGGTAAGAACTTCCTTCAGCTCGGCAGAGTGTGTCTCTTACTCATGGATAGCTCCTAGATGAATTCCTGCCCGTTCGCATCATCTTGAGGCTTTCCGATTGCTCGGAAACAGTTCTGAAGCATTACCTACCGCGCCTCGAGGTCAAATTGGATGTATTCGCTGTCGATCCAGCAGAGTCAGTGGGTGAAAACCTTACACCGACTCGAGATGTCATATTTTCGGGCGTCGTTGGTGGGGATGAGGATCCCATAGTTGTTTTCAACGAATTTGAAGGGGAAGAAGGGAGTGGAAACCACGTCTACCTTGTCTGGAATATCGAGACAGTTATAAGTGAGTTGTACCGGCGAAGAGTCGTTTGGAATGTTATCGCTAATGTGTCCTCAGAGCGTCCCCGCATACGAATTCAGCACCCGTCTCTCCTATTCATTGCATCTGCCAACCTCAACCCCTCTGACGGAAGCCACCAAGACGATTCGGAGGATGACTACCTCCCTTCCCTTATTCCTGCGTCGGCGAATATGCTTCAACCGCTATCGAGCGACAAGTCTCTTAACAAAGACCCGTTCCTTCCTGCTTCTAGACTTTTGCGGGTCGTGCCAACGACTTATGACCAGGAGCCCATCTACAACATCCAGCAGCAGCATGGCCACCCATTCCGCGTTGTGCCCGCTGCCAGCGCGAGAATACGATACTCTCGGCTGAATTCTTACACCGGCGTTCCATTAACGGCTGCCAGTTTAGATTTCGAGGTCACCCCTTATCTTACAAGTGAGGTTTCTTTCAACAGGGCGGATCTCCATCTGTCAGAAGGAACCATTGCGTCAATGTCAGACGCTCCGGGTCTTGCCCTGCCAATTGTTTGCCGCCCACGAGATGATGTCACTCTCATGTATAAGCTCACGCCAGAATATGGTCCGGAGACCAATCCATCCTCTACCGCCATCGTCAGCACATTGGCTATCTCTCTCGAAGCGACCATTCTAATTGATGATGGTTGTAAGCCACGCATCTCTATGCAGTGGAAAACGAATGTCGATTTCTCTGTTGCCCTCAACCCGACCTTTGGGGGCCCCAGCCCTGCGCTGCAGAGAACAAACCGTCCTTCCAATCTATCCGTGTCAACTCAAGGTGGCATTGCAGCACCGTCCAACCGAAGCTCACTTCGGGAACGGGCATACTCTGTCACAGATTTGGGTGTAACCATCTCCTTCACTGGCCCCGTTCGGGTACAAGTTGGCTCGGCTTTCTCATGGAGTGTGTTCATTGTCAATCGGTCTAGTGCGCCTCGCAAATTTGCTCTAATTGCTATTCCGAGACGCAAACGCGTGGATCCACGAGGGCATGTCGCTCGGCCTTCGTCATCTTCTATTACCAGCCGCAAAGAAGACCAAGTGGCGGAGGCAGTGACTGATGACAACATCGTCCATGCCAGGCAAAAGAGTATGGCTGGGCAGGAGGTTGAGTTGATCAGCTTGAGTACGGATATTCGCGTCGGGTAAGTCCTCCTAGTCAATCTTTGGTTCCACGATCTAACATGTCGACCAGTCCCCTCTTACCAGGAACATGCCACTCTACGGAAATCAAGCTCCTACCTTTGGCCACAGGCCCGCTTCATCTTGAAGCAGTCAGATTAGTAGACGTGAACACGAACGAAACGACCGACATTCGAGATCTTCCGGATATTCTCGCGGATGATCAGCGACGCTCTTGAGCGGACAACCCCCTTGTACATATTATATATGAAAATAAATGACTCCTCAGATCATTTCCTCGGCTCGACCTCACCCAAAGGTTCTTATGCCCTCATTATCTAGCTACATGGATCTTGGAAAACACTGGAGTTACATCCGCTAAATAGTTCGCCTACAGGTGTCCACCTAAGCTGGCCTCCACTCTGATCTACTTGGCTTGGATAGAATGGGCAAGCCTCGGCATGAATTGGTGGGCAAGGATCCATGGATGGAAGCATTGTTGAATCACCGAGATCGTTTCTCATGATCATTTCATTGAACCTTCATCATCTCCATGGCTGACATGCGCAGGTGTTCCCGAGTCGTGACAACATCTCGCCTGCTACTTCAATGGCGTTGGTTCACCCCTTTTGCTCTCATCATGCATGGCAAAAAGAAGGTTGGCGTACAACTCCCCACGCTCCAGCTTCATCCGTTTTTTGAGCTCATAAACGGTGCTCTCCCTCCCCTCCAAAGGACCATAAACTTGCTCGGCAAACACTTGCAATTGGAGGATGATATCAGGTGTGCCATAGCGCTCAACAAGCTGATGGGGTTTCGGCGGGCGTTCCTCATTCTTCCAGTTCTCTTCCGTGTGACCAAATCGGATGCATTCCTCGCGTGTCTCTTGGTTCCACCACTTTGGCAACAACCCATCCTTTTCGGCCTTATCCACGAATCGTTCGACCATCCTGTCTGAGGCTCTCTTCGGGCTCATCATTGACAAATCATTCCCGGCCCATTTCATCATGGTGGTATCATCCCATGCTCGAACTCGGACTGCGTCGAAGAGAATCCTGAAGACGTCTCTTTCGGATCTCCCAGTGAAGAATGACTTGGCCGCGAGTCGAGTCCAAGGGCAAGTGACGTTACCATCGAGCCCTGGTGCGTATTTCAATACGCTGCGGCTGATACAAGGGCGTTGGTGTTCTTCGATGACTGGGCCGGGATCTTTGTCTCTCTCCATGTATGCGGATGACACGGATTTGACATTTTGCGCGCAGTCCTTCTTGTGTTCTTTCCAATGATCTCTCAGGCAGTCCCTGTTGCAATACCACAGTACTTTGCAGCGGGGGCAGCATCTCATGATCTCTCCCAAAGGCTCGCTGTCGCCACATTTATCACAGACTCGACTCGTGAATCCGGTGAAGTAGTCGAATTGGGGGTTCTCGCTCTTGTCTGGTCCATGGGGCTTTGCTGGTCCAACTAACTGCGCTGGCGCAGGGGGTGTTGGCGGCTCAGGCGTTGGCGGCTCAGGCGCTGGTGGCTCAGGTGCTGGTGGCTCAGGTGCTGGTGGCTTAGGTTTTGGATGCTTAGGTTTTGGATGCTTAGGTTTTGGATGCTTAGGTTTTGGATGCTTAGGCTTGGGTGGCTTACGCCCGTGGGCCATGGCTGGTGCAGAGGAGCTTCCAGCGCCTCATTCACCAAGATCCTAGTTTGCAGACTGAAACCATAGTTAGATTTTCGTAGGTAATTCCACAGTCGGATAACAGTTTGGGTTTGTTTTTTCCTTACCTATAAAGACCGGATGGATACTGCGCTCTTTGAGGTCCACCCAACGTTGCTTTCGTCTGATGCTGTCCGGAGACTCGTGAAAGGGGAAACAACAAAGTGGGCGTTTGTTGACGTGTCAGAGATTGAGAGTGAACCGTAATAGAGACAAAACATGACGCTTTACAGACCAGCACGACAATACGGCGACGGGCGACGGTATTATGGGACCACTGGGCAGTAGTATCCCCTACCTAGTAGATGAGCTCTGTGCCAACCTTGGAACTTGATTGTCTCTCTCTTACATCTTATATCTGATCTATTGATAGAGTGATGCTAAACAGCGAGGTGCAGAGAGTTCTATGTGATCTATACCTAGTGTTCATGCAAGCCTGGGGTTTGATATAGATACAAGCATGGATTCATGGAGGTACCTGGACAGTAGCAAATCTACCTATAGGTAATATCTGAGTACCTTGGTACCTTTGACCTGGTATCCATTTTATTCTACGTCCTACCTAGGATGTTTTGTCAACATACAATATTTGGGTATATATATGCTGTTGGGGGTCGCTTGCTAGGTCGAACTGGTTTAGCTTGCGCAGATTGCATGGTACGGAAAGTCACACACATCCCAAAATCAACTTGGAAGGTCATCTATAAACCCGTGGACAATATATTCCACGACCGAATGGTTTTTTTTCCCTTGTCCACAATAAGCTTCACATTGATTTCCCTAAAGATTGTTGCTTCATAATAACTGAAATTTTACAGTCCTCCGCTTGTGTCCCGCGACAACTCTTTTCATGGTGGGCTCAAAAACCATGGGAGCTCTGTCAATGTAACATTTGAAGGCAAAGAGAGGTGATGGTTCAGAAATGGCAGAATAGATACTGCAAAATCCAACATGCTGGCTGCAGGTGGGTCCAGATGCTCTTCTACACTGACCAATGAGCACAGGACACCAGACCCGAACGGGCTAGATCGGCATGTTCCCACGTATCACATTGCTTCTTGATCTACTCCGTATCAATGATACATCCCCAGCTACCTAGGTACTGTTCTATCAGCCTGTATATCGCATTATGAAGCCCAAGTTATGCTCTCAGTGTATGCACACACTACTAGGTACCGCTACATCTGTTCTTCACGGAGGGCATAGACCGTGAGAGAAATTCATGTCGAACCTGTCTAGATTCTAAAGCCAGATCGATTTCCAGACGTTCTCAGTGTCAAATTGAAGAATCATCGCCTGCTAACCCCGAACTAATGACTCGGTTCAGGTTCAATCGACCCTGGATCCTGTTACCCTATCAGATCGTGCCATAGATACCAATATCGCCGTTGAAGCAGCACCACCCGTTTCATCCACCAAAATACCTAGGTATGTACTATACACCGCCAAACCTAGTCTTCTGATTCCAAGTTAATTCCAGTTGAGACTGTGATCTAGCGGCAACAAGACAATGCCAAGAATGCAGGACCAATACTTCTGTAACAAGCCGGGTTAGATCTGAGATTCTGGTTATGATTCTCACCTTGGAACCTAATATAGGCTGCAGGTTAGATTAGACCTTCAGCTTAGAGCCCAGAGTTCCGACTTAATTAAACTCACAGCTGGGATCTCAGGCTTAACCTGGCTTATCACAGATGTATTATCCCTGCATGCTTGGCATTGTCTTGTGCTGCTAGATCACAGTCTCAACTGGAATTAATCAGAAGACTAGATTTAGCAATATATAGTGTGTGTTTTGGGGGCTACACTCAGGAGAGGGTGGAGCTGTTTCAAAGGCGATATTGGTATCTTCGACAGCGCACGATAGGGTAAGAGGATCAGGCGTCAGTTGAACATGAACCGAGTCATCGTGGTCAGCAGCCGCTGATTCTTCAATTTGACGCCGAGGACGTCTCGAAATCGGATGAGGCAGCCACTGATGGAAGGAAGAAGCCAGAGAGCAGTGATGGCTGTCCACTCAGATACTAGGTAGATGGTAGAGGGTGAAGAAGGGGAAAGCAAAGAGAGGGAGAGAGCGAGCTAGTTATACATGAATCTAGGCAAACATGGTCACCTGACTAGGTGTTCACAATAAACCTTCCAAGGTTGGAAATCGATCTAGCTTTGGAATACTCCGTACTCCGTGTATACTAAGGCTCTGTGAATATTGTCTAGTATTAGCTCCAACCTTGAGAGCTGCCCAGGTGCCTTGTGAGGCTCATTCTGCCCCCGGGTACATGCCAACAGTGTCCAAGGGATTGGTTTTCTTTGGGTAACCATTGAAACAAGCCTTTCAATGGTGGATGAAATATAGTATTGTAGAGCTCTGGAAATAAAGGGCTAATAAACAATGCAGACTATATACTCCAGAGCGGGCTGTGATTGGCGGGATGCCATCCATGGGGTAATGGAGTCAGTGTCGTAGTTGGCCAGGTGACTTCGTTAGTCACGGCGGAGTCGAGTTGGATCGTCCACTCCGTACGCTATCCCCGTTATCTTGTCAAGATCAGATCCTGATCTTATACTGTTATACCTGTTTTTCTCTGGGACAGGGTTCCAGACACACTCCTCATCCTTAATCCTTGCGTCATATTGGCCTCTGGCCCGGAAATCTTCCAAGGTTGCCATTCGATCCTGGCCGACGCCATATCCTTAATCATGATCTGCGCCGCAAAGCGAAAAGTCCTAGATGGACTGAACAAGAGATACATATACGGTCGCGTGGTATGTCCCAGAATCTCGAGCCAGCGCCGTCGCCATCGCTCAGCCTACAGAGGGGTCACCGTGTCCAGAGCTAATCGTGTCGTCATCGTTCTACAGCCTCTCTTGCACACGATCATATTCCTCGTCGAGATGGCAGTTGCAGCGCGCCTCGCGGCCAAATTCAACACCTACTATGCCGAGAAGCCAGGTAAGCTGCTTGCCGCCACCTCCCGAAGCTCCCGCTGACAGGTCGAACAGTGCTCACCACGATGGTCACGAACGCGGTAAGCCTTCCTCGAGATCCAACCGACGGACACACAATTGACAAGGATGATATAGGTTCTCGGTGGTGTCGCCGATACTGTTGCGCAGCTGATCACGGCCTTCCGCACTCGCCGGACCCAAACAAGCGGTGACGACTTCCTCTCGATAGAGATCCCGGACCTCGACAAAGAGAAGCCACCTACAATGGGAGAATTGGGATATGGCAGAGGCCTACCACCGTCGTTTGACTTCGAGCGCCTGACGCGATTCATGGCGTATGGTTTCTTCATGGCGCCCATTCAATTCCAGTGGTTTGGGTTCTTGTCGAGGGCCTTCCCCCTCACCAAGATGAACCCAACTGCTCCGGTATTTAAGCGTGTCGCGTTTGACCAGTTCATCTTTGCGCCATTCGGTATGCCTCTGATATGGTCTTGTCCCGGGGTGATCCAGCTAACCAGAGCTCTTAGGTCTCGCGTGCTTCTTCAGCTATATGACGATCGCCGAAGGTGGTGGCAGACGGGCATTGACACAGAAGTTCCGGGATGTTTACTTGCCAACCCTCAAAGCCAATTTCGTGCTGTGGCCGGCAGTGCAGATCCTCAACTTCCGTGTTGTCCCTATTCAATTCCAGATTGTATGTTTCTCCCCTCTGCTGGGGACATGACCGACACTAACCTTCCTCCCTAGCCCTTTGTTTCGACCATTGGTATCGCGTGGACCGCATACCTCTCCCTTACCAACTCCTCCGACGAGTCCTAATTGAGCGCCCTCAAAAGCGAGTATCACGTTTACGACCTGGGGCCATATAAATTGCACTTGATCTTCCAAATTTCGGGCGTTTGGGTTGTGGTTGTGTACATGTTTTTTGCTATTTGCCCACGGGCTCGGTTTGCATTTCAAAAGGACGGATATTGCACATTTGGGAAGACCGTTTTCATGTTGAGTTTGTATTAGCTATGCGAATGCGTTGGACTTTCTACCGCTCACGGAACATCAGGCTCGTAGCGGCTATGGGCATATCCAGTAGAGACACGATTTCCCCAGAATTCCCCGAATCCGAGGCTAATGGGGTCCTCGATGCCCCGGCCTTCTCCGTATCAACGGCATCTCTTACATCAGTCCCGCATCAGCCCGATCTATTCTCCGGGGGTGGTCGGGTACACCAGAGCCAGGTACCTCACTCAATGGGTTTACTTACCCCTAGGGCCATTACATCATGCTGCCGGAAGTACCCATGGCGGACGAATACATCATCGGTAAGTACCAACTGGCAACGGATGCGACCTCTTCACCGGCCTGCCCCACCACAGCCAACCCCTCCACTCTTTACTGATCGCGACTCACCGTGGCCTGATTAGTACTTCCCTCTTCTTCTCCCTTTTCTTCCTCTCATTGTCAAAGTATCTCACTCACATACCTTCACAATGTCTCTCTCCAACAAGCTCCCCGTCACTGAAGTCGACCTCAAGGACAAGCGTGTCTTGATCCGAGTAAGCTTCCAATTGAGTAGCTGTATTGCCAGCTCGTCGCTAACAGACGCAGGTTGACTTCAACGTCCCCCTCGACGATGACAAGAACGTCACCAACCCCCAGCGTATCGTCGGTGCCCTCCCCACCATCAAGTATGCCATCGAGAACGGCGCCAAGGCCGTCGTCCTCATGTCCCACCTCGGCCGTCCCGATGGCCAGGTCAACCCCAAGTACAGCCTGAAGCCCGTCGTGCCCGTGCTCGAGAAGCTTCTCGGCAAGAGCGTCACCTTCACCGATGACTGTGTCGGCGCTCAGGCCGAGGAGACCGTCAACAAGGCCTCCGGCGGCCAGGTTATCCTGCTCGAGAACCTGCGCTTCCACGCCGAGGAGGAGGGCTCCTCCAAGGATGCCGAGGGCAAGAAGGTCAAGGCCGACAAGGCCGATGTTGAGAAGTTCCGCAAGGGCCTCACTGCCCTCGGTGACGTCTACGTCAGTATGTAGCACCCGAAATGACCCTTCCCACTTCGATCGCTAACCACTCCGTACAGACGACGCCTTCGGCACTGCTCACCGTGCTCACAGCTCCATGGTCGGAGTTGACCTCCCCCAGAAGGCTGCCGGTTTCCTCGTGAAGAAGGAGCTAGAGTACTTCGCCAAGGCTCTTGAGAGCCCTGCCCGTCCCTTCCTCGCCATCCTCGGTGGTGCCAAGGTCTCCGACAAGATCCAGCTGATTGACAACCTCCTCCCCAAGGTCAACAGCCTGATCATCACCGGTGCCATGGCCTTCACCTTCAAGAAGACCCTTGAGAACGTCAAGATTGGTAACTCTCTCTTCGACGAGGCCGGCAGCAAGATCGTCGGCGAGATCGTCGAGAAGGCCAAGAAGCACAACGTCAAGATTGTCCTCCCCGTCGACTACGTCACCGCCGACAAGTTCGCCGCTGACGCCAAGGTCGGCGCTGCCACTGATGCCAGCGGTATCCCCGACGGCTTCATGGGTCTGGATGTCGGTCCCGAGTCCGTCAAGCTCTACGAGGCCACCATTGCCGAGGCCAAGACCATCCTCTGGAACGGTCCCCCCGGTGTCTTCGAGCTCGAGCCCTTCGCCAACGCTACCAAGAAGACTCTCGATGCCGCTGTCAACGCCGCCCAGTCCGGCTCCATCGTCATCATCGGTGGTGGTGACACCGCTACCGTTGCCGCCAAGTACGAGGTCGAGGACAAGATCTCCCACGTCTCGACCGGTGGTGGTGCCTCTCTCGAGCTTCTCGAGGGTAAGGAGCTGCCCGGTGTCGCTGCTCTGTCCAGTAAGTAAATGATCAAAATTAGAGGGGCGAGCCAAATTTGCCCCCAAGCATGTTTATGACACTGTAATGTACACAGCCAATGAATTTCCTTTTTTAATACATGACGTAAATCATTCCTTAGTTCGAATAACTAAATGGTCGCTGTAGGTACCAGGCCGAAGCTCTAGGCGCGGAGTTGGCATGTCACACGAAGCAACGATTCTACAGGTAACAGCAGATGGGAGGAAGAAAATGATATTACCACCTCAGAGTACATAATCCCCATGAAAGCCATCCACATTACGATATCTCCAACGCAGGGTATTGCGGACCGTATCTCCAAGCTCCCGAATGCAAAATGCCTGCAATGGATTCGAGACAGGGGGGTATAGTGTGCGAGATGAAATGGCCAGCCAGCTCGGATATGAACCCATCCCGAAACGCAGTTCGTTGCTCGGTTGCTTAAGCGGACGCTTCGACCTTCTTCAATTCCTCCCTGTAGACAGCTAGTTAGCAATGATCTGAGCGGGCAAGGTGCCGAACACGTGGAAAATGCGAATAAAAGAGGTGTAATGGGCGCAGGAGATTCTCAAGCTTGAACGCGCTCGAGCGACAGCTCAAAGGATGTAGGATGGATGGGGCGGTGTCAAAGACGCGAAGGTACGCACTGGAGCTGCTTGGAGAAGTCCTCTGCGGCATCATCATCATCCCAGCTCTCCTCCCACAGGTGTTCGCTTCCGCCATTTGCTGCCGATCCGGTGGTCTGCTCGGCTTCTTCTTGGGGCCAGTCTGGACGTGTTAGCTTGGGATCTTTGAGCTTGCAGATCTGCCTGTACCTTCAATGGGGAAGTCCTCGAATTCGTCGTCTTCCTCCAGCACTTGGGGCTTGGTAGGGGGTTGCTCTGTGGGCTCTTTGTTTTGAGTTGCGTTCGACATGATGGGATGGAGTGTGTGTGTGTGGGAGAGGTCAATGTGAGTAGGTAGGCACAGGTCGGAGGTCGGAGTCCGCTGGGACTTAGTAAGATCACGATAGGCGATAACGATGATGTAGCCTGGACAACAAACAGGGAAAATATAGGAAGTGCCCAGGTGGGCAGAAATACACGAGTTTTCTATGTAGCACAAAGTATGGAGTACGGAGTGTGTATAAGAGTATGTACGAGAGGGCGCAGCTGTCGTGGAGCAACCGGAGCGGCCGGCGCCAGAGACCATGGGAAAGAGCCTCTACTTTTCCCCTCCTCTTTTTTTCGCCCCTCTCCCTCTCCCTCCCGGTTCTGACTTTCCTTCTTTTGATGCTGTGATGCTCCCGTGTGTGCTCTGACATTCTTCCCAATCCGTCGCCTTCTCTTCTCGGCACCCCGGCACCCCGGACATGAGATAGCCACTTCGGTTTCAACCTTCACGCTCACTATTCCCCGGCTCTCATCATGTTGCGAGTCGGCTCATGGCTTTACGGCAAGAAGCCGGCGCAGTCCGTGGACTCGTCGACCGAACTCAAAGATTGTGAGTATTTTGATATTTTGACGATCTGAGATCGCCCCCAGATTATCCGGAAGAATGCTGACCGCAGCGTCATGCAGTGGTGGAGGCGATGAAAGGTGTGTCGTGAGACCCCATCAGAATAATCAGTCCCTAACAGTCCCCAAGCGGCAACCTTGATTCTGAATGACGATGTGGATGGGGCTGAAAGTGGCCTTGCTACGGGGTCCTCGACATTTCACAATGTAGGTGATCGTCACTATGGGCGATGACGTAGCGTGGGCCGAATGCTGACTTGGGAGTCTTTAGTTAGGCAAAGGCGTGGTGGCATTCGTTCGAGCAACTCTAGGGTTTGAGCAGGAGATTATGCGCCAAGGTAACCGCACTCTTGCACTCGCTAAGCCACACTCAATCTGATGTTCCCGCAGCATCCGAACGCCTGTACGAGGCAGAAAACAGCGCGGCCAGTGACCAAACTCGAGCCCAGCAGCACGCCCAGGCTCCCAATGCTTTCCACTCGGAAATTTATACCGCGGGCGCGGAATACGCATTATGCCAGGCCATCGCACAGTTGATGAGTGCGGTGGTGGGAGTGTTGAACGAAAGCTTGACCGAAAGTATCAAAGCATTCTACAGGCTGAGAAAAGCCTATATTACGCTAGACGCCATTATGAAGATGGAAGAGAAGTTCATGGAACTCAACGATTCGAAAAAGGTGCTGCTGCCCACCGCAAGTGACCTGGCCAACTCGACCGCTGCATGCCCGGACACCAAGTCGGAGACTTCTAGCCTGTCATCCAAAAAGAACGCGAAGGCGGCTCTCGTTGAGCACAACGAGATAAACCATTCGATGAATGACCTGTCTATATATTCGGGCGTGGTATCACCTGCCTCCGCAGGTGCATCCACCCCCAAGCATATTCACCACGACCCCGACTCGGACATCTTCAAGAATGAAATCGATGTCTTCGTCCATTCTGGGGCGAACTTCTGTTTTGGCATTCTTCTTTTGTTGATCTCCATGGTTCCCCCGGCGTTTAGCAAGCTTCTTGCAATCATCGGATTCCACGGGGATAAGCAGCGAGGATTGCGGATGCTTTGGCAAGCTAGCAAGTTCCACAACCTCATTGGCGCCATGGCTGCCCTGGCGTTGCTCGGATACTATAACGGCTTTGTTCGTTACTGCGATATTATGCCTGACCCTACACCCGGCGAGGCCGATGTTGAAGGATACCCGCAGGAGCGGCTGGCAGCCCTGCTGACAGAAATGAGGTCCCGGTTCCCCAACAGTCGGCTCTGGGTACTCGAGGAATCTCGAATGAAGGGCGCGAACAAGAACCTTGAAGGGGCCCTGGAATTACTGTCTTCGGACAACAGGAGTCCTCTCAAGCAGGTCGAAGCGCTTTGTGTTTTTGAGAAGAGTTTGAACGCGCTCTTCTTGCACAAATATGATGTTTGCGCCGAAGCCTTCATCGAGGTAAGTTTTTCACTAGACATTTATGAGCAAGCCTGACTTTCCAAGTGTGTTGATCTCAATTCCTGGTCTCGCTCGTTGTATTACTACATTGCAGGATCCTGTCACGTCGTGCTATACCGTCAGTCTCTTCATGATCCCAAACTTGCAGAGGAACACGCGACCAAGGCTGCGCTTTACATTCGCAAAGCGCCCGGCTTTGCAGGCACGAAGAAGTTCATGGCCCGCCAACTGCCGTTCGACGTGTTCGTCACCCGCAAGATTGCCAAGTGGGAAGCCCGTGCCAAAGCATGGGATGTCCATCTCGTGGATGCGATCGGCGTCGACCCAATCGAAGAGATGATTTTCTTCTGGAATGGCCACAGCCGCATGACAGACCAACAGCTCGAAGAATCTCTCACGCGATTAGCGTGGTGCGAAAGCGACGCCAACAAAACCTGGTCTCGCGAAGGCCATGAAGAAAAAGCGATTCTGGAATTGCTTCGTGCTGCAGTCCTTCGCTCATTGAATCGATTCGAAGAGGCGAAGAAGATCCTCACGACTCGCGTTCTGAATCATGACAAGGCTCTGTTCAAGGGTCATCTCAAGGACGATTGGGTTCACCCTGTCGCACACTTCGAGATGGCTGCGAACTTTTGGATGGAGCGGCCTACTTACCAGGCTTTGCATGGCGAGGCTGAAGAAAGTCCTGCTGGGTCTGATCACATCGAGGTTGAGAGAAAACAGGTCCGCGAGTGTAGGGAATACCTGGAGCACGCGGCCAAGTGGGAGAGCTATGAGCTTGATGCCCGTATTGGACTCAAGGTCACTGCGGCTATGGAGGCTGTGAACAAATGGGAGAGTATACACCCTACGGCCTAGGTTGAATGGTGTGCTTTGTACCATATGCATAGAGTAGATTTTGATGTAGACATTGGACGTTCGGGATTTTTTTTATTATGCATATGTGAGACGGTCATGTGATACGAGAACATAGCCCTGAAATGCACTCTGCGATTGAGTTTGGCTTCAATATTCACTTTCGATCGAGTTGAGGAGAACTCTCTGTTTTACAATCCTCTCCACTTCGGCATCTTGACAACACGGCCGAGATGCAGCCACCGGCCTCTCTCCGATGCCCAGTAGCTAAGGTCCTCCACCTATCCGCTCTCAGCAAACCAGACCCCCAGGGCCGTCCCGCCATGGTCATTGGCGAAGAGCCCTACCATTCCCCACACCGGATAGCACGGCCTCGGCCTCTGAATCGGACCTCCGACGAAAAGCTTGAATAAAAGAACGAGCGTCTCCAGGTTCGAAACCTGGGGGGAAGTGCTCTGACATCCGAGCCATTCCTCTTTCGTCCACTTATCTCCGACGGAAATTTCTTTAACCGTTGGGGGAAATTCTCATTCACATCCTGCAGCTGCGACATTCAATATAAGGCTATTGACCCTAAGCCTTGGGCCAAATACGTCATGGCCGAGCGAACAGAGCATGACTATCACGACACCTCCAGTGATGAGATTGAATCCTACCACAGTGTCGGAGCTCCGTCACTGCGGAAGCAGAGCACCGCTGCATCAGGATTATCGGTATTTGAACAGCGAACTCATTCGGTAGTATCGCGCATTCGAAGCCGAGAGCCTGGGCAAACGGCGAAGTTCAGTCATCCGCTCACGCATACAAAAACGAGTCCTGATGTCATTGTTGATTTTGAAGGGCCGGATGATCCGTATCGGCCTTTGAATTGGAGTTTTCGGAAGAAGGCTATCACGACGGTGTTATATGGGTTGACGACGATGGGTATGTTCATACTTCGATGGGACATGAGCAGCGCTAATTGAACCAGGTGCGACATGGGCAAGTTCAGTGTATGTGCCATACCTCTGTTGCGACGATGCAAACTAATTTCAATAGTTACTCGACAGGCCAGGCGCAGATTAGTGAGGAATTTGGCATTTCAAGCGAAGTTTCCACGCTAGGTACCTCGTTGCTGTTATTCGGTCTTGGTCTTGGCCCATTGATCTGGGCTCCTCTCTCGGAGCTCTATGGGCGCAAGACTGCTGTCCTGCCACCATACTTCTTAGCGGCCATTTTTTCTTTTGGTACTGCGACCGCCAAGGATATCCAGACCATCATGATCACCCGATTCTTTACTGGATTCTTTGGCTCGGCTCCTGTCACCAACACAGGTGGTGTCTTGAGTGATATCTGGACGCCCGAAGAACGCGGCGCTGCTATTGTCGGCTATGCCATGGCCGTGGTAGGAGGACCAGTCCTTGGTCCCATTGCCGGCGGTGCAATCTGTCAAAGCGGACTAGGATGGCGCTGGACTGAATACGTGAGTTTTCAATAAATGCACAAGGCGACTTTGGTCCTGAATTTCACCTAACATCGTCAGATCACCGGTATAATGATGCTTTTCTTCCTCGCGATGGACCTCCTCTTCGTGGACGAGAGCTACCCACCAGTGCTACTAGTCTACAAAGCGCAACGCCTCCGCTTCGAAAGCGGCAATTGGGCTTTACACGCACGACACGAAGAGTGGGACGTCACACTCAAAGAAATCGGAAACAAGTACCTCATCCGTCCTTTCCGGCTTCTCGCAACGCCAATCTGTTTCCTCGTTGCTCTGTATGCCTCTTTCGTCTACGGCATCCTTTACCTCAGTCTAGCAGCATTCCCCATCGTTTTCCAAGAGATCCGAGGCTGGAACCAAGTCGTCGGTGCTCTGCCTTTCCTCGCATACCTCGTCGGTATTCTAATAGGCGCTTGCATCAACCTCGCCAACCAGAAATTCTACATCAAACGCTTCAAAGCGAACAATAATCGCGCCGTGCCCGAAGCCCGTCTCCCACCAATGATGATCGGTTCCGTTCTATTTGCCGGAGGCATGTTCGTCTTCGGCTGGACAAGCCCCAAGCACATCCATTGGATCGCGCCGAATATCGGTGCCGTCATGATGGGATTCGGGTTCTTCACGATCTTCCAAGCGGCATTGAATTATCTGATCGATACATTCCAGAAATACTCTGCCAGTGCTGTTGCGGCGAATACGTTCCTCCGCTCGGTCTTTGCGGGTTGTTTCCCGCTTTTCACGTCGGCCATGTTCCATAACCTGGGTGTTCCTTGGGCTGCGAGTATCTTGGGATTCTTGGCTGTGGCGCTGATTCCTATTCCATACTTGTTTTATAGGTTCGGAAAACGGATTCGAGCACGCGGGACGTGGTCGAAGGATTCGGTTTGATGGTCTCATGGCTGTCTGTGTTTGCTGGATTAGCCCTTCTCTAATTAGAAGCATACCCTGGCTTGTTAGCATGGCCTGTCTCAAAAGGATAATATACATATAACGGATACGGATTATTGAGTAATAATGAAGCTCGAATATTTGATAGAACCTTGGAAGACCCGAGGGCCTCAGCTAGGATAAACCTGGGGCTCGGGAGTCCCTTTCAATCCCAGATTTCATCTCTTCTTCTCTCCTTCTTTATTCTGTCTTCTATAAATCCTGATCTGTGCATGAGACCATTTCTACTCATGGACAACGACCCGTGCACGACCCAGGTTGTATGCCAGGAAATAAGAGCTTCCCATCTCACCAGATCGATGAGAAGCAACTCTGACACTCGGAATGTACACACCAGGTGTTCGGTAGACGTGAGTGGTATTCACAACGACCTTGGCGCTGGGTGATCCAAAGTCCACCGGCACAAAGGTCGCGTTTCCATGCAGATCCCACTCGACGGAGACGATTTTGCCAACATTGCGAGGCACTTCAATCGATGCCTGGAATGTGACCGCAGAGCCAACATGGACATCCGCTCGTGTACCGTTTTGAACTGTCAAGTGCGCAACGGGTTGGATTCCACCACGTTGGGATGCAGACTTCGGCACCTTGACCTGGCTGTTTTCAATCTTGTATGTGGTTTGTGCTGGGGGCTCAATTCCATCTTCAACCCAGGCGCTGAGATCACGCAGGTGTTGCTCGAAAAGTCCGGTAAAGTCAATCAAGCGATACTTCACGGCGTCCTCTACCGGGCCCATTTCATGATCGGCATTATCACTGTAGTAAAGACGGTACTGGTCGTTGAATTTGGCACCGAGAGACTTTTTCACTCGGCTGCGGTACCAGTCTGCTTGCCAGGGGAAAGCTTTGTTGTCCATGAGGGTGTCCATGACGATCATCTTTCCGGTGATGTTTCCAGTGTTTTTACCACCGCCGCTCGCTGCCTCTGCGAATGTTGGGGCGGCAAGGACACTGCGCTGGGGATACCGAGGCTTGCCATTTTCGTCGCGGAGGTAATCGAGGGCATCGTATCCCCCTGTAGTTGGGACTTCATGTCGGTGGAAGGTGTGAAGGGCGAGGTACCATCGGTTATCCACGCGCAACTTGACATCTTTCTCCAGACAGTTAAGCACAGTGCTGTTTTGATCGGTGTAGATCGAGACTTTGCCCGAGTCGGGATCCATATGCCCTGTGAATGCGCCCTTCTTGACTCCACTGCATTCCGACTGAATGGTGAAATCGTACCAGAGGCGACGAGGTGCTGCAGACGGCGATGCATCCAAAGTCAATCCCACGGGGATATTGTCGGAGTCACGATCAACTTGAAGGACGGTGGCGTTGAACTCGATCAAAGACGAACGGAAGAGATCACCGAGTGCAGATTCCTCAGTTCCCAAATATCCAGGCAGATTCCAGAAATCATCGACGTATGTGGGATCAGTAGTCTTCATACCGACTGCCGCAGCCCGAAGAAGCTCATAGACCTGCGATCTATTGCGTGCACTGCCCTCAAAGTCCTCCCACGCCGCCGGAGGCATACCCAAAGCAGTGACTTCTTCCCACACGGCGCGCTGGACAGGGTTCAAGATGTCTCGGGGGTCGATGTTACTTCCTGGACGAACGGCATCCTGGATCTCAGCAGACTTGTTTCCAAAGACGAATCCTCCAAAGGAAGTGATAGAGCATCCAGTGGGATCAGAAATCGGGATTCCCTGAATGAGAGGAACACTACCATCCCAAACCGAGACGGTATTCTCCATGGCTCCAACAGTCTTGAAAGAACCACCACTACCTCCGTAAATGTAACCGTAGATCTTGCGCGACGGGTGTTGGTAGAATTTGTGTGCCAGTTTCCTTGACAGCTTCGCAACTGCTGCATCGGCCCGGTAGCCTCCAGTGCCGGCGACGTGGACTGTGTAGCCGCCGGCTTCGATTCCAAACTCGATTTCACCCCCTGAGGCGACAGCCATCTGTGTTGGGAATACCATTTGGAAGAAACGACCTTTCCAGCCGTTGTAGGGCAGGTAGATGTTGAATTCGGTGCCGGTGCCATTGAGATACCCGGATATCTTCCGGTGCTTCACAGGGGAGGTTTCTTCGGACTGATTGGTGTAGATTGCAGTGTCGTAGATAGGATCGAAACAATCGGGGTTGATTTGCACAGGGCCATTTTTGACATTTGCGGTGCACAGGGATTGATTTTGCTGGGTAGCATTTACTAGAGAGCCAAGGAGCATCACCAGCGTAAACCTAGGGAGATTGTCAGTATTCCGGGCTCATTCAAGATCTATACCATCTTTGCTTGGGAATGCCTACCAGTGGAATGGCCGGGAAAACATAGTTCGCCGCTGGGCCATTGTGAGGTATTTCGTGAATTGCAATGGACTTGATGTAGAGTAGATCATTGAAACCAATCCACGCCTTTTATATCCAAATCCCCCTGATACTTATCTTTAACTTTTCAGTCATCAACCAGTACTCCGTGCAGGCAGACAAGATATTTGCTGCACAAAACAAGGTGGTCCACCTGGGACCTGGGCGTCCTTCCAAATGGGGGAATTGTTTCCCCCGAGTACGATTATTTGAAGATGATCATGGTCCGATCAAAATGCAGCAGATCAATGGGTACAATCTGGACCTCCCCCTGAAGATCCCATGGATTTCCAAGGTTATTCAAACGACCCTCTTCGTTCCAAGGGCCTATCGTTCTGACAAGTCTTCCAATACGAAAGGCTCGTTGGGGACTCATGCCCTTCAGAACTAGATTTGTACTTGGGGAGCTCCGAAGTATGATTCAATCATCTGCAAAGAGGGCACATATGGGTCCAAATTGGCTTGTACCAGGGATTATGCATAGAACCGACGGCTTGAGTTAGTCGCCAGAAATAGAACTAACCCACTACGTCCTTGAAAATAGAACCACCCGGCTCCGCTAGGGAAACATGCCACGGAGTCAATATGTGTGAATACCTGTCTCAACTGATCCAGCAGGTCCTCAAACACTGCCCTTTACCTTGTGAAGGATCACGAATACGCGAGAATTGCCTAAAGGGGTAAGATAGAAGATCAATGGAATACCCGAAGTTTACCCGGTTGCAATCCGAACGCCAACATTTGTACCCATTATGTCGATTTTGGGGACGTGAAATGAGCAGAATTCAAACGCATTTGCTTGAATATTCTGCCGGAGACATTGTTTGGTCGACGAGGATCATGTCGCTAGCTTTCTGCCTTTTCACAGTTGACGGCTCACTCATAGCTCCCAACACTTGATGTCGTTCCAATCCTCCACGGAAAATTCACCGTCTTTTTCTTGAGTCATTTCTAAAACCAGCCTCTAGCTATTTTATTTGATAGCTAGGGTGCGCTTGAGATGTAAGAATATGAATTCCCATATTGATGAGGCATTCTTGACTCGCAGCAAGGGGTGTGAGCCAGGCAGTGAGCCCTCAACTCAAGTTGACTATCCCAGTATAGTTCCAAGGTTGCATCATATCGTGACCATTGAACATAGTACTTCAGTCTTGATGGCGTCTTTGCAACCCGCAGGTTGGGCGCCATTCGGGTAACCTAGCGCTAGCGGGTGATCTTGAGGCGCCCGATTCCAAGGCTGCACCTGGGCAGTGCAGTGCAGATTTGGGTGAGATCGTGGCGTCTTTAGTACTTAACTTAACGGCGACGATGTTGGTTTGATTTTGGACAAAAGATTTGATGTTTTTATGTTCGGATTTGAGCCCCTCCGTCGAGATTTCGACTACCTAGGTAGGTATCCAGGATGAGACTTCGGAATCATCAGTTCATTTATATAATCGATTTGAAACGTCAACACATGATATTTATATGTATGCATCATTCCAAGGTTGCATGCCAATTCAAGCCAACTTAAGACCCGTAAGGTTCTCGCAAGCTTTAACAACCACCTCCTGCTTATCTTCATCGGCTGTATCTGCACGCGCCACAGCGAGCTTCTTCTTGGGCTCGTAGTAGACACCGGTGAGATTTTGATCGTAATCACCTTCAGCCAACATCACATATGTCTCGACACCATCCTCCAGCTTATCGGTACCCCCCGAGCCACCAAGCTTGGTAGCAACGTATCCAGGATGCACCGAAATGACCGAAGTGTCCTTGAAACGCCTTGCGGCCGCATTAGCAAGAAGCATCACGTGAAGCTTCGAATCGCAGTACGCGGGGAATGCTTCAAATTCCTTCTCGCCGCGCTCGAGCCAGAAAATATCCTTCACGTCCGGGCTCGCTTGGTGGTGAAGGGTGGAGGCAATGAAAATTAAACGCTTGGGGTGTTTGAGGAGACAAGCGAGGAGATAAGGTGAGACAACGTTGACGAAGGGCGCGGCGGGTACGCCAAGCTCTGGTGTTTTGCGGAAGGGACCGGCCAGCATTCCGGCGTTGAGAATGACTGCATCGAAGACGCCGATGGCGTTGGCTTCTTCGGCAAGCTTGCGGTTCTCGGCCACGCTGGTCAGGTCTGCGATCAGGACGCCGGCTGCACCGGGGCATTTCGCTTTCACGTCTTCGGCCCGCGCTTCGTTGCGGGCATGGAGATAGACGGTATGTTTACGCTCAATGAGCTGGCGGGCGGCTTCCAGTCCGAAGCCATCTGTAGAGCCTGTGATGAGGATGCGAGCCATTTGTCGTTGAAGTGATTGACTAAAATTGTCAAGTGGGATGGAGAGATTGTTGGAAGTGGAGTTGGTGATATATGCAATTGATTGCTCGAGGCTGACTTAAAAGTCGCCGATCAGGCTACTGGAGATATTAGTGATCAGAACGCTGTGGAAAACGGGCGAAGGACATATCGGACTTAAGATAAAATCGTGAACGTCCGAAGACGCCGAGGGGATGTTCAAGTGGATCCCGAGCCTTGTCTTTGACTCACATCCCCAAGGTTGTATCGAGGCACAGTGCAGTTGATGCCCCAGGTACTGTACACTAGGATGTTATCACTTTACTTCACATCCGTTTTTTGCATCGCGAATCAGAATATTGAAGTCGCATTACCAAGGTTCATAAACTAAGTATATATGTAGAGCTGAGAGGTTGTTACATCCGTTTGATTAAGCTATTTATTGAGAGGGAAATCATTTAAGTGTTTTAATATCAATTGAATTTGGTATAGGTCTTTGTATAAGATGCGAGGTGTAGTGCCTCGGTGAGAAATGACTTGAAGGAGTGATGTGGCGGTCGTGATGCTTGATCACAACGACCGTGTGAGAATGAATTCACACACAAGATGCAGACATGTAAGGAAATATCAATGATTGGCACTCCGTAGCCGGATGATTCCACTCTGTTTGGGTGGAATTGTATGTTCTTCTTTTCTTCTTTCTTCTTTCTTTCTTTGTTTTTTGTTTTTTTGTTGTTGTTTTCGTTTGATGCCTCAGCATGATCATGCCTTGTCAACAAGATTGTTGTTTCGCCGAGTCAGCTTGCGAGCAAGCACCTTCGCCTTATCCCATGTGTTGGCCTTCTTCAGGCGGGGGCGGGCCTCAGGATCAGGCAGCGCGGCACCAGTTGCAACCGTCTCGGCCGGAAGATCTTCCACATGCTTGGCATTGTGGAGCGCCAGAACGGCCATCTGGCCCAGGAAAGAAGGATGCTCGATCAGGTCTTCAAGACGGACCTTGAGACCTTCTTGCTCCAGGAGCCAGGTAAGCTGAGCCAGATTGAAGACGTCACCTCCAAGGTCGAAGAACGACGAGTCCAATTGGAAGGGAGATGGCTGGTTTTGCTTCTCGTCGACGTCAACGGGTGTCGATGGGTTGCGACTGGGGAGAACCTGGTGCCATGAGCGAGAGAGAATGTCCGAGTGGACGAGGAGCTCGGCGATGGAGCGGGATTTGAGGTGAGCGCTGAGGAAGTGTTCATCTGTGGGACGAGGCATGTCGTCGATGGTCTGCGGTGTCAAAGAGCGCAGCATGCTTGCGGAAGGAAGTGGCATGTTCGGGGTGGAAATCAGGGACTTCGCCATCTCACAGGCCATGTCCAGAACCTTTTCGGCGAAGGATGGCATGACGGGGCCCTTCTCGGAGTATCCTAGAATGACAGACAGGCTGTTCTCGCCATCCGGGCGCGACACCATGGTCAGATCTGCCAGGTTGTCGTTCACGCCAACACCACCCATGCGGTACTTGTTGGTGTCGAGTTCAAGAGTGCCCTCGTAGTCCACGTTTTGGTGGAAAACAGAGGTGGTGAAGTAAGTCCAGTCGGGCCATTCGGTACATTGTTTGATGATTTCGCGGAAGCCAAGAGACTCGTAGGGCATGTTCGAGACCTGTTGGTCTTGGAGGTAACGGAAGAGATCGCGTCCAGTCCAGTTCTCATCGAGTCTGACTCGGACGGGGATGACATTGACACAAGGGCCAACGGTGTTATCAATTCCGGGAACGTTGACGTTGCGACCACTGATGGTCAAACCGAAGACAACGTCAGATTTACCGGCCAGCTTGGCGAGGGTCAAGGCCCAGGCTGCTTGCATGACGGTAGCGATGGTGACATTGCCCAGTGCCGCAGGAGGGATCTCGAGCTTGCGGTTGATTTCGGTGTATGCTCCAACATTCTGGAACATGCTGGTGTCATTTCGTCGCACGATCTGGGTCATCTGGGAGCCCTTGAGCAGCTCGGACCAGTGACGGTAGTGGTCTGGACTGATCACACCTGGAAGTTGACGAAGATAGGTGGCGAAGGGAGTGATAGGAGCGAGTGGTGTGCCCTCGTATCCGCTCTTGAGAGCAGCCATGATTCTTGGTAGACACACTCCGTCATACTGAGTGTGCGAAAGGCGGATCAAGATGCGGTGCTGGTCGCTGCCCTTCTTCTTGACAACGTAGAATTGCACATACTGTTCACCCTCACGAGGACCATATTCACGGTCTCTCTGCTGAAGTGTCATCGTGAATTCATCAAGAGCACGATCGGTCTCGTAGACAAAGATGCTAGGGCGGATCTTTCGCAGCACGACCTGGAAGAACTGATCGTGGAAGCAGACAAAGACAGTTCGCAGGATGTCAAATGCATCGACAACCTTCAAGCAACTGGCGCGGAGGCGTCGGAGGTCCAGGGGACCTCTGCCCTCAAGGTAGAAGTAGTTCAGCATCCACCTAGACTTGAACAGGGTTGCTGTGAGCGACATTGCTTGGAAGTCCGTGACAGGGAGAACATCGGCGATGCCACCCTTGAACACTCCAATCTTCGGGCAGATGCCACGTGCGACTGCAGCATCATCAACCCAGGAGGGCTTGAGGACCTCGATGCTTTCGGTGGAGGGGTTTTGAACCAGGTTCGGAGACGAGCCGTGGGAGAACTCGGCCTCCACATCCTTGTGGGACATCTGGAGATCCATGTCCAGCATTTGCTGGGTAACATTGGCGGCCCGAACGGTGCTCAGCATGTCCTCAAACACTGGGTTATTAAACACATCGGCAACGGTAAGGACCAGACCTTCTTCCCGTGCAGCGCTGACCATCTTCATGGCGGTGATACTGTCACCACCAAGCTTGAAGAAGCTCTCTTGGTGTTTCACCACGTTGGGAGAGATACCGAGAGCTGTGCTCCACAGGGTCCACAGCTTTCTTTCCACCTCAGCGGACGTGCCATCCTCACTGGCATCGGAAGTCTCCGAGCAAACACCGGAGTCATCGGCTCCTTGAATTTGGGAGACGTAAGGCGAGCTTGCGGAAGTATCAGTGTTGTTGTAGCTAGACACTGAATCTTCCTGAGCTGGAGGCACTGTTAGTTTTCCTTCTTTCAACATCCGACCAATAATCTCATGAACACGATCATCAATGATCTTCTGAATGGTAGTGCTATCGATTCCCTCTGTCGCAGACTTGACGGACTTGTTTGAAGTGGTATTGGCAAGTGTCGTCTGAGAGTAGTCCCAGCGCATTGGGTCAGCGGGAGCAGGAACATCAAATTTGGATTGTGACAGAGTCGCGGTCGACGACTCAATGAACCCGGTGAAGACTCTCGCAATGGTATCAGACAATGCCTGTGCCTGATCATCAGACACGACATCATTCCAGTATCTCAAAAGGATGCCTTCTTGACCGCGGGCAATTTCAACGTTGACAGTGACCGCGTATTCGCTGGGGTCGTGTGCGTGTTGAAGATCGAAAGACAAGCCCTGTTCTTGAGAGCCTCCGGCGACGGAGTGGTTTTGAATGGACAGGGTGGTATTGAACAAAGACTGTCCTTGCCAGCCAAGCTCATGTTGAATACTTGCCAAAGAGCAGCTCTGGTGGGGAATGCATCGGATGTAATCATCCTGAACTTCCTTGGAAACATCAATCAGAGTCTGTTGGGCGGAGAACTTGACCCGACAACAAAGCATGTTGATGAAAATTCCGACCATGTCTTGGATTCCATTCACAGGGGCATCGCGCCCGGCAGACAGATATCCAAAGCATACATCGTCAGATCCGGTGAACTGGCGGAGCACAATCGCCCAAGCAGACAGAGTCAGGTTGGCGAGGGTGACAGAGCTTTGCTCACAGAACTTGAGAAGCTCGGGGAATCGTTGGAAGTTCATCAGGACGCCCTTCAGCTCGCGCTTCGATTCGAATCCGGCGGAGGGTGCGAGGTGGCAAGGATTGACTCCACCCAGGTATTGCTTCCAGTGACTGAGGGCATCTCCTTGGCTCTGAGTTCTAATGAACTTGATGTACTCGCTGAAGCGTGGACCGGAGCCCTCAGAGAGCTTTTGGTCGTAGGCGAGGGTCAGGTCACGGAGCACAACGTCAACTGAACCACCATCAATGATGGCGTGGTTGATTTCAAGCTTCATAATCACTCTGCCAGAGTTCGTTCTGCAGACTGTCATCTGGTGAGAAAGCTTGGCTTGACGCATGGCGTTCAAGTCTCGGAGCGAGATAGCGGCCAGCTTCTCTTCCAGTTGAGAGTCGAGGCACTCGACCCGATTGAGGTTGCCAGTCAAGGTCTTGAGAACCAGTTGATCGAATGAGCCACCGGTGTAGTTGCTATCAACGAAGATTGTTCTGAGCACGGGATGGCGATCCACAAGAATCTCCCAGGCGCGGGCAAGTCGTTCAGCATCAATCTTGCTAGATCTGGTATCCTTCACTTCGAAAACAGTGTGGAACATGTAGGCGTTGGGGTCACGCAGCTGGCTGAGCAGCAGGCCTTCCTGCATAGGGGAGCAGGGATAGACATCCTCCACTTGGTCTTGGTTCCGGATACCAGCCTTGCGGAAGGTGATGTTCGTAAGCATCTGAAGACCGTGGTAGTTGATGGGGAGCAGAGGATAATCGCTGAGAGTGGGCTCCGGGGTGGCGGTCCTCAGGTTCAGAAGGTCCTTCTCCAAAGTCTGCTTGCACTGGAGGATCCATCGTCGGATCGAGATCTCGTGCTGCATGTTGCGGTTGTATGTGAAAGCGACATTGAGGCGCTCCTTGATCACAATGGCGGAGACTTCGAAGAGCGCAAAGCGGGCAGTTCGAGGACCCATGTCACCGGCAACGGCAAAGTCAGAGCTATCGAAAGCACTGCCGTGGTGACCGAAGAGAGAGTCGGAACGCTCAAGTTGCTGCATCTTGCCAAGGTAGTTGAACAGGACCTCCAATGGGACAGGGAAGTCGGAACCTTCTCCCTGAAGAAGGTTCTTGGCGAAGAAAGGTCTTCCGTTGTCGGCAATCTTGCGGCGTGTGTCCTTGACACGCTTGATGATATCGCTCAGGGCGCCTTTGTATGTCAGGTTTAGATTATTTGAGTAAGATTGGCTTGACTTACGAGCTTCAGAGTCAACCTGCAAGGGTGCCATGGTGGTGAACCAGCCAACAGTTCTTGACAAGTCAATGTTTGCATCCCAAGATTCTCTGCCGTGACCCTCGTTGTAGATTGTGGGGACCTTGCGATCGGTGAAAGTGCGACCGAAGGAATGAATGATAGCAGATAGAAGAATATCGACTATGTCAGTTCGGAAAACGCTGTGACAGCCATCCAGAATGAAGTTGGTTGTGTCTTCGGCCAGAGTGAATGACTCCATCTTGATATCGCCGTAGACATTAGGAGCATCCTGCATACCCCAGTATTCCAAGTTAGGCTTGATGGGTGTGAAGGGCAATGAAATGTTGGCATCGTGTGTCTTAGCGCGTTCCGTCTGCAATGCACACCAGCTTTGGAAAGACAAAGCCTTGTCCATGGACAGAGAACCAGAAACGATAAGTTCTTCGAGATCCTGGAGCACGATGCGCCAAGAAACCATATCAATGCACAAGTGGTGAGCAACCAAGAAGAGAACTTGGCCTCCACTGCCCAGGTTGAACAGGTCGGCGGCAATGATTGGCCCATTGATGGGGTCCAGGCATGTCTGGCTTTCTCCAATCTTCGGCACCATTGCCTTGGCATCATCGACGGAGTGGACGCGGAACCGGAATGATTCGTCAACCTCCTGTGGTGAAGGGTTAGATAAAGAGTCTCGCGTATTTCGATGAGTACATACCGCTGCAGTCTTTTGCTGCCAGATACCACCGGTTGCCGCACTGAAGCGAGCACGCAGCATAGCATGCTGTCCAACGACAGCCTTGATAGCACGTCGAATGACCTCTCCCTCGCACCGGCGTGTGATTCGAACCGTCATGCTTTGGTTGAATCGGGCGTCGCCTTGGTAAGCATTTGAGCTCTGGAAGTACAGCTTCTGCACTGGCGAGAGAGCAAAGCCTTCTCCAGACTTCTCTTCACGTTGGGTAACTGGCGCCTTGGCCTTGGCTGCCTGCGCGAGCTCCTTGACCGAGCGGCTCTGCAAGATATCATGCAAAGTCACCACAAGGCCTTGCTTTCGGGCGCGCGAAATGATTGCCATTCCGGTGATACTGTCACCACCTGTTTGATTATGAGCTAGCTGACCTTCTTCATAGAAGAAAGGGACTTACCGAGGCTGACGAAAGAGCGCTCCACATTGACCTTCTGCAGCGAGATGTTCAACACCTGTGCGATGATCTCACGAATGCTCTTCAAAGACTCATCCTTCTCCTCCTTTTCTTGGGGCTTTTCCTTCTCTTCAGTCTTACCCCGCTTGATGCGATCATAGTCCGCCATGATGCGGTCGTACGACTCGTCATCAATATCTTCCAACCAAGCGGTGATCTTCTTTCTGTCGAGCTTGCCAGAGACCAGCATGGGCAATTTAGTGATCAAAGCCCACGTCTGAGGCACCATGTAGACGGGTAGCTGGTCTTCGAGGCTCTTCTGGACATCCACAAGCTCATTGTATGCATGGCGCTTGAGCTCATCCTCGGCGACAAGCTCACAGGGCTTGTCGGAGATGAGACTATTGTCGGCTGCGACACTGTTCAAAGACATAACAGTGACGAGGCGCTGCTTGAGTGGGCCATTCTTGGGAAGAATGACAACTGCATGCCGGGTGAGGGGGTTCTCCATGAGACGATGTTCGATCTCGCCGAGTTCCATGCGTTGTCCGTGCAGTTTGACCTGGTGATCCTTTCGGCTGATGTACTCAATAGAGCCATCAGGGTTGTAGTAGCAGAGATCACCAGTCTTGTAGATCCTACGGGGTCCAGGGACTGCAGGCTTGAAGTCCTTGATCCAAGCGGGATCATAGGCGAATGCCTCTGCGTTCTTCTCGGGATTCTTGAGGTACTCTCGAGCAAGAGCCGCACCCTCCAGGGCAAGTTCACCGACAGCACCCAGTGGTGTCAGTCGGTCGTGGTTGTCGGGGTCAACAATCCAGGTCAGGGTACTGGGGATACCGTATCCAATGCGCGCAGGGTCACGGCTTGTGGCAACGGCATTGTCAACAACAGCGAAGACACAGGTCTCAGTTGGTCCGTACCCGTTCATCAAGTGAACAGAGTTGGCCCACTTAGTGATGACCTCATTGGACATCTTTTCACCTCCACAAACAAGATGCTTGAGGGAAGGCACTGAAGCCGGCTCAATGATACTGGCAATCGAAGGAGTGAGGAATGTCCAAGTCACGTTCAAACGGCGGATAGCACCGGCAACGTCATTGAGTCGGTCGTCTTCACTTGGCACACAGATAGTACCACCAACCATGAGGATCGCGAGAGTTTCCATAACAGCGGCATCGAAAGTCAGAGACGCGAATTGGAAAACGCGGGAGGTCTCATCCATACGGACCCATGGGGCGAATGACATGATACTGCTCACCACATTCCGGTGCTCAACGATGATACCCTTGGCTCGGCCTGTGCTACCAGAAGTGAATAGCGCATATGCCATGTTGGAAGGTTTGACCTGAGTCCCGGCACGGGAAGCAGCCTTCAAAGAGCCATATGCCTTGACGGTCTCTTTGCTGATGGGAATGACTGTCTTGACAACTCGGCTGTAGCGGCTGGTGTAGTTGGGCGTGCAAAGAATCATGTTTGCGCCGACATCAGCGAGGATCTCCTCGTGTCGTGAAGTGGGGTGGGAGGGATCCAATGGAACGTAGCCACCACCAGCAATCAGAATACTGATCAGTGTGACCATGGCCCAGGCTGATTTGTCCAGGCAGACAGGTACAAACACTTCGGGGCCAACTCCGCGAGAGATGAGGTAGTTGGCGAAACCGGTTGCAAGGTCCCAGAACTCCCTGTAGGTCAAGTTACCATCCCAGGCGCACACGGCCTGGGCATTGGGAGTCTCCTCGCACTTCTCCCGGATGAAGTCCTGCACGCAACGCTCGACCACCAAAGGTGTACGTTCGTTCCAGGTGGCGATTTCTGCTTTGTCCGCAGGGCTGACCAGATCCAAGTCTCCGACCTTGCTGATGCTGGTCTTTGGCATGGAGATCAGTTGACCGAGCACGTGTGCAAATTGCTCCGTCAGACGCTTAGTCTGCCACCCGTTGATGACGAGTTCGTCATGGTGAGCAGTGAAAGCAATATCAGTCTTGGTAATGGCACACTCGACAACGAGCGCATGAGTGAAGAAATCTTCACTTGCAGCTTGTCGGTTGTCGTTGGTCCAGATCTTGCTATCGAGCTCATCACCGGGCTGAATGACGAGAAGGTTGTTGAATTCACAGCCAGACGAGGTGTCTTTATTGATTTGACGAATGCGCTGAAGGCCGTGGTGGAGGTGGGGAATCATCTCAGTGGTGGATTTGTGAATACTCTGCAGGTATTCCAAAGCTGACATGTCGTTGGCCACCTGCACGCGGGTGGGAATGGTGGTCAAAACGGGCCCAGCAATGTCGGCAACACCAGGAAGATCAATGTTTCTACCGGAGAGGGTTTCACCGAAGCAAACATCGCCTGATGAAGTGTGAGTACCAATCACGATGGCCCAAGCAGCACGTATGAGGACTGGCAGTGTAAGATCGACGCTGTTAGCGGCACGAGAAATCTTCATGGTATGGTGCTGTGTGTTTCCGGCACGCATAGCGTCGGGGAGGGCATTCTTGTTGACGGGGAAGGGTGTACTAGACACCCCAGCCAGGTAGGACTTCCAGAAAGCGTCGGACTCATCCATGTCCTTCTTGACAAGGTAGTCAATGAAGAGGCTGTAAGGAGTACCATGGTGCTTCGCTTCAGTGCCGAAATAATTCTCCTCAACCTTGCGGAACACCAAAGGAATGCTCCATCCGTCGTAAAGCGCGTGGTGAACGGACCAAACAAAGTGCACAGGAGATGAAGCACTAGACTGAACGAGGGCGTATCCGGTGAGTGGCGCGCCGTTTTGTTTGGGCAAGTTGGCGAAGTCCATTGGGAGGTCCTCGAATGACTGCGCCTGCACCCAGGGAATGGGAACATCCTTAAGGACGACCTGGGCGAAGTTCATGGCGTCAGTGTGGACAATGCGAGTTCGGAGGATCTCGAGATCAGCAACGGTCTGCTGCCAAGCTTGCTTGAAACGAGCCACATCAACATTATCCGCGAGGCGGAACGATGGTTGAGCCACATAAGCGCCATTGTGTTTGATGGAGAGGGTCAGGAGGCCCTCTTGCACCGCACTGCAAGGGTAAATGTCGGTGATGAGCTCCTTGGAGACCTCGCAGTTATCAGTGATCTCATCAACCAAAGCATCTTGATCGACTCCAGCTGGGATCAAGGAGAATGGCTTAACATCAGCCTTCTTGATCTCAACAGCACCACCGGAAACGTCACAGCTCTTGGCCATGTCGATCAACAGGGGAGATTTGAAAATGCTTGAGACGGTCAATGCAATGCCTTCCGCCTGAGCTGCGCCAACGAGATTCATGGCAGAAAGAGAGTCACCACCAAGGGCAAAGAAGCTATCATCAGCAGTGACAGATCCAGCTCCAAGTCCCAGGGTGCTCTCGACTAAGGCAACAATCTGAGCCTCAAGGGCCGTTCCCAAGGCCTCCTCTTTCTTTTCGGCGGTGTCGAACGTAATGTAGGACTTGAGGGTATCCTTAGACAAGCTTTGAACCATGGCCTTCAATCTGCGTCGGTCAATCTTGCCAGAGGAGGTGAAGGGAAGGTTTCTCAATGGGAAGAATAGGCGAGGCATCATGGTTTGAGGCAGCAAATCAGGCAATGAGCTCTTCAGCTTCTGAACGGCATCCATGTTGGATACAGAGATGGGAAGCAGAAGGGGATCAGCGCCCGCGATGGTGGGAGCGAATTGATCGCTGTTTCCGCCATTGGACTCCGGGTCGTGCACAGTGAAGAATGCAGCGAGACCCTTCGCGATGGTGCGCTCCTCAGGAACGACAACATCGACTGCAACTTGTGAGTTCTCTGGAAGGCAGCGTGTGCATTGGTGCTCGATCTCTTCGACTTCGATACGGACTCCGTTGAACTTGATCTGGGTATCTTTGCGGGAGATGAATGTGATACTGCCATCGATATTGTAGCGAACCAGATCACCAGTGCGGTACATGCGATCATGGCGCTTGAACACGGACTGCAAACCAGGGTGAGTATTCCATGTAGGGTTCTCGAAGAAGGCAGCCTTGGTCTTTTCTTCGTTGCCGAGGTATCCACGGGCGATGTTGCTTCCTTCGATAACCAGCTCACCAACTGCGCCGATCGGCAGCAGGCGGTTGGAGTTATTAGGATCAACAATCCATGTTCTGCAGTTGGGAGCAGTTCCGATGGATGTTGGGTCGTTGTTGACGAAGTTTCCTTCCCAGTCAACCTTCACGCCAACTGTCGCCACAACAGTACCCTCGGACGGTCCGTAGGAGTTAATGACGAATCGATCGTGCCAACGGTCAATGTGATGCGAGGGCATCTTCTCGCCTCCCGTAATGATAGTCTTGAGCGCGGGGACACTCTTTGGCTCCAGTGTGTTGACGATGGCAGGAGGGGTTGCAATGTAGTTGGCGTTCATACGTCGAATAGCGCCGCCCAAGTTGTTCATACGCTCTTCTTCGCTTGGGATACAGACGCAACCGCCGTTGATTAGAGTCATCATGATTTCCAGAATGCTGACATCGAAGGTATAGTTCGAGAACTGCAAAGCGCGAGTGTCGTTATCCATGTGCAGAGCGTCGGACATAGCCAGCGCCGTGGTACTGAGACCAATGTGCTCAATCACAGTCGCCTTAGGCTTTCCTGTAGTACCGGAAGTGAAGATAGAGTAAGCGGCATTGTCAAGGCTGCGTTGGCCGACAGGCAAGGCTAGAGTCGACTCTGGCAGTTGCGAGACAGAAGTTTGGCAAACAGCAAAGGATTGCTTGGAAAGCTTGGACACATTTGCGTGGGCGGATGAGGAGCATAGCACAAGATCAGCGCCGATCTCTTCGATCAGCATCTTCAGTCGCGAATCGGGGTGAGATGGGTCAATCGACACGAAGGCACCGCCGGCCTTCAGAACCGCAAGCTGGGCGACGATAGCCCAGGCGGATTTCTCGAAGCAAAGAACGACGAATACTTCAGGTCTGACGCCGAGGCTTGACAGATGGCGAGCAAGGCGACTAGAGGCGAGTTCTAGTTGACCATATGTGAAATTCTTATCCCACGAGCAGATGGCTTCGGTCCGCGGGTGGAGTAGTGCCTGTTGCTGAATGAGCTCGTCGGCGAATTTCTCTACTCTGGGGGGCGATCCAGCGTTCCAATCTCTGAGTTGGCGCACGGAACGCTCAGGAAGAAGTTCGAGGTCACCAACTGTTCGTTGGCTAACATTATTGACAATCAGGTCGTCCAAAACTTGACCGAACATGTCAATGAGATGATCCGCGTGAGAAGTGGGGAGGATTCCTGCGGCGAAGTTGAATTGAATCTCTGCTTGAGAATGCGAAACCTCGGCTTCGACAGAAATGTCGTAGATAGAAGAAGCGCGTGACTCAGAGACACCTCCCTTGAGGGCTGAGGACGCAGTGCGATAGGTCAAAGAGGTGTTAAACAGAACAGTATCGTCAAGTCCAAGTTGATGCTTGACGGCGTCCAAAGCTGCCGTATTCGCGGCACTACCCTCGAAGTTGTGCTTCGCCTTCTGAAGAGTTTCCTGCAAATTGTGTTCACCCTGGATCAGGAATCTGCAAGCTGAGACCTGGGGAACTTCCAAATCGCTCTGCTTGGATCCTGAACTGGAATACCCAAAGCAGACATCGTCCGCGCCGATGTACCATCTCAGGACAAGAGCCCAAGCAAATTGGAAGAGAGTCTCAGTTGGCAAGCCAGAGAGTTTGCTGAAAGCGTGGATTTTCGCGGTGGCTTTGTTGAGCGTGCGGGTCTCTCGGCCGCTTTCCACTGCCTCGTGGGTGAGAGCAGGGAAAACGCATGCCTCAACGCCCGCGAGATATTCCTTCCAGAAAGCAACACTAGCTTGCGGGAGAGCGGCATAACGCGAGAGGCGGTTGGCGGTCTTGGATCCGTTCCAGCTCTTGATGTTATAGGATTCGAAGGCACTGCTTGAAAGGTTCTGTGCTGCTGTGGTCAATCCATTACGGTTAAGTTTACCAGCAAAGGTGAGGGGAAGGGAGGAGATGGGGATATAATAACTCGGGACCTTGATTCCAGGAAGACTGACACTCAATTGGCTGTACAGGTTGCAGATCGAGGATTTCAGTTCTGGGGTAGGGGGCTGCACAACAGGCTCGTCCAAGGTAGTCGAGACAGCATCCGCAGCCACATAAAAGGCGACTAGGTACTGGGTCTGGGTACCATCGACTTGCAACTGGACCTTCTGAACAAAGCATCTGTTCTGGGCATCCAGGGAAGTGTCAATGCGCTCCTGGGTCTGGAAGAAGTCGGCAGCAAGACCGGATTCCGTCTCTCTGGCTTTGCGACCCGCGAAGGTAAGTGATCCATCAGAGTTATAGCGGACAAGGTCTCCGGTCTTGACTAGACGAGTTTGGACATCACCACGGTAGGACAGCCATGAGGGGTTCTCGAAGAAAGCATTGCTCTCCGCCACCTTGTTGTACAAGTAGCCGCGAGCGACGATGGGACCCTCGATAGCAAGTTCGCCAACACTGCCGATGGGAGCCAGACAGTCGTGGTTTGCAGGATCAATGACCCAGGAAGTGCAGGATGAGCTCTTTCCTACGGAGCCGGTTTGGGTTTGTCCTTCGAGGCAGAACGAGTGGAAGCAAGCGGATGAGATCTCGCTTGTGCCATACAGAACTTGCAGTTGAAGGTCATCGGTCTGCCAACGGTCAAGGATGCTTTGAGTAACGACTTCACCGCCAAGGGCAAGAGCTCGCAGTCCAGGGACATCCTTGGGCATGAAGAAGCTGGCCGCAGTGGGTGTGATGCTCGCCACATTGGCGTGAAGCGCATTGATGGAAGCTGCCAAGCTGGTCGGTTCGACATCAGCAGGAATACAAACACAACCTCCCCACATGAAAGTGCCGAAGGTCTCCTGAAGGAAAGAGTCGGATGTGTGAGTTGCAAACTGCAGTGTTCTGGAGACGTCCGCGACCGCCATGGTGGTTGCAAACGCTTCAGCTCGAGTAATAACGGTCGAGTGATCCAAGACCACTGTCTTGGGCGGGCCAGAAGTACCGGCAGTCATGGCAACATATGCGATATCGGATGGGGTTGCAACAGGCTTGAAGGTCTCATCGGACAAATACTCGAGAAGAGACTCGCTGACTGGAATGACGTATGGAACGGTGTCCTCCAAGAGTTGTGCCTTTTCCGGGGAGGAAAGGGCAACTTGAACAGCATTGTCGACAATCCATTTCACAACCAGTGTCCTGCTTTGTTCATCAACTGGGATACACCCACCGCCAGCTTTCATGACTGCGACGATGGAGACCATGTTCCACACTGACTTCTCAAAGCAAACTGGAATCAGAGTGCCTGAGCCGACACCAAATGTGGTCAGGTAGCTAGCAAGGCGAGAAGAGTACTGGTCCAGCTTGGCATATGTGAGGCTTCCGTCCCAGGCAGTGATTGCCAGAGATTCGGGGTGCTTCTTGGCCATCTCCTGAACGACCTGGTGGGCGCACTTCTCGAAGGCTTGGGGGCTCTTGTTGTTCCAGGTCTTGATCTGTGCGAGATTCTCCTCCCCGAGGTTGTCCAGCTGGCGGAGCTCGTCGTCAATGTGGGAGGTGATGTTCTCGAGGCAACGCAGATAGGTGTTTGCGACATTGGCAGCCTGGCTATCTGAAAGAGTCGTAGTCCAGTAGTTCAGATCGATATGGGCTTTCGTGTCTTCAGACTCGATATTCATGAAAACCGGGAACTCAGCGGGGTCATGAATCGTTCCAACTTCGGCGCACTCAATCTCGCTGTTGACAGCATCCTTTGAGCCAGGAAGTCGACGGTAAGAAACACCGGAGTTGAAGAGGTTGCTATCGGACATCTTCAAGGCATGTTGGATATCGATGAGCGAGGTGTGGCGGTGAGGCAAACTCTCCAGGTAATCATTCTGCACTTGGTGCAAGATTTCACTGAGCTTTGAATCACCAGACATCTTCATCCGACAAACCAACAAGTTGATTACCGGACCAATGACCCATCGGATGTTGTCGACTGGTAGATCGCGAAGGGATGCCATGTAACTGAATGAAACATCGTCAGTGCCACAGAAAGCGCGAAGGGTGAGACCCCAAGCAGCATTGAAAACATTGGCCAATGTAATTCCACGCTGCTCGCAGACTGTTTGAAGCTGGCTCAACCCATTGAAGCGGACTGGGATTGACTTGAGGGCCTTGCCAGGTTGCTCTCCATCGGTGAGTACGGGGAACAAGCACGGTTTGGCGCCATTCAAGTACGAGTACCAGTAGTTGATGCTGATGTCTCGGGGTGCGTCTTGCAGGTACTTCATGTAGTCCTTGAACAATGGTTGCGGGTTCTCTTCCAGTCGCCCGGCATATGCCAATTGAATATCACGAAGAATAATCGAAATTGAATTTCCATCCATCGCGGCGTGACTCATTTCGATGCGAGCAAAGAGTCTTCCAGATGGTGTCTGGCAGACGGTGAAGCGGTACGCAGGTGTGACATCAGCGTAGTCCTTGGGCTCCTGTTTATCAAAAGTAGCCAGGACATCATCATCACTTGAAGAGTGCAGCATCACAGGGGCAGTATCGCAGCGCTTCAGCACGACCTGGCAGAAGGGGTCCCGGGGAGTGAGATTCTCGACAAAAATGGTGCGGAACATGGCATGGTGAGAAACGACTTGCTGCCAGGCAATCAACAATCTGTCGAGGTTAGGCTTGCTTGCAGCCGTGGCGCGAATTTCAAACGTATCATGGACGGCATAGTATGAGCTATCCCGCTTGCGACCCAGCAGGATACCCTGTTGCATCCGGGAACAGGGATACATGTCCTCGATTTGATCGGCAGACTCGATGCCCATGGCTGGCAGCTTCTCATTGAGCACCTTATCCAAGATCGGGTAGGTCAATGAAAGCATGGGGAAAGAGCTCAGGGTCAGTCGGGGAGATAGAGCAGGGAGCTGCTCAGATAGTGATACAAGCAGCTCCTGGCAGTTGGAAACCCATTGGTGAATGCGACTTTGGTGTTTCATGAACTTGTTGAAGGAGAAGTTGAATCTGATCTTTCCACCAACGACCATGGCCGAGATCTCAAACAATCCAAATCGAGGAGTGTCGCGTCCAAAATCGGCGGCACCACCTCCTTGACCAGCTTCACCGGCCATCGCGTCAACAAGCTGGAATAAGCCATCAGTCCGCTGGAGGTCGCGGTGCTGTCCAACGTAGTTGAACGACATCTCGAAGGGGTGATGGTGATCCGGTCCTTGGCGACCTTCGGCGGGCAGGACCCGGTTAGTAAAGTCAGCGCGACCATTATCAGTAACCTTGCGGCGGAGATCCTTGACCTGAATCAGAGTATCAATCGGACTGTCTGCGTTGTATTCGGAGAGGAAGATGGGATGAACGATGGTGAACCAGCCGACTGTATGAGAGATGTCGAGTGAGGAGTCCCACACCTCACGTCCGTGTCCTTCGTTGAACATAGTTGGCAAAGCGCGATCGGGGAATGATCGACCGAAAGAGTGGAGCATCGCCGCGAGGAACAGGTCAATCGGCTCCGTGCCAAGCGCCTTATGACATTCCAACAAAATGGAATTCGTGTGTGCAGGATCAATCTCGAAGGATGCACAATCAACGTCACCATAGGTTGTTGTCTTGTTTTCGAGACCCCAGTAGGCAAAGTCCGGAGCAGGGATAATGTCTTTAGAAACCTTCTGCTCGGCACGCATAGTCTGACAGTGCTCCTCTTGCAGGCGACACCAGTTCTGGAAAGGAAGTGAGCCGTCATTGCTGGCCGACTTTTCGGGATTCAGAATGAATTCTTCCAGGTCTTCCAGGATGATACGCCATGAGACAATGTCAACAACCAGGTGGTGGGCGGTCATGGACAGGATGTCGGGCTGACCCTCCATGGTGAAGTAATCAACGGCTAGCATTGGACCAGAGAAGCAATTGATGGACGCTTGGCTCTCAGCAATATATGAGTTGGCCTCGTCCATAGTCTCAACATTGTGCAGACACCATCGGTAAGAGCCCTTGATGTCGCGAGTAATGTACTGGCTCGAGGCAGTCGCTGACCCAGTATCAGTGAAGCGAGCACGGAGCATGGAATGGCGAGAGATCAAAGTCTCAACAGCCTTGCGAAGCGCTTCTTCTCCGATAGGCCTGTTGAGGCGAGTGAGAATACCCTGGTTGAAATGACCCTGGCCTTCCTTGCGGACACCGAAGTGAAGCACCTGAATGGGCGAAAGGTTGAATGGCTTGTCAACAACTTCTTCATAGGTGGTGAGGTGGTCGATGGTCTTCGCACGGGTGGCAAGCTCACGGATAGACTTGCTACGCAGCATTTCCTGTACTGAAAGAGCGAACCCGCGCTTCTTGCAGAGGCCGATGCATGTCATGGCTGCGATGGAATCTCCTCCGAGAGCCAAGAAGCTCTCATTAAGGTTGAGTTGGTTCTGGGGAATATTGAGGACACGGCTGTAAACCGCGGCTAGTGCTTCCTCTCGCTCGTTGGCGGGTTGAGTGGCCTCCGCGTCAATAACCAAGGCGGAAGCACCGTTCAGCATATCAGGATCGCTTTCCATACCGGCAACCCAAGTGGAAATTCCCTTGCGATCGAGTTTCCCCGATGGCAATAGTGGCAAAGCTTCGACGCAAAGCCAAACGGCCGGGACCATGTACGTGGGAAGACGTGCGGATAAGCGCTCTCGCACACCGGGGACTAGCTCGGCCTTTTTCGAGGCAGGAATTAGTCCTAGAGGCTCTGCGTCCGAATCAGACTGCTCGGCAAGCAAGCCAGTGGAGGAGAGAACGGCCGCCAGACGACCCTTGGAGAAACCGGACTTGGGGAAGAGGACGGAACAATGGGTGACTTGAGGGTCCTTGCTCAGCTGGTTCTCAATCTCGCCCAATTCGATGCGTTGACCATGCACTTTGACCTGGGTATCTTTGCGACCAATGTAATTCAAAGCGCCGGTTTCTGCGTTGTATCGAACCAAATCACCGGTCTTGTAGAGTCTTCGATTAGGAGTGTTGTTTGGGTCAAGTTGAGTCCAGGCCGGGTCGTAGATGAAGGATTCATTAGTCTTTTGCGGGTTGTTCACGTAGCACCGAGCCAGGCCAGGGCCTTCCACAAGTAGTTCTCCAGGGCACCCCACAGGGACCAACTCGTCATGATTCTCCGGGTTCACAAGCCAAGCCCTGACACCGACCGGGAGGCCGATATCTTTGCAATCGGTGTCTGGTGTGACATGAGAGTTCAACACACACGCCACACTTGCCTCGGTAGGCCCATATCCGTTCACCAATTGAATTCTGGACCAAGTGGCCAGTTGGGACTGCGACATTGCCTCGCCCGCGAGAATCAAAGTTTCCAGACCCGGCACACTGTCGATATCAATGAAGCCGATAAAAGATGGCGTAAAGGTTGCTTGGGTGACTCGCATTTCATTGATCGGGGTGACAATGTCATTGAGGCGAGACTCCTCGCTAGGAACGACGACGCAAGCGCCGTGGATGAGCGGCGTCAGAATTTCAGCCAGGCTCGCATCGAATGTGTGTGCAGCGAAATTGAGCACGCGTGATTCGCGGAAGATATGCAGTCTGGGACCATGCACCATCGCACTGGACAGGAACGCACGATGCTCCAGCAAAGTTCCCTATGACCAGTCAGTAACTTAGAACCCCCCTTGTACGACACTGCTCTTACCTTGGGTTCGCCAGTCGATCCGGAAGTAAACAGAACGTAAGCTGCATTTTGACTGGTGACACCGGATGCAAGATCAACACTATCCGCCGCATCGGACAGGGAGTCCAGGGTCTCCGCGGAAAGGGGTATTAAGGTCTTGACGATCGGTCGTAATTTCTCAGCATGATTCGCAGAACAGAGGACAACCGAAGCGTCGAGCGATTCAACGAGACCCTTCAGTCGTGACGTGGGGTGAGTTGGGTCGAGAGGAGAAAACGCTCCCCCGGCTTTCATAACGCCAAGCATCGCAACAATGTTCCATTTCTGTCCTGCATCAGCACTTGATATCTTTCAATATCAACAACAACTCACCGATTTCTCGAAACACAAAGCCACGCGGATTTCCGGGCCGACGCCCTGCATGCGCAGGTGACACGCAAGCTTCGAGGCATGGCGATCCAACTCGCCAAAGGTCAAACTGCCATCCCATGCGCAAACGGCCTCACGGTCTGGCCCGCTGAGCATCTGGTCGTGGATAGCCTCATGGATGCAGCGGTCATAAAGATGGGGAATGGTGGCATTCCACTTGCAGATGCGCTCCCAATCATTCTCTGTGAACAAATTAAGCTGGCTAATAGCGGTGTTCTCAGCAGAGAGGATTTTGGCAAGGAACTGCTCAAAAATGTTGCCCACGCTCTTCATTTGGTCCTCGGACATGTCGCCTTCGCGCCATTCAAGGAAGATACTGATGTCTCCACGCAGCACCTGAACATGAAGACGGACTTGGCACTGTCAAACTGTTAGCGCGCAATGCAACGGTTCCAATCGCGACGTGACCTACCTCGTCCGGGAGCGCTGCCGTCGCGGGCGTGGAATCGGCAACTGAATCATATGTACACAGCGTCACAACCGTATTGAAAGGAAGATGCCCCTCGGATGTCTCCGAGAGTCCAAGTCGTGTTTCCGGTGCAGTTGCGCGCACCTTATCTACAATGGCCGTAAGAGAGTCGTTGTCGCTGATTGAAACGCGGATTGTCGAAATGTCGCCACTTGAGCGCTGTGCAGATTGCGGGCATGAGTCCGCGAGAAGTTGGTAACCAAAGGAGATATCCTCGGTTCGGATATAGTAGTGCAAAACGAGAGCCCATGTCGCTCGTATGATGGAGTCCAAACGGCCTTCGGTGCATGCGGTTGATAACTGCGCATTTTGCGAGGCTATTGGTTTCGTTTTTATCGAAGTTGGGCGTTTGAGACCATCGACCGCAGAGGCGAATCGCGGAAGATAGCACTGAGTGGATTGAGCCATGGCATCTACAGGCTGCAATTCGGAGTCGTGTCGTGTCGTGATATGCAGGATTAGGGAGTGTATAGGGTCTCCAGAGCTATGGATGAACGACAGAATTGATCCAGAGGTTATTCAATGGAGAAGACCCGCGAAAGACTCGGTTATTTCTTTAAAAAAATGTACAGCTATGTTAAAAAAAATTAAATTCTAAAAAAAAAAAATCCCCTACGGAGTACTGTTATTACCACTAATTTTCGGCGGACTAAGAGTGCATAGACCAGGCTCGCATAGGGTTGCCGGAACCCATTGCAGACAATGGCAAATCCCCTATCTTCCTTGCATCTAAAGGGGAAGAGAATTGTGGAGCAGGTATTAGCCCCTGTGGAACCAACTCAGACAGTATTTTCCAAGGTTAGTATTTTGGACGTCTAATTTCCCGATTTACTTTCGATTTTCCTTAGTGCCAACCCTTGAGGGCTGCCATTCAGAAATTTCACCATGCAGGGATATGATGGCTCTAGACTGTGAGAATTATTTTCGACAGTCTGCAGTTGCCCGATGAAAAGCCCCTACGGAGTGCAGTCCCAAACGTGGTATAATCTGTCAAGAGGCGCTCGATGAAGTTGCCATAGATGCTATTTTTGTCGAGTATTTGTTTGCGTTTTTCCTTTTTCCCTTTCTTAATTGGGAAAATATTTTTTTTTGTCCATTTTTGATCCATTTCTGTCAGTCTGTGTTTTCAAAGGCCGCGATTCCCGTGCTGACGCCGCTGATGGTGCTGACTCTGTCTAGAAGGCACCTGGTAGGTCTGGAGAAAGAGTGCCGTCGCCGGGAAATGCCCTCACCTCGTGCGGAGGCGGGCTTGGACTGCCCTGGTGCATTAACAGTGCAGGTATACGAGCCCCGAGGGGCGAGGTCGTGAGATCAACATCCGTTACACCGACTCGACACATGGCGTCCCCAGATTCTCTGCTGGACGCTCTGGGGCTCTCGGACGTTGCATGCTCTAAGGATGCACCTCTCCAGCAAGGTTCGATCAGGTAGTACGAGGTTCACGGGATCCGCGTAGTTCAGGCACCGGGAGTTTGGTGTTACAGTAAATACCTAGGTATGGGTTCATGTGCACATCCAGTGCTGTCGACGCATGACCCCGAGAGTGTAACCCCGAGAGTGTAGTGTACACTTGCGGGGAGAGCTTCCGAGATCAGATTCCTAACTTCATCAGATCTGATCGAGATTAGTAAACTCGAAAGTCGAATCGGGGGAACCTTTCGGCTAAAGTGGGACTTAATTGGGTCCGGCGGAAGTGAGCCGGAACTTGCTGTTAGGCCTGTTCTGTCACATTAGCTCAGGTACATGAGAGCTCGGATCCATGGCTGATTCTGGGCTAGAGATGTGGGAAATCCGCCACTGGCTTCTGCAAGGGTCTTCAAGGGGGCGGGCATAGCCGAATTTCGGCGTCCGGGCGACCTGTCGACTTGGCGTTAATATATTTTGGTGGATAGTGGCATATAGCGTGCACAGGTCTCATAGCTTGTTCCATAGCATATCAATAGGCAACCTTGGAACGGAAATTCTCCTGGCTCGTGGACGGATACGGAGTACGGAGTACGGAGTAGAGGCATTCCGCAATACGAAATATTTTTCATCGGGTCCACAAGGTGGACTCGAGGTCGAGTGCTGCAACTCTTAGTGGCATTGAGTCCCATGGATGACTTGTGCTTGGGGGCCAGTCGCCTCCTGGCCCGTCATTTGTGGGTTAACTTTAGGATTTCCTTATTGTGATTCTTGCCGGCTTTTCCTGCGCTGCTTCCAAGGTTGAGTGGAGATATATCTCGCTCTCGTATAAGCAGAAGCCTGATCTGGAACGTACCTTTGTCATTCGCGCCGTGATGTCAGGTGAGACACTAAGACATATATGCACTTCACAACATAAGTCCATTGTGTACTCCGTACTCCGTACGGATGACGACCAAGAAGTAAAACCTTGCGAGGCCAGTCCCACTGCCGAATGTGACCGGAGACTACCATGTACAAAAACAGGGAGCTAACCGAGATCCACTGCAAAGTGACCAAAGACGACGGGTAAATCGCGAAGATCGACAGCGTGGCTGTGGGGGCTTACGAGGGCTGGCGGTCCGGCGGCCACTCAAGTGGCTGGCTACGGAACACCGAACGGCGCTAATGTGCACTTACTGGGACACCAAGATAGATCCCGCGATGGGTCGATTGCGTGTGAGCACTACGACGAGAACAGCAAGAGTGATGCGAAAATCTCGTTGATCCACGTTGATATGTCATTTTGGAATGTTCTCTTGCACATCTCTGAACTCAATTGACCGATGACATATGTAGCTCGCTTAGAGTACTAGTACTCCGTACTATAGACGCGACTTCTGGTATACTACAACCTCGATGACCTGGAAACCTGGGAGATATCAAGTTTTCCGCATGGCTTGGGCCTGAGTGGGTTTACGCAGAAATTGCCACCCATGCTTCCGCATGTAAGACAGGAACACCCCTGTCACTCTAGAACCTCGCGTCAGGCGCCAACACCTGTAGGTACAAATCCCGTTTTATGCAGATTGGCCAGCGCTCGCCACGAGCATCAGGTCTTGGTACGGGAAGATACGCTGGCCAGCTGGGATTGAAATTTTTGACATGCCGAAGACCGCCGATCGAAGACCGAAGGCGTTCTAAGCGGAGTAATTTTTAGTAGCAAGAAGCAAACAAACGTACGGGCAAAATTCGACGATTGGCCTACAATAGAAGCAGCACCCTGGTCCTGGTAAACAAATGTACTGAAGGAAAAAAGAAAAAGTAGAACTGAAGACCAACATTGGCCAGGGAAGTGGAGCCGGTGGAGTCAGCAAAGATCGAAGTCCGTGAAGTTCCTGGAAGGCTGCTTCTGCGCAACTCATACGCACTGGTACTGTCTGAGTGCTGCAGTACGGAGTACAGTACTATAGAGTGTGAACATTGTCTTTGTTCTTTTCAGCGAGCAGCATGCCTCACCGACTCGTTTGGGAAAACCTCGTGTTCGAGTGCCGGGGTAAAAAGCCATGCGGTCAATGACGCCTCAACGCCGAAGTTTAACAAAACAGGAAAAGTCCAACGAATTCCAGGTTATGAAAAACCTACAATGGTCCGGGATCACCAGAATAGGCTGATCTCCCGTATGTACTGTAGAGAAAGAGGCGTTCAGCCCTCGCATCATGCTGTCAGTTTACCAGGGACACGGGACTTGGCCGACAGGAAAAGTGGATTTGAAAAACGCCATTGGTCTAATTGAGAAGTGTCCAGCAGACAGTAGTGAATTGTTCCTGCAAGGCAGCACATCTCCCTCGTGTTGTTTGAATCGACTCCCCAAGGACAATATTGAGTTTTGAAACTCCAGGGGAAACAGATCTAGTGACCCCCCACATCCCCAAGGGGCAAATTATATACGATTCCCTCGAGCCTTAAATGATGATGTCCATGGGATCCATCCGCATATCTTGGTACGTCAAGTGGAGTCATCAAATCAGAACCGAAGCCTAAGCCGCTAAAACATCGATGGAGACCTATGGGGGGCATATACCGAGAAATAGCGAGAAAAAAACAGAATTTTCCCTAGGCGCAGCCGGATGGGTCTCCATACACTCCCCGTTCGGAATCCGAGTCTAGATGAGCTGAGAAGCCATTGTCAGAATTGGCATTGTACGACAACTGCATTCAGTGTTGTAGAGCGAGTGCCGGGAGCCAGTAGGATAGGCAGGTCTCAGGTAGTTCTCCTAGATCTGGTCATTTCCGGTGCAGAGGGATACGTGCCTGTCTGGGCCCTATGCATTGCCTATTATGATTATTTTAGTCAATACCGATGTTCCAACGTTACGTTCAGATGTATCTAATCTGGGCCAAAAGCCCAAAGTTCCCCCTAATGCATGTCTGTTCTGCTCATACACTCTTTCCAGTCCCAATCCCCGTCACTCTTTTAAGGCCCTCTTCTCTTTAACCAGCCATTGCCGCCTGCTGGTTCGAGATTAGACATGGCATCCACTCGCTACACAGGCCCTTCGTGCCGTGATCTGGACAATACCCTGCGTATTGATGCTGGATCATGCCGCGGAGGTTTCGACTTCTCTCTTTTGTTCGAGGAATCAATCCTCCAGATCTTACCTATTGCTTTAATGCTAATTGTTATTCCTTTCCGTCTCTGGCAACTTTCACACACTCGGGACAAAGTTACCAGATCATTACTGATCTTCCTCAAGCTTGTAAGTCGATCTTTCTCTCTTCGACTCAACGCGCATGAGCCCCACCGCTGTCAGGCGCATAACGCATCAAAGATCTACATTTCTAACGGTTGTGATACTTCGTCTTTAGGTGGCTTGGGTAGCTTTGTTTGTGCTTCAAATCGTCCAGGCAGTCTTATGGGCCAGGCCGGCAGCCGATAGGACCGATGCTTCGGTCCCGGCCAATGCACTTCTGACTGTCGGCGTGTTTGCCTTGGGCTTGCTTTCTTATGCAGAGCACATGCGCTCCGTGAAGCCATCTTTTATCTTAAATACCTACCTCTTCTGCAGCCTGCTGTTCGATATTGCCCGGTCCAGAACGTTATGGCTCCGCAGTGAAGACTCGTACAACACCACTATTGCTATCATCACCACCGTCGCTGTCGGCGTCAAGGCACTACTGTTCCTGTTGGAGGCAATCGAAAAGAAACATGTGCTCAAGCCAGAGTACGCTGGCTACCCGCCAGAGGCGACAGCAGGTTTCTACAACCGCGCTATGTTCTGGTGGTTGAACCCGCTTTTCAAAGTCGGCTTCAAGGGAGCCCTTCGCGTTGAAGACTTGTTCCAGTTGGACAAGGAACTGAGCTCCGAGCGCCTGCTAACTCGCTTCTCGGCGAAGTGGGAAAAAAGTAATTCGCTCCCGTACCCTTCTTGTCCTCACATTGCTAACTCTAGCAGTTACCACGAAAGCCCCAAACACCTTGCAGTGGGAGGCTATGAAGGCCGCCAGATGGCCATTGCTCGCCGGTGTCCCCGCCAGAGCCTGTGTCGTGGCTTTCAACTTCTGCCAGCCTTTGCTTCTTGAAAGATCCCTGTCTTTCTTCAACTCGGAGGTCAACCCCGCCACCACCAATATCGGATACGGTCTCATTGGTGCCTACATCATGGTCTATGTCGGTCTCGCCATCTCCATGAGTCAATATCAACACTTGACCTACCGTGGAATTACCTTGGTGCGCGGTGTCCTCATCACAATGCTGTACAAGAAGGCCACCTGCCTCACCCTCGTCGACAACGATCCCGCCAACTCTCTGACTCTCATGAGTGCCGACGTCGAGCGCATTACTCAAGGATGGTCCACCCTGCATGAGATCTGGGCAAACTCTGTGGAGATCGCTCTCGCCATCTATCTTTTGGAGAAGCAGCTTGGGATCTCCTGCGTCGTACCTGTCTGTGTCGCGCTTTTCGCGCTCGTCGGCTCATTGGTCTGCATGTCATTCGTTGTTGCCCGTCAAGCCAAGTGGCTGGAGGCTATTGAGAAGCGCATCTCCTCTACCTCCGGGATGCTCGGTTCGATCAAGGGAGCTAAGATGCTCGGTCTGCAGAACTCGTTCATGAAACTCGTGCACGGCCTTCGACTTGACGAGTTGGACATCTCCAAGAAGTTCCGTACCCTCCTCGTTTACAACATGGCACTGGGCTGGTTGACCCGCATCTTTGCCCCTATCATCACATTCGGTGTCTATGTTGGCATTTCCAGCCAGCCTTTGAACGTCTCTCGTGTGTTCACATCTTTGTCACTCTTCTCCCTCCTCGCAGACCCACTCCTGACCCTGGTGATGGCTTTGATGTCCTTTGCTGGTGCGGTTGGATCTTTCCAGCGCATTCAAGAGTTCCTGGACAAGAAAGATCACTCCGATGGAAGACACCACGGCAATGGGAGACTTCACTCCACTGGAAAACTCACCCCCACTGAGACCCTCAGTCCCTCTCAGACTTTGACCATGGATGACATCAGTGAAAAACGTCTCACTCCCAAGACCATTGATTTCGACCTGGTTTCTAACATCTCCGACTCCGTTGAATCCCTCAAGCGTCCCATCACGGCACTGTCGTCTAATGCTATGACGATTCAGAATGGCAGCTTTGGCTGGGAGGCTGACAAGGAGCCAATTCTCAAGGACATCGACTTGAATGTTGCTACTGGCAGCTTCACCATGCTTATTGGACCTTCCGGTTGTGGAAAGTCAACTTTGCTGAAGGCGCTTCTTGGTGAACTTCCTTCCGTGAATGGCAAAGTGGAGCTATCATCTTCCAGTGTCGCATACTGTGACCAGACCCCATGGCACATGAACGGCACGATCAAGGACAGCATCGTTGCCATGTCCGATTATGATGCCACATGGTACACTTCAGTCATCCAGGCCTGCGCTTTGGAAGAAGATCTTGCACAATTCCCCCGGGGTGATCGTGCCGTTATCGGAAGCAAAGGTGTCGCCCTCAGTGGAGGTCAGAGCCAACGTATCGCACTCGCCCGCGCAGTCTACGCTCGCCGAAAGATCATCATTCTCGATGATGCCCTTAGCGGATTGGATGCAACTACCGAGAACCACATCTTCCACAGCCTGTTCGGACATATGGGACTCCTCCGTGAATTTGGAACTTCCGTCATTGTTGCCTCTTCCTCTGTCAAGCGTCTGCCTTACTCCGATCACATTGTTGTCTTGGACACTGATGGCCGCATCTCGGAGCAGGGAAGCTTCTCTGCGCTGAACAAGACTGGTGGATATGTTTCAAGCTTTGGACTCGGTTCTCCTGACTGGAAGTCTGCACACAAGGGTCATTCAAACTCGCCCAGTTTCTCGAGTACTAGCACTGTCACCAAAGAGAAGTTCCCGAAGGAGAAGGAGACCGAGATCGTGGAGGAGCCAGTCAACCATGACGCTGGTGGTGACCTCGGAATCTACACCTACTACATCAACGCGATTGGATGGATCCCAGCTGTTTACTTCACGGTCATGATCGCCGGCTTCGTCTTCTGCATTTCCTTCCCCAGCATTTGGTTGAAATGGTGGGCCCAGTCTGACACTGCACACCCCAAGCAGGAGATGGCCTACTACATCGGTATCTACGTGATGCTCGGATGTCTCGGTATGCTCTGTCTCGTTGCTGGCACCTGGCAGATGATCATCAAGATGGTTCCCAAGTCTGGAGAATTCTTCCACCGAAAGCTCTTGACCACTGTCCTCAGTGCGCCTATGCTGTTTTTCTCCTCCACGGATAGCGGTGCCATTCTCAACAGATTCAGTCAGGACCTGATGCTCATCGACATGGAACTCCCTATCGCTGCCATCAACACTGCTGCGACTTTCTTCCTTTGCCTGGCCCAGATGGCACTGATTGGTGTCTCTTCCAAATACGCCGCCATCTCATTCCCATTCGTTCTGAGTCTGCTTTACATGATCCAGAAGATCTATCTGCGCACCTCTCGGCAACTGCGTTACCTGGACCTTGAAGCCAAGGCTCCTCTCTACTCGCACTTCACCGACTGTCTTCAAGGACTCGTGACTCTGCGAGCCTTCGGCTGGCAACACGCTATGGAACAAAAGAACATCGAGCTTTTGGACCTCTCCCAACGTCCCTTCTACTTCATGTTTGCTATCCAGCGCTGGCTCACTCTGTCGCTCGACATGGTCGTCGCCGGTATCGCTGTTCTCCTCATCGTGCTGGTCGTTGCCCTGCGTGGATCCGATTTCGACGCGGGCTCCGTTGGTGTCGCTTTGTTGAATGTCATTCAATTCAGTCAGAGCATCAAGCTCGTGGTTACTTTCTGGACCAACCTGGAGACTCACATCGGTTCCATCCAGCGCATCAAGGACTTTACTTCTGATGTCGAATCCGAGGACAAGCCCGGCGAGGACCAGGATATTCCTCCTAACTGGCCCTCTAACGGCGCCATCAACTTCACCTCTGTCTCCGCGGCTTACAGGCCTTCTGAGCCAGTTCTGAAGAACGTTTCCCTCAACGTTCTCGCTGGTGAGAAGGTCGGCATCTGTGGCCGAACCGGAAGGTAAGAACTCATTTCCCCTACTGCTACTATACCGAACTAGACTAACGAAACCAGCGGCAAAACCTCAATGATCATGAGTCTCTTCCGAATGATGGAATTGACCAGCGGCACAATCACAGTGGACGGAGTCGACATCAGCCAACTCCCCCGACGAGAAATCCGCTCCCACATCAACGGTGTTTCCCAAGACTCCCTCCTCTTCAAGGGCAGCGTCCGACTAAACGCCGACCCAACCGGAATCCACACCGACAAAGACATCTTGGCAGCCCTGAAGAGCACCCAACTCCTACCCGTCATCCAAGAAAAGGGCAGTCTCGACACAGACATCGACGAGATCCACCTCTCGCACGGCCAAAAACAACTCTTCTGCCTTGCTCGCGCCCTCCTTCGCCCAGGCAACATCCTCATCTTGGATGAAGCCACTAGCAAGTAAGTACCCCTTGTGACCCCACCCCTGCAAGGCGCAGAGCCGGGATCCGAGCGCGAACTCTCCTTTAACTTCGGATCTGTTCTGTCCTCCCCACAATGTAACCCCCCATCCCCTGCAGCAAATGACTAATGGTTTCCATAGCATTGATACCAAAACGGACGAGATCATGCAGCGCATTATTCGCGAGAAATTCTGCGGCCACACCATCATTTCCGTGGCGCATAAGCTCGATACGATCCTTGATTATGACCGCATCATCGTCCTGGATGCAGGTCAGATTGTCGAGAATGGAGAGCCTTGGACTCTTCTCCAGCAGCCCAAGTCTCACTTCAGCAAACTCTATGCCAGTGCGACGTCGATGGATGAATTGGATTGATCCAGTATTCTCGCCCCCTTTTTTTTTGTCTGGTGCGGGGGCTTTTCATTTTGCACAGATGGCGTCCTATTATTGACTCCTGTTTTGAAGTATATATGATATTTGTTTTTGTTTTGGGAGCGCTGTACATGGATTTTGAGATTCGGACATGGCTATTATGTCTTTTACTCTCGCTTTACTTATACCTTGGTGATACACTTTGCATCGCACATTGCTTGGGCTTTGGTTATTACATAGAACGCCTTGAGATAAATTTGTCTATACTCCTTTCATTAGGAATGACTGTGTCCATCTTCGACCTTGACATCTCGAAATTTCTTATTTTTCTGCACTATATTTAATTCTGATCAATAATTGATTTGTCTACGGAGTACATGTGGGATTTCGGACTGTCATTAATTGAATCGTATGTTGTGAGGCCAAGTAGGATTCGGTGTTGATGGCTCCAGGTAGACTCAGTCGCCTCCACACACCATTGGGAGTATTGTTTTCTGGTGTTGCTCTAGCATTTTAAGATCCTTTGTAGCCTTCCAAGTTGGAAATGCTTACCTACTAGGTATCTCTTCCATGTTTGATGGTTCCAAGCTTTATTTCCAGGTTCAGGTTTTGCTTCATCGGTCTAGCATCCGTGAATGTCGGGAAATATATCTATGTACACCAGCGATAAACATACATAATTCGAAACTAAAGAACGCGTCTCAGTCTTCGAATGGCGCATCCACGGGTCTATATAGTCAATGTGAAACTTCTACCTATCAAGCTACAAAATACCCAGACTCAACTTAAACGCGTATATCAGTGAAACCTTGGAAGCATGGCCATTTCCACCTCCCCACCGGCAGGTCTACGGGTGCCAGGTGAGACCTCGACCTCGAGAGGCACCCCCTTGGGCAACAGCACAATTACTCTACAACCTTAAGCTCAGATTCACAAAAAGAAATCCATTATGCACCCCATCCAAAGATCGAAACTATCCTAAGGAGAGACGAAAACACCGATCGCGAATACCATACATTGGGAACAAAAAGATCCAAATCCCCAGCTAAAACGCAACTACAGCACCATCATATCATCATCAGGCTGTAGTTCCTCCTCATAAAGACCAAACTCCCAATCACCCCGCTCAATGCGACTAACACGATCAAGCTCAGACTGGAACTCGCGACGCAGATGCTCAAGCGTAACGATGATACGACGCTTAAGCAAATGGTTCGTGGCAGGGACTTCGAAAGAGACGCTGCTTCGGCGAGCGACGGCAGAAGATTTGCTGCTGTCTCTGCGGTGGAAGCTCCGGGTAGCGGATGGACTGTCTGCATCTTCCATGGAGATATTTCCTTCCTCGTCTGCGTGTGTGCTTGGGCGTCTGTCGAAGGTGGTGCTGATTGGGGGACAGTTTTCGACGAGGATGTAGGCTTCGCTTTTGTCGACGCAGGCGAGCAGGTTGATGAGGGAGAGGAGTTCGTGGCGGATTTCCTTGCTTTCTGCATCGTCTTCTTCGACGGGTCTGGAGGCTTCGTCGATTTCCTTGCCCTTGTGGACGAGGGCGGAGGTATCGCGGGCCTTGCGGAGACGCTGGACGTTGCGGTAGGCGATTTCGGCGGCGCCGCGGTAGTCGCTGCGGGCGATGCGGTAGGCTTGGAGAATTCGGGTATAGTCGGGGGTGGCTTGGAAGGTTTTGTTGTCGGCGTCTTGCCAGGAGACGTTGGCGGTTTGCTTGTGGGTCAGGTGGACGAGGATCTCGTCGATGAAAGAGGCGATGTTGGGCACGAGAGTGGTGGGGAAGCGGAGGATCTGCTTGAGGCCGGCAGTTCCGGGGCCGGAGACTGCTAGGATGGTGGAAATGAGCTCGCTGAGCTCGGTCTTTTGCAGCTTGAGATCCTGTAACCTGGTCAAGGCGGAGTATGCTTGGTCAAATTGGCAAGTTTTCAGGGATCCGGTGAATAACCGTGATAGCAGGTCATCGCGGATGGTGGAGTATTCAACGTCTTGATCAGCCCAGGCTTCGGAGTCGAGGGCTTGCAGCGCCAGGCTGGCAAAGTCCGCGACGTGGGAGTATGAGCGCGCTTTTTCGAAGATCGAAAGAGCGTGCTGGTAGTATTTTGCGAGACCATTGTGGAAGCAGTCTCCATCGAGAAGATCTAGCAGCTCCGCCGACATATCGGAAAGGTTTCCCATTGGCTTGCCGCAGGCTGGATATGTGTTAGCTTGCTTAGAACGTAGACGAAAAAGATGTCTGGGAAACTCACATAGCAAGTAGGCAGCCTTTCGGAAGTAGATTGCTGCAGCGTCAAATTCTGACATAGCGGCATGCAAGCGGCCCTTGACATAAGTCGACCAGGAAGTGCTTGCCTGGAATCGCAGGAAGTCCCATGCAAGATCAATGTTATTCTTAGCAATCAGGTCGCATTGGATATGGGCGACTGCGTTCTGGTAGTTCACCTCGCCTTCGCGAGTGATCCAAGCCACAACATCCCTGATGCCCAAAGTCAAAGTATAGGTCTGCGGAGAATCAATTGCTTGCTGCGGTTTGATATCGGTCACAAACAAGTCTTCGAGAATGCTTGCAGTCCGTTGGTTTTGGCTCTTGGGGCTGCTTTCCTTGAAAATCTTCGACGTTGACGATTCGTGTAATTTTGCAGGGCTGTCTGGGCACTTCCGCACATTGGAGCTGAGCCAAGCCATCATCTCATACTCGCGCAGAAGATCAACAAGTGAAGAGAAGAGGACGGGTGCATCGAAGTCGGACTTGCTGGATTGCTCCAACTCTCCATCCAAAAATGTGACAAGAATCAATAGGTCGAAGAATATTTGACGCATAATGGAGATTGTTTCCTGCGCACCACTGACAAGGACTCGGGCACCGAAACAGGTTGAAGAAAGCTCGGAGTCTTCTCCGCAGAAGTGAAGCGAAGCGGTATTGATGATAGCAAGGAATGCATCCATTGGCAAGCAATCCGTGTTCATATATTCGCTCAAAGCAGCGTCCAGATTGTCGAAAGTCTTATTCGAGATCTGGTTCGTGAAATCGCATCGCTCCCGGAAACTGTCCATGCGATCCAAAATCGACGAAGAAGGCTCTGAGAATATTTCGGTCTGGAGGGCAGCCCTGCACGCCCCATCAAGCTGAGAAGTAAACTTCTTGCGGAAGTCAGATGCCACCTTCAGCAGCACAGAAGCAGTCTGTGAGTCGGCTCCGATTTCTCTGGGGACATTCCGGTGCCTCCAGCGGTCCATCATAAGCGGCACACCCTGACTCAATTCGGTGTCGGAGTTATGCAATAGGAGCTCAGTGACACTGCATTCCCGCACCACCGCACATGCGTCGGAAAAGAGAAGCCAGGGCATATCGGTGTAAGAGTCGTAGGCGAGGGAGATGGGCTCAAACCGACGCTTGTTGAGGTCCTCTGCAACCTGCCAGAACTGACGCCACTTGGCGTCTGTGTCAGATGTGAAACGGCTGTAGTCCATCTCATCATCAGCGAATTTCCGAAGGGATACTGCAGATGCTATTGTGGAGCAAAGTCGCTCCGCCAAAGGCAAGCTCTTTTTCAATCCACCAGATGAAGTCGAAGAAAGCGGTTTGAGGGCTTCTTGATACACAGCCAAGGCGGTCTCGAGGACCTCGGGCAGATATCTGTTCGGCTGCAGCAAGTACTTGAGCCACTTTTCCGTGGGATCGACAACGTCGTCCACCACAAGAGAGGGCGGTAATTCCTGTCGATGTGTTTCGAATGTTGTTGAAACCCACTTGTCGGCCCAGTCTGATACAAGGGTTTGTAGGTCGAAGTGCAAAGTGTAGAGTTGGTATAGACCGTGGTTTCTCCACAGAACCCACATCTCCATCCCTTTGCCCTCTTCCCGGGATTTGACCTGGAAATCGGCGATGCTCCAGAACATGTTGCCCGTCGCATCGGGGTCCACAGGTCGGAAAACAGCATCCGCAAACAATTCCTCAATGACAAGGTCAGATGTGAGACCACCCTTCACAGCCCAGAACTTGAACTTTCCATCCTCGAATGGCGAATATGTGACAACGTAGTAGCGGTGCCCTCCATCCATCGCGCGCTCGGCGTTGAAGACGCGCATGAACGATGACTCGGCGGGGTTCAGTGTGTAGGAAACAACATCCGGGTCCTGGATCTGGCGTCCGAGGAGGTCCTTTGTTGCGGCAAGTTTGCTCGTTGCAAGATTCCAGATCTTGAGGGTGTGGTTCAGGCAGATCGCAAAAACGTAGGTTTCATCGGATGTCGTCGCGATCGCATTCGCGACGTTCAAATCGAGGTTGCGCCCATCGTGTCGGATGGAGGAGGGTGCGTTCCATTTCACAAGGCCTCGGATCGAAGAGCCCCATGTGCGTTCGTCGAAGGTAAGAGGGGTCCAGTGGGAGCCTATCCATCAAAGAAATTAGCAAAATGTAGCAGCGCAGATTTGTGGCCCCTCAGCAGGAATTCTCACCGTCGTCGCCGGCTCTGCGGGTCAATCGCAACAACGCGCCATTGTCTAGGGAGATGAACAGCTCGAGCGGGCTGCTGGCGTGGAGTCTGTGGGGGTTCGAGAAAGCCAAAGGCGCAGGGACGCATGTTTTGCACCAATCCCGCACATTTTCGTCGATTGAGGAGGTCCGGCGGAAGAATTCAGGGCGTAGAGACAAAGTGTGAAGGTGCTTCGATGCGGTGATCACAAAGACGTTGATGATTTCATGGTCCTCTGAATCGGACAGCTCAACGCCAAAAGGAATGATGGCTTCTTGGAAGTCTAGCCGTAAAGTCACATTGTATTCATAGACTTCAGTCCCACCCTTCGTCAGGTCCGCGCACTGGATCTCGAGTACTTTGTTGTCGTTGATGACTCTCCACAAGAAAGTCCGCGGGTTCACCCTGCGCTGGCGGAAGTAAACATTTCCTTGTGTCGCGAGGTATCGTCTCGCGAATTCGTCTTCGTCTTTGGCGATTGGAAGTTCTTGGTCGGCCGTTGAGATCGAAAAGCGTGGGCGTCGGATCAGGCTCTCTTGCGTTGGGATCTGGATATTAGCGACCGTGGTCGGCGCGTAAGGGCGAAGGTCGACCCTTGAATCCTTGTAGATTTTCGCCATGATCGATTGAGTATAAGTTTGAACTTAGCACTCCATGACCTGGGGTGGAGGAAGATCGAAGGGCGGGAAGAGAGTTATCGGAGCTCAAAAAACAAAAGTCTTGGCATTTGGCGGATAGCTCGCCTTGTACTGCAGGGCTGCCCTCTACTCCATACTATAAGTTTGACAATATGTTCTACTTGATATCTCCTCTTGCGATGTGACCATCTGTTCATTTTCATAGATACGTTAAAGGCCGAGGTGCCACTAATCACATAAAAAGCTACTGAATGTGTTGCTCATCAAGTCACTAACATCGTGTCGCAGTAAGGTCCACCTGAAATGGTATCATTTATCCTCCAGGTCCTTCTCAGAGGGATCACCAATACCATCCTCGTTGATGGCGAAGAGACAGTCACTCTCCGGAAGGCAAGGGCTATCATAAATCTTGCAAATTCGAGTCTCACCACGACCCTTCTTCAAACTGAGTCGTGTCGTACTGGCGTGAGCAATGATATTACCACCGATAGGTTTCTTCGGATCAGGGTTGAACATGGCACTTGGTCCGCCATCAACCTGAGCAACGACCTGGTTCGTAATCACAACAGCGATTCCAAACTCATCCGCAAGACGCTGTAGCGTACGCATGAACTTGGCCAAATGAGTCTGCCGTGACGAAAGCTCACCACGACCGTTGAAATCCGTTCGGTATAGAGACGTTGCCGAATCAACCACCAAGAGTGAGAATCGTGTCTCGCACATCATTTGAGAAGCCTGGTTGAGCAGCTGCAGCTGATGATCTGAGTTGTATGCGCGTGCATACGCCACATTATCAAGCACTTCCTCGCCAACGAGGCCATATCGCTGGGCGACTGCAAGCAATCGGACTGGGCGGAACGTTCCCTCTGTATCGATGTATAGGCACTTGCCTTCACCACCGCCCATGTCGAATGGCAACTGGCAAGTAACAGCAAGAGTATGGCAAATCTGACTTTTTCCCGTTCTGAACTCTCCGAAGATCTCGGTGATCGAGCCGGTTTCAACACCGCCTCCTAGCAATGTGTCCAGACGCTTTGATCCTGTTGTAATCGAGATGAGCTCGCTTCTTCGCGCGTGCATTTCGGTTGCCGTTGTGAATCCCATGGGTACCAGCTTCGCGGCTATTGGAATCTTTTCGTTAGCTAACGATCTCCATCTCGAATGGGATCTATAGCATCAACTGACCTTCCGTCAAGATCTTAGTGGCCTTTTGTTCTGAAATTCCCTTTATCGTTTCCAATAAACGTCTCGGTCTAGACACCACAAGCCATATTAGCCAAACTGAGCATATTCTCCAGTTCCAGTGCTACAATATAGCACCGACTGCAGCGTGAATCTGTATTCTGAGAGACGTACGTGTAGGCCACCGACTCGACAGTGTGGTATCCTGCATCCACGAAGAGCTTGATATCCCTGCCAGTCAAGCCTGCAAGACCCTGTCGATCCGGTCAGAACCTCGATATCACATTTCGCAGCGCAATTCGGAGACACCACTCACATCCAGTGCAGAGAGCGGGGTGGGGGCACCAGGGCCTGGGAGTCCACTCTCATCATACTGCTCTTGTTCTTGTCCCTCCGTCTCCATGGCTTCGGTGTTTCGGGTGGATTTCCGTAGCGATGCCCTGTGGCTTTAAAGGCAATGTCACGACTTGGGAGGAGATCGTCACCTCCAGACGCGTCGGTTGAGGCTTGTGTGTGGTGGGGATTTGTTGTGCTATCGTCACAAGTACCAATGCAATCCGGGTCTTGTCGAAAAGAGATTTCGGACGATGTGCCTCTGGCTTTTCGGTGAGTTGTTTGTGGCAAAAATCCTATGACTCCCAGTCCACGGATTGGACGCGTTGACGGGATCGCGAGATCACGTGAGTCGTTGCTGCCTTGAGCTTTTCCGATTTCGTCCCAATCGCTCGACTTCGGATTATTCGATGCTCAGCTATGGAGTGTCTATTGGCTTGGTCCAGGGCTCACGTATTGAGTCAATTCCACTATGATCTGTGGTAATGCGGTTCGCTTAATTGAATTCTCATCAACTTGTACAGTGAAACTGAAAGCATAAGAATACAAACTCCGCAATTCACCATGCCTCAAGTCTCCTCCAAGAAAGAAACGAACTCTCACTGTTTTAAAACCCGCCTGTCGTTATCTGAATCCGCGTGGGCCCAATGCTGATGCTACCAGTCCTCATAACGCCAATGAGCGACTTCTACTTTAAGACGGGGGCTGTTCAACCCCCTCAGGGGATTCATTCACCAAGATACTGCGCCTTGGACGAAACGGACGAAGCAAAGACCTTCGTAAATCCCGCCGGTGGTACTCTCGCAAGGCCGGGTTGAATTCCAACTGCTCCCTGGACACTCCAGCTGAAATGTTGTCATTGAAAATCTGACTCATTTTGCGGCGGAACTCTTCAGACGAGCGACGACGAAGGCGTTCTATATGATCACGGTCTTCATTAGTCTCACGCTCAGTCAACCACATCGCGAACGACTTACTTGCGAATCGTGACGCTCGCTTGAACTCCGGTGAAGAATGAGAGTCATTGCCTGCCAATTCTGCGACATGATCCGACTGTTCATGGCTTTCATTCAAGCCTGTTCGGTAATCTGTTGCATCCGGGTGCTGAGGCGGCGGCAGTGCCCGGGAATGGAAGCTGATCCGTCGTTCTCTGGGGATAGGGTCTTTGACACTGACCAAGGACTCTTCTTTGGCGGGCGACACGAGGATAGATCTCGGGGGGATCTTGTGCCTTTCAGGAAGTCTCATCGGAATCTGCAGCCCGTCCAGTCTCGGTGTCTCATAGATGTAGCCTGCAGACGCAGGGTCGAAATTCGGCAAACTTCCCCGTTGGCCAGCCGGCAGCACGGGCTTTGGACTGATCATCTGGCCATGTGAATCTGACGAGGCGCTGCGGCTTTCGAAATCTTGAGGCAGTGACATGGGCCTCAGACTCGCAGGCCTACTTCCCACGGGAGTTGCAGGCTGGTGGGGGCTTGGAATCGGTGTGTTGGGGTTCGAATTCCAGATCCCTTCTATCTCGATCCCGCTTTCCAGAGCTCGTGCGCCGAATGGGATATCGTCTTTGTGTAGCATCGGGTACATCTCGGCCTCCGCTTCCCGTTCCTTTGCCTCTGCTATGGCATATTTGCGTATTCTCCACTTGTTGACACCGAGAACGCAAAGCGCGTAGATGAAGACGATGCCCTGTACACTGTCAACAGAACTATCGCAGATGACGGAAACACAGTCACACGTACTATCAGCATCGCCAGCACCTGAGTAGACCATGGTTAGCCGATAATCACTTTGACGTCTTTCATGTGCCAAACTCACCACGCTCAGCTTCTCCCATAGTTGCCAACCGACCCAGAACGTCATGATGGATGAAATGCAATGACCAGGTCTAAGTCAGTGTGACCAGTAGTGTGTATCAATTCTGATCCAGAAGTCAAGAGTCGTGCTCAGAAGAGTTGTGAGAAGGTGATGAGTGAAGGCTACAGAACCAAGGAAGGTGCCAACCACAGAAGGGACGTCAACTCTGACATCTGAAGTCCCCATTACTTCACATCTAATACTATGCTTGTTCTGCATCTTTTCTTGCACTCGCTGTTGATTCTTTGTTCAATATGTGAGCCTACTCCCTGCGGTGTTTGACATATCTATGTACGAACTAAATTCATGGGTGATTTCATATGTCAACTTCCAAGGTTGTAGTCCACATACTATACAGGAGCCAGTTCATATATCCTTCATTGGGGCAATAAGAACCAAAGACCAAAAAAAAGAACAAAGTATCCACCTGGGCCGTATCGAACGAGCAAAAAAGAAATCTCTCCCTCGGGGAATCGAACCCCGGTCTCCCGCGCTTATCGGTGTTAATGACAAGCGGAAATCATCACCACTAGACCAAGGAAGATGAGATGGCTGAGTTACTGCTCGGCCACTTGGCTGGTTGATGAAAGCAGCACTCGTATTAGAAAATATAAGTGGAATTTTGAGTGCGCACCTACATCCTCTCAACAACCCGCATTCAAGTCGACGCACCACGGCTTTGGCTTCCTCGAGATATGGAATGACTGAAAATAATCCAATCGCGTAGTAATGAGCATGTGGCTTAGTGCCAAAGGGCAACGTGGTGGTTTTTTTTGTTCAGTCATGGAGAGCCGAGATATTGCCCATGTGGATATATATGTCCGATTCCGTCAGCATACAAAGTGCCCAAACCAAAACACCGCAAGAGCGGCATCTAGGCACTAGGATGGATCACGTCCCTGCCAATTATGGACACTCGAGTCTCCATAACTAAAGCATTGCATCGAGCGAATCAAAGTAGGAGAGAAATGCTCCTCCCCGGGATGATGGCAGCCCCCTCTTTGATCAAGACGCCCTCCAGGCTCCTGGCAATGGTCGTCAACGAACACTGTGCAGAATCCCCGCTCAAGGAACCACGACTTGGGGTAGTTCAGAGGACTCTTGGTACACTTTTCCCATTTATGGCCGTTGTCCGTCCACCAGCGACAAGAGGGTTTGCTTTCATCCATCATATCAGTGGAGATGTAGCCCTGATTCAACTGCAGACATGGCATGTCATTGGAGCTGTAGTCGTTGTGCCCTTTGAGGTAATAGTAATTACCCCCATCGCAAGTGTCGCCCTCGTACAGGGTGACTTTCCAAGTAACCTTTGCGTTTTCCGCAGTGGTTGCGCCATGCGGTTCGACCTGCTTGGTTGTAGTCGCGGCGGTGGTATCTGCCTTGGATTCTGCCTTGGTCTCTGGTGTATCGGTATTGACGTTCTCACTCGTACTTGAGGCAGCCTCTTTGCTGACCTCTTTCTTGGCCTCGCCGGCGGCCTTGAGAACCTTGGCTACCCGTTGAAGGGCGAATGCCCCACAGCCTGAAAGACACCCGTTTTCCGAACTACAGGACTCCGATGAGTTTCCGCATTTCAGCCAGCGCGCGCACTATCGACAAGAGGCATTAGCATTGTCTGAACATGGTTGCAGTGGGTTGAAACTTACGCATAAGCCCGGACCACAAGGACTGACGGAGGCCAAATCGGCATAGTTTGCAGGACGTATGGCACCGGGCGTCTGGGGTCCACACTGGGCATCTGGGAGAGCCTTCGGCATTGGGAGAGCACCGGGACTAACGCAGATAAAGTCTCCCGGCATGATATTCGGGCAGTCAGTCCAGCCCCATGATCCGGTGTTCCAGTTTTCAATGTCGGGGACTGAGACTGAGTATTGTTCGGCAATCTTCGCACAAGTATCACCGTACTGGGTGGTATGCGTGAAGCATACTCCACTTGCATCTGGTACTGGACTACCGCGTTTTCTGATGGCACTGCCGCAGACCTTTCCCGAGTCACCGAAAGCATTTCCTGTGGCGATGATACCGACGAGAGAAACAGCAACGAAGTGAATGAGTTTCATTGCTTTTGTGGCTTGAGAAGTATCCACTCAAGGATCGATCGGACTTTTATAAATTCACACCGTGGAGGTGTATCAGAGTGAGGATGGATGTCCAGTCAACATTTCTATAAGCAGATTGCCACCAGCGACACAGGAACCACCAATCCTGACACCAAGGTAATCGGGTTCATTGTCTGACTCCACAACCTGCATGATGTCCATTTCTCTCCAATCAAATTCGAGACCCGTGACAGTGAACAATTGTCATCAAACAAAGACCGGTGTTTGACATGCTCGAGGGCATTCTTTGTTTTCTCTGAGAGCCACAGGGTGGAAACCAGTATTCAATAGACAGATCATCCGCGCGGGTGGCGGCTCTATTGAGGCTCTTCCTCGAAGTGGAACTCAATAAGCCCAAAGATGAAACGACTTCCATTTTTACACCGACACATAAAGAACAGCAAAAAGTACTGTTCCTACATCAAATTGCGGACAAGATTGAGGTTTCGGGGACACGAGTCCCTTGTCACCTGTGTAGTAATTATTGGGGACTGAATTGGGTTAAATTTGACGTAGTTATGCAGTGGCCGATCATATTTCATACCAAATTAACCACAAAGTAGTCTTGTCATCAGAGTTGGCGCTGATGCAAGGAAGCCTGACCAGAATTCAGCGAGGTGGTTGTACCAGTATAAAAATCCTTCCAAGGTTGTCTACTGAGAGAATATGAGACGATCCAAATGGGTTGAATTCGTGCATGCCCCACACATAAAAGCTCTTTCAATTTCGCAACTTGACTTTTCTCATTCCCACCGCCTGTCAATCTATTATCTGATCAATAAATGTCCGGGTTGTAGCTTAGACCAAATGTAAATGATGACACCTGCGACTCGGAATCCCATACAGCCGAACACCTTACACTTAATTCAATACTAGTAGATCCCGGCTAATCTATGTGAGACGAGGTGGAATAGTGAAGACTCGAGGCCCATCGATCTGCCCTGTCCGGGTGCCCAGGTGGCTCATAAGGCTTGAGGCTTAACCCCTGATTGGCTGGCCTTCCAGGCTTCCAAGGTTCGGCTCACTCCCGGCGCCGATCCCTACGTCAATCGCGAATTCCCTGTTTCAACCAAAACAATGACATACACTACACTCCTTTTATAGATCGCGAGTACTCCGTACGGCTTGCCAATTCACCTTGAGCACGGCAAAAATGCATCTCCCAACTCTCCTCGCATTTACTGCGCCGGTCTTGGCCTCTTATCGCTTCAATCCCCTGGAACATTCCGCCGGGATAGCTCCTTACTTCACCCCCCACAACCCCCCAATTCAATCCGCCCCTCCACAAGGATGTAATGTGACTAGAGCGTCTTATCTCGTTCGCCATGCCGCCATCTACGCCAATGATTTCGATTACGAGACCTATCTCGAGCCCTTGATTGAAAAGCTACACAACACAACGCAGGACTGGAAACATACGAAGACTCTCAAGTTTTTGTCAAACTGGACCGCCCCAGTCAACGAGGAACATCTGGAGAAGCTAACTGCCGTTGGACTACGAGAGGCGCGGGCTCTAGGCGTCAGCCTTCACAAAAATTATGCACACCTCAAATCGCCTGCTAAGGTCTGGTCGTCCACGGCAGACCGCACTGTGAAAAGCGCCGAGAGCTTCATTTCAGGCTTTACCGGAAATCACACCGGCGCAATCAACTTGACTCAAATTGAAGAAAGCAAGACTGCTGGCGCAGACTCCCTGACGCCCTACAAGGGTTGCTCAGAGTACAGCTCTTCATACGGCAGTGATCAATCTTCCGTGAGTACCGCAAAACCATTTCAAATTTCAATTGCTAATAAACCATCCAGTCTTTCATCAAAGCGTACACCAAGCCCATTATCGCGCGCCTGAAGGCCGAAGCACCCTCTTTCAACTTCACCCAAGACGACATAACCGGCATGTTCGAGCTCTGCGGATACGAGACCGTCATCCGGGGATCTTCACCATTCTGCGCACCTAATCTCTTCACACAAGAGGAGTGGCTATCTTTCGAATACGCCAATGATCTCATGTACTTCCACAACACAGGCTATGGTCGGCCCCTTTCTGCAGCCATTGGGTTCCCGTGGGTGAATGCCAGTGTTGCAGCCCTGGACGACGAGTCTTCATCGCAGGAACTCTATGTCTCTTTTACGCACCGTGAACTACCACCCACTGTTATCACTGCGCTGGGTCTGTATAACAACAGTGCGTATACGGGTGCGAACCACGTTAATGATACCATGCCCCTGGATCGAGTCAACTATAACCGTGCTTGGAAGAGTAGTGAGATTCTTCCATTCTTGACCAATATTGCGGTTGAGAAGATGTCGTGCAAGAGTTACGGATATGATGAGGGAGAGTATTACCGCATTTTGAATAATGCTAGCCCTCAGCCTTTGGTGGATTGTCGAGATGGACCTGGTGGAAGTTGCTCGAAGAAGCAGTTCCACAAGTTCCTCGATGAGAGAGAGGAGTTGTACGGTAATTACAACAAGGCTTGTGGTGGTAGTGACCTCCCGGAGTCGTTGTCTATCTACGAGGCATAATTCGATGGGGGATGTTATGGCTATATTTAATTTTGGATACGCTAGTCAGGGACCGTGAGATTCCAAGTTTGATCTCACGCCTCTGTGTAAGCTGTGTCTACTTTTGATGTCTCAAAGCTGCTACAAAATACAAAAACCTAATGAAATAAACTTGATTTCTTTCTTAGCTGCTGCATGTTGATGATAAACATATCACATTCTCCAGCTTGGAGAGTAGCTTCTGGGATAATCCTGACCTCGATGATTCAAATACGATTTGATTCTCGAAAACACTGGGCGTCACAGTGACCGAAAGAAGGTGTCCAACAGACCACACTCAATTCTCCTCCTCCCGTGGATTGCAGTTGCGTCGCATGGAGTCAAGTTGCATACGGCGACAAAAGCTGTAAAAGACCTCCATAGTGACATTATCAGGAGCAAGGCTCGAGATTTCATATCTCAGGAAGTCAACGATGGGTAGATCCGGCAATTGCTCAAACACCAGACATAGTACATAGAAAGGGGGTGGGGCGACTCTGTTCTTTCGAAGAAGGGTGTACTGGGACTGCACAGCAACGATGAAGTCCTTGACGGTCCGGAACTGGTTGCGAGAGAGGCGCGAAAACTTGCAGACATCGAGGGAGATCTGATCGGTCGAGTTGACATCCCGCATAATGCTAGCAATACCCGTCATAACGTCGTCGGCGAAAGAATCCTCATCGTCATCTTCGTCATCGTCCGTCTCATCTTCGTCCGTCTCATCCTCATCCTCGTCCTCATCTTCGTCTTCATTCTCATTTTTGTCCTCACTCGGCTCATACTCTATGTCCTCCTCCTCTGAATACTCCGGTACATCGTCGCTATCCAGAGTATCGCGAGCAGCCGCCATCAGCGAGACATAAAGGCGTTGTTGCATTGGTTCCGAGACATGCGAGATCAGCCATGCGGCCACGGTTTGAGAATAGTAGAACCATCGTTTGTATTCCGGTTCGCCGCGAAGAGGGCGCGGGAGTTTGGCATTGGTTAAACGTCGTAGACCAAGTGGACCAAGGCTGCGATTCACGGCTCCAACCCACTCTTCGAAGTTTGTGTCGGTCTCTTGGAGAATTCGGATCTCTTGAAGGGCGATTGGTTGGATCGTGTTAGGGAGATCTCGTGCCTGGCCTCTGGGTCCGGGTGGGTAGAGGTCGATACCATCATTGACGTCGTTGGCGCTGGTGACATTATCATCGGCGCCAGATGGTCCAGCAGATGAAGCCATGGTGGGGAATGTGGGTGAGGGAGAGAGAGAAAGGTGGAAGAGGAAAAGAGAAAACGAAAAAGAAGAAGTGAGGAGGAAGAGAGAGAGAGAAATGAGAGCTGAATTTCGCCGAAGCCCTTAACAATCAAAGATATTCAGAGGAAAAGGACCCCGGGAAATAGCCTGAGATTATCAAGAGCCAGCAGAAGCACAAGCTGGGACTTGTTCAATTGGTCACTACATGATACTATATAGACATACTGAGGTGTTTGTTTCCCTCAACATCATGGCACCAATGGATCTTCAGAAATGAGTTAGGATGTCTTTAGAAAATTCCTGAATTTGAACACAGAAACAAATTGAAGCTTTATCTAACGGTCTGTTGTCTCGTATTCTGCACAGCCGCGCCCTCATCTCTCTCGCCCTGCTCTACTGGCTTCACCAAATCTATCACCGGAGTTTATATTCTCGCCTTTGAAAAATGCCCAGGTGGTGTCAGACTGCTGTTGCGGAAGATGTTTGGGATCAATACTCTACCCACATATTCGTAAAGAGTAGGATCTAGGGGAACAGGCAAATAGCCATACATCATCGTGCGGCGATGCCCAGGTGGTCCTTGACCCAAACACGTATCGCAGCCACTTCAAAAGATTAAATCGCACCTGGCAGCAGCAGGAGTCTATGTCGATGATAATCGGTTATTGAAGAAGCACGGTCTCTAACTCACATTAGATCATATTAAAATTAACACCCAATGGATTCTATCGTCTAAATGTCAAGCTGAAGCTTCTCGTCCAAGGCCATAGTAATGAGTCTAACATTATCCACCATAAGAAGCTGTATACCAGCAGCCTTTTGTATCTATAACATGTGTTAGCAAAACGATACCGCAGGAGTGGCAGTGAAAATGACACAACCAGGAAAAGAATCACCCAACTCACTTTTGAATTCTCAGGAACGTTATTCAACGTGCCGTATGATCCACAGACCAGTCCCGATCTTTTCACATAACCCACAAGTCTCGGGCAAAGAATCAGAGTCTCCGAGGCAAAGACAACACCGGCTAAATCCCAGCGCTTCGCGAATCGCACTGCAGCTTGAAGACTACTTGCTCTCATATCCAGATCTGAGGCCGGTAGCTTCCCTGCATTGGTGATGAACATGACAGGGTAGATATTTTGCTTGGTAGTGAGAAGCATGCAGACCTCAGGCGAGAAGGAAGAGAGGATAATCTTTCGGTCACTCTTAGCTCTGAAGACTCGGTCGAGGATCTGATCGATGAATGTGTTGATCTCGAGAGCTACGGGTGCGACTCCGGCTTCGACGGCTTCGTGAAGTCGGGGATATTCTGTAGTATCAAGTTAGAATATTCCGGAACAAGGAATTGCACGTGGTCATTCGGATTGCATAGGAATCCATCACTTACTTATCTCAATGTTGAAGCTTATAGAGTCCGGTAATTTCGATATCAGCTCTTCCAGAGTCGTGAACGAGTCTTGGATAGATTGCCTCCTGGTATTAGGCTTGAATCCTTTGTTTTGGAAATCAACGGTGAATTTCATCCTCTCGTTGACGTTCTGGGTTTCACCACGGTCCTTTGATACAGAGCGCGAACGAATCCTATCTCGGGGCCTTTGGGAGTAGCTGAGTGGTGGTCTTCCAAGGACTGATGCGGGTTTGCCTCTGGGTGATTGAAGCTTGCTCGCGTACATGAACTGGGGAGGTAAGAAACGGGCGTCAAAATATTGGCATTGATGCTTACCTGCTCGAATGTGAGATCATGAATAGGGATGTCGGTGCCTGATTCGCTCAGCGAGAAGTCGTGGTAGATGATAGGCACAAGGTCTCTAGTAAGTTGGGCATCTGCTGGCATGTTAGAAGGTTGCAGAATTGGTATGCTGGGACTCTTACCGAACTAAAAGATGAAAATTAGCAAAACGAATCAAAGTCCAGCAGGGTTCGGATACTTACCTCGACGTATGATGCACCCAGCCTCGCGGCAGAAAGGAATGACTGATGATTGTTAGAAACCGCCAGCAAATCAATAAGAGCGATACAAAGCATACCTCAATGGTATTTTCTCCCAGCTGAAGCTGGTTTCGATTGGCCGTGTTTTGACCGAGTCCTGTATGATGTAAGTAACATTCCGGATAATCGCGTGATTCAAAGAATGAGATAACTGAACATACCTCTGTGGCCAACAACTTGAAGACCGTCCTTCTCCAAGACTTGCTTTGTAAGAGGGGGAATTTCCAAAGATGTCAATGGTTTCGCGATGATGCATGTAAAAGTGACAGTTCCCATAATATCCATAGTGGCCTTGTCAAAAATCGGAACAGTGCGTTCTCTGACAAGACTCTCACGATTCTCGCCGAAGCATTTCTTGTCATTGCCGAGCAGAGCTGCAGCACTGCCAACAAGCTTCCGCTCTTCGTATGAGTGATTCGAGGTGTAGAACTTGAAGACCAGACGTGCTTCATTTGGCTTCGCAACAGGGAAGACGAAGGGCTCATTCACCCTATCGCTCAGCATGGGAAGCTTGATAATTTCACTGGTGTGGTCTTCTATCGACATGGACATGTCAATGGAGGAAGAGGTCGTCGCCAATGAGCCCTCGAAGCTAACAGCTTCGGTGGAGTCGCCGTTTCTAAGAACACCAAGATTGACAATGACATGGTGCGCGTGCAATGGGATTGGTGTCGTGGGTTCAGGGATCGGCTTTAGTGGAAGACTAGCAGGGCCGTCGATGGTTTGGTTGGGATCCCATGGTTCCAGCATTTCAGCCACTTCAAGGTGGCCTCTCAGCGCGGCATGCTCCTTGGCACTCCAGCCGAGGTGGTCGAGAATATCTTGTTTTGCTTCGTATTGAAGCAAGATGTCAACAACTAACTTGTGGCCTTCAATACAGGCAATGAACAATGGCGTCCATGCATGTGTCGTTTCAGGGGTGTTGAGATCGGCTTCACTGTCATTTTCCAATAACATTTTCACGTAGTCTTCACGACCAATCTGAGAAGCAATGTAGAGGGCAGTTTCACCATGTAAAGAACGGCTGTTGGGACCGAAATTGGAATGGACGAGGGCGAAAACCATGTCGTCGTGCTGATATCGGAGAGCGATGATCAACAGATCGTCCAATTCCCAGCACAGCCCTTCATCACTCCTGTTGTCTAAGCGCAAAACATCCAAAAAAATATTCGCCACATCGACATGGTTCTTGATAACGGCATAGTGGAAGGGCGTAAATCCATGAGAGTCTGACGACAGGATCAGGTTTGCCGCATAGCCACCCCCTAAGCCCTGGGCGCAATTGAGTATAGACTGGCAGACGGGCAAGAGACCATAGATTGCGCCGTAATGAAGACTGGACCGATCACAATAGTCCTTTGCAAACAAAGCATCCGTCTGGCGAGGCACGATGTGCTCAAAAGCGAATTCGAACAAGCTGTATGTCTTTTCCTCAGCATCAATGTCATCTCTTTGGCCTTCTTTGGAGATGATTTGGTTGAGCAAGTCTTGGTCCAAGACTACACCATCTCTATCAAAAACCTTTGCTAGAAGATTTTCGAAGCAGAGCTTTGAATCGCAGCTCACCGCAGTCTCTGCCATTTCGTAGACGATAGATTTTCGATCCAGCTTGAGAGTCGGATCACGCGACAGATTTCGCAGCAGGTAGGCCAGAGTTGAAGGGTCGTCATTGCTGACTGCACGATACAGGGCCGGACGCTTCACGGCCATGAATTGCTTCTGCTGGGATGTGTCTTTGTCCGAAGTCAGTTGCATCTCCTCCGGGACCTCCCGGGCCTCCTTCATGCTGTCCGTCAAACTGTCCAGTCTGTTGAGAAAGTTCACAGAATGTCGATGTCGGTCAATTTGCGACATATTCCACCGGGACTTTTGTTCTTCATAAGCGGGCGTGACGAAGTTGTTCAGCCTCTCAATTTTGACATATAATCTGTGGATGGCGTCTTCATTGACGCGGGAATACTTCTGCAGCTTCCCAAAGTCCTCACGGAGCTCGGTCGCTACCTTGATGAAAGTGCTTGCTTCGTGGAACTCCCGTGTGCCATCACTTGAGAAAGGACAAGCTTTGATCGCTCTTTCGTACTTGATACACAGCTCGGCCTGTCTGGCCCTGAGATGATCGCAATTTTCGCGATGAAAATCGTCGAAGGACTCATTGCTCTTACCCAGCAGTGTAAAGAATTCTATGGCAATATTAGCAGCTGTCGCGCTACGACCTTATTTACTCGCCTGTTAAATCTGGATCCGCGCCTTCGTCGACGGCTCTGCCGACCGCCAATTTGAGGGCGCGCTTGACCCCATTGTAAGGGACATAGAAGGATGCCCACTCAGGCACGATGTAGCCATGCAAATCCCGGCCAAAACGCATCGTTGAGTCTGTCAGAAACGATGCAACATCCAAACTTTAATGGGGCAGACGAACCCCTGAGATTAGTAACGAGTGGAGTGGGCGATCAGGAACAACCCGACGATGTGGTGACTAGTGTGTGGATCGAAGATCAACTATTGTTCGCTTGTCTTTTTGCCTTTGCCCACATTTGCCTTATTGCCGAGCAACACGAGTCCATGCGTGGGAGCTGATCGGTTAGCGATGATCTTCCCTAGTTGCAAATCTATCATCGCCTCTATTGATCTGCATTTCAGGTGTTCGTGATGCGAACGTCCACATTTGTCATGACATGAATTCCTTTATGTTCTCCTTGGCGCATGAGTTCCTCCTCCGACCCGGTCAGGGTCGCGTCTAAGGGGCCACTGTGGGGTCCGCCAAAAATCCCCTTCAACTGCCGACTGCCATTATTTAAGCTTGATAGCTTATGTGCATCTCCTTGCCCATAAGTGAGATCATGAGAGCTTCCTACAATCTTGGTGAAAAGTGACCGAAGGGCTGGCAAATTGACTGCAATGACCGCAATCTCAATTTCGAGGCCCGCGACAATGATCATCCGCCCCATAATAAAGGCGGTATCGTGTTCGGCGATGAGTTGCTTTTGCACCACGAAGCGACACAAGGCCGTGACCACAGAGAGCGATCCGAAGGATATGATCCCGACCACGACAGCTTTTCGCCGTCGGCTCATTTGAAGTTTGAGTATAGTCGGGATGGGGAGAATGAGAATCACAATGTCCGAAAAGGCGTTCTAGAGAGTGTCAGTCCGGTATTCCCCTTCAACCCAAATTAATACTCACCAGAGCTGTTGGGACCATTTGCACCACGTATTGACTGAGGAATTTGGCGTTCGGGTAAGACTCGGGGTGAAACATGGCCGCGAGTGGCTGGGCCTGCAAGAATGCTAACAGCCACTCCACTGCAAGGAACATGGTGCACATCGCCATTGTTCCGTAAATGACCAAGTGAAAGTCCCTCCTCGGCGAGAGGCGGAGGTAAAAAACCAAGAAGGCTTGTTTCAGAGTGAAGTGTACAAACATGTAGAAGACCTCCTCAACAAAGAGCCACTGCAAAGAGGTGTGAGTATCTGCTGACCGACGCTCAATTGCAAGGAAAGTATAGGAAAGTATCAATTCGTGCCAATACCTTCTGTATGTGTTCCAATGTGCCGGGTGGAGTTTGGTCTGCTGGTCTGATACAATTAGCTCCGGATTTCGAGGATCGGGGATGGTCAAGCTCACAGCCCACACCCATAAGAAAGGAATATGTAGAGGATGCTCTGCTGCATCGTGTTGACGAACTAGACTCATCAGTATCGGACAATCGAATCGAGGACATCTCACGAACGAAGAGAAAGATCGCAACGGCATCATCTCGGCCGAAGATCTGGAGACGCCATCGGCAGTACAGCCGAAGAAAGATAGATGCCGTTCCCAACGCAAAAGCAATAGAAATGATCACGTAGGTGACCGGCCGAAGGTTCACCAGTGCCATTCCTGCTTGCAATTGTTTGCTATGTTCCCAGCGGCATCCTGCACCCTTTTAAAAAGGAGAAGAAAAAACTGGATATTATTGTTCGGATCTGGCCCCGTCGACCTCGATATGGGCAATATATTCGACCAAGACTAGTGCTGACGATCGAGGATGCTCCGATGTGGATTGCGATGCAATCTCCGAGACTCACGGCAGCGGGAGGCTCCCGCAGCGCTAAACGCGCGGGGGCTGGCGCAGGGCGAAGTCTTTGGCACGGACTACCAGTGCAGTAGCTCGTCAATTGCTGCAGTTCTTGGACTGAGCTCGCAGAAACAATGAAAAGAAAGCAAAAAAGAAGAAAAGGAAGATCGAAAGGGAAGTGAGACATGGAAAAAGCGCGCAGGAAGCCCGCATCCCCAACCCACTTTATCGTACTTTTGACACGAACTTCGTCCCGAAGTGGAATCATTCGCAAGTCGAGCTTCGCCTCCGGTGCTCCAGTGCAAACCCCGCCTCGAAAATTTTGATCTCGCGCCAATCATCGTGCGGTGGTTGGAATTGGTGGAGCAAAGAGCCGTCAAGATGGCTGAGGATACGAGCGCTCCCCTCCGATCGCATCCCCTCCAACCCTCTCAACCCCATGAATATCATGAACAATCTTGTGGAAGGAGTTGCAAAAGCTCTCAATGCTGATCTTGTGAGCTTGGGGGTCTCGATCGCGAGTCTGGGAGTCTTATCCCATGTCTCGATCTTCCGCACACTGCCCGTGGAAGAATACCTGCTGGGACTGCTTGGCTCGTCTCTTGTGGCGGTTCTGATAATTTGTCTTGCATACTTATTTGTCACGGGATTGGCCGTCCTGCAGGTCCTGACGCGAGTGACTATCATTGTGTGCTCATTCAATGCCGGACTCGTGTCCAGCATCGGAATATACCGACTCTTCTTCCACCGGCTCCGTCACTTTCCCGGTCCGATACCGTCGAGAATATCACGCTTCTATGATGCATATCTTTCAGGGAAATCGATTCAATATAATGTCGAGATCGAGAAGCTCCACGACACGTATGGAGACTTCATTCGAACTGGTCAGTGCGCGCCGATCTGCGAAGGAGAGATGTCAGATCTAATCTTTCCAATCAGGTCCACGCGAGATTTGCATTGTCAGAAAGTCTGCTGTTCCATTGATCTTTGGACCTCAGTCGAAATGTCGCAAATCGACATATTACGCCCAAGCATCGACCGAGCCTAAGAACTGCTCTGTGCACCATACACGCGACATCGATGATCATCGCAGGCGCAGGAAGGCATGGGACCGCGGACTTAGCATCAAAGGTATACCCAGAGCTCCTTGGAGATGGACTCGCTACTGATATATTATCCAGCTCTTGCAATATATGAGCCCCGTATCAAGGCCAAGGCGGACCAACTCGCCTTGCACATTAACAAGACTTTAGGCCAGCCGATCGATGCCAGCGCCTGGGCGATGTTCTTAAGTTTCGACATCATGGGCGCGGTCGGTTTCGGAAAGGAGTTCAACAATCTGGGTACTGGAATCGAACATCCCGCGATTAAAGGTGTCCATGATCACATGGGTATTCTCGGTGTCTTGGGCCATGTCCCGTGGTTTTTGAATCTTGCAAGTCGCATTCCAGGCGCCGCATCAGGGTACTCGAGTTTCTTCAAATGGTGTGGGGATGAGATCGAGCGAAAGCAAAAGGTACGCAAACCGCACGACAGTTCCGAATTTGGGGCGGCATTGACTCATTCAGGATTGGAGCGCGGATGAGACACCCCAGGATGTTGTTTCGTGGCTTCTGAAAGCCTATGTGGAGAAGGATGTATCGGCCGCCCCATCCGAGGCGGCTCTTCACGAAGATTCGCGTGTCGTCATTGTTGCCGGCAGTGAGACCACGGCTACGACCTTGGCATCGGTGTTATACTACCTGGTCAAGAACCCTGCGGTATTGGCAAAACTGCAGCGGCAGTTGGATGACGTTATGCCAGCTGGGACGGACGACTGGTCGTATGAGAAAGTCAAGTCTATCAGCTATCTCGATGATATCATTCAGGAGACGCTTCGCCTCCGACCGGCTGTCATGACTGGGGGGTACCGTGTTACACCGGAGGAAGGTATCACCGTCGACGAGGTATACATCCCGGGTGACGTGAATGTTTTTGTTCCGGTTCAGTTGGTCCAAACCGATGAGCGATACTACACTAATGCGAAAGACTTCATACCCGAGCGATGGAACGAGAAGAGAGAGATGTGTACTGATGGTGCCCCGTTCTTCCCTTTCGTACTCGGTGAGATCTCCACATCCACGAGGCGTGATGGTATTTTAATTCCCGAATTTCAGGTCCCTATAGCTGCCCAGGAAAGAATTTAGCAATGCTGAGCCTTCGAATTTCTCTTTCTACCTTGGTGCAGTCTTTCAACATTGGATTCGCGCCTGGCGAAACCGGAGAGGCTTTTGAAAAGCAAACTTTGGATACCTTCACTACTACTTTACCTTCGTTGCGATTGGAGTTCCAACGGCGCTGAATTCTGTCATGTACCACACACAGAGAAAGTAAGTCAAGTCTTGGCTGTACACCAGCCATGTGCTGTCATTTTCCGTTCAAATGTCTCGGTAAATTCATTGTAAGAAATTGCTTCTTGCAGTCTTTTGGGGTCATTGCAGGTATGTAAGAATTCTCCGAGTGCTATTTTGTTTAGCTAACTTGAGCAAAGCAATGTCCTGCGGCAATTTGGTTTTATCTCTTATGTTATTGAAGCTGCCTAAGAAGCGGCTAGAAAAGCAGTGTCTCGGCTGCTCTCCCAAATGTTACAATGCATTCAATGAGAAGAATGGCTTATACTGATGTGGTAGTCAAAAGGTCATATTTCTAACCCCTTTGGGCTTATTTCCTTGCGTAAATACTCAACATATCAGTGCCCTGTCCACTCTCGTAGGACCTCTCGGGCTTGATATACCACTTCCTCTCGAAAAAGCCCATTGCCATCTGTTTGTCCTGTTTGGGAGGATAGAGGATTCCATCACCACCCTCAGCCAGCAAATTCCAGTGCACGCCTTGCAAAGGCCATGGTGGCCCTGGATAACTAATTTCTTTGAAGAGAGGAAACTCCAGACAAATCAGAAGACCACCCGGAAACAACAGGTCAGCCATACGCGAGGCCCACTGAGCACGCATTTTCGGATGAAGAGCACAAAGGAACTGCCTTGAGTTAGCTTATGTGCGACGGTCTACATGTCTGATGACTTACAGTGTAGTCATAAATTACGTCGAACTTCTCCCCCTTCGTGCAGTCTGATTGGAAGAAATCACCTTGAATGAACGATACCGAGCCTCTTTCGAACTGATTTGCCCAAGCAGGTCCAAAGTTGTATGCTTGTGGCGCTTGGAGCTCTTTCTGCGCATACTCCTCTGCAGTGCAAACTCCCTTGGCCGAGATCTCTAGCCCAACGGCATCGAATCCATGCAGAGCAAGCATGACCACATCGTAGCCTTTCCCGCATCCCTGCACAGAGTTAAGCTTCCTAGATTTGTGAAAAATATGAGACAAAGCATCTTACAGGTATGAGAATCTTCTTCCTCTGGCCGTTAGCTGCAATTGGGCTCAAGATGTCTTTTCTTTGCTCTAGAAGGTCGATCAAGGCAGGCGAGGGCTTCCCTCTGTCCCACATGCTGCTGTTTTCAGTCTCCCAAAGATTGTCCCACGCAGCATTGTGGTTCTCGATCGAACTGCAAGCTGTCAGAGCTCTATCACTCTATTGAATAAGAAGATAACCTGTACCTTTGTTCGAAGTGTTCGATCAGGCGAGACTTGTTCTCGGGGGACTGAATGCGCTCTGGCGGAGTCGTCATTGTAAGAGTCGGTTGAGACTGCCGATAGAGAAATAGTATAAGGGGGGAGAATATTAAGGAAAGTAAAAAATTGGGTATCTACGTCTTTTATCGATCCGTTGATGTGGTGATGTGGGGCAAACCCCATTTTCTTTCTCGGAGTCACCCGGAGTTTCCATTTGATACGATACGCCCTACTGATTTCCTTTCATAGTAGTACACTTCTCTTTGTCAATTTCTAATATGCACCGACCCAGAGTAATGTTTACACAGATATCCCGCACCTGGGCATTCTCCTGGACTTCCCAACTGCATGACGTCATCGACATGAGGCTGTTGGAAAGGCTTGGCGCCGATTGAGCCTTTACGATTTCCTTTTTGGGATAACTGGTGACCCACGCCCTATCGGTTTCCTAAACTAGATCGCCATTATGTTCAAAATACTACCGGAAAAGATTAGCTTACATTCATTCTCATCAATCCTCATTGCTCCAAAATATCATACAATCCCATGGAAGACACAAGCAAAGCCGGGCCCTTTCTCGGCCAGCTTAAGAATGGCTCTGTCGCAGAATGTATTGGAGCTACACCACTAGTCCGTCTCAACCGCCTTCCTGCTGCGATTGGAATTAAAGCACAGGTGTATGCGAAGCTCGAATACTTTAATGCAGGTGGTTCAGTGAAGGACCGGATCGCCAAACGCATGATTGAGAAAGCGGAGAGAGATGGAGCGATCAAACCCGGGGATACGTTGATTGAGGCTTCGAGTGGCAACACGTGAGTCCAAAAGTGCCCACATGAGCTGTAAGGGAAAGGGCTAATGTTAGATGACGGGACAGTGGAATCGCTATTGCCTTGATGGCGGCCATCAAGGGCTACGAATGCATCATCACACTCTCGGAGAAGATGTCGCTTGAAAAGGAGCAGGTTTTGAAAGCTTTAGGAGCGAAAGTCGTTCGTACTCCAGCCGGTGTTCCCATCGACTCTCCGGACTCCATCATCAGCGTGGCACAGCGTCTCCAGAAGGAGATTCCGAACTCCTTTATCCTCAATCAGTACACAAACCCTGAGAATCCGGCTGCACATGAGCTTGGGACCGCGGAGGAGCTGTTGCACCAAACGGAAGGACGGATCGACGTGTTAATCAGCGGAGCTGGTACCGGAGGAACCGTTACGGGCACAACAAGGGGTCTTAAAAAACACAGGAAGGATATCCTGTGCGTGGCAGTTGATCCATTAGGATCAGTTCTTGCTCAACCAGACGATCTCAACAATCTGAGAGCGGAATACAGGGTTGAAGGCATTGGGTACGACTTTGTGCCGGAGGTCTTGAATCAAGCTGAGCCCGACCTCTGGATTAAAACCTCCGATCGGGATTCTTTCCAGTATGCCCGACGTCTTGTGCGAGAGGAAGGGCTTCTTTGTGGAGGGTCTTCCGGTGCGACTATTGCTGCACTAGCTCAGCTGGTCGAAGCTCGTCCTGAACTTAACGTGGAAGACAAGCTTGTTGTCGTTATACTGCCGGATAGTCTTCGTAACTATCTGACGAAGTTTGCCAATGACGACTGGATGGCAGAGCATGGATACGATGCTTTTAATAGCGGCTGCACTTTGGGACCTAGTTCTAAGAGCAAATGGTGAAATACAGTTTCTCCAACTAAGTACGAGATATTTGCATTGTTATCCCATGAAAGTAACTCTATATTAGTCGATAAGTTGCTTTGCCACCCCACAACTGAACAGATAACCTGCCAAAGCTATAAGGGAGGCAATATAAATAAATTTCTTCAATTTCTTCGCGACAGTTCAGCAGACGATTCCACAAGGACACCAGCTAAGGCTGTGCACAAGAGCTACTAAAAATTCTCTGTGTATTGTTGAAAATGTAGACAAAGCTGATTATCGCAAACTATGCTCTCCACACTTCGCCTGACTATCAATATGAACAACGTCAATGGGAATCTCCAACGATATCGACGAACGCCTTGCACTCTGAGAACAGAAAGACACAGAGTTTTTGACATAGTAGAGACGTGCGGTTAAACAGGAGTAAAATGTGGGGATCATAACCATGTCAACAGTAGGGTATATGGGGATACTCAAACGACATAAGTAAACACATTGAGCCTGATCATCTGTATCTCCCGAGCCCGCATCGACTACCCGCTCCCAAGTTGTAGGTGGTAGCTTGAGTTTGGACAGCTTGAAATGTTCCCGGCGTAATCCCCGTTTCATACTTGACCCAAGTCCTTGGTATACCATGGGAATACCATCCCACGGCACGGTGGACAAGAATGTCAATGATGTAAAACTTCTCTCCACTTCTAAGAGTTGAAGGAGATTTGCTTCACTTTTCGACGTGACTTTCAGTACCAAGCCCACTGCTATTGCCTCAGTTGAGAGCGGCCCTGCTTTTTGGGCATCAACAACGATCGCCGGTGGTTGATAGGCTAAGATTTGCACTTCCCTTATATCCGATGCACCAAGAAGGCTTCTCAACTTTTTTGTCTTCGATACTGGACCTCTGAAAACAGACATGGGCCGAGTTGACCGCGTGGGAACCACAGTGATCGAGGTGCGAGCGACGGCCTGTGTGGTAAACGAACTATGCAAACTATGCATAGGCCTTCCCTTGCTAACAAAATTGATACTGTAACGAATCTCCACTGTATCAGGACCACCAATTGAAAGACTGGGAGGAAGTAGACGATGTTCGTCTCGGAGTCCATCGTTGTCAATGGAGTGACTGCAGGCCCGATTCAAACGAAGTGGAACTGTTAGTTTGAATACTAGTCGCTGCGATTGACCTTTGGTGATGAGCTTGGCAGGTAGTCCTTGGTTGCCTATTAATGTCTCCTCGGTCTTTAAAAGGATATGCTCTTCTGATGTGACCACGACACCTTGAGCGCTGCCCATACCGGCACGTTGTAGCTCAGTGAAATTGGTTCCTAAGATATTTAGTAAAAAGTATTAATCTATTCTAACAATGGGCGACTTGCCTTCGATAGAAACATAAGCTTCAGTAATCTCGACATCCTGAAGAGCGACTATTTTTACAGATCCCCAAATAGCATCTCCCGGCATAAATGTATGATCCACGCGATCAAGTATGATTTCAGCTCGTAGGACCGCTTTTCTTCTGAAGAATTGTTTGAATTTTGAAAATATTTCCATCGTGATGATCTAGACTTCTCACGGCGGGATTCGATAGATGCTAGAAACGGCTCTATATAATATTAGTTCTTAGAGCCAACAAGATGTAGAGTACGAGTTTCACTTACAGATCATCTCAATTTTGCGCGACTTCGGCTATCGTCACTGCAGTTTGTGTAAGCCATGGTGAAAGAAAACGGAATGGGTTGTTAGATTTCATGTTGTAGGCCTGGGATCCGAATCCACCGAGGTTTCTCCGTGCGCCTTTCCAATTACCCCTTTGACCATTAAGGAATGTCGAGATGAATAATCCCGTCGTTTTGACCAGTAGCCTTTGTAACTTGGCCAAGTGATATCCTATTCTCTTCAAAACACACAAAGTGTACCATCAAATCTTCAATACCTAGCTCTTCAGTTCTTACTCAGTAGTCTTGCTTCCTCCTCTCTCTCTCCTTCGCTTGGTCAATCAAGTCTTTGCTTTTCTTCTTGGTCTTGGTAGCCTCAACAGGAATCACAAGTGAGAAACGAGGCTCTCAGGAAGAATATCACAAGGCATGCGATGTGACTCCCGAATATGCCATGAAAGGGACCTATTTAATTTGCGAGCACCGAAATTTCGATAAAATTTTTTGAATCCGTTATCTAATGCTTTCTTGTTGAAGAGATGTTAACTCGGCGGCACTTCCATCTGTATCGAACCGTGTCATAACATCGAATGACTTTGATTCTATGACTCGTTGAGGATTGAGCATCTCTCACGCAAGGGAATGTAGAGGGGAGCCTCCGTGACACATTGCATCGAGAGATGGTTTGTCTTGCTGGTGTTGAGACTCTGATTCGTTGCAACAAAAATGTAAATCTACCTACATCTCACGAATGGACCGCTTTGCAACTGACGTTATGGGCACGATGAAGTTATGGCTATAGTACTTCCAAATTGCGCAGATCCTGATATCCGTGATTTTCATGGTTGGACTGCCTTACATTATGCTACGCGAAGAGGACATTTTCAACATGGCTCTTTTATGTATAATATAGAATGTATAACAATAATAGACTACGCCAAAAGTCTTAAGCTATTGGTACCAATATCTACAACAAATGCAAGAGTGACAAACACTTGCGTCAGACGTGTCAAGGGCAATTCCGCAAAACATATCATCGTTGAAAACTTGACCCTAGGAAATTTGGGACCGCGAGTGGATAGGATCACCATGATATGACCAGGTTACTATTGCCATGCTCAGTGCCTTGCCTTGTTTTCTTATTTCAATTAAGGAATGGAGGATGGGGAAGGCGGTATGTAACTTTGATTGGTTGGCAAAGAATAGCCTCCAGGGTTTGACCCGTGTCTTCCTAATCTAGTAATTCGAAAGGCGTGGATGAGTAATACGTTCGGCCCCGAACCTTGGAAGGTTTCCACGCAGGAATATCTGAGCACTATCCAAACGTTCCGCTATGTCTGATAATGAGCTGCCCTCTTCTTTTCTGAACGGCGTTGATTTGCAGTGCTCTCTCTTCCCTGATCTACCTGATCTAGCGAACGATGATGGGCTGGCATTGAGCCCACTAGACCGCTGGAAGAACTCTCCGCCAGAGACAGAGGCTGTCGAGCTGGGTGACATAGTGAATTCTATCAGACTCAGCAACAGCCAAGGAGCATATCTGATGCAACAAAATTCTCAAGAGGCATCTTTTTCACAACGCGGTCATCGACGGTCTCACTGCTCAACATCATCAGTTGCTGCGTCCGACTCAACTAGGTCTAGTGCCTCAAGCAGCTCTGCGTCATCAGCGCACAGCTTTGTGTCGAACCTTTCGGGATCCTTTGGGCGATTTTATGCGGGAGCACCGACACGGCGCCGACGCAGACGCCAGCGTAAGAAGTCACCTGTGTCTTGTGGTCGTACTCAATCACCAAAACGGCTTTTCCAATGTACGTTCTGCACAGACAAATTCAAGTCAAAACATGACTGGGTACGGCATGAGAAGAGCCTGCATTTGCCGTTGGAAACTTGGACTTGCGCGCCATTGGGACCGACCTATAAGATCGAAGGTGCAAATCTATCAAGATGCGTCTATTGCGATATAGAGGACCCATCGGAGACTCATATTCGTGACCATCGCTTCTGGGAATGCCAGGAAAAGCCATCCGTCCTCCGAACGTTTTATCGGAAAGACCATCTAATCCAGCACCTGCACTTGGTGCATGGAACCGACCGCAGTATTCCTCACGTGGAAGAAACATGGAGATCAAAAGTAATACATGTCAATTCACGATGTGGCTTCTGCAAGGAAACTTTTACTCAGTGGACGGACCGGAATAACCACCTTGCAGCCCATTTTCGGGAAGGTCTCCTGATGAAGGACTGGAAAGGTTGTCGCGGTCTTGATCCTGCGGTGGCCCTTGCAGTTGAGAATGCCATGCCGCCTTATCTCATTGGTGCTGAATCTACTGGCATCAATCCTTTCAGTGCTTCGACGCGATGTTCGAATCCGCGGAATCACATCGGTCAGAGTTCTAATAATGAGCCTTTTCCGCAGCAAAAAGGGGATATCCAGCCAACTCCATTTGAACAGTTGACAGAACACTTGATTCGGTTTGTACGAGAGAGACAGACGACTGGAGTTCCTGTAACCGACGACGCTATCCAGCATGAAGCACGCTGTTTTGTCTACGGTGATGGAGATCCGTGGAATCAAACTGCAGCAGATAATACAGATTGGCTGCAATTGTTTAAAGTTGGAATGGGCTTGGGTCCATCTTTCTCCACAGCGACGAACGATGCGGCCGTGGCCTCGCCAAAGCCATCCTTTCCACTCCCATGGACAACAAAGACGATGAGTAGCAACGAACCACAGAGCCCACCTAAAGCTTGTGTCCGCGTTGAACCGCCGGTCGACCCGTGGGTGCCTTGGGCCTGGCAAAGCCCTGAATGCCTTGCAGAATTCCGCATGTCTAACGATCCTTCATGACCTTTTGCGAGCACTTTGTGGATTGCGGTCGTTGGAAGGCTTTCTTTTATTGGTGCTGGCGGATTGGGGATAAAAAATTTACCCGATTTCATTGTCAATGGTCTGTGGATTCTACCTCCGAAACAAAGCAGTCAATATGAGCGCAATGAACTTCCACACCCCTTTGCATCCTGCCACGCCTGTCTAACCAGATTAAACTCACTGCGCTTGGTTTTTACCTGACCGCTTTTCTTCGTAATTTTCCAATACAGTCAATAATTCTTATCCCCATACTAAATACTACCAAACCGTAAGTCGCTCACATGTACTCCGTAAAGTGATACCTATCTACCTACCTAGGTAGGTAGGTAGGCACGATCTATGTACTGGACTTTGAGACAAACAGCGCAAACACATTTTTTACTACATAATTTGTCTGCTTTCCGCATCTGAGATTTTCCCCGGGCCCCCGGCCTACCCTCGCTGTCACCTGACACATCCGTCCGCTACATGTGCGTTTGAGTACGCAGCAAGGGGTGACTGCATTAATGTGAACAACCAGCACGAGGTCAGCCAATTGACCAAGACGTTACACGAGGACTCCGTAAATCGAATACCCAAGACCCCTCTCGGCGATGTGAACAAACCTGATCATGACAGACACTTCCCTGTTCCAGATGTCGTCCAGCGCCTAATGGAACCACCAACGTCATGGAATTTCTCGATGCCGGAGCCCAATCACTCAAGTGTCGGAGCTTGAAATGATTGGAAACAATTGTTTTCAATTGAACCTGATGATCTTGATCCCATCACGAGATCTGCCTGACCCGTGAACCCCCGGGGCCTTCTTGGTTGTCTTTTTTTCTTCATGGCTTGTCTCCCCCAACAAGCTCTGATCGCTCTCAATCATTGAGCTCAGGCATTGGATACCGCGCTTGACCGACATTACTCAAATCCTAAACAGCTCACATATGTGCGATGTGTGCAGGCCCAAAGCGAGCGGTCAGAACCCGCATACTAGGCAGCAGTGCCTAGCATTTTACACGCCGAGGAGGGAGTTGAGCTCCGTTTTCCGAGACTTCAGTCAGTGCGGCGCCGGCTTGGCTAGAATCTGGCTCCTATTAGAATGGGTGGTGCAGAGGAAACCGACACCCTAGTGGCTTGGCTACGCTAGTATACAATGCTGGCAAGGTAGTATTTTGTAAGGCTGAGAAGGCTGAATTATTTTGTTTAAAGGGGGTCTGTATCCCCAAATTTGGGGTAAATATTTCTACAAGGAATTTTCTGAATTCAACCGCCAGAGCCTCCATTTCTATACCATGCAGCTCACCTCCTTCCTTGTGGCTTCTCTAGCCACCCTCGTCACAGCCGCCGAGCAGTCCACCACCAGTCGCCCATACTTCGGAGCCGGTTTCGACTGGGCTTCCAGAGTCCCCAACTACGAAAGCACTGCCGCCAGTGTCGCCGGCATCACCTCCCACCTCACCACATATGAGATCTCCTGCTTGACCGACGCCCCCAAGAGACTCTGTAACATTGAAACTCCCTGGACTCTCATCCAAGGCTCCACCACCTTCAGCTTCACCGGAAAGTACCTCGCCACAACCTCTCACAAGGTCGGCACCGTAACCGTCGACCGTGAATTCGAGTGCTCCTTCACCAGCACCAGCAAGTCTGCTTCTTGCGCCTTCGAGTACGAGATCACGGGCTCAAACAGTGGAACTACCTACTCCACTGCGACTTCGACTTCGACTTCCAGCGTCCCCACAGACTCTATCACGTACTATCCTTTGAAAATCACTGCTGGCATTTCCAAGCTCAACAGCGCCAAGACGACCTCCACCACGGGTGCTGCTAACCCCACTGCGAAGGCCATTATCACTGCTGCGCCCATGGGAGCTGCTGCCGCCGCCGCTATCGCTGCGTTGATCTAGTTTCGTTAGTGTTGGATATCTGAGCTTTGATGTTGGCGGTTAAAAACAAGGCCTAGGATCATTAGTGACTTGCTTTCTGCTTTCTGTGCGGTGTATCGAAACTGGTGCAATCACTTTGGCTCTTGTATTTGCTTTTGAAACCCCGCCAAGATGCACTAATTTATATTGGTAATTTTTCGAATGTTCTCCCGGCGTATCCCTGTCTGCTCGATGCGTATTGAAACTTGCTGCATTGCACGGTATTGTAAAAGCCGTATAGGGTTGTATTTTTGATACATCCGTGGACGAACCTGCCCTTCAACGCAAGTACCAGTGACTCGGATCAGAGCAGCCATGGATCCTCCAGCAGCTGCCTCGCAGTTCTGCGTTCTTCTGGAAGCCACTTAAGCATGGATCTAAGAAATTTTAGAAACTCCAGTTTCTCTGAGCCGGAAAGCCGGGTTTCGAGGCTATCCAGGGAAATTGGCGGCACACCCGCCTCTTCATGGGCTATCCAAGTGCCTGCGCCAAATTCAACTCTTAGCACTTGTCGAGAAAGTTGAGTCGATAATGATATTACTTACCATTGCGATCAAAGCATTGCGCTGTTGTTTCACTCCGCTGAACAAAGTTAGTCGGTGGTGGACCGATTAACGCGACCATTAATGCCAGATGCTTGAATGGCTCATAGTGGCCATGAGTATTCAAAATATCCCCAAAAAGATGCTTTCCTTCAAACAAATCCCAAACCTGAATATTAATCAGTCAACTGCTGAGGCTCACATAGAGAAAATATCACTCACAAGACACCCCAAATTCCAAATATCAACGGCGCTTCCCCAGGTCATCTCAAATATGATTTCTGGCGCTCGATAGATGTTCGGTTGTACAAAAGGGCTCGACTCATGTTTCTTTCCGATTCTCGCCTCTCCAAAGTCACAAAGGATCGGTAGTCCGTAGTTCGTGGGACGGCGGAACTGTCGACTCTGGTAGATTGTGCGCGATTCGTCGATCACTTTCCTCGGACTCGGTTGGTTGCGTTCTTCGGTAGCAAAATCAGACAGTATTGCGCTGTCTTCTAAGCTAAGCATTAGATTATCGGTCTTTAGATCTGTTTCAAGTCAGTCGTGTATTTGGTTTGTATCAAGGGTTTCAGTACCTGTATGAATGGTGTCGGCTTCGGTATGCAGGAAGTCAAGTGCTAGCAATATTCTTCGGAGTGTCATTTTGAGAAGAGGAAGATTGAACGGCTTTGGGTTTAATCTCATCATCTCAAGGATGGTCATATGCATAGGCTGGAGTACTAGACACCGGTGTTTACCAGCTGGACCCTGAAGCTCGAAGGAGTCATATAGCTCTCGGATGAGGGATTGTCCAGGGTGCGAGGAATTGATATTCGCGAGATGTTCGTAGATCTTGAACTCGCGATCAGTCGCGGTGGGGTACTTTTGTAGGGATGTGGAAACCTTGACCACCGCATACTTTTGACTCCTTGGATCAGTTAGCGTTGATTCTCTTGGCTTCAGCAGAGACATACCCAATATCACGACACAGCCAGCTTGTCGAGTATGCACCGAAACTGAGCTTGCCGGTAATGCGATACCTGCCATCTAGTACATCTCCGATGTGTATGGGGTAGAATTGTTCGGGCTGGTAGTGAGGCAATGTCTCTTCCTCGATGGGCCTTTCAACTGGTAGCCTGATATATGACCTCGAGTTGACTGGTGTTGCTCTGATGGCAGCCCTCAGAGAGCTTAAGCGTGGGCGCATGGCTGTAGGAGACAACAGTCGTGGCAAGGGGTTGTCGGGGTGTGGTGTAATTACAATACCAAGCGTTGTTGTTGGGGGTATTGTCCTGGAATCAGTACAGTACCAATACTCGTCCGGTGATACTTCACAAACCCCCTGTCTGCGGGTGTTTTCGGCGAATCAATGAATAGATTGCGGATCCAATAAAGATGTTTACGCTGCTGCCTGCCCAGTAGGGCTGATTTGGCACATCTGCCCCACAGGGGACAGCACACAGTCTGGGGCATTCCCGTCAGCACTCCATGGCTGGTGACAGGTCATCATTTAAATTGGCACACCTGGGCAGGGCCATGAGTTCATTGCCATTCATTGTTTGCATGAGGGTCAAAAACCCTCAATCACGCGTGAGCTGTGTTCATTTGACTCATATATAGCTGGACCCGAGTGTGTTGGCAATCCGTGTTGTGACATATGTACGGAGTAGCTTGGAGAGTCAGACAATCCCCCAGAATATACCTAGGTAGCTTTGCCGCCCAAACACCATACACACTGATTGGGAATGACATTGCTGGAACCTCATGCCGTTGATATCGCTCGATGACATCGGAGGAGATACCCTTACGGGCTTCGTCAAGCCGAGGGTTGTGTATGAGACGCCAAGGACACGATTAACGTCGGCTTCAATGAGGTCCGCCATATTTGTGACCTGGGCCGCCCCGCCAAGGTAGAAGTCGCGAGCCGTCATGCTCAATATTTTGCAGGTGGTCGACAGTACCAGTGGCAAGGGTCGAGGGGGGTTTGAAGATCTCAGATCTGAAAGACTCGGACGAATGCACACGAACCACAAGAGTGGTGCACCAGAGCCACGGCAGCATTGGATCAGGATTGGATCTGCAATATCTTCGAGAATGGGATCGATAGGTTACTGGGGCTGGCCTTTGGAATCGAAGTTGGTACTGCCGGTGATAGGACTGGACCTCTCGACATTGCCATGACTGCCTCTCGCGCTGCTTTCACGAGATCTGGATTTGAATTACCTCAAAATCCGGCTTTGGATGAGTATCCAACGGTCGGTGATAGCGAGTGTGTGCGCCCTGGCTCTGGTGCCATTTTCTCCGACACCTGCTCTTTTCCACAGGTGAGAGCAATTCACTTCCCGCTTTCCTCGACTGATCGGCCCAACGAAGAAAGAAACACGAAACACGAAACGAGTTCAGACGGAAATCCCAAGCGCAACAAAATGCGACCGTGACAAAGAGACCGAACGTTGCTACCGAGCGGACTTACGCGGGGTGAAACGAACCCGACAGAACCACCCGAAATTGCAACCAACATTGGCTGCAACAGCTCTGCACCGTCGATGTCTTGGATTGAACTGTCTCGGCCATGGTCCACTTCTCCGCACTTGAGATACTGACAGGCTCCGTTGAGTCAAGACACCGGGCACCCGAGTCCCCTTGGATCAATCGACTGTTGTGGGGGTTGAACCCGCCATCGCAATCGCCGTTCAGGGACCGAAAAAAACTGGGGCTGATGATAGGGAGATGATCTCAAATCTGGGCACTTCTATTGGCCCTGCGACGATGATGCCCAAAATCGTGGGAAACACTGCACGGGAAGGGTCCCGGGCGGGTAGAGCGATCGATGTCCAATGGTAAGGCGGGTTTTGCTTCCCCCGTCGACTATCGCCAGCCACCCTGTCGATCCGGGGTGGCGGCTTCGATTGCCGCTTTGGGGGATGAACCCGCCAAGCGATGGGTTCTCACCCCAATTGAGATATCGGGTTAATCATCTGATCGGATGTGATGTTGTTCACGGCTCGGGGTCAAAAGACCGAATGGCATATAAAGAAGCGTGGAGGAAATGGAGGGGAGACACTCAGAGACATTGCTCAAACTTCATACACCATGGCTTCATCAATGATGCACTACTTCGGCTTCGGCAAGGATGCTCCTCCCTCTGCTAAAGAGCAAGTCAAGGATACACCTGTGCGCGCCCTACCTGCTTCATGGTACACATCACCAGAGATGTATGAATTGGAGCGTCGCGCTATCTTCTCGAAGAGATGGCTGTTCATTACGCACAGCATGCGGGTCAAGAACACTGGTGACTGGCTTCGATACGAGATTGCTGGATTCGACTTCATCATCACCCGTGACCGACAAGGAGAAGTGAATGCCTTCCACAATGTGTGCAGACACCGAGCGTACCCAGTCATTGAACAGGAGGGCTCTGGAAACTCGAAGATTCTGTCATGTCGATACCACGGATGGTCATACGGACTGAACGGCAAACTCGCCAAGGCAACCGGATACAAGGACCTCGATGGCTTCGACAAGAACCAAAACAATCTCTTCAGAATTCACGTCAAAGTCGACGTCAACGGCTTCATCTGGGTCAATCTCGACGCGAAGGAAGAGCCCGAAGTCTCATGGGAAGAGCACTTCGAGAATGTCGACAAACAAGAGAGATACAAGCACTACAACTTTGAAGACTACGATCTTGACCACGCCTACGAGCTCGAAGGCCACTACAACTGGAAGATCCTGGCCGATAACTTCAACGAATGCTACCACTGCCCAACCACCCACTCCGACATTCCTGAATTCTTAAACCTCGACTCCTTCGACAGTGATACCAAAGACGGCCACATCCAACACCACTGCGAATCTACCCCTGAACAGATCGCAAAGGGCCTGTACACCGCCAGCACCTATTACTTCCCCATGTCCGCTATGGTCGTATCGTAAGTCTCGAATCAAACCAATCCACCAGTCAGAATCCAACTAACAAAAACAGCCCACACTTCATCATGGTCCAGAAGTTCCTACCGAAAGGCGCCGACAAATCCCAAATGGCATACGAAGTCTACCGAAACAGGAACTCATCTGAAGAAGACTTCAAACTCATTAGTGAAATGTACGCCCGAGTCATGAGGGAAGACAAAGTCCTTTGCACGAATGCACAGAACAACATCGACCGCAACGTTTTCACCAACGGTCAACTTCACCCCAAGTTCGAGAAGGCGCCACTCTTCTTCCAGAGCACGGTGCGGGAAGTCATCACTGAGCATTTCGAGCGGGAGAAGTCAGAGGGACGGGAGGTTTGGCCTGCTAAGCCTAAGGTTCCGTGCGATACGAAAGTCAGTGATAAGGATGAGGCGCTTTGTGCTTCTCTGGCTTGTGGGCCTCAGAAGGAGATATTGGCTTGGTGATTGTTTCCTGATGTTGGAGATGTTGCTTGTTTTTGATGCTTAAGCGATTGCATGGAGACTTGATATGATGTGTTGTATGCAATATCTAGAATGTTACCTGTTATTGAATTCTGCTGTCTTACCAAGATCAGATCAACTAGGTATCGTGGTTTTCCTCTGGTACTTGGCATCGGATCAAAGCTGAGTAAAGTTCCAAGGTTCACATGGCCAATGACACAGCGTAGTATGTTCAAGTTGCCAACTTAATACACGGGGTAGAGAAATGTTGACTTCCAAGAGGGAGAAAGTGAAAATACCTGGCATGACGACCCGACGGGGTTTAGGCCCCGCGAGCTCCCTGTCGCTGTTTCACTGTTTGTTACTGCATTTACCCTAGCCTGATGGAGTTAATTGGTCTTGTTGTGATGGATTCGTCTAAAAAGAGACATGCAGCAGCGATCATTGGAGGAACACTGCATCAAAGGCGGCTTGGCAGCATGGATTGATTCCAGAGCTGAGGACGAAGCAGTAGTTATGGGACTGTACGGAGTACTCGAGCGTATTGATAATTGACTCGGAAGGCCTGCGATGCAGACTCAGGTTGGAACAAAGAAATCCAGTACGAATCCATAGCTCAGAGATTGTGGTCATAATAAAATTTCAATAATATTCTCTGACAATGTCTCGCAGTAGATCAATGACATCTTTCACTTCACCCAGTCATAGACTTATCCATCACAATTTTCAACGACATCGCTCCACTCCGGGGTTTCCCTGATGAGTTCCCACATGAACTGTTCCAGCCCTTCCGCACACTTGTAGTACCGGGTAGTTGGTTGGTTGTATTGTCGGCAATTGTCGAACATCAGCTTGAGATCGTTGACCAAGTCCTGAGGAGTGGGGTAATCTCCAACCTCAAGAGCCTTTTCAATTGTACTCAAATCAATCGGATCAGCGATAACATCGTAGTAACCAGAGGCATCATCTTTGTTAACTGGCTTCCGGAAAGGCCAAGCTTGCCTATGACTCTGAATTTGGCCCAGGAAAACACGAAGCTCATCGGGGAGTTGCTTGTAGCGAGATTCGCGATACGAGGCTCGGAATTTCGCGTCTGCTTCGGGGTTCCATCCGGTTGCTCGGATGGCGGGGATGGAAAGAGGATCGATTGGGAAGACTCCATTGGCCCATTGTGCTGGGGGTGGATGGACGATATGGTTTCGATTCAGAGTGCGGATGTTGGCCTTGAGATTCTCTTTCTGTTTGTGAAGCATGCGACCTTCTTCCAGATACCGGATCCGGGGTATCATGGTGCATTGCATGAGTGTTCCTCCTTCATAGTCTTTGATGTACCCTTTCCAGATCTTCTTGTCCAGGGTGATGTCCTTGGTGAAACCGTGTTTTTGAAAATATCCGACGGCATGGTTGTCGGCGTAGGTGAGAAAGTCCATCACAGGGGACGATGCCTTCACATAGTCCTTCAGATGTGCCATCAGATGCGATCCATATCCTTTGCCCTGATGATTTGGGGAAATGGCGCAAAAGATGATCTCGGCGAACTTGCGGTCGCGGAATTCTCGAAAGGTGATTCCGCCGATGACTTCGAATGGCTTCTTGACGATGGCGATCGACAGATGTGCGCGCTCATAGACCACACGCGCGACGTACTTTGCGGACATGTTTGGTAGCTGAGATTGAAACAGGCAGTTCAATCCAGCCAAGGCGGGGACGTTTTCATGGTCTCCATCGTTGGTCACCACTCGAATCTCGATCTCGCCGTTTCGCTCTTCCAAGGCTGCGGGCTAGAAAAGGTCAGAGAGAAGACTTTTGCCGCAGGTGGTAGCTTACCTTCTCTTGAAAAGGGACTGGTTCGAACCCAGGCTCGATCGGCGCGTCCAAGTGGGGATCCTTCAGGTCCGGAGTAGGAGATGGCTCCGCCGAAGCCTTGCGCTTGATGCCGATGGAACTTTGCCCAGCTTGATCCATGATGATTGATGAATCCGAGAGAGAAGAGAGTAGATCGGGAGATATGTAGGTTGGACGGAGCCTGAGCATGTTGATGTTTACCTTGAAAGGTGCTGGAGCTTCTTTCCCCGTGAGCTCCCACTTCCTCATTGATCCCACTTCTTCTCTCTTTCATCTCAGATTCAAAACATTGAGCGTGAACATGACTTGCACCGCGCCCGCTCGTCCTCCCGCAAGAGATTGTGGCGCCTCGGATATCCTGGATCGCTCAGGAGGATGAGCCATGAGCAGAGTCAGCAACTGTCAATTGAAGAGAGCCGACATCCTCGCCCTTCCCGAATCAGCCTATCCAACACAGCTTCCAGAGGCATGTCAATTGCAGTTCTACTGTCAGTACGCGCCTTACTGCACTTCGCGCCCCGCTGTCCCCACGTATTCGGCTAGCCCCACAGATTCAAGGCCACCCATACACTGCCCCTTGCATTGCCGCCTTCCAGAAGGTCAATCGTTCCTGATGAAACATTCGCCACCACGACGCGCATCATATAACCGTGATACTCAGGTCCAACAAATACTGTACAGTCCGAGTGACCAGGAGGACCGGTGAGCTTAAAGGGACACGCCGCTCAGATCTGCCTTGCGTCCCTACGCAAAAACCGTGCCTGAGGTGCTTCCCCACTGAGCTTGGCCTCGTGAAAAGCATCGAATGGTCTGAGAAGCACCCGAGACCTCTACCGGAAAGGCTGGGTCATAGACCACTGAAGCATAGATATTGTTTGGTAAGAGCTTTTGAAGACGGGCCGTCTTTCAGGGGAATTGCCTATGACCCCTACTCAGTTGCCTTCCAGATGCGGAAGAATTACTTCCGTTGGGGTCTGAAATGAATTGAGCTGTGCACTAACCTTCAACAGAAATCCTCTCAGGCTCCAGAGCTGCCTAGTGGGGATAAGACCCTAAAGCTGGCCAGCTCAGTGACGTGCTTGTCGGATTTCCCGCTCGATAGACATTCGCATCCAATAGCTATATTCTTATGCCCCAGGCTGCAGCGATCCATGACACATCTCAATGGAAAGACCTCTGGGATCACTGTTATTCACGCCTGTCACTCCAGGGTTCCTCATACTGATAATTGATCCAAGTCGGGTAGTCCGTGTTCGTGTCCGTGTTCGTGAGCGGTCAGCTCAAGGTAATTAAGCAAACGCCTTACAAGAACATTTGTGGGGATACAGTAGTTTAATTTACGTTAATGTCGCAGGTCAAGACAAAACAAGCAGAGTCGGCCGTGGGGCCGAAATCTCTTCGGTGGGGCCGAATAGGGGCCTGTCTCCGCTGCAGCACAGGTTAAGGGACATTGACATCCTAACAAAATCATAGGTGCATATCATATTCACAGATAGGACATACTGTGGACTACTAGTCTCAACCGCACGAAAGCAACCTCACTATTCTAGTAGTACTAAAAAGCCCTTGAGCCGGTCGAATCCTCCGAAACCCTAATGTTTCAGTCCCCAGGAGATTGTAAGGGACGGGTGTTCTGTCTGTATATGAAACGCCCAACGCCCCGTTTGAGACAAGGGATCTTCATCGTAAGACTACTCTAGATTAACGGCACAAGGCCAGCCCCGAAGTCCCCTGGCCGTGTGGAGCTATACAGGATAGAGATATAAAACAGAAGCCCCAGACAATGTCAATCCATCGTGCCGGTTCTCTACACTTCATTCTTCTCTTCTAACCTTCTGGAAAGGTCTTAATTTCTTTTATTCACTTGTACATTCGATTCTTCAAATCCTTCAAAATGCGCTACTCTCTGACTCTTCTCGCCCTGTCCAACGCCATCGGCGCGCTCGCGGCTGCTGACTCTTGGGTCTTCGGTACCTCTGGATTCTACCTCGGACCTCCTTCCAACAGCGCCGAGATCGTCAAGGCCACTTACTCGATCACTCCCCCTGCCGTGCCCTCGAAGTACAGCGTTTCCGATGCCTCCGATGAGATCTGGGTCTCCCTCTGGGTTGGAGCTTCGTCTACCGCTGGTGACAATGACTACAACCTGTACCAGCCGCTTTTCAACTGGTCTCCCGACCAGGAGTCTCAGTATGTATAGGGGATCGCTCGGCGCAAAGCGAGAATCGATTGCTGATTTGATGTTCTTCCAGAGGCTGCACCGCCAGCAAGGATCAGTGGTGTGTTGCCGCCAGCACCTACACCAAAGGTAATACCCGTACCTGGGCGCCGAGTTATTGGAGCCCAAGACTGCCCCCTATCGAACTGGAGATCAGAGTCACTGACTACGGTTCTTATATTAGATGGTCAGATCGGCCAGGACTACATCGCCATCCCCAAGAGCACCCCTCTTGACTTCGAAAGTATGTCTTACTCCCAACCTGTTCACACTGCTCTATATATTCCAATCTGGATAACCCCAAATTTCGCCGGCTAACGATCCGAAGTTGTTGTCAAGGACAACAAGGTCACCCAGACCGTTACCATGAACGGAAAGGAAATCTCCAAGCAGACCGATGGTGAGTGAAGATTTTCAAGAGTACTCAGAAACGCCACTAATTCACAATGTCAGCTCTCGACCAGCCCCTGCAGTACATCATGTCTGCTGACGAGTGCTACACCGGCTCCGGCTCCTGCGGTACCGTCAACTCCTGGGGTAAGTTTTCACGATCCAATTTTCACCAATTTACATTCGAATGGAGCTAATCAATAACTTACACTATTCAGACGTTTCCAACTTCACCGTCACCCTGAACAAGGCTGATGCCAAGTTCGGCAGCACCATGACCCAGGGCAGCCTGAAGACCGCCGACAAGGGTCTCACCTGGACCACTGACTCGATTGAGAATGGACTCATCGACTTCAGCGACTCCTCTGACACCATGTAAATGGTGTCATTGATCTCTGTGTTCGGATAGTCGAAGACCATCATATTTCTACTCGGGTATAATGCAAATTGTGCCCATTGGAAATACCAGAAAGGGGCATATTGCGAGCTTTTTGTGAGGACGCGTGGATTTATACATTTGTGACATACTCATATAATAGACATCGACCAACATGTTCAAATAAACCGATGCACTCCCATCCTAATTTTTCCCCGCTGGATACATACTCAAAGAATTTTTCGAGCTACTGCTGGGGTTTTGTATCACCTCCGCATATGTCCGCAGAGGCGGAAGTGACCTCGTAGTCGGTGCGAACATGAACAACGCTCAATGGCGACATTGGTACCTCATCAACAGAGGGCGACTCAATGTCTCCAACAGAGGCTGACTTGTCCTGCTTACACGCTTCATTTGACTTCTTGAGCATGGGCTCATAAGTGTTCGGATAGGACGCTTTGCCACCCGAGTTTGGACCATGAGTAGTGATGAAAAGCTGACGCAGGGAAGGGACGCATGAAACAATGATTGCTAAAGATATTGAATTAGTGAAATCTATTCAAAAGTCGTTGACATGCGACATACCGATGTCAACCTCGACAAAGCTCCAGAAACAGAGCCAATCGATGTTGATCTGTCGGTCGTACTCCATTCCGACCGCTACGCGGATGATGGCGCTTATCATGATCACCACCGTTGCCGAAAACATACTCAGCAGGACGAGCTTCTTGCGGCGCGAGATGCGAGTGTTCCATAGCACGATGAAGGGGATTGATAGGACTGATATTGTCAATCAATGTTCGAGAGTCAACATGTGTGAGATAGAACTTACTCATCAAGTCCGTGATCACGTCGCCAGCGGCGTTTGCCCAGAAACTGCGGTTTTCGTAGTGAATATGATGGAGTTGTGGACATTGAGCTGGAGATTTGTCGATTAGCCATGTCATTGGAGATGGTTGCTGTATGCCGAGTGACGAGAGGTAGTACATACTGACAATATATTCAATTCCTCCCAAGCTGCACTTATATTCAATGTCACCGATCGAGGCGATGTAGACAGCTGCAGTGCAGAAGAGCACAACAAACCACCATATGCGGAACTTCTTCACCTTCGAGCAGAGCCGGTAAAAGAATGCCATGAAGGAGAACTTGATGCACCACAGTCCCGTATAGAATAGAATCTGGAATGGTGCATTGTACCGCATGAAGACGTTGTATCGTGGCAAGAAGTCCAGGGTAAACGGCTTCGTGCCCGCGCTTATGGCATATAGTTCGTATAAGATTTTGCCTTTCACCTGCCATATGATAGCGGCACTGAGTATAATGATCCATGCAGATATGACGAGAAAATCGTCGATAAAGAGACGGCGGAACGAGGTGAGTTGGACGTATACACGGAACAAGACGAAAAGAAATGAGATTGAGGTCAGAGCCCAAAACACACCCTGTGAGTATATCGTTAGCCATGGATGGGAATTGGAACTTGCATAGGTACTTACCAAAAAGACATTTTCGGGAATCCTGCTATGTTGGTCATCATATGCGGCCATTGCTGCTCCGAGTATATTGGGGAGTGCTGGAAAACAGCATCAAGCGGCAGCCAGCTATAGATATGATTCTAAGAGACACATGATTTTGGCCTCGAAAATTGCAAATCTCTTTGTTGATGATATGGCGGAGTGCCTCGCCACCCCTCAGTGCGATGCCATGGCTGAATGTTGGAATTAGTATGTACCAAATCTGGATGAATTTCTTTGAAGATAGCACCAGATGAAGGTTACCGTGGCGAACCGTGCTCGGCATTCCTCACGTATGTCGAAGCTCGGACTTCGACGAAAGCGCCACCAGATTTGGCACGGAGAAAGCAAATCAGAGTCGCAGTCAAGCGATAGTCCACTTGGTGTTGCCTTTTCTGATATTTTGACTATATCCATGTCATATTGAGTGCGTTTGATAGGATGGTGGGCCATCTGACGACAGCCCAGGCTTGGGAGCTATTTTTTTGTCAAAGAAAATATTGGCTGCCGCACCCAATGAGCAATTAACTGGAAATCATATGTCGAGGCGATACTAATAAGATGAGACTTGGTTTTATGGTACACGAAATAGCCAGAATCCCCGTATTCCATGAGTTGGCAGTGGCCATGGAAATGTCATCGGGGAGTAACATCGGCAGTGTAGATGGCCACGTGGGATCCCCGTGGAACCGGAGGTCGAAAACTTCACTTCCACGGTCGACAAGCGATGTCCCGCGAGTAGAACGGTCATCTTGAGAGATGATTGGTGAGAAAATAGGAACTGAAAATCATCCAGGAACCTTGGTCGTTGATCTGGGACCAATCGGGCGACCAAAGAAGTCGGTTCCGATCTCAAAACAAAGAACTACAGTGTAGACCTCAAACCCCTGCAGATGAGGTCGACCGGAAATCATATTTGGACAAGAAGTATTCCTAGCCATGGAAAGCAGTTGGTTGGGAGAGCGTACAGCTTCAACGTCTAGCATTTGGTCGTGGGTCACTTCCAGGGTTGCAGGGAGAATTTGGCGCCACGTAGGTTGTAGGTGGCTTAATGGCTGTTTGTCGGTGCCAGTATTGCGTCCTTCAGAGTCATAAACCTTGCGTTTGGTTATGCCAGCAAAATTGGATACATTGAAGTATTTAAAGAGAATATATCTAGGATAGTAATGTCGGCAGAAAAGCTAAAAAGTGAATATTTCAATGCCCGATAAAAATGAATGACCGTTTTAAGAGGGTCACATGACTCATGACGATGAGGTGGGGCGTTGGAGTAAGTATACGAGCCTCCACATCTTGACTCCAACAACTCCAATAACTGCGCAGGTGGTAGGTAGTCGGGATTCCGTAGCTACCTATGTAGGTATGTGCTTTATTATAAATCAACTACACAGCCGGGGACATAGTGTTCAGCAAATTGGGGAAGAAACACTTCCAATGTTGGAGATCATAGCACCCTGTGGATCAAGCCCTGGAGTCTCATGGAAATTCTTTGAAATCAACCACCTCACTCAGAGCGACTCTGTCATGCCAGGTATTTATATGAGTCCAAGGAAGCATCTCAGCTCACTTCATCACCCACTCAGTCTCTACATTTGTGACTCGTCCTCTTTGTCTCTTCATCAAACCCACCATCATCCAAAATGGCCAACAATCTTAAGCCTCTCACTTTGCACGCCCACTCCACGGGCCCGAACCCATACAAGGTCGCTATTCTCCTCGAGGCCCTTGGTATTCCCTACAATGTCAAGCTTTGGACCTTTGGCGACGACTCTCATGGAGTCAAAGGCCCCGAGTTCCTCGCCATCAACCCCAACGGTCGAGTTCCTGCGCTGCAGGATCCCAACACCAACGTCACCAGCTGGGAAAGCATGGCCTGCCTGAACTACCTGATCCGCACATACGATCAAACAGGCAAGTTTGGTGCAGGCCCAGAGGCAACAGAGCAATCCAAGGTCGAAATTGAGCAATGGACCAGCTTCTTGATCAGCACCATGGGCCCCATGATTGGACAGTGCAACTGGTTCCGCCACTACAATCCAGTCAAGAACGACGATGCCTACAAGCGTTACGAGGCACAGGCTTACCGATGCCTCGGTGTCCTTGAGGCCCAGCTGAAGACCAACGATGGCAAATGGATTCTTGCAGGCCCTGAGCCCAGCATCGTCGACTTCCACTTCGAGCCGTGGGTCAAGCAGTACGACTACGCTGGCCTGACCCTCCAGGACTACCCCAAGGTCCATGAGTGGCTGAAGACAGTGCAGGCTCTCCCTGAGCGGGTTAGGGCCTATGCCAAGGTTCCTGCTGGAGAGGAGGCTTAGATATAGCAGAGTCAGAAGTTGTTCAACAGGAAAAGTGCGTCATAAAGTCGAGAAGATGAGAAGGAATTTGTGTATCTTATACAAAATCAAAGGTATCGCATTCAATATCGACAATGTATGCTATGACAACCTCTTTTTGCTCGAGAAAAATCAACCAATGCATGTCAACTTTTATGTTAGAAGCTGCCAAAGCACCGAGAGGTTCACTCTCATAGCCCAAAACAAAGTTCCAAGTAATGATCCCAATTCCAGAGCAACCCTAATTAATATCACTAGACCTTCCAAGGTTGATTGATGATTGAAATCCTGACATCGTCGTTTGGGAGAACTTGTGTAGTTACCCTAATATTGTCGGAGTCCAAAATAAGCCTAGTGGGGCAACCCCAAGAGACGGATCATTTCATCCAGCTACCCCAATACCTAGTACCACCAGTGTCCACAGACCTAGACCCCACAAGAGCTCATTTACAGAAACAGCGTCGAGGAAATAACGACATGAAACTAATCAAGGTGTGTCCGGGACTTGCAAGAACGCAATAACATCTTGACGAACAGCTCATCTTCAGTATTATCTAAGAAAGGGTTACATATGAGTTTCGATATCGCCGACTCAGTTGCGCGAATTCAAGCCAAAAAGTCAAAGCCACAAACCAGTCTACTGAGCGCGAGTACAGGAGAGGTCCACCACGCAATATCATTCAGGCTTACAGGAAGGGGTAATGACTGGGTCCTCGGCTCCTTTATCAGGCAGTTGTATGATCAATACCATTGATGGTGCATGTTATACTGCAGTGTGCGTCCGTCTGTTTTGAATCAGTATCTCACGATACTTCTCCAAGCTCTGCCCGAGGATATTGATCAACGGCCATTGGGTATTACTTTTGAAGAAATGAGCCCAGAGCTGCAAGACTGCAAAAGATAAGTTCAACGGATTGCGGAAATCGATGAACTCTGTCGGATAGAAATCAACCACCGAGTAGGCCTCTTCTATAATGCATCTCACCCAATACATTATTCTATCCTCGCTATCTGTTGAGAGGTCAGAAACAGCACCACATCATTAAGACCAAGGACGTACCACTCAGCGGAATGACAGCCATTGTTTCCGCAACCCGAGAAAGCCATTTGCTCAGTAACACGCCACACTCTAGACTGGAAAGTGAATGCCTCACACTCCAAAAAAAGGCCTGGCTCTTAGCAACGCGATCAATTCCCAGCTTGACAGGAATACTCATCATATGAACTGAGTAGAGTAGCGCCGCAATGACACCATCGCTGCGCTCGATCGGAGGGCTCGATGCGATGGCGTGGGCGATGAGCTGTGGATCACGCGTCTCGAGCTCCCTATAGGGCCCGAGGTTCATGTAGATACGTGTGTATGCAAGGGCGAGTAGGGCGCTGGATGTGAATGGAATGGGGCCATTCTCATTGTTTGGGTCAAGGGTAGACTCGGGAGCCTGTTGCCAACAGGAAGTCCAGGAGCGGAGCCCATTTCTGTGCTGTTAGTGACGACCTGGATATGGTAGACAGTGGGGCCGGAAATACCCAAGTTTCTCAGTCTCTTCTCTTGGGAGCGCTGCCGTATTGTTCACAACTGGTAAACATAAATCTCGGACAATATGGATCCTCTGGAGTAGGCCATGGAGGAGAACATAGTTCCCAAGCGGCGTCGGAATAGGATCTAGCGGGGTAAGCTCATCGCGATTCTTCAGAAGCAAGGAGAGAGCGTCCTTGAAATAAAGCTGAGGCTTTCGTATCTCCTTCCTCGCAGCGTGCCAAAGTAACTCGTTTGGGGCCTTCCACTCTTTGGTTGAACAAGGCAGTTGAAGGCCGATCTCATTGCTGCGCAGAGTAGGATACACATTGTACGCGATGCTATGAGTGTGGAGAAAAGAGAATGCGATCAACCTTGTTCGCCGGCTGGATTCTTGCTCGACCCACGATCGCCATTTCAGTCTCGCAGTGATGGCATCGCTTTGCTCATCTGAGGACGTGGCCGACGTAAAGTTGTCTGCATCTTCTAACCCAGCCTCTCTGATGACAAATGTTAGGATCTCTTGCAGGGCGAAGGCCTCTTGCACCATCGACGCTTTGGGTTCCCATGTGGCAAACCCCATTAGCGTAATCAAAGCCCTGATACTCTCAATTAACGAACTTTGATCAGCTCCAGTGAAAGAATCCTGGCTCTTCATCGTGGGGTAAGGGCACGCTGAACCGAAACCCTTGGAAAGCCCGTAGATTTCGGTTTTGATTTCAAGGCCGGCTATGAGGATTGCTTTTCCCGCAAAGAACAATCTCTCCGACACACGTCGCTCAAAGCAATAATGTGCGCCAATTGCAGCGATTCCAAGAACTAATTCCGGCGAGTGTTCGTGGATTTGCCATGTAGGCACGTGGATGAAAGGCATGTGGGAATGGAATCCTCCGAAGAAAGAACCGATGTAGCGGGTGAGGGCATGGCGGGAAGGGAGGAGGAAGTCTGAATCGAGTAGATGAGAAGAATCATTTAGTTTAGATTTGAGTTGAGATCGCGCTTCTTCTGTCACTTTGAAGAGCTGGATCTCAGGGTCGACGGCATGTGGATATGATGACTGTGAGCGGACGTTTGGCTAGTTTTCAAAGAAATTGCTTACTGTCTGTCTCAGCAACATGGTGCGAAGATTTAGTTCCGCCTGGTGCAGAAGGCAACCATGAGCTGAACGGCGTACCAGCTCTTGTTTGGGCCTCTCGTCCAGGCGAGGCGGCTTCAGTGTTTTCAGTGGCGTCTCCTAACTTGAAAAGAAATGGATTCCCATCCATACTAGACTCGTCGACAACCGGGCTCCATTCGTTGGGAAGACCGACTCCGTCGAGGAAGTTCGTGAACTCACGGAAGTGTGTATCAAAGTCGATGCCTAATGAAATTTAGTCTGGGAGCACAAAACACTGCATGCTGTAAAATCACCATCATATATTATTGGCGAAAAGAGGTCAAAATCGGACTGTTGCGCTTTCGTGGTGCCATCATGTTCCTCTTCACCGGCTACCGCCGTTTGATCAGGAACCTCCGCCCACGGCTGATTTGTCGGAGAGGGGCCGTTCAGTCCGGACAAAGAGACAACGGCACCAGAGTCCACCTGTCTGGCGCCACTTTGCTGCCAATGTCTGTGCGAAAATCCTGCAGAGCCAGCCTCGGAGGTTGTCCCGTCTGGAGGTGGATCGGCCTCCTCATGCCCAGTCAACCTCCGATGCCGCGTGAGCAGATCTCGTCTAGAGAACGAAGACCCGCATTGGCACAGAAAGGGCTTCTCCTTAGTATCTGTGGCCTTTTTAGTGGTCGTTCTATCACCATATAGCATGTTAGAGAAGCTCACGCGTTCGCACGTGCCGCTCTAGGTGCTCTGTCCGCCTAAACCTGCGTCCGCAGTGAGAACACACACGGCATACATCGCTTCTTCTAGCCCTGCGCCGCCTTTTGGAAAATTGACTATCGAGACTTTTCGGTGTATCAGCCATTTCAAAAATCGAGTGGAGGGAAGAGTGAGATAATTGGGGCAGCACTGGCTTAAGTTGGAGTTGGGGGGACCCGGAGTCGGGCTTTGGCCGGTGCCGGGCCCGGGCCCCGGGGGGGTTTCTTGATTTGTCAAGAGTATGTCGGAGGTTATGTCCTTGAGTGCACCAGTTTGCCACTTACTTCGCCATCTACTAAGACACCTGGATATTCTCAGGCATATATCCCCTAATACCCAGAGCTCGTGATGTGCATTGAAATGATGATTAGGTCATTACGATTCAGAAAGCGCTTACTTGCGGGATTCCTACGCAGCAGGTGCTTAAATATACAGTTAGAAATTAAACACTGACTTTTCAATTCTGCAGAAATGATCAATCCCCAGTTTCCTTGTTGGGGCTTGAAATGCTACCTAGGTATGTCTAAGTTGACGCAGCCAGAAATTCTTTGCTGAAAGGATAGTCGGTGTACCCTTCAACTTGCTTCGGGGCGTAGAACGACGACCGATCGTATTTGGTGAGCTCAAGATCGTGTTCAATCCGGTATGGAAGATCCGGATTCGCAAGGAAAGATCTTCCAAAGACCACTCCGATGTCGTTGTTCGGATACTCTTGATCCACAGCATACTTCGCGGACTCGGGGGTAAATCCACCAGCAACCAAGACAGGAGAAGTCTTTCCCCAAATATCCAACGCAAACTCGATTCCTTCAGTCTTTTCGACATCAACATTGTTGTGTACCCGCGATTCAATGACATGAAGGTACCCCAATTTCAGCGCCTTGAGATGTTCAACCAGGTAGGAGAACTGAGGAATTGGATGGCTCATCCGCATGCCCTGGAACGAGCTCCAAGGGCTGATGCGGTACCCAACCCTCTCTGGTCCAACCGCCCTCACAACTGCATCGGCAACAGCCAAGGGAAATCGTGCGCGATTCTCCACGCTTCCACCATAAGCATCCTCTCGCTGGTTACAGGTGTCCTGTAGAAATTGGTCCAGCAAATAGCCATTGGCCCCATGTATCTCAACGCCATCAAATCCCGCTTTGATAGCATTCCGTGCCGCTTGCGCGTAATCCTCGACGGCATTTTGGATCTGACTTTCCGACATGGCTTGAGGCTGGCAGGCACAATCCGTCAGAGAGATTGGACTCGACGACAGAAGCCCATGCCCAACTTCTTTCAGGAGGGTGGCTTTGTCCGCCGCGCGGCCGGGTGCCCAGAGCTGGCAGTTGATAAAGCACCCTTTCGCGTGCACGGCGTCCACAACCTTTTTCCAGGCTTCAATTTGAGCATCATTCCAGATGCCCGGGGCATTAGGAACACCACCGTGGTCTGGCGAGATAATTGTGGCTTCGGTGATAATCAAGGTTCCCGGAACAGAAGCTCGCTGCGAGTAGTATTCAACTGCCACAGGGAGATGAACATGGTCATCACTCGCCCGGAACCGGGTGAGCGGTGCCATGACGATGCGGTGCTTCAATTGTTTCTTCACAATTGTGAGAGGTTCAAAGAGTTTCGACATGATGAGACGGTAACTTGAAAGCCGTTGGTAAGCTGTTGTATAGGTCTGAAGTTGGATACCTAGGTAGGCATGATGGACGACATGGTTTATATAGGTATCGACTACACCATCCAGATGACGTACTAGATTCTCGTTCCCGAGGGTCCTAGGTGGCTAATTCCCTAAGTACAGTATGGATTAGTGGTTCGATGAAGATGCCATCATGACTGCATTGCGTTTCCGATCTCCGGAAGGCCAGACAAAATGTCTCCAGGGCTGTGATACAGTATTCCATAATCTTTGTTTCTAGAATATTGTGTTGACCAAGCGTGGCTGATTCAGTTGGAGTAGGGTTCTCCAATTTGGGACAGATCCTCCCGTGAATCCAGTGGAGGTGTTGGGGTAGGCTGCAACTCATACAACGAACATATGTAACCCTGAGACTGTCTTAACGTCACTATCAAGATTGAATGATTTCTAAGCTTGTATGCCCACCTGGGCAGGTGTCGCTAATTACCCCAAGACTTTTGAGCGTCTCACGAAATTCCCCGAATCTTATGAAACGTAGGCTTGATTGGGTGATTAGTTTTCAGAGCCCTTCTTTCTGGTCCACGGGTGTCCTCACAGCCCGCCCTTCGCAGCCCTGGAGGGTGACTAGGTGCACGTGACCCGCAGTCCTGCCCAGGTGCAGTCATAAAGTTGGAACATGCCCTCACTCTCTTCCATCCTACAATCCTTGTTTGGCAATTCTGCAATACAGCAAAATGACTTCCCCTATTTTCGAACCTCTTGACATTGGACAATGCCGGCTCCAACACAGGATTGTTATGGCACCTATGACCCGATTTCGCACCGATTCAGATCACAGCCCTCTGCCAATTACCAAGGAATACTACAGTCAACGATCACACACCCCCGGTACATTGATAATTAGCGAGGGCACAGCAGTGTCAGAGACGCTCGTGGGCCTATCTCAATGGGCTGGTTGTTGGAGCGAAACCCAGTTACAGAAGTGGAAGGATATCACCCAAGAAGTCCATTCCAAAGGTTGCTACCTCTTTCTGCAACTTTGCTGTGCAGGTCGCACGGCCGACAAAGGATTTCCAAAACTCTCGTCTGGCGACATCCCCCTCGAGGCTAAAGCTAGTGCCATAGAGACAGAGGACGACGACATACCACCAAAGCCGATGAACGACCAGGAAATCCAAGACGCCATTCGCGACCACGCCATTGCTGCTCGCAATGCCATAGCCGCTGGCTTTGACGGAGTTGAGCTTCACGGTGCCAACGGCTATCTCATCGATCAATTTATTCAAGAGTCTTGCAACAACAGGACAGACAAATGGGGTGGTTCGGTCGAGAATCGATCGCGGTTCGCATTGGAAGTCACTGCTGCTGTCATTGACGCTATTGGTGCAAATCGGGTCGGCTTCCGCATCAGTCCCTGGAGCACATACCATTCCATCGTGCCATGTGACCCAGAGGCTCAATTCACTCACCTGGTCCGCGAATTGAAAAAAATGGAACTGGCGTACCTTCATGTCATTACATCTCGCGTGGACAACTGGTATGACGTGGACCGTACAAAGCCCCTCGACTTTGTCTTTGATAGTTGGAGAAGAGACAAGCCAGTGATCATCACCGGTGGCTTTGATGCCGAATCAGCGAAGCGCGCCGTTGAGGAGCACAATGGCTTCAATGTTGCCATTGGCTTTGGTCGCTCATTTGCTTCAACGCCGGATTTAGTGGCCTGCATTAAGAAAGGCATCGCTCCGAACCCTTTCAACGGCGACCTAGCCTATACCCCCCGTACTCCAAAGGGATACATCGATTATCCTTTTCTTTCCTAGATATTTGTGGTAGCCTGAAAACCCACGCTGTTTGTTTGCCTGGCGAATAAGCTGAAGCAATTGTACCTCCATCCCGCCTCCCTTATCACGTAGTTTCGAGACCCATTGGGAACGGACGGAGCGTCTGATTGCACAGCAGATGTCTTCGACAAATCCCCGAGTAATCAAACACACTTGGGCACCCGTGGACTGAGCACTCGATGGGACCTCCCGAGGTCGGGACCTTGAATGATAGTCACGTGATTGTATTCAGCAACCTTGGAATTCACTGAGTCTGAGTCCGGACTGAGATTCACTTAGTGAGCCTTGCCCTGAGCGCCCTCATGAAAGCGGTGGCACCCAAGACCTAAACCTTAGTCGTTGATTTGGGACCAATGGGGCGCTCCAAGAGAGTCAGTTCCGATCTCAAAACAAAGAACTGCAGTGTCGATCTCGAAACCCCCGCAGATGAAGTCGACCCGAAGTCAACTTTTGAAAGGGACAAGTCTGCCAGCTTCCGCGAGTTCGTAGTATTCAGAGCATGCGCATTGACCAGGAGCTAATGGTGATACCACACTGGCCAGCCAGTTCTCCAAGCTCCATACTCCGTACTCTGTGCAACAACCCCATTCGTTTGCTGAGTTCTTGAGAAGGCCGTGCAAAGAGCTGATTCAATTCATATGACCAATTCGAGCGGATAAGAAGGATAGTAGACTGTTCTCGAGGTTGAGCGAATCCGAGTCAGGAAAGCAGCAGTTGACGGAGGCAATTCGGCTTTCCGCTCAAGGGCCAGGGCGGTGACCAAACAGGGCCAATCCAATGCAAACAGTGCAAACAGTACAAACATAACCTGACTGAGACAGGGCCCAGCGCCGTTACTGCGGTTGCCACAACATTGCTTGTTCAACGTCTTCAATTCCACCGCAGAAAGTCCATGGGTTGCTCCAAGTGACACAAAAAGCCAACAAGAGATATAACGTTTTATTGGGACAATGCCTGCGAAAGCTTGAGTTGATGCTCAAACGGCTAACTACATGAACTCCATCCTGAATCCTTGACCCCTTTGGGCGTAAATCGGGAGTGACATATTCGTCCAAAAAAACCCAGAGATCAAATCTGTGCGTTTGCACCGCGATGTGAAACCTGACCCTAAGCCATGCTTCATCGGAGCCTTGGCCGTCGGCATAATAACGGCGATTATATCATTTGGAGAGACAACCTTGGAAGACTGCGTTGCCCATCTCTGGTCAGACAAACACGCCATTTCACATCTTCTTCAAAAACAAGCCTTGATTCCAAGGTTGCAAGCCAGTGTCATTCTCAAAGCTTCGGATGATTACAATCTTGGATCAACTACCACGAACGGACTTGGATAGCGTGCAAGACCTACGGTGCATGTCCACTGCCCTATTTTCGATTCACAAGATGTCAAAGCAGCCATTTGCCGCAGCGATTGATGGAAGTAACTTGAGATGAGGACATCTCGAGTGCATTGGATACAACCTCGGGCTATACAACCGGGTAAGAAGATCCGGGTGAATTCTCGGTGGCTATGATGTTCTCTAGGGAAAGCGCACCGTTCGATTATTTTCCAGCAGCCTAAAGGAACTGTGTTACCTCAACGCGAGGGGAATGTTCACACATGTGGGAGCCAGCTGGGCATCACACTGGGGAGGTTCCACTGCCAGTGTTGAGCTCACTGCCCTCTCATTTATTCTCTTCTCTCTTTCCCTGTCTCCCATCTCCCACCAAACTTATCTGATCTGGCTTTAGATCATGCCTTTCGGATTGGTGACTACACTAGAGCTGAAAAGATCGCCCCCGGTGACGAGATCAGGATTATGTTGCGCCAGATCGCCACTTGCTCCGAGGGCATCGGGGTTGCTGGTCCGAACCCTTCCCTGGGCAACGAGAAGTTCATCACCCCAATCGCTGACCTTGAGGAGGTCAAGGAGGAGATAACCGTGACCAATAGTGTGCTCATCGATGACTATGATCCCGGCACCAGAGATACCATCATTGTCACTGGTGCTGACGTTGCTGCGCACCTGATGCCAATGCGAGATGACCACGACACCGCGATCACATTTCGGGCCATCTTCCTAGGATCGGTTTTTGTCGCCTTCTCCGCAGGTCTGGGTCAGATCTACAACGTGAGTTGCATCGTACACCAAGTTTACTACCCATACTGACACAGAGTCTTCAGTTCAAACCCGGCGGCTCAAGCCTGGCTAGCAGTCTCATCCTGATCTTTGTGTACGTCCTCGGGACTGCTTGGGCCAACGTCCTCCCAGACGCCAATAAATTTGAGAATCGATGGAGGGCTCGAAGGGGCCAGGGAAAGACCCCCAAGTGGATATCTGCCCTTCGATTCCTGAATCCTGGCCCATTCGGTATTAAGGAACACGCGGCCATAATGATATGTTCTTCTGCAACTACTGATGACGCTGATTTCACGGCGCTATTCGCAGCACAGAAACTTTTCTACGACGTTCCTCTGACTGCGACTTCCATAGTCCTCACCTTGATATCTGTTGGGCTGTTCGGGTACGGTGTGTGTGGCCTCATACGCCCTGTCGCTGTATGGCATCTTGAAGCGGTGTACTGGACCAACATTCCCAGCGTGAAAACGCTGCAGGATCTTCATTGGGGTAGTTACCGTGACTCGCGGCAACTGCGGTTCTTCTGGTACGCGTTCGGGGGCATGGCCATCTACCAAATCATCCCTGGATGGATGTTTCCTTGGCTCAACGGAGTGTCGATCCCGGTCCGTTTCTTATACCCAGGAGAGAAAGTCACTGTTTGAGATAGCTCTGCTGATGATCTGATGTATAGTGTCTCGCATCTCAGAAGGCCACCGGTTACAACGGCTCAGTTCTCACCAATCTCTTTGGCGGGGCTACTGCCAATGAAGGTCTCGGCTTTTTCAGTCTCTGCTTTGACTGGCAATATGTGCGATCCACCCAGCCAGAATCAACACCCGAGACTTGCATGCACTGACTTGCCTACAGCTCGGAATGGGGACACTAGCCTTGCCTCTGAAATTGCAACTTCACTCGACAGTGGGCTTAGGCATATGCTGCTTGGTCATGATTGCTATTTATTATGGGAATGTCTGGGACGCTCTATCGCAACCTTTCATGTCCCCAATTCTTCGCACTGACAGTGGGAAACCATACCCCTCTAAAAGCCTTTTTCCCAGTGGCCGGCTTGATATTTCAATGTTGGAGAAATATGGGATCCCACGCCTGTCAGGTACATTTGCATATGGCTTGCTAATGGCGAATGCTGCTGCAAGTACCCACCCAAACACCCTTCGAATTGTATTATGGCTAATCCCCGTCGGTCAGATTGGGGCTTTGTTTGTGCACATTGCTCTTTTGTGGGGCGAAGAAGTTTGGCGGTCATTTCATATAAGCACAACAGGCCAGTTCAAAGACCCGCATCATGCGCACATGGCGGAGCATTACAAACGGACACCTTGGTGGTGGTATGTGATCATTTTGGTTTTTAGTTTCGTCCTCGGTCTCGTCGTCGTCATAAAAGAAAACCTCATGCTTCCCCCGTGGGCGTACGTGGTTGCGTTGATACTTGGGATCATCGTTTCTTTCTTCGTGGGTATCGGGGATTGAAGGCATTGAACTTGACTGACACGGGAGCTTAGAGTGCGATTCTTTTCTCTCGATTCGGCAACGGAATAGCCACCAACAACCTCTCAAAGATGCTAGCTGGTCTTATTATACCCGGAAGCCCGGTCGGAAACATGTACTTTGCCCTTTGGTCGCACAATGTCGTTCAATGCGCCGTTGACCTGTGCTCAGCCATGAAGAAGGGGGATTATCGTAAGTATCATCAGCGCATTCACCTGCAGGCGAACCCGGACTTACCTCATGAGTAGTGAAGGTGCCTCCGCGGGTCGTTCTTTCAATGCAGATATATGGTTGCTCGCTTGGAGCGATCGTCCAATATGTCGTCATGAACTACATTATCAACAGCCACCGAGAACTACTCGTCAGCGGCAACGGGAACAGCTTCTGGTCGGGCGCTTCGTCGCAAGCATACAGCACCAATGCAGCTTCATGGGCACTGTCCAAATACATGTACCAGAGTGGTGCTCGCTATGAGATGGTGCCGATTGGCCTCGCATTCGGTGCTGCCGCAGTATTCGTCCACCGTCTTATTTACCACGTGAGTCAACTCAGGATTGATATGAAACAAGTACTCACCCTCCATCACACTTAAGTTTATCCCACGAATCGGCAAGTTTGATTTATCTGAAATCAATCTGCCCCAGCTCATCATGTATGCCGGCTACATTCCGGTCGGCTCTCCCAGAACAGGTGCCATTTTCATGAGTTGCTTACTCGGTATTTACGGTCAGTATTATCTCCGTAAGTATAAGCCTCGGATCTTCAAACATTACATGTGGGTTTTTGTGTGTGGTCTTGATGCTGGCAGTAGTATCACCATGTTCATTTTGACCTTCGCGGTCTTGGGAGTGGGAGGAAAAGAACATCCATTCCCTTTCTGGTGGGGAAACAACCAGAATGGCTACAGCGACTGGTGCCCCGTTCCAGACTCTACATAGATCAGATCACTACATGCTTGAGACAGGATCTCATGGGAAATTCGAGAATGGTTTCAATCGACCAAGAGTCGATGCTAACCTAGACAAGAGGTGGGCGATGTGGATGTTATTTATTTCTATGAAATAACGGCCGACCCAGTGAGAGCTTATTCTCAGCAGGCTGAGCTATTACGACAGGTACATCGGCAACTTTGAACATATTCTTCCAAGTTCCAAGGTTGTGCAGGTGAATGATAAGTCAGTTGACATTTTCCCCATTTTATATGACTTCTTTCCACCAACCTTGAAGGCAAGTATAAATTTCTCACTAAGAAGTTATCCCCCCAGCGACAAATCGAAAAAGAGCAAGTCACAATCCGTGTCTGAATGATTGAATAAAGCGAATTCCAATGTCTATATGTGATCCACCTGGTTCCGAGGTATCCATTCTTTGATCATCGACCTCGGGACTAACATCAACACCCCGCGGTGGAGCCGACCCAATGAGCGCCGGTGAATTTGAAAACATTGAATGGACCAAAGGACGAGAGCAGATCTTTGGTATCACCGCCCGTTAGAATTCTATCTGAATCGGGCGGCTCCGGGGGAGTGAAGCAACGGTACAACCTGAAAGCAGTTCTACTAACTCGAAACGACGATGTGGCATACTAAATCATCTAGATGCTGAGAATCGCCCTCTCAGAGCATGTTTGTGGGGTTGAACATCCTTGCAAGGTAAATATTTCGTGGAATAATTGCCAGCGACAGATAGCCGATATCTTGGCCGAGGATTGCGTCGTTCAGTCCGGGATGGTGCAAGTCGCTTCGAATACCAACCCCGCGCCCAGACATGTCGCTAGTGACGGACTACGAAAACTTATGCGCATTTCTCTCCATATGAGTGGTCTTGATAACAGCTGCATCTGCGTTGTCTACACTCGTCCCGGGTCTGGCAACGGCTAGGCTAAGCGAAGATGGTCTCATTCACTCATGCAGTCACAACATGTGGCTGTTCTTAGTCTTCAAGAACCGAAATTGCGTGACCTTGTGCCTGGCCAGATCGGCTATCTTCGAAAATGCCTATCACTTGGATGTTATAAAGAGTCTCGCTCAGGACGACAATGTGAGATGTTGAGCGCGATCATTTCGTCTTTTTCATATCTGTGACGCGTCGTGGGCCAATGAGCTTTCCAGACTCAAGAGATGTCCACCGAAAATGAAAAGATTCCTCAAGAGTCAATCTGCGAAAAGGATTCGCAAGGAAATAGCACCCAGGACGAATCAGACAGAGAATTGCAAAAGATCCAGTACCCAGGCAAGGGAGGGACATTCGATGCTGTAGAAGGCCACCATTATTATCGCCCAATTGATAGCTATGAAGGCCTTCACAGGTGGGACCCGAACTTTGAGTGGACGGAGGAAGAGGAAAAGAAGATTGTCCGAAAGGTAAGTCCCTCATTGCCAATCGAGAAGTAAGCTAACCTTGCCAGATCGACTTTCGAGTCTGCACATTTGCTTGTGTGACTTTCTTTGCATTGCAGCTCGACCGAGGCAATATCGGCCAAGCCTTGTCGAGCACGTTGTTGCAAGATCTGAAAATGACCAGCAATGATTTCAACCTTGGACAAACAATCTTTCTGGTCTGCTTTTTGCTGGCGGAAATGCCGTCTCAGTTGCTCTCGAAAAGAATCGGACCGGATCGTTGGATTCCCATACAAATCATTTCTTGGAGTCTGGTTGCAGCCTGTCAGGCCTTTCTAAAGAGCCGGGGGTCATATCTTGCTCTTCGCGCTTTGCTCGGGCTGCTGGAAGGAGGATTGTGAGACTCAAACCTGATTCCCGAAGTCGCAGAGTCGAGTGTGCTAACTATCCACAGCATTCCCGACACGATATTATTCCTCTCCTTCTTCTATAAATCCAGTGAGCTGCCAAAAAGGCTGACCTGCTTTTGGATATCCTTTACCATTGCAGGTATCATAGGCTCTTTCCTAGCGTTTGGCTTCCTTCACATCACAGACTCCAACGGCGGTGGTTCATGGCGATACCTCTTCGCATATGAGGGATTGATCACCGGTGTCATTGGTATAATCGCAGTATTCTGGATGCCTGCATCGCCAGTTCAAACAAAAGGTGGCCTCCGCGGAAAGGATGGATGGTTCACAGAACACGAGGAGAAAATCATTGTCAACAGAGTGATCAGAGATGATCCCAGCAAGGGCACTATGCATAACCGGGAGGCGCTTACCCCAAAGCTCTTTTGGGAGTCGCTCAAAGATTTCCACATGTGGCCGGTCTATTTCCTTGGATTGATCTGGATGATTCCTACTACCCCAGCAACCAATTATCTTACACTTCAGCTACGGTCGCAGGGATTCACCACCTTCCAGACTAACCTCTTGGTGATCCCAGCGGCTGTCATTGCTATCATAACGATGATCTCCATTACCTGGATTGCAGAGCGTACCAATCAACGGTTGCTATGTGGGGCATCTGTGGAAGTATGGAATCTTGTACTTCTGATTGCATTGGAGTTCCTACCGGAGAAATCCATGCCTTGGCAACGATGGGCTATCCTAACTCTTCTTGTGGGAGGGCCTACTATCCATCCTGTTGTGGTGGCTTTGACTTCTCGGAATGCTGGATCTGTCCGAACTCGCACCGTTGCTTCTGCGCTGTACAATATGTCCGTGCAGATCAGCGGTATTGCAGGGGCTAATGTGAGTATTGATCATGGCTCTTGATGCTATATTGTTGTGTGATTGAATTCACGTTGGCTGACCCCTTCACCTAGGTCTACCAAACGAAAGATGCCCCGTACTACAAGCATGGAAACAGAGTGCTCATTGCATTGGCTGTAGTGAGCGGCGTGCTATTTGTCGCCGCCAAAGTCTACTACGATTGGTGTAATAAGTCAGTTGATATAATTCAAGGCTCTGATTGATCGGGAAACTTGCTAATATAAAAGCAGGCAAAACTCCACCAAGTGGAATGCCATGACAAGCGAACAACGCGAGCTATATCTCCTCGAACACCCGGAGCTCACCAACAAAAGGTACCAAGACTCCCGAAGTTACCCCAGCTAACATGTATCCAAGAAATGTCCACTAATCACCCCTGTCTACAGAGCCGATTTTAGATTTGCTCGCTAAAGTGGTAGTATCAATCTCTCATGGGTCTCAACAGCATTAGAGAAATGCCTTTGTTGATGCACACAATTATATGTAGCTACATCCGGTTCCAAGAATCTTCATGATTCAAGACAAAACACAGCGTGAAATGCGGTCTAGGCACGTGCTGCCATGTCCCGCTGCTATAACGGGAGGTCAGAATCGGGTTTCGAGCTCACTGGCGCCACGACCTGACCCTGGAAATAGGCAACCCAAAAACCTAGGCTGGTCAGATTAACAAGACTGTTTCCGATACCTAGGTAGCATATGTATGCTCCCGTGCCGTTCGAGTCATCTGTCCCATCTATTTGGACAAGTTGCGTCCCCTGGGTCAGCTGGAAGATGGAAGGAGCAATCGTGTAATGATTCCTTTTTTGGAAGTCTTTCAGGAATCATCACTTGAATCGATGGCTGGTCAGCCCCCAAGGTCACGAAGCCGCTCTATTTCGAATCAAGAGTATTGAAAACCCGAAGAAATGGAGCTATGTAATAAATTGGGAGAAATGTTATTTGCCCTAGGCCCAATAGTCTAGTGGTTTCGAATCATGCGGCACCATTACCTCGCGACCCCTCCCAAAGGTCATGACCCCCAAAAGGGTCCAGGTATATAGATGTCGCTGGTTCGAATCCGCTCAGACTCTTGAGTCTCTCCAGGGCCCCAGTGATACTTCCGTGGATACGCCCGAGAATGGGGGGAAGACATGGTTACAAGTACCTCTCATATCCGACCGGGGTCGGGATCCCGGGTGGCCTTGGAACATCACCTTCTTTTTTTCCCTTCAAAAAATACCATCACTAAAATCATACGGCTTGAATACGTAGGTATATGCTGGATCACCATGCTCAGGCGAAAGTAAACATACTGTACGTTGGAATCACACACACGTGTAAACATACAGCGGATTCACCGCTAGCTCTGGAGGTAAAGGGCTCTACCTAGGTACCCAGGTAATTTGAACTGGCGAAATCCCTACATCTGACCTTGGAACCAAAAGCAGAGAAATCCTTGCATCCACCCTCCAAGTCTTTTGGAAGGACAGCATGGTGTATTGCTTTTCGGACATCATCTAACTCCCATTCACATGAATAACAGTAGCCCGCTCTTTCATCCAGTTTATATATTCAAATTTGAATAGACATGATTACTACTGATCTTGAGATGCCTCAATAGCTCTCTATTCTGGTCCAACATAGGGTGTCTCGTACGGGCGCTTAGCCTGAGGAGTGATACGTGCGAGATGTCGACGCTCCCCAGTTATCCAATCAACCACGGCGGAATGGGCAGTCACCCGGTTCTGTATCAGTGTCAGCGCTATCAACTGTTCATCAGTGAGGATCGAAACTTACATCCCAAACAATGACAGTCTTGGGAGCCCAGCGAATGCGCGCTTGGTAGTCAATCCCACGACCAACATGGGCTAACAGGAAAGCCAGAAGAGCATCACTCTCTTCCTTCTTCAAGCCCACAATACTGCGAGTGACTGGACATACTGTTAGCTCGGTGATTGTATCATTGGATATCTTGACTCACAGCCTCCGTTGACAAACAGCGCTTTCTCCCCTGTTGCCGGATGGGTCCGAACTAGAGGATGCTCATTCTTCACCGGCTCCCGCCTCACCACACCTCCCCGCTTCAGACTGAACTCCGCTTGCTCGAAACCGGAGTGTACAGCCTTTAGTCCATGAAGGAGCTCTTGGATCGGAGGCGAAAGCCGCTTGTATGCTTCGACTTGATCGACGAAAATGGTATCACCGCCAACTTCAGGGCCGTCAAGGATGTATAGGAATGTAGTGCCTGGTGGCTGTTGCTCATAAGTGACATCGGAATGCCATGAGACACTGCTGTTAACTTCTTCGTACCTCACTGTCTCATTGTTTCGATGTACCAAGTGGATCTCGGGATATCCCTCCGGCGCACCGCTGGTGGGGTGTATATGATGGCGACCAAAGTATCCCCCGAAGTCCAAAGCATCCGCGATAGGCAAATCGGCAAGATCCTGATCCCTGAATGCAACAACCTTGCGTTGAGCGACGAGAAGAGCGAGTTGATCCTTTCCAGCAGAGGTGAGCTTGCTTAGCTGTACCCCAGTAACTTCTGAACCGATGGTTGGCGTGAGCTTGTGAATCTTCGAGCCGTCTACTAAGAGGTCTTTGAACGAGGGATCTGCATCCTTGCCGTGCTCGACGTGGGCGAAGGGCTCGAGGGGAGGGTACTTTTCGCCAAAGTCGAAGACTGGCAGGTACTCGGGGTACTGGAGTGCTGTTAGGGCTGTTCTCGCTTCTGCAATGTGAGCGTATCATGGTGTCATACACTGGCGGGAGTTGTTCCGTGTTCTTCGTCGATTGTTCTCCGCACTTGGGGCACCTTGGAATCTGTTCCAGGAGTAGCCTTCAGAGGCGCGATGATCCCATTTACTGGGCCTTCAATAATTGATGGTGCCATCGCAGGTGACCTCTCGGAAAATGTTGTCATCTAAAGACTGAAGTTGAATGACGCGTTCGTGAGGAAAGTGAGAAGGTGAAGAAGGTGAAGAAGAAAAAACGAGTTGGTGAAGGGGTAAGTTGGATCTTTATATCACAAGGAGCGGCAACCTTGGAAAGTCAATGCAGTACGTAGCGAATAGAGAACAACAAGCAAAGTGACACCACAGGCAGCATTGCATGATAATTATCGGAATACGCCCCTATCTGGTCAAACATAACACGATTAATGTGTATTTTGCGTGATACGAGCCCAAAATGACATCAACCTCACTGTATTCTTCATCGGGAACCTGTCGAGGAACACAACCAGTCATGACAATAATCTAAGGGCCAATAACAACTAGGTGAGACGCGGAGTATATGTCAAATGGTATTTTGAGGGGAAATTGGTTCTTGCGTGCTCAAGGCTTCAGTAGGTAGTTAAGGAACATCGAATACGTGAGTGCAGCTGGAATGGCGTGACAAAGAGCCAAGCCCCCGCATTGATGATGTTGTGGTTGCATGCAACTCCGATATGTGGTTTAAATGTAACTGGGAATATACATAGTAAATGAAAGCATAAAGAAAAAGAGTGGAGAGCCTCGCAGCGCGTTCCGGGGAACTTCCAAGGTTTGGACAGCTGCCTCTTGATCACTACCCTGTAACAACATCTCTATCTATTCTGCACCTACGTTGACATGCTCAAGTCCACGGATAGACGCCAGAGATTGGAGCCATCCTATTATGCTGATGATATTGCTTTGGTCTAACGCTTGCAGCGAATCGCGCAACTACCTAGCACTCGAAGGAAAGCTCGCGACCAGTTAGAATAAAGGAAATCAAATTTTGATTCTACTATCTAGGTAGGTAGCTTTCTCTCTCTCTCGTTTTATATATCACTAGAAGAATCGACAAGTCATCCCGCGGAAGCATTCTTCGGTGACTTCATCAATCCCCTCAGCTGGGGGTCTCGAAACGGCTTGAGAACGTTCCCGCGCGGGACATCGCAACTTGTCAGAGAATCCTGAATCAGAAGGGACCCTGAAAGGATGTCACCAATCAGAATCGTCCCAGATGACATCTTCTTGGCATCCCCCCTGCATGACTGCAATGCGAGAGAGGTGCCATCTCAACTCCAACAGATCGAACGAAGGCAACGGTGGTTCAGTCTTGTTCGTCGTTTCCAACGTAAAAACATCACCAGAGTTGATCAATCTCACTGATCCATCCTCGCGGAGGATAGCGATGTAATGACCACCGGAGGTATTCTGAGGTCGAAACTTTGGGTCTTTCAGAGGGTATGCTGTCATCCAAACAGTCTCCGTCTGTGATCTGTCCTTGAGTTCCTCGAGAGGAAGCCAATGAAAGGAAATCGTCATCTCGGTCTGTTCTTCATTTATCCAGATTGGTCGCAGTGCAACCAGCCCATGATCCCAGAAGTGGTGTATCTTCATCTCGAGAGTAATGAGGTTGTGGACCTGATGGACACACAGTTCCCAATCCTCGGAAATAAGCCCTTTCCACTTCGCGACTTTTTCTGTTCCTCAGAAAGCCTCCAACCAATCCCAGATCTCCATCAAATCGTCCCAAGTCAACGCATTGCCATCTAGCTTTGTGGGAATGATGTGAGCAACCTCACACCCCATTTCCCCGCCGCGAGTTATCTGGCAGCGTTTCTCATCTCGTACGGCAACCGCTGGACTGACCTGATTCAAGGTCGGTCGCTGTTTGTTGGACTTCTGTGCCTGATGTTTGTTAGCACTGATTGCTCTCTGCCTTTCGTCGTCACTCATATGGCAATCACCGGGGGAAATCGTACAGAGGCCAGAATATTGGGACGGTCCAAGGTGTTTTCACTTCCCCGGCGCGACCCCCGCAGCCATCCTGCTAATATGCTTTAGTAGAAATTTCAGCTCTGGGTCTGTGAGATCTTACCAAGGCGTACACCATCGCCAATTGCTGGGTTGCCAAGAGGGACATCCCTCGACATACAAAGCCGGAATGAAGATTGCCTCAGTAGACAAGCTTTTTTCCTCGACGCTGATTCAGGAGACGCCATGCCAGAGGGTTTGCGTTTTCCGCCAACCAGTGGCAGATCTGACTCCCAGGTCCCCGCACCGGACACGTCTTGCACAAGGCTTTCATCTGAATCGCCCCTACTCGGCTCTTCATCTGCATTCTCCCCCTCGATCACGACTGTCACGGGAGGTTGAAGTCCACCGGCCACTTATCAACGCGTGCCTGTTAGTTGAGATACAGTCTTCACTTTCCTGAATGAAGTACTCACGCAGAGATGGGAAAGCCAGCGTGGGGAAGTTCCTCACCCTCGCTTTCAGGTCTTTCTCTCGGTCTGCCCCAGGATCTGCCAAGAAGCGCAGCACTTCAATGTCTGCAAACCAGAGAGCAAAGAAGTTCTGACGTCTCACCCCGATGTATTTGGGATAGCGAGCCGCCAGATACTCAATGAGCCTCCGGCGCTCCGGGTCATCAAATTCAAAAAGGATATGATGATCGTCACGAATAGATGACATCCTGACAGGTTCTTACAACGCGTGGGCTATCGGGAGGAAGAAAGGGAAAAGCAGGTTGTTGGAGTGGGTAAGTATAAAGGGAAGCCCTGGAGAAACAACAGAGGAGTCGGGGGCTCACCCAGAATGGTCGCGGAGCGAGTGCCATGGAAACCCTACCTTGACCACAGCTTCTAATTGGTAGATAAGAAACAATAGAACAATAGACAATAGACAATAGACAATAGACAATAGACAATAGACAATAGACAATGGACAGCCTTTGAGCACAAAACAGACTTCCATCCTCATTCTCAACTTCTTCTTTCTTTTTCCCCTGTCAACTTTTCCAAATGTCTTCCGTCCCCTCTCATCTTTCCAAAATGTGAGAGGGGACGGAAGACCTTTCAAAAATATCTTCCTCAATTTTGAAAATTTCCACTGCGGCCGTCTCTATGCCCGCCCCCTCTGCGTCCGCCGCCGCACCGCCCTCCGCCCCCCCGCCTCCCAACAAGGGCCCCCTGCCCTCCGACAAGCCGGAGGTGCCGCCAATGACCAAGCGGCAAAAAAAGAGGGTCTTTGAGCGCGCCAGAAAGCGCTTCAAGGTAGGTTCTTTTTATATTCGCCTCATTAAGGGATCAGAAGATTACGTTGATGCCATAACATCCTCTCGCTACTGTCTATCTCCATGTCTGTTGAAATGGGTATATATAATTGTTTTCGAGTCCACAGGGTTATTGGCTCAAATGCATCTTCTATACCCTACAGTGGGGGCACATCAGGCAAGGGACTTATCGGCTAACGCAGATATAGATGCGACAAGCCGATCTGGCGGCCGTCCAGGCCAACCGCCTTACCGTGTCGCAGGCATTTGACGCTGTGGGTTCTGAATTGGGTGACAGGAGTGGGATCCCTGGCACGCCCATGCAAGAGCAACCGGTATTCACTGCTCAGGGCCGCATCCGCCGACGCACACCCGAGGTTCAACCATCGGGGGAGCGGGTCGAGGGATCGGTGGCGGTTCCAGTTCGGGAACACCCCCTGGGAAGAGCCCAGAAAGACGGCCAGTGTGACTGGCAATATTGAAGAAACCGAAAAAGGACGGCGAAAAGTAGGCGCTTTAGGCTTTGCTTTTGGCTTTTATTCTTCTTTAAAAGTTTTTTGTTCTGAAATGGATCAATGTGTCGTTCTGGATAAGATTTCCTCGTAAGGATACCTATCCCTCGTCCGCCGTAGAAGGATACGGACAAATGTAGATCAACTTCAATATGATCTTTTATAAAACTTTTGAAAGACTATAATGCAGTCCGTGAAGATTTTTTAGTTCAATGAGAGATTCAATGTGTGGAGAAGAAGACGCATAACTCTCTGATCCATACGCAGACATGCCTTTTCAAGGTAGGTACTTAGGTAGACAATAGACAACAGAGAGAAGCACAATAGAAAGGACAACAATAGAGAGAGCAGAGAGAGAGGGAAGGCAGTGATAACTGACAGAAAAGGAAGCAGCGACTCCGAGCCTCTGAGCACAAAGCAGATTTCCACGCTGATTCTCAACTTCTTCTTTCTTTTTCCCCTCTCAGATTTCGAAAAAATGTCTTCCGCCGTGGGCCTCGCGGCGCCCGCTCCTCCACCCCCGCCACCACCACCACCACCCCCTCCCCCCCACAAGCGCGCCCTCCCCGCCTCTAAGCCGGAGGTGCCGCCGCTCTCCAAGCGCCAGAAAAGGCGCATTTTCGAACTTGCGCGCAAGCGCTTCAAGGTAAGCTCCTTCTATATTCACCTCATCAAAGGGATCATGAGATCAAATTGATACCACAACACCCTCTCGCTGCTGTCTATGTCCATGTCAACATACATGGGTACACATAATTGTTGTCGAGTTCACGGGGTTATCGGCTCAATTCCATCTTCTACACCTTACAGTGGTGGTACATCAGGCATAGGACTTGTCGGCTAATGCAGATATAGATCAAGCAGGCCGACCTAGCGGCCGTCCAGGCCGACCCCCTTGCCGCGGCGCAGGCATTTGCCGCCCGCGCCAAGGAGGCTCAGCTCTTGGCGGACCGAACCGCGGCCCGGGCTTGCTTCTTCGCGGCCTCCGCTCAGGAAGCTTTGGCTACCGGGTGGGCTCCTTCCAGTGGCGACAATGGTGTTGCCAAGGCTGGTGTGAGCTCTGGCAGCGATGCTGCTGTGGTCTCTCGATCGGGTGGCAGGAGTGGGGTCCCTGCTTCACCTGTGACAGAGACTCCGGCGCTCGCTGGCCAGGGCCGCACCGGCTTTGGCGCACCTGACCGTCCACTGGCGGAGCGGGTGTCAGCACCGGTGGCGGTTCCAGTTAGGGAACGCCCTCTAGAGAGTGCCGAGAAGGAGGAGAAGGACGAGGAGGATGACGACGACGACGACGACGAGGAAGAGGACGAGTGGGCGTGGCTGGCAATTTTAAAGCAGCCAAAGAAGAACAAGGAGTAGGCCCTTTGGGCTTTGCTTTTTTTTTTTTTTTTTTTGTTCTTTAAAAGTTTTTGTTTTCTGAAATGGACCAATGTGTTGTTCTCTGGATGAAATTTCTTCGTAAGGATATCCTTCGTCCACCGTAGAAGGATACGGACAAGTTTAGACCAACTTCAATATGATCTGTTACAAACGTTTAAACGGTTCTAGTATACGAGTTACCATCATGGAAGAGATGTCTAGTTCAACGAGAGACTCAATGTGGAGAGAAGAGAAAGATCAGGAAGGGAAGAAGACGCGTAACTCTCTGATCCATACGCAGACATGCCTTTGTCCTATTGCGATACTGATACAACCGCAATGGGGCTTGAATGATGCCTTTTTATGACCGTTGACCCTTCCATGATTCTGTCATTGCCTCAGAATTGTGCCCACGGAACCCGACCCGACCAACTGCAAGTGTCGGCAAACACTCTCAATCTTCTCTTTCCTCACTCTGCTCTCTTTTCTCCCTGTCGCTTTGATCCAAGCTATCGATATCAGCCAGCATGGAAATCCACTACAACCATCGACATATCTTCTCCGAGCTTGAGGATCCGGAGCAGAAACACATCGTGAAGATCCAGCCTTTACTCTAGGGTTGCCCAAGTCCCCCGAGTGATCCTATGCTCGCTCGTATTCGCAGATATGAGTCCACTGCAGCAAATTGTAGCAGCAGCAGGGGGAGCCTCTTACAAAACGCTGTGTGCCCAGATCCACACAACGAGTAGGTTCCTTTGTGGAGCGGCTATACTGCGACGCGACGGGACGATCAGTGAGTCTGCACTTCAATCCAGTTCCATCCGGATATAGCTCTCGACTAACTGAGCTCAATCAGTGGACTTCCAAGGCCACCCCCAATCACTTTGAAGGCAAAGAGAGGATCGGTCACCGATCCGATGGCCTAGATGATGACAATCAACCCTTCGCAATAGCAAGTCTCTCCACAAAGACATGGAGGAATCCAAGATGGACCAATGCTAACCGTGTGAATCAACAGGCACTTGAAAAAGTGAGGCTTCAAGCTCGCCAACGTGATTCGCTCAAGCGCAAGTCCACAACAGGAGAGCCAATGAGCAACAGGGCTGCCTTCGTCATTCCGTCGGTGGTACAGAACGACGAGAATGATCCTTTCGAGAACGGAAAACGTGTGGATATTCCTGCAAGATTTCCAAATGGAAACAGTTACTGCTTAAGGGCTTTGTAACCAATGTCTAACAGGTAAACCTGGATTTTAAGGCAAATTGATTCTGGGCCTTTCAGGTCGTCGCATTACGCTCCATTTCAGTCAATCAAGATCGGACCGAGATGCAGGTTACATTTCCTTACCTTCTCCTCCAGAGGAAGTTGGCTAACATCAAACAAAATGACAGACTTTCAATCCTACAAACCTCATTTAGGACCAGAAATACCGGCCTTTTGAAACTCCCGGGCACAATCTTTACGTCTTTACCCGTCTCTAGGATACCAAACCTCCTCCTTTGGTCTCTTCCAGGCCTATCTTTACAGTCAAGACAGACGACATGGATGGGTGTCTGTTGCCATCATTTGATCTCCTAGGATTTAGATGACACTTCTCTCGAATCGCGGCTTTTCAGGGCTAAGGGGACGATGAGGATGGGTATTATGATTTTTAGCGCAATTTCGATCCCGATTCTGGTGGCAAATTGGATCCTGATCCTGATTGTGAGACGATTGAGTCCTTTTGGCTTTTCGGCTTACTCTGTACCTGTTGTGAATGCTTCTACAGTACCAAAGGGTCACCTTTACTTCGTCATCTTGCGAAGGGTCCACAGGTCCACGGGAGAATGACAGCGATGTCTCAGGCGTGTCTACACTATCAATCCAACCCGGTCGTGACAGTCCATCTGGCTTTACTCTATACACACCAAACAGTCTACGGCAATTTCCCATCGACCAGCAATAAGTCCCAAGATATCCTTCGGAGTTCCGACGAAATTCGAACATGAAGTTTCGTTCATGATCTCCACAAGCCTCTTTGCTTCACATTTTCTTTGTGTTCTGTTCTTGCTCCGTGAAGCTATAATTAGTTCTTTGAGCCCTCAAAACAGACCTCGGGACCCTACGTTCATTAAAAACTCATCTTTTACGTTTTAAATCAGAATGTTTTTGTTTATCAGACCTCAAATGCCGAAAAGTATTCATTCGACAAAGGCAGGGCCCAAGAGTAACTCTCAAAATAGAACATGTTGCCAACACGGTACAATTACAAGGGTGGCCTTTGATGCCACAATTTCAAAGAATATTTTCCGTAGTTTAATTCCAGTCTCTAATCATGGTCTTCTCTTTGTCTAGGCTGTCCAATGTAGAATATATGTGTTACCAGCTTCCCGCTGATGTTTTACATTAAAACTCCTCGAGTCTAAAACCTGAGACGCTTCAATTTGAAGGATTTCTTTTCTAGTGTTACACCTTCTTGAACAAAATGCCTGAAAGATATAGCCTTCGGCGGAGCACTCGAGTCCAGAAAGTGAAGAAGCAGCCCCTCAAAGGTTCGCCCAAGGATCAAATTGCGCGCATTCCAATTCTTCTAGAAGAGCTTGATCTTGATGTATCCCATGCTCACAAAATCCGAGCCCCTGAGATTCGCCCAGTCTTGACTCAGAAAAAGAGAAGCTGGAAAAAGTGGGCCAAAGAGGAGCCTCTCACCGATCCAGCAAAGCTTCCACGAGGCTGGCATATGAACGAAGATGACCTTGCAATTGAGTAAGACCCCTATATTCTTGAAAAAGATTTAATTACCACCGCATGGTGATGAAGTGCCTGCTAACCAATAGCAACAGTGATATTGATGGCCAAATAAAGCGGTGCCATGAGCGAATCGCCGAGAACATCATGCCTGATATATTTCGGCAAAGATTGAAGGAGTACACACTTGCAAAGGATGAAAATGAGTAAGCGCTATACTCTAATAGCAGAATAGATCTGGGTCTAACAAAATAAAGGCAAATGAGACTCGCAGAAACCGAGAAGCATCCAAGGTCGACCGACCTTAGCTTTGATGTTATTCAAAGATTGCATACCTTGGAAGCTATCAAGACAGATCTAGAGGAAAGTCGCAAGAAGTCAAAGTCCTCTGATGCATCCAGACAATTATTGAATATAAACGCGATTCTGGAAGCGTATCGGTCGAAGAAGCTTGATTGGAATGACGGGTTGGTGACTTATTGGGCAAAGGGGGTCCAGATCTGCCAACCAAGAAATTTTGACTGGGATGAGTTCGAGATCATCAACTCAAAGTATAATCACAAAGGAGCTTTTTGGACCGAAGGGGTGAGTTACCACGCTTTTAATTTTCAACCATGCACTCTAACTCTGCTATTAGCTTGATGGACCTGGCCCCGAGCCGAGTTATGCATCACTGACAGCACAACCTTCTCAGTACCAACGGAAATTAACTGGGGTATGATGAGATGATCCCCGACTCTGTTCCTATCACTAACTTGGCATCTAGTTGACACTGGCCCTTCGCCTTCCAAACACTGCATGGTTTGCCGAATTGGATTTCGTTCATGACACCGGCTGCAGCATGATGGGAATTTACAAGAATGATATCGCCACCATTATGGGTCCATACTCACAGCTCGAGACGAACCATCCTCCCGTGATTGGCAAAGCCCGATCTAGAAGTTCAAATGGAGATATCAGGGCGAGAGATATTATCGAAGTCGAAGTCACGATTCTGGATAGGAATCGTCGGAGAATGACAGCTTGGTCAAGAATCCCATGCGCTATCTCCGAAGGAAGCTGGACTCCCAATAGCGTGCCACGCTTGGATGGTCCTATCTTGCGGGATACGCTGTATACTGCAACAGCACCGGACTTGCAACGTTTTGTATACTTTGCAAACACAGCTCACGATATTCAAGATGTTTTGCCAAACGTGGATCTTGAAAACAACCCACCTACGATCCCAACTTCATACATGTCAACAGTCAAAGCTATTAAGAGCCCCCGGATTGCAAGCCCAACTCCCTCACACGTCGCCAAACAGCCCGGAATGATGCTACCTAAGATTATGCCAGGCCCAGCCTCAGGTGCTCCGCCATAATTGAATTTTCATAGGTTGGAGGTGACCAAATTTCTTGATTGGGTGTCTAAGCAAGGTTCTTGAATTCTTGAAACTCGTTCAAGGTTTTTGTGTGGTTCTTTGCCGTCGTGGTTTGTTTTACGTTGGTTTTGAGAGGCGGCAACCACGGAGGCTACTGGTTGAGAGAGAAGGAAGGAAGCTGCTAATATGCATGGTCTATGAGCGTCTAGAGAGAAGAAAGAGAGAGAGAGAGAGAGCTTTGGAGCGAGGGCGCGAGGGGAGGACCGCGACACGTGATCATACACAACGTGCTTTTGTGGTCACCTGATCATTGGACAGAAACCCCTGGCTGACAGTTTTTTTTTTGCTTTTGTGTTGTGTTTGTTGTTGTTTTGGTTTTGTCGGAAGAAGAATCCGCTGGTTGCTCTTGTAACAATTTCGTTCATTGTCAATGTCACATTCAACTAAGCTTATTGACCTCAAGACATGGAAGCAATGAATAGTTGGCCCCGTATACTGCGTACCTCACGCAATTGGTCGAATGCAGGGGGCAGAGTGAGGAGCCACCTTGTTTCAATTTTTCAAGACCTAGTTACTGAGGTCTACAGGTGTTTAGAATCTTCGTTTAGGGATCCTTCTCCTATATATAAGTTGAGCATGTGTTTTCCAAACTGTACTCTCAAGGTCCGCACACAACACCAACTTTTGTGGGAACCTTGGTACGTAGGTATTCCTGAGAAAGAGACAAGAGGTTTCGACATTATCATTTTGTCTAGTATGGCTTCGTAGAATATCCCTTTTTCAAATGTTGCCGCGCTTTTTTATAAAATCCAAGGTTTACCCTGACCCTATCCATTAATATTAAAACATTTGAAGCTCTGAAAGAATCAAAGCCACAATCTCCAAGGCTAGATGTTGACCCAATCGCTTTCAAGGCTTTCCATACTTCCACCTGCTTTCCCGCCACACGCTTCGGCTTTCCCGCCACAAGCTTCGGCCACGAATTGAGCAAGTACATTGATCATTTCTTTGGTGCGTGGAACAAAATGCGTACCCATAAAATACGCAACCTTGGCAGACCGACATCTTCCTGCCAGTTGTAATGTCTGAGATTCAGGAATCCATGGGTCAAGGTTGCCTATAAAATGGAGAGTCGGTGTTTCAATCATAGGATAGTATAGATATCTATATTTCCTCTCCAAAGGCATGTATCCACTGTAACACACTGCGAAACGCAACGGTGGATGTGAAATATTAAAACCCTACAGTATTTTTGAAGTATTAGCCTGTGACATCATTTGAATCAAATTGCCATGAATTGACTATGCAATACTCACTCTCAGCTCTGGGCTTCTGATCCGCCTATCTTTCTCCAATAATGATGCGATCATGGCAGTTAGGGCAGCACCCATTGAAAAACCGATGACTCCGATAAAAGGGCCATGCTTGTCGAGAATCCCTAGAATATAACGAATCGTTTCTTCGGACCCAGTGCTGTTCTTAGTTGCATAATCATCATAGGCCCAAGTCCATTGACAATTTGCCGAATCGCCACCAAGAAGCCATTGGCTGTATTGTTTCAGGCTTATGGCGTCTTCCTGATCCTCCAAGTCCAATGGACTGTCAGTGTCCGGTATCCGACAAGGCAATGTCCCATCTGGGTAGAAGAATTCGATACTGCTCGGAGCAATTGATTGGTGGTTTGTGAAGCGACCTTTCGAAATCGCATCGCGAAGAGGTTGTTGGAGAAAACGCGTTTTTATTTCGAATGTGCTGCCAGATTCACCGTGTCCTAATCAACTCAATCGTCAGTACTCCACAGAGTTCCAATATTTCCCTGAAGATAGCTGACCATGAAGCATCAGGACATTAGCTCGAGATTCCGCGACGGGGACTACTTCCGAATGATTCATGGATTCGGAGAATTGTTTGTATGTTGCTGCAACGGGGCCGAGTTTTTAGATCTTGAGCCAGTGATGAAACAGTGAATGTGGATTGAAAAAGAAAAGATATTTGTTCCAATGTTTTGATTCAACACCGGATGCGAGTCTCAAGGCGCTGAGACTCGAAAAGCAAACGTGCTCAAAGCAGAAAACTCAGCAGGGGAGCTACCTAGGTACATATAAACCCCTTGACCCTTGCTGTGATTACTGCTTCTTTGAGTCAAACTTGGAACACGTATGTTCAGCTCCTACGGAGTACATACGAGGTACGTCCTCTGAATTACGACGAATCCAATCAACATAGGTACTAGTATGTATCTTTGTACTCCGTAGCCTGATTTGAGTCTGTACATCAACACCCTGATTTGAAGAATGAGGTCGGATAGGTCAGATATTGTGGATCCCAAAAATAAACATTGCCGATCAATTCCTGATTAGGATATTGGATCTGATCGGCAACATAGTGTATGTCCCCCGTGCATAGGCTTTCTCTCCGATCATTTCGTGGCTTGGCCTACCCCGTACATACATATGGTGCAAAACATAAGCCCCTTGCACGAGTAGTCCGGATTATCTCTCGGTGCGGCTGAAGAGAATAATATGTACTTCACTAATCCTGTCGATCCTACGGAGGAGTCAGGTAAGGGCTAGCCGGTAAGGAAAACGTAAAATCGAAGTAGCACAAAGGCCATTGGATGATCCTCTACATACTTCGTAGGTATATCATTCTGAGCAAGTATATGTCCGATGTCTTCTACCTACCTAGGTACAAGCATAAAGGGAACAAGGGGGAATGAGGTTGAGAACCCTACCACTACCCACAATACAATGATGCCCTCTGATCTCTCTGTCAAACCAATTTTTTGACCAAACAGAATTTGAAAACACCGCTACTCACTAGGTACACTGTTTGTTCTAGTACTTACCTAGGTGGCAAGACATCTCAAAATGATCGCTATCGCCTCCCAAGTACCGATCTGGTGTCTCCCAGTCATCCAATCGATATTGATTCACGTGATAGTTGGCATCACCGCAGCATTCACATCCTCTCGGTCACAACTGCGATATATCACCCTCTTGGCAGCTGTAGCTCTTGCATACCACCTACAATGTCACGTTCATGCAGCATTTCCGAGCATCAGAATAGCAGGTCTTCTCTCCGCACTGTGCTGGGCGCAGATATTGAACGCAGCCGACATTCTCTGCTTGAGTCGTGTTACCTACGCTCAACAGCTTGAATGGGAACGAGCAACAACAGATCAGAAACCCAAGGAGTCCCTAACACTCGGTAACTCGTGTTTCTCTTGGAGTAGGCTAGGTTGGGCCTTGGATCTGTCATTCAACCTTAGGAGAATTGGCACTCCGTGGCATATCAAAAATCTGCCTAACTTTGACAAAACTGAAGGCCACTGGACTTCTCGATTGGGCTTCTTCCGATACCGCATTTTCGTTATCTGCCTGGCCCTACTTACGCTGAGACTGCTTAACTACGGGGGAAATCAAAAGGCTTTGGTTGACGTGATGTCGGTAGAGAACCAAAGTCTCGTGCGTTTCACGGACGGCATCTTTATGCAAAAGTTATTATCCCATGTCTCGCTCGTCGTGTCCTACTGGCTCAACATGCGGGCCACTCATCAACTGATGTATAATTCCTGCGCCGTCATTTCGGTAGCCTTGGGTATACACGAATCTACCTCATGGCCACCGCTCGGGGGCTCCATAATGGAGGCATGGACACTCCGACGATTCTGGGGGTAAGCTTCACTTCTATCTCAAGAGTGTCCAATGGTTTGACTAATGATATATCGATAGGTCCACGTGGCATCAGCTCTTTCGAAAGCTGTTGGATTCAAATTCAACCTTTATAAGCTGCTCGGTTCTGCGGATTCCTGCTGGCACACTTTGGGCCCGTTATTCCCGCCTGCTATTGGCTTTTCTTTTATCCGGTGTTGTTCATGTCCTGATGGATCTGGCTCGAGGTATTCCTGTCTTACAGGGCGGTAGCATCCCATTCTTCACCATCCATGCTGTGGGGATCATGGCAGAAGATCTCGCGACCCATATCGGAGGTATAACTTTTGGCGAAGGACGTGCGTGGTGGAAGCGCACGATTGGGTACCTATGGGTTGGACTTTTCATTCTGATCACAACGCCCATGTGGTCTTTGCCCATATGCCGTGAACTATATCGGGTCGGAGAACGGGTTCCCTTTTTGTATCTATAATCCCTCTGTTGGCACAGAGTATGGTAACGTCTCTAGGTTTCCTCTATCCCATCTCGGCCTAGGGACCTCAGCTCTTACAGCGGTTCATATGATTTCGTGTGCTGGCCAGATTGGTTGGTCCTGGACCCCTGCTCAATTCAAGCCCCAAATATAGAAGAGTATGAATATCAAATTCTCGTTCACGAAATTATGTCTGTAATAAATTGAGAATGGGATGCCAAGGTGAAGGATGAGACCCAGCCCGGGAAATTGCAAAGAATATAAGAGCAGGAAAAGGAAATAAAAGAAATCGAACACGATGCTTCCTCGTCACGGGAAATATCATGTTTCGTACGAAGTAAGTGAGTTGGCTGTTTGAAAGCAAGGCTTAATTCACAATGTTCATAACTGTAAGCCCTGCACCTGAGCTCCTCTCGTGTGATTTAGAGGGTGTTACCGGCGTCAGCAATGACGCTGTCCTTGATCGAGGATACCGGCTCGGCAGCGACAATAGAAAGACTCTCCAGCTCACTGAAGAATCCGGTGTCGCTGAAGTTGAAAGTGCCGGAGTTTGTGTATTCATTGGTGACACAATCTCTCTTCAGGGATGCCGCGCATTTGCCGACATCAGCTTCCTGAGAACTGAAGAGCTGGCCAACGAAATCCGATCCCGCAATGTTTGGCACGTTGTTGAACAGGTTTCCTTCGTAAAGACCCTTGCCCTTGCTGGTGCCTTCGAGCGCGTGCCCGCTGTTGTCTGCCCACACGTTATTGACGGCGTGGAAGAGGGTAGTGCCACTGAGCGCGGGGGTGCGGCCCGAAGTGTAGGAAACGTGGTTTTCTGGAATTGTTAGCCACTGATTTGCGGACTCATGATAAACTCGGATGTATTTCAACTTACTGTAGAAAGTGATTTGGTCATCTGAGCCGACCAGCTCGAGGCCCCAGTACGAGTGACCATCGCAGGTGGCTGAATAGTCGGTCTTGCCATTTATGAAGCTGTTCGAGATGGTGATGGCTTTGTCTGAGCCCGTTCCAAAGCTGTAATGCTGTCGGCCCAGAGAGGAAGTCGTGACATGATCGATCCAGATCTTGCTGGTATCAGAGAATGAAATGGCATCACCTCCCCAGACGTATTTGGGGTTGAGATTGGTGATCGCGATGTTCTGGATGATGATGTTGGAGACATCGACAAAGCGGAGTCCTTTGCCATTCAGCACGGCGCCGGAGCCTTGGCCAATCAGTGTCTTATCAGATGCAACATTGATGCCGACCATGCCGGCAACATCGACAGTTACATCGTATGTGGCTGTGCTTCCACATCCATCAAGGGTGTTCAGCAAGGCTTGTCCGTTCTCCTCTGGCGTGCAAGAGTATGAGTTGCATGCCTTTTCAGTTTTGGTGCCTTCGGAGCCAACAAAGTCGAAGGTATCCTTGATCACGATGTTTTGTGGGGATGACGAGGTGAGGTACTCGGTCAACTCGGCAACGGTGGTAGGGTAAACCGGAGCAGCGTCGCCTCCGCCTGTCACACCTGATGCGAAACCTGGTGCGGTTCCAGAGACAAGGGAAGACTGCGCAGCCTGCGAAGACTTCGCGAGGGCGGCCAGCGTCAGGAGGTTGGTGAGCATCATCTTGGAAATGAACGTGCCGGACGGTTCGCGAATGGGATCTGAGCGTCTAGGAATTTCCTGAGAATGATGACACCCACTTCAGTTTCCTAGTTGTATTTATACCAGTCGCGCGCAGGGAAGGTTGCTTGGCAAATCCATTAATAGGAATGTTCACATCGTCTATGATTGGTATTTGACTGGTGCTTAATTCGAAACACCGACGGATGCTCCTGTTCATATTTCCGTTCGTTTCAATTAGGGCATAGGGAACGGCCATTCAAACGGGCCCGAGAGCTCTCCCCACGGGTGATCAACCGTTGTCCTATGCTCAGTCCATGCATGATTCAAACTCTAGTTCGAAACATCTGCAAGAGCAAAGACCAGACAGGGGTATGAATAGCGGAAGAGGCGTATGTCCGTTCCGTAAATGGAAATCGTCGTTTCAAATCATGCTCCTAGTGGCCACGGGTGGCTTGGGGTGGGGAAACGTCAAGTCCCAGGCCGTTCACACTCGACAGAGCCGAAATGCCAAGATCTTCTGTCTCAGCGTAGCGTACTCCGTCGGCTTCCGGGTTTCCAGCAGAAGAGGTCAGAAAGGCTTGAGGGGCTTGGAAGAACACCTCTCCACGAATGGCTCTGCCTTTGGGAATCATCAAGATGTCAAATGCATTAGAATTACGGGGTGAAGAGGCCTCGGCAAGTTTGAAAACATCCCTGCATCTGCACGGGGAAAGGGGCGTCCCATTCGGGTTTTATGGGGTCGGGGTGGGCCCGGAGTTAGGCCCGGGGTTTGAGGTCGAACCTCGAGCTCCATCAGTGCCATCCGTCAGTGTTGCGCATGATTTCCCATTCTGGACGCGATGTGAAAAGATCTGCAAGACTGCGCACAGGCATTTTCGAGCGAAAATGAGCTGCTAACGCGAACCTACTCTGTACTCCGTACTGTGTAGGGATTCGGTGTGGTAATCAACTGCCGGACATGCTCCCTAGTCGAGCGCTGGGCCTTCACTCATGCCGACATTGCGCCGCGAATATCATGAGCAGATCGACTGCATATCGGTGGACTGGTGATCCTGGGCACTGGTATGGTGTGTAGATACTGCAGTGGGCTTCAGGGTCGATTGATGATGGAGACGGCACCGTGGTGAAGGAATCAGTGCTGCCTCACCGGGGGTTGTTTGAGGGAACCTCATACTTCCACGCCCCTCCACTTCCTGCCACACACTCTAGCCCCATTGGGATATTGATGCCTGACGCATATGGCACCATTACACCCCTTTCGGATGACCGTCTCGCCCCGGAATTTACTTCTGCTCACTACGAAGTACTCCCTACAAAGTCAGACTACGCCCGGACAAGGACATGTCACGCTTAAATGGTTATTTGGCTTTCCATGGACGCGCCAAAGAACAGCTCGCTCTTATCGCAAGAGACGGGTTATATGACGCGATCAAAACAAATCTATAAGACAAACGTGCCAGTGCAGTGAAGTTCAGTCTTCAAACCAATCAATCCGATCAGCGCCCAGCGTCTTATACCTAATTCAATATCCCTCAATGGCAAACCGCCCGGTGGTCGAGTTCTATTTCTCCTTCATTTCGCTATGGTCGTACATCGGAAGCCGCCGGTTTCAGCAACTGGCAAAGGAGACAAATGCACACATCATCTACAAACCAGTTGATCTTCTGTACATTTTCTCAATATCCGGCGGGCTGCCCGTGAAGCAACGCTCGGGGCAGCGCCAAGCTTATCGTCTCCTTGAGATGGAGCGCTGGCGGAAAATTCGAAACATTCCGATCGTTCAGCAACCAAAGTTCTATCCAGCAGATCCGTCGCTTGCGCACCGTGTTCTCCTAGCGGCTATCGAAGAGGAAGGATCGGACAGTGTGCGAGTCCAGGAATTTGCACACAAAGGGATGGAGGCAGTCTGGGCGAAAGAGCTGGATATCGCCGACGCCGACACTATTGCCCAGTTGGCAGACGAGGCGGGTCTTGAGGGAAATCGCTTGTTGGAGAGGGCCCAGAGTGAGGATCTCTTGGTGACGAAGGAATTGGGTTCCATCGAAGAAGCCAAGTCGAAGAATGTCTTCGGTGCTCCCTTTTATTTTCTGGGAGATGAAGGATTCTGGGGGCAAGACCGGTTGGAGATGCTCGAAGAAGTAATCCGATCGGGAAGAGACCCAATCAATATTCAGGCTTGAGCAGTGCCGAATAAGACCATTCAATTTAGTCAAAATATTTCACAGAAACGCCTTTCACAATCTCGACATCGTTGACATCGTTGTCGCCTTCTTCGCTGGTAGAAGTACCCAGATTCTTGATTATCCGCTGCTTCACCCATTCCCCAGCTTTGATCGGTCGCCCGTCACTTCCCAAAATCCTTTCGGTTGTGAGACCTCGCTCTCGAAGCACCGGGGATTCTTCAATCGGAACCAAGTCGGAGTCATCCTCGATTCGCACCATATACAGAACGCCCAGGCGAGCGACATGAGCTTGGTCCTTTGGCGGTGCAACGACTCGGTGAATGCTAGACTTCAGGAACCCGTCTTTCAATCATTGTGTGAGTCAGATTCTCCAAAGCAAAAGGCCATGTTCTACTCACTGGTCATGAAATGAAGAGCATCCGCCATATTGACAGTCAGAGCATTCATCTGCGGTTGCACGTACTTCCAAATCCCATCTTTGGTCAAGACTTGCAGAGCTGCGACTGGTTGGCGAAAGAGCAGAGTGAGACTCCCCATGTCCGAGTGACTATTCTTTGTCAGTGTTCCACTTCGGAGATGACAATTCCCAAAACAAACCCTTTCAGCCAAACGCCTCCCAGTTTTCGGTTCTCCTCCTCACTTCGGGGGTAGTACTTCATATAGCGGAGATGATCTCCGCTACTCTTCTCATATCGATGCTTCTTGACAAACCATTCATCGTCCTCCAACCCCAATGCCACTGCGAAGATGATGAGAAGTTTCCGGACAATCTGATCATTGATGTGTCGCGAAACCCTTTCGATTGTTTTCCAGTGTCTCTTGATCAACTCGGGGTGTGGGCGGTCGGCATGCTCAGGAACAAACTTGGGAATATTGTAGATTTCAAAGTTGTCCTTCACCCCGGGAATAAGATGCCTCGTTCCAGCAGGCTTCCACCCGTTATAATCACCTTCCTCGAGTGCCGCTCTATATTTCAATTTCTCTTCGTCTGGGAGCAAAAGGACAGCCTTTGCAAGAGCGAATTGGGTGTCGATGTCCTCATTGGTCAATCCATGATTCTTGACATAGAAGAACCCTACCACGAAGGTCAGCACTGGTTGTGCACTTGTTTTGGTTGAATAGACGCACCAACATCCTCAATAGCTTTCGTAAATTCGGCTGCTAGCTTCCTTCTGCCATCAACTTCGTCAAACTTGGAAAGATCTAGCGTTCTCAGGTCTGCCCAATCCAGCGATTCTGACGTCTCTGGTACTTGCAGATATGCGAGTTCTGTCTCTGTGTTGGTGGTCATGGTGTTTGGTTCTCAATTCTTGATTCAACAACCAAATCGATCAACATTTTTGAAATCTCCAATGAACTAATATATCGCCATCTACCCGGGGTCATAAGTTGCCGGATTGGATTCACATCATCCTAGGCTCTATGGCACCATACCTACCTAGGTAGGCCGGGAGGTCTTCATCTCGGAGGTTTATTAACCGTTTACCCGTATGAGTTTCCCCATACCTAACATCAAATCAGTGAGATGCCCCGTTCCCGAAGAGTGGTGAACACTGCCAAGCCACCAGAGCACCGCAGGGGCCGGCTGTGTCTTTTGTCATTCCCAGGGTAGCGCACGCCATCTATCTTTCAACGAGCATTTGACAGCCAACAAATCCCGAGATTCATCAAAATGCTCCGATTGGACTCAGGACATTATTTTCTCGGTGATTGTCCGACATCGCAAAATAGTTGGCCAAGACATCATTGTTCTCAACAAGAGTTTGCTCCCTTCATATCAATTGATGCTGAGCTCGGAATTCCATCTTAGTGCAGAAGCAACCAGGAAACAACCATGGCTGCTGTCGAGCCTTTCGAGCACGATGACATCGGTTGCGGAAAGATATTTTCGAAGAACAGAGACGTAAAAGAGGGACTCGATGATTTGGGATTGGGAGATGAAGCGAGACCATTTAATCTTCATGACAGTAGACGGGTGTTGAGAAAGATTGATCTCTTCTTGATACCGGCAATGGTGATTGGTATGTACTCATTGTGAACATGTTTTACAACTCCCCTTCTAACCCACTATAGGCTATGGACTAGTTTACTACGACAAAGTGAGTCCACGTCAAAAGAGACAAGTTATACGAAATGAGACATCTGGTTCAACCTTCTGACCTCTGTTACGAAGGCGATCCTCGGAAACGCTGCAATCTTTGGAATGACTGCCGACCTTGAGCTTTCTATAATCGATACCTCGACTAGTCCATCTCGAATCGACACATCGAGGCTCAGCTGGGCAACCTCGATCTTCTATTTCGGTCAGCTTGTAGGCTCCTACCCCGTGACCTATACTCTACAGCATTTCAAGACACAGCATGTACTGGGTCCAATGGTCATGCTGTGGGCTATAATCTGTGCAGCAACGGCTGGGGTGACGACATGGCAGGGCCTCCTAGTGCAAAGATTTTTCCTGGGTACTTAAAGCGAGATCACGGCTTATTTCAGTGATTAAACTAATGGCGTTTCGTAGGATTCACCGAATCAATCATCCCGACATGCTTCATGCTCACCGTGAGTGGCTTTTACACTCAATCCGAACAAGCCCTGCGCCAGAGCTGGTGGTTCTCTGGAACTGGATGGTTTACTATTATCGGAGGAGCCATAAATTATGGCTTTGCAAAGATTCAGAATGGCGCATTGACTCCGTGGCAATATATCTACGTTTTCGCCGGAGGGCTGACATTTTTATTTGGACTCTGGTGCTTTTTTCTTCCAAGTTCACCGTCAAATGCCTGGTTCCTGAGCCCAGAAGAACGACTTATTGCAACTGAGCGGTTGCGAGCCGGACAGACGGGCATAAAAAATAGGGGTTTGAAATTCTCTCAGATCAAGGAAGCAGTTCTTGATGTCAAAATCTGGCTTGTGGCCATAACGATGGCTTCTGCGTGAGTTGGTTACCGTTTAACATCATTTGAATCCGCGGACTAACGATATGGAACTCTCTAGATATACGGTCAACGGTGCAGTTTCCGGCTTTGGTCCTCTGATTGTATCCACCTTTGGGTACTCTTCTTTGGAGAGCATTCTCTTCCAATTTCCTCTCGGTGCCTTGTCCGGTACAGGCATTGTTTTGACAGGGTGGCTGAGCTCGCGATATCAGAATATTCGGATATTCCTCCTACTGGTGTGCTGTCTACCCGTAATTGCGGGATTTTCCATGATCTGGAAGTCGAGCTGGGGATACAAGCCGGTCGTTCCTGTGGTTGGGTATTCGTTGATTGGATTCTTTGGGCCAGTCGTCGGACTCACGATCTCCCTCGGGGCGAGCAACGTTGCTGGTGAGACGAAGAAAAGTTTCATGGCGTCGGCGGTGTTTGTAGCATATTGTGTTGGGAATATCATTGGTCCACAGTTGATTCAAAGTCAGACCAAGAGCCAACACTATCCGGTGTTATGGACCGGGTTGATTATATGGTAGGTGTCTACCGGTTGGCAGTTTCATGGGACTTTTTAACTGACATTGCAACAGTTATTGCATCGCCATGCTATCCTCTTCAATTCTCTATGTCATGTGGTCTCGAGAAAACAAAAGGCGAGATGTACTAGAATTGAATGAGAGTGAACGCGATAGAAATGCTTTCAAGGATTTGACCGACAAAGAAAACCTGCACTTCAGATATGTTCTTTGAGCTTCAAATAGAATTTAACCCCAAAGGTTATTGCGGAGCGAAGCGAAGCATTATAGTATCATAGGATCCTCTTTCCCTGCCTCGTCACGTGACAACACTTTTGGTGGTGGGCTCAAAATCCATAGAATTCTGCCAATGTAATGCGGTGAGTTCTGATCGCTGAGAAACGGCAGAATACTTCGACTGGCAGAAAGAAAAATGATTTGCTTGGACCAATATGCCTCCACCCCCCTTTTGGGGGAGATCACGTGACATGATGCTTTGCTCCAGGGCTGCGTTCCGCATGACTTTCTGGTGGCCTTAGGCCACCGAGATCCCTAGTATCTCAGCTATGCTTTCGGTATGTGAGCAAATACGTACAGAAAAATCCATGCCAGTTCTCAACCTAGCCAAACAAATCTTGGATTGCTTCAAAACATCACCAGACTTTTGAGATTTATCTCTACCTAGTAATAGCTACGGGCGAAGGCAAGGGGACTTGACACTAAATGTGGTATAGAAGAATGCTGAACTATTGATATCCGAATGGAATATACTGAGAACATTTATATAATTCCATAATTGATGCAGCTGAAGTTCCAGTGCTTTCTTTTTGAAAACTTTCGCCGCCAATTCAAGCCTTCGATCCCTCGTTCTCGTCCATGGCCTGAGTAACAGAGGGTTGAGAAACCGATTCTCTGCGTTTATCGTCGCGACGGGAGCGCCCTATGCCAATCATCTGACCCATCTCCCTCCAGAATCCAGTAGGAGGCTCAAGGAAGCTGTCTTCATAGGCGTCGATGAGGGGTCGTTCCCAGACCAGATCCGCTTCATGAGACTTGACGAACTTTGTTCTCTTGAAGACCTTCCAGATAATGAAGAGAGGGGGGATAACGATTTGCATGGTGTAACTGGACCAGAATGTGGACACGTTCCAGGGCTTGTATGAAGGGTAGCCGTAGACGCAGGTGACAATGATCATCCAGACCAATGACATCCATGCACAGTGAGGTTGTAGCCAGCCGAAGTAGGAGAATGATCGGCGGTCGATACCCTGCACTTTGCAGGCGCGGTGGAAACATATATAAGTGATGGTGATCACGATGTAATTGATGAGACCTGGAAAATGGTCAGCTCTTTCTCTGAGAATAGGTGTAGCTTGGGCTTGAATTGATCTTACCTCCAGCAGTAACAAGACTGGCGAACCAGGTGATGACGACAGATGAGCTGCTCGAGCACTGCAAGAAAGAGAGGATTGGGAAGACCATGACCACGGCGAAGCAGTAAATCGGGACACCCTGGCGGGTGGTGTGGGTGAGAACTCTGGGAGCTCTTCCCTCCAGGGCCAAGCCGTACAAAGTACGGATGGCACAGTAGGTGTATGTATTGCCAGCGGAGAAGATGGAAGTCAACAGCAGACTACTCGAGGTTAGATATCAACCCAAATTTGAACGTTTGGGGTCCCTTACGCATTGATGATCGATGGGAAGATAGATATTCCAAGATTCCGCATGCCAATGACATAGGGAGATGCAGAAGCCGAGCCATCCGAGGAGCCGTTCACAACAGCATCCAACGCCGGGTCTCTAGCCGAGCAGACAATACCCACGGCCAAAGCACCGCCGATGAAGAACAGACCGAATCGGATGTAGACTGTTTTGAAGGCATTCTTGATGTAGACACGGGGGCGCTTGGCTTCAGCAGCAACCATTGAAATGTACTCTGGGCCAACGACGGCAAAGCAGGCTGACCACAAGGAGCCCAAGAAGCCTTCAAATCGGCCGAGGGCACCGCCATCTAGATACTCCATGAAAGATCCAGGGTTGTTCCAGTGGCGGAAGCCGTAGGCATCGTGGGCTGGATTTCCACCAACCATGGTGATGAAGGTGAAGAAGAACAGAGAGAAGATCAGGATGACCTTGCCGCCTGACAGCCAGAACTCGGCTTCACCGTAGGCTTTGACGGCCAAGACATTGAGTGAGCTAAAAAGGAGGTTAGCATCTAACAATGTCAAGTGAGAAATAGCTGTGCGATCCTTTCCCCGGGAGACCGGAGGTGGGAGATCGGGGGCAGTACCCATAGATGATGATCACTGCAGCACAGATACCAGCCACCGGGCCCGGCTCTGTGACTTTCTCGGTCCAGAATGACAGCACCAGCGTGAAAGCCGAGATCTCAAAGGGAATCAAGAGTGCTTCGTAGAAGCTATACAGGGTATTAGCATATAAAGGGGGATAGTTTTTGGCATCGCCAAGAAAACCGACAAAAAGTTCCACCCAACCATAAACCCAAGAGCATCATCTACCCATTTCCCTGCCAGTCGGATGAACCCACCACTGACGGGGAATGCGGTAGTCATTTCAGCCAGGCAGTTGTTTACCATGGCCAAAAAGATACTTTGAACTGCAAATGCAATGAACAGACTACCAGGTCCGCCGTGGTACAGACCTGTGCCGATACTCACGAACAGGGCTGTACCGATCGATCCACCGATGGCAATCAGCTGGATCTGACGGTTGCCGAGATGACGCTGCAGGTTATCAGCATTCGATGCCATCACACCCTCCTGTACATCTCGGGGTCCCTCGGATTTGAGTCCCAGGGTGTGGAGTACGCCTCCACTGGTCTCTTTGTCTTTGTCACTCATGATAGCCATCTTGTGGTCATTCCTGTCTTTTTCTTAGTTGCGGGTATGGGTGTGATGTGAGGTCGCAAGCGGTTGCACGGAAGTCTTGATGTCGCGTTTCGGTCTGTGGGTTGGTGCGTGGATTTTCTAGGGCTTGGTTGGGGCTTGGGCTACAGCGAAGTGTCGCGCACCGGGTTTTGTCGCACAGGGATTGTTGCAGCGGGAATCTGGTCTGGATGTGGGCAGCGAGGGTTGTTGCAATGGATGCTCAGCTGGCGCAATCGTTGGGCTGGAGGGGGTGAGAGGGCTGGGATCTTTGCGACAGGAAGATCAATCGCAGTGAGTACAGTGCAGTTTCACCGAGGTCACCTAAGTGCACGGCGATGGAGAAGAAGAGCGAATGGTACAACCGACGTGAACCGGGGGTACCTGGATACTTGAAGGGCAAAAATGAAGGTCAAGATTTCTCGATTGGTGGTGTGAAAATGTGAAAGTGCAAGTAGGCCGGAAAGACAGAGGACCTAAAAGGCAGGGATTTCCCAGAGATACAGCCTTCGAAGCCATTCAAGCCACCATCCATAGTTGCCCCATTTTTTCCTTTGCTTCCACCCCCTCTGATTGGACAGGAACTGATCTTTATCAACCCCGCGCGGTCTGACACGGTCCAGTGTGGGGGCTAAACCCAATGCGGACACCCGGGGCGGGTGAGCCATGGAAAAGTATACGTTTCGGGGCACGTGGCGCTCGCCATCCCGAGAAAAACCAACGAAAAGACGAGGGAAGCCTATCCGGATGCTGCTACCTAATGGGGGCCGATGGCACGTTACGTCTCGGAGTCCCCGAGTTCTGAGCTCTCGTGTGCACGCCCCCTGCCAAGCTCGCCCCCAAGGCGCAACCCTGTTTCATCTTATGTCTGTAGCCCTAAAGTGCTGGGCTTCCAGTGGGCTGGATCTGGATCTGGATCTAATGCACGAGCAGCATACATACATGCGGCCATGTGTCGATGAGCCTGGTTTCTGAGAGAAAAAGTCCAAGAGCACACGAAAAACGTCCAACAAAGTGTCTGAAAGACTTTCCATGGGACTATCAAGTTTTCCACGAGTTTTGCGGCTAGAAACGGGACGTGAAAGTCAGCGATATCAAATTATGTACAGAAAAGGCGAAAAAGAGCGAGACATCAGTTCATCCAAGAGGCTTGGGAGACTTGGCGGCCCGTTCTCGTGGCGCAATGGCAAGATTATTCTGCCTATCGCCCCTGCTATACCGCCTTGAGTCAGGACCCAGGTGGACATGCAAGGATTGATCCTCCGGAGTACATCTCGGGCTGCTGCATCGCTTCTGTGAAACCATGTCCTAATTCGGTCTAGCCTAGACACCTGAGGCATCAGCCAAAGTGGTTTACCCTTTCATGAATTCAGGGTTGCAAACTCGGCGCCTTGTCGAAGTCATTAAAAACTGAGGACTCGGAAAATGGCGAAAGAGAATGTAGATGCACTCATTTCTCGCGAAAGGGTAGAAAAGAACAGCCATACTTTGGAAGGAGGAAAAAGTGCAATCAGATTATTCAACCCACAGGCAACGAGCTTCGGGGCAAGTATCCAAGGACATATGTGAGGATACATGAGAAGGAAACTACAGGAATTTACGCTAGATGTTAAATGATGAGCCGATGGGTGACAACGTGGATTGATTAACTAATAGTCCGCAGTTGTGTCTAACTATAACAAGGACGCCGAAACCAGAGTATTAAATCAACCATGTTTTTGAAGATCCCCGATCGAGGATATCCGGAACAAGGTATCAAATCTAGTTGTCGATGGCAGTGCACTAGGGAGCTGTCAGTGGCCGGGTATGACATGTCGGAGGCTGGAGATCTTACCTTGCCTTTGCCGGAGGGGCAGCAGGCAATGATGTTCTTGCAAGAGGGACCCTCGTTGGTGTCCTTGGTTTGGGCTGTACTGTGTTAGTACAGGCAGAGATGGTAGGGAGAGGGGGTTTCTTACAAAGGACGTTGAGGTCGTCGAGAGCGCTGGTCTTAGCACAGGCAGCGTCGTCGTTGCCGAGGAGACCGTTCAGGGCACCCTTGGCGAGGAGGTTGCCGAGAATACCGTCGCCGGAGACATTCTCCTTGGAGTCACAGCAGGCAATGTCGCCGCTGGCGCACTGGGCCTTAGCACCACCGAGGGCGGAGGACTCGGTGAGAGACATGGCAGTGGCGGAGGCAGCGAGGGCCAGGACAGCGGAGATGGTGAACTTCATTTTGAAGGATTGAAAGATTGAAAGATGATTGGATGGGAGAGATGGATTGAGATGATGAGATTGATGTCTGGTTTGAGGTGATTGAAACAGCCGCCTTATATACCATGGCGTTTAACCCTTGCTTAATGGGGTGACGTGGTTGACTTCCAATCAACGATAGAATGTATGCCCGGATGTGGAATCTCTCAAGGTGTGTGATCTGCGGAGATCTACGAAGGACTGCTGGTATGGGGTTCATCCTCTTGCCAACACGGTCTCAGGAATGTCAACCTCCGGGTATGGAATGTGAGTCTCCACCACTTCCCGCCCCACCAGACCACTCCAGAACGGTGGAGATCGAAAAAGACTCATCAATCAGATTTGGGTGTTGAATTCTCCGTTAAGTCTCGATCTGTAGTCGTCCCCGTAAGTGGCTTGGACAGAGATGTAATGTACTCTTTCTGGTCATACACAATTTAGTAGTAGATTCGAAGCACGATTCATCAACAAGGTCAAACTCATCTATGCTAATGTTCCTCGTCAGCTGGTAATTAGATTTACCCCTACAAATAGATCACTTGTTGTGGAATCAAAGTTTCGGGGGGCGTACAAGGGGCGTTCAGCTCACCCAGCTTTCATGGAGGTTAATTGGACCATCGTGTCTGGTAGTAAATTCCGCAATCGGTAGTGGACCCGTATACCACGGTCCGATAATATTAAATGCAACCTGGTTTCGGGAAGGGGCAAGCCTCAGCCCCCAGTGGACATGTAATCCAAGTCTCGGTATGTCGTCGATTTACATCTGGATCTGCCCATTTGAGAATGCAATATACCCCAGCCCCGGAGTGGGCAGCTCCAGAGCGGTACTTGTATCATCGCATGTTTGATCCCAGCGTTGTATATCGCAAATGTGACCCTGCACTGACCTACAGTATCTTCGTCTCTGGTAAAGATAGTCATGAGCTTCATTTCGCCAATCTCAAAAGTATCTTGAAAGCAATTTTGGGGCTCCATTATTAGTCCTTACTGGGATGGGAATGTAACTCGAGGATGAATCGGTCTTGCAGCTACGTGGAAATGAGAACTTTCGGGTGAGTAGAGTCCCCTGGGGTGTTCATGTACAGATCGGGAATTTCTAAGGTTCAAGTCTCGATGACTCGAGTCCAAGGATCAGTTGGCGTTTAGAATGCCCAGATGGCAAGCATCATGGGACTCAGATTCCAGAAATCAAGTCAATCTCATACATACCTAGGTAATCATAATCAAAATCTTGTTGATCGAGAGGGCAAACTTTGCTTGATGTTCAAAATCACAAAAATAGAACAATCTGATGTCTGTCAATCACATCCTAAAGCTTAAGCTACAGGATTTTCCATGTAGATGCCCGCATGATGCATCCATGGATCATCGATTGGATAGAATGATCTGGAGCTGCATGTATTTCATTCGCTGCATTCCAGCTCATGAGTTTAATTTGTCGCCTGAGTCAAGTGGTGTCATTGATTTTTGGGATTCGTGTAGTTTTTTTCAACATCGGAGTAGATACAGCATATATTCCCGAGTCCCATATAGTTTCCATGGTTTTGTCGGGATTGTTGTAAAACTTGGAAGCGATAGAGCGAGAGAGAGCGAAAGAGAACGAAAGCTAACCTTGGGACCACCCAAGTGGGCACCTGGGCGGTCCCGACCTCGGGAGGCCCCATGGATATCCGGCCTGGACCCTCCCCAGGTCCCTCCTAGGTTGGATCACTTTGGATGAACTCCCAACCTTGGAAGGTTTCAAGGTCCATGATGGATTCCTCCAAACTTGGGTATCAGTCAATCGGGTCTTTGGAATTGGACATGTGCGAATCATTCAGAAGGTTGCGCAACATATACGTAGGTATCAAATCTTATTGTGCCGGAAACCTCAAGTGCTCCCTCAAGGCTGGTATATATATACCTAGTAGGGATGTCACGACCCTAGAATAATACATACTAGCAATATTTGATCAACCAAGGTATTTCAGACCTCTCGAGGTCAGCCGTGATCAAGCACTACAAATAAAGCACCACAGAGGGTTACTAGGTATCAATGTCCTTATATATTCATGTAGAAAATTCAAGGTTGGCATCCAACCAGACATGAATGATGCAGTGTATTGACCCATGGACGCGATGAAATGTCGGTCCAACACCCCGACCTTTCAAACTGGGAAAGGCATATTCAATACCAAGATGTTCATGAAAACTTTGCGCGGAGGTGGATTGATTCTAGACCTACTTGTGCGAGTAAGCTTTAGCATGACCCACAGAGCTTTACGGAGGGTGCAGATCATAACCCAAAATGGACAATGGAAATGTACACAAAGGAAGTATCGGCACGAAAAAGTCAAGGTTTGTTGAGTTTGACACAGATATTCCATTGATTATCTTAGGAAATTATAGTAATGTTCGGGAGAGCCTCTCGTTCGACACGCTTACTCCTTTCCAGAGTTGTCAATAGCAGTGCACTGCGAGTCGAGGGTCAGAATTGACAATGTTGAGGGGAATGATGAACTTACGGTGGTAGTACCCTCGGGGCAGCAAGCAATGATGTTCTTGCAAACGGGTCCGGAGTCGGTGTCCTTGATGGAAGCTGTAGAGATGTAAGCATGATTTCCTCGTCACATCAAAGCGAAAAGTGTGTAATTACCAAGGATGTTCAGCTCATCAATGAGGCTGGTCTTCGCGCAAGGCGAGTTGGAGTTACCGAGAACACCGTTGAGGAGACCTCCAGCAAGGAGGTTGCCCAGGATGCCGTCGGCCTCGGTCTCTTCCGCGGAGTTGCAGCAAGAGATGTCGCCAACATTGCACTGGGACTTGGCTTCGTCAAAGGCCTTGGAGTCGGAGAGCTTGGCTCCCATGGCAACAGCCACGGTGAGGGCAAAGGCAGCAGTTCCGATGAACTTCATTGTGAGGAAGAGTGATAAGAGTGTATGTATAAAGATTTTCGGTGGATGATTGTAGAATTAGAACATCTCGCTCCAGAATGACGAGCTTCTTATGTAGATTTACAATCTGGTGTTAAAGCATGTATATCAAGTCGAAGTAGAAGTTGGCCGTTTGCGGACTGACAATACGTTGTATTCTGACAGTTGTGGGTACGATCGGTGGGTATTCTGATGGGCCAGAACCTCGGGACATCTTGAATGAAACTAATACATTAATATATGACGTGTTAGACATTGTGTCTGTAGGAGTGGGTGCAACCAAGAGCTCTTGGCATTTGTTGGATCTCACCTGGGCAGGATGTGCATGTGCTGACAAGCCGGCATTGTCTAAAAACGTGCTCATTTTTATACATCTCAAGGTAGGAATAGTTGGCCTAACAGTTTCTCTTCTTTTAAAAATAGAATATTGAATAGCAATACTAGCGGAGAGCAACTGGAAGTCTAGTGATAGTAGAGCAAAAGGAAAAATGAAGTTCAACGGCATTTCCGTTTCGGAGAGTGTGACGTCATCCTTTGTCTTACCACTTGGAGATGTTCGAGGTCGCATCGATGTCAAGAACAGGTAGATCTCGCGCATAACCTAAGCAATTGAAATTCAATTCTCTTTTGCGGAAGCCTGTTAGGTTTCGGATTCCACAAAGGCTTGAAAAATCTGCAACGGTTACGCCTCGTGGGGCACTCTACTCGGATGTCGGTAGATGTGCCTGTCCAATCCAGGGCTTACTGGTTGCGTTACTCCCTTTACACAGTCTGAAGAACGATCGACACATTGTACCTGTTAGATTGATGTAGTATTGCTGTTGGAGACTTGGATCAAGTCGCAAAGCGAACAATCGCCCGGTAATCACTACGCTATTCATCTTCGTCGCGCATAGCAATAATTTGCTGCATCATCGTTGGCATAATGGAGTAACAATTTTGTTACTCTGCCCACTGTCATGATCTAGAGTCACGTTGGTGTATGATCACTGAACGCCTCTGGATTCGAATGCGGCCAGATCATCACTTCGAGTGCTAGCGTTGCTGTGCCTTTACTCATAGGTGTAAGATGCCGAAGACCAGTGTGGACGATGAGGGGCACATCTGGATTAGGGAGGCAGTGGTCAGCATTGTGGCCAGTCCAGTAACCATCATGTACATCAAGCTAGGTCCTGAGTCGTTGCCTCTCAGCTAATGCTTTGCGATCTCGGCATTCATGACCTGTGTCACGTTTTCTGGGAGGTATTGGCGCTGTTGATTTTGAACTCTGCTCGATTGAAGCCATGTCACCCGTGAATATGGCGTACCGCTATCTCCATAGCTGTCAGGATCGGGTATTTTGTAGGAGTCGTGATCAGGAGGCGAAAAGTCGGCCAAGTGACGTCGGAGACACTTCCGGCAATAGCTGTCCAAACTCACGCCATTCATCCACCTCTATCATTGTGTGTGTGTGTGTGTGTGTGTGTGTGTGTGTGTGTGTTTGTGTGTGTCGAGGGAGAGGCAAAACGGCGACCTCGATCTGGGGTAATTGACGCCCTCCGACAGGCCCCGCCTGAATGCGACGACCAAGCCCAGAGGGCAAGCGAGGAAAATCCACGAGTGCCCCAAGCGTCGTGGGTATTGAGAATGAAACTAGCTCAAAAATATCAGTCCATTGTCTCATATAGTCATCAGTTCTGTAGGTGTCGTGCCCATCGAGGACAACAAGTTATTTGTTGGTGAGGCGGACAAAAGCCGACGCAGCAAGGCAAGGTCTCCGGCTCGAATCAACGTGCAGAATGATTGTGCCTGAGCTAGATGCTTTTGTCTAAGCTCGGTATGTTCGCATGGTATTGTCGCGCGTGTGATCCCGAGATGATTTGTGGTGTCATCTGCTTCTCGCGAGGTCGCTTTTACGCGGGAACCACCGCTGGGGCCGAAGCGGTACCCGCGATTCGAGGCAAATCCAACAGCGGCTGACCGAGCAGCACAAGGTGAAATCGGAACCCTGGAGTAATCGATCGATATGACTGCCCAGGTGATCATCAAGGGATGCGAAAGCTGAGTTGTTTTGCCATCACAGACCTGACCGCCTGTCGCCACTTACCCAGGGGCTGCACTCTCCAGCCTCAACATTCCGCAGGCAGGTGCCAAGTCAAACTTTCACAAACTTCCACAGCTCATTCCTCTATGACGCGTGCTCCGGCAAGACAGCACTCGAAATCCATGAAACCTGATCAGCAACATATCCATCGTTCAATGGGGCCAGAGAAACGCGCAAAACACCGGAACGTTCTGCAGGGGCCGGAAACATAACCTGGGTACACATGAGAGGTCTCATCAGCAGGAGGGAAGGCTTCACACGACCCGAAGAAGGACCGAGGCGTCAGATTATGACGATATCGAGACCTGCAGGCTTTGTTGTTGACGAGTGTCAACTTTTGGCTCACTGAACCTGACTAGATAGGAAGTTTGGGCTTGAGGTAAGATACCGCGATTGAACTTGAACCCCAACTGCCAAACTAGGTGCATGGGAGAATCATGGGAGTTTCATCCATCAGAGGGAGGCTCCCCTTGTGCAGACTCACAATCAGCGACCACAATGCAAAGACCATTGAGACCCCCAGAACAGGCCTCGCCTGGGATGCGAGGACTGTTTGAATCTAGAGTATCGTGCAATTTCCACTTCGAGCGATCGACAAGGGAACTGGTTTTCTTGGCAAGGGAAATTCAATGATGACCATTGCAGTCATGAAACCTGGAGGATCGATTAACTGGTTGACATCCTGGAACTCCAAGTCATCAGAGCTGTCAGACTTGCCATTTGTAGCAATAAGGATAGAGCTGAAACCATCCATGGGTGAATGGCCCCTCGAACTTTATTAGCGCCAAGGAGCCAATCATGTAGCTTATGGACAAGGATGACGGGTGATCTGCATGGCGCTAGGCCCATTCGGGTATGGCCTCAAAGTAAACAACTGTGGGCCTGATATCTGCACCTACTCTATCTGGCTGCGTTGCTACCAAAACGTCCAGTTGCTGTCGGCTATGTTAGCTTCTATTCTAAAATTTTGGCTTTATATCAATTGGCTGATTCTCTGTATTCGAAGCCGGGCCCCCATGAGATGTCTCGCTGGAAAATCTCTAGTAGATGTTTCCATTCCTGGTAACAAGTTTTGTGATCAAAGTCTTCCCTCTGCAGCTCTAGTAGAGCCCCATTGATATATGAGCTTACTGGGTCCTCCAGGTAGACAGTGTATATGCCATCAAGCCTACATAATCCTCCCGCAGCAAAAACTCAACCCGGGGGGTCGCCCCCCCGAGGCTACAAACCCGGAGGCTTCCAGGAGTCGCTACCAAACAGTGGTATGCTGAGTGGCTTTTCCTACTCTCTCCCGAGAAGCAGGTGCGATTTAAACTCCCCCGACCCGGAAGTCGGAGCTCGGACTCGCTTTAGTGCGGCAGTGGAAGCACGCTTAACCACTGAGCCACTCGCCCTCGCGTAGCAAAAAGAGCCCAAATTACTTCTCATGACCCCATTTTTCTCCTCTTTTCTTCTTCTACAAGGATGTGGGTTCAAATACCCGCCAAGGCGCATTTTTGGCCCCACATCATGTTGAGGGATTCGGGTAGATCAGAAGCTTATTTACACCACCACGAATTTTGAGCACCACTTGAATCGTGAAAATGATTTTTTTTTCGTGGTTTGAAATCGAGAATTGCGAGGTGTTGGGGTGTGAGGATTTCCCAATGGTGCGTGCCTGCCAGCTACTGTTTCTCCTTGGGTCTTTCCTTTCGCATACCTTCAATTTTTCTACGGCACAAGCCCGCATGCCCAATGAACCGGCGAACAAACCGATTGATCTGGATCGATCAAGAGCTATTGTTTTACAACTACCTATTATGCAAGTCACTACCGCACGTGCATTGCACTGGGACAAATGACTCCATTTCTTGACAAAATGTTCCCGATTCAATGAGGTACGCGCACCACCTGACAAACCCACATTTCGTCTCTTTGGGCATTCATACCTAGCAGTGGATATAACAATTGACAAATTGAACAGCCAAGAGCACATGCGTTAAAGGCTGCCTCGCCAGCTGGATCTATCCGTCTGAAGCATGAGAATCTCACTCTTCCCACGCCACACAATACCGGCCTTGCCGCATTCTGGAAAAAAGGGCATGAGATCCGAGCAAAGGTATAAGGTACTTATTTTAGAGGCTCTCTCAACGCCTGCTGAGGGTTGTGAGACTGTAAAAGATACTGGTTTGGAGCAGCACTTTCCCACTGGGCCAAAAGACCATTATAATCTCACCGCTGTGAGACTATTCCAAACTCCGCATTATATACCAACACACATTCTTGGTCGCGCGCCCGCACCGGGGCTGCCCGCGCACCTGCAGTCGCACCCATTCTGGGCTGCGCACCACAATTCCATGTAAAGGATCTCTTATCCTTTACAGAGACCCCCTTGGTCAAGACCACCGCATCGAAGTTCGACATGATGTGCGTGTTGGTAGCTGTACAAAAAGCCACTGCGCCCACACAAGCTCCGGCCTGACTATCACTATCAAACTTACTCGGTATCAAGCGCTAGTGGATCCTCATGGAGTTCTTCTGTGTTGAGTGGCACTCATACAAGCACTGAGACAATGTGTAGAGAGAAGGTAGTAGAAGCATATCATGAAGACACAGAAAATAGTCTCATATTTCGGTGTTGGTGTGACACGACAGGTGCAACTGGAATATATGATAGTTCTTCTGATAATTCTGACAACGTATTCGTCATTCAGTTATGATAAATGCCTCACAAGTAAAGTAAACTTAAATTCGTAGACTTCAAAATCAGAGCATTTGGACAATTTGATCGCAATCAAAAACAGGAATGAATTTTAGAAGCAAACATACTTCTATTTTGTGTGACTGACACTAGTAGAGATGGAAATGGAGAATGCCTGTTTTCTGATCACAGCATCATAGCTTCTTCGATCCGAATGGCGCGATGGATGAAGTCTAACCTCATCATGGACATAGGCCCAGTCTGCCGGTGTGAGACCCATTCCTCGGACCTATCTTCCGCTATTTGGATCTCATGGGAGCTCATAAGGTTCACAGGGGTTTGGAAAGCCTGACATGACCATCGTATTGATCAAGTAAGATTGGTCCTTAACATCTGTGCCGCATCCGACTTCCACCATGTCCTTGAAGTAGGGGGTCCTGCCCTTCGTTTCCAGTCTCTGACCTGGCTTTTTGTCGACCACACGTGCCCCGGGGTCGCAAGCTCAGTCTCGAATATGGCACTTTGAGTTGTTGTTCCTCAAGTATGCCGGTTTAAAGGAGCCGATAGCCGTACGGAAGCTTGAGAAGTGTTGTACTCGTTAGGACCCGTGAGTGTGTCCTCTGAAATCAAGAGTCAGTACGGATGCAGATCTGGTAGTGTTAATCCTGTTAGGACTAGGCTGAGAAAGGCCATAGATGAAGTGAGAAAAAGGGAGGGAGAGAGGGAGAGATGGAGAGAGAGCGGGGATCTCACTCCTATCACCCGATCCAGAACCCACAGCGGCAAGGCGGTCGGCCTGTTCAAGCTATATCTGTATTGGCCGATAATTCCTATGCCTGATGTGCCCCCAAATGTGCCCCCAACGTAAGGTGTAGAAGATGCATTTGAGCCGACAACCCTGTGGACTCGAAAATAATCGCATGTACCCATGCCAACAGACATGGAGACAGACAGCAGCGAGAGGATGTTATGGTATCAACGTAATCTTCTGATCCCTCAATGAGGTGAACATAAAAATAACTTACCTTATAGCGCTTACGAGCGCGCTCGAACACCCTCTTTTTCTGCCGCTTGGTCATCCGCGGCTCCTCCGGCTTGTCAGCGGAGAGGGGGCGCTTGGGGGGGGGGGGGGGGGGGGGGGGGGGGGGCGGGGGGGGGGGGGGGGGCGGGGGGGGGGGGGGGGGGGGGGGGGGGGGGGGGGGGGGGGGGGGGGGGGGGGGGGGGGGGGGGGGCGGTGCCGAGGCGCAAACGGATACACTGGGCGCGGACGCAACAGAAGCGACGGCGTTGGACATTTTGAAGTTTGTTCCGTCCCCTCTCACATTTTCAAAAGTTGACAGGGGTAAAAGAAAGAAGAAGTTCAGAATCATGATGGAAGTCTGTTTTGTGCTCAGAGGTCTATTGTCTATTGTCTATTGTCCATTGTTCTATTGTTTCTTATCTACCAATTCTAAGCTATGGTCAAGGTAGTAGAGAAGGAACGCAAGAACAATAAGCGATGTACGGATGCACAGAGAGGAATTCACTGATCCCAATAAGGCTTCCGAAGCTCTGGAGCTGATGTCCAGGGCTGGGCAGGTGCTTGATTTAATGGTCACCCGATGATCCCCACGTCGACAGGTGTATCTCTCAGCTTTCTCTCAATCCTCACTCTTTGCTCTCTCTTCTTTTTGGTTTATCTTTCCTTTCGCTCCCTCGAGCCATCCTCTCAGTGAGACTATCCTTGATCACTTCAGTGAGAAAGTCTCACTCATCCACTGATCATCAAAACTTTCTGTTCTCTATGCAACATACCAAGGCAAACTGGATAGTTTAAGTACCTGTCTGCTACCAAGACCCATGCTACTTTTCCAAATCAACGCGTCTCCGTCTCCTTGGCCTTCATTGCGCTGGCATGGATATTTTCAGGTCTTCTTGCGGAGAAGAGGTATTTGACGGTCATATCGATGATTCACAGCTTTCCTCGTTTCAGCCTATCAGGCGCGAAGCTACAGAAACAACTTCATCACCAACTGACGTGAAGCTTCCTCCAAACATCACATCAACCAAACCTTCGTCCGCACCATCAAACAATGCCCCAGAGTTACTGTCCTCCCGATACTGGCCAAGATTGACTCAGATGAAGATACCCATGTCTATGCTCACCAGCGGTGAGACGCTGGCAGCCGAGATTAGCTTCTTTCGAGATTTGAAGAAGCTGAGAGGCAGTGTCAACTTCAGGGAGTGGGAGCGTGAATTTCGACAAACTCTCGCCACGCTGGGAGGGGTATACACCATGATACTGGACAATGTTGTTGAGGAACCTGAAGCCCCTTCTTATGAATCCACGGATCAGGACGAAGTGGTTGATTCCATTACTATGGGTCTCATGACATCACAGCAGGTCGCTTACTTTCATGAAAACAAGTCGAAATTCAAGGTAGCAATGCAAACGGTTGAGGATGAAAGGCTCAAGATCAACGCCGAAAACCAGCGCCTCTTTGATGAATACGTGAATGAGTGCATCCATTGGAACACGCTACATCGACGAATCCTTTGCTTCATGGGCCACTGTATTGACAGTGATGCTGAACAGATCATCAAAGGAATGGATAATTCCACTTTTGCGATGAAGCGGTTAACCTTGCGGTACGGAGTAGTCTCTAACCGGACCAAGATTGATCGATTTGACAAACTTGTGAACATGCGGTACAAAGGTCCGTTTTGGAATGCTGGTGAATACACTCGACAATTTCAACAAGCTTTGCTCGAGTACGAAGAAGTCACGGAGAAGGTTGGACTTTGGACAGTCTACACGACTTTCATGAACTCGATCCGCTCGCACTCTTCTTGTCACGCTTTCGTGCAAACATTTAAAACGGTCGACATGAGCTCAATGGTCATTCACGATATGTATTACGACTTCATCTTGTCACAGAGTTGCCAAGAAGTTCTTCATCCTAATTCGGCGCTCATGTCCCGGACTTCACTCCTGATTTCTGGGCATCAACAGAAGTCATTGTCCGCCTCTTCTTCATCCTCCAGCCCAACCTTGAAGCCCTTGATACTGAAACCCTCGACATACGTTGACTGTGGTAAAAAGGACAAGGGGAATAATCCGAAAAAGAGAGAGGGTGATGATGTTCGACCCTGGGACGAAGCCCGAGTGAAGAGAAGGAAAGACAGTCACGATATCTGCCGGATTCTTGGAGGCCATGCCCCTGGCATTTGTCCTTCGGATTAAAGCCCTCAATACCAACCATTTGCAACCGAGGCCACCCAGATTACCGATTCCAGGCTTCAACTTCTTGTCATGGGTAGCCCCCGGGTTCGGATCATCGGTACATTTCTCTTTCGATGGTAGAAGCATTGCATTTCGTGCAGCCATATGCGGCTGTGACCCTGGGATTCCGTTGCACACCAGCAGCTGCAGTGGACGGACTACGGCTGCTGGGTTGAAACCCACTTACCTTGACCGCTTCTTCATAGCTCAACTTCGACGGAAGTTCCTTGCTTGATCCCAATTTGGTGTTACGCTTGATGTACCTTAGATTTCTTGAGATCGAGGAGTTGTCCAAACACTGGGCACTGGCTTCTAGCTACGACAGATCTCAGTCTGATCACGAGATATTGGATCTGGACTCTGTGAACTAGCAAGCCTAATACAACCTTGGAATTCAAATGAATGCAGTAAAACCTTGGAACCTTGGAAGCCCGGCATGGAAGTACCTAGTAGGTAGGTATTTTTTGCTCAACGTCCAGTCTATTTTCACCTCTAGCGCTGTGTTGCGCTTTCGTCCTCCCGAGGTCCGGACAGAGATATTCGTCATCGGTAGTCTACCAGAGTCAAAATCTGTTTTTACCACTTTCGAATTCCTGGGTTCTACCTATTTACTATTCACCCCGACCTTGGGAGGTCTCCGAAGAGAGTGGTAAGACTACCTAGGTAGGTGACTGACAGCCGTGGACCTCAGGAGATTCCAACCTTGGAACTTGGAACATCCCAAGGTTGAATATCTGGCATGAATCCAAGCTCTGAGGCACTCCAGGCTTTTTAGGCGGTCCAAGTTCTCAAAAATGGCCGCGCAGTACCTAGTATAACCCCGGAATCATAGATTGCGACCCTCAACTGTACGATTCTTTGAGGTCCAAAGCTTATTGAAACTACTAGCCCTTGGTAATGTCGGTCTGCTTGACTGCAAGTTTTCTTCGCCGCTTTAACCCTTTCCGCTTATGCTGTTACTGTACAAGGTTAAGCCATGTGTACTAATTCGGGGATCGGCACTCTATTGAACCTTAACCCGGGCACTGGAGAACGTCAAAATGTTTTCTCGGGATCTCTAACCCTTACTCGGATCCATCAACAGGATAAACTAATTTACTGGCCCGGACTTTACCTTCTCTCAGTAGCTGCAATCCGGCCAGTGCGCCGGCCAAACCACCCGTCTTGACCTGGAAAGGATGAGGGAGGATTCGGCGCTGCTGGAGCAGATTCTGGGCCACGTCCCACCACTTGATCCCGAAATCAAGATTGCTCTGATCGGGCGTGATATCTTGTGCGCCCATGCGGTAAGGCTCCCCAAGGATGTCATATGCCATTGAGACGTGGGAGTCAACATCATCGCGGGTAGATTTGACATCCAGTAGCGCATTGTAGGACCCACCGGCCGATGAGATGGCCGCGCTGCAGATAGCGGCTGACTGTGGAGTAGAGATCGTATCCAGCACAAACTCAAGAGCGTCGTCAGTATTTTCTCTGATTTGTTCACCGACTTCTGCATCCCGGTAATCGAAGACGGCATCCGCACCAAGCTCAAACATTAGGTTCCGATTGGCCTCGGAGCATGTTGTCACCACACGCAGGCCGGAGAGCTTGGCAAGTTGAATAGCAAGGGTTCCAGTGGCCGTGGCTCCTCCGTAAATTAGGATATTGATGCCTTCCGTGTCCTCTTCCGTTTCCCCCGGGAAAGGTAATTCCATGATCTGGTACAGGTTTTGACCAACAGTCGTCAACCCAACGCCAAACGTGGCGGCCGCTTCAAAGCTCAGGGATTCAGGAATCAGCATCTGCAAGTCACCCTTGGCAGTGATGTATTCGGCGAATGCACCACCACTAGGACGGACCACATCGCTGCCGTGCACAAATCCAGCGACGCGATCCCCTTTCTTGAAGGACTTATTGACGCGCGGGCCAACGGCCTCCACTATTCCAGAATAGTCGCAGCCCACGATAGCCCCCTTACAGGGGACAAAATCGATATGACGCCAATCCGTGGGGTTCAGGGCCACTGTTATCTTTTAGTTCAATGGAAAGGGACAAACAGCCGGAAAAGGATGAGGGATTCAATTACCGGCTTTTGTTTTGACAAGAATATAATCATCTGGCAGCTCCGGAAGTGGAACATTGTGCTCCAGTGTTGCGCGGCCCGGTTCTTGGGCGATGATTGCGGTTTGGGTGGGCATTTTGGTCGGCTTCCGAGACGGTGACGGGAAACAGAAAGTGAGGCGGGGAACATGTGAGGTTCTGGAAATCGTTTAAATGGCAAATTACTGCAATGCGCAGCTAAGCCAATGTGCCCGGCAGAAGTATTAGGGCCTTTCGGGTCTCAACCTCAGATTCGAGTGGGAACCGAGACGGAAGAATACATACTCCCGTACGTGTTTTCTGCGACCAACATGTATTCCGCACTACGGACTCTCATACGCTCCCCAATGATTGAGCTCAAATCAAGGCGTGAACTCATATGCAGGCCGGCGGTGTCCCCAAAGTCCCCATAGCCAATGGAGTGCCCCCCTGAGCTCGATATTCGAGATGTCGCTCAAATCTTGCCGATCGGTGTGGGGGGTGGGGGCGAGTCGGACAAGATGAGAACCCCGTGTGCCAGTCTACTGGGGCCAAGCTGTACATCAAGTCACGCCGAGAAGATCTCGCCTTGGAGTTAGACACTGGTACGGATGAGAGGCAACTCTAACGCCGTTTGGCTTTGCAATTTTTTTCTTCCAAAAAATCGAAGGATCGAACTAAATATTCTGCAGTACATTATGCAGGCTTGGGAGCCTGATAGCAACATTATAAAATAAGTATATGCTGCGCTAGAGTGGATATTGAGGGGGAAAGTGCATATACTAGTAGTAGTATGAAGTGCGTAGTAGTATACTGTATAGTACAGCATTAGGACTCTGGTGCTTCCTTGTTCCCTTGATCCGTCTTATGCCACGAAAATTGAGAAGCAAACCGACAGAATTCCAGGTGAACAATTGCGAGGCGAGTGTGGCCCCCACTGCGGAATGAATAGCCCCTGAACCACCAGAAAGAAAAAATCTTCCATGGTTAGGATCGTCGGCCGCCAAGGTAAGCTTAGGGGTTACCACAATGTGATTGTGGGTATTATGCGGGCCGATGGAGCATGCAGATCTTTACCTGCACGACGGGCTTGAAATACCGTTACGAATGCATGTATTGATTTCGTCACAATACCATACCTCACCTCTGTACTTCGTGCGACTTCATGAGACACCAGAATGCCCGTCTTAGCACGCTTTCTGGTATTTGCAGATCTGGTTCGACGAGCTTCAGGGGCCTACCTGTTAGCTTGCTCACTCAGCCGCACACAATGTGTCAGTAGTGTAGACGTGTTTTTGTGTCAGATAAACATGACTCGCCGAATGGTTTCCTGCCCCTCATCGTGGCAGGAGATATCGGTGAGATACTAGACTCCGAGGTAAACCCGCTTGCATCATGGCTTTTCGCTGCTGGAAGGGAGTACCGAGTGAACCTAAAGGAGTGATTGATGTAAATGGCTTTCTGGGCTCCACACCATCCCTCCGCTCGTTCGTTAGCCGCTAATACATGCATACGACTATGCGCGGCAACCCGGACGCATGGCACTAGCTTCCAAGAGTCCCAGCTGGATCCTCCTGAGATCATGATGGAGACTTACCGAGTCAGCCCAGATCACGAACCGCAGAGTATAATACCCCCACAGTCTCCCGCATTTGCGACATTGACAGCCAAACCTCTTTTGAAACACTCCTCTCACAAGATGCCTGGCCGACCCAATAACAAGTCGGACTCCACAGACATGGAGGGGATCGCGGTCATTGGAATGGGATGTCGGTTCTCCGGAGGTGCGAACTCCGTTGAGAACTTCTGGCAGATGCTATGCGACGGCCGCACCGGGCATGGAACCATCCCCGAGAGCCGATATCAAGCCTCGGCTTGGCACCATCCCAGCCATGATCGCAAAGGAGCGGTAGGATATTCACTAACACCCGCGTTACGCGTTGTAAAACTGGGCTAACAACATTTCAAGATCAATCATGACAGTGGCTTCTTCATTCAGGAGGATCCATCTCGCTTTGATGCCCCTTTCTTTTCTATCACCGCTAAGGAGGCGGCGGGCATGGACCCGGCGCAGAGATTATTGCTTGAAGTCGCATATGAAACTTTTGAAAACGGTACGCTGATGATTTACAACGCGCGCCAAAAAATACATGGCTGAAACTTGTAATACAGGTGGAATTCCGATAGACTCACTTCCTGGCAGCAACACTGCAGTCTACTCGGGCTCCATGACTAACGATTATGAGCTACTATCTACGAGAGATATTTACGACATGCCTCATAATTCCGCTACCGGAAACGGGCGGACTATGTTGGCAAACCGCTTGTCATGGTTCTTTGATCTCCAAGGCCCGAGTATTATGATGGACACAGCGTGTTCGTCAAGTCTGACGGCAGTTCATTTGGCAGCTCAGGCTCTGCGCTCTGGCGAGTGCGGCATGGTAGGTGTTTGAAAAGTCTCGGAATCGGCGAAACAAACTAACACAATCTCCGTAGGCCATGGTCACTGGAGCCAGTCTCATCTTACACCCTAATTTTACCCAGAGACTCTCCTACATGCACATGATGAGCCCGGATGGCACAAGCCATTCATTTGACGAATCAGCTAACGGCTACGGCCGAGGAGAGGGTATTGGAGCTGTGCTCTTGAAGCCCTTGAGCGCCGCGCTGGCCGACGGAGATAACATCAGGGCCGTCATCCGCGGCACTGGAATCAACCAGGATGGCCGGACCCCTGGAATCACCTTGCCCAGCCCAACTTCGCAGGCGAATCTTATTCGCTCAACATATGAGCGCCACGGAATCTCAATGAGAGACACCGCTTACTTCGAGGCCCATGGAACGGGTACTCCAGTTGGTGTAAGTGCAGCAACCGGACAGAGCAAGCGCAAGAAAATCTAATAATGACTTCCAGGATCCCACTGAGCTTTCCGCAGTCGGAATGACATTGGGTGAGGCACGCACACCGACAGATGAGCCAGTGTATGTGGGCTCTGTCAAAACAAATCTCGGTCATACCGAGGGTGCAGCGGGAGTTGCCAGTTTGATCAAGGTAGTCCTTTGCTTGGAGAAGGCTACTTTGGTGCCTAATGCCGGGTTCAAAAACATCAACCCGAAGATTCGCACTGACGAGTGGCGCCTACGCTTAAGCGACAAGACAATGCCTTGGCCAGAGCATTTGCCTCAACGGGCGAGCATCAACTCGTTTGGTTTCGGTGGATCGAACGCGCACATCATTCTGGAGAGCACCAAAGAAGCCTTCCAAGAGAATGTCGAAGATAGAGAGCCCGCTCCTCGGGTTGTGGTCTTCTCCACATTCGATCAAGCTGGAATTGAGCGTCTCGGCGGCAATTGGAGTGAATTCCTGCTGCGACAGAAGCAAGCTGAACTGGAAATCCCTCTCAATGACCTGGCTCATACGATGCTGACCCGTCGATCGCAGTTGGGTTTCCGCAGCTTCGCGGTTGCTAACTCCCAAGACCAATTGCAGGGCATCTTGGCTAAGGGACTTCCCAAGTTCGCCCGTGCTAGTCGTAAAGCACTTACACGGATTGCTTTCGTCTTCACTGGCCAAGGTGGTCAATGGGCGGGCATGGGTCGTGAGTTGTTGCGGGTCAACATCTTCCGCGAAAGTATGGCGCGGTCTCAGGATATTCTATCATCGCTTGGATGCTCCTTCGATATCGTTGAGGAGATCAAGCTGGATGCCAAGGAAAGTCGCATCAACCGACCCGATCGTAGTCAGCCTATCACTTGTGCGCTGCAGATTGCGTTAGTGGATCTCTTGTCCAGCTGGTCTGTTTATCCCAATGCAGTTGTCGGTCACTCGAGTGGTGAAATTGCTGGTGCGTATGCCGCAGGTTACCTTTCCCATGCCGATGCCCTCCGGGTGGCATGGTTCCGCGGCTTCTTCTCCCAGCAAATTGCTGAGAGTGATAAGAGAGGCGGTATGCTGGCTACTGGTATCTCTTCCACGGATGCCCAGAAGTATCTCGATGAACTGCCACCACGCTCAGTTGTGGTGGCTTGTGTCAACAGTCCTTCCAGCACGACCCTCTCCGGCGACGTTGACCAAGTCGACCTTCTCGAAAAGCGGCTGCAGGCAGATGGTCACTTCGCTCGTAAGCTTCGCATCGACACAGCTTACCATTCCCCTCACATGGAAGAACTGGTCGAGGTTGTGGGAAATGCCATCAACTGTATCAAACCAGAGGACCGATATGGCGACTCCATTCCCATGCTCTCATCCGTTACCAAGGAGCGCGTCCACGGACCTGAGTTGGGCGGCGCATACTGGGTGCGAAACATGGTCAGCTCGGTTGAATTCACCGCGGCAGTTTCTCAGCTTGCCAAGCTGAGCGAATCCACCAAGGGTCGTCGTCGTCCTGTCCCCATCAAGTGGACGAGCTTGATCGAAATCGGTCCTCATGCTGTGCTGAAGGGTCCGGTGAATCAGATCCTGCAAGCTGTCAACAAGAATATGGCCACCCTTCCCTACTACTCACTGATCTCTCGCAACCAGCATGGGTTGAGAACCGCCCTTGAAGCTGCTGGATCCTTGTGGAGCACAGGACACGCGGTCGACCTTTCAGTTGTCAACGCCGGTGTTGACGCGACAAAGCCAGCAATGCTCGCCGATCTTCCCTCGTATCCCTGGAACCACCAGACCTCATTCTGGCATGAACCACTCGAAACAGCTCAGTTGCGACAGCGCAAACACTATCGTCATGATATTTTGGGAGCGGCAGTGGACTACCAAAACGCGTTGGAACCACGATGGAGGAACTTCCTCCGAGTTTCGGAGAACCCGTGGCTTGTTGATCACGTCGTTGCCGGTTCGATCGTGTTCCCCGCTGCGGGAATGTTGGTCATGGCTATCGAGGCAGCGCGTCAACTCGCTGACGGTCAGGCTGTGAAGGGTGTTGAATTCCAGGATGTCCAATTCATGCGCGGTGTGGTGATTCCGGAGGAGGAGCGGGGCTTGGAAACTCTTCTCCAGTTGTCTCCTCATCCTGGCTTGCCTGGATGGTACCAGTTCGGAATCTTCTCACTTCCTTCTGGGGGTGGTTGGATTCAACACGCCAAGGGCTCCTTCACTACCCGATTCGAAAATGAAGCGGATGACGAGCGCAAGGCAAACTGGTCCGCGTCACTGGAGCGCATTAAGAACACTCAAACAACCGCGAAGATGGCAGACATCAGACAAGCATATGAGTGGTTGTCCGTCACAGGAGGACTGACCGTGGGACCTGCCTTCAAGACCATCACCGGTGTCTCTTTCTGCGACGCGGAGCCTCGCATTTGGCTCTCTGGAGTCGTCACAGACACCAAGTCGGGAATGCCTTATGAGAAGGAAACGCCTAGTTTCATCCATCCCACGACTTTGGATTGTCTCTTCCAGTCTGCTCTTCTGTCTTGCTCCGAGGCTCTTGCAAGCACCAACGCCAACATCCCTGTCGGTGTGGACAACATTTATATCTCCAACAACTTCCAGCCTCAACCCGGCGAGCCGTTTGTCGTCCATACCGAGACCAAGTGGCAGGATGGCAAGTCGAGATCACACTGTGTTGCCTCCGACCCTTCATGGTCGCAACCTTGGATTTCATTCGACGGTGTGCATCTAGGTCGCCTTCCCTACAACAACACCCAGAAGCAGGAGGAGTCTGCGTCTCAGAGCCGATACTCATCAATTGTCTGGGATGAACATTTGGAGTCTCCTCTTGTCACTGGTGAGATCCACGACGGAGAAAAGAAGATTGCAGTGGAAGCAAGCAGTCTGCAGTTGACAGACTGGATCAAACGACTGTGCCATACCTGCGGTGATGCAACCGCTCTGATCGCCACTTCTTCCGATGCAAGCTCTTGGTCAAAGACTCTTGAGGGCCTGGCCCCCGGCACCGGGAACCGACCTTGTCTGGGAAAGATCGCTCTCGCTACATGTGGCTCACATGATGAGGCAGTGAACGAGGTCGTCGGTGCTCGGGTTACACCCCTTGATGCGCTTGATAAGCTCCCTTCTTCTCCACTTGCCGAAGACAAGTATGATCTGGTGGTCATTGATGATGAACTTGCCCCGTGGAACGAGAAATCATCCCTGGCAGTTCTATCGCTTTTGCCAAAGATTGTTGGCGACGGCGGCTTTGCCGCGGTGCGTGTGTCAGATGAAGATCTTAACTCCGCTGTCCTCGCGATGCAGGGGTTGGCGGGTCTTGAAATTCACAGTGTGACTCAGAATCGCAAGTTCATTGTTGTGCGCCGAACCCCCGTCTCATGGAGTACGGACACAGAAATCTACGTCCTGAGCCCAGCAGGAACCACCCATTCTGACTCTGCCTTCGGTCATCTCGAGAAGATTTTCGCTTCCCATAATGTTCGACTCATCTCTGTTGGATTGGACCAAGTTTCCACACTGGAAGGAAAGACTGTGATCTCATTGCTCGATCTCGCAGGCCCTTGGGTGTCTAAGTGGACAGAAAAGGACCTCAAGCACCTCCAAGGTCTCGTCAAAGCACAATATGTCCTCTGGGTTTCACCTTGCTGGAGCCAAGGAGATGCCGAGAATATTGAATCTGGAGCTACCGGTGGTCTCCTCCGTACCTTGCGGAATGAGCAGTGGAACGCCACAATCCCTCACCTTCTGGTGGATGTGGAGGGCATGCAGGACCAATTTGGCCTTGCTTGCGGTATTCTACAGGTCATGCAGCTTACCACCCAAGAAAGTGCTCGTCGACCAGACCTGGAGTACCGCCTGAACAGTGGAAAGCTTTTGGTCCCACGTGTCTTCAGGACCGCAGCTGTAGACGAGGCTATGCATACCCTAGTCGAGGGTCCCCGCCCCGTCCTATCGGAGCTGACTGAAGACCCAAGGCCACTGCAGTTGAAGCTCCAGGATGGAGAGAACGCGATCTGGCAGGAGCAACCAGCCCTTGAAGATCAACTTCTGCCGGACCAGACTGAGCTCAAGGTTGAGATGGCTACCATCTTTGACATCCAGGGAGATTCAGGAAAGACCCCAGAGACAACCCTGCCCATGTTCGAAATAGTGGCCCAAGTCACTCGGATTGGATCAGGTGTTCGTGACTCGGCTGTTGGCGACAAGGTTTTGACACTGGCCTCTGCAGACGCTGGACTTCCAACAACCATTCGTGTACTTGAAAGTGACACCATCAGAATTCCCGCCAACACCCAACCTACGCAGGCAATCTCAGCACCCCTTGCGTACCTCAACGCCTACCAGATCATCACACAGATCGGCCGTCTCAGCTCAAGCTCTTCGGTCCTTCTCGTCGGTTCGCCAAGTCAGACCCTCCGGGCCATGATTGATTATTCACTTGCAATGGACATTCAGGTCATCGTGGCTACCGATTCCCAAGATGCGACTGAGACTCTTCGCTCGCGTTATCCCGAACTTGCAAACCGAGTTCTTGGAATCCATAGTGGCCTAGAGACAAGTGTGTCTAGACTTACCAATGGATGCGGAGTTGACGCCAGCATCTCGTTCCTGGGTGGATATGCAGGCCGAAATGCAGCCAAGTGTCTGGTCCAAGGTGGCCAGTACATCAACTTGTCCAGCGATATGAAGCTGAGTGCTCTGCCCGACTCTTTCATTGACAGTGGTTGCACATTCTCTTCCCCCAAGTTACAAAAGATGTTCTCTGAGAAGCCCGGCAGCCTCCACGCTTCAGTCAGACATGCCATCGACTTCATGAAGCAGAACCGGATGTTGGATCACGTCGAGCCATACTCAACCTTCCCTGCCTCTGACATCGAGGGCGCGCTCAAGAAGTGTAAGGAAACTACCAGTAGAGCCATTGTGAACTTGCAAGCTCCTGGGAAGGTCCCAATTGTACTCCCCTTGCCGGATCTTGCTGGCCTGCCTGCTGAGAGTACCTACATTCTTGCTGGTGGATTAGGAAATCTGGGTCTTGCATTGGCCGACACCCTGGTGCAGTCTGGAGCCCGCCACTTGGTCTTCCTTGGACGATCTGGTAGCGCACACCCCAGCCAGCAGGTGGCGCTTGACCTCCTTCGCAACCAAGGATGTCAGATTGACGTTGTTCGCTGTGATATCTCGCAGCAGGGAGATATCGATCATCTTGCGTACAAGATCAGGAGTAAGAACTGGGCTGTTGCTGGTGTGATTCAGTGCACTACAGTCCTCAAGGTAAGCAAATCTCATCACTCATCTTTTCTTGTTTGCGCTAACAATTTACTTCTTTAAGGACGCCATGTTTGAGAACATGACTTTCGAAGAGTGGAGCAAATCCACCGACTCCAAGATCCGCGGAACCATGAACTTGCACAACCTGTTCTCCAAGAAGGAGGATTTGAGCTTCTTCGTGGCCCTGTCCTCTGTGGCCAGTGTTATTGGTAACATGGGTCAGGCTAACTACTCCGCCGGAAACGGTTTCATCGACGCCCTCATGGAATGGCGACGCAACCAAGGACTGCCCGGCCATTCCATCAACATCGGTCTCGTTCCCGATGCCAGCGGAATGAGTGATATTGCCGAGGACCAGGAACAGCGCCGTCGTCGCTACAAGCATCTCGAAGGCACAGAGATCATGACCTATGAGATCCAGACCTTGCTGCGTGTCATCATCAACAGCAAGCTTTCCTTGCCATCCCAGATCATTGCCGGTATGACCGACAGCCTTTCTCGCAGCAATGGATCTACAGCTTGGGTTTTGGATCGCAAGTTTGACCACCGCCTTCGCATTTCCGTGGAAGATAGCGACTCTTCCAAGATCACAACTAGCTCTTTGCTCAAGGAGGCCGACTCCTTGGATACTGCTACGCAAATTGTCATTGATGCTCTGTGTGAATACTTGGCAGATGCTATGGCTACCACGCCTGATGCCATTGACTCTGATTTGCCCTTGTCTGCCTTGGGTGGTATGTTATCCTCACGACTGTGAGACGCGATCTTTTGCTAACACGTTTTCCAGTTGATTCACTTAAAGCGACATCTGTCCAAAACTGGGTGTCTCGCGAGCTTGGAGCCGACCTTACCTCTTTCGAATTCCTCGGATCACAGCCAACTAAGGCTCTGGCTAGGAAGATCGCCTCGGCCAGCTCATTTGTTACGGAATCAGCTTGAACCACGACTGGTTCATAGTTCATAAGTTCCTTGCTTTGGACATAGAAACCTGCATTTCTGAGATCACTTTTTGCATTGCGATCCATTTCTGATTTCAGCGTTCAATGTTTTTTTCCTTCTTTTTTTGCGAATATATGTTATTAATTTTCACGAAATCAATTGATAGTCTGAGGATGCAGACTCTTGAAAGTTACGTTTCTTACATACAATACCGTGTATGGAAACCGTCACAAAACCCACGGGCGCAAGGAACATAGTGGGTCTCGCTTGATGACCAATCACTGGTCGCGCATGGCCTTCGGGAAGCGACCGCGTTCTTGTTTTCACGAACTCCCATGTCTGCCACGTTCAGCTACTGAACAATGCACACAATGGTGTATGCACTCCGTCCTTCTACAGGATCGTCATGCATGCATGATGCAGGGAATCGAGCTTAGACGGCTTAGCGGTGAAGGGGACCGAGCGCACAACTCCACCGAACTATTGTACGCGGCCTGAGTTCGTGACAGCGATCCACTACGTGCTATGGATCAGGAGCTGGATCGACAACACTAACCTCCATCGGGGAAGTTCAGTTCAACAGAACAACCGAGCTCCCCAGTGGAATAATTTCCGATCTGGCTGTCTGGGGAGTGTCAGACGCCCCGCCCAGTCTCAAAATTGAAAGTTTACGGGAATTTCTCAACCAACGAGGCATTGAAACGACTGGAGCTGTTGATTGTCGGCCTTTAGAGAGAATGTGTCCCTACGACGCATTCATTGTGGGACACATGCATGCCCGAAGCAAGGCGGGCGGATGATTTTCCCGTGCATCCCGCTTGGGATTGTATCGTTGCCATTTTCATACTGGACTCAAAATTTGGGTTCCATTCCAGGTCGCCGGGAATCCACCGTGTGGTACAAGTAATTGTCGGTGTGCAAATCGGCGTCTATCAACTTCCGGGACTTGACCGCGCTCAGCGCTCCATGGCCGAGGTACTCCGAATCTGGCTGGAATCCAAGATAGCCTCAAATGTCAATGGCTGGGAACGATCGACGGAGAGGGGTCGATTGTCGATCTCCGGCTGGCCTTTAGTCAACAATCCCGTGTGTTGGTAGGACCTATTTCACAGCCGCTCATTGGCAAGCCACCATGTCTGGATCCTGTGGTCTTCTGCTGTGTACTTTTGCATCGGCATGCAGGCCTTCGATATCCACCGTGGAGTCATCTCAGCCATGGGTTCAGCCCTTGCGATGCAGCCCGCTAACCGTGGAAATATCGTGGCGGCGGTTCCGAAGGATTCTTTGCCATTGGTCTAGTTTTTTTCTGGCTTTCTCCCCCACGTTGAGGAAATGCCAAAAACGCTAAAATAAAGACTTGGGACTTTGCTGACGCGACATTCTTGCATCTTGACTTTTTTTTCTTCTCCCCCAATTGTCAAACATGGCGGATGAGAAACATGAGGAGGCCGCGTCGGCGCCTTTGCCATCACCACCGGCAAAGGTGGTTTGCATCGCAGACCCGCCCCATGGAATTATCTCTGATCCTGAGAAAGCCGTGGTCGCCCAGAACAAACCTTCCAATGGAGCCTCTGCGCGAAAGCCCAAGGGTCACAAGAGGAACTACACCCTTGATGTGGAAGCCCAGATCACCCTTCCAGAAGACCCTGAGCGCAAGCCGTTTTCGAAAGCCAGATATATTATTTTCACTGTATATCGGCGGTTGTTCACAACCGTATTCTGTGCCAATCTTGCCTGTTTCCTTTACGTGATGATCTCTGATCGGCAACTTTTGGCACTAGTGAACGCGACAGCTGTCAACTTGGTGGCATGCGGTCTCGCTAGACACCCGATGGTTGTCAATGCCATCTATCGAGTTGTGTGCTCTCTCCCTAGGTCTGCACCGTTATGGATGCGCCGAACAGCCGCCAAGGCTGCTCATTACGGTGGTGTTCACAGTGGATGCGGTGTTGCCTCTTTGATTTGGTACATTGGATTTGTCGCTATGGTCTCAAAAACCAAGTTTACGTCATCTCCTATCAGTCCATTGACGTCTCATCAATTTTCGGCGGCGCCCATTGTTCTGGCCTATATCATTCTTGTTCTTCTCATGGTTATGGTGATTGTGGCACACCCTGCCATTCGCCGGAAGTTCCATGATTACTTCGAGTTCACGCACCGCTTCACTTCGTGGTTGATTTTGGCACTTTTCGTCGTCCTGGTCATGGTCTTTGCTCACGAGGTCGCCCCCGCGCAGAAGGACACACTTGGCCACTTCCTCATTACTCTACCGGCATTTTGGCTTCTGATCGCAGCAGTGCTTGCTGTGGCGCATCCATGGCTCTTGCTGCGCAAGGTGCCCGTGCAGGCTGAGCCGCTTTCCACCCACGCTGTGCGCCTTCACTTCAACCACACGGCAATCAGTTTCGCCAAGGGTGTCCAAGTCACAAAGCATCCTCTCCGTGACTGGCACAGTTTCGCTGGTTTCCCTGACCCAGACCCCAGTGGCAAGAGCAACCTGAAGAGTTGGTCAATTGTCGTCTCGAAGGCCGGAGATTGGACCGCCGACACAATTGCCAACCCACCAACCCATCTCTGGAAGCGTGGCGCTTTGATGCGCGGTGTTGGATACGGACTGCGTCTGTTCAACCGCATCATCATTGTCACTACCGGTTCTGGAATCGGACCCTGCCTCGGCTTCCTCGGTGATGAGAACCGACCCGCCATCAAGGTCATTTGGCAAACGCGTACGCCTGTGAAGACCTACGGACAGGACGTCGTTGATCTCGTCCACAAGATGGGTCCGGATCCAATCATTTGGGATACGTCTAAGGATGGTCGTATTGACATGCTCCCTATGGTCCGGCAACAGGTCAAGGACTTTGAAGCGGAGGCTGTCTTCGTCATCAGTAACCCTTCAATGACCCAAAAAATTGTTTATGAATTTGAATCCCAGGGGATTCCGGCATACGGGCCGATCTTTGACTCATGAATCATGATACATGACATGGTTTTTGCATCTTAATGTTTATTTGAAGCGACTGTTCATTGCAATATATGATATCGTTCTGTTTTTAGGTTATTGGTCGTCACGGACACGGTTCGTCTCGGGTAGGAACCCAGTCGTGGCTTTTGTGGAAATGGATCTATATATATATCTCACTGGAATTGAGTTGTAGATTTATTTGATTGAGAACCGATCTCGGGAAGCAGCAACCTTGGAAGTACTGTAGGATCATCAAATTAAAACGAACATCCTTGGAACCTTAGAACTTGGAAGAGTTGGATGTTTGTTGCCTCAGGCGCAAGGTAAGTAGCACGTGTTGGTAACCTCGAACCTTCCTGCCATCGGCCAGCTCGACAGCTTCCCATTGCGCGTACGCGTCGGTGATAACTTCAAACAATGGACAACACTTCAAAGATTGGACAACCTCGGTATTTCATGTGTGCTAACTACCTAGGTTGGTATATTATCCTTTTGCTCTGATAACCCCTAGACATTATGCATTATATGCCAAATAAAGAGGTGCTGCTCGGTGTCAAACATCGCTGGCAAATGACTGCTCGGTATGGAGTAGTCGTGGAACAATTGCCAATTTGCCATCGAGTTTTACCACCGAGTCACCGACCAACATCTCTGCATTTGGTGTATCATACATAATGTCGACACCATGGCTTGCAATGCTATCACTGCCCAGGTCAGACAAAACGAGGCCCGCCCAGTTTACCCCCACCTGAAAATGTGTAGAGGTGATGGCGGAGCGAAGCAAAGCCCGGCGGGCTCTTTTCTCCCTGTCATCACGTGAGCACCCTTGTTTGTGGGCGCAATATCCATCGAATTCTGCCAATGTAACGCGGTGAGAGATAACCGGTGAGGGATGGCAGAATCCCGGAGTCGACAGGCCACGCTAGACTTATTCCGGCAGCCATACCACGTGATCAAAAAGAAAGACCGCAGAGAAGACAATATATTTTGGTCTTGCTCAACCATGTTGTTCCGCTTCGCTCCCCATGACTTTCTGGAGGCCACAAACCCCAATATCACCTAGTAGGAGCAAAATGATAAGATACTATACATGAAGAACCGAGCTTCCTACGCAAGATCTGGAAATTATGGTATATATTAATTTGGAGGCCCGGATAGTGTGTTTTTTAGTCGTTCTCTTGCACAACCTCATGAAAATAAGCTACTTTACAGCACTGAAGCCTGGAGCTTGGCTTCAAACACAATCCGCTCGACTTTCTCACGCGCTGCTTCCGTGAAACAAGCTGAGCATCCCACTAGCGGCGTGCGCTCCAAGATCATCCAGGGTGCCCATGCCCATCAATTCGAGAACACTTGTATCAAATCCGAAGACCGACTTCCACCACTGTCTCAACTCAATAGCCACAAGGGAATCCATTCCCAGGTCAGACAGAGAGCTTGATGTCTTCAAGTCCTCCTCTGGCTTCAACAAGAAACTGAATACCTTTTTCCCAATCTCCCGGGCGAGGAAATGAGCCGACTCCGCCCGGCTCAGTGAGGCAGCGTCGCCCTTCGCCTTGAGAATGAAGGTCTGTAGGCTGCTGCTGGAGGTTATTCCTGCTGCGGGCTCCGCATCTTCACCATTGTGGAAGGCCGCCATTCGAATGTCTCCCTTCCAGAGCGAGCGCTCCGCAGTATTGTTCAGACACATATTTGAACGAACTCCAACATAAAAGTTTCCCGACGTCGATTTCATGGCTGCTTCAACGGCTCTTAGAAGCTCCTGTTCTGTGACCGCGCTCCCCGACCCACCGGTTTGGGTAAAGCGACCCATCACCGACTCGTTCTCGGCTACATAGCCCACTTCCTCGACTGCACCGATCTGGATGGCACAGGCCGGAAGCCCCATGTTCAACCGGTATTGCGCAAAGGCATCCATGAAGGTATTGGCACCCGCATAATTGGTCTGGCCAGGCTGTCCAATGATACCAGAAAGGGAACTGAATAACACAAAAAAGTCGAGGTCCGCCTGGAGAGACATGGAGGCGTTGTGAAGGTTCCACGTTCCCTTCACCTTGGGATCAACTGCCGTGTCCCAATCATCTTTTGTCATGCGTGGGAAGCTATTGTCACGAAGAACCATGGACATCTGCAAGATTCCCTTGAGGCGGCCATGGGCCAATTGCATAGCCCTGGTAACATCATCGAGGTTCAGGACACTTCCTTGCACAAAGTCGGCGCGACATCCCATACTAGCAAGCTCCTGGAAAAAGCCAGAGTGCTCTTCGGTCGCACCTGCACTGCGGGAGATGTAAATGAGATGACGGGCGCCTCTTTCTACCATCCACGTGGAGACAGAGCGACCTAGGCCTCCTAGACCACCGACGAGCAAGTAAACCCCCGACTTGTCGAATTCAGTGGCTCTTTTTTGCTGTATCACACCTCCGCGCAGATTCACCTGGCCCGCCGAATCGCGCATTGACACGACAATCTTGCCTAGGTGAACACCTTGCTGCATGTATCGAAAGGCGTCTCCGATATTATCGGAGCCAAATGTCTTGATGGGTCGAATTGGGTCAATGTGGCGATCTCTGAGTAGTTTCACGATCTCTTTGAGCAACCTGCATCATAGATAGTCAGTCATTGCCTGGTATTTGAACGGTCTTTGGGGCTTACTCTTTCGCAATGGACGGCTTCCACAGACAGATCTGATCCAAATCGACGCAGCAGTAACTTCGATTGGCCAAGAAGGGACTCATATCAAGCTTTCCAGAGCCCATCAAGTCTCTTTTGCCAATTTCGACCATTTTGCCAAATGGTGCAATGCACTTCCAAGTAGCATGCAACAACTCGCCAGAGAGTGAGTTCAAAGCCAAGTCAACACCCCCGTTATTAGTCTCTCGCATGATGTCTTCCACGAAGGAGTCATTCCGAGAGTTGAAAATCCTGTCACGAGGCAAATGAAATGTTTCCATGAGGAATTTGACTTTCTCGTCATTGCCGACAGTTGCATAAATCTCGGCCCCAGCCATCTGGGCAAGCTGGATGGTAGCAAGACCCACACCACCACATGCGCTGTGGATAAGAATGGACTAAAAGGTAGGTCAGTAATACTCCCTGCAATGAAATACAGCGATACCAAAACTTACTTGACCCTTTTTCAGATTGCCAACAGTAAAGATGGAGTAGATGGATGTGGCATATACGCAAGGCATGGTGGCCGCATCTTCGAAGCTCAAGCCGCCCGGAATTTCTTCACAAAGATTCTCAGATACAATCAGACGTGTAGCAAATGTGCAATTGGATATGAGCATAACGCGGTGTCCAGCCTTGAGAGATTTCACATTTGCACCGATACGTCGAACAATGCCGGATGCCTCAAGACCAAACCCATTTTCATTGCTCTCAACAATACCCATAGAGACCAAGACGTCCTATGTCTAAAATCAGCATCTCCAACTTTTGATTGAGTCTCATCACTGTTCTTGTGTTGACTCACTCTGAAGTTCAAACCAGTGGCATGGATTTCGACCTCCACGTGGTCATCTTCTGGCGGTTCAAGATCGTGGCCTTCCCAGTGTAGGGCACTGAGCCTACCAGGACTGCTGGTTCGGAGAGAAATGCTTCCATCTGTATCCACCATTGGAACCTCTTCGATTGAGAATGGGTGGATGCGTCCGATGTGGACAGTATTATTCAGAATGGCGTATTCGAATTCGGGCTTGAGAATTTCGTCTTCTTCGCGACTCTGGAACTTCTCAAACACGTCAATGATTCTATTCGTCGACAAGCCGATGTCATCAACTTCGCAAGTGGCAAAATCGATTAGCATTTCAGATCTCATGGCCCTAGCAATGCCGTTGATTTGGCCAAATCGTGGGTCCTGGCATTCGAGTTGCGAGAGACCAGTCACCCACATAATGCCACACCCCTTCAGTTTATCCACCAGATCCTTGAAAGACTCAAACAACTGCTCGTCCATCTTTTCAAAGAATGGTCCATCATCATCAAGCAAAGCAATCACGTCTTGGCCGGCTGGCAATGATTCCTGCAGCCTCCGACGGTCAAGTGCGAATCCTCTGTTTTCTAAGCCTTCACAAACAGGGCTCAAGTTGGTGGACTCGCTAAGGGTAAGAACAGTGACTTTCTTGTTTCGAACTTTCTCGGTATCCGGTCTAGCCAGAATCATGGTGTTTAGCTGATGCGGCGCGGCGGAATCAGGGACGGCAGCCTCAGGAGCGCAGAATCCAGCAGCCACCAGCTCCTTCGTCCACCTTTCCACGCTGATGTATGGCTGGTCACTTCGACCATCAGCTTCGCCGTACCACCATCCGGCGAGGGTTCCCCACACATAGTTGATCCACTTTGAATCTGGCGTGAGTTCATGAAGCAAAAGACGCCCGTTAGGGGCGAGTAGCTTGTGAACATTGCACAAAGTCTCATTGAGGGATTTGGTGGCGTGGATAACATTGGTCGCTAGAATGAGGTCGTATCGTTGGCCATCGAAGCCCTGCTCCGATAGATCTTTGCTGATGTCAAGAGGGAGGTATTCGATATTCGAATAAGAGCTGAAACGCTCTCTGGCAGCGATGAAGAATCCGGGTGAGATATCACTGAAGGTGTACTTCGAGTACAAAGGGTCTCCACCCCGAGTCAATAGTTCCAGAACCTGGGCAGTCGAGCCACCTGTTCCAGCGCCGATCTCGAGCACCCGCAAATTGGGCTTGCTGTGGGTAAGGTGTTTGAAGAACAGAGACTCATCACACTGATCGGCGTATATATAAAGGTTGGCCAATGTGTCATCCGCCAGAAGCACACTCAGAATGTCCATGTCACCAGTGAAAATATTCTCCATGTTGCTGTAGACTTTCCAGATTCCCACCGCAGCATCAGCAGCTGGAGTCTGAGACAGCTTTTGGACTATGGAGTTCACACGCATATCAATTGTCGCGTTGTCAAGATGGTCAAGACGTTGGATCTCAGCCGCCTGGCACTGGCGATCGATCCATGATCTGTACTTGTCCATGTGCTCAATTGAAGTCTTTGATCCGGTAATGACTCTGCTGGTATGAATCATACACAACTGAGCTAGCTCATCCAATATCGGCATGTGAATGCTGCGGTCCATGGACGGCCGAATCAACGTTTGGGGATCCAAGAAATCGATATCAGGGGCCCATTCTGCGCGTGCCGTTGCTTCGCCTTTTTGCTCGGACTCCTGATTGTCGAGGACGGAGAGTTTGACTCCGGAGCTGCGCAAATAGATCTTACCATTAGCTGCAACACACTCTGCGCCACCAACAATCGAGCCGTTCTGGCTGTAGGATGCGGAGGCTCGGACCTGAACAGTCTCAGAGCAACGGTAGATGCACATCTCTCCAATGTTGGTGGGAATCAACATCTTGTTTCTGGAATCGGCATAGCCCTTGGACGCGGCCACGCTGAGCAGCTGCAATGAGGAATCAATCATAGTCGGGTGCATGTGATAGTCCTTGTCATCTTCCTCTGTTGCAACAACCTCAGACGTCGCATTTGTTGCAATCGTGTCCGAGCGAACATCACCAAGCCGCCGAAATTTGGGGCCAAAGTTGAGACCCAACTTGCCCATTGACTCGTAACAACGGCGCGTACTGACCTTTCGCACGAGTCGGCTGCTCTTCTTTGCATGACCCAAATCCTTGTCATGGGCTTTAACCTCTCCCGAGCAGTGCTTGCTCCAAGTAGTTCCGTTGTGGGATGCAATGTCAAACCCCCACCACTCACTTCCGAGTGAGTCTGTCAACTGATGGCGACGAAGCGAAGTCACAATCTCGACTGGGTGGCCTTCATTTATCACCAGAGCGGTGCTAATGATGACTTTACGCAAAATGAACGCCTCGTTGACTCCAGTCACTTGTCTAATAGCTTCACCAATCATGCCAGCGTACGCGGCAAAGGGAAAGACGATGTCTTGGCCAACTTTGTGGTCACGGATCCACGGGGCGTTGTCCAAATGAAAGATGCTTCGGAAAAGCACGTTGAAATCTAGACTTTCTTTGACTCGAACACCCAGGAGATCATGGTGTGCGTGTTCTCGCTGTCTCCACTCCTTGCTCAGTCGAGATTCATACCAGAACTTCTGCGAGTGATCCCATGGGTATCGAGGAAGATCTGGCAAAGTGGAGCCCCGATTTATGACTTTGCTTAGTTTCACGGGAACATTGAGACTATGTAGGGCTCCAATCGCGGTCAAGAATGATTCCACGTCGTTTTGGTTCCGCGTAAGTGCCGAGACATAGGGAGAAGAGTTTGAATGCTGAGTCTGAATTTGTCGGAGGGGGCCGGCCATGGCCGAGTGAGGCCCAACTTCCAGGAATACCATATTATTCCCAATTTCATGCTGCATAATTGAGGATATAGCTTGGTGAAACAGGACTGGCGACTCAAGGTTTCTTTGCCAGTATTTGGCGCCTAAGTCCCAGTCTGGTTGAAGCTGCTTCCCCGTAACGCTGCTGAAGAATAACCTCTTGGGAGACTTGGGAGACACTTCGCCTTCGATTAAAGCGTGATAATCCTCCCCAATCTCAACCATGTGGTGAGAGTGATATGCCTTGTCGACCTTGAGCAGTCTCACTAAAGCATCAGAGTCCGTCTCTTTGATCCTGTAGGCAACAAGCCCGACGGCTTCTCCGTCACCGGCGAGTGTTATACTCTTCGGCGAGTTTTGACAAGCAACAACCACACCTGGCTCGAGATACTTCTCCACGTCCTCAACACCCATGCCGATGGCCACCATCGCCCCACTCTTCGATTGCAGCTTTGTGACCTGACCACGGTAAAACGCAATTGTGATAGCCTCATATGCTGAGATGGCCCCGGTGGCATATGCCGCAGCAATCTCTCCACTAGAGTGGCCCACGACAGCAGTAGGACGAACTCCAACTGCGGCAAATTCATCAACTAGGGCAATTTGGATGGCCGTGCAAAGAGGCTGGGATAGTTCGGCCGAACTAAGTCTGCTCGTCTCTGCTGGCTTTTGCAGCTCTTCTTCGATGGTCCACTTTGGAGCCTGGCTGAGGGTTTGTAAATGCGCGTCGAGCGATTGGATTCTCTTTTTGAAGCTCGCATATGAGTCGGTTTGGAAGAAACATCGCCCCATTTGTGGCCACTGAGCGCCCTGGCCGGTGAATACCATAACAATGTTGGGTGTCTCTCTGCATTTTGAGGGCTGTGAGGTTGTGAGGGGACCTATGAGGCTTGCCACAGAAAAGGTCCGATGAGTTAAATGCTCTCTCTTGTTACCCAGAGTGAAAGCCAGGTCACTAATTCTGCCTGGGTTCTTTCGTATCCAAGCTTTATAGATAGCAACCATCTCGTTCAGTGATTGCTCCGTGTTGGCTGAGTAGACAAGCAGTTCTGGTGATGTAGATGATCGCTTGGGGGGCGAGGAGACTCCGTGACTGAGAGCAGAATCAAGAATAACGTGAGCATTGGAGCCTCCAATCCCGAAGGAGTTTATACTGATACGCTCCTTCCGTTCCTCCGGCCACGGTGTTGACTCGGTGGGTACTGAGAGTCCATTGAGAGCCCATGGAATGCTGGGATTTGGCTCGTTGAATTTGATGTTCGGGGGAATAATGCGATTTTCCAAGGCCAGTACGGATTTGATCAGTGATGTGAGGCCTGAGGCACCCTCGGAGTGACCAAGATTCGGCTTCACCGACCCAATTTGAATGCCGCCAGAGGGTCCAAAAACACGTCCAACAGCTCTCGCTTCAATTGGATCTCCAGTTGATGTCCCCGTACCGTGACATTCGACGAACGCAGTCTCCGAGAAGTCGGTGATCCCCGCCACTTCGTATGTGCGCCGAATCAGAGCTTCTTGGGCAACATCATTGGGAACATTGATGCTGGCGGCAGTGCCCTTTCCATCACTGTTAGCTGCCGTACCCCGGATGACGGCTCGGACCGGATTGCCATCACGGATGGCATGAGACAGGGGCTTGATGAAAACGGCAGAAACTGCCTCTCCGCGCGCATACCCATTGGCATCGGCAGAGAAGGTTTTACAAGAGCCATCCGGAGAGAGAACACCTTGCTCTGACATGACCGCGCTCATTCCTGGGCCCAGTATCAAGTTGGCACCGCCAACAATGGCTCCCTCGCAGTCCCCGCGTGAGACTGCCATACACGCTTCGTTCAGTGCAACAAGAGAAGCAGAGCAACCAGTACGGGTGGTCATGCTGTTTATTTCACATTAGCAAACGCGTATGGAGTGAAGCTTTTATCGACATACCTTGGTCCCATCAGGTTCATCTCATATGAGAGACATACAGCCCATATTGCTGGTCGTCTTTCGCAAATAGCTCAACCCAGTCTTCGCCAAAGCTTCCCATGTAGCACCCAATTGGCCTTCCGCTCCAATCAGTTTCGCCAGCATCTTCCATGCATTCTCTGGCAACTTCCAGCATTTGCCGTTGCTGCGGGTCTGTCCGCTCAACTTCGGCTTTGCTCATATTGAAGAAAGATGTATCGACGGTAGAGATGTCGACACTCTCATCGAGGAAGTATCCATACTCAGTTCTCACGGTGCCCGGCTTCGGCCTCTCAGAGTAATGCGCGGAGATGTTATACCTGGACTTGGGTACTAGACCACGGGCATCACCCTTGGAAACCAAGAAGTCCCAAAGCTGTTGTGGGGAGTGTATGCCTCCGGGCAGACGTACGGAAATCCCACAGATGGCGATAGGAATTTGCAAATCATTTCCTGGTCCAAGATTTTCTTCATCTGATACTTCAGGAGTAGTTACTCCAACGTAGGATCCACTCAGAGGTGAGCCATTTGCCCTTTCTCCATCATCAGTGAACGCTGTCATTGTTGGCTGTTGCCGAATGTACTTCCAATAATAACTTTGTATCTCAATGATTTTGGTTTTTTTCTTCTTTGCCTAAACGAGGATGTTGTAGAAGGATCGTGCCGGTCTATATCATCTCTCCAACCTTGCAAGTCGCGGTTTATATACCTCAGCATACTCCGTAAGTACGAAGTACAGGCACATTCATTTGAGTTTTGAACATGCGATTCCAAAATTTTGACCGCTACTAACTATCCTCAGACTTCGCACTGAAACCCATCCACCAGATAATGACTTGGAAACAACATCCGAAACCGTAAGCCGGTAGGTAAAAAGGCTATAAACTCCCACCCGCCCTTGCGTTTCATCCCGTAGATCGCTTTACCCAAGGTTTTTCATTGCGTAAACCTTCACGGTGTCTGCTGGAAGTACCTATCATTGCCTGTTACGTTTTTACCGTTGATTGAATGTTTTCAGATTCTAGGAAGTTCCGTTCAGAATTTTTGGGGACATGTTGTCCAAATTTCCCCAATTCTTTCAACGTTGGGGCTTCAAAAGGCTTGTTGTTGCTCGGGAAATAGGCTTTGCTTTCAATGTGAAAGGTAGGTCAAGATATTCAGTCAGACATGAGCGCAGCTTCGGCCTTCTCGGCATCTCGAACACCCACAAGATTCTTGGACTCAGATCATCATCAGCACTGTTCTGGAAGTACTATGACGTATTCAGTAGAGTTTGCTACTAGATATCCAGGTGATTTTCCAAATTTCCTGTCGGCTAATACATATGATCTACGTATTGCAGTAGGAAAACTCATTTGCAAGTGTTAGAGAACAGCACGCGGGCCCTGTGACGATTTCTTCGACATTGCCAGGAGCTCTGATCTCCGTGGATCTGGTGATTTATACGTTATTTTACTCAGAAAATACACAGAACTTGTTCGAGCATGAAAAGGATTAAACACAGATAGATGGATTCTCCTGTTCCATACGCACTACCCTTACTACTCTCGGGCTTATAGTCCATCGTGCTGTCTGCGACGTTAGACCGAGCCACGAAAACCGGATATCATACGGAGAGCATTGTGCAGGCCTGCTGTTGGGCAGCCTCACTTGAAACTATTGCGTAAAGTTCGATGCCCTCCAGGGCTCACAGAAGGTGATCAGGACAAACTCAAATGATGTCTCTTCGGGTTCTCTGAAGAATGTTGTCATGTTCCCTCATGCGGAAAGGATCTGCCTTCTGCATCAAAGTCGCGAACCCTTAGGAAACTTGTGTTATGCGGATTCTTCATGTTGTCTTCCAAAGCGTCACGCTTGTTAGGCAAAATGATCGCTGGGCCTTCGTATTTCCGCAGATGAACTTGCATTCCTTGCAGAATCCAAAACAGAGATTTTGCCAGAACAGTGTATGTACAGTAGGCGCAGGGGGGTGAGCACGGCAGTACATACGTGCCCAATTCAATCTTCAAACTTTATTATATTCGACATTGACCGCTCTACTCAAATCATGAATAACCCAAGCTTTTGTGGATTATGGTGCTCCGAGGTCTTTGACGGGAATAGATCCCCCGTCTTCCCATCCAGAGATCGAAAACTGGTCGTCGTTCCGAAGTTATGTAGTAGTATTTGGCCTTGGATCTCGAACCTTTCAACCTTGGAACCGTCTACGGGTCCATGGGTGGAAGGGCGATCACACGTGAGTTGATTGAAGGTTCCAAGGTTCCGACCCCGGGCGGCTTTCCAAGGTTGCCGGTGCACCACGTGAAGATCACGTGTCCGGTAACACCTACAGCCCGGGGTGTCTATCGGGCACTATGTAGACCCAGGTGGACGTCGCTATGACATCTTTCAAATGCCACCGGGCAGTACTAGGTAAGGTGTCGCTGTCCATGGATTTCAATCGTTTTTATCATGTTGTGAAGCATCAAAAACCATCTTCCAGGGCTCAGTACCCGCGTATTCTGTACGTTGTATCGGTTTCGAAGCGATATATATGTTTCGAGGGGTGTGGGTGCTCCAAGGCTTTGCTCATACCGGAGTTGTACACGCAAGTATGGTCTCAACGGCCTTGGCGAAGCAGAACCAAGAACCTTGGAACATGCTCCGCCGCGCGCGGTCACCGAATTCGAATTGTGCCGCTTTCTTCTCAGGCAACCTTGTCATTGAAGAACCCTGATTGGACGTAAGTGTGGAAATATTGACGTGAATCATAGAGGCGCAGCACACACATTTCCTTTTCAATCATCCCACGAACTCACGAGCATGGCCCGGGGGCATACTTGAACAGAAACAGGTGCTGATTTTTTTCCCGAGGTCTTTGTGGATATGAGATGTCTGGATTTTCGAACTGGGCCAAACTCTTGATCAGGCGCCATGTTGCACCGTTTTTCTGAGTCGAATCGTGTTGAATATGCCCAGCTGTGGTTTTTGCTCCTTTTCATTTTGTAAATGATATCACTCGACGGTATTTCTGTAACTTACATTCATCGATCTACAAGTGGTGAACTTCGCCAAGTATCTGATGAAATGCGAAGAGCGCGATGGCGGTCTGACGAAGCAGACAGGATGACCTCAGGATGGGAGGACTATGACGCTGCGGGGAGTGGTGGACGACATCCCGAGGTCTCAGACCTACGAAGTCATGACATGAAACAGAAGCTGTTTTGTCAAGGAGAATTTAATTACCTGCCCAGGTGATCTCCCCCGATAGTAGAACTGTGGCCTGAGATACTCTACAGTACAAATCTGACTGATGCCTCAGGCAATGTTGTGGCGCTGTTTCCCGACTACACTGGGTGGCTTTTCCTGCATGAAGTGGAATGGGGACGAGGCTGATTCATTCATGAGTGTTGCCTACATACTTCCGCAGCCTACCGAGATAAAGCCGCAGACCAAGTCGTGGTGATTTGTGGGATAAGCGTCACGAAGCTGTCACTTTGGATACATGGCGTGCTAGGAATGCCAAGTCTGCTCGCTCTGACCTACCGAGTGGGCTATGCTTTACATCGCAGAAAGGATTGGACGATATCCAGAGAGTCTGGAGAGCTCTAGCTCGTGCGGTGACTTAGAATCCATGCATGACATACGCCCACTTTGACCCGGGCGACATAGATGCACCTATAAAGACGACTCAGCCTCTATTCAATGCCTATAAGGGAACGGCATCCTCACGGAAGCCAACATCTTCAATATCAGCCGCTTCATTGACTCCACAAACGATAGCACATTCAATCAGCTCGAAACCATGTCCATGTCATCATCATCTCAGAGTATCAGAAAACTGGGCGAGATATTGGCTCTCCGAACCCAGAGTGATATCCGCGACCGTCCTAAGAGTCTGTCCCACAATGAACTTGCCCGCTCAATTCTGTCAAACCGGCTTGGGCTTGCGGCAGCAACCACCGGATGTATCATCAATACCTGTATCGGGAAGGTCATGCCACCTTTCTACGCTCTGGCGAGTGTCAATGCATGGCAGGTTGGCGTCAAAGTGGTCGACCGACATCGCTTGAAGAGAGAAACGAAGATTCGCATCGCCCAAGATCCTCGGCTTAACGCGCTATTCGAAAAAGGTCACGATACGGCCATCGTAATTGGGGTTTGTCTTAAAGTCTTCACCGCTGGAGTAGGGCTGGGACTCGATAATCTGGGGGCCGTCCTTGACGCATTTGTGAAACTCGAAGGCTCGGTCCCGAGTAAACAGCTGCCGTCCGCAATTATCGCGAGTTTCCAACATGAGCACCCTCACATCGCTGCCGTTGACAATGCAGTGCACAAATCGAACTCAGGGGCTTCCGAGTGGGTGGGTGAGAAGTTGAGTGGCGCACTCCTCCAACCAAATTATGTTCTCGAGACGGAAACGACAACTGAGGCTCTTGTGGCAAGAAAAGCTGCCGGAGACCCAACGAGCCATCTCGTAGCCACCGCGGCTGCTTCGGGGGTAGTATCTGAGGTGGTTCAACCAGTTATGGTGACGACAGAGGTCGTAGTGGACAAATATCGGCAACATCGGTTTGACCAAACCTACGGAGTCAATAAGCCATCGCGTTCCAAAAGACTGCGGGCCTTTTTAGACAGGTGTGAGCAGCGCTTGCGCGACTCTGTCTTTCACTGAATATGTGCCCTGGGGTTAGTTGAAGCTGTTGACCAAGAATGTCGGTGATGAGAGTGATGAATTTATGATTTGGACGATTTTATGATAGAGGACGATCCCCTGCTATATGTCTATTTGATTGAATTTCCTGATCGTCTGAGTACTTAGTCTCGGGTGTTATTTACGCCTATTTGCTACCCTGATAGTTTGAGTGAGTCGATTTGAAGCCCTGTTTGGTTCTATTGAATAAAGTAAATATATTCCGACGTGCTTTAAGAGGTTGAGACTTGTGGTATTTGCCCACAAAAGAGAGATAGGCCAAGGGGTCCCAGGGACTCTTCCCTGTCCAAATGAACATTTATTTGCTTGAGCCAAGGATCGCGTTGATGGCAAGACAAAAGATTGACGGTTTATTGCTTCAGGGTCAACACACCGGGGCGGTATGGCAGGGTACCATACTCGGCGTCCTTGCTGGGGTCTCGGCCTTGGTACAGGAATTCCAGGTTGCAAGGGTCGATAGTCATCGTTTGGTCGGGATTGTTGCGAACCAGATCACCGTGACTGATGTCGTTTGTCCAGGTGGCACCGCTGTTAGCCTTTCCGGCAAATGGCGCACTTTCAGTTCCTGCCTGCACAGTCCACTCCCCGTCGAGACTGTCCGCGGTGAATGAGCGGAAGTAACGTCCATTGGCGCCAATGGCTTCGACGATCATGAGGTATGTGCCAGATTCGCCTACAGTGTAGACTTGCACAGCCTCGAAGAGGTTGTCGGTGGTGTCGCTTAGAATGATCTCGGAGGACTCGCCGAAGGAGCCTGGGAAATCGCCAATGGGCATACTCGTCCGATAGATCTTGCCGTTGTCTCCGGAGAAGAACAGGTACATGTTCTCGTCATCGCCGATGAGGGTTTGATCGATGACACCCGTTTCAGAGTCGGTGATAGAGCCAGAGAACAGTTCCTTCTCAGATGACCATCCATTGGCGTCGGAGGGGTCCGATGAAGTTGCATATGAGAAAGGATGCGCAGCCCACTGGTAGGCCAAGATCCAAATGTCCTTGGGCTTGAAGTAGAACAGTGTCGGTGCGACGGCCCCAGCTGTCATCTTGTTCTGGCTTGCAGTTGACATGTCTGCCCAACTAGAGAAGAGGCCGAAGTTCAAAGAACCCCAGTTTCCGTCTGTATCGGCAAATGTCGCATACACGAGGTTCTGATCATTGTACTTCACGCTAGTGAAGTCTTTGATCGAGGCCCATCCTGACTTTGGTTCTGCTAGTACATCTGTCGATGTCCAGCTGTAGGATGATGGTAGAGCACAATCTGCTGCAACAGTGGATATGGATGCAAGCATCAAAGGTACGATGGAGTACCACTTGTCAGTTCGGCCCGATGAAGGTCGCATGGTGGTGGATCAAGGTCGTGACGGAAATAGAAGGGAAATGTTTGAAGTGATGAGCCACCGAGTCTGTGAATTGGGGCCGCTACGGATGACATGTGAGTTTTTGTAGTCCTTTTATGAAATCGCCAAGTCTTCATCGATCAGAGATCAACCTCCCATGTTACATCCCCCATGGTTTAACCGGAGTTTCATGGGATCAAAATACTTGGCTGTAGGAATATTATGCAGGAGAAAGGCATCCTCCACCGGGGGATTGCCCTTCCAGTTTGGCCTCCGGGGTAGGGGCTATGTCGTTCTCTGCAAACTGCAATTTTGGTGTCGATCCCTTCCGGTGATCCAAAGATATATCCGTCAACTGAAGACAGCGTCGATTTTTGTGTGGAATTGGAATCGGTGAATCGGAAAAGGGAGAGGCATGCTGGACGAGCCACTTGAAGACCGTTGAGCTGAAACTATGCACGGAGTCCATTGTGTTCTGGAGTTCGAGATAAAGACGTCCTGGAACACGCTATGGTATGATGGGTGGACTAGTCACAATGACAGGGTCCAGAACCGCCCGAATCGTTTGAGGACACCATCTGCACAGTGATATCATCGGCTGAATTCCTCTAACCTCTTTATCCTGAATAATTTCGCAGCCTTGGCGCGGCAGAAAGCAGTTTCGAAAATACCTCGGAACTTTCAAGTACTCCGGCGGGGGCGGAGAACGAGAATCATTAGAGGTTGGCGGTTAGTTGAAGATCAGGGCAGGTCCATGTTGAACTCAGTGAATCAAAAAGTCACTTTCTGCCCAGTGCAGAGTACGTAACACGGAGTAAGTACAGAGTAGAGAACGGATAACTGGATTATTTTGCGTCTCAGCAAGGTGAGGAAGACGTGGGAAGACCCCCGTGTTGATCCACCGTGTTTTGTTTGCTTAGTTTGCTCTGTTTGACTTGCCTGTGTTTGAGTGTTTGAGGGGGTTTGATACGTTTGATATGTTTGGTCAGTTTGTTGAGGAGTTTGATCGGTTTGGCTGGTTTGACAGTTTTGCTTAGTTTGCATTTGGCATTTCAAACAACCCCTTTTGGGCCAACCACACAGAGTACACAATTCAACACGCTGGTGCGCTTACAAGTTACTCAATTGTGAGTACAGTGTACTTTAGGCTTTCCCCAATTGAAGTTCTGTATTTGTCAGTTTTGAATCCAAAGACGTTGAAAAACACTGAAGCTGATAAATCACAAGGCATCTCCCGGAGCCCTGCGCCCCGGCCTAGTTTAGCAGCTTCTGCCTGGCACCGTCTGATCATATAAAGACGCTCACTGAGCCCCAACTTTGCTGAAGACCATCATCTCTCATCAAAACCTTCATCAACCCAAAAGCAAAATGGCACCACTTAGGATCACTGTTGGGGGGTCGTCAGAAATTACCCGGCGACCTGAACGGGGAGTCCTCAACATTGACATCAACGGCGAGGGAAAGACTCGTGAAATTGTTTCTAACAAGGTGACCGAGACTTCCAATGAGTTGAGCAAACTGTTTAGAGAACTTTCCCCCCAAACTGACTCGTCAGGCCCAACTGCCGATGCGGCTGTGGTAAGCTTTTCGTCCACGTCTCTGAGAACTTGGCGCTGGGTGCCGCATGGGGAACCCATCAATTCCCCTCGAGCGGTACACCGTGGTAATCTGTCACTCGTGGCTGTGTTCCGCGACTTCACTAAAATGAGCAAAGTCGTCGGCATGGTCGTGGGATATTCCAACGTTGATATCAACTCGATTGACTGGCAGCTGACCGGCGCCACCAAAAAGACGCTAAGCTCCGAGTCTCGCAAGGAGGCAATCCGTGATGCCGTCCAAAAAGCCAATGACTACAGCGAAGTTATTGGGCGCAAAGTGGCCGCGGTGGAAATTCAGGATGGCGGAAACTCCTCATTCGGCTTGTTGGCACGACGCCCTGCGGGTCTATTTGGAAACAATTTCGGTGGAGGTTCTTTGTTCGGAGGTGGACATCAATCCAGCGGAGCACCAGGAGGTTCTCTGTTTGGCAGTGCTCACCCACCCCCTGCTTCTGATCCCCCTACATCCCTGGACCTCACACCACAGGATATCCAATATACTTCTTCTGTGCAAGTCGTATTCGAGTCTGTTGACGACGAGTGATGCTCATTGTCGACCGCAATACATGACTCAATTCCATGTCTCTGAGAACAGTGCAATATGGAAATCATACAGATAATTACGATCAAACGCCTCGTACATTTACCTACGAATAAAACTCAATGTTTGCTTTTACAAAACATACCGTAGATATCCTTTCACTTTGGAGTAATTCCACGACAAAATGACTGCTGTTGCGTTGCACAGTTGGGTTTCGATAGCAGTGAGTCGTAAACCTTGAATAGACAAATGTAGCCTTCAAGCCTCTACCAACCCTCAGTTTACGTATATAGAATAGAGCCTATGGCTCCAAGGTCTGTTTCAGAGAAGAAGGATGGGATGTAACGATGTTCTTTACCAAAATAGCAGGGTATTCGCATGGAAACTTTCGCATCTCATCGATTGCTAGTTTTGGCCATGCATTATACCTAGGTAGTCTCCTCTCTTACTATATTTTTCTCTCAAGTCACGATTTCAAGCAAGTAAGCACAGACTGAAAAATTAAACCAGTCATGGTCATCTGATCGGCTGTAGGTCGATCTGGTCGATAACTGCGATCTGACTCTCCAAGGAAATGGAATCATCTATGGATGCATCTCAACACAAAACTGTTGAAGCATCATGTGATTGCTTCCTTCCATAGATCGTAAATCTCGCTTTCTTTTTCCTTCCTTCTTCTCACCACTCTCAATATCATTGCTTTTTGCATGATCTCTTCTGTTTCTGAGTAGTCCCTCAGTATATGAAAAAATCCTTACACCGTCCACCAAGCGAGAGCAGCGAGTGTACCGGTAGTCAACAATGACAAAGGCAGAAAGAGAGACTCCTTCGCGGAGTTCTGGGTCAAACGCGAGAACGCAGGCAACGGTGGAAAGGCTCTGCGTGAACGGAATCGAAACTGGCTCGAACAGATGAACTCCCGTTGGCAGTTGGACTGGGACACAGCCCAACTACCGAGAACTACGACACGCAATGGACTTGGGGATAGAGTCCGATCTTATGAATGCATAAAATCCAATGCTGCCAAAAGATGGGAGATGCCGCGAGACCAGGAATTAAGAGCACTGGTGTCTGGCGAATTGATCGGGGTACGCTTTTGTCGTGAATCAAATCAAAGGAGCAATCTCCATCCAAGCGAAGAAAAGAGAGGGAATAGGAGAGAGGGAAGAATGAGCGTTTCAATACATAGGTATTCTAGGAATGGCAGGTGACATTCTGATCGCGACACTCAAATACTTGACTTGCTTGATTTCATCTTTCCCTTTCGTTTCTCTTCACTCTACATCCTCTCCACCTTGATATTCTATACCACATCGATAGATTGTCATCTGGTCATCTACCCCTCAAGCCTTCCACATGCAGATAGCAACCAGATCAGAGCACGGGCGAGTCGATGTGATTCACCAACTGATCCACGATCCCAAGGATCTCATCGAGTATCGATTTTGCAAATTCCGACCATGACTCAACAGTGACGATCTCGATGCACAATGTATCGCCCTTGGGGAATGCCTGCACTTTGATTTCACGCAAAGGTTCGAAGTGCGGGTAGATGGTTTCCATGCGGCTGCTGGCTCCCATGAAAGAGAGATCTTCCACATGTTCGACATCTTGGTGTACGACAGAGTCAAACCAATCAACAGACTCCGGCCAGTCAGTACAATGCTTGATGACTTCTTTCAAGCCAATCCCTTCAAATTGTGCACTTTCAAGGTGCTGCCGCTGAACAAACTGCAGCAGATCCCGGGCGCGCCAGCCATCCTCGAAATTCACTCGCACCGGTACATACTGCCACGAAGGCCCAACGATGGCATCCCCGTTCGGCAAGTCGATGTTGCGACCACTCACCACTTCACCAAAGGTGACGTCATCGAGAGAGAGACGCCGCGCGAGACACAACGCCCAGGCCGCCGTGGGCAGAGTTGCGACCGTGATATCCCGTGGTCGGGCGGCAATGCTGACGTCCTTGGATATGGCAAAATGGACACTGGATAGGACGGGGATATCAGGCTGTATCCTTGTCATGAATGAACCACGCAGGAGATTTGTCCAGTAGGGAATGCTTGCTGGCACGTTGCTCTGAGTGACATGATTGACATATGATGAGAATGGCAGACTCTTTGGCACTGGTCGCTTCTCATATAGTGCCGAGAGTTGTTGCAGCAAAATCGGGAGACAGATCTCATCATACTGAGCATGCGAGATTCGCATAATCAGGCTGCTGGGCCCGTCAACATGCTGGATGAAGAAGAATTTGATGAATCGTGATCCCAATCGGATGCGGGATTGAACATCCACGTCGCAGACCTTTCGGCTGAACTCTTCCAAGTCTGTTTCGATTTCGTATTTGAAAATCTCACAGGTTAATGCTTCTACCACCACTCCGAGTGAAATTCCCTCGTGCTCCACGAAGAGGGTTCGGAGGATCTCGTTCCTCGCAATCAACTCCTGACAGCTTTGGAAAAGCTGGCTGCGATCGATGGCACTGTTCATATAGAACACTTCGTAACGCGTGGAGAATCGAGGAAGCTGAACAGTCCCTTCAACGGCGATTTCCTGCAGAGGGCGACTGGGATAGGCGTCGATGATCTTCCATTCAGGTCGCTCAAGCAATGATTGCAGTTTTGCGACAAGCTCAGCAGGATCTGTCACATCAAGCGAACTGAACTTTGAATAGTTTTGTTCTGATGTCGCTGGAGGCCCGGCCTCAATGGAATGCTGTGCCATTTCAAACAGGGACTTGTGATCGAATATTGTGGTCACCGTCAATTGAATGCCCACAGCCCGAGCCTCCGAGACCAGCTTCATGGCACGGATTGAATCGCCACCCAGCTCGAAGAAGCTATCGTCTAACAGGATATCTTGCGCTGGAATATCCAAGATCTCCGACCACAATTGCTGCAGCTTGCTCTCGGCAACAGTCGTGACGGATGTATTTGTGTTCCCTATCTTGCCTCTGGCCGGGCGCTGGTCGACCTGTGTATTCTTTGCACGAAGCAGGATGATAGAGCCCTCGCTTGTGAACTTCGCCAATTGATTTGTTGCAAGCAAGTTTGTTGGTCGAGTGTGCCACTGGGGTCTTCCAATGGGATCACCGACTGGCAACTCGATTGGGCGTTCCACAATCAGCTCTCCGACAGCACCGACTGGAAGAAGACGGCTTTTGTCCAGCGGATCGACAATCCAAGTTGCCGTGATGCCGGAATATGTATCCTCGGTAGGCAAGCTTCCTGGGCCAATGACAGAGAGAAGATCCTGTTCAGAGATGTCCGACCCAGCCGTGGACTCATAGATTTGCTGGATCTTCTGAGTCGGATCCTCCAGTATCTTTTGTACCAGCAGATCAAATCGGCTGAGCACCCCCGTCATCTGAGGCACATCAACAGTCTTAGAATCGAAACTTGCCATGATAAGGAATCCATTTTTATCGACAGTGAACACAAGCATGAGAGAATAGGAGTTGAACTTCAACGCCTCCCGAGCAGCTTCTGCTTCACTGGTCGGAACGAATGCGGTAGCAGGTGCCTGCTCTTCGGGGTTTTCATCCTCCTCAATAGTTGGATGAATCACGATGCCGGTGCGCAACTCACAAGCCTCGCGAGCATCGGAATTCAACCGTCTGATATGCTGCAAGCCCATGTGCTCATGAGGAATCCGATGCACTGTCTGGTCATGGATGTTTTGAAGATATGTTGATGCCCGAGACTTTCGATCGATGCAAACTCGAACAGGAACGGTCGTGATCATGGGACCCTCGATTTCTTCGACCGCTGCCACGGGTGCAGTGCGACCGGTCATAGTCTCGCCGAATACAACGTCGTCAGAGGAGGTATACTCCGCAGCCACAAGGGCCCAGGCCCCACGAATTGCGGTAGCAATGCTAGTTGTTGATTTGGAAGATGCCTGTGGAAGATTGACATAGTGCTCCAGCAGTGAATCAGCCCGAGCTTGATAGCCAACTTGTGGAAGGACTGGGAACTGCAATGCCGTGGCTCCTTCCAGTTGCTCTGTCCAGTAATTTTCAGAGGAAGCTCGATCAGTATTATCGAGCCATTTGATGAAATTCTTGAATGGGGCTGGGGCACCGATATCCTGACCACGGTAGGCACGATTCACGCGTTCGACTATCAATGGCATGGACCAGCCATCGTATAGTGCATGATGAATGCTGAGCACGATGTGACATTTGCCGGTCGCTTGATCGCTCACAATGCCGAATCTGCAAAGTTCGGTGCCTAGTGACATTCCTTTCAGCGTATCGTCACGCAGGTAATCGTCCAAGTTCGAACTCCGTGACCACTGCACATTGTGTCGCACAACAACCTGCATCAGTCCACGGCGTGGCACTTGAACGATTCGCGTGCGAAGGATTGCCGATTGAGCTGACACAATCTCAAATGCGGTCCGCAGTTGGTTTGCAGAACTTGCATCCGGCAGCTCAATGACTCTTTGGGCGATATATGCATCCATGAACTTGGCTGACAGTGCCATGAGAGCCTCCTGCAAAGGTGTACAGGGATACACATCTTCGACGTCCGTAGGATCCAAGTCACTCAGAGAGGCCACTTCAGCCTGAGCTGTTCCAGCATCCCAATCAGCTGGAAGCAGTGAAAATGGCGGAGTATTTTCGATGTCTTCTGTATCCATCTCCTTCATTCTTAACACCATCTGCTCCAAGATGGGGTAACGGAATATATCGGTGACTTGAAGAACAATGAGCTGCTCTCTTGCAACAGCAACGAGCTTCATGGCCTTAAGGGAGTCACCTCCAAGACTGAAGAAATGGTCGTTCACTCCAATCTCCACATCATTTCCAAAGATCTTGGTCCACAGAACATGAAGTTTCTTCTCCATCTCTGTTCGTGGGGATATCTTGACTGCCGTGGAGGTCTTAAACTCGGCTATTTGACGTCTGCTCAAACTGGCTCCAAGGGCCCGAAGCTGCTTTCGGTCTGTCTTGAGTGATACCATGAGCGGCATCTGATCCAGTGGGATGTATGCGGTGGGAAGCATGTACCGAGGCAAGTTTATGGCGAGGACATCATCAATGCCAGCGAGAAGAGTTTGGAGTGGCTTTGAGAACGAAGTGGTCTGACTGATTGTTCCAGTCTTATCGCTCTTTTCCTCTGCAACAAAAACCACCAATGTGGCATCGGCCTTCTTTCCACCAGGAAGGATGACTTCTGCTGCCGCGCTCACTCCAGCAGGGAGATAGTTCCGAACGTGATACTCGATCTCTCCAAGCTCCACACGTTGACCACGCAGTTTTACTTGTTGATCTGCACGGCCAATGAAGATGATGTTACCTGATCCGTCGGGATCATACCGCACCAGGTCACCAGTTTTGTAAAGACGTCCCTTGCGGCCTGGCGAGTCTCCTCCGCCCTGAAGCAACCATTTCGGGTCTTCAATGAAGACTTCTGCTGTCTTTTCTGGGCTGTTGAGATATCCCTCGCCGACCACGGGGCCTTCGATGAGCAACTCTCCCACTGCGCCAATGGGCAACAATCGATCTTGGTCAGATGGATCCACAATCCAGGTTGTCCCGCCGACTCCCTTGCCAATGGTGGTGTAAGATCTACCCTCGGGTATATCGTTGTTGATAGTACATCCAACTGTACACTCAGATGGACCATACGCAATGACAATCTTGGTCTTCTTACCCCACTCAGTCGCGTCACTGGCAGTGATTGCCTCGCCTCCAAGGCCAATGACTTCCAACGAGGGCATGATATCGGGGGCCAGAACTCGCGCGACAGATGGAGTCATATGAGCCATGTTCACGCTCATACCACGAATAGCACCACTGAGATCGTTGACTCTTTGGTCCTCTGATGGAACACAAATGCATCCCCTGTTGGCCAGTGTGCATAGCATACAGTCGACACTGACGTCAAAAGCGTACGAAGGGAAATCGAGGACTCGCGAATGCGCTCCATACCCCACAGCTGCAGCTCGTGGGACAGCGCCACTGGCATAGTTGGAATGGGTGATCACAACACCTTTTGGCTTTCCAGTACTACCAGATGTGAACTGAATATAGAGTGGAGATGAGGGTGGAATGTCAGGCAGAGCTACAGCCGGTGACTTGAAATCGGCATGCGCAATACTCGGTCCGACAATCACCTGCTTTCCTCCTGGGACAATGCGCTGGCCGAGATTTGCCTGCAACTCGGACGTCAGAATCAAGTCAGCGTCCACTTCCTGTGCAACTGTGGCTAGCCGCCCCTCGGGCTGGCTGGGATCCATAAGAACCAGTGTTCCGCCGGCTTTCATCACCGCCAAAACACCAACAATTGTCCACATGGATTTTTCGAAGCAGAGAGGTACAGCATTTCCGATTTTCAGCCCGAGAGTGACGAGATGGTTGGCAAGATTTGTTGACATATCTTCTAGCTCCGAGTAAATGAGTTCTCCATCCCACGAAGTAACAGCGGGACGATTGGGCTGAGCTCGGGCTTTTTCACTGATCATATCCTGAATACAGCGGTCGATGGTCGGGGGCATGGGGTCATTCCACTGCCACAGCTGGCATAGCTCTCGACTTCCGATGCGGGTGGCTTGAGCGACTGTCTGGTCAAGGCCATCTGCGATTGAAGATAGGATGTCGGCGAAGATTTGGGGCAAGAAAATTTGATTTGGTTGTGTGGCTGACGAGGATCGAGAAGCTCCGCGCAATGATATATTGCTTTGCGACAGCTTTGCCTCTAGCGAAAAGTCGCCCTGGGAGAGTTAGCGAATGAAGCGAATAACATTCGTGCAACTTACTTCTGATCCGGGTATGGCATTTTGAAGGACTAAGACATTTGAATCTCTCTCAGGCTGCCTCAGATCTTGAATCTTCTTCAAAACCTCTTTCAACGAGGTACTGTCGTTCGGAACGACATCCGCCAGAAGACATCCATAGGTCTGCGTACCTTGGGTCCAAGAAAAGCCACTTTCTTCGCTGTGTACTGTACCACGGAGCAGAACAAGCGTCCAGGCAAGGACAAGGACTTCCTCATGAGTCGCATCTACTACTGTTGGGAGAGTCACAGATTCAGACCAACCACCATCGCCTGGTTTTGCAACATGCTCATTGAGCCATGTGACCGAACTAGGCTCAATGTACTCGCCCATCTTTGGCAAAACGATTGACAAGCTCTAAATGATGATGAATGAGGGGTCACTGAGATTTGCCTCTGCAGAAGTCTTGATCACAACAGACTAAATCATTTGCCGACCTAAGCTACGGACTTAGTCTTTGGCGCGTTAACCGTCCTCTGCCTAGAAATGCGGCCACTACGGGCAATACACATCCGACTACATGCCGAGAAATTGCCAATGTTCATCAATTGACTTTGGAGTCATCTGGGACAATCAGATATACTTGGTAACCAACGTAAAACCATACCATTGTTACCATACTTACCATACTTACAGTACTTACAGTACATACCACCCGGTTCATACAGGACCCTGGCCGCCCAGAGCCGCCAAGATCTACGCTAAGCACCGCCTCCCCGAGCTCAGCGTAATCAACTGCAGATCTGCGGAGTACTCCTAACATATCTCCGGCACTTGACTAGCATTTGTTGACGAAAAACTCGCTTAGCAATCAGTCATCTTGATGGCGCCCCACTTGCCAAAGCATGGGTCATTCGTTCGGGTGGGCTTTCACCATCACTATCCTTCCACTCTGTCAAGAGTTGCTCCTTTAGGGCACCGTACCCTTCCGACTTCAATTGACGATAAGTAGCTGCGACATCGGACAGCTACTAAATATCATGTCGATCTGGGTTTGAATTTTACAGGCCGCGCGATTCATGAGGAGCGGAGTCGAGCCTGGCCCTTCTTGTTACTACGCTATGCCAAGTAGAGATGCAAAGATACAGACACGGAACTGAAGAGCAGCCAAGTCCTCGGCTGCTGGACTTTGATATTGCTGTTGGGGATTGCCTAGAAGGAGGATGATCAATTCCTAATACTCGTAAACTTGTCCGATGCGTAGTATACCCGAGGATGAAGCTCTTATGCAGGCACCAAAGGCTGGTTACTTATTCCTTCGTGGTCCTCCTCTAGCTCGGCAGTAACATCGTTATGTCTTCTAACGGTCTCCCTCTCGTGCGGCTACCAGAGCCTTACAAATCCACTTATCAATTTCATGTTGTTTCCAGTGAGCAAAATGTCCGCACGTTTCAATTGCTCCGATCTCCCCGCGATGACGAAGGCATACCTCCCCCGAAGCAATTGGACAATTCTGCGTTGAAGTTCACGGACTTGATTCATCCCGATTCCTCAACTATCCCCGAAGACGGTAACAACTCTGCCTGGGCTCGTGCGCAGAGGAGTCCTTTCGTACACTTCTCTTGGACAAGCTCTGAGGCACCTACCGTGGGCCAAATATGGACCATCATCTATGGAATACAGACGCTGCATAGCGACTATGAGGTTTTCCGCGCAGTCCTATCCGGCATTGGCAAAGACTTGATTTCCCGAGAGCTCAAGGCCGTTGGTCTAGCTATTGCCCATCCCGAGCCTTCAGCAGCCCCAGGCAAGCCTGTTCCCACCTCAACTGGTCATCAAGGAGAGCTGGTCTTCTTCCGCAGCAGCTTCTGGCAAGGTGCAGGCTCGCCATTTGGCAACCGCCCAGCCTGGGTCTCTGATCCCGGTATCTACAGTTACATGCGCAAGCCTCTGAATAGCTACCCGGCTCGACCTCAACAACATACCGTGACCACCGGATTCCCTGAACGTCGAGTACATGCTCTCCATCCCGTCCGCCCTCCCAAGCCAGCCGCTGGCTCTCGCGTCTACAGCAGATACATCCCACACCTTGACGAATTCTTCTCGGTCTTTGCTCTCGACTATAAGAATCCGGAACATCTTGGTCTTTTCAACAAATGGCAGAATGACCCTCGTGTTGCCCAGGGTTGGAACGAGACTGGGACACTGGACGAGCATCGAGAGTATCTACGGAAGATCCACGAGGATCCGCACCAGATGGCTGTTCTAGCCAAGTTCAATGACACTTTCTTCTCCTATCACGAGATCTACTGGACTAAAGTAAGTCTTTCAATGTCCGCACACTGAGAAATATCTAACCACGCTTCAATGTCAACAGGAGGACCACCTTGGCGCATACTACAACGCTGGAGACTGGGACCGAGGCCGTCACTCCCTCGTTGGCGACGAGAGGTTCCGAGGCCCGCACCGTACGATTGCATGGTGGACCGGGTTGATGCACTACATTTTCCTAGACGACCCGCGAACAGGACTTGTCACTGGCGAACCGAAATACTCCAACTTGGCCCCCTTGACGTACGACCACGCCACGGGTATGAATCTTGCCAAGCTGGTCGACTTGCCGCACAAACGCTCCGCTCTTATACTTGGCAGTCGTGAAAAGTTTTTCCACGTAGCACCTTTACGATTTGACGGGTCCGACACCCTGGACCGAAACCCCTTCCGGTCGTTGAAGCTATAGCAATAGTTCTAGATATGGTGTGAATGTATTGAATATGCTATACTATAGTATGCTTCAAGGACCTGATTGCTCTCGAGTCATGAAATAACTCAAATATATGCAGCCCTTGATTTGGAAGCACGCAATACTGCTCGGCAGTCGCCAAAATAGAAATCTTATCAGATCCCGTCAGTCCCGCATCTTCGCCCTTCGCGGCCCTGGAGGGGACGAAGAGAGAAAGCATAAAATGCCAATGTTTCCCTAAGATCCCAAACAGGAAGGATATGCATCGCAATAATCTCGCATTCCACCCAGGCACACCCAGGCCCAATGCTCGTCGGGTTTCACTATCCGAATACGAAGTACGGAGTTAACATATGATCGTCTTGTGAAACGCCTCACCCATAGAACCCCTGTATATATCTAGTATAGTATTGTTTACTTGTATCAGTCCCGCTCGGTATTTTGGACGATCTCGGCTCCAGGTTCCAAGACCCTAAGACGTAAGTCCGAAAAATACACTCTTGGCTCTTGGCAATTTACCAAATCTGATAAAGCGTTTTTAATTTTCGTATCCGAAGTCGGCTTACAGTACACCGTTTCCCAGTGGGCCTGCGATTTTCGCGAAGTTGCGAATATAACACAGGAAAGATGATCACTCTTCTCTCTCATCGACACCAAGCGATATTTGCATCATGACTGCTGAGGATGTGCCCCCGAAGCGGAGCGTAGGTTACACTCTTTTGAAGGCTTGGATTTCACAGCTGACTCGATGCAGTGGAGGGAGAAAGCGGTTTTTTTCCGCCTCTTCGTCTATGGCGAGCCGAGCAGATCTGATATCGCGTTGCTGGCGCTCGCGCTTGTGTCTGCAATTGCTTCCGGGATCCCTTTTCCGATCATGTCGATCGTGTTCGGACAACTGGTGGACGAGATGAATTCGACGACGTGCAATGTGAATGACACCAATGGAGACTCGTATCAGGATGGAATCAATCAGAAAGTCTTGATGATTGTATACATTGGCATCGCATACCTTGCTCTGATCTATGTATACGTGTTCAGCTGGAATATCACGGGTGAACGACTCGCCCAGCGTCTGAGGGAGAAATACTTCAAAGCTATCCTTCGTCAGGATGTTGCCTTTTTCGATAATCTCCCTGCTGGCGAGGTATCCTCCAGAATCACGGGTGATATCACGACTGTGCAGCAGGGAACTTCCGAAAAAGTCGGTATCGTGATCAACGCGCTGGCTTTCTTTGTGACTGCCTACGTTGTGGCGTTCATCAAAGATCCCAAATTGGCGGGCATGCTGGTCTCCTTAACCCCGGCGTACCTGATCATGTCATTGCTGGGCGGGTATTTTGTGCAAAAGTACTTCGGTCGCGCATTGGAGAGTATGACCAAAGCCTCTTCGGTGGCCCTGGAAGCCTTCTCCAATACCATGGTGGTCCACTCATTTTCAGCCAATGCTCGGCTGGAGGAGAAATTCACTGAATTTCTCAATCCTGGAAGAATTGCGGGTATTCGCAAATCGATCGCAACTGCTACTCAGGCTGGCTTGCTGTATTTCATCGCTTTCTCTGCCAATGCGTTGGCGTTCTGGCAGGGATCTCGGCAGATCGCTGATTCGGTGGAATCAGACAGTGGTGGCATAACAGTCGGAGCCACCTACACGGTTATTTTCATTCTGGTAGACGGTGAGCACCCCCAGTGGAAAATAAGAAAATTAATTAACTGACATCTCCTCTCCCAGCATCCCTCATTCTAAGCACGGTTGCGCCATTCCTTCAAAGCTTTGACGCCGCGTCAGTAGCCTTCACAAAACTGCGAGCCGACATCGAGCACTCGTCGACAATCGACGGCACTGCGGTGAATACTGGGCAGGTTTTGTCGGAGGTGAAAGGGCATATCGAGTTCCGCGACGTTTCATTTCGGTTTCCATCTCGCCCGGATAACCCAGTGCTTCGGAATCTGTCGCTCTCATGTCCTGCTGGCCAGCAAACTGCAATTGTAGGTTTGTCCGGAAGTGGCAAGTCTACCGTTGCAGGCCTTGCGACCAGATTTTACGATGCCACAGAAGGCAGCGTGTTGTTAGATGGCCATGATGTGAAGGACCTAAACGTGCGTGCACTTAGGAGCCACATCAGTCTGGTCCAACAAGAGCCTTGCCTTCTTGATCGATCCATTTTCGAAAATATCGCGCTGGGCCTCGTCAATTCTCCCGCGCATGGCCATCTTCGAGATATCCTCATCAGTGCAGCCCTTGCGGATATTGCAGCAGCAGTGCGAGATGGCCAATCTCTAGCCCAAGCCTCTCTCGAGCATGGAAATGACGCACGAGAAATAGTCCAGCTTGTTGAGAACGCCTCCAAGCTTGCTGATGCCAATCATTTCATCCAGAAGCTAAAGGAGGGTTATGGCACGCCCGTCGGATCCAGTGGTAATCTCATCAGTGGTGGTCAAAAGCAGCGCATTTCGATAGCCAGGGCATTGATCAAGAATCCCCGGATTCTGATTCTAGACGAAGCCACCGCCTCCTTGGACTCTGGAACAGAAATGCGCATCCAAAGGTCTTTGGAGAGTGTGGTGGTCGGTCGTACCGTCATTGTCATTGCGCATCGCCTATCCACCATCAGGAATGCAGACAACATCATTGTTATGCGGCAAGGAAAGCTCATTGAACAAGGTTCTCACACGGAGCTTCTGGCGGCTAATGGTGCCTACGCAGAACTTGTCCGCCTCCAGAATGTCAATGTTCAAGGCTCCGGGGAGGGGTCATCCACCCGTTCGGCTTCACCTGTCGATCAGATTACTGAAAAGGCAGAGCCCACCTTGTCCGTGGCGCATGAGCTGCAAGACACGGAGAAGCTGGATGCCTCTAAGGAGAAAGATTCAAAGCCCAAGGAAAGCGGTGGTGTCGTTGATGGGGAAAGACCCTTCTCTGCAACGGCCAGATCTATGGGCGCCATGTTCCGTCCTTATGCATTTGTGCTCGTCTTTGCTGTCGCCGGAGCTGTTGTTATTGGAGGCACATACTGTGCCTCTGCGGTGATCTTTGGCAATGTCGTTGGCAAGCTCAGTGGTTGCGAAGAGCCCCAAACCATTCGCGAAGCTGGAGAGTTCTATGGCCTAATGTTTTTCGTCCTGGCTATCATCGAATTCTTCGCAAACTTCTTCAGTTGGTCACTGTTCGGGTGGATAGCTGAGAACGTCATCTACAAGGTCAGAGTCCTCTCCCTGAGGTCCATTCTCGAGCAAAACCTCGAGTGGCATGAGTCGAATGATCGCAATCCGTCGCTTCTGTTGTCTTTGGTCACCAAGGACAGCAATGCATTGGCAGGCCTGACCGGGTCCGTTGTTTGCACGATCCTGTCCATCCTCATTAACCTCTTCGCAGCAATTATCATGACACACATCATCGCATGGCGGATTGCATTGGTTTGCCTTTCTGTCGTGCCGTTATTGCTTGCTGCTGGGTGGATGCGAGTCAGCTCATTGGCCCAGTTTGAAGAACGGCATCTGGAAGCCTTTGCTCGTTCCGTCGGGATCACCGTCGAGGCCGTGAACTCGATCAAAACAGTCATGTCGCTCTCTCTCGAACACGAAATCATGGGCACGTACCGTCGCTCGTTGGCCGCCCCCATGAAAGACATGACGCGTCAAAGCGCGTGGGCCAACCTATGGCTTGCCATTGGATATGGTCTCAGCAATTTCCTGTATGGCCTTGCATACTGGTGGGGCGCAAAGAACATCATTGCCGGACACTACACGCAGACACAGTTCTTCATTGTGCAACTGGCGCTGCTCGTCAGTTCCCAGTTGTGGGGCCAGATGTTTGCCTTGGCGCCTGACGTGTCACGCGCCTTTCAGGCCACCCGTCGACTGCTCAATCTGTTGGACTTGGGTTCCTCCAGTCTGTCACAGCCGCTTGCATTGAAAGATGTTGAGTCAAACGACAGCTCTGAGAAAATTGACGAGACTCGCAAGGGTATCAGCGTTTGCTTCAAGCACGTCCAATTCGCCTATCCCGCGCGACCGGATACTCGCGTGCTCCATGGCTTGGACTTTAATGTCAAACCGGGCCAATTCGCCGCCTTGGTGGGTCCAAGTGGTGCCGGTAAATCCACCATCATCTCACTTGTCGAGCGCCTCTATTCGCCCGAGACTGGCAGTGTGGAGGTCGACGGGCGGGACATTGCATATGGTGACATCTCTTTCCGTGACTCGATTGCATATGTTCCACAACAAAGTGTGATGTTTGAGGGCACGATCCGATTCAACTTGGCTCTGGGGGCACGCCCCGGTCACCAAGTTACACAAGCGGAGCTGGAAGATGCCTGTCGACTCGCCAATATTCACGAGGTCATTGAACAATTGCCCGAAGGATACGACACGCCTTGTGGACCTAATGGTGATCGTCTCTCTGGTGGGCAGAAGCAGCGATTGGCGATTGCGCGAGCGCTGATCCGCAAACCCAAGCTGCTGCTTCTGGACGAGTCGACCAGTGCTCTTGACGCTGAGTCTGAGCGCTTGCTCCAGGATGGCTTGGAGAAAGCAAGCAAGGACATGACAGTGATTGCGATTGCGCATCGTCTGTATACGATTCGCAAAGCGGATGTCATTTTCTTGATTGAGGACGGGCGATGTGTCGAGCAGGGCACTCATGCCCAGTTGGTGGAGCGTAGCGAGACTTACCGAGTCAACGCCTTGAACCAAGCCGTGGATAGCTAGAGAGATATTTCCAAGGTTTAAAAGATAGACAGCGACCATAGATTGGCGGATTTGATTTCTTCGATATATATTTAATTTATTTCAGTCGACCAAAATCCATGGAGGGTAAATCCCCAAAGTGAAGTACGATCTAAAGTTTATATGCTGTTGGTTCTCCTAGACGCATCCATCTCCAGCAAACTATTTCTGTTAGCAGCAGCTCCAGGGGAAATGTGATTAGAATTCTATTGATTAACTTACTTCCGTAGCCCAGATCGTCATTGAAAAACATATTGCGGATAGTATCACCCACTGTCAGTCCCATGGTTGGGAAATATCCAACGGCAGTCTCTCCAAGGGCGAGTGCCATCATAGGGGCAACTTCAACCAGCTCATTGAACTTGGTCTCGGTTTTATACAGCTGCGCCATCATTCGTTGGTGAATGTTCACGACCGCAAAGTGCGCATGGTGCATCGCCGCTCCACCACGCTTGATACCTGACCAGCAGGCAAGATCACCTGCCGCATAGTGGAATTCCTTGTTAGGAACATCACCCGAGAACTGCAGACCCGCTGTAATTCGAACGTATCCCTCGGGGTCGCAAGCCTCTTTCGGAAGATAGGAGGATGTGGGTGTGAATCGAGACACAGCATTGATGACATGATCGGCAAAGAGCTCTCGGCCGTCTGAGAGCTTTAATCTCAGCTTCGCGGATGTGGATTCATCCGCCGGTACGGTGTCTTGGAGACGCGCGCCCATGACAACCTCGACATTGGATTCCTTGAGCATCTCAAGGGTCTTCTCCTTGAATTCAACTGGCAGGTCCTCAGAAGAGAGCAGTTGCTGGCGGGAATGAACCAGCGTGACCTTGAGTTTGGGGTGAAGCATTTTGATTTCAGCGGCAATCTCGATGCCAACAGCACCTGGAATGGTATGGTTAGATATGATCGGAAGAAATCCAAATGCAGCAAGATATCACCTACCACCTCCGACTACCACAACACCAGCGGTAGCATTCTCGATTGTTTGTGCAGACTCTGATGTCTCTGCAAGGTATGCCTCCCGAGTTAGCGATTTGGGGGCGCTCGGCCACTCCCTCCGCAAACCCGAGCATGCCACCATGTAGTCATACTTGTGTTCAATGATCTTATGGCCCTCATCACCTGCGCTCTGAGCGATGCGCGCGGTGCGCGACTTGCAATCAACAGATTCCACTCGTCCCTGGATGTGGTTTATGTCCGGAGATTGGAGTGCGGGAATATCTTCGAACTTTTGCCAAAATGTGCTAGCGGCGGAGTTGGATCCTATCGCGAGAGGCTGGCCGATGATATGGACTAACGCAACATTGTTTAGCTTGGGGATATTTCAGGGCGTCAAGGATTTGACATACAGTAACCATCGCGCTCGTCCACGATCGTGACCTGAACCGGGATCTTGTGCTCAGGGGCCTTGGCAGCTTCATCGACATTGAATCGACACTTTCGGCCCTGACACAGATCAACCAGATTCAGGGTCGCGGCCAATCCCGCGTACGATCCTCCCACAATGAGGACCTTGAATGGTGGTTGTTCGTTGATACCGGGCATACTGGCTTAGCGAGTTGAAGATGAGAGAAACGCAGGGAAAAACAAAACCAAGTCAGCAAAGCCGGGATATCCCACACCCGGAGCAGTTCACCCGGATCGGCCTAATCAGATTTGATACACGATACTCCGCAGTACGGCGCTTGGGTACCGTAATTTTGGTCTTATCAGATCCGACCTCGGGAGGCTTGGCGCCAATGTACCTTAAGAGGTACTATGTCAAACTTGGTCTTTCAAGTCTTTTCAGATTGCTTTTCAAAGCTCATTGTCCAGCATTCATTCATCTCATCATGGGCCTCGTTGTTGTTCCAGCCACTCTACCCGACATTCAAGCTATCTATGATGTCTGGTTCGCCGCCTTCAAAGGCCAGTTGATTCTTGATCTCATCTACCCTGGAACCGACCTGAATGATGAGGAGTTCCGCAAGATTCACACCGAAGGTACTCTCGAGTACTGGAAGGGGCTGAGCATGGAACACACCTTCCAATGCATCGACACCGACACCGGCAAAGTTGTCGGTATGGCAACATGGCAAGTCTACTGGCGTGAGAGGACCGATGAAGAGCGCCAAAAGCCTTGGATCGGATGGCTAGAAGGCGACCAAAGAGAGCGCGCAGAAGGCTTCTTGGAGCAACTTTGGGAAAAGAAAGAAAAGCTCCTTGGTGCAAAGAAGCACGTTTGTGAGTAGCCAAGAATGCTTGTTCAGCGTGTCCGTGCACTGATGTCGAAATACAGATTGTCACACTGTTGCAGTCCATCCTGATTACCAAGGCAAAGGCGTTGGAGCCCGCCTGATGAAATGGGGAATGGCTGTTGCCGAAGAATTGAACTTGCCAGTTTACCTCGAGTCCACCGTGGAGGGAGTTCCGTTGTACAAGAAACTTGGATTCGAAACTTTGTCCGAGAATATCGTATTCAGGCCGGAGATTACCAGAGTGGACAGGGAGGTCAAGGCTCCGTTGATGGTGAAAATGCCTGCCGCTGCTGGAACCACTACCTTCGAAGCGTGGGCGGCAAACTAAATGTCCCCCCTTGAGGTATATAATGTATTACAAAATCATTGATGTACCAAACAAACCAATTCAGGCTCTGGATATATACCTAGGTACTCCCGAGGTCCGTACAACCCGAGAAACAGGACATAGTTACTCCTAATAGTGAATTTAAAAACTCACCCTTGTACTTTGCCGATGGGCCGCCCTGGGCCGAGAAATCAAGTATGCCGCTAGGATATGGCCGTTCTTGCATATTTACATTTCTAGTGAGCAGGATCAGCATGCAAGGGAGGCCCGGGTGCAATTGGCGTAACGCAAAACCAACTGCCCCTTCTCGGCAATCTTGCTGAACGGCGATGGCCTTTCGAGGCCCAAGCGGAAAGATAATTCAAGCCAAGCCTTGGCGAGCTCTTGGTTGAGGGAATTGATTGATAACTTTTACTCATATGCTGATCATCAGATATACGAATATTATCAATCTGATAGTCAAAGCCAAGGTGCCGAGTCAAGCATGCTAAAATGGTGCGTCATCGGAGAGGCTCACTTGGGTACCCAAGTGGATAGGGATGTCAGCGCGGAAGTGCCGCCGCCACTGCCGAGCTTCGACATGCCGGTACCTCGTGGAAAGGAAGTGGCTTGCGCCAAAACACTATTGGCAACGGTGTGGAGACGGTTGGGACACCCGTGCTATACCGGGGTTTACGGAGTAGGCTATGGTTTCAGTATCGGGTACGGAACACATTTGTTTAACTCCATGCTGACATGCCGGAGATTCGAAATAACCTTGGCAGGGCCGATCAGTGGATCAGACCCTGGCGTCAACCCGTGGTGTCTGCATGTTGTGGTAATACAGTGTAATACAGTCAATTCTTACAGAGCTGTCGTATTGGATGTGTATTACAAAGTGGGTCTGTCGATCTTATCTGATCCGAGCGTTTATCAGATTGTCGCTTCACGGCGCCAAGGTGACTTGTACGTTGTAAACGAGCTCAAACTCTTCAACGCCACAGACGATCTTAATAGCAGGACGGGATGCGACTGAATAGAAGATCGGACCGATATCGGCTTGTGCGCGAGATTGCCGAGCTCTTTCCTTAAGGTTGGATATTAGAGGTGTAATCCCTATGAAACAGCAAAATCTGTCCACTGTTCTCGGAAACTCAGAACCGACATGCGCATTCATTCCTCTTTTGTCGCTCTCTGTGGCTTCCAAGCCACCTTCGCTGTGGCTAGCACTGCCTGGCCCTGGCAAACCTTCAAGTCCAGCCCCCACGAGCCCCCCAGTCTCAAGGTTTCCAAGTCTGGCCCGGTCAGCCCTGGGTATCTATTCTTTGACCAATCATGGGATGCCCACCAGTACAGCGTGTTTATCATGTCAGACAACAACGAGCTTGTCTGGCAGAGCCCGCCTGGTGACCTCAAGGGATTCCGCGTCCAACAACTGGATGGTAACCCTGTGTTGACCTACTTCAATGGTCTAGGTGTCCCTGAACCATTTGGTTGGGGGTATGGAATCATCCAAATTCTTGATCAGAGCTACAGCAGTATTTACAATGTCTCCGTGATCAATGACAATTACACGGCCCTGGGGAGCATTAATAGCTCGTCGTTTGTTTCGTGGATTGACATGCACGAAAACACGATGACATCCGAGGGCACCATGCTGGTCACTGGGTACAATGTTACTCAGTGTGATCTGAGCTCTGTTGGTGGTCCCAAAGATGGTTGGATTGCAGACTCACTCTTCTATGAGATTGATGTCAAGACCAACGACATTCTCTATCGTTGGAGTGCCAAGGATCACCTTGACCAAATCCCGCTAGAAGATGTGCAACCTTTCTACCCAGTGGATGATTGGGGCCACAATAGCAGCGCTCCATATGGATACTTCCACATCAACTCAGTGGAGAAATTCCAGGATGGCTCATACTTGATCTCTTCTCGTTACTATTGCTCGCTATTTAAGATTGCAAAGAACGGATCGGTTGACTGGACTCTTCAGGTATTTCCCAACAAAAATTTTGATATCACAGCTACTAACTTGAGATAGGGTCAAACCGGCGGTGATTTCGAGTTGAAAGGGATTCAATGGGCCTACCAGCACGATGGTCGAATTCACCATGAGCAAGAAGATGGCTTTGTGCTCAGTATCTTTGACAACGCCAACTCGGATGTCTCGAACGGAACGCATCACACCGAAGGCATGCTGATTCATGTCAATTTGGCCACTCGTGAAGCATCTTCGCTCCAAACACTTCATGACCCCAAAGATGAAATCTATGCTGTCTCCCAAGGAAACACCCAACTCCTGCCTGGAGGCCACGCAGTGATGGGGTATGGCTCAAACCCAAAGATCAAAGAGTACAGCTCAAACGGCACATGTGTCATGACTGCACAATTTGGGGAAGATGGTGTTGTCGCCAGCTACCGGGCGTATCGCTCTCCGTGGGTGGGCATCCCCACCACATCTCCAGATCTGTTTGCCTGTTCCGATGAGTCGAACAACAAGACTCAAGTCTTCATGAGCTGGAATGGAGCCACGGAGCACAAGAAATGGAAGATATTTGGGGGCAACACTCGTGGAAATTTGCATCCAGTTTCCATCGTCCGCAAAACTGGATTTGAGACTACTGCATCCGTTGGAGGAGGTCTCAAGTATGTCCGTGTCGAGGCGGATGGCTTTGGCATTGAGAAGGGTGTTTCTAAGGTGGTTTCTGTGAAGGAGATGTGTTAGAGACTCGTGCGACCAGTTAGACATAGATTTTGTGCGTGAATCCGACCCTGAGCCAAATGATCTAGGTTCTATCTAGACAAATGACAATTCCTATGGAAATTTATAGTTATACCTTTTGTTTCGGTAATTTTCAATCTCTCAAAAATAGCGCAGCATTAAGGATCATCAATTTTCTAAGTACCGACGCGTTCTCAGATCATCTTTCAACAACTCTCACGAACTTTCTGCATTATAAACAACATCCACCGCGTGCTCTCCGATATAGGAAGACTATTCTTGCACCGCCTACTCTAAATAACAGTACCCTTGACCTGTTTGACATCCTTGATTCTGATATCTCTCCACATACCAGCACAGGCCCAAGCAACAGCTAACATGCAGACACTGGTAATGAGCATGTACCGCTGAGCGTCACCATAAGCATGTGCAATGGCGGTCCGAGCGGTGCTTCCCCAAGCATATGAGAGCTGAGCATTGATATCAGAGTAGACCTTTGCCACGCTCACATCCGCTGGGACATACTTTGCGAGTGCTTTGGGGAACTCGCTAGTCCAAATTGCAGCAGATACAGTAGATCCAATTGCACTGCCAATGCTGGAGAACAGATTGAGCATTGCCAGGATGACAGCGATATGTTGGTGGTCGGAAGGTGCCATCATGGCAAGCTCACCACAGACGACGATTGTTCCTCCAGCAAATGCAACGAAAATTTGAGTCATGCAGATGTAGCCGATGTTCACATCAGGCTGTCTGAATTTGATCATGAGGCCAACGCCGAGGATCATGAGTGGCATGGCAAAGTAGACAACAAGCCATTTGAAACGGCCAGTCCAACGAATCAGGAATCCAACCAGTAGACACCAAAGACATGAACCAACTCGGTAGATAGCTGACACATAGCTGGCTTCTGTCACATTGAGGCCCCAGACCACTTGTAGCATTGAGCTGAAGTAGCTGCCCCAGACCATAGAGTTGAAGAACTCAAACACAAACATGAGCCCAGCAAAGAAGACCGTTCGATCCATCAGCAGACTGAATGGAATGAAGGTCACTGGAGCCCAGAACTTTTCGTATAGAGCGAAAGCGATCAGGAGAAGCCCTCCAAACACAATCATGCAAATGATCATTGGGGATCTCCATTGGTCTTCCTGGTAGGACCACAGGCTAAACGGCAGAAGGAACAAAGCCATGCCGCCCGCAAGAAGGATGATTCCAAGCAGGTCAACCTCGATGCAGTATTTCTTGACCACAGAAAGAGTGATAGGACCGCTTGAACGAGTCAAGAGTCCAAGTTTCTTTGCCTTCCGTTGGTTGAAGAAGAACAAAATGCACAGGGGTGCGACCACGACAGGCACGACGATGGTGAAGACACCAAAGCCCCAACGCCATCCAGGGCCCTCCAAAACACTCTGAGAGATCGGTCCACCGATCCATGTGGTGATGATATACGGCGAAGTTGCAAATGACAACATGAGGGCTCGGTTCTTCAGTGCGGAAGTATCGGAAATGAAGACCGTAAGACAGTAGCTCACTCCCTGGGATCTAAATTCGCCAAAAGTTAGCCTGTGTTCTTCGCGTGCTTTTATAAACGAGATCTTGCATACCCCACGGAAGAGAAAACCTGCGCAGCAGCATAGGTCTGCACGCCGTCACAAGCTGCCATCATGATAAAGCCGATGATCCAGATGAAAAGCATCAAGGCCATGCCCTGGGGACGGCCCCAGGAGTCCAAAATCTTTGCGAGGGGAATCTTGCTCAAACCTCCGATAATATTAGACATGATGCTCGTGGCAGCCGTCAGAGAATGAAGACTGAAAGCACTGGTCACATATGGGTTGAGAGAGCGGATGACAACTTCCTGTATGGATGTGACAAAATAGATAAACCAGATGCTAAATCGATAGAAGTCAGTGGTCTGAGTGACTCTTCAACTGATTCAAAGCTCACTCACATCACATAGGCCAAAACCAACTGAGACTTGGTCCATACAGCCGCGGCAGCTTGAACAGCCTTAACACCAGCCTGAGCCTCATGGTCAAGAGATTCCTGATCCGAGTTATTGTCAGGCTCAGTCGTAAAAACTCCATTCCCAGGACCCTGTGCAACGTCTGCTTCTTTTTCCGATGCTTGAGTTGTGCCTAAGCCGTGATCAAGCCCACGATCGGTCTGCCTGTCGGTCGATGCCATGGCGAAGGGTTCTATGGCCGGGTTGAGGCTTGGCTATGCGCCGATCAGTATTATATACCTGGAGTCTTCGGTCTATCCGATATCGGTGAATCGTCAAAGTCAGACGATTTCTGCCCAGGTGTGACCTGGACAAAGGAGGGTCGCGAAAACAGTATTTTCGGTTGCCACCAGGGGATTAAATCGGGGGTCCCGGGCATCCCTTGGCGCATCTAAGCGATTTTAGGACTTGTTCCCCGTTGGTCACTGATAAACGAATGAAAGAGAAGAAAACTAAAGTGGAAACGCAAATTGAAATCTTTTCAAGTTACTCCAATCGTGTACGTGCTTTGTGAGAGGGTACATTCTACCAGGCTGGAGCTTCATTGCCAATACATAGCGTTTGGATCAGCCCATCTTAAGCTTGCAGCTATACTCGAGTTTCCATGAATGTAAGCACTTTAGATGTATTTAAATAATTCATCGATGCAATGCGAAACATAATCCCAACATGCAACAGACATTGGTCCAACTGTATTTCCATACGCTGGCCCGTTCGGTATTTTGGGTATTGCCGAACGCGGTATTATTACAGTGGAATTTCGTACGTATTTTACATCAGGTCCCGCGTAGTCACCTGGGCATGGCGAACCTCAATTTCGCGTGTTGCGGCAGACACATATTCACCTGGAGAGCCCACTTTTCATTGCCTGACTATGTGTTTGAAGGGCCGTTTTCGGTCTCAGACTCAGTCACATACCCGTGTATCCGCAGCCTGGACATTGCCATTTGACACCTTGTGACATGGAATAAGCAGAATCATTTGTGAGTAATCGTCTGGCTGTTGGCTCCGTAGTATACAACCAAGCCAAGTACGGTGCCATCATTTCAACGCGCCTTCCGGCTCCAAAGTCCAGGTACCTGTTGTGATGATGCTTCGGGTAGCAGTAAACCCTTGGCCGAAATTCTTGGCCTCGCTAGCTTGGACAATACTTTTGCCGTAATCCCGGCAGGAACCCGTGGACATTTCAAGACCGAGTGATCGAACTATTTCCCTGCGTCTAGAATCGCCACTGAGTGGTGGCCGAAAGTGGCAGATCTAACTCAGTCTCCGGCGGTAACAGTATAAAAAACAGATAGACGTCAGTGGGAGACAGTACAGATAATTCCAAGCTTGCTTTGAACTGTCAAGCATTCAATATGGTAAAAGCACATTCAATATCTGGTCAAGGGTCGACATCACCCTTTTCTTAAAGATGGAACATGCCATCGAATGTCTCCTGACCCGTCGAACTAACAGACCCAGCCATTCTCCGCTTATCAGGTGCAAGCATGACCTGAATGGCCTCCTCGCTGTACCAGATCTCTGGGCTGTAGTACAACCTGGGAAGGTCCTCACAAACAAGTTGAAGGTTGCTCGCGATAAAATTCTCAAAGCTGAGAGTTTCCGTTCGCGAGGCTGGCGCGTCAGTCGAGGTGGACTGCCCCCGACTTAAGGCGGCTACAAACATTTGTACCCAGAATATCCTGTGTGTAGCCGAGTTCACCCGAGGACCTGACATCTCCTCTGATTTGTCCAACGCGGTCTTCCCCAGGTTGCCATCTTCTCGCTCTGTGGCCAAACTTCTGTACAGATATAACAGCAAATGAGAATGGCTTGAAATCACAGGAGAGTCGGCCTCTGATGACTGAATCAGAGCATCTGCATCCCGAATAGTCGAGATTGCCTGGAATGAAAGACATTCCAAGCTTGGCATTCCGGAATCATTTTGTATCAAAGTACTTTCCATCTGTTTCAATAGACTGGCTTTCTCTTGTGATTTGGATGATACGTCGATGACATTAGGCAGGGGCTTGAGGTCTGGTGGGATAAAAGCCATGCGTGCTGCAATGCTGTTCCAAATCTTCTCGGAGTAATACTCCTTCCAAATAGATGATTTCAAGTCAAATAGCGCGTTGAAACTAGCTGAGCTCAGACGGGATGCAGGAATTTCAAGAATTGACTTCTCTTCTGTCAAGGTCCCGGGTACCGTTGGGAATACTTTGATAGCTGCATGGACGATTTGAATCCAGAAGTAAATCTGCGTCTCAGAATAAGGGGGAATGGCAGAGTTGGTTTTCCGAAGCCGAATTGTCGTTTTCTGTAGCAAATCGAGAGCTTCTTTGGTGACTTGGCCACGACGAGTGCCTGAGACAAGACTATGTTGAACAACAGTAAAAGCGTATTGGAGGAGCCGATCGGGGTTATTTTCTTGTCCTAGATTTGAGAGACTGTTTGATGATGCCATCCCAGGGAGGGGTTTTATATCAGGGAGTGACCATGATTCTTGTGCTGATGACGAGAACATATGCTCTTTCGTATAGTAGTCCATCCAAAGACCGGTGTTCATCAGTATTGGTGTTTGTAGTAGGACTTGCTGGAAGTCATTCCAGGAGGGAAACTCGTGTTTATTGCCATAGACTTTGTATTTTATGATTGCATTGTGTAATTGTGCGAGCCAAAACGTCGTCATGGTTCTTGACGTAGAAGTGTTAGCCCATATCTTGTGGTCAGTAGCCCTTGGGGTTGGTTTCTTGACCGACTCATACCGATGCTCAGTGTTCCGGAAGCTGTCTGGCTTTGCGTTTCTCAATCTCTTTAAATGGTTGAGGAAAGTCTGCGTTGCATCGAAAGCATTCCCTCCTTCTTTCAACGACTCCAGTATGAGAATATATCCTGACTTCAGATGATCGCGGTGGCCCCATTGCATCAAGTCAGCTTTCAGGAAAAGATGCCAAAATTCCTGCATGCTTAGTGAGTCCTTGGCGCCTTCGTTTTCAATTTGCGTTTTGTATTTGGGGGCGTGATTCTGGCTTTGCTTTGAGGGTTGCGGATTGGGACTTTGCTGGTCAGAATCTTTCTTCGCGCCCGTCACAAACACATATAGATCGTCTATAATCTGCTTGACACCTTCGCCGGTTCTGGTACTGACGCGATATTCAATGACTCTGCAATTAGCCTCATTATTGAAGATATCCATCAACTTCTTATTGTAGAGCTTGCGTAAGCGGTCGGCTTCTGGTGCAGACACGGAGTCTTGCTTGTTTATAATGACCCAGCAACTCCTGTAGCCCACCGTTAGCATCTCTGTGCCAATGCGTGAGAGCGTCTGGAGGCTTTGATCTGTCATCTCCTCATCCCAGGTGCAATCGTGAAAGAACAACACTGATGTATCTGGGGTGTAAAAGTAGTCCAACCACTTTGGATATCGAAAGCATCCCACTGTGTGTCGTTAACAATGACTTCTTCGGGTCCAGGAAAATTATACCTACTTCCAGTATCCCAGATTGAAAGTGTGCGCTTCTTATAATCCAATGGAGTGTGATAATGTCCCATGGTTGGGATCGTAAATTCAGCGCGGCCGTGTAAAAGATGGCACAAAAAGGAGGTCTTCCCCGAGCCCCCTTCTCCAATCAAGAGGATTGGAAGCTCAGACAGCCCGTATAGCCATTTTATGACGCTGTTCATCGCATTAGATACCAGTGTCACGGTCCAAACGAAGTCAGCCGAATCGAAGTACTAGCAGTTTGAAGCGCTTGGTCCCCCGAGTTCACTTGCGCGGACGGGTATCAGGCGCTAGCCCATTTGGGGGTGCTCTCAGGGCTTAGGGCCACTCCGATCCTATCCCGAGGATAGCGGGTGCCTCTGCCATTGGGGCTGTTGCGGGTGGATATCGAACATGGAGACTCATGGAGGCCGTTTGGGACTTGACACTTGATGGCATATGCAAATAAAACAAGTTCAATATGTCCGTGCTGGAGCTGTGAGAGACAAGTAGGGTGGTCGATCAAGATGCACGCCACTTCACGGCGCTCAAGCCCATGGACATGGCTGCACAAGGGGACGCTGATCTGGGAAATAATCGGAACACGAGGCTGGAAGTGGCGGACAAAAAGCTTGGTTTGGTGTGTAGTTGCCTGGGGATTCAGGCCTCTGAAAAGCCCACCTGGGCATCTTTCGACTCTCTCTCCCTCTCTTCCCCTCCCTTCTCTACGCGTACTAGGCAGAGTCTTGTCGGGCACTCTTGATAAGGCTTCAAAACAAGAGATGTCCACTCCAGGTGGAGATCAAACCCCGCGTTTCGATGCCATCGACGAACATGCTCGATGACAACCCGGGCCGGTTGAAGGGCGCACTAAATCGACAAGTTACGTGATTCCCGAATGAATGCAGATATCATTGGCGAAAGCAGCTCCTTCGGGGCCATCCGAACAGCAGCAGAACCCCTGCATGTCTGCCTATCGCTGATTACACGTAATTCCCCGCACGACGGTTAGCAATGGTACGAGCGGACCCGCCGAACAAACCGTCCGGATTTGCTGCGTCGGGGCGCCCAGTGGAGACCGAAAGTGTACCCGGCCCGGCAAACGCGGGGTCCCCAGCTTGATCTTCCCCCCGGAGAGCCATTTTGGGAAGTTCAACGCGATTGCAGGTCTTCAAAGGTGTCGAGATGCCTCTCAAGCAATTCAATTTCGACTTCCACTTCTTGACCTCGAGCGACACTAGAAATGAACAACGACGAGGTCGCGAATATACACAGCGCTTCCGAGACGGAGAAAAAGATTCACTCGGCTCCGGAGGATTATGCAGATGATCGGGATTTGGACGCTGAGGAAAAACATAGCAATGGAGAGTCTCATCAATTACCGGAGTTGCAGCGGAGGTTGAAAAGCAGACATCTGCAGATGATCGCGATGGGTACGCATCCCTGAATAATTGATTCGAATCGTTTCTCACACGGTGTCGACAGGTGGTGCCATTGGGACGGGCTTATTCATTGGTACCGGAACTGCAATCTCGACTGCTGGTCCAGTCGGTGCGTTAATCGCCTATACTTTCGTTGGATCAATTGTTTATTCAGTCATGACTGCACTGGGCGAGGTCGCTACTTACCTGCCCATCCCTGGAGCCTTCGCCACATACGCAAACCGCATAGTAGACCCCAGTCTGGGCTTTGCCATGGGCTGGATCTACTGGTTCTCATGGGCCTCGACGTTCGCTCTTGAATTGACAGCAACTGGTCTCATCATCCAATTTTGGGACGAGAGCATTCCAATGGCTGCTTTCATTGCCATTTTCTGGGTCGTGATTATCATTCTCAACATGTTCCCGGTCAGCTGCTATGGTGAGATTGAATTTTGGCTCTCCAGTATCAAGATCGTCACCGTGGTTGGGTTCATGATTTTCGCCATCTGCATGAACGCTGGCGTGGGTAAAGAAGGATATATTGGGTTTAGGTATTGGATTCACCCAGGTCCCTTTATCCCCTATTTGCTGGAGAACCCTCGCCAAGACGCATTGGCGAAATTTGTCGGATTCTGGGCAATTCTGATCAAGGCCGGGTTCTCCTATCAGGGAACTGAGCTTGTTGGTATCGCTGCTGGTGAAACCGCCAACCCGCGCAAGAATGTGCCTTCGGCAATTCGGAAGACCTTCTTCCGAATCGTGTTCTTCTTCATTTTCACTGTCTTTTTCGTCGGCATCGTTGTCCCATCTGATGACGAGCGTCTGACTTCGGATAGCAGCGGCGCTGATGCGAACGCGTCTCCGTTCGTTATCGCCGCACGACGAGCTGGCGTCAACGCCTTACCCAGCATCATCAACGCAGTCTTACTGACTGTCGTTCTCTCGGCTGCCAATTCCAATGTGTACAGCGGAAGTCGAATTCTAGTCGGACTAGCGAATGAAGGCTTCGCGCCTCGTATCTTTGCCAAAACAACCAAACACGGTGTTCCATTCGCGAGTGTGGGTTTCACCGCGCTTTTCGGTCTTCTGGGCTTCCTCAACGTGTCAAATGCCGGGGCTACCGTGTTCAACTGGTTAATGCAGATTGCCGGCTTGGCGGGCTTCATTACCTGGGCCTCGCTTAACATTATTCATCTGGGCTTTATGCGCGCTTTGAAAGCGCGCGGCATATCACGCGATACCCTTCCTTATAAGGGAACCTGGCAACCGTTTTTCTCCTGGTATGGTCTGTTCTTCAACGTCCTTATTATCATCACTCAAGGCTTTACTGCGTTCATCCCGACTTTCAGCGTCACGGACTTCTTCATCAACTATCTCAGTCTCATCCTCTTTGCGGTCTTATACATTGGCCACAAAATTGCTTTCCGTACAGAATTCGTGAAGCCCATTGAGGCGAACATCGATACCGGTCGATGTGAAGACTGAGGCGGGAAATATCGGATATCCTTTTTCTCAGAAAATGCGACTAAATACATTTTACATCTGCGCTGTTTCCTAATAGTCAGCACATATTTATCAATATTAGATGTCTTGTATCCAGGAATGTCCACTGCGACGTAGAATTTGACGAAGTCTCAGCACTTTCCGATTGAAATTCGAACAAATAGATGCTCATTGTCTCTCAGTGGTGCCAAGGTCCTCCAGGGCTGATCACCCGGGCATTCGCATCTGGTTGGGTGACTGGTGACAAACCTCGGAAGCCGATCATCCCGGTAGACCTGCGGCACATGCGCATCAGAGTCTGGTCCGGGTCGGGCCGTGAGGCTGTATAGCCTAAACTCCTGCATTTCGGGGGTCATGGAAAATCGAACTGAGATTGAGAGAAAAAAGACTTGCAGATCTTCGCCTTGGAAGAAAAGTGTCTTATAACCCTTGAACTCCAGAACACGATAGCATTTTGACAATTCCAAGGTTGGAAGGCTTTGGTGCTGCCCAGGTGCATACTGTGGATCATCAAAGTAAGTTTTCAGGGTTTTTATCCTGAATTAGAAACAAAAGGCGAGGGCTCAATTCATCGATGGCGCCATTCTTGCATTCACTCCCAACTCAAATCCATGTCACTCACAGTTTTGGTGCGTGGTACTGAGCGCCCGGAATGTCCGAGATTTTCGAATCTGTCAAACCTTGAAAACCTTGAAAGCCCCCCTCTCATGCTAAGAAGTACTGCTAGATATGAAAATCCCTCCCGAACATACGTAGGTAGCATGTGCATCGAGCGGCAATTTTCCAAAACAGTCCTCAGCTGCCCAGTGGAGATATATTGTTGAACGCGCTAACAGGAACACCGTGCAGGATTCAAGCTCCAAACGCGTAACCGGCCCCGGTAATCACACCTTCTAGGAATTGACTCCAAAGAGTGCATAATCTCTATTGGCCCCGGACTTGGGGTTGAGCGCCGCAGAATCCATTTGGGCCACTGTAGAGATAAGCTCATCAAGCCGCCTCGGCACGCCATTCAAGCACTCCGAGGTCGCTCCGAAGTTCCAAGTTGCACTTCGCACTTGGCATTTGTAAATGGAATCCTCTTTTCTTGTTTGTTTGTCACGGTCGGCGCGAATCGAATACCAATATCGAGTACTGGCGCAGGAGAGGAGAGCGACATCTTCAGATAAGGACATCCCCGCCTCTTCAGGACGCGTCGTATGCTCTCAGCTAGCTTGCTTTTAGTTATCATTTAATAGAAGTCTGGGGATAACACCTCATTTAGCCAATCATCGAATTTGTGAATCGATGACAGCGATATTAGTGGTTCCCGTTTTGACCTTAGTTTCAGGCCATGATATTTTGTACCTGCTAGTATGGCACTCAACGATCCGGCATGTTATCTAGTTTTGAAGGCGTGCGTCAGCGAGTGCTCAATGCGACCGGCTGTACGCACCACAAGGGTTAGTGCAGGCCCTATGGATTAGACTAAACGCCACACCTTGGTATATCTCCCTGTCGCAACTGTTGTCATTTCCGGTGGATCTATCGTGACTTTGGTATTTGCTTTGGCCCCATGTTGCACGATAAATGCTGCACGGTTCAAATAAGTAAACATGGTCCCCGGGTTAAATCCAAGTAAGGGGTGATCGGGGCTTCTTTTTCCGCTCGAAACATCCTTACTGTGTCACTTGTGTCTTGGCCTTCTTCGCCATTATGGTGACTTCTAAAGATTCCAAGGACCCTGCTATATCGGAGGCGCCGGGAGATCTTGAATCGGAGCATTCTCGCCAAGATCCAAAAGATTGGGTTCATAAGCAAGATAGAGGCGAGCTCACGGAACTCACTCCGGTGGAAGCCTTTAAATGGAGTGTCGAGGGAGATCAGTCACCATGTATGCTTTTCTATGCATCTGATATTCTCAGTCATGCTAATACTCTTCAGTCCCCGAGGTTGCGGCTTGTGTCTCGAATAAAGATGATCCAGCCATTGCCTGCAACAGTAATGCATCAGTCCCATATCGTGAAACCAGTCACTAACTCGTGATTACAGCCGTTCGAGCATGGATACTGATGACTGTTTTTGTCATGCTGTTCTCCGGCGTGAATCAGTTCTTTGGACTGCGATATGTAAGTTAAATCACTGAGTTGGCACAACACTTTCTGACTTTCCAGCCCTCCCTTACAATCGGCTATGTCGTTGCTCAGATTCTCGTCTTCCCCATCGGGCGAGCATGGGAAAAGCTTCCCAGATGGAGAGTCCCTCTTGGACCGTTGACATTCGATGTCAACCCTGGCAAATTCACCATCAAGGAGCACGCATTCATTGTCATCGTGAGCAGAAACCACTTTCGAAAAAAACTCATTATACCTAACAACCCATCGCAGTGCGTGAATATCAGCGCCACTACTGCCTATGCACAGGGAGCCTTAGTAGCGATCGTCAGCCCAGTATACTGGGACCGTGATCTGGGCGCTGGCTTCTCATTCCTCTATCTCCTAACAACCCAAATGATCGGGTAAGCGAGTCTTGCTCACATACAGAAACACACTGACCATTTTCAGATTCGGCCTGACAGGTCTCGCCCGTCGATGGATCGTCTACCCTGCCGCCTTGGTCTGGCCTACTTCGCTCTCATCGACTGTTCTCTTCCGAGCTCTGCACGAGCCTGAGAGCCGCTTGCCAGCTAATGGGTGGACGATCACGCGGTATCGCTTCTTCGCCTACGTGACTGCATTTGCATTTGTCTTGTTTTGGTTCCCGGATTATATTTGGACGAGTCTTAGCACTTTCGCTTTTGTTACGTGGATTGCGCCTAATAATCAGAAGGTTAACACGATATTCGGGGTGAGTTGGGGATCTTTCTTGATTTTTGCTTGATGCTGATTGTGTCTTAGATGAATTCCGGACTTGGTTTGATTCCTATCAGTATTGACTGGACTCAGATCAACTATGCGGGTTACCCACTCATGACTCCTTTCTATATTACGTGCAACGCATTCGCTGTGGTGGTGTTCTTCTACCTTTTCTTGTCGCCGATTCTGTACTATTCCAACGTGTGGTACAGCGCATAGTAAGGCCCTTGTCTTATGGATACAGTTGCGACTCGCTGACACAGTCTAGTCTCCCCCTACTCTCTTCAGGCACCTTCGATAACACCGGAAGTGCATACAACATCTCTCGTGTGGTGGACACAGCGACCAAAGACTTCAGCCTGGCCAAATACAAAGAGTACTCCCCAATGTACATCTCCATGTCCTACTCCCTCACATACGGACTGTCATTCGCTGCAGTGACCGCAATCGTGGTCCACACCTACCTCTACAATGGATCAGAGATTTGGGCCAGATTCAAGAATGCGCAGCACGGAGGAGAAGATGTTCATCGTCGACTTATGCGCTCATACAAGGAGGTTCCTGATTGGTGGTACGGTGTCCTCACAGTGGTGGTTCTCGGACTCGGTATTCTGACGACCAAGTATTGGGATACGGAACTGCCTGTCTGGGGCTTCATCGTCGTCTGTTTTGGCTTGGCTGTGCTTTTGATTGTCCCTGAGGGGATTTTGCAAGGAACTACGAACCAGCGCGTGTTTCTCAACATTATTACGGAGATGATTGCTGGCTATGCTTGGCCGGGGAAGCCTATTGCTAACCTCATGGTTAAGTGTTATGGATATAATGCCGTCAAGCACGGTATGGATTTCGCGCAGGATCTGAAGCTGGGACAATACATGGTGAGCTCTGTGTTCTTTTCTTCTTTTTGAAATACTCACTGACCATTGTTCAACTAGAAAATCCCTCCCCGTGTTCTCTTCTTCGGTCAGATCTACGCGAGTATCTTAGCCACTGCAACTCAGACTGGAGGTATGATCACATTTTCCACCTATGATAGCCCAAGCTAATGAATTCAGTCCTACGATGGATGCTCGGCCATATCGAGGGTCTTTGCGAAACAACAAACAAGCAACGATTCACCTGCAACGGCGCCAAGGTGATGTACAACGCTTCCCTGATCTGGGGCACCATCGGTCCGCAGCGCATGTTCCAGTCAGGCCAAGTATACAATGGTCTCGTCTACTTCTTCCTCATCGGAGTGAGTTCTCAAATCCCAAAATCCACATACCTTACTGACTCTGACTCTCCAGCCTGTTGTCACTGTCATTGTCTACTTCATATACCGCCGTTACCCGAACAGCTGGGTTCGCTACATCAACGTTCCAATCTTCTTCAATGCAGCGGGCAATATCCCTCCTGCCAACACCAGTGAGTCACTTTACGCCATCACATTGACATACATCTAACATCACAGCCCAATACTCTTTGTGGTTCATCTTCGGTTTCTTCTTCAATTATCTGATTCGCAGACGCGCATTCGACTGGTGGAAGCGTTATAACTGTGAGACGGACTACTTTGCACATGGTCACAGCTTGCTAACTCTGTGGTTTAGATCTTCTCCAAGCCGCTATGGATACAGGCACGGCGATTGCTACTATCATTATCTTCTTTGCGCTGGGATACCATGCTATTAGTTTCAATTGGTGGGGAAATACGGTCGGGTCTAATACTATGGACTCGAATTCGACCCCTTGGTTGACTGTTGCTAAAGGCGAGCACTTTGGCAAAGGGCCTGGTGAGTTCTAAGTAGCGGTGAACCTGGCTAGAGTACATCTTCAGGGAGAAAGAAGTTTAGATAGAATTTTTGTCACATACTTTTTGTCCTTGGTCAAGCGTTTGACACAAAGTGATACTTGCACATATGAAAAGTCCGACGATAGAGTCTCGATCTATGCAATTTTCGTGCTCGCCGAATGTAAATCGACTTGGTAAAGGTACTCTACAATAAGACAGTCAAACATAAGTCAATTCGACTGCAGTATGCTCATTGTTGTCTCTTTAAGATACTCGTCCACAGTCATCACACATAGTTTTCATTAAACATTAATCTGCTTGGCTCGAAATTTGATCTCCTCGCACACGAACTGCTCACATATTCACACCATACCTAGAGCGGACCCCACGATCCGCCCTCAAAGATCAAAACCTCGCTCATTGTATCTCCATCACAGGCTCGCTGATTCTGCACTCGACAAGGCACTTCAACCGCTAGACCAGTCCCATCTCGATGGCCCGCAGAATGCCCATGCTGCACCCCCAAAGACTCGGTAACACCACGTCGCCGTTCCCTCCTATTAATCAAAGACCCAAAGCTCGACATGCTCTCGTGTGTAGAAAAACGCTCATCATCAACAGTTTCACTCCTAGCCTCCATGATCCCAGACTCATTCTCCGACTCGTCTCTTTCCTCAGAGGACTCAGACTCAGACTCAGACTCAGAGTCTACATCAACAACCGAAGGCGCATAATCCATATCCGAGCACAGAGACTCCTGCCTTGATCTCTGAGATTTAGGAAAAGGCCCATGCGCTTCCTCGGACTCCGAGTCCGACAATTCATTCGAATATGGCATCTCGCTCTTCAGGCCGCTCAGGAGCAAGACAGTTTCTTCGGCTTCTTCCCAGCCCCAGCATTTCATAAATGTGTTTGCCGCGTACTCCCAGTACAGACGGGGGAAGTTGAGAATGAAGAGCAGTTTTCCGAATGTTCGGCCGGATTTGTAGGGTGATTTGCGCTTGGCGGATAGTCGGAATCGGAGACTTTGGTCGCAGAATAGTCTGTCTCGTAGGAAGTCTAGCAAGAGGAGACGGTTGATGTCGCTGTGTTCGGTTGCTAGGTTCTCGATCCTGTTGATGGGGGATAGGAAGATGACGGCTTCGCTGGGTACATGTCCCCAGATGAGGTATTCACCGTAACCGCGCCATTGCGTGGTGAATGTGCATGTGTACTTGGCGATGGGATGGGCGCTGAAGACTTCTGTTTGCAGCTTTCGGGTGTCTATGATAGCCAGCGATGCTGGCTTTTGACTGTTCAGAGCTCGGTGAATTGGTGCCAAGGGGGAGCGAAACGTTGATATTAGGGGAGTCAGACGCTTCTTCTTTGTGACGTGTTGAACAAAATGCTTCACAAATTCTTGATTGGTGATTTCCTCGCGATTAAAGGGGGATTCCACGCAGAAGAGGCCTGATAGAAAGCCCCCCGTCGAGTTTTCGCCTTGAGAGTCAATATTGAACCATCTGTACAGCAGCGGTGGGATCTCGTCCAGGGGGAGCCCGTCCAGGTCAGGTGGGTCAGGGTGCCTCCCCAGAGTGGGATCTTGGATTTCCGAGTCTTCAACTTCGATTTCCATGTCACTTTGTGGGATGTGATCATTTGGGTTTTCGCTTTCCGCGTGGTTATCACACCACAAGCAGAGCTTGCCATGGCTAGTCACCACCGGTTCATCAGAGTCGGGTTCAGAATCTATGTCACTGAGACAACTTTGTAGATCTGTGATTGCTGCTTCGAGGTAGTCTTGCGGTTGGCCTGTATCCAACTCTGGAGACTCGGGGGGAGAGACAGTTTGCTGTGCACGACTTGGGACTCGAGATTGGATGGATAGTTCCCGTACTGTCTGTGACTCTGAGGTTGCTGATTGCGAGGGGGATATCATGTGTGCATCCTTGGAGTGTCAGTGTGGAAGTGATCTCGGATGATACAATACTTACCTCGTGTGTCTCCGTTGGAGTTGGTGTGTCGCCATTCGGTGTTCTGATTCGCAAGTCCAAGCTGAGAGCTCTCGCTGCAGATATTATTTTGGTTCGAATCTCGCGTGCTTCGCTGCTGGCTTCAAATTCGGGGTTCTGAAAATGTAGCCACACAATATTGTCTGTGTTTTTCATCCAGTTTCTTTGGGCGCGGAGTTTGCTCATTGGGGCAAGGCCCAGAATGCCTTGGTCATTCAGGTGGTCTCTGAACAGGAAAGAGAAGATTTGCTCAGTTTGTCTGCGGTCGCAGAGGAAGACGTCGAAGAGGAAACACAGTACTAATCGCCTCTGCCTGGACCATCTCAGCTTGGGCATCTGGGGGGTGGTATACTGGCGCCGGTTGGGCTGCTTCTTGGTGGGGGCCATGGCGGAACTGATCAAGGAGAGAGATGCGATGGAGTAGGAGAGAGAGAGAGAGATGAAAGGTGAATAGACGAGAGCATTGTATACTTGTGGTTGAGTGAAGTAAAAAAAGAAGTAAAAAGAACAAAAGTGGTCGTCCCACCAAATTGCACCCATCCCTGTAACGGAACGGTGTAATCTGGCGACGCCATCCTGGGGTGGAAATGTCTCTGCAGAATTGCTTCCCTCAAGGGTCATTTCCATGGCTTAGTGGCCTCCAGCGTCGTGGATTACTCGCACGAGTGAATTGCCAACCCCGGGATTCGTACCAGGCACCTGCACCCGCTGACTTGCGTCGAAGCAGGGAAATGTGCATGGCGATGAGCCTTCCACTCGGTTATCCGTGACAGATATATTCTTTCACTACTTTTGTTGAATATATACTACACTTGGTTATATTTATAGTTGATATAACCTCAACATTGATATAGTTAGTTAGTTGTTACCACCCTGCACAGCATATCCCCCCGCCGCCGCTCACACAGCCCAGAACAACATTGCAAATGCCGACTACACACCCGCAGATGCGCCCGGCACTCCCGATGCCACCCCGTCTTCTCAAAACACCGATACCCATACCGTCCATACCGACACTGATACCCACTCGGGCAGTCCTGGTGCTTACTGCACCCTGGTTTGCACCGTCCCTCATAACAGGCATACCCTAATCCACAGTCCCCATTCACTAAACAGATCAAGCTTGCCTCCTCCGACTCGGGCTCAGGAGTGTCCACTTCGCTGTCAGTGTTTGTGTAAATGGCATCTGGGCTCTGTGTATCATTCACTCGTGGGTAAGGAATCTCGTCGCGGGAAAGCATTTGGTGAGTGGTGTTTTGGACTGGGGCCGCAGACAAGATGGTATTCACTGGCGGGTCACAGCTTGACAGGTCGCAGTTCTCGGTGACTCCTTCCGTGGTGACTTCCGTGAATGACAGGAAGATGCAGATTATGGCGATGGCTAGGAAGACGACAGTTCCTGCCCCCCAGATTTTCTTTTTGTTTTCCATATTGAAGGGCCAAGTATTAGAATGATAACCTTGGAACGTATTCTCAGTGAGTCAAAAGTAGAAGATGGTAGAGGGTGAAGGTGAAGGGTAAGGAATTAGAAGGAAAGGGAAGAAAGATCTCGATTCATCATCGGAGCAGAACCAAGCGGATCCATGGATTCGTAAAACATAATCTCGAATATACAAGAAACAGGGAGTCACAGTAATCAAGGAGTCCCCATATGAATCTCTGGAGAAGAAACACTCGTCTGCTCCAACACCACAGCATAGAACTTGCCCTCCTCACCCGTATCATAATACGGTCCAGCAGACAACACAGCCCTGGCAAAGTACATCAGTAAAGGAAAAACCTTGGAAGCAACCAGTCCATGGACATACCACCCCTTATACTTCGGCTGATTGAAAATATCAGTAAACACCCTCAAGACGCGCAGTGGCAATTCCAGAATCGAAGGCAGCTCCGGCCCATCGCCGCAAATGGGCAGTCCGAGCTTGTTGACGGGGACATAGACTTGTTCCGTCGCGTTGGCGGGACGCGTCTCCTGGAAGATGAGGAGTCGGCGCGCCCCGTGGCTGGCGGCGCCGGGTCCAATGCTGGCTGAGTGGCGGTTGGAGCTGGCGCTCATGTTCATGTTGGCGTGCAAGGTGCGGAGAAGAGTCTTGCGCAGGTCTTGGCTGGCTCGTCTGGGGTTTGGAGAGTTCAGGTTGGCTGTTTGGTTTTTTTTCCAAGTTGTGGTTTTTGGCGTGGGCGGGACGTTATTCGGCGCGTACCTAGGTAATCTCTTCGTTGTCTTGTGCTAGGTTTTTGTTTTATCCGTTACTTTTCTACCTATGTAGGTACGGATGGTTGACTCCTTGATTTATCGCTTGGTGGGGGATCGCGGGGCAGTGCGGATTCACGATACAAAGTCATTTTTCATAGATTAAGATAAATCGGCTATATAGAACGAAGATCATAGACTGGGTATCACAATGTCACCAAAGAGAGAAAAACGAGAAAAACGAGAAAAACGGCAAAAAGAACGCGCTGATGCGATAAATCATGACATCCATGCGGCATGGCAGATGGAACTCCAAGGCACGAGCTCGAGCTCGTGATCAAGCATCAAGTTCTCCATCTAGGACTCTCCGCGCAGCATCCAGACGGCGCCGAAGCACACGCACAACCTTGTCGTCGGGGTTCGGAGAAGTCGTGATAGCCTGCAGATCGGTACAGACGCGCCCCAAGCTGCTGAAGAGCGCCTCCAGCATCTGAGTATCATCGTCGTTGATGCCGCCTACGGTAGGAGTGCTGGATGCAGCGCGCACAGTGGATACAAGAGACGAGACGAGGGCGGTCGGCGTCGCGGACCCGGCTGTCGTGGCGGATGAGCGCCCATCGACGCTGGTCAGACCGTTGGCGGCAAGATCGCCATTACTGTCGCGGGGCCCACGAGGGGTCGCGGAACGGTCGCCCTCAACCTCGATCTCTTGGATGGGGCTGGGTTGGTGGCTGTGAGCGTGGGAGGGGTGAGAGTTGGATTGGGATCGGGAATGGCTGTGGGTGTGGCCGTGTCGAAGTTCTGACAAGAGTTAGTGGGTGTCTAGAGCTGGGATTGGGGGTACGAACCGTGATTGAAGCGTCGGTCCCAGTACATCACGCTGTCTATGTCGTCCTCGTCGGGCCTGCCTTCAGTGGCTGTGGCGAAGGTGGCTACGGTTGAGTCGGACATGTTGCTGTTGGTGCGGGAGTGTCGCACTGGGTATGAAGGCCTGGTTGTCTCCACGGATCCATTCGAGCTGTTGCTCACGCGGCGGAGCTGCTGGGTGTAATTGCCCAAGGCGCTGTGCAGGATGAAATGTTCATAGTCGAAGGCATCCTCGCGCATCTCGTGAGGTGTCGCGTCCTGGGGAATGTCTGGGAAGGCTTCTGTGTCGCTCTCCAGGTCCTCGTCGAGTGGTTCCCGCAAGATCTCATCCAAAGCTTCGCGGTCGATTTCATCGTAGTCACCCTCCTCGGCATCCTCGTACATGCTCTCGCCGACAGATTGGGTGTCATCATAGTCGACGGGCTTAGTCTGCTGTTGCCCATGGCCAGGATTTGGCGAGTCGCCCGCGATATTCTCGTCCGAGTCGCGACGAGCTTGAGCGGCTGCATCCTTGGAGGGCTCGCGCTGAGGATCAGATCCCCTGCTGCTTTGGCCTTCTCTGAGCTCCAGCGCATTGGCATACCAGTTCTCAGCGGCCGACAATGGACTGGGAGTGCGCAAACTCTGCAGACTGCGCCGCCGGAGATTGTCCTCTTGGGTCTTCACCTTCAACGAGGAGATCTTGATATGAAGACCCTTCATCTGGTACTGAAGATCGCGAACCTGCAGTTGCGACTGAGCGCGACTCGGGGGGCCAAACGAGCTGTAGACCGGGCTAAAGCTTTCCGGGCTGGATTTAGACCCCTCATCTGAAGAAATACCCAATCCCTGTGGAGAATCCATAGGGTTCTCGGGTATGGAGACTGGAGAGTGCGTGTGGATCTGGGGGTCTTCCTCCTGCACCTGAATCGGGGGTTTGATCGACGATATAGAAGAGCGATGGGTGAGGTACGCCCGAGTAGGTGCATACTGGAACGATCTATCATCTGTGTGAAGACTGGCATGGCTACTGGTGCCCATTGCACTGACCGAACGCGACATGCGCTTCGGGTCATTCAACAGACTCGACTCAGACGGGATATTCGTCTCCGAATGCACCCTCGAATGGCGATTATTCGTCGTATCCTGCGACGCGATAAGCGACTGGCGTCTCAGGGAAGAATTCCTCGGATCCGTCTTCGATATCGATCGATATAGCCCCCCGACCGGCTGTTGTTTACCCAACGGCTGAATATAGCCCGAGTTCGAAGGCGACGGCGAAGACGAAGAGCGCGTCGTTGATCTCGCGCGTGTCAAATTCCCTTCCATAAGCTGCCCAGAGACCACATTAGCAAATCCTATCATCCATAACCAGAATCCAACATACGTTCAGTCTCTTTTTCGCGTTCTCCAAAATCCGCTCCGCCTCGCTGCTCAATATCGCAGATGTGAACTCCTCACCAGGCCCCTTGCCCTCTGCAGCTGCAGACGCCACAGCACTGCTCGCCGGTAAGGTAGCAGGTCCAGCCCCGACGACGGCGTTCACCTGTGCTCTCGCGACTTCGTGCACGGCCGAGACATCGCCAGACTCAGGGGTCTCCGACGCGCGACGACTCCCCGCACTAATCGTCGAGCTGGAGCTGCTGTGCGCCGCATTCTCCTTGTCCTCCTGTCCTTGCTCTGCGTAGCCGCTGGTGTCGTCGAAACTCTCCGACCTGGCAGGCGATAGCTCCTCGCCGATATCTGACAGGCGACGGCTAACGTTCACGTCGTCGTGGGTCCAGGCATGGCGGGAAAAATTTTTCTTCTGTCGAGGGATGGCGGGGGCATTGTCGTATTGGCGGTTGATATTCGCGAGGTAGGCGAGTTGGGGTGGGGAGGGTGTTTGGGATTGTCGCTCGCCGTCGAAGGGGAGGATCATGTCCGGGTTGGTCAACGTGAGTGAGGGCATCTCTGCTTCTGTTTCTCTCTTTCTCCCTCTGTCTCACTCACGTAGACCCAGTTCCAAGGTTGGTTTGCGATGTAGAGAAGAGGTAGGAGAAAAGTCAAGACACAAAAATGAGGCCCAATCCCGTCTACCAGAGTGTACAAGAGTGTAAGCTCCCCTTAGATTGCACTTAGCGTGTGATCATTACCTCTTTGGGATTCGCCCATGAAGATATTCCCACCGGCGAGGAATGGCGGTTTTAGCCTGGGACTACTGGCCAGTGTTCACTAGTCGTAGTTTAACTCGTTTTGAGTACAGACTGGACAAGTGACAGCTCACATTGTGTATGGGAATAAGGTTAGTGGTTTCATAGATGCAACGGGCCGGCAAGGGTCTCTAGGCAATCGCCTCATAATACTCCGTAGACTACAGCCTATACGGAGTAGAATACTCCTAATAAATACTCCGAGTCCTCTACGAAGTACATAGGTACAGTACTGTAGTATAGTACTGTACTAAACCCCTGAATTCGGTCTCGATCCGTAGAAGCTCCAGTTCCACTTGTGGAGAATGCAATTTCGGCTGAACACCTTGATCACCATACGGAGTACGGAGTAAACTGAAACGAACTGGAACACGAAATTGAAGGGAAATAAATTGCTGCTTTTGTTGTATACATAATTACACAATCTCTTAGATCTTCGCCAGGAGGAGCTTAGCACCACTGCTCGTGGGGCTAGGCTTCTTCTTACCATCCTTCTCAACAACCGACGCCGAGGCCTGCTCCAGCGCCTTCTTGTTCTTCTTCAACGTCTTGAGCAGCTCACTCTTCTTCTCAAAGTCCTCGGACTCAGCCAGCGCAACAATGACGAAAGGATTGGCCCCAGTCGCCCAGTCCATAACCTCATCCTTGATCTGGTCGTAAAGCACACCGTGGAAGTTCAGCGCGGGCTCAACCTTCTCAACGCTCTTGGTCGCAGCGTTGAAGCGGCCACCCTGCACGAGTGACTTCAGGAGACGACCGGCGTGGGCAGTGTCCCGGGCTTCGGTGTGCTCCTTGGCAGCCTCGGCCACGGCCGCCAGAGCGGCGGTCTTGTCGCCGTCCGCCTCGAACAGGACCTCGGAAAGGAACTGGCAGCCGAAAGTGGTCTCGAGAAGAGTAGCGGCGCGGGCGGCAATGAACTCAAGCAATGTGGGGGACGCAGCCTTGACGAGCTCCAGGCGACGCACGTTGGCATCCTTCTTGGAGGTTTCCTTGCGAACCTCGCGGACTTCCTCGAGGACCTTCTGGTCCCCTTCGGGCAGGAGCCACTTCACGCGCTCGCCGGCAAAGGGATATAGTACGGGAATACGGGCAGTCAGGTCATTGACCTGGAAGCAGAGCTCTTCGTGACGGGCCTCCTCGGAATCATTCTGGTTCAAGAGCTCGGGGAAGAAAGACTTGGAGCTCAGCTTGGTGTCGTCAATGACTTCGTAAGCGGCAAGAATGACCTGGTGACCGTGAAGGTCGCCAGCCATGGCCTTGACGGTATCACGGTAGAAACGGAGAAGCAGCTTGCGGTCCTTGGCGTTGGCGTAGGCAAAGGACAGAGACATCAGGCGAGAACCGGACTTGGTGAAAGCCAGGTTCTTGACCAGATCACCCTCCTCGTCACTCTTCAGCAGCTCGATGAATTCGTTGGCCTCGTTGCTTCCGGGTTTCGTGTTAAGGAAGTACTGCAGCATGGCGTCGTGGAGCATGGTGAAACCGGTGCTCTTCTTCTGCACCAGCTGGTTGATCATCTCGCGCAGGTAGTTCATAATAGGTCCACGCTTCTCGGGGTGGGCTTCGAGAATCTTGGTCAGGTCGGAGGATGTCTCGCCCTCGTTCTGGAAGATCACGAACTCGGGGCCGTACCACTCACGCAGAAGGCGGTCCTTCTGCGCCTTGCTGGCGACCTGTCGGTAGATATCGTCGAGAATCCATGAACCCTCGGCGTGGCGAATGAGGCGACGAACGTTGCCGTAGAACTCTGGAATAATCAAATCGCGGGTCTCCTCGTCTCCGTGGACGATCAACTTTCCAACCAAGAACTTGGCGTATCGGCTCTGCGCCAATTCCTTGTAGGTACCCTTCAGCTCGTGGGCAATCAGCTTGCGCTGCTCGAGGTTTCCGTACTTGAGCGCAGTCTGGATAACTCGGACAGAGTCGTGCTTGAAGACGAAATCGCGGACTCGGTTGGTAATGATCTCAAACAGCTCCTTGACCAGCTTCTTCCTCTGCTCCAGTGGGACGTGGGACTTGCGGCGCAGCTGCTCCCAAAGCTTCTTGGACCGGGCGACGGTGTCGGCATTGGGCTTGGCGGCCTTGCGCTCTTGCTGGAGCGCCTTTTGCTTGATGTGAGACTCGCGGGAGTTGTCTGGAAGCGCAAGGCGATTAGTGACAGCCTCATCTCGAGACAGGGCAAAATCTTACTGTTGGGGTTCTTGGGAGGGTCTTTCTGTTCCTGTTCGTCCGACTCGGGCTCCTCCTTATCGCTGGCATCCTCCATCTCAACGTCTTCGTTGTCTGAAAGGGCATCAAGGGCATCAATATCTTCGTCGGAAACATCGTCGATGTCAAAGTCGTCTTCGTCGTCGTCCTCGGACTCCTCCTTCTGCGCCTTCTTGGAAGGCTTCTTGTCGCTCTTGCTAGACTTGGAGTCCTTCTTGGAAACCTTTGATGAAGAGCTGGACTTCTTCACGGGCGCTGTGGGCTTGGACTTCTTGGATGCGGAACCTTCCTTGGTCTTGCTCCGCTTGCCATTGCGCTCCTCGCTGCCGTCGACGGCACGCTTCAATCCAGCCATGATTAATGAATCGAGTGACTGTTGGGTATCTTGAAACAAATAAAAAAAAACCGTGGTTGCGAGCGGAGAATGCTCGATGTACTGGGAGATAATTTTTTTTGGTCGCAGGCGGAGGAAGTTTTTTTAGTTTGCATCGTTTGCACTGATAAGATAGTCGCGAAATCTACAAAATGGCTGCCCTGGAGGGCATGTCCAAGTAGATCGTTGGAATTAACAAGTCTTCTGCAATTCTTGCAAACTATATGGTCTAAATATTCGGACGTTTAGTGCATTCATTACAAAATACAATTTACCCTTGGGCCAACTTCCGACCTCAAAGCAGACATTACCCCATATCCATGGATGGAGTACAGGATGAAAATCATCGGAAAATCAATGTATAGTGTCTGCAAAGGTCCGAAGCTACCTAAGTAGTTTCGGAACACCCCAATCAGCCATAGTGCAAACACAAAGTATGGTATAGAGAATCTGCGTAAATATGCATTATTCCATAAGATGTACACACCAGCCGAGGCAGCACTCTATAAGCCAAGTGTACAAGTAAAGCGATAGCCATGGTGAGATGGATCTATGCAGCATCACCATTGACATCAGCCAGGCCCCAGATTAGAATATGACTCAACCCGAGTGTGTTCAACAGCACTCTCAACTCCAAACGCCACCAGAAAGATCAGCAACACTCGAAATCATCACTCAGTCGCTATGACTGATCCTCGACTGTGACAGCAGGAGGCACTTTCATAGATCCAAGTTCCGACCCGACACCACTCTGGCCGCGCTTGCGGCCGGGGATGTGGAATCCAAAAGACGTCGACGATTTCGCGGCCGGCTGCGCATCGTTGGAAGAATCACCAAACCTAGAAAGGAATCCTTTCTTCTTGGGCTTAACCTCATCGGTGAGCCCGACTTCTTCGAATGTTTCCTCTTCCATGGGATCCGGCTTGGTGAAGCTGGTCGAGTGAGTGCCCGATGGGGTTAATCGGGAGCACCGCGAATCAAGAGAAGTCCGAGAGGGTCCCGATTCTGGGTGTATGATGGGTGAGCGAGCGGAGATATCCTAGATCACGCATGGGATGTCAGGGTTGGATGGTCGAGTGTGGGCTGCGGGGACATACAAAGGATCGACGGTATGAGTCGAACGATTCCCGAGATATGGAGAATGGTTCGTTCTCGTCAACGAGGTCGCGGTGGTTAGAGGACTTGTTCGATCCGGGGTACCGGCGCCAAAAGCTCGGTCTCTCCGGGGGAGAAGGCTATATCAATTAGTAGGTGGCATGCTTCTGGTCCTGCAGACCGTACCGGGAGGTAGACTCCGCCGTCGCTGACGACTGTAGAGGATGTTAGTTATTTATTCTGCCGGCGCATTACAAGGCCACTAGGTAGGCGATCATACCACTCAATTTGTACTCGGTGGGTTCATCCTGGCTGTTCCGAATGGGGATCGGGGCGGGACCGGGAGAGAGATGATTCTCATCGTAGACGGCGGGGTCTTCGGGGTTCGATTGAGGCTTGCGGCCGAGGAAATTGCGAAATGGCGGCATGGTTGACAGAGTGAAGAGGTTCTCCAGATCTCAGAATGGAGTCCATCAGCCGATCCCCTCAGTCTACGTCACTACAAGTCCCGTCGGCCAATCACGCTACAATGGGCAATTCTCGTTGCTTTCGGTCCTGATCCGGTTCCTGAACAACCTCATGTCCTACATATACTATACTAGTACAGTATATGATCTGCATTCATGATAGATTCCCTCCAGGGCTGTGATCAGGGCTGCCCACATCAGTAACTTCTGTCAAGTCCACAATTACCAAGGCCTTGGTACTCCCGAGGTCGACGATCTATACGGCATTGGGATCTACCTCCGACATATATACCTGTGGTAAGACTGGGCAGGCTCAGTCTTGTACGTACCTAGGTACTATTACACGAACAATGCACCGGCATAAGGCTGAGAACCACATCGATTCCATCAATTACCATTCCAAGGGAATAATCCTAAACAATAAAGCTACAAATACCACATAACTACTAGCGCAAGGAACCTAGCGGAACGCCGCAAACACCCAGGAATCAGCAAACCACCATTTTTTTTGTGTTTCTAGCTTTTCCTTCTGATTTCAGTGGGCCATATCCTCGTCATGAAAAACGTATCCACCCCAGCAAATAAACTCCATAGACAAACCAATCCCGGAATCCACCGATATTCTCTGGACACCCCTAGCCGAGGACGGGGTTGGCCTGCTGCATGCATTTCGCTTAGATTTCGTATTGACAATTCTCACCAGCACCTGAGCTTCACGGGAAGGCAAGATCAGTCAAGCCCTCCTTTTTTCAATTTGTTGACCCGACTAGGTAGCGTTGCTGGGCTCGAGAAGATTGGCACTGTGGTGACAATCAAGAGAGCGCGAGTCGGAGGGGTCAAAGACAGCGTTCTTGCGCTCATCAATAAAGTAGGCTAGAAGGGGATATGTCAGTTCAGGAGCCCTGAGAGATCGTTGAATAAGACTTACTAGTAATTTGGATCATGTCAAACCAACGAACCGCATGCTCGTCACTGCCATCAATTGCCTTCAAGATCCCATTGTCGGGACGGAAGGTGGCCTTGGGTGGGATGTGGCGCATGCGCAGAAGCATCTCCAGGATGTTGGAAAAATGCTCGGACTGGCTGAAGTAGTAGGGTGGGCGCTTGTCAAGAGGCCACTGGAAGTCATCGTTAGTAAGGGTATGATGGTAGACCGACCGAGGGTGACTTACACGCTGGGCGAAGTTCTCGTTGTCCCAAGAGCGGAAGAGCCAGCAAGTACGCTCGACGCAGTTGAGAAGAATGATAGCGACGATGAAAGTATCAAACCAGCCACACTTCTGGCGCTGGAGAAGTCGACGCTCCAAGTCATTGATGACGAACTTGCTCAGCTGCGAAGCCCGCTTTTCCATGGCAGCGCGGAGCTGGCTGCACAGAAGTCCATACGACTCTGGGTCAGACACCTCTTCGATGGGCAAACGACCCTCATCGGAAGGCTGGGAAAGGGAGTGCAGGGTGTTGGGAGGCAGGGTGGGGTTGTAGTAGGTCTTCCAGGTGAGTTCAGTGTCGACGAGGATATGAGTGGCGACCCAAAGCTCCAGAACACGCTCCAAGAGGATGTCCTATCGTGCTGTTAGCATGTACCCGATGTTTTGGTGTTTGGCTGACATACCTTCTTGGTTTGGTTGAGTTCGGCAGCAAGCAACAAGGTAGGCTTCATGAATGGCGAAGTCTCTCGCTCATAGAAATAGGAAGCGTTCTTCTTGATGTACATCTCGAGCTTGCTAGGGATGTCATCGGCATCGGCATCCAGCAGATAAACTTCCTGCAACGAGCCAGAGAATTGATCGTCACCCAAGGCTTGCAGTTGTGGATCCAGGGCAGACACCGATGGACGATGACCCTGAAGTCCACTGAAGGTCATGAAGGAATTACTCTCCTCGAAATGGGTCACTTCGATGCGGCCGGAGTAGTGCTCAAACTTGACCTGGTTCTTAATACTGTTGGTGTCATGGTAGGCGAGGGTGGAATTAAGATCTGGGAGTTGCGTTAGGACTTGAGCCAGAAAGAGGGGAGAAAGAGAAATTGACATACTAGCATTGTAAAGCTCAAACTCGTCCGAAAGGCGGGTGCGCAGGCACGGGTGTTTCCACAGGCGGGCGCTTTCCACGCTAGCGCACGTGGTGCAAGGGGTATCGCCGGAGCACTGATTTCGTCAGTCATCTTCCTGTTCATGTTGCCTTCACTTCGACTTACAGGTTTCTTGAGCATACGGCAACGAAGGCAGGCACCCTTCTTGCGGACATCTTGAACTTCACGTCGTCGTTCTGCGGTGAAGCGACCCCGAACCTTAGGCTTCATGGGCTTGGTGGAGTTGCCGAATTCATTGACAAAACCTTTGGCTTGAGTGTTCGGGTTCATCGCAATAGGACGGGGGTATGAGGCGGCGCGCTGGGTGGCCGCGGTCAAAGAAGGATCATGCTCTGCCAAACTGTCAAAGAGAAGCTGCTCGTGGGTAGACAGTTGGTTCGGGTTCCACTGGCCGAGTTTGATGCCATCCGGTCCCATACTATCACCGTCCATTGACAAGCCCTGGGGGACCATCTCATTCGCAGATGCTGCAATCATCGACAATTGAGACTGGCGTGCATTGGAAGTGGATTCGGGAGACATGGAGGTATCGCCAAGAGGGGGAGAAATGGATCCGTGGTGCTCATTGGGAGTGTGGCTTGGAAGAGCAGGAATGCTAGGAGCATTGGACGATTGGGGAGTTCCTGCACACCCGTCAGTGATCAAGCGTCTGCAAGAAAATAATACCAACATACCTTCGGCATGGGCCGCGCCCTCAATCTGAGTGTCGGATCCTTGCGCTTGTCCTTGGAACCCTTCGGCTTCCAGCGCGGGGTCAACAATCACGGTCTTGCCGCCAGCAGTCACAGACTGAGTGTATCCAGGTCGCTTGGTCACGTCAGAAGCGCCAACCTGTCGCGACGCCTCAGCTAACACGTTGAGGCCGTCAAAGTTCTGTCGATTGGGGAAGCCACCCTCTCCCGCCTTTCCCTTTCCATTGGGGGAATCTTTGTTCGACTCGGCATCGGTCAAGTCGGGAAAATCGTGGAGTCGCAACAAGACGCGTTGACGGTCACGGAGGGGGATGGCCTGGCACTTCTTCACCAGGTGATTGGTCAGGCTATCGATGCGACCCTTGGGGAATACTTCACCACAAGCCTTGCACGTGTGTTGGTATCGATTGCTCGCGTCTTCGAGCTTGGGGCCCCGGTGAAAGAACTCCAGGATAAGTTGGTTAGGTTTACGGCCCATGGTGACGGTTCTTGGGACGTGTATTGGGGACGTGACGCGTGTCGATCAAATTGTCCACGAGGGTACACGATCGACTGGAGGAACCAGGGTTGTTGTTCCCAGTGAACGTTTATCCCACCTTGGTTCAAGACCACTGTGTGGACCTCCGGACCGGAGATGATGGTGGGACGGAGAAAAACCACGTACACAGTCGCGAGGACTGGCAGGTCCTGGCAGCCAAGATTCGGCCCAAAGCCTCTCAGAAGAAAGACTCAAGATGAATTCAGAAACAAATATCACGATGATCGCGATGAATGTGCGGGCAAAACATAGGCGGTAGAGGGGCGGTCTGGAAACGGAGGCGCGATGATGGGGTTCACCGCACACGAAAGGCGGTGGTGTTGAGAGATCTGAGGCGGTGAATGCCTCAGTAAGTGAGGGCGGTGGAAAAGGTCAAGTGAAGTGAGGCGGTGAAAGTCAGGGTGGGGGGACCAGGGCGAAAAAGAGAGGGATAAATGAGGCGGTGCTCACTAAGCCACAGTCTGAATACCAAGCCACAGTCACTGAGGGCGGTGGAAGAAGGAAATAAAGAAAAATTGAGGCGGTGGGGAAATATGTAAACCACAATTAGCGAATGAACACGAGAATCAGGAGGGCGGTAGCGGAAAGCTAGGATTTGATTGGGCGGTGAGAGTGAGTGATAGGTGAAGTCCACTGGGCCCCGGGGGTGTCCAGGTGCGTTCTTTGGCGGTGAAGAGAGTAAACAGTGATAAACTAGTAAACTGCCCAGGTGGTTTAATCCTCATCTCCGTGCGACATGCAGCCTTGGACTAGAATGAACTTCAATCATACACGGGTTTTATACTCAATTCCGTGCGACATGCAGCGGCCAGGATGTATGTGCATGAACTACTAGGTAGCTCTCGGCCAGGATGCATGTGTATCAGCTAGCTTTCAGCCCTACACAGTACACCGTGAACCCAGCGGCCCCGGGCGAGAGGGTGAGGAATCCCCTTACAATAACAGCCCTGAATGCATCGGCCTATAGGAAGTCTGCTTAGGAAAATCCTCACTCGCATGAAAGACTTTACCAGGTATCAAATCTAAAGAAGGGGGAGGAGGGCAAAGTTGAAAAAACGATCACTGAGTGTTCCATTATTCAGTTATTCAGGTTGTGAGAGACGACCGTAAGTGTGAACTTTTTCAATCCATAATGCAGAGATCGCCTCTTCCAAGGTTCGAGCTGCATTCCAACCTTAGAAGGTTATCGCAACACGACATGATAGTGATAACGCGATTGCTGGCCTTGGAATACCTATTGTCGCACATTGAAGACAGACTATATTAACCCCAGTGAAAATGCATTGGCTCAAGACTGTGTTGAATCATGGGCATTAAAAGGCACACCCCCGAATTGAATAGGGCCATCAACAGATTCGGTGTTCAGGAGGTCGCCAGGGCACGCCTAGCACAGCAAAGATCCGACGTTCATCGCGTCCTTCGACCAATCGACCAGAGTTCAGCTTCACATGGCCATCCCGTAGCACATCAGTATAGAGACCCCGCTGGTTCAAACACATGCCTTTCTTCCTCGCCAACAATCTCATGCTCCGGTTGAATATGTCATTTCCAGTGAAGTATACCAGCGCAGCGCCGATTTCCGCATCAGGAACAAACAGCAAATCTATACGCCGCCACAGGTCAGTACCAGGCAAAGCCGAGGCACCATGCCATTTAGAGCCGTCCTGATATGCTGAGAGGACAAGATTAGCTTTCAAAAATCCATCATTAAACAGTTGAGGGACAACCAGTTCTAGCATCACAGTACGAATCTGGTCAAGCGTTGAGCCAGGCTTGGTGATGAGACAATCGACATCACCGCAGGTAAGTGCCCCGCGACGGTAAGAGCCTGCGACAATCACCTGCATATCCTTGTCCACACTTTGCACAGCTTGTCTCACGATTGCGCCGTGGGATTCAACCTCCTTGCGTGGAATTCTCTGGGCAAAGTCATTGTAACGCTCCACCCCGATGCGCTGTTGCTTGGTGAGAGGGGCCTTCTCCAGTAGATCGGCCAATGATCTGTATCCTTGTGCAACCCATCTTGAAGCCCGAGAAAGACCGGCGCCGTACACGCCGAGGAATTTCTGCACTATCAGGTCCTCGGGGCTGTTATTTGCGTTTTCGAGACGTCGGAGGCGATTGGTCAACACAATCTCTTCGATCTTGTCAGCCAATCTCCTTCCCACACCGGGGATAGCCCTGGCCTGCGCCTTGGTGGTGATCTTTTTCTTCTGCTTCCTCAAAGCTGCAATTGCTCTTCGGTATGCCATTATCCGCCATTGATCGGCGTTTCGGGTATAGTAATCGAGCATTTGTTGCAGTATGTCGATGGTTCCACTGTTCGGACTTTTGTCGTTCCCAGCTGGCTCAAATTGCTGCATGCAGGCGAACCCTTTTGTCCAGTCAGTGTTCTCACCATGCTCTGTTGTTTGAGATTTCGGTAATTTATGGGTTGGCTCATCTGAGCCCGAGGAATCGGTCTCGGTATCCACAGCATTTTCATCATCTGGAGACTCCGTGAAGTCCAAAGGCTATCCAACACTTTAAGTTACCGTGCCTGATCCCAATGATAGAGGCGGACTAACCAGATGGCTTGTAGCTTTGGCTTCGTCTATGATATCATCCAGAGCATCGCGCTCCCATTTACCTTTGGCTATGCCTTGTTCGCCCTCCGTCTCTTTGGATGACGAGGTCAAGTCTTGGGGGCTGCGCGCATGCACGCTGCTCACGAAGGCCAACCCCGACGAGTGTGAGTGAGTTTCTTCATCCTGCTTCCGGGTACGAGGAGGTGGAGCTTGACTAGCAACGGGAGCTTGGATCAACTGAGATACAGGACCCTGTTGAGCGGAGTTTTCATCTGGACCACGCTGGCAGTCATCATCCGACCTTCTTGGATACTGAAAGTTTTCGAATTCCACCGAGCCTTGGTTGAGGCTCTCGGACAAAGGATTCAAAGTAGCATGCTGTCGTGTCGGGACTTTCTGCTCCTGCTTCTGAGAAATCAAGGGAGTCCCTTCCACACGGAACCGCATCTGGGCGTGGTTAAGAAGTGAGTGGAATTGAATGCACTCAGAAGGGTAAGATTCATTGACGACGACAACATTCGCCTGCCTCTCAGTTAGTGGGAGTAACTGTCATCTTGGGACTTCACTGACGGGCAATTCTGCTGTCTTCATGTGAGTTCGAAGGTCACTCGCTTGCAAACCCCGGTCAAGAATCGCATGCGTGACATCGTCTGTCCATTCACGACACCACTGAGCACCGTATTCTTGTGCTCGTTGGATTCGCAAGCGTCTGAAGGGAGATATGTCGTTATTTGGTAGAAAGACTAGGCCAAGTAGACATAGAGGTAAGTTGGGACCAATCGAGTTTTGTTCAGTGAGTGCTTACAAAATACCAAGCCCTTGAATATCTGATGGCTTTCGGGTATGACCTTCACATTGGTGATCCTTCTTCTCTTCGAAGGTGGTCCAATAGTCTTGGGCATGGTCTCGGTCGATTCGGGTCGATTCAAAAGCAGATGCAGTGTAGGCGAGGCACTTCTGAGCAGGTTGCACAAAGGAGGTCCCGAGTCAGCAAGGTGCGACTAGCGCATCATCCGAAGGGAGAGCAACCTGTGTGTCTCACTGGCCTATATGTGACGATTGCATTGCCATCCATGAGTGGATTGTCTGCCTAGTTCGGTCAAGTCATAGATCCATGGATCCCATTCCGCCAGCCTAGCCTGGTACTTGTCCGCTACCGAGCGTCCATCAATCATGGCACTTTGGCGGAGTGGTTAACGCGTTGCCCTGCTAAGGCAATTCCCTCGGGAGCGTGTGTTCGAATCACACAGGTGTCGTCTCTTTTAGCTGTTTTTTGCCTTTTTGAATCACGATGTACGGAGTACGGCAAATGGAGTAGATGATATACATTCCGGGCTCCGGACACTCCGTCCATGGCTATGCGAATCCATCCACATTCGTGCCCAGAGGACTGTAGGCAGACCCACAATATGAGTACCTAGGTATTAGTACTCCGTATACAGTAGCATTCTGCCACCCAAACCTTGGAATGATTGACCCAACACGAGAAGAGTGGAATGTTGCCTAACAAATATATAGCTGCATTGAGCCTTATAGTCCCATGTCACTTGCTGTTTTGTATGAACTTGAATGAGCAAAACCTCCTCGGACCAAGTGAAGACGGTATAATTTGCTGCGAGCGGAACCTTGGAATTATCCCTCAGCACTTTTGGAATATATTTCGGCTACTTCCCGCCTTTATCAGATCAAGGCACTTTGGCGGAGTGGTTAACGCGTTGCCCTGCTAAGGCAATTCCCTCGGGAGCGTGTGTTCGAATCACACAGGTGTCGATATCTTTTTGCTCAATTTTTTGCCAAATTGCCTCTATACTTGCCTCCAGGGCCCAGAAAGCATACACAGTAGCTATTGCAGCCATGGGTCTTGATGACCCCTGAGGCAAGTTTGTAATCTTGACTTGCCGGGTCCCCCTCCAAGCCTGTGATATATTACAACAAATAAAAGTAGATCTTACTATGGAGATACTCTGAAGACCTGGACTTTCTATCGAGTAGACATTCCAAGGGTTTCTTGCTGAAATGACGATCCCAATCCTACCTAGGTATTACTTTAGACAGAGTATCTACCTGTGTCTTCGTGGCTATAGAACCCGGATGTCTTGATACATGTGAGGTCAGCATAGCATGATGCAGGTGCCCAGATGCCCAGATGCCCATGTGGGAGCTTTCTAACATCAATTCATGGTACGGACTGGAAACTCAACTCTAATTTAGAGGCCACACGCCAATGCCCTGATTCTTCACAGCCACGGACCGTCAAGCATCCATTGAAAACATCATTATTTCCTTATCCATGGACTTGTTTTCGTCCCCCAGAAGAGGCAAATGGCAAAAAAAGCAGCAAAAAGAGACGACACCTGTGTGATTCGAACACACGCTCCCGAGGGAATTGCCTTAGCAGGGCAACGCGTTAACCACTCCGCCAAAGTGCCTCATATGATTGGTCAGAATTCCCTGGGCTGGTATTCATATCCATGGATCATGGTCCCGAATAACTCACTGCAACATAGAGCACTGCTGTTAGGCCAACTCATAATCTCAATAATTGCCTTTGTAGGTGCAGATAATTTGCGTCTTCACCGTGATATATCCGTCTTCAGTTGACCTAGTCTCTGTTTCAATTGCGAAAGAACCACATTGTAACTATTCATCGATAGTTCGACATCCATGGAATCTCCCGAAGAGGAATGTCAGGTGACCGTGCTCTTCCATGGATCTTCCATGCGGTAGCAACGGAGTTAACATTTGAATATCAGCTTTTGACTACCCTCCCATTCCACAGTTTTCATCCTGCCGGTTGACAGCTAGTCAATTGAAATGTGGAAATCCGCTTTTCCCACGGCCGCAGTGGCTGATCTGTCACTCCTCCAAACTGGCCGCTGTCTAAGCTGCCAATTCCGCAACCCAGCGACCCTCACACGCCTCCGGACCACGCCATTGGCAGCGCGTCACTATGCCAACAAGGCCGAGAACACCAGCGAACCGAAAGACCCCGTCCCCGTCCTCCGGAACAGAAAGGACGAGACAAGAAATCGCCTGACGAGTGCCATTGAATTCAAACAAAACCCCGCTGGTCAAGACGGTCCCCAGCCCGGAGATGCAGACTTCGTTCCTCCCAGCCTGGACCGACCCATTGGCAGTCCAGAACCACCACAAGAAGGCCAGAACACGGGCGTGGACCCACGCTCCATGCGCCAGCGCCGCGACGATTTCACCAACTACGATCGACACATCAAGCGGCGCAAGGAACTGTAAGAGCTCAGCCCGACGTTCTTCAACGCTCTACTACGAAGTCAAATCATACTAACCATGTACAATCACAGGACGAAACAAGTCGCCAAACCCTACTTCCGCGAATGGTCCAACCTCCGTTTCGCAGAGGGCAAGACATTCATCTCGAACCCCCGTCTTTTCAAAGCAGACCGAGCTCTCTATTTCCCAAACATGCGCGGCATCACCCTGGCAAGCCCGAAAGATCCACAGGATACGACAACGCAGCTGCGCGGCAGTATCAGTGTCGTGAACCTGTTCTCGAGCGTATGGGCCGAGGGCCAGGTTGCGACTTTCACGGGGCCAGAACAGAACCCTGGCCTTGTGGAGGCTATGACTGCCGGAGGGAGGTTTGTGCAAAGAGTCGATATCAATCTTGAGGAGAACCGGTTGAAGGCATTCCTGGTGAAGAGATTCATGTGGCGGATGCGACAGAAGTTGGCGAAGGAGCAGCACTCGCGCTACTTCCTTGTTGAGAAAGGCTTTGATCAGCCTCTTAAGGAGACTGTTGGCATGATGAACTCTAAGGTTGGATATGTCTTTTTGATTGACTCCGAGTGTCGCATTCGCTGGGCTGGTAGTGGTCCGGCTAACGCGACTGAGCTGGAAGGACTTAATGCTGGCGTGCGGAAGCTTGTTCAGGAGAAGAAGGAAGCTCTTCGGGCGCAGGACCCAAATCGCAGATATTAATTATCGAGGTGAGGGCTGCCTTGATCAGAGCCTTGTGTGATATGATTCCCCACTCAACTAATTTGTACATACAAAAGAGAATGTGTATACTAGAAAGAATAACAAGTCGACGCCATAAATCCCAGGTGCAAAAGTAATCACACAGAAACCGCGAATTCCCCGTCAAGGGGGGTGGTGAGAAATGCCCTGCCGAACGCCTGATCAATCCACTCGCTAGAGCAGCAACAAACCCAGTAACGCAGAAAGCAGAAAGCAGTATAGATAGCACGCTAGCAAATCTCCAGCATCATCACTTACCGGAAGAACAGTAACATCAAGAAGCAGAAGCCAATAAAGCATCCAAGAATCATCGCATCTCTCCTCTTCTTGTTGCCAATCTTGCCGATCAGATAGTTCATACCAGGGACGTTTCCGGCAGCGCCAACAATCCGCCGATTGATGTTCGCGATAGTCTCACTTTGGATTCCGAAGTTCTCATTAATGGCGTATGCCTGACTCAGCACTCCGTCAATCATGTTATGGCTGTTATCGACTCGGCCCCGCTCTTCGAGCATGTAGTCGGCCTCGGCGGCGGCGGGGTTGGATGCGCGGTAGGAATCAATATCGGAGCGGACGTTCGATAGAAGGTTTGCGCGGTCGCGCGACTCTGCGATGGCGGACGTGAGACGGTTAAGTTCACGGCGATGGTCTTGGAGTACTTCGCGGTGTCGGGCGACGTTGTTCTGCTTGAGAGCGGAGGATGTAAGGGTGGCTTCGGAGTCAAGAAGACGGGACAGTTGGGCAATGAGAGATTCGCGCTTTGAGGATATCAATTAGCCACCGGGTCCTTATGATCTTGGTGCTCTTCGCTTTTTGGGTCCTGGGGTGATGTACTCTTTCGAGGAGGTCTTTCAATTGCGATTCGAGCCGTAGCTCTTCCTCGGTGGGTGTCTGTGGGGGCTTGGTGACCGAAGCAAATTGGGAGTATGTATGGAAGAGGTTCTCGGTCTGTTCATGGAGTCAGTTACATTGTTCACTCGCGGCCGAGATATTGGTACCTGGGTCTCGAGCGACCGGGCTTGTTGGCGGAGCTGCGTCCATCCAGAGCCAGTAGCGGACGCCATGGCTGATGAGGAGGGTAGAGAGTTCAAGTGACGAGGGAGGATTGAATCAGGTAAATTGCAACATCTACCGAGGCCGGGGTTCAACTATTTCAAGGGCAAGAGGCTGCCGCTTGTCTACGTAAGTTGCAGCCATGACGGGGTATAATCAAGCTAAGCCCGATTGGGAAGAGACACATCGTTGCGGCCTCAGGCCATTAACCATCACGTGTGTGATTACGTGACCCGCTTAGTGGCACAGAATTCGCTTAGCCCTAGTCCCACAACCAGCGCAAATTGACCCTCGGACATCTTCAATTATCAACGTCGACAACCCACATAATTCACCGCCAATATGGTACGTTTTGCTGCTAAAGTGCCCCCGGTCACAATGCTGATGAACCTCTCTTTTTTTTGCAGTCGTCCAAGGTCAAGGCTGGTCAGCTCTGGGGAAAGAACAAGGATGAGCTCGCCAAGCAGCTCGAGGAGTTGAAGCTGGAGCTCAACCAGCTCCGCGTCCAGAAGATCTCTTCCGGTGCTTCCACCAAGACTCAGAGAATGTGCGTATTCGACACCCCCGATATCCGTTGTTTTGTGCGGGAGGAACATGGAGATTTGCGGCATGGAACACAATCGAACCGACCGGGCCAGACAACGACACAACACCAATGTCGGCAATCGAATTTGTGATACGACGAGGAAGAGATGGAAATCTACGATCGACACCATGCGCACGGGATCGAGGGGCTTTTCAACAAAATTTCAAGATTTTGATGCTGACTGGAATTTTTTTTTTAACAGCGGCGAGGTTCGCAAGTCGATCGCTCGCGTTCTCACCGTCATCAACGCCAACCAGCGCGCTCAGCTGCGTCTGTTCTACAAGAACAAGAAGTACCTTCCTCTCGATCTCCGCCCCAAGCTCACCCGTGAGATCCGTCGCCGTCTCACCAAGCACGAGCGCACTCAGACCACCGACAAGCAGCGCAAGCGTGCCATCCACTTCCCTGCGCGCAAGTACGCCGTTAAGGTATGACTTTCTCACCAAATTCGGGTATCGAGTCGGTGGAATGGAACACAGTTGTGTTTCGATTTTTCGTCTTCTCGCCACCCGGGCTTGGATCCAGCAACACTTCGGAATTTCATGCTGACGACACATTGCAGGCTTAAACGCAGAACTTGTTCGGATATGGAGTTTTGTGGGAAGACGTTGCTGGCCTTGGACACGAGCAGGACGTGACGATGTGAACCTGAAAGCTTGTGAAGGGGTCGGTTTTCTCTTTTTTTTTACATCCAAAAAAATGGAATTTGATTATGTATCTAAATAGGATGCAAATCGACTCTTGACATGACATGACTTAGACATCTTCTTCTTCTGTTGGGACCCTCGACAGCCGTCAAGTCGCATGTAGTCTATATGGCCCAGATTGTTAGATCTAGGACTCGGGATCTATACCATCCCGCCTGCTCGGATTCCGCGCCAATATATCTGATCTATGGATGCACACTGGTTCTTGATCTACGTGATCTCATGTCTTGTATGGAATGTACAATCTGTTTGAGTATATTGTGGCTCCGTAGCGGATCGATGTATGCTGGATTATCCAGCACCACGGACTAGTATATCAACCAAGATATCACCCCCATCCCAATGCCCTATTCTGACAACAACTCATCAATCATCCAGATCTAGTGCGGACCATCCCCATTCCCAACTCCATTCACACCAAGATTCCCCATCTCCCCAGCATCCGTCTGGAGGATCCACATCCCCCCACAAAGACAAGATCTCAACAACCCCAGCTTAGCAATCATCTTGAACGACGAAAGCGATCTAGGCAAGTTGGTATCCCCCGAGACCTCACAGCAGCGCGCACACCTCCTCTTCTTAAGCGGTGCCATACGCCCATCACTCCCCAACGGCAAAGGCGGTCTTAGCGGACACTTCTTGAGAATATCCACCTCTCGCTGTTTCCGATACAACGCCGTTCGGCGATCATTCCCAAACCCAAGCCAGCTATAGTCACCCAGGTAGATGGCCATACGGTTGATCTCGGATTTGAGTGCCGGCACCGTCTGCCGCAGCAGGGTTGCCACGGCGGTCGTGAGAACGGGTGGGATGCGTGCGTTGACGAGAAGTTCCTTTTCGGGCCCTGGTCGTTCGGCATCGCCGAAGCCGGCGCCTTGGTAGGCGTGTTTCACGGCTGAGTCGACGCCTGCGAGGAACTTCTCGTAGACGTCTATGCGGACCGGTGAGGATTCAAGGGTTTGGCAGATCTCGGTGTAGTAGATTCGAGAGTCGCCTAGGAGGAAGGCTGGGTTTGCGGTTGCGAAGCCAGTGTGGACGCCGCGGAGGCCACGGCAGGTGAAGCGGAGGAAGGCCCGGGACATGCTGGAGAGAAGGATGAGGAGAGGGAGGGAGGTTGTGTTTTTCACTGTGTGTGTTATTTTGGGATTGTGGGTTGGAGTTGGTTTGGTCTTACGTTTCTGGGTGAATGCTTCTGGGTCATTGAAGCTGTCTTCGAATTCATCGGCCAGATCGAAGATTTCGTTGAGGAGGAAGTGGGAGAAATCCAGCGTCCACTTGGTATTGCCCAATACCATACGCAAAACGTCTGTGGTTTTTGGTCAGCCAGGGTCAAGTCGATATGGGAATCATTGGTTATTTACCTGGATCAAGCGATTCGTTTTGCCCGACTTTGTTGTACTGGAAGAAATAAGCGTATAGGACCGAGGCATGGCGAAGCTGGAGAATTCCCCAGGGCACGGCCGATGCAATGCTGCGTTGTTTGGTCCTGCCTTTGAAGCCAAGCGCGGCTTGTAAGCTGAGGCACCGAGGTATGTATGGATGGCTCATGAGTTTGTCCTGTTCTGCAGTGAAGTTGCAGTTGACAGGGAGCGCGCGATACACTTCGCTGATGAATGTAATTTGTGCCTCTTTAGGGAGCATCAGCACCGTACTTTGCTGGGTGTCAGGATAGTCGATGCACTTACCTGGTGATAATTGCCTCAGAGCGACCATGACGAGATCGTCTGTATTAGAATCTCCTCCACATCCACGGCAGAACGCTAATGTCAAGGCCGCAATGGCGGCGGAAAATTGGTCTAAATCCGATTAGCCTTCTGTTCCTGGGACCATCTTTGGTAGCACCTACTTTCATCGTAAGCGCCTTCAGTGGAACCGAAAGAGTGCTCCATCACTCTCAGCTGTGTCTGTCCGTCACTGTCCAGCGTCACGGCAACACAAGAATTGGGAGAGAAGGTGATATGGAGACCTGTTCACCGGTTAGTACTTAATTCCGAACAAGCTCAATCTAAGACGTACCCGATTGTTCGATGGGAAATTGATAGCCGGCCTGGGACAGGCAAGTCACTGTGCTCGCGTCTTCATGCCCGCTGAATGGAACCATCGTCCTCGCGTCATAGCATGTTATTGAACCATCCTCATGGGTGATGGCAAGTCCTGTCCCATACTCCACCAGCTCTACTGATACAATGTACTTGTCACAGGGGATATCTTCTAGCCTGCGCAGTTCCATTTGGGGCTAACAAGATGTCAGAGTTGGCTCGCAAGTAAAGAAATGGTCTGATGCATCTCACCTTCGCTTGAGCGTTGCTCTTCTTCGAGGCAACTTCATCGAATTTGGGATGCAGTGTCTGCGGCGCAGACTCTAGATGCCATCTGACAATGACACTTGATGGGCCAAGCTGCTCTTGGTATTCATGCGGAGCATGCAGAGGCTTCGAAAAGATAGCCAAGATCCAGGGATTGGCTGATGCCCCTGGAGGGCTCTCAACCTGCCCTGGCATGATCTCCAGTCGCGTTAATGAGTATACTGTGTTTGAGAACGATGACGAAAGATCTGGATGGTGCAGACCGCGATTGACGTCCAATATATTGCTTGGCATGTCTACTTTGCAGTGGATCAGACGAATGCTGGGCACTGGGTACTGGCCTGGTTGTTTGGCCTGTGCTGGGTCCCACTGCGGGGGGTTCCAGGTTACGTGCACCCTGTACAAGCACATTTTCTGGCATGCAGAGTATGTGGCAAGCAGAATACCAGCTGAGTCGATGAGTCAGTGAGGATAATATACAATTCAGAACCAAAAGAATCACCTTGCGTGGCCGTCATTGACGCATGTGTTAGTAACCTGTCGGAGTACCCTGTGTTGTTCAGCTCAATGGGCAGCTCGGCCCATTTACTGTCCGGATTCTGATATATCAGCTTCATCTGGCCGGCTCTCGTCACGCAGAGCAAGGCGCCCTTATTAATCGGGTGGAATGGCCCGATGGGTCGTCTGCGAAATGGCGAGTACGCCCATCGTCCATTGACCTTGGCTGCTTGGTGAAAAGAGTGGATCTAGCTTGCGGTCAGTGGTGGCCCTCTTCCGATGAACGAGCCATACGACATACAGAACGTTGGGAGTTGAGCCACATCATCCCCACGACTTGGCTTCCATCGTCCCCAGAATCAAATGCCGCTTGTCGCAGACCTGTGATGCTGTTCAGTGCAATTGAGATGGAATAGATGGAGATGCGACCAGAGCAGTCTACGACGGCCAAGTCCGAGCCTGTCTCGTTCCATAGTAGATGGGCCAGTTGGTTGCCATTGTGGGCTTCCATGACTGGGGTCAGGGGGGATTCTTCCCCGAGGACCCATTTGCCATCCGAGGGACGGCATTGGAGATAGCGGACGATCACCCGGAGCCCGTCCGCGGAAATGGATGCAATGCACCCCAATCGTGACCATGCAATCTTCCTAGGCGGGATGTCAGTTTCTGGAATGTGGAGAGCGCATGCCAAGCTTACTGGCAGCAGCCCAGTAGGCGCATTTCATCTAAACATTGTGCTAGCCCTTTGATAGGCGCTGCGGATGGCAGACCCAGTTCCAAGGAGTTGGACTCTCCAAAGAGATCATCCACATTGATGCCCTCCTCCATGATCAAGGGCATTGAGGTGATTGATAATCAATGTACTCGCTGCGCATGACTCTCTGACAATGGCGAATAGCTCACACAATCCACGTCTGACATGCAATCCTGATGCAACCTTGGAAGTGTAGTATGTATACACCAGGCTGAGTCTACTAGGTCGATGTCTGGAACTGGGAAGTACAGAGGCCCCTTAGTCAGGATGTCATGTGACGGTAGTCCTGCCAACGACGGTCAGCCAATCAGCAGCCAGGGCCACCAGCCCCCATCCGACAGGACGAATCAGCAATTGAGGTGCGAAGTGTCAATCGATGAAAACACTGCGCGTTAGCGAATCTCAGCTATACTATTGTACGGTATTATACTACTGTATATAGTCTGTTATTGTCTGCCAAGCCTCGAATCTCAATAGCCGCCAACGAGTACAACGTTACGTGCATCTTCAGATTCAGCACTGACCAAGTTTCTCTCATCGACCACACAACCACATTCCACGCTGGAATTCGCTGTCACGGCCAAAACAAAGATCCGTTTCAGGCTGTGGGATTCGTCTGCTATTCCTTTCTGGTCGCCCGCTCAAAGAGGTTCTTTGAATCGCTGACCTCATCGTCTGGGACTTGACCCAAATATCCCTCCTCTACTCCCTTTCTCCCCTTCTCCCTTTGCGCTCCGACACGTTCCTCTTCCCATTCCTTCCGGCACTCATGATTGTTTCACTCGGTCGTCTTTGATCCAGCGCTTCCCCCCGCTGCTTCTTCTCCGAATTCGCCCTGGGCATCTCTCATCTGAGCTGACCGTGTTGCGTGTCCGGGATCGAATCCAGTCACCTCCCTCGCCATGGGGTTCAACTACGACGATGTGTCCGATTGCTCCGACATCAGCTCATTAGCGTCCAACTCCCCGCGTTCATCGCCCGCGCCCGAAAGTCGGTATCCCTCCCCGTCATCCCAACTGGAGGCCGAGTTTGAGCAGTCGGCCGCTGAGAGTTCTTCTGCACGCCAAGCCCGTCCCGCAAAGAGGAGACGCAACCCACTCCCCAAGGAACGAACCACTCAATATCTCGATCTCTCCAAATCCTTGCACGAACAATGTGACCAACACCACCTACTGGTCCAAACTCTCCGCCATCAAAAAGATGTCGTCGTCATCGCAGGCGCCGGAATTTCGACCGCCGCGGGCAGTAAGTTTCTGCGTTCGGGATTCTGCCACCGTCATCTAACCCTCATATAGTTCCGGATTTCCGCTCGGGAGATGGCCTCTTCCGGTCATTGCAAAAGAAACACAACCTCAAAGCATCCGGCAAGCTGCTCTTTGATGCGGCCGTCTACCAGGATGACGCTTTGACCGCCCCTTTCCACGAAATGGTCCGTTCGCTGTCCGAGGATGCGCAAAAGACCAAGCCCACCGCCTTTCACCGAATGCTGGCCCGATTGGGAACGGAGGGTCGTCTGAAGCGACTCTACACCCAGAACATCGACGGGATCGAGACCCAGATGAAACCCTTGGCCACTGACGTTCCTCTGAATATCAAGGGCAACTGGCCCGTCACCATTCAATTGCATGGCAGCATCGAGAAGATGGTTTGCCAAAAGTGTCGCTTCCTAACTGACTTCAACCGTGATATGTTCACCGAGGCCGATCCCCCTGCCTGTGAGGAGTGTGCGATCAACGACGAAACGCGCCAGATCGGGGGTCTCCGCAGTCATGGAATCGGACGCATGCGCCCGCGCATTGTTCTTTACAACGAGCACAACCCCGACGAGGAGGCCATCACCTCCGTCATGAACGCCGACATCAAATCCCGCCCCCGTGTCTTGATCGTTGCCGGAACCAGTCTGAAGATTCCCGGCGTGCGTCGCCTCGTGAAGAGCATGTGTGCAATCATTCGCGGTCGCAGGGACGGAGTCACCATGTTCGTCAACAATGAACCCCCAAGCGGCAAGGAATTCGACGACTGCTTCGACCTGATTGTTCAAGGATCCTGCGATGAAGTAGCCAACCAAGCGAACCTGAAGTGCTGGGAGTCCAGCGACAGCGAGCTTTGCGAGTACGAGTCCTCGCCCGAGCCCATGCCCCAGCTCGCCAGTACCCTCAAGACCCACACGCGCCCTACTTCCAATGTTGCGGTGGTCATCACGCCCTCCAAGAAACGCACCCGCGACGTCACCGGTCTCCTGTCGCCATCTTCTGGTCCAGACGAGCAGCCCGCGAAGAAACGCGCCACGAAAGCGATCAACCCCAAGGCAACCAACAATCCAGCCAGCAGAGGTCGCTCCATCGGGGAGCTTCTCAAGAACCAACCCAAGGCTGCGTCGAAGACGTCTAGCGCACCCAAGTCCGCACCCAAATCCGCACCCAAGTCCGCGCCCAAGCCCGCCGCCAAATCTACCGCCAAAGCTGCTGCGAAGAAGCCCGCCGCTACCACTGCTGCCGCGAAGCGTGGCAAGAAGGCACCCGCTCCTGTCAAACCCAACACCACCATCACTGCATTCAAGAATACCCGTGTCACCAAAAACTCCCTCGCCGCAGCTACTTCCGACTCCAAGCTTTCCGCCAAGATCATGTGTCCTGTCCTTCCCGGAGATCCCAAGAACAATGGGACTTTGGATATTCCCGCGATCGACTCCGAGGGCAAGCCGGGCAAGACAGATATCAACATCCACTCCATTGCTTCAATTGTCTCTTCATAACTTCTAACGTCAGGGTCATTCTCACGAATTGATATCTCGATCTCAATTCCCGATGACCGCATGTTCACGACATCATGCATGGTTTTCAAATGGGCGTCTTCGGTGTTGGTCTGCTTGCCTTATCTCACTTTTTTTCTTTCACTTTCATACTTTCTGGGACTATGTACTCCTACTTTCATCGCTGGTTTCTCTGGATGATGTTTACTGTCCTCTTTTCGAAAGATACCACTGATAGACAGTTTTGTTTTCTGCATGGGTTGGCTGGGGCGTTTTCTGTTCAAGCATGGGCTTGTTCATGACTGGTTCATTTGCTTTTCTCCAGGGTTGTTATCTTAACCTTCATCTTGCTGGTGCATCTTTGTATTGGCCTTCGTGTTCTATATTATGCCTTCAATGAGGTGCTGTATCGTTTAATTCATCTTACTCGGTCTGACTGGCTGTCTGTGTTCTGGTAGCTTCGAGTGTTTCGGCGTAGGCTTCAAGACTTTACCTAGTACCACGCGGTGCTGGACTTGAGCGCACTGGGCTGTTTCAACCTTGAAATGTTGATATATTTGTGAGGTTATGTGTGACACTCTTTTATGTCGTTCAAGGTTGAGGCCTCAAGTGCTGTCAGTAGCGTTTGCTACCAGGTTACCCCAAATATATTCCCCGCAGGCATATATATCACCTTGAGAGCTGATGTTGTATACAAGTCAACTGAAACAGAATCCATTTATCATTATTTATATTGTACAACCTTGAACCAGGGACAAAGGTATATTCCCCGTTCTTTTGCCATCAGACCACTCATGGATATATCGTAGACACGACCATATCGACTTAAACCCAACCTCGAAACTCAGGATTCTCAAGTTGAGCCTAGCCCAAGGTTCTCCCTCAACTGACTAGCAGGTCCATCATCCTCATCCGTCTCATCAGCATCAGGGTCATAAGGACCCTTCTTAACACCAGGCTCCCGATCCAGATCCTCCACAACCTCAAGATCATTCTCACGCGGTCCATGATCAACCTCCTCTTCCTCAGCTTCCTCCTCCTCTTCTTCCTCCTCCTCATCCTCAGCCTCCTCTTCCTGCGTCTCGTCCCCTTCATCCTCCCCACCACCAACAGGCTGACTCTCTTCATCCCGCTTCACCTTCTTCGCAGGATTATCAATCATCTCGACATCTCCATCCTCGGTCGTCCCTGTCGCATCCTGCGTAGATCCATTCACATCGGACTTCTTGGGCTTGCGCTTCCCAGCCTTGATCTCAGTGTAAGCTTCTAGTTCCTGCTCGAGTCTGCCGCGGAATGAGTCCAGCTCCAGCTCGGAAAGTGCATTGAAGACATCTGCTGGGGCGATCGTGCGTTTCAAAGTTCCGTCGTTGGCTCTGGTTGATTATTAGTTCATGTGAGTCTGGATAGATGGCCGAATGTAGCAAATGGATTTGGTCCGCCTTATAGAAGGGCGGGCATATCCATAAAGTCGAGGATGTGACGTACTGTGAAGAAAGGTATGAGACAAAGACTGTAGCAGCCTTCTGCATGGCCAGTAGGGCATCCTTCTGGACTGTTGTATTAGGAGGGAGGACCGACTTGGCGAGACGAAGCGTCAATGATCGAGGGAGGAGATAATCCTAATGATTGAAGATCGTTAGCTCTGATCACAGTCATATATAGGTACCGTGCTAGGTATGTATCTGCGAAACCCAGTGAATGGTCGATATGTCCGGCTGCTTACCTCGATGCTGGCGCCCGCCTCGGCTCGAGCCTTCAACTGCTGCTCTGTCGCATAGACGGGCTTGTCGGGCTGCGGGGCTGGTGATGAATGTTGCAGCAGGGAGTCATCTCCATCGGCGGGTGTCACCGATGCTGTAGATTTGCGAGGGGGCATTTTGAGTGTGGTTTGTGGTTTGTGCAGTGGCGATGGGGTATTTCAGTGGTGATTGCGATCGTGGATTGGAATTGTTGCGCCGCTCTTTATGTTGGATTGAGGTTTCGCTGGTCGGATGTTCAGCGGGAAATGTCTGTTTCTTTGTTTCGGACTGTGTTTGATTTCCGAGTCGCGGATTCAGGTTCGAGGGTTGCAAGGAGGACGCGCTAACGCGTTGGAGTTCTCCCGCGGGGGCTTGGCGATGTCTACTTGAACTTCATACTTCATCGCGTTCTACTTATATGGGGTTCTAGGCAGTTTATAATGTTTCTTTCTTATTTGTATTGGGATTGTGAAATTTTAGGGAACGATGGAATGCCAATATTAAACGCCCACTTTTTGGTATCCAGAAAGGTAGAATCAAATGAGATAACGAGTTCGTAACGCGACCAAGTGTCCTCTTACTCGGCCATTTCCTCATCGTCACCCTGTCCGTTGCCCCAGAGGCCCTCAATGCAGAACTCCTTGGCCCACTCGGTGACAACCTGGGCGGTGTCAGCGCCAGGCTCGGCGGCGCTGGCCGGGGCATCGGTCGATGCGACCACGTTGAGCACAGGCGCATTGGCCCAGCCCTGGATGCGACCATCTCTCCAGTCGTTGATGACGGTCATGGCAGCGCTCTCGATGTTGGGGACACCGCGCTTGCCAAGACGGCCGCGCTTGCGGGCCACCTGGACGAGGAAGTCCATTGTCTTGTCACCGTTGCTGGTGGGAAAGAGGGCAGTGATGCCGTAGACCTCCAGCATCTTGGCGATGAGCTGCTCTGAGGAAGATAAACGCTTGATCAGGAGGTTGACTGCGGGGATGGGATCCTCGATCTGCTTGGGAGGCACGGCGTTGAGCAGGATGAGACGGGCCTGCTCTTCTTGCTTCTTGTTCTTCTTGGTGGAGCTCTTGTCGCTAGAGCTGGGGAAGACAATACCAGGAGAGTCAATGAGCTTGAGCTTGTTGTCCAACTTGACCTGGCGCAGGCTGGTAGTGACACCGGCCTCGGCACCGGTGGGGCAAGCATTGCTCGAGCCCTTGTTCAGTCGTGCGGTGAGGGCATTGATCACGGAAGACTTGCCGACATTGGGGTATCCAATAATACCGACAGAGATGGATCTCTTCATCTGCTTGGTGTTGGCGTATGACTTCAGCGCGCGGAAGAGGGTGTCGGAAGTTCCCTTTATGGTCAGCTGCTTGTGGTCGAAGCTGTGTGCGTTGCCAGCGCCGGTGGACGCCTTGAGGGGAAGAGTTGGGAAGGAGCGGCGGAGGTGGATCAACCAGGACTTGAGAACTGGGGGAGGGACCAGATCGATCTTGTTCAGGATGAGAATCAGACGCTTGTTGCCGCTGTCGGCGGCCATGATCTCGCGCTCAATCTCCTTGGAGCGAGTGCCCTCGGGGTCACGGGCATCAAGCACATAGAGAACGACATCGGCGTTGTCAATGACCTGCTTGAACACCTTGTCGAACTGGCGTCGTGAGCTCTCCTTCGTGAAAGACTTCGCTGTGACCAATGGTGGGGCAGATCCGTCGAGCAATGCGCCACCCTCATCGTCTTCATCCATCTCGTCCTCATCTTCATCTTCGTCGTCATCCTCGTCCATCTCATCGTCATCCTCGCTCTGGTTGTCATCGTACTCTGTGGCGCGGGCGCGGGCCGATGCGAGAAGAGCAGCCATGGGGTTGGAGTCGTCGCCCTCCATATCGTCGTCAAGCATATCGTCCTCGTCGATGTCGGCGGCATCAGTGCCAGTTGCTGCGACGGGCAAGCCTTGGGCCTTACGGGCCTTGGCCTCATCGCGAGCGCGCTGGATCTCTTCGGCCCTCAGGCGCTTGCGCTCTTCGATGTCATGGAGGAGCTTATCCTTGTTGGGGAAGAGATTGGGAATGCCGGGATCCTTCTTGATCTTTGACCGCCATTCGGGGTTCTGCAGACATTCGTCAATACACTGTCAAAACGTGGGAGCCCAGCGGTATGAGATACCTTCTTTGCAAGCTTCTTCTGCTTTCTTTGCTTCTGGACAGCAGACTTCTCAATCTTGTGCCTCAGGCGGACGGGAACCCGCTTGGAGGTCTTGCCTGTAGGCGGTTAGAATTGCTTCTTAAAGTCGAGGTGTCCAGCATTGGGCGGTGAGCTCTTACCAAATCCACTCTTGGTAACCATTTTGAATGCACGCCGTTGTATATCACAAAGCGTTGCACAGCGAAATCTACAACTCCATCTGCAAGAAAAAAGTTGAGCGCCAAGATTTTGCGATAAGCGGGTAATCAGTTAGACCGATCTCCGGGGAGGCACTGGATGACTAACCATGTCTGTCGGGCCGATTTCCTAATGGGGAAATTCAATTAGAGCTCACGATAAGCAGGAAATCGATTTGAATGACGCCTTAGCCTTCGAGTCATCTAAATACAGTGCTTTCTCCTTCCTTCCAGGACCCTTCACACACCACGTTCTTGAATAGATATCGCGGTTCCTCGCCTCCTACGTCCTCGATAATCACATCTCCCGCATTCCCGCGCAACAGCCCCTCCCCCGCCATGTCTGCAACAGGATCATTCTCTGCGCCTCCGCAGGTCCACACCTTTGACGGTCTTCTCTCTGACTTTGATGGGACGATCATTGACTCTACAGATGGTATGAGCCTCGTCCAACCTCACTGAAGCTATATATACTGACATTGCGGAACCGGACAGCAATCGTGAAGCACTGGCACAAGTGAGTCCTACAACAGTGCCAGCGAGAACTTGTCGCAAGTTCCTCTCTAATCTGACATTCCATTCTAGAATTGGTGCCGAGCTAGGCGTTGACCCCAAGACCATTCTCGCCACTTCGCATGGCCGTCGCAGCATCGACGTGATGGGATTGTACGACCAGACCAAGGCCAACTGGGACTGTAAGTCTACAACATACTGCCATGCAGCAGTTCACCCTACGCATCGAATCAGGGACTGATGGATTTCGATCTCCAGACGTCAACTATGTCGAAGGTCGCATCCCGAAGGAATACGGCTCAGACGCTGTCGAGATCCCCGGTGGCCGCGACCTGCTTACGGCCCTCGAGAGCTCTGGCGCACGCTGGGGTGTCGTGACATCCGGCACACTGGCATTGATCGACGGCTGGTTGGAAGTCCTTGGGCTCACACACCCCAAGAACCTGGTGACGGCGGCGGATGTTCCGCTTGGAAAGCCCGACCCTCGCTGCTATCTTCTTGGACGCAAGCAGATTGGTCTTGAGGATTCGACTTCTATTGTCGTTCTTGAAGATGCCCCCTCCGGCATTAAGGCTGGCAAGGACGCTGGTTTCAAGGTGATTGCGCTCAAGACAACGCATTCGCTGGAGAAGCTCCAGGAGGCTGGTGCGGATTGGATCGTGGAAGATCTGAGAAGCGTCTCCGTGAAGGGAGTTGTTGATGGCCGCGTGCAGATCGAGATCAGCAATGCTTACCAATAGACAGTCGCAAACAGTGTGGTTGATACAAAGTGCTTGAAAGCTGCTGCATGATAGGCCCCGGGGGCTACCTGGAGTTACGTCACACGGCATTCTGATTCAGTGTTCATGAGATAGACTTAGACTACATACGATTTGACAGGTGTTCGAACATCCTTCTCGTTGGCCCTAGATGGGAACATCGCTGATCGCTGGGGTGCGTGTCTTTGCTGTTGCATTGTCCAACGCCTGGAGGGACGAAGACTTCAATCGATACCAACGCCAAAATGGCCATTAATCCTCTAAATGCCAGAGCCAAGGATATTGGATCAACATGGGAGGGAAAGCTAGTCTAGTGGCTGCGTTCAGCTTGACCCCAAAGGGCATACTAGTACAATCTGGCAAAAGATCCCCCTTGATCCCCCGCCTCTGTGGCAAATCCGAAAGCCACCGATGCACAAAAAGCGTACACCGTGAAGCCTAGTTCATCTTGAAAGTGGATTGTGATCTCGAATGGATCCTAGGGGCAGGGTGGAATGAGCTCCAAGTCCTAACACCGCACTGCATATCCTGAAACTTTACAAACGTACCGCGACAGGGAGAACCGATCGAGGAAAGCCCAGTGAGTTCCCCGGTAGTAGCGTGATCGCGTCACGCAAGGTGCAAGATCTTCACGAAATAAGACCTAGGATCTAGTCCCGTATACCGCCATGTGCAGGCTGTCTAATCGAGACGATGTGGAGTCCACCCGAGTCGCGAGCTAGAAACCGGCGGCGCTGACGCTGCTGCATGACCGGTTTGTGCGATGACAGCAGATGAGTCTTATTTACAGGGATGGCGGCCCGTCTCGATGATTCGGCCCGCAAGGACTAAGCTGTATAGTACTAGTATACCTGTTGGCGCAGTGACACGATCGTCTTGGATAGCCACGGACGTGGAAGAGCCCGCAAGCTTGCAGCCTGCAGCGTTGTCCTTGCAGGGCAAAAATCCGGATTTTCTCAGGCCGTCCAGATGTCCCAGCATGTAATTACATATACCCGCTGGGCTGTAGTCCAATCATAGGACAAGGCGAGCTGCGAACGACTGTTCATGCACGCTTGAGCCCTGGGTGGGTTCGGAATCAGACTGAGTGTCCCAGGGTGCTCGGAAATGTAGCACCGAGGAGGATGGCTTCAGAGTCGGGGGGGCCTGGTTGCTTTGGTGTTAGGCTGTTTTTTTCGTTTCTAGCGGTAAAGCGTTTTCAGAGCTTTGCTGCACGTTGTAGCTACCGCTGCAACCAGCTCCCAAAGACTTCTCACAAGGATATGCAATGTGCCCCGGAGACACGGGAGCAAAAGTTCTCAGAGGCTTCATTGGTGGGCCGGGTGGTTTTGGCTTTGGATAGGACACATCCAACCGCTGGAGAAGCTCGGGCGAGAACGACTGTTCTCCAATAAGCTGGACACAAAGCCATTTTGCCGGTGAGGATGCATGCAAGGGGGCCAGATTTCTGCGTCCTGTGCACGGGTCGGGAGAAGATGGCTCCAATGCAGGCTCCTGAATATCACCACCGAGCTCTAGGATGAAAGTTACCGTAGCAGCAGTTGAGAACGATGAGCAAAGCGCCTACGCTGATTCTCCAAATGTGTGATGACGGAAGAGGGGCAAATGCAATCTCATCACACACAGGTTTATGGTGCGCTGCCAGGATTCCGATCTGGGCCACAGAATCGGGATGCACCGAGATGGACAGTCAACTTGCAGACCGTTCCTGTCGATGGCTCATGCAGAGTGGGCGATTTCGAATTCTGGACCCACAAATGTGACAAATACACTGTCTCCTTGGGAGAGCCAGCTGCAGTACGGAGGATGCAGGGCGATGGAGACACTTCCGCACCGCCACAGATCTGCTCAGCGCCACAAGGGAGTGCTGGAGGACAGTGGATGTATCACAATTCTCAGCCCAGCCACTGGGCTATTTCGGGGCACCGAAATACTCCGAGTTCGCACTAGAACGTCCCTGGGAGATGACGAGTCAGTTTCGAAGCCCCCCCTCGTAAAGCCATGCGCCATGGGCAGGGATTTGAGAAGCGGGGGATCGAGGGCGATCTGAGGATCCGTTTCACCATCACCTCAGGAGTATTGTGTACGGAGTACTGACGGGCGATTCCGTGGAGTCTCATGTTGATCAAGGTCTCTGGAATGTGCTGTCACACAGCATTGAACCGTAGATCATTGCAAATCCCCGGGGAATTGTTCGTCAAATCCGATATTTGAGCCTTTTTGCCAAACGGCCGAAACCAGATCGAATCGATAGTCGCAGGGATCCGTGCGAGAAACGCATGTGTTGCGGATCGACCCAGGGGTCGTCATAGTAGATCTCCCCCTAATGCCGATCTCTCTACTGATTACTCCATCTGGAGTACGGAGACTCTTGCAATACCATACGGACACAGTCCTACCTACAAAGGAAGGATGGTGATGGAGATTCGCGATCAGACTGGTGCGATATCAAACCGGTCCATGTCCACGCTATTCCGTACTACTGAAGACCCAAGTCCGGAGTACACCCTTTGTGACCCCGAGATAGCCAAGTGACTTGGGCCATGAGACCTGTGGGGCATGACGCGCCAAGACGAGGTCTGACACAATACAAGGGAGAAGTCAAGTCGTCATCGGGACTGAGCGTGATATGGCACTGGCACTGGCACTGTTAGCAGTCGCCCTACTGCACGCAAAGCTTGAGTCAAGAACCGAATCACTGCGAGGCCACGGCACTTCACCCTCCCGAGTGATGGGATCAACAAAGTTTGAAAACGAAGCTAAGAGCCACGTTGTGCATGATCTACGTGGAGCTGCCAGTCTCAAAAGAGGTCTTGAGGGTGGAGATGCTTCGGTGCGAAACAGGTCCCCCCCCTGGCCATTGCCCCCACTGTCAGCATACCGGATTATACGACTGGCTGATCCAGCATGACCAACCTTGGATCACTGAGCGTTGGCGGGCTTTTCGGGTCAGATCATGTTGCTCAATCGAGCAGAACTAGGAGAAGATCCCTGGGGTGGCTTCCAGCTATACGAAGAGAAGGTTCCGCTTGACCGGTTGGGTCTGTACTCGAGTAATGTGCCGAGTACTCCGTACGAAGTGCTGTTACGAGGCCCATTAGAGTTCCAGACAGATCCTATCACGTTGGTGTAGGATTTCGGCCTCCACCGCAATTTTAGGCTTGCCCAACGTCCTTGAACGGTTTGCTGCCGGCATTTCCAAGGTAGATCTTCCGCCAACGCTCCTGATCTCAGGAGATGGCACATCCAAAACTCCCGGACCAGGAGACCGGACCAGTCCTGTAGACCAACCCCGAGGGAAGTGGGTGAACAACTGTCGCATCAGGTATGGGTCCCTTCTCCGGGTCTCCGGAATACCTGTCGCGAAGCACATGTGCCGCTAAAAGGGGTGTGCCCAGAGTCTGGCTCTGCAATCGCTCGTGACTTGCTTGCATGGAGCCTCTTAGTCCAAGACGTTTAGCGCCCTCCGTCCTCCGTAGGCGAGCAGGGCCCAACCAGATCCCCGGGAAGGGTGATGGTGTCACACATCACTTGAGCTGGAGCCTGGAGAAATCCACCCAGGGGGTTGTCTAGATGGGCGCCACACTGGGAAAACAAAAAAGCTCGGCAGATCCCTGAGTGATCGACGGGATCTGTCGACTATTGATCTTTAGTCGGTCTTGGCTGACCGCTGCCATGCGCCCTCACTAGTGTGAACTGGGGTTAGCGTCAAGGGGAACAGTGCTCCAGACAGCCCAGGTAACAGATAGTTGGGCCTCAGTTGCTTCAGGACTCAATAGTCTGTTCTGAATCCTCCTTGGATCACACTGTGCTCCATGGCGACGATCCTCGAGAATCCCCCAGTATTGGCCCGGAAGAGTACATCCGATCATCCAGCCCGACGTCCCGGTCTCCATGGTCCTGGTACGAGGGATCGGGGAATCGACCAGGATGCCTGTGACTGCTACCTAAAGCATCATCATGCAAGCCCAATCACCACGTCAACGAGTGCGATGGAGCAAACGGTGCAGCTCACCCGTGGACGTGCGGAGTCCCAGCCCAACCTTGGAGATGACTCCAGATATGGAGTGCAGAGGGCTGTACGGAGTACTATCCAAAGTACAGTACTCTCGAATCTGGAATCAGAGTGGACATGATTTGCTTTGCAGAGCGATCAGACATGACGCTAATGCAGGAACTGGGATTACGTCTGGCGTTTAAAAGGCCCTGCAGTACGGAGTACGGATAAATTACAGGATCCATGGTACGGGTCTTTGTTTACTTTGTACTTTGTATCCATGGATCCATGGATGGCATCTATACAGCACATATAAGCACTGGGCTACTACTTCTATACTATAGTATCCATGGATATAGTATAGGAGTATACACTGAATGGTGTTCAGCCTGGAGACATTCAGGTATGTTGGATGAGGGTCCGTACCTTGGACTTGACACTCATACGAAGTACGTACATAGGTACGAAACACGAAGTACGGACTCCCATATTAAGATCAAATAGGATACAAATAGGATATTAATCTCAAATACTGTGATGCAACCACGCCACCCCCTACCGAGCGGGTGGTAGCGCGACTCCACGGGCTAAAAAAAAAGGATGAAATATACGTGTGGGGGGTATTTTCAGCCCGTTCAGAAAAAAAGGACAAGTGGATATTCACATCATTCCTAAATTCCTAAACGGGGAGTGGTAGATCTGAGATCTGGGATGCTTTCTTTTTTCCATTTTCCATTTCTTTTTTTTTTTCTACAATCATTCCATAATTCCATAATTCTTTTTATCTCAGATGTAGCTGGATCGAGGTACCGGTACCCTCCACTCGGGTGCTTGAAGTACATAAGTCTCATGTACCCAGTACATCCCCAAGGGACACACAGACCTTTGTTTCATCTCAGTACCACCCGTTACCGGACAATACCCGCTCCCCGACCAATCATATTCCAGGATCTCCCAGCTCCGTATTGCGCATTACCACCCGTCTCCCCCGATTTCCCCCCCGACGCCTCCAAAGTCCAATCTTCCTCTCTTCATCCTTTCCCTCACCAGTCTATCCTTTACGTTCCTGTCTTTCCTTTCTTTTTTTCTTTTTTTACAAGTTGCTTTTTGCATGCACACTCTTTTGGGTCCCTAACTCCCGAGTCTCTCCTTAACACCGGCTACTATCAACTGCTTGTTTCTTTTTCTTCGACGGCTTCCGCCCTGCACTCTTTCCACCGAGTCGCCAACCACTCGACCTTGTCTTAATGATATAGACCTCATATCTCGGAGCTGCTATTTTCTCGTGCAGTCCCACTCCCGCGTCTATCTCCTCGGTCCTCACCGACGCCCTCTCCTATACCTGTTTACATCTCCCCGTCGCCATGAGTTATATCCACCCCTCATGGAACTACCAGGGACACCAGGGGATCCCAATGGACCAACACATGGCCTACGACCCTTCCATGGTCCCCCCTCCCATGATGCACCCCATTGATGGCTACATGTACCCGCACCCGCACCCGCCAATGGAAATGATCGACTACTACCACCAACCGATTATGGACTACGATGAATACACTGAGAATCTGTCTCGCCCACGGTTGACCAAAGAACAAGTCGAGACCCTGGAAGCTCAATTCCAAGCTCACCCCAAGCCCAGCAGCAATGTGAAACGTCAATTGGCGGCTCAGACAAATCTAAGTCTGCCTCGCGTTGCTGTGAGTGTTACACGGAGCCCGATGACATCTCCAAACACTGGAAGCTAATCAAGTGTACAGAACTGGTTCCAGAACCGCCGCGCCAAGGCAAAGCAACAAAAGCGCCAGGAGGAGTTCGAGAAGATGACCAAGGCCAAGGCCGAAGCTGAGGAGGCCGCTCGACGGAAGTCAGAGACCCTGGACCAGCTGTCCGAGTCCCGGAAGGGGTCCGTGATCCGAGAGGAATCGGAGAAGGCCGCCACTCCCAAACAGACTCCTACTTCCGCGACCAGCGGTCATGCCAAGTCGGATTCCACATCTAGCCGTTCTAAGCATCACAAAACGAAGAGTGAATCTGCCCGAGAGGCGACGTTCGCGTCTTTGCAGAGGGCCCTCAATGCGGCCTGTGCCGCCAGAGATCGATTCGGTCGCCGAATCAACCCACGGAACAAGACCGACGCCGTGCCGGAGGAAGATGAAGCCGTCTCGCCTGGCTCAATGCCCCCGCCCAAGACTGCCACTTCCAACACCGACAATGCGAATCTCGCTCACATCAACTCTTCGTTCCCAGGCTGGCCAGATATCAAGGAGGAGCCTGCCTCCTGGGGCACTGGCGTGCACGATGAACACATCGGTTACAGCGCCGCAGAGCATGGCTCGTACTCCGCTCCCCACCATCCTATGTCGGATATGCCAACCTCTTCTCACGCCGCTCTGCACAACGTGGATGCTTATTCAAGTCACCTGCCTCCTCACGCCGAAGAGTGGTCAGAAGATAGTTCATCCCACGGGCATGACCCCAGCCTTGTCTACGGCAACATGCAATACCCCATGCAGATGCAGGCGCCAGATATCTCGGTCACTCGTCGGGAGTCTTCAGATGCGCTGACAACTTCCTTGAAGGGCATCGGAATCTGCACACCTGACCAGGCTGGCCTGTCTCAGTCCATGAACCGCGTGGAGGGTGCCTCTTGGAAGGAGCCTGGCAAGGAGCTTGATCTGGCCGCGCGACGCAAGCGTCCTCGCCCTGCTGCCATCGGTACTTCTGGAACCGGGAACCGCCCATTGGCCAACTCGACTTCGATGTCCTCACTCTCCCCCACTGCCCGCATGCCTAGCTCCGGAGCCGGTAACTCGATGAGACAGTCCAAGTCAACCCAAAGCCTGAACTCCCGATATGCCGGAGTGAGGAAGGCTTCCGCGGCTCAGCGGTCTCCCCTCAACTTCACTTTCGCCGAGTCAGGTTCTATCAAGAAGGCCGAGAAGATGCTTCGCCCCTCGGTCTCGACCAACACCCTCGCTCCCCCGACTCCCCTGACTCCGCAGGATCTCCAGCACTTCATGCCGGGCTCTCCCACAGACAGCAACTACTGCATGTCAGCCCACTCCACAACGCACTTCTTCCCTACCTCCCAACCCATGCAGGTCAACATCGCCTCACCTCCTACCACGCCTCTGGATATTTATACCCCTTTCCCTTACCAGAACGTGGCCCCGCCGATGTCGGCCCCTGCCCAGGTGTCCTCGTTCCCCGAGTATGCCCCCTGCGACACGGTCCCTCTGACCGCGCGCAGCTGGGCTGACACCGGCTCCATCTCTTCCCCCGAGTACCCCGCGGGCCTGCAGGTACCCCATTCGAGCACCGTTTCGCCCATGGGCTACGATGCGACGGCGGATCACACCGGACAAAACTTTGGCATGGAGCCGGTGTCTGGGTCCCCGTCCTTGATCTACTCGATTGAGGATACCGATATGCCGGGCTCTGCCGAGCTTGCGGAGAGGAAGCGAGGCGACTTTATGATGCAGGACTTCCCCGAGCATGACACCCGCTATGGTGGTCACCACTTGGGCTCGATGCAGAAGCCGAAAGCGTACACTTTCGCGAACAACACGACGCCCAGCAATTACCCCTCTTGAGTGAAGAGGGGGTTTGACCTTTTCTTCATGAGTATGAGAAATGTGCCACCTTTGGTGTTTTTGGTCTGGGACGAGCTCACTACGCATACAAAAAATTCCCCTATCTTCTCTTCCTGTGCGGAGAATCACTGTCACTTTATGTCTATATACTCTATCCTTTCTGTGTGTTTATTTGGGGGTGTGATTTACATCGGGGTTACATATTTTCTTGGAGCATTCGTTGCATGTTGTTTATTGGCCTGGGATTGCGTTGCCTGTTTTGGTGTCTGATACGACCTTTTAATTTCTCCCGAGCTCGCATCGAGCCTCTTTACCTTCTACTCGTTTCATTTTGGACATTTTATGCCCGTGGGTCTTGGAACCGGGGTCTGGGATATGGACTTGGATTTGCATATTGGCTAAGCATTCACTTTTGATACATACAAATATATCCGTATCTACTCAGTACCATCGAAAAGGGGAAATTTTCCGAACCGAGATCGAGATGACGATCAACGAGACTATGGAGTTAGCGCAGCCCCATTCGGTGACGGCCGTTTAGCATTCCAGCTCCCTTTTAAGCCTGCACGTGCGCTGAACTACAGGTCGCAAAGCCAGGAACGCGACGAACATGGCGCTACCTAGTATAGCACTAGGTACAGCAACACTATATTCCAACACGTGGGCTCATTCCAGAAAGGTATAAAAGGCAGAACATTCTTCGATCTGCACGAACTCAAATCGTGAACTCCGCCGTATCTCCGCTTTTTCTTTCACATGAAGCTCTCCCTCGGCTCAGCCCTTGTGGGCCTGGCAGTTGCCCACGCATCCACTGTCAAGTACAATGCGATTACAGGGTATTTCTTACAAGACGACGATTCAACCGATGCCTCGACATTCGACTATGTGAGTGATTCCAATGCTGCCCAATGCTGAACAGCATCATCGAGTCATCCATTACATCACTGACCCATAGTAGACAGCGGAGAATTTCGGCTTGATCAACCGGACTTACCCCGCGGACAAGCGCAGCAAGCATCCCCTCACTCAATGGGAGCGCTTCTACAACCAGGTTTCTCGGCTGAATGAGGATAGCCCCAAACATGTCGAATACAAGGTTCTGTTCCTGGGCCGTCACGGCGAGGGATGGCACAACGCCGCGGAGACATACTACGGCACACCAGCTTGGAACGTAAGCACTAGCGCAAAAGCTTCATCCCCAGATCATCCAGGTCAAAACCTAATAGTCCATAGTGCTACTGGTCCGAATTAGACGGCAATAGTACGGCCACCTGGGCCGATGCCTCTCTCACGGAGAATGGTGTTTCCCAGGCCCTGAGCGCAAACGCTTTCTGGCAGAAAGAGATTGACCACCAGCGCATCCACACACCCGATCACTACTACGTTAGTCCCTTGACTCGCACCCTGCAAACTGCCAACTTGACATTCACGGGCTTGCATCTGCCCAAGGGGAGCGCCAAATTCAAGCCGACTATCAAGGAGCTTTTCAGGGAGGGAATCAGCATCCACACTTGTGACCACCGGCGCAGTCGTAGCTATATCCATGACCTGTTCCCCACGTGGCCTATTGAGAAGGGCTTCACCGAGGAGGACGAGTTGTGGAATGGTGTGATGGCGGAAACGAGTGGTGCGCAAGATATTCGAAGTGCGAAGGCCTTGGGACAGGTCTTCTTCAGCTCGAGTAAGAAGGAGTCCTTTGTTTCGATCACTTCGCACTCTGGGGAGATTTCGTCCATTCTGAGGGTCTTGGGTCATCGCACATTCAAATTGAATACTGGTGCTGTGATTCCGGTCTTGGTCAAGGCTGAGAAGGTGGATAAGGACACTACTACTACTTCTGTTCCTTGGACTGCTGAACCTCATTGTACGGAGCCGCCTGTTTCGTCGGTCACGGCTTGTGTTTGTCCTTCCAGTGCGGTCCCGGTTACTACACCTTTGGCTACTGGCTTTTAAAATTGGAATGGTCGTTGGCTGGTTGCTCGTCTATAAACCCATATAGTGGAATATGACAGTTGCTTTTTACCTTGAAAACCCACGATGCTTATTCCAAGGTTGAAGTCAGGCCAATTGTTGCGAATAATACTCATTCACGCACCTAGTATTGGCAACTAAAGTTCTCGATATCTGCAGGCCATTCTCACCACGATCCATACGCCACTTGCAATCAACGTTTCCCACACAACCAATCTCAGCGGATGACCATCGTTTAAAATTCTCTATCAATGAGCCCGAGTGACTGGTCATCCATAATTTATCATTTATCAATTATCCTAGCCCTACTCGCATCTCGGAAGAAGCCGAATGGGAGAGCAAACAGAGGCGCAGTATGCTCAAATGCCAAATTCTTAGCGAAAGGGAATGTTCCTCGCGTCAACGTGCATTTCGTTGATACCACAAGTCCTCGGTCGCATGTGTAGTTTTATAGCCTTGCTTTGCCAAGTTATTTGGTTGTGCGTCAAAACCAACACCCCACCTCACTGTCCCCTCTCTGGTCACCATTCACACAACACCCTTGCATAGCGTCAGATATTAATCTGCAAAAACAAAAAAGAAACGTCCCCGGGAAGGCTCGAACTTCCAACCTCCTGATTAACAGTCAGACGCGCTAACCAATTGCGCCACGGAGACGTATTTGTTGAAGGGTGGCGGTTTTGGTGGCTCCATAAGTGGAGAGCGATGTTTTACCGAGACAGGGACCCGCTATATTCTGTCATTCCGGTGACCTGATGCCAGTTTAATGAACTTTTTCAGTACAGCTGAGATATGTACTAGTTTGGCCAGGAATCAAGGATCGTTACACTCGCCAGCTATCATGATTCTTCAGGGATGGACATTTGCCTTGTCGCGCCGGACAAAGCAGTCTTTTGAACGCTTTCCAGTGATGGAACAGTTCTTCAAATCCAGAATATCATAACAGTTATCATTTGGCCCTCAATGTGATTATCCTCTCAAGGCACATAGCTAACAGCTTCTCTCGGTATAGTAGATGATCTCAATCCCATATCCCAATGGTATACTTGCGTCACGTCAGGATCTATGGCTTGATCTGACAACCATTATACAAGTCCATTGATAGATATCAGCCTTCCCATTCGATTACTCGCTTAATTCATTGCAATACACTCTCGGTTTATTCGGTTTGGATACTACGCGGGGACAAGGCTTCACGTCTTAGCGTGTCGCCCCATATCACAATCTTGATTTTCTTGGCCTAGATTGGGGACTTGCGTATCACAAGTGACATAGTCCAGCATACTCATAAGCTCATGCCATGTTGCTTTACCCATTCCATCATGATGATACTTCTCAAAGGGTCCACACATAAGGGCAGCTGCAATGACTTCCAGTGGTGTCTGTCTTCAGTCATCTGATAACCTGGGAAATATTTGTTTCTCTGGGAATGTCAATATGCGAAGCCCTCTTGTTACACTTCCATCTCTCCATGCCGCTGTGAGAATGTGCTATTTGCTACAGCTTGTGTGAGTGTATGTCCACATGTCCAATGTCTCAGGGTCAACTGGTTAGGGCATGGAACAGTCAAGAGGGAAGGAGCCAATAGGGCGCACCTTCCTCGATATACCCTCGCGATCAAACGTGATTATGTTGACTTCCTCTCCCTCCTTCCAAGGTTCGCGTCTGTCTCTCTTCACGTCTATCTCTTCGCGTCTGTCTCTTTGGTTATCTCACGCTCTTTACGCGTTTCACATCTGTGATCTTTACATGAGCATACGTTCATCATCTCTGTGCTATCTTCAATCATTTACGCATTTGTGTTGGGTGAAGATATCATTGCCGTCTCCTCGTGTCATCGTTCTTGATCTCTTGGGTTACTTTTTGTGTCTGTTTTGCAATCATGGATTCGCCTTGCCCACCAGATCCTTGTCCATCAGAATCTTGTCCATCAGAATCTTGTCCATCAGAATCTTGTCCATCAGAATCTTGTCCACCAGAGACTCCATCAAAGGAACTATCTGACCTGGAATTGGGCTCTGCAACCCCCAAGCGCCGTCGGGAATTTATCTCCGATAGTTCCTTGTCGCCTTCTGTGTTTGACGATCAAGTTGACGATCAAGTTGTTCACGATGAAGTTGTTCGCGATGAAGTTGTTGACGATGAAGTTGACGAGGAAGTTGACGAGGAAGAAGACCGTCCTAGGATGTGGTCCGCTAAGGATCCTCCATTTCCTTGGGATGATCTTATGTCTGGTTCGCAGAGTCAGACTGGCCCGACTGGTACCCTTTCCATCAATGATCGCCCTGACCCACCTACACCCACGACACCTCCAAGCAAGCGACACCAGAGTTTTGACCACCGCGGTGTGACTGACTCCCACGAAGGGGTAGGGCTGTCTCCTCGTCTGCCCAATGAAGTGTGGGACCTGGTACGAACAAAGACAACACTCGATCTTTACATGAGCAAGGATCTAACTCTTCGCTAGATATTTGATTATCTGATCGCCCTCGATCTCCCTAAAGATTTGCCCCTTCGCCCTCTCAATGTCTATGATTTCCCCGCGACCAAGGAGGTCCTTTCGGAGTTGCGACTTGTGAACAAAAAGTGGGCTGCAATACTCGGTCCCCGTGTTTTCAACAAAATCTCCGTCCTCCTTGGCCGTCAGTATGATCCTTTTGAGCCAGTGTTCAAGGCCTCGATGAGTCAGTGGGCGGGGATGGTGCGTGATGTGACATTTGGCATTGTGGGAGCATGGCACGCCGGGGAACCATACGACGCATACATCACAAACTTGTCAACAGGTGCTGGCTCGGTGCTCCTCACCCGCTTCAACAACATTCATACATTGCGTCTTCAATCCCCCACGGTGGTGGCACCCTTCTGCCCCGAGGATCAAATCCCACTCCCTTCACTCTCTCAGCTCACGAGCTCAATCGTTCACTCTCTGCGTTATGTCACATTGCCCCGACTCAAGTGTCTTCATTTTACCCTCCCTGTCCCTGCCGAGTTTGCTCGTTTCTTCAATTCGAATGGCTACTCTGATAATTTCGTTGATATTCTCTCTCGCATCAAAGAGATGCATATCATCATCAACGATGACAGTGGAATTGACGGCTTCCGGAAAAGGCACAACCCTCGTTCGGCTCTCAAAACACGATATCCATTCCAGGCATTTGCCATGTACTTGACGTGCTTCGTAGCCGCGGCAGAGAATATCACGACTCTCTCCATAGAGACCCGTGGTCCCCTGGACCTAAGCGACCTGGATGCGAACAAACTGACCAACCTGGAGTCCTTAAAGCTCATCGGCCCGAACATGAGCTTTGAATCGCTTAGGGAAATTTTCAGAGCCTCCAAAAACACATTGAGCAAACTTGCCCTCAAGGATGTGAAGCTCACGACTGAAACTTGGCACGACGTTTTCGAATTGGAATTCACTCACCACCCCGTCCTTGCGTACGTGGCATTATTGAATAATGGCTACACGGCCACAGGCACAAATGCCCAGTTCTATTATCCCCAGGCCGCGGGCTCGTCGTTGTTGACCAAAAATATTGCGGATTGGGTGTCCTACAGAGATCTGAAGGATAGGTTGTTCCTTAGCCGCCGTACAAGGGGTCTGCGTTCTCATAACAGTGAGCAGTATTCAGACGGGTGGTGGTACATTTGAGTTTAGCTTTCTTCGAATCATTCGCCATATGCGTTGCGGGTAAGGCTCACCATTGGGGTGCATCGTGGATATTGTCTTTCTTCACGGTTTTTCCTCTTGTCGTCGTTGGTCCAAAGGCTTTTCGAGCTCGGTCTCGAGTCAGTGCTCTTATTTTGGGGCCAGATTCTTGATATTCTGTTTATCTAGAGCTACGGCTCCTTTTTGTCTGATTCATTGCCTGGTTTACGCCGGGCATGCATGTATGTGTTTCTAGCTTGACAGATTTTACTTGAAAACTCTGCCTTCGTTGATTTCGCCCATGGATCCTGGATAATTCAAATATCTACTCACATCTCTTCTCTGGTCTTTGGAGGCGTCGTAGTAGCATTTTAAGTTGCGTGATTAACTGTTGTACAGGTTCTTCGCCAGGCCTTCCAGTTTCACCTGACGCTGCTTCACACCGATGTGTCACTTATCACATTCTACTCCATATGTGGACTTCATTGCCCTCCATCATGGAGTTCGGATGCTTCAGGTGCACTCAGCAGGTGGAATTCTGGATGCCAGCCTGAAGTTCTAAGTTCTGATGTACAACTCCCTATTTCTTTCTATTTCTCGTGAGAACCCTCATTTCCAAAGCATGCAATCTGTACTACCGTTTATCCATTGTTGATTTCAACCTTGTCATTTCATACTTCAATGAGCCCTCAGCTTGTCCTGGTTCATAGAGCCAAAGAATTCGCCACTCTTCAACAAATACGTCTCCGTGGCGCAATTGGTTAGCGCGTCTGACTGTTAATCAGGAGGTTGGAAGTTCGAGCCTTCCCGGGGACGTTTCTTTTTTGATTTTTGTTCAAATCACCCCTGCAGAATACAATTTGCTTTTTTCGTTTTCTGACTTGTGCGGATTTCCAGTGAGTTGCCGATTCATCGGTGCGGTGGACTTCGTCGTTCGTGATGGCGTTCTTTTTCACTTCGTTTGGAATCTATATCTATATTCTTCGGTTTCAATCACGGCGTCAGCTTTTTAGATGATGCGATTGACAGGGCTCTGAATGGCTCTACAGAGAATGGAGAATATTTCATTACATTCTAGGATCCGACCGACGGCATGAACATCTAGTCCGACTTGATGCCCCCGACGCCTATCGTGCTACCATCCACCATCGAGACCTTTTCCAACTGGATTTTGTCGATTGCCGCGCAGGCGTCTCTCGCGATAGAGAGGCCGTGTTATAGCCACTGATGGTCTTCCTGTATGGGGCACATTGTCCTCATAATCCGGCTGTGTCAAGTACAAACGCTCGATCTACCCACAATCCTTGAACCGGTTCCTTGTTCTGGAGATAACGCCACTTGAGATGAGGGATTTGTCTGGTACAGAGCTATGTATAAATGCTGAGAACGTCGCCTCGAGAATGTCGAAAAACACTCAGTTGCCAATGTCAATCTACACCTGGGCATGGTGAGCCATCAAGGCATGGAATGGAGTCAGCCATCTGCTGGTGTCGACTCAAGCACACGGTTCGACGACCTGGGGTCTTTTCTTTCTTCCTCAGGAATCTTCGAATACTGAGCTGCCGTTTCTATAACCTGCCACGCATCAGGGCGAATACGCCTGTGGCTATGAAGACATGTTCAGAGCTGCGCGTCTTACTACCGCCTTGATCTAGCATGGTCCAGATCCGTATGAGCTATCCTGGCAGCCAGCGTACAGTTATCTTTGGCTCAGTTTCCCTCGAATTCGGTTGCTTCGCCGGTGGTTCTTTCCAATACACATTGACCGACAGTAAATTCCAAAAACCGCTCTCTTGACTATTCATTGTGAGCCTTACGAAAAGCTTGGAAAGTAGATGTCAATTTTCCTTCTGCTCGACTGCCATGGCTTCATTGTCTCCACTGGTGTATGCAGGGCAGTAGAAGGTTGGGTAGGCGTGGGGATACTGGAACCTTGGGAGAGGCAGCTTTCTAGAACGATGGGGCGTTTAAGGTTCATAGGTAGAGTGAAGTCTATTCATCCATGGATTTACGTTCACGGGTCCACGGGTGTATAGAGCAATATCTTGGTCTCGATGTCCTATACTAAGTGCTTAGTTTCAGCTCTCGGGCTCTTTCTCCCTCTTTTCTCTCTGTACTTTTCACCTTGCGAATTTCTCGGTGTCTGAGTTCCAACCTTGGAATGTTCCAAGGTTGTGACAGGTCTATGCCCAGGTGTGCAGGTGGGCGTGAGATTCAGTGTCGACAGAAAGCCTCGCGGTTGGACTGGCGAGATCATATCCATGGAGAATGTACGCCATGTATTCTTGGTGTGATCAATACATGCCCAGGTGGGTACCTAGGTAGATGATACTTCCAAGTTGGATATCGGGTGATCCTTTATAATGGATGTAGTACTGCAGACCGTGGACATGGTCTGTGTTTCCACCATAGACCTCGGTGGTGCGATGATATATAGTTTGGGCCAGGTACGGCAGCAAGTGCACACAAACCTCGAAAACATAAAACCAAGCTTAATACATGGGCATGGGAATACAACGAATTCAATCACAACCTTGGAACTTCATGCAACCTTTTGATACTTAGGTTGTGCTGCTGGGCAAATTGTGGAAATAATAATGGCCTTGATGTGTAGATCATCTGCCTGCCCACCCATAGATCCATTAAGAAAGGACCATCCATCAACAGCCAATGAGCTTTCAAGATCACTGGTTTCTTCTGCATCATTGGTCTAGTGGTAGAATTCGTCGTTGCCATCGACGAGGCCCGTGTTCGATTCACGGATGATGCACTATCTTTTTGTCTTTTTACCTCCACATCGCATTACTATCCTCTGTCTTGTGTTATTTTTGTCAATTCGAGACCAAGTTAGGTTCAATGATCATTTAACTGCCTCTTGTGTAGGGTAGATCACATCAATCTGTCAGTTGCGATGGTAAAAAAGTACTCTGTAGCGAGGCAAATACACAGTCCACGGGTCTTAGTCCCCCATGTATGTAGTGACAGTCTTGTGATCCTTGAATTCGGAGTATACAGAACGAGATCAGTGTTCTGTAGACAAAATTGAAAATAACAGGTAATTAAGAACCCTGGAAGAGTGGAGCAGATCCATGGATCTTGTGTTCGCAGCCAGGGAAGAATAGTTTGTGCCGTTGAAAAGCATTTACGCTGATATCGCAGTCAAGCACCGCTCTCTTCAACAAACACGTCTCCGTGGCGCAATTGGTTAGCGCGTCTGACTGTTAATCAGGAGGTTGGAAGTTCGAGCCTTCCCGGGGACGTTTCTTTTTGCTTTTGTTTTTTTCCCACCTATTTTCGATTCAACTTCTGCAAAGCCTCTACAGAGAACCTTACCCAGAGATATTTTTTTTACTGGACCATAGCATAGCTATTGCCTCACACCTGGGCATTCGCTGTATCGCTTACAACCGAAACCCACTCGGGCGTGTAGGCACCGCCTCATCAAACCAAAATGCGGTGACCAGGGCCCGAGAACGAATACCCCGGCAGTGCCTGGGTATCCAAATATGGGACTCCGTTCTCCATTATTCTGTTCTCCGTACGGATTACTCCAGGTCCACGGTTCCAAAATTGCGATCAGATCATATTGGGCGCTAAAGTACGGATTACGGAGCCATACGTGACAAGTCCTATTGTCTAGGGGATGGACATCCACTTTTCGAGCTACGGGCAAAGCTGTCAGGTTGTGGTGAATTGGGGCTGAGAGGGAATTCTGACGGGGAGTCTACTGGTCGAAATGAATAATCAGGTACACAGTCCACGGGGAGGCCGTACTTTGGACTTGGACCTCGGGATGTACATTTGGACCCAATGAGTGATGCGTGGGTTTCATTGGCCTCGATGTGCGGAGTAATTCAGGGCGAAGCCCATACGTGTAGTGGAATGGCATGTTTCCAAGGTAATGGGACATGAATGAGAATCGTGAGTTACGGTGAGGATCTCGATTCCAGTAGTGGGTTCCTGGTGGTGGTAACGGAGGAAATCGAAGCAAAACCCGCTAATGATGCAGTAGCTGCATGGTTGGTACGGGGCAGAAAGTGATATATTGGACACGATCATCGTCACAACACATCTCCAAACACAGACTACTGCAGCCTGCCCAACTGCTGCATGCCGGAGTATCGGGTGCAGAGATACCCGCTTCAACATAGGCTGATCACATATGGACAACTCCATGGCTTGCAACACCACTTCGTGACTGTTACATATAACCGAGTCGTCCCGTCTTTTGCAAAGACATACACACCCCGCTGTTGACGATGGTCGCATCAAATCTTCTCATCGCTTTAATATACGAGGACCCAGGCACCTATTTAGATCTGGGGTACAAGAAGGCTGATATCGCGCACTTGGAGGTTGGCGCTGCGGCGGAGGATATTGCTACGGCGATTATCAGACTGGGACATCGATTTGTTGCTATTCCCGATGTCAAGACGCTGGCGTCGAAGCTCGGCTCTGGCGAGGCGGCTCATTGGGATCTAGCGGTGAATATCACCGAGGGCGTGCATGGCACGGCGCGAGAGGCACAAGTCCCGGCTATGCTGGAGGCATTCAACATACCGTATACATTTTCCGACACGGCTACGATGGCATTATGTTTGGATAAGGGAAAGACCAAGGTGGGTTCTGTGACTGTTCTGGTGTGTTTGGAATACTGATGGATGCAGATGGTCTTGGAACATTATGGGATCCCGACCGCACCGTTCGCAGTCGTGTATCTAGACAAACTTCACAATCGAACCATCACCCCACAAGTCATCTGCGCTCTCACCAAAACCTCCAAGCACGCCCCGGGCCTTTTAAACCCATCCTCGTACCCACTTTTCGTCAAACCCCTCGCAGAAGGATCGTCCAAGGGCATCAAGCAGAGTAACGTCATCCACAACATCGAGGAGCTCTGCCGAGCCGTCGAGGCCATCCATTCCAGCGCGACGTCAGCGCCAGCAGTCCTGGTCGAGAAGTTCCTGACAGGCCGAGAATTCACCGTCGGCATCCTGGGAACCGGCGATGACGCATGGGTGCTGGGCGTGAGTGAGATGACCTGGAGGAACCGGGACGAGATTGATTTTGACGTCGGGTTCACGACTGAAAAGTCCAAGGCTACTGATGACTGGGATGGCCTCGCGGATGAGATCCCAGCCAATCGGGAAGATCCGCTGGTCGAGCGGGCATGCACGGTCGCGCTGCGGGCCTGGCGAGCGTTACGATGTCGCGATGGTGGGAGGGTGGATATCAGGATGGATAGGGAGTCGCCCGATGCTGTGGCCAATGTTCTGGAAGTAAGTGACGTGTGATGACATATCTGTGCTCCTTGCATGGTGTTTGCTTGGGCATTGAAGAAATGCGTGTTTCTTTCTTGTTTTTGCGAGCTCAGAGTTGGCAGACGACGTCAAACTGACCCTCGTACAGATCAATCCCTTGGCTGGATTGAGACCGCAATGGTCTCAATTGCCGCTTATCGCCAAGCACAATAGGATGTCATACGAGACCCTGCTGGAGCATATCTTGCGGAGCGCATTGAAACGGGCTCCATCACGATGGAGACTGTGACATGACCATGATGACATGCGATCGGCGGTTCCTCAGGGTTCGCCACACCCCATTTCCACCCCATTTCCCACCAAACAAATCCCACATATCCCCGACCGGAAATCCACTGCCTCATCTTTGGGTTCAAATGTTGGGGCCTGCATTTGAAGATCACACGTGACCCGGGTACGCGGCTTCTGAGTCACTTCGCCAGACCTTCCCCGTTAAGCATAGAGTTAAGAATAGATGGGGCAAATTATGTGGAGTGAAGTGGCCAGCAAAAAAAAAATGTAATTAAAAAATAATGTGACATATGGTCTGAAGAAAAGATGTGTTATATACAGTTCATTTTGGGTCGTCAAAGGTCGTGGTATCATGGTATCGTGGGTGGGCTGAAAGTTGCAAAAGGTGGCGAGAGAGAAATGAGAATGCGAAGGTCGTGGTCAGCCCGCAATCGGGCCCACCATGCAAGACCCCCCTGTCCAGAGGTGTTTAGAGGTCGCCTCAAGACAATTGCGACCCTTTTCCAAAAAACCATGCTCTGTGTGTTCGGGGGAAGGTTGAGGAGCGGTCGCGACAGCGACCGGCTCCGGCGACGGAGTGGACAGTTCTTTGGTGACTTCGACTTCCGACTCGGCCGGCGGGGTGCGGGACTTGAGGACCGGCAGTTCGGCATTCTTCATCTCCTCCTCGTCTTCATCGTCGGTGTCTTCGAAGTCGAAGGAGCTGATCCTCGACTTCATGTCGTTCTCGGTCCACATGACGGAGCCGCAGTGGAGGCGGAAGTGTGCCACGCAGCGACGGAGATCGGGATCCGGGGCAGTGGCTTCCCGGGCGAGCTTCTCCTTGGAGAGGTGTGTGAGTTTGTAGGGGAGGGCGTTTCGGTTGGCCATGGGGGGCCAGCGCTTGTTCTGGACAATGGGCACGGAGGCCGGCTTGGGTGTCTTGGGAGTCTTTTGTGTAGTGGCGTTCATTGTGTCAAGACCATACGAAGTATGGTCTGGGAGACGGGTTGTTGTTCACGGAGAATTGAGGAATGTGGGAGAGACCAAAACGGTAGGATCGTGAAGGGACGGGCAGTAGCGAGACTTATACCCTTTTTTTTCACGGGGAAGTTGGCCCAAGCGCCAGGCCGTGTCAGCAGATCACGAAACCGGTTCCAGACGGGCCTCGCCCTTTTCCTTTTCCTTCACTAATAGTACTTAGTTACTTTCTGGTATGATTCATCACCTAACCTTGTCGTATTATCTTACTTTTACCTTTACATTTCAAACTATACACTTACAAAATAAAACTACTACTAGTACTCCCTAGGTATTGTAAGTCCAATCCTTATTAAGCATATTGTACAAAATGCCAAGAGCCCCAGTTTTCTGATCATTTGATGCTTCGAAAATTTTTCGGTGGGGACTAGCTTATCTACGCGAAAAAATAGAAACGTTACGATCTCCACGGATTACTGCCCTAGGAAGTCCGAACCCCCTCACTCCGTTTGCATCCCTTAGGGAGTATACTAGCGCTAAGTACCAGTATACTATATACTATATAGTACTCCCAGACAGAACCCCTAATACCCCTTTCACTATATTCTTTGACTATTTCCGTCTTCTCGAGTGGGCCTCGGCAACCCTTCGGCTTCACGATGCCGGACCGATGTACTACGGAGTACTACTAGTATAGGTACTAGTAGTACAGGGACAATCTGCATTCAGTTATTGCCTCGCTGCACCCAGTGAAGTTCCACTGCATGCATGTGCCCCGACCTCCCCATGGGCATCCGAAATCCGCACACCGACAAGTCCACCTGCATTCCACGCTGTTCCACTAGGACTATCCCCCCCCTCCTGACGATCGGAGGGGCGCCAAGTGTCTATCCGCCGAAGACGGCTTTCAATCCTAATCCTGTGGTTAATTTATCCGTGCAATGCTGGCTCCATAACCCTTCGAAACCTACACCAAGGGGGGGCCCGACCAAACATCGTGAAGGGTGGCGTTGGAGAATGGGGCCGACCTTCACTCGGATATGGAAAAATTAATTCCGCCAGGGATCTTCATGAACTGCGCCGCAGTCGGGGTTCTGTCCGAAGGGAGAATCATTACTACGACAACTATACAGTATACCACTTACACAGTAACTACCTACATAGGTAGGTACTACTCCGTAGTACGGAGTATAGTATACATAGTATAGTATGCTGTAGTAGTATGATCGATGAAGGCCAGATCTGCTGCAGGCCTCCACACTTCAGCCACCCTAATGAAGTCTAGAATCGTGGAAAAGCAGGTTCCCTGCGCGCTAGCCGGGCCCACGGAACTAGTTCGCACACCGTGTCAGTACACCGTCTTTGCAGTAGTAGTACTCCGTACTATGACGAGAGTTATATTGCACAGATACTGCATTCTCCGAGTTCTGTACTTGGTCACTCGCTATTAACACGCTTCCCGCAGTACGCGCACGGGCTCAGACATGTGCGATCGTGAACAATGTGGGTATGAATTCTAGTCCATTCAGCGCCGAAGTGGGGTTGCTCTAGGATCGCGAGGTCTCGACTTCTCAAATACACTACACTATGTACCATGACAGCCCTGGCAGTACTAGATCCGTACCCAAGAACCTGGCGAAGCCTCTGGATCAGATCACCCCATATTCCGTATGTACCCCATACTTGGTCCTCGTATCCAAAGCGAATCATCCAGTCTGACGCCAAGCCGAGCTAGACACGACCGACTACTTGGCCTGCGAGATGGACCCCGCCGGATACTGCTAGTAGGAGAAGACGTTAACTCAATCTGATCGGAGCGTTCCGGTACAGATTGGGTGACAGCTGAAACGTCCGTTGGCTCCAAGTGGACCAGGACCACTCTGTAGCTTGTTTGAAATGGACCCTGTGCTTCAACTGGATATAAGGTGTGAAGGAGTACGGAATACAGAGTACGTACCACTGCAATGCATCATTTCGCGGGGATCCGGAACCTTTCCGCCGTTTATCCTTCGACATAAGGTGGGTTATGCACGTAGGTTCCAGTGCTGCTTGTTGCGGAGGAGTATAGTACTCGTACGCACTTGGCACTATTGGCACTATTTGTTCTCGCCTCAGTCACCGATCAACGGTTTATGTCTCTAGGTCGAAGCCACAGGAACAATCTTGAACCTGGCTCTGGAAATATTCCATACCCTCTATAGGCTAGAGCATCCTAGTCGACGCTTTAGCCTGGGCACCGTTTCCAAGATCCGGGGTAAAGCCCCGCACGCCCTATTCTCAATATTCACCATGTCAGGTCTCGAGTCACTCGATTATGACTCGCTCGCGTGATCAATCTCGTCTCTCACTTATTCTCGGCTTCAGCGAGAGGCCGAGACAAAGCCATGTGTAATAGCTTGCTGTCATCGATTTCCGCAACTGGCCGACCTGACTACCTAGGTAGGAAGACTGCTATACTTCGTTTCGTGGCACTGACCCAAAGTATCGGGTATCTCGGAATGATTGATCGAACCATTTGAAGATCGGCAGTCAGGCACTTGGGCATATGTGCATCTAGAATGCCCAAAACGGACCGATGCTTGCGCATCTCGCCATTTGGGACTAAGCCAGCGCGGGGTCAAATCGAGTCCGCGAGTGAAGAAATGAGTATTGTCACGATGGGAGTCAAGTTCCACTTTCCACTAGCAATATCAGGACAGATAATGTGGTCACTACAGTCTTCTCACTCCTTTGTATCTAATTTTCAAGTATTTTCCTCCCCTTATACCTCTCCTCTACCTAACTATCATGCCACTTCCCAGGTACAAGATCCAGTAAGGAGTACCTATCAATTACGAATATTACCCAGATTCGAAACCAAAAAGAAAGAGGTCACGCGGAATACCACACCAATGACCATATAGAGCAACCCATCTGCACAACACATAAACACTTCCGACCTCGGGAGCCTCTCCAATCCCCAAGAACTTCGTCGACAACATGAACTCGACGTGCAGGTCATGGGGTCTGGGTCCCGTGCATATAACCCGTATCGTCTCCCGGCTTTTACTGCAGATCCATTCAACCCTGGTTAGCGCCTATGTATGCGACTGCGCGCCTGATTTGCTCTTTGCTGGCCCGGTAAGGGTCATATTCCCAAGTAGGGAGATGGATATGTAACTAGCTTGGTTGTCGGGTCGGTTTGGATAAAGTTATAGAGATACATGTAGTCACTACATAGGTATTCATGCAATATACTGGGTATTCTATGGGTAATGGGGATTTCCTACTTAGGTTGCCGCCGCTTCAGAGAGTGTTTAGACTCAGGCTCTCGGGTGAGATATCAGAACGAGCTCAGAGTGGCCTTGATGGAGAATCGCTTGCGGGAGAAATCGTCGGTTATCACCATGTTATGCTCCATTTCACACTTTCCGTTCAACGTATTGTATCCTTTTGGTTTTATTGGATGCAGATCGACGTGTACCAGTTGGCCTGGTCTAGTCGCGCGAGTCTGGTTTTCCCGAGAAACGATGCGCTGCGACTTCGATAAACCGCAGGCTTCACAATCGAATTTATGATTCATGGTTTCCATACCAAGCTGATCTTTGTTGATTCTTCCAGCATAACTGCCGCAATGTCCCAGACGGCGGTGAGCTAGCTCAGCAGAGATAGTGCCCATCCCCAACTGAGCAGATCTTTCTTGTAAGCTGCTGAGGCCATAGGCATTCGACATGGCGTAGCGCATCGATCAATGAAGGTATATCCAATCGGATAGTTGTTTCTGTCGCGCAGAATCAGATCCTTCACCCCCCAAGTTATGCCTTTCTCCCGGCTGATGTCGAGAACACTCAAGAGATTGAATCTGGCATTTGCTTTGTAGAGGGCCTCTGGTGAACGAAGAGGCAAGCGAGTCTCGCCATATCCATCTGAGATGACGGTATCACCGCCGCTCGTATCCCATCCGGGAGCGTCAACTTGGTGCTTCCGCAGATTGGTAAACAAGGATTTGTTGCAGCAAATGTTGTATGATGAGCCGCTATCCAGAACCCAGTCTCAATCTCAGCGTAGAAGAAGTGTAGTGATAAAAGCCCTCTTGATATTCAAGGATGGCGGTTGATTGGCAGTCGGTATAGATGAAGTTTCCGATAGATCAAGATTTGCATCCAGAGGCCCCGGAATCCTTGAGTAATATCTCACCGAGACTCGGGAGTCAGGACTCGACACCCGAGACCCTTAAGGCTAACATACACCCGTGGACCTTAAGAAGCTACCTAGGTAGTTCGTTGAGATCACGTTGGTCCGTCACTTTTCTCGCACTTTACCGTCACTTAATGTACTCGAAGAATACACTTTCATACTTCGTTATATAGTTTTAATATGAATAACTTGAATTCTGAGTCTCAGTATTCTCTCACTTCACCGTAACTTAATATCACTTTTTTCTTACTTCTATTCAAGTAATGATAGAACGTTAGATGGTCAAAAGTTTCACTATCCTCACACTTCGCTATTCTAGCACTTCCCTCTCAGTAATTATTATTGATTGTCCCTTTTCTTTCTGTAACGCTTTATCTACTTCGTCTCCATTCACATTAATTTCCACCATGGGTAGCTCCATGTATGTCAAGACGACATGCTGCTTTGATGTGAGATCCTCGCGTTTCCCCAGTTGTCATTAGGTTCGTGCCGCGGTTGGTCGGGGGCCATTCAAGAGGGGGAACCAGTTCATTGAGACTCAAATTCGGCACTCGGCGTCTCCAGTCTAAAGCCCGATGGCTGAAAGTCATCCGTTCAATATCAAGATGTGGGACGCAGGGACCAGGGCCACTCGAGACTCAATGAAATGCAGGCATTGAAGTCGAGGATGCATCATTTCATCTGCGCAAACGCGTCACTCACTGCCCAGCCGGAAGATTGAATTCAATTTTGTCTGCTAGACTGATGGATTTGTAAAGCTGCTGTAAGGCCCGGGATTTACCAAGTCGTTAGTGTTCAGCACCTGGGACTAGCATATCCCTAGACTCGGTGAGTTAGTGACCCAGTCCAACAGATGACTTATGCTTTCAAGGGAATGTAGAAGGCCACGGCGGGACCGGACACTAGGTGCATCACTAACGGGGGCGTTCCGAGGTTGCAGGGAAAGATGTATCTCCTGCCTGATACAGTGGAGGCGGCAGCTCACAAGCCGAGTGAAAGAGAAAGTCTTCATTGGCGCGAGTAAGACGATCAAAAAATTCCTGGGAATCGAAATGGTGTATGTCACCTCACCTCTCGGTCACCTCCAGTGCAATTACTTAACCTCCCCTCCCCCGTGGTAGCTCATTTGCACCATTTGACTCCTCTCACCTTGCGCTTGTCACCAACATCACTCGTTATCTCCAATTCCAACCAGCCTTGAAGGCCTTCTAGAACGTAGGGATCGCTCAAGCCCGGGTATCCCTGCACTTTCTTTGTTTCAGACATTCTGCCGTTCCATCTCAATGTGGAAAACATTGCATGGACATTCTTTGTAGGAGTTCGCCACGCTGGGCAACCGGAATGATGACACTTCTTGTGAGCTGATGTCGTCAAGATGTTCTTATTCCTATTTCGGAGGACTAGGTCAGGGGGAACCTAGTAATGTTACCGGAGGGTAGCAGTGATCTTTTCATCTCGGAGGCTTTGTTTCTATTATGACGTTAGTTCTCATAGACAAATCTCCGAGCGAGGATCGATTCCTTTGAGCGTTGGGGACTGCATGAATGATTGTTCTTGGTGCTCGTAGGACGTTTGCTCGGTTTTCTGAGAAGTGTCGGAGATTGTATTCTGCCTTTTGGCACACGCTGATCACATTTGCCAGGGATGAGCCCCGCGAGAGTAGCTTGGAGGAACATCCTGTTTGTCCCGTAGGCTTCGAGTAGTTTTGGGGCTCAAACTGTTTGTCTCACTCTCTGTGTGGGCATCTCGAGGTAGTCGCACCGGTTTTGATCATTGTGGAAGTGATAGAAGAGAGTAGAAGCCGAGGGAAAAGGAGAGCTCAAGCACTTTCCAAACCCATCGCTTTTGGTCTTTTTGGACCACAGATGCACTTGTAAACGACGAGGTACAAGAGCAGATAGCAGCTATACAGAGTCGTGCAGAAATGTGATGAGGCTGACATAGTGTCATTTCCATCGTCACATTTGTCATTTAATTTGTATACTCTGCCCAGGTGATGTGTTGCCCATAGTTATGTCTCCTGTTCTTCGATGGACCACTCTGGAGGAGGCTTCTGCAATTCGGAACCTCCAGAGGCCGACGCTAGCGGACAACCCATGGACTCTAGCTAAATCTGGAAGACGCGTGGCCCCCGAGACGCATGCGAAAAGACCTATAGAGATTTGAAGTAAATCGAGGCAGATGTATCATTCTGCAGCTCATAGCTACAAACACTCGATCAAGGAACAAAAGGACTAGGAGTCTCTCGTTTGTGCAGGATGTTGCGTTATGCCAGAGCTTTTCTGACATTCAAAATTATACATGCTCGCCTGACCCATGTAAGGATGTAGTTTCATGTTGCATTAGAAGAGAAACATTTCAAACCTTGCTCAGAGTCAAAATCACATATATCAAGGTCGGCAAACTATAACTGCGGATGTAATTGGAATGTATTCTCGACACCAATGATGTTTGAGCTCTGTATGTGTCAACTCAACCCCGCATGGAACGGACGCTCTTGAAAAATGCAAGGGGATGGGAGATGAGATAACCGCGGACATGGTAGAGGCTATGATTTGACCAGACATGGGGGTAAAGTGATCTTTGCCTGTTGTGGAAATTTAATTTACTACTTGTGCTAGACCGGGGAGATTCCAAGTTTGGGAAGATCTTGTGCGTTTCAGATGGTATCTCGCGATGATCTGCTCTTTTCATTCCATAGTTGGCATGGTGAACTGCGGGAGAGAGCATCTAGCGCAGAATCGGAGTTCTCTCGCCATGACCCTGAGATGATCAGAAGGACATTGCCCAGCTGCATCTAGGAAACCCAATCAGACCGTTGAGCAAATGACCGCTGCAAGGGCTAGGCTAAGCATTCCGAATAGTATTTCAATGATCCATATACAAAGTCACTCTGTGCTAGGTTCATACGACACAGTTGGTATTCGTGTGACGCGTGCGAAGGCCGGCACCGAGTGTAGAAAATGGAAGCGCCGCAAGGTATGCTGTGGGACCTGGGATCGAGTATGCTATACTCTAATACACTGTTCATTCCTCGTTTGGGTCCGTACTACTGGAAGACGGAGTTCAACGTCTCTAGCCTCGACCCAGCCACATCTATGCGCACAGCCGGGGACGTATATCCAAGTAAATTCCGACTCCGTCTAGGCGTTTGTATTTGGAGTTCATGCTGATTGGTGCAGGCCAAGGCAGTTGGCTGCGCATGGGCCGTTGATCGACTCTTTAGTTCCCGCGCAAATGACCCTCTCGGGTTCATCCATAGCGTCTTCTGTAGGTCATCTGCTCGTCGTGGAGCGAATCATACTGCATCCAAGGGGTTTGGATCTTGGCGCTCGTTCCACGACACGAGGCTGCGGCATCTTACATCTATGACCGTTTTACCCATGAACTGCCCTGTTCTTCCACGTACTAGTATTTTCCTGTAGAACCGACAGAAGGGTATTACCGTACAAGAGTATGTATTGACAAGCCCCTCTCATCAACTTACACAATCCTGCCGAACACCCTACTCAGACTTCCGCGGCTGTTCGACGGAGGATTATCACCAAGCTGGGTCGGCGCAAAATAAGAGCTCTCGAGCCTAGACTGAGGAACTATCACAGGTGACGTATTTCTCGTTAGGCTGCCCAGATTATCCATTTGGGCTTCACCCGATATGATCCGACCATCGTGGGGTTGGGCCTTCGGCTGTTGCATATTGCTCTAGCCGATAGTAAAAACGCATCCATAGGGGAGTCTGATATAGTGCAATTTCAATCGTTTGCACGTAGATGTCGACATTTGCGCCTCACAGTCTACTTGCCAGCCCTGCAACCGTTCAAGACACAAGTTACACGGCTCAGAATCCAGACTTGAAGAGGCGTCTTTTGAGCTCGATCTAGTACAGCGTCTAGGCTCGGCCCTTTGCAACGCTTCAGTTCGCAATCTCATGCCTCTCCTTTCCCACTCTAGATCTCTGATATTAGCCTACGATAATACACGGACAATACCAATACGCCTACCAGGCAGTCATCTCGTGATTGGCCCCGATGCGGATAGTATCTGAGGATTTCTCGAAATTCAAAGAGCCTTTTGTACTTCGCTTGTGCTACCGTTGCACCCTTTTTTGAAAACCAATTTTAATTCTCTCTTTCTCCTGCAGACGCCAACGTCCTTTGTTGCCCAAAAGACGCAGGGTCCTTCTCCGGGTTGCTCAGCGTATATCGAGGCTGTGCCACTCCGGGAACTCGTCTCTTTGGGAATTCGTGAAGCCAAAACAAAAGGTAAGGGGAAAAGCAAGACCCCATCCAGCCGTGTAAAGGTCAAAGTCGGGTTCCACTGATCTCGACTCTGGAACATTTGCTGTCGACTGGCGCCGTACCCGCGACGCCCCCCAAGCTCACAAAAGGATTTCCCTTCCCCCCTGCCCCATTCAGCTCTTGTTCTTGATCTCTCTTATTATCCGGGAAAAAACGATTATTAATTCTCAGCCCAACCTGGGAAGTGGTGTTTATCTTTTCCTGTTTTGGGCTCTCTCCATGACCGACAATTCGGTTTAGCCCAAGAGCACGGGGCATCAGCAATCTGCAGGCCATTGATCCGTGTCTGATTCGGCGCCACTTTTCTGTTGCAGACTGTGAGTATCCTCTTTCATCCTGTGCCCTGATCCTGGTTAAGCTTGACTTTCTCGGGGGGAAAAAAGAAGAAGGTCCACGGTGGCCGTTGATGTTCCCGATATATGCAACCTGAATCCTCAGGCTGCCAACCCTCACCGCCTCGCTTCCTTTCCCCTCTCAAACATCCAAGTTCATCCGAACCTACACCAAGCTCAACGAAGACCTAATCCACCATAGAAACCCCATCCTGCATGAGCATCGGGGTCCTGCGCCACTGCCGAGCCCTTCCCTGTGTCCTTCGTCCGGATACATTGCGCGTCTGCCTGACGCGCCCATCCCGCGACACTTGTCCCGACCTGTGACTATGTATGGCACGTCTCATTCCTTATCTACGATGAATGGTATGGACATTGTCGATGGTTCGGGGACCATCGACCCTGCGAATCTGAGCAACTCCGGTATGTTCGATCTCCACATCCTTGCCCTGGTGCGCTTTTGTTCTCTTGATCGTTCCGCGTTACGTTTCGCGATCGCATTTTATTTTCTCGCGCGCCTGCTCCGGGCCACCAGATCCAATTGCCATTTCCCGGCCTTATTTCTTTGTATTCTACTGGCCCATCACTGCTTGCAAACTGATACCCATCCTAGTTGCTGTTGTCGTGCCAGAACCTCCCCACGCAATAGCAAGCCCCCGTGGTGTCAAGCGTAGTCGCACCCCAGAGCGCAGCGGGAATGGACACGCCGAAGTGGACCAGGATGATGGTACGTGTGCCGTGGGGCAGGCATTTCAATTTGTATTTCCAACAGCGCTTTGACGTCTGCTTTAGTCGCGACTGAGGTACCATGGATGGTTACTGACATCTTTCGTTTCGCATGTTAGAAGAACAGAGTCGTCGCAAGCGAGGTCGACCCCCAAAGACGCCCCGGGCAGGCTCCAATGATCAGCCTTCCGCAAATACGCCCGTCCTGACCCCCCAAATGCAAGCGCGTGCGCTGCCCACATCCACCGCCGGCTCGCCGCCCCTGGCGTCCCCCGACAGCAAAACTACGCCGACCAAGTCGTTGGTCAAGGCACTCCCCACCGTGAGAGATCATACATCCGACCAGCTGAATCCAGAGGGCGATGAGTACATACCCAAGGAATTCGACGAGGCAGGAGAAACCAAGGCAGATCCTATGGGATATCTGCAGGGCAACCGTGAATATAAATGCCGAACGTTCCGCGTTCCCCTCCGGGGGACGAAGCTATTCATGCTTGCGACCGAGTGCGCCAGGGTATTGAATTATCGAGATTCATATCTTCTGTTCAACAAAAATCGCTCGTTGCACAAGATTATTGCTTCCCAGATTGAAAAGGACGACCTCATTCATCAAGATATACTACCCTATTCCTATCGCTCTCGGCAGATCGCCATTGTTTCCGCCAGATCTATGTTCCGCCAATTCGGGAGCCGGGTGATTGTGAACGGGCGCAGGGTTCGCGATGACTACTGGGAAAGCAAGGCGATCAAGCAAGGATTCACAGAGGATGATATGGCAGGAGAAAAGCGCCCCGGCGCAGCCAAGGCTCGGGACGGGACTACGGCGGAGCCGGCCACAAATATGCTCCCGGCACTTCCCCACAATGATGTTGTCTACAGCAGTACGATCGAGCCATTGCCTCCCGGTCTGTCGCTGGATGTGGGAGATTCGATTTCTCTGGGCCCGTTGCCCATGATCCACATGGCAGCAGCAGATGACCCACGGCTGCGCGACTACAATGCCATACCGCGCGCACGGCAGGAAATGACCGGGCAGCCTTATCATGACCGCACCCAAACCAGTTCCGCAGCGGACCTTATCAACCAAGCGCAACACACAGCAGATTTCAACAAAGGCCTGACCAGCCAGCGGTCCTTCCGCCAAAAGGGTCTGGATGAGTTCTACTCGAAGCCCCGCGAGGCCCCGGTCTCAGAGGCGCAGTCCAGTACTGCCCTTGAATCGGGGTTGTCCGTATCGCAGCCTGTGCAGGTCTCTCACGTGCCCCAGCCCGGAATGCCAAATCAAATGCACGCCCAGCAGCACATGATGCCTCAGCAAATGCCCATGCAGGCCAACCCAATGATGGGTAGCCAGCCACACTATCCTCAACAGGCCCATCCCCAGTCGGTCGGACAGTCCCCTCTCCGAATTCCGACGAACATGCAGCCCGCCCTCATGCAGCACCGACCCAACCAAGCTATGCCTGGAGGTATGCCACAGGCTGCTCCCTACGGCTACCCATCCCAGCAGCAACAGGTGTGGGGTCAGCCACCCCCACAGCCACAGCCATCCCCGTTGCCCTCGTCGGGTCACCAAGGCGTTGGAATGCCCCAGTACGGTCAACAGATGTCTGCAGCCCCGCAACAAAGCCCATCACCCATCGGCCCTCACCCGCAACAGCAACACCACCACCAGTCTCCTCGCAACCAGCAGCGCCAGTCAATACCACAGGTGCCACAGCAGTTTGCCCAGATGCAACACCCCCAATCCGCACAACCCCCAGGCATGCAGGGCATGGGATACCCCGGAGGTGCGCCGGCCGGCTACCCGGGAATGCAACGAGCCATGTATCCACCCAACCAAGCCCCAGGCGGTCAGCAATTCATGGCCGGCAACCCTCAACAAGCAGGCCTTGCAATGGGCATGGGAGGCAACGGTATGCCTGGGTGGCCCGGTCCTGGCGGACAGATGCAACCTGGCCAGCCTCAGCCGGGTCAGTCTGGCAGCGCCTTGGGTGGATGGAATTACTAGATTCGGTCGGCGTTTACCCTAGATTGGCTTATTCGTTTTTTTTGGTCCTCGTGTTTGGGCAAATTCAGTCGTTTCTGCCAGTCGACTTCCATCCGCTTTCTGTTCTTTCTTTTCTTGCCCGTGTCTGAACCCTTTTTTTCCTATTTCCCATCTTGTCTCAGTGTCTCATTGCATTCCTCGCTGCATCCCATGGTGGAGGATCTTCGGTTAATGTTAATCCGGGCCAACCTATACCCTTTGTTGAGTTGTACTTGGTCAAGGTACCTGCTTCTTCCTTTTCATGTCATGCCTTTACCGGCGTTATCATTTGTTTGTTCCTACTCGGCGTTGTCATTACCTCGGCTTGGACAGAGTGTTACAAGATTATGAGTATGTACGTGGTTTTTGTTTCTCATAAACGGTGGATAGAGGAATCGCCGTGGAACCTGGCAATCTAGTGTTCTTGTGCCCTGCTCAGGTATCTAGTATCTGGACGCCCTTGGAATCCTGTCCGGGCGTGTACTTCCTACTTTCAATTTTATGTATTTTTTCTCAAATCAAGATCTTGTCTTTTACAGCGTTGCCTTGCATTTCTCACGTCGCTTCTGTGTCTATCTTTTACTATGTAATATGACGCCAGACAGGCTGAACACCCATACTCTCCATATCTAAGCCGTTCTATAAACCCCAAATCAAAATCAACGCACAAGCCGAGTATTCATAATCAACCCACCCCGAACCTCCCACTTCGCATCACTCAAATCCCCCGGCAAAAGCCCCTCATCCCCATTCGCCACAAGAGCCTCAACAAGCGTCGCCATCCCCGCATTCACAAACCCAAGCCTCTCATAGAACCTGATCGTAACATCATTTCCCGCCTTAACAATCAACCGCACCTGAACATTCCGCGGCGAAGACCGATACACTCGCAAATACTCCATAGCACTCTGGCATAACTTCGCGCCCAGACCGAGGCCCCTGTGCTCCGGGAGCGTGAACAGACTTAGCATTTGCCATCGCTCTTCTTCGTCGTCCGGTCTTTGGGCTGCTTGGCCTGATTCGGGTGGTAGTGTGAATTCTTGGGCAGTCATGGGCCCGCGGAGTGTTACTTGGCCGATCCATTGGGGTTCGGGGTCTGGGTCTTGGGTGTTGAGTGGGGTGGCGGTGCAGATGAAGATTGTTCGGTTGGGGAGTGTGATGAGGTCTTGCCAGGTGGTTTCTGTGAATTTGGACTCGATTTCGTAGGTTGATGAGAATGAGTTTGGGGATGTTTGGAGGGCTTTGAGGCGTAGGGCTCGGTGCTTTTGAGCGGATTTTGCTACATCTTCTGTTTTGGAGATGGGGAAGTAGGAATAGGAGAATTTGGGATTGGAGGCCATGGTGTCTGATTGTGCCAGCTTTGGATGTATAGATGACTTTCGAGGGCTTATTTATTCGCTGATGGGCACGCTACGGCGAACTTGAAATTGGCCGATGGCGCCCCACCGGGATACTTTGGTCGCTGACTCAATTCCACTGCGATGATGGTTGATGATAAATCGAAAAAAGACAATACTTATGTTTATTGGTGATGGCTGTATCAGTACGGTGGAGAGTGGTTAGACATGGAAATGGCGATATCGAAATCATTGAACATCCCCACAGAGTCAGGTAAGCCAAAATCCACGTCGGACTGTGTCAGGAAGTCCAGCATAGTGGGCTGGTGCAGTGCCATCTCTGTCGTGAGGTATGGGACATGCGAATCGAAGATCAGATGACTTAAATCCTCTGCAGGGGCGATGGGATTCCGAGGATGGCCTGGAGGCCGGCAGGGTTGCAATGGCGTCGCGGTGGTATCCTGATCCACTGAAGGCTCACTGAAACCCTCAACGTTTGAACTCCGAGGAGCGATAGATGAAGGGCGGAAGGAACTGCTGTGAAGACATTGATGGACCCGTTGAATCCGCTCGTAATAATCCTTTGATATCAGTTGGTCAGACAAGCTGAGACTCCTGAGCATTTCCATGGCTGTTTCAGCCGTTGCTAGATCACTCGGGTCACCGAGTGGTAGAAGACTGGAGAGTATCAAAACTAATGCAGCCGAGAAAAGGTACGCGGGGAAGGTGTAGCCGTATTTCGACAAGCTTCCGACAGTCCATTCATTCACACACAGTGCCAGAGAGTGTCTGGCTGAGTGTATGCATGCCTCGCTTAGGGTGGCTAGGACCGGTGAGATTGGTTCCGCAAACTGGTTGTTTGAGTTCTTCGTTTGTAAAGTGAGAACGTGTAGGAGAACTGGTCGAATTGTCAAAATGACGCACTGGGGAGGTCAGCGCATGAACATCGAGGAGGGGATATCGTGAACCTACAAAGTTGAACTGGAGATGCATGTGAATCGTGTGCTTTGGGCTTGCTCCATCGGGGTTGAGTCTCAAATGCGGAGGCAAAGATTGAACCCACTGCTTTAGTTGAGTCAATAGTTTTTGCTCACGGTGTAAGAAACTCTCAGTGGAGATCTTTCGACAATATATCTCTCCAGTCGTATCGCCGGTAATCCTGGATAGCTGAATGCCCGCGATCTGATATGCCCCATCTGAAAATTGATCGGGGTAGGCCTTGCACTCTGCAAGAGACGGTTCATCCACGTGGACATCCTCGTCGTGAATTTGCATTGGGAACCCTAATTTCGAGCCCCAGAAGCGCTCCAAGGTGTATATAGTCCACCAGATGCGAATCCGATGCTCGCTTGCGATGGGGTGCAAATCTTGATCTTGTGGGACATTATAATTCAGGCCTAAGCCGAGCGCCAGGCGCAACGCATTCCCTACATAGACATATGCAGAGTGGAAACGGTTCAGAAACTGACAGAAGTATGCCTGTTCGTATGTAAGCACTGGCAATAAAAAATTGGGGGATCAACCTACGATCAGCAGCAGGCTTTCTATGTGGATCATGCTTGGTCTCTCGGGGATGATTTGAATGAGGCTCAAGGCTCGGGCAAAGTAGGCAGAGCCTGGAACATGCGACTGATTAGATGCATCACGAGGGGTCGAGACGGCCTGGGAGAGGGCGAAAAGAGCAAAGTATTTGCACTTGATGCTTGGATTGTCGAAGTCCCCTCGTTGATAAACGCCGTGGAGCATGTCCACGGAATCCCTCTTCAACGCCAAATGAAAACATGGGATGATATGACCAAGTGCAGTTTTCACCATCAGCTGGGCAGACACAAGATTGGGCCATGGCGTGTCGCTGTGCAGTAACGCTGATAGAGTTGCTTCGTCTGTGTACCGGGTTTTGGGTAGATAAAGCGTTGGAGTATTGGTTTTTGTCAAACACTGGCAGAGTCGAGTAGCGAACGCTGTACAAGTTGCTTCACTGATGTAGAGTGGCAGGACAGGGGCATCATGCACCTGAAACCATGGCTTATCACCGAGGAGATTGCCCTGTATTTTGGGCTCGTCATTCACAGAAGCCCTGTCATGCGCGATGGGCTCTTGTTGAACCTGAGGCTCTTGTTTTGAGCCATGCCGTTGTTTATGCAACTCTTCACTGTCTCTCAATAGCTGCTCCAAATAACTGTCATCCAGGATTGTTAGTAATCCAGTGACATCCGGGTCTCCACCTGGGCAGCCTAAAGGGTTCCCTGGGTTCTTGGGGTTTCTGCAGAAAAGTACCTTTCATCAACCCGTATTTTGCGATCTCGAGTCGCATAGTTACACTGATTCCCGTAACCCGCACTGCGGCATTTGGCACATGGCTTTTCCCCAGAGCACTTGATCTTCTGAGAATGGCAGCGGTGGCAACTGTAACACTCATCAGCCAGGACTACTTGTGCCTCCGACTCAACTCACGCAATCGCACGCTTCTTCGGCCTTGAGGCCCGATACATCTGAGAACCGAGATCCATACACACAGTAGTTGCATGAAACAAGTGAAGTCGCGAAGGCAAAGAGTCAAGTGGGGACCGGTGAACCTAAAACTGTCCGAATCACGAGCCTCAGGCAGGAATATTCTGGATTTGGTATCAACATATGTACATAGCGTAGAGTCATGGCAGCATCTAGGCCAGCAAGAACCGTGTGGGGGTCTCGCTCTCCTGGAGCTCTAATGCAATGGAGTTTTTCCGTCGCTTTTTGGGAGGGTTGACGTGGATCTTTAACCCTTTGTTGAAATTGATGATGCACATCACGGAGTTGATGAGCGTGAGCAACATTAAAAGCAGTGAGACACCGGCAAACAGCGACAGGGATATTCGGACAGATTTGAAATTGACGCTGTCTTGGGTGCTGTGCATCCGGACCAAGGTGAGGGCAAAGCAGCCCATGATTATAAGCATGAAGAACTGAGACGGTGATTAACATGCGTTGGATAGAGTGCCTGCGCGGGGACTCACCATCATCAAAAGAAGAGACTTTCTCATTTCCCGCTTGCAGAACTGAGCGGACAAAATCAAGGTCGCGATGGTGATTGGAATCAAGGCGGCATTCAGAATGAAATCGGCGTTCTCAGCCTCAGTCACCACGAGAAGGACTTGGAGTTGACTGCCAAACACGAAGAAGAAGTCGAACTTCAAAAGGGAGATATACACCTGATTGCATTAGCGTCTGGTACCGATCGCATGCCTGATCCACTCACCTGGTACGTGAGATACCGGCGCTTCATCTGCAGATCCGCACTGATATTCTTGTAGATGGACCAAGAGAACTCGGCGCGCAATTTCCACGTAAAGAATATCATGCACACGGTGCCGACGCCCAATATAATCGGCACAATGATCAGTTCGATCCGGTATATCTTCAACAAGTCGTCGCTGAGACTGTCGCTCTTGACCATCCCGCTGATGGTCGACTGGATTTCCTGCATTTGCAGGAAACTATAGGTCAAGAGACCCAAGTTGCAGATGCATAGTCCGACCAGTTGGATTGTGTTTTTCCGGCGCAAGGCATCGTAGGACAGCGCCAGTTCATAGAGTAGGGCGAAGATGAATAGACCGAGGAATGACTGGAGGCGCAATGGACCTTGACTCTTTCCGTCGTCGCTGAGATTGTTCCAGAGACTGATTAAGATCCAGCTGGGTTGCGACCATCAGCCATCATCCAAATCCAGTTGTGCGCCCGAGATGAGCGTTACCTTTCAATTGCGACAGTCAGTACTGTTTCCGTGATCACGGTCGAGGCGAAGAGTCGGGTCCATAGTGTATTTGGGATGTAGAGTAGGGGGCGGCTGTGGTTGGGGGCCTTGGAGTGCTCGTTCATGGCGGAATATGCATAGGTGGTTTGATCCCCGGTGGGTGTACAAGACAAGATCGCAAGAAAAGAGAAGAAAGACCAAGCTCAGGGTTAAAGTGTGGGGCGAGTACGCAAGGCGACAGACTAAAAGGCCAAGGCCGATCTAGTTGTTGTCTTTTTTTAGATTAATATAGATCTCTATTCTAGGCCATTGCCGATCCTTATTTAACGGTAAAATTAGGTACTCGCACCTAGGTAGTACTACTACATACTACTCGTACTCGCTATCCTAAACATGCCAAGAGGAATGTTAAATGTCAATGCAATCTGGGGCTCAGCCCTGTGTCTTTAGCTTGTTTTGACTGTAAAAAGGAGAACCCAATGGGGATATCTAATGTATGCTTCTGCCTTGAACGCCAAAATACGCTATGAATATGAAAGCAAGACAATAAACCTTGGAAATCAGAACTCCATCTCATCATCCCATCCCAGCTGCGCATAAATGGATGGCGTTTGGGCCTTTTCCGGGGTAACAGGCACTGCAGGTGCACCCTTGATGGGCGTTCCCAGCACAGCCGGAGACTGCGCCCGGGCCTGCGCGTCGCGAGATGCAGGGATTGGAACAGCAGTAGGGGTGAACACCTGTTCGGGTGCACGCTTTTTAGGTGGGGTTTCCATGATCGCCGCGGAGCGTGCGCTGTCGAGAGATTGCTGGAATTGTTGAGATAGCGATGCGCTTGGGGCTACGGGGGTATGGCGGGAGTGCACTGGACTGCCCGGGACCATGGGTTGGGTCGCAGAGCGAGGGGCGGGGAGATTGGGCACCCGGAACAGTCCTTTGCCAGAGGAGGAGGGCCGACGGGCAATGGCGTCGCTCTGGAAGATTTTGGACGAGGGTCTGGTGGGGGTTTCATGAATGGTTCCTTCTGGACGGGAAGGACTGCGTCCTAGACCGCGAGGACTCAGTGGGTCGGAGTCACCACCGGAGAAGGAGATTGCACGCCGGCTCGACGAGGGGATCCTGAGCGGGGACTCGCCAATGGGTGAGTTCTCGACACCTGCAAAGGAGCGAGACGGCACGAGACTGCGCGGCAGGTGTGGCCCTGCTACGGGGTCTTTCCTGCGATTGGCCCTAGGCGTCGCCATGACCTGCACACCCTCACCGAATGGATTGCGGACGGGGTTCTTGGATTTCCTTGAGCTGCCTCCGCCGCTGGAGACTCGCTTGTTCACATCCTCGGCGATGTCTTTGGAGACGAGCTCCCGATTTGGTTTCCTCAGGGCGTGGATAGCAGCATCAAGCTCTTTCTTTTGATCGGCCATCATTTGAACCTTTCTCAACTTGGTCTCGTGCTGTCTGGCCACAGCCTCGAGATCAACTTCGCGGTTATCGGTGCGCTTGGCTTTCTGCATGCCACCGCGCACACTACCGCTAAGCACGGTAGGTAGCAAGGGCTCACTGTCGCGCTTCCCGTGAGGGTGACTGGGCGCGGTATTAGACCTGTGCAACCCTGGTACACGAGCTTGAGAAGCGGTGGCCTTGTCATCGGTAAGGACTCGCTGCAATGTTCGCCGGGGCTTCTGGGCGGGCGGCTGTCGCTTGATCTCGGTTCCAGGTTCCACGCGATGGGATTTACTAGATCGGATCTTTTTGGTGATGGGCGAGATGCCACTGGAGACACCAAATTTGCGGGTGATCAACCTGCACTTGTCTGGGAGGCGGGCGGCATAGAATGGAACGATCACCTCCGTACAGAAGTCGCGCACGGCATCGCTCTCGGTCTTTTTACCAGATAGATGGTTGCCACTGAATGAAGATGCCTTTGCTGTATCGGAAGCAGTTGTCTCTTGCATGGTCACAGCATGCCAGATACACATTCGATCAAGGTGCAATTCAAGGAGCACGTGGAGATCCGCCAGCTTTTTGGCCTTTGGCTTCTTCTGTGTCTCTTCCTCGCCATCTGGTTTCTCTTCCTTACTAGGGTTGGCCTTGCCGGCCGACTCAGTAGTCATTTCCAGGACCATGACCTCCAATATCAGAAGAATCTGTAACTGTGTCTCGCGCAGTCGAAGATCCGATATCTGCTTCTTGGACTCTGCCTCACGCGAAGTTTCTCGAGCTGACGATTCGTTCATAGCCCTTTCTTTCCACCATTTGTGGATAAATCTTTCTTCACCGGGATACAACCCATTCCTACCAAGTTTCTTCTTCTTACTCTTTCGACCCTTGGGCTTCTGCTCATCCTCGGAAATGGCGAGAGCGGCATCGCCTACCGCCGATGGTAGTGATTCTTTGTATTTGAGATCCATTTTCTTGGCTGGGATAATGGCCTCGCGATAGAATGCAATCAACTCCGCTGACGCTTCAGGTTGTTCCGAGTCACGGACTTGGAATGCAGTTCGACAGCGCGTCAACGGACCTTTTGCAAAGTACGCTACGGAAGTCTAGTATGAGTTAGCCAAGAATTTTTCAGATATAACACGCATATTCACCTTTGAGATGTAGAGAGCCTGTAGATAATGATCCCTCATTCCATCCAGTAGCTCTTCAGGCGACTGTTGCATGTCCGCCATATGGGGCTCCACGCTATCAAGATGCATAGCGTCAGTCTCATCCAATCCCTGGGACTTGGAAACAGTGAAGGGATCATCCTCGGCAGCGTCGAAACTGCCAAGAGCAAACATGCGACTCTTTTCCTCTTCCACGCCCAGAGAGGAATCGACAGCATCGAGACCTGGCTCAGATGGTCCAAAGACAAGCGCAATGTTGGGTCCAGCTGGCTTATCCTCAATTCCGAGCCCAGACATGGGCTCCTCAATCCGCGCAGTCTCCCACCAGTCAAAGTCATCAGACACGCCCATTGGCTCGTCAGCAGTCGTGTCATGTGCCACCGCAGGTTCACTTTTATGCCACTGCTTCGCTGCAGCGAGGATATCTCCCTCATGAACCCATCGCGCGAGCCTGGAGAGCGAGTAGATACCTCTCTTTACCCGCTCGACAACGTAGAAGCCGCCATTGACCATCAATTTCACAGCTAGGACTGCTGGCTCGGCCTTGGCGCGGAGATCATTTTCCAGCGTGGGTATGTCTGCGGTGAACAGGCCACCGGCTTGTTCGTCGGATCGGGAGGCAGGCGTGTCGTCGAGCCATGAGAGAGGAAGTCTGGATCGGGAAAGAGCAGTTATCGGCTCGAGGATTAAGGGTTCATCGGATAGAGACGCAGCGTGAGCCTACTGTCGCAGAGGGGAATTAGCAACAATCAACCAACTTGATCACCCTGTACTGGGCAGATATGGACAGCACTGACTCTAATGACAATTGAGGAGGTAGCAAGCCGTCCAGCGGCGCAGTATGCCTCATCGGTGCTTCTTTTCCGTTTCTTGGTCGGTGGAGGGGTCGGCTCGTGCAGTTTATTGAGCGTTGCTGAGTTGAGTGGATCCAGGATTTGAGGGACTATTCGCGAGTTCATCATCGCGCTTCAGAGGGGCATCATGTATTCGTTAGCTAGTCAAGTCCTGTGAAGACCATGAAACTATGTTGCACTTGAGGGAGTTGATCGAGTTGATCGCGCCGAATCTTGGCGGGCCTGGCGTCACGCGTCGGGACGTGCACTCCGCCTCGAGTATAAGGACTTTTACATGCTTTTATGAGATGCTCTAATGGGCTTTGACATTGCTAGAAAGAATTGCTATTGCCATTGTCAAGCAGAAAACTTGTTTAAGAATTGTAGTGCTGAAGATATATGAGTTGGTACGTTAAAATGCTACGTTGAGAATGGATTTGACGCCCAAGAAAAAAAGTAGGGTTATATTATTGAATCTATCGCTAATGTTGATTTTAGCAGGCCCAGGACCCAAACGAACAGACAAGAGGGCTCTCTCAGAGAGCACCGTAGCGGTGTCGTTCGCCGAAGCCGACGGAGTGTGATCTCGTGTGGAAGCGAAGCCAGGGACTCCTCGGGAGGCACCGTGGGTGAGAGGTAGAGGGTATTGAGGTAGTGAGGTAGTGAGGTAGAGAGGTGGTTGAAGGCTGTTGCTTCCGAAAAACGCCAAATAACTTCCATTCCCAGCCGATGAAAAGTGGTATCATGTTGAATTTTGTCTTCGCCAAAAAGGCCCGTCATTTGCGCGACCATGCAGATAATGAAACAGAGAGATTGGCCGGACCAATCCCTGGATTTTTATGAGGGTTTTAATAGTCTATGCTCATCGTGCTTTGAGTTGTTGAAAACAAAGCTAGCTCATCACAGTCGTCAAAAAGTGCCCGGGGTTACCGGGCTAAGCACAATGCTCCTTTAGAACTTGAGAGCACGGGGCTTCTCCCAGGAGAACTCCTGGTTGGTGAAGTGACCGTTCTTGGCGGTCTGCGCGTAGATGGGACGGGCCAGGTCAAGGTCCTTCACGATGACACCGGGACGCAGATCGAAGTTGTTGCGGATGATCTGGACCAGCTCGTCGGAGGTCTTGTCGGAGGTACCGTAGGTCTCGACGAAGATGGAGAGGGGCTCAGCAACACCAATGGCGTAGGAGAGCTGGACGAGGGCACGACGGGCCAAGCCGGCCTTGACCAGAGACTTGGCGATCCAGCGGGCCACGTAGGCAGCGGAGCGGTCGACCTTGGAGTAGTCCTTTCCGGAGAAAGCACCACCACCGTGGGCACCCCAACCACCGTAGGTGTCGACGATGATCTTACGGCCAGTGAGACCGGCATCACCCTGGGGTCCACCGATGACGAAGCGGCCGGAGGGCTGGAGGTGGTAGACGGTGCGGTCGTCCAGAAGCTCAGCGGGGATGACGCTGCGGACAATCTTCTCCTTGAGGGTGGCACGGAGCTCCTCGGTGGAGACATCGTCGGTGTGCTGGGCGGAGATGACGACGGTGTCAACACGCAGAGGCTTGACGGCACCGTTGTCGTGGGCGTACTCGATGGTGACCTGGGTCTTGGTGTCGGGGAGCAACCAGGGGATGGTGCCGTTGTTACGGGCAGCCTTCATGGCAGCGTTGAGCTTGTGGGAGAGGATGACAGTCAAGGGCAGGAGCTCAGGGGTCTCGTCGGTGGCATAGCCGAACATGATACCCTGGTCACCGGCACCGAGCTTCTCAAGAGCCTCCTCGTAGTGAAGACCCTGAGCGATATCGGGGGACTGCTGCTCAATGGCAACCAAGACGTTGCAAGTCTTGTAGTCGAAACCCTTCTCGGAAGCATCGTAACCGATGTCCTTGATGGCGTTACGGATGATCTTCTGGTAGTCCAGACGAGCGTTGGTGGTGATTTCACCGAAGACCATGATCATACCTGGGGATGCACGTCAGATTGGGGGCTGGGGCTGAGGTGAGTGAGATAAAACCTACCGGTCTTGGTGGCAGTCTCGCAAGCAACCTTGGAGAGGGGGTCCTCGGCCAGACAGGCATCGAGAACGGCATCAGAAACCTGATCACTGTGGAATTCGTCAGTCCAATGCCACGATAGAGGGATTGACCCGAAGGAAAAAAAATCCCCAGCTGATGGGAGATTATCTCCAGGCGGGGTGGGGAATTGACACTCACGCAATCTTATCAGGGTGACCCTCACCGACTGACTCGGAGGTGAAGAGGAAGGTACCAGACTGAGCGATAGAACCCATTGTGAATGTGTATGGAGAGGAATGAGAGAGAGAAAGAGTGAGACGAGGGGGGGAAGAAAAGGAAATCGGATATTGGGGAGGGGAAATTTTAGTGGATTTGCCAGTACAGGCCAGGTACCAATGAAAACACAGGAAAAGTGGGGGCCAAGCAAGTCGCTGCAAAGTACCGTCTGGGAGCCGTGGTCGTCTACGCTGTATTTTTGGTCCCTGCGCGACTGTCACGCCATCGGAGGCGGTCAACACGGGCAGTTTCCACCGGCAGTGCAATTTTCTCGTTACCGATTGCCGATAAGATTGCGCTTTTTCTCTAGCACATCATGTCCAAGTTCGGTGTCCTGGTCATGGGCCCTGCGGGTGCAGGCAAGACCACCTTCAGTAATGCTATGATCCAGCATCTGCAGACCACTCGTCGGAGCTGTTTCTATGTCAACCTGGACCCCGCCGCCGAGAGCTTCGCCTACGAACCAGACCTGGATATCCGCGATCTGATCACTCTGGAAGATGTGATGGAAGAGATGGGCCTGGGCCCGAACGGTGGTCTCATCTACTGCTTCGAGTTCTTGTTACAGAACCTGGAATTCCTGTCAGAGGCCATCGAACCGTTGAGTGAAGAGTACCTCATCATCTTCGATATGCCCGGCCAGATCGAGCTCTACACCCATATTCCTCTCCTCCCATCTCTCACACAATTCCTGTCCCGACAGGGACCACTGAATATCAACATGTGCGCCGCCTACCTCCTCGAGAGTACCTTTGTCATCGACAAGGCCAAGTTCTTTGCCGGGACCCTGAGTGCCATGTCTGCCATGCTCATGATGGAAATGCCCCACGTCAATATCCTGAGCAAGATGGATCAAGTCCGGGATATGGTTTCGCGCCGGGAGCTGAGACGCTTCACCAATGTGGATGTGCAATTGCTACAGGAAAAAGAGGAGGACGATCTCACTGCCAGTGCCAACCCTATGGCCACAGATTCTTTAATGAGCGGTGGATCTTTCAAGCAGCTCAACCGGGCCGTTGGGCAATTGATTGACGACTTCAGCATGGTCTCATTCTTGCAGCTCGATGTCCAAGACGAGGACAGCGTCGCGGCCATCATCAGCCACATTGATGACGCCATTCAGTACCACGAAGCCCAAGAACCAAGAGAGCCCAAGGACGAGGTCGAAGTGAACTATGAGGATTGAGAGATTAAATTTGTGTTTACTGCTGCGATGTGACTGTAGCATCGCCTGAACATTTGGGGAGGCCGTGGTCGATCGCTTCAGCAAATGAGCAAAACCCCGCGCCGAGTTCTCTATTGGTCGATGAGGCCAAAGCTTCTACCGCATCCTCGGGTCTTATGTCTCAGGCTATTTTCACGTGAGAGTTTGAAACAGCGATACATCGAACCCCCCCGATGGCTTTTGCCATGGACGGAGCCAGTCCTGGATACGGGACATTTGGATAATGTTACGCCCGAGAAGGTCAACATAGGAAGACTGGCAAATACTTTTTACACTAAAATTGGATATAATAGCATATCCAAAACACTACAGTCCATACCTAATACCTAGGTAATGATAACCAAAATAAAATCATTAATTTTGAAACGTTTGACCAGTCCAAACCTGGCAATACCTCATTACCTGCCAGATATCCAAGCAGGACTTATGGCCCAAGAAGCCAGACTACCATGACAGCACTGATCCATCATATACCCCATGCATCGATGGAGACTAGTTTGCCGCATAAGCCGCAGCCGCAGCTTTACCCTTCTCCTGGAAGTCATTCACAAATCCGTAAAGCACGCCCCAAAGCCACCCGAAGTCCTGGTAGGACTTCTCCGGCCCCACGTTGTAAACGTGATAGCCGACGGCGATGAGCGAGCCCCAGAAGACAAGTCTGAAGACGAGCGTGACCCAGAACATCACGACGCGGTAGGCATAGCCCAGGATCTTCAGGGAGATGAAGAGGATGATCGCCAGCAGGCAAATGGTGAGCAGATCTGGTGTCGAGGATGAGTGAGAGGCCATGAATTCCGACAGCGGTTCGATGAGGTAGGGTTGAACTATCATCGTTCGTAGATGTGTGAGCTTGGACATTAGGTGGCTTTGTGTCGCGCTTTGGAGGTAGGTGAAGGTGGGATTTTGGAGGACGGTTTGGAAGTTTTCTATCAGAGGATGTGTTAGTTGCGTTTGTCTGGTATTTGTATGTTGGGTGTTTGCTTGAAAGGCGCGGGGGGCAGTTACCTGGTAGGAACTCCATGGCTGGCTTGTCCTTGAGATCTCTAAGATCTTTCAAGGTCTTTGGTCGTCAAGACAGTACAATCGAGCGAGGTGATATTGAAAGACAAACCCGCTTTGGTTTGCGCTGTTGTTGTGTTTGGTTTCTTTGTGGCCCGGGGCTTTTTGTTGATTGCAGAGATCCGATGTTGGTCAAGGATCCTTTTCCGTCAAAGGAAAACAAAGAGACTATAATGGTAGCTCTAGCTTTGACTCTCCCTTGCTTAGAATGTTGATTTTCGTGTCAACCGAGGGCACTGAGGCTGGTCTGTTGGTGTTGCGCGCAATGCGACCAGGCGTGGTATAGCTTTGTGAACTGGCGGAGGATGGCTGAGATGCAGGGAGACAGACTTGAGCAGTGTATAACACCTAATGCGACGACTTTTGAGACTCCAAGGATGTCAAGGGCTGGAGGGTCGAAGTCAAACTGGCAGTGATAAGGACGTGCAAAACAAACAAACACTGGGCTTATCGGCTTCTGTACTCCAGGGCTGCCGTTCGTCTCTGCAAAGAATTCAAGCGTTCATCAATTATAATGTACAGATTAACTATGTACGCAAAACCAGGCGCTTTATATATACATGGCCAGAGCCAGCCGCCAATCCCAGAACGCCCAAGCTAACGGTCAGCGCGATGCCACACGCATGATCCTTGAGAATCCAAAATAAATGCCCGACACTCCGGGCGAACTCCAAGACACCTTGTTCTCAACCATCGGGATGGGAGTTCAGATGCATATGCAGATGTGGTATATAAACGAATGTAAGAAAGTGTGATGTGAGAAGTCAGTTGGGTTTAAGCGTTGATGAGACCCTTGAGGGTATCACGCTCGGCTCCAATCTCAGACTGGAGCTCGCTGGTCTGGCGGAGAGCTTCATCTCTGCAGTGAAATGTTAGCATGGGATGTCAAAGAATATTGGAAGCAGAATGTATGCGTACCTGTCAGTTTGGAGTTGAGCGACGTCGAGTTGCGTACGGTTCATTCGTCCGAGTACTTGCTCCATCTCCATATCCGCATCGCGGAGGAGCTTCTCGAGAGCCTTGACTCGTTTCTCGAGCAGCTCGGCCTGGACAACCACAGCCAGGGGAACACCCTCGCCACTGGTGGTCTGGTCCAGACGCGGGGAGCGGGTGTCGAATGGTGCGTTGGGTGGCCGGGGTGAGAGGCTGATGAGGGCACGGCCACCATTCTTCATGCGAGTGAGTTGAGCGTTCTGGCTCTCCTGCATGACACGAATCTCATCTTCGTGCTTGCCCATTTCTTCTTCGGAATGTTGCTGGGCAGCCAAAAGGTCGTCTTCTAGCTCTTTCATGTGGCTCTGCAAGGTGTTGATCCGATCGACGGAGACCTGCTGGTCTTGATCACCTTTGTTGATGGCCTCTTCCAAGCGCGCATGGACAGTGGCATTGGTGCGCAGCTGGTAGTTCACCTTGGTGCCAAGGATCTCTGTTCGCTGCAGGGATGCAGAAAGCTCATCCGATGCTTCAGCGTTGGTCTCGGCATTAGCTCTGTCGGCCTGCAATTGCTGGAATGCCGATTGCAGGGAAGAGGAATTAGCTGTCTCGCTGGAGAAGGCTTCTTGACCGGCGGCCAACTCCGCTGCCGCAGTGTCCTCTTGCAAAAGCGCGCGCAGGGAACTGGTGTCTTGCTCCGCTCGATCCAAGTCCATCTTGAGACCCGCAAGGTTCTTCTCACTCCGCCACTTGCCATCGAGGGCATCCTCAGCGCGCATGCGAAGAACATTGACCTCATCGCGAAGGATGCACACATCTCTCTTATAGCCCAGCTTTCGTGGCTGTTCTGATTGCTCCTGGGCAAGAGCCAGCTCCATCTCCAGCATGCGAGTACGCTTTTCGTAATCGCGAGCCTGGTATGCTTGGCGCTCGAGCAGGCTTCGCAAGGTCTGATGAAGAGCATCGCGCTGGACTTCAACGTCCTGCACTTTGTCCACCAATGACTCGCGCGTTTCGGGTGAGTTGACACCCTTATTATTAGAGACCGAGTTCGATCTCGAGAGCGAACCGGAGCGCGCCAGACCGCTCGGCTTGCGGGCGAGAGAGTTCGACCGCGAGAGTCCAAAGGCCGAGTTTCGGGGCGAGCTACCTTCTTCGGCAATCGAAGCAAATCGACCACCTTGGAGTTGGGCCAAAGAAGCGTTCTCAATCTTGAGAGCCTCGATTTCCTCTGCCATTCGGCTGCCATCGCGGAGTTGATCTCGATCGTTACGCAGTTGCTCGAGTTCTACTCGCATTGCTGTTAGTAGATCCTCAAAGTTATCCTTGGACTGTCGCTCTTCGAGCAACTTGCGCTTGGTGTTCTCCAAGGCTGTCTCAAGTTCTTTTGTTTTAGAGGAAAGATCAGACAGATCAGTTCGCTCGCGACGAAGCTGGACAGGCATTAGCGGAGCTCGTGCGTGGGATGTGTTCGACGTACCTGTTGCACTTGTGATTCCAATATTTGGACGTGTGACTCGGAGGCCAGCCGTTTAGAGCGCTCCTCCTGTAACTTCTGGGATAATTCAACCTTCAGCTGAGCGCGCTCTTGCTCTCCAGCCCGGCGAATCTTTTCAATGTCTTCACTTTTTCCGGCGTCGGAGGCGTACCGCACGGAACTAGTACCTGAATCTGAGAAATAGTCACTGGTCCGACGGTTGGCATCCGGGCCTTCTGATTGTAGCCTTTCCACTAGATCTTCTAGATCCATTTCTCGACGGATAGACCCCGCCAACTCAGCGCTTATGTCCCGTAGTTCATTCTCAATGTCTGCCATCTTGGATGCATATATATTCTCCTTTAAGATTGAGGATCCAGTTGAAGGAGTTCGCCTAGATCCTCCATAGCCATTGGTCTTGGTATCATAAGGAGGAGATTTGAAGGGGACGTTCGCCAACGGGGGCATGGGAGATGGCATTACTGATCGCCCCGAATCAGAGATCTCGGTACTGGAGGATTCGCCTCCCGGCGACGTCGCCGTATTATGATTATTGTTTGCTGCTTTCCAGCCAAAGAACGAGCTGATCTTCTTTCCAGGGGTCTTGGGCTGTCTCGGATCTCCCGCGCCCATCGACATTGATACTGACCGATGATCCACGTCAATATGTAATGGTGGGGGCCGATTCAACGGTGGGTGCAATGCCATACTCGTCGCCCGCCTCGACAACCGTTTCGTGGGAGGGGGGGAGTTGAGGACAGGGATGAATGGTTCGCTGTCTAGACGGCTGTGCAGAGGGGTTCCATTCGTGAACTGGTGTTCGTATTCTTCGTCAAAGTAATCGATGGCCTCGTCTGAATCGTCGTCGTCGTCTTCGAGCACGGATCTTAAGTAGGAGGCGGAGCCCTGACGGGAGGCAGAGGTGTCGATATGTAGAGGCTCGGATTGTCGGCCACGGGAGTATCTAGAGAATGGAGACAAGGAGAATTAGCCTTCCAGGTCTTGGAGAAGTGGAACCGCATGCAGAGGCCATGTCCCGTTTGTTACCCACGCGGACAAAGCGAACAAAGCCGGGGTCTGCACATAAGGTCCCAACGGGGGAAGAGCTGAGGCGCATACCTGTTCGGGTTCTTTGGGATCTCAATCAATGAGTCTCCATCCGCCGATGAAGGGGATGGTGGTCTATCCACGGGTGCCGAGGGAATGGGGGTGGGTTTATCTCCCTCGATCGAAAGGGGAGAGGAGGGGTGAACAGGGCCCGGAATCAGATCAACATGGTGCGGGAGAGGTTTCCTTTGGATTGGAGAGGTCGAGGGAGGGGAATTGAGACTAGAGAAGCTCTCTGAATGGGCCGGCGAGCCGCCGAGCATTGGAGACGCCATGAAACACCCTGGTCCGTATCAAAAAATAGCCATGGATCGACGGGCATGTATGCCGATTAGCACGGAAATGAGAATGGCGCGCCAATGAAGATGACGAAAGGGGAAAGGATTAGGAGAATATCGAAATATCAGGAATATCAGGACCATCAAAGAGAAACGGCCTGAAAAGGAGAAAAAAGAGTACAAAGACCCGGGGGGCGATTGGCGCAAACCGCCCGTGGGTTCCAGACGCCATTCAGTAGCGCCAGTCGGGACAAGTAAGCGTGAAGGTGGATCGCAGGGGCTGGAGTCGTGGGTCTGGAGACGAATGGATTTCATTGGCACAAATACAATATCCCGATAGCGCTCTGGTAGGATCGACATCGCTTGAACCTAGCGACGTTCGTCGATCGTCTGTCTGAGTCTGGCAGTCCAGTGCTGAATTGCGCACTCCGTGGACAAGCATTGTGTCTGCTACTCCGTCGACAGATGAAAATAGAAATGGCTTCAATAGTGTGCAGCACAAAGGAAACCCCCTTGAGTCGAGGATCTGGAGAGGTTGGCCCGTCCCACAAGGCTTGGCGATTCAGGGGTAGGCAGGTTCCTCACAAGTCACTTTTCCGTACTGGGCTACGGGCCCCTGCACCCAAGCGGTACCTCAAACTACTTGCAGGGGACTTATCATTTGACTTTGCTAGAGCTTATATGCGCAAGGCTATACATGCACATCTGTACTCTCGCTGTACTCTGTACTCTGTACTCCGTACAGTAGTCCTGCTGGTGCAAATCACCTTCATATGCGGTTGCCACTGTACACTACTGTAGGTCCTGAAAAGTGCAGGTTTTCAATATATTAAGGGGGCCGGTCTTCTCATTGTGTGGAGATGCCCCTTTCCCTTGCTCAAAGCCAAGCTTCGAACCTTGAAGGGGAGAACGTGCTCCTATCATACACGCTAGCCTGATATTCGGCGCCTCATCAAACACTCGGGCCAGCGCGTGGTCGGTATCTGTTGCTGTAACGGGGTAAGCGCTGACACTAAAAGAGATGTACAGTTGCATTCTGTCACATCAGTCCATCTGCTCAAGCTGATTGCCCCGATTGTACTGAGTCTGACGACGCTGAAAAACTTGCCGGCGCTATTTCTTATAATTCGTTACAGATGAACATAATAGTACATGATTGGCTCTGCCCATATGCGCCAACCAGGTTCCTTGGAGTTGCCGATGCTTTGATCTGCGTACCTAGTATGTGCATGTTCGTGTATCTCATCAGGGGTAAAACCTTGTAAAAACAGGATGAGCAAGATGTGCACATTAATGTGCTCCGTATGGTCTGAGAGGTCAAATATAGTATACTACTCCGTAGTATAGTACTCCGTACAGAATAGGAGTATTAGCAGTAGGGACCTCGGGAGTCTTTCCATGCACAAAATGGTGTTACCATTGGGTCCTCGATCATGCAACGGTTTTCTTCAAACTAGTCTAGAAGACGAACCTATAATTCTCACGGAGTCCATGGCGGACATAAATAGCCGTGGCTTGGTCTATTGTCACACCATGAAAATAATTGATTGCCAGTAGGGCTGCGGCCCCACACACGAGTTCGGAAGTACAACATAATATAATATGGAGTACGGAGTACGGAGTATTTCTCTTTGGAATATACCCTTGAAAGGGACAAAATTAGCACGTCTTTGACCTCGACAAAAAAGTCCAGTATCAGAATGTGGTAAATCCAGGGCTCCGTACTAGTACTGAGTACATTGTCACATACAGCCACGCACCCGTGCAAGGTACTACTGTAGTCAGCTTCTTTAGTCTGAAAACCGAACTTCATTGTCTTACGCGCGACAGTGCAATCATCCCTGTCTCTGCATGTCAAAAGAAAGTGGCTTCTGCAGGTTCTATCCACTTACGTAGACCTCAAAATCCAGGCCCTGTCTCATCTTCAGACCTGTCTTACATCCGATGATTTGATGCATAGCTCGCGGCTTTGTGGAGTACCCGGGGCGATCATTGAATTTCAAGATCGAGTTCCAGCCACAGCCGTTCTATCATTAGAACCGTTTGAAGATGTCTCAACCTCCTAGGCGGCTAAGTGTCTCACCATTGCACACAATGCCACAGCCCTTGCTGGGTGCTTGTCATTGCTACAGGAACATGGGTTCATCGCAGTTACAACCACAGTCTCATTCTGGCCGGTGTCCAGTATGTCGCACACTCATCTACGGAGTAATGCTCGGTGGATATGATCAGACCATGTACCCTGTGCCTAGGTACGGAATATAGCCCCCCTATAACAGCAATTTGAAAATTTCGAATATCTCATTTCTTTCAGATATTAATTACAGGCTCATAGTCCATGATCGTGCTTAGAAATGTCGGTCCATTATCCAGTTCTCGTTATACCCTTCGGCCTTGCCGAAAATATTGTGCACGGTATAATGGCCATTCGTGCTCTCATAAGTAGCGCATCCGGCCATACATCCAAGGACTGTATGGAAAAAGCCGGTGATCACTCCGTATACAGCCCCAGCGGCAGCTGCAACATTGTATGGGCAGACATCATACCCACCGTTGTGCGCCATTCGAGCAAACACATATCCTCCCAAGGCATCAAGTCCCATAATGCAGGTCTGGGTCTGAGGTTTGCCCCCATATAGACCGCCAGCCGCTAAATCATATGTCAAAAATTGAGGCGGATGTGCAAGAGCAAAAGGGAGGCTTACACTGATATATACCGATGCATTCACCCCATAGAGGAATAGCAGCGACAACAGCTGCAACGAGCAATGCGCTCGGTGCTGTGAAATATTAGCCGACAAGGTCAACTGAGTTGCAGACAAAGCTCCTCTCAAAGCCAAGATGATTCCTGAACTCACTCTCTCCCAGCACCAAATTGCTGATTTCGGTCGTGATGATCACGCAAATGCCAAAGCTACTGGCGAACAAGATCAACAGCACCCACGCTGGTGTCGATAAACCTGCATATCCTGCAAACTCAACGAAGGCCAGAATTCCCGACTTGGTCACACCAGCGAGTGCACCGAGTTGTAATGCCCGTGCTGTGACTGGGGTACCGTTGACATGCGCGGCCGTCGCAACAGCCGCCGGGCCCGCGGCAGCATTGGCTGCGATGTCAAGTGCTGCTAGAGCGAAGAATACCCATACTATTATCAAACTGTCAGAAGGAACGAAGATATTGATGCGGTAGATGATGAAGAAGAGACTTGGCTGCGCTACTGCCCTGGATGCCAGTGGAGCGCCAGGGACATGCCGGAGTGTTACTTACTGCTGATGGCCGGGCGATTAGCGTTCTCCATGTCCATAATGCCTGAGTGCTATCAGCACCTATGAGGATCTCTCAAATCGGTTGAATGATAGTGACTGTCAGAGAGGGATCCAAATTATTTGAAAATCCCCAGATTGGACAGATGAGCAATATACGAGCGATATGCCCGGTTATAACCTTGGAAAGAAACACGACTTCCCAGTCGCCTGACTGAGCACGAGAGGATGCAGGCTCTCGCCTCCAGAGTCGAGGTATTTGTGTCATCGGAGAAAAGCCTCACAAGAGGCTGAACAGCCCTCAGGGTCCCGTCTTCCCCCACTAACCGGGCCACATTCCAAACATTTACGAAGACCTAAACGAAGCCTTGGGGTATATCAACGATACAGTTCCCGCACAACCAATCAACAGGCACGAGTGCCGAGACTAAGCCACCGAGATAGGCTCGAGCACCCCCAATTCAAGCCTAGCGGTTCAGTTTGAGCCTAGCGGTTCCTGCAGTAAGCATTGGCCCGGGGCGCCATATGGGGCATCATTTCGCGATCCAATTGCAGAATGACTTCACTGCGAGAGAAGCCACAATTTCATGTGCGTAGACTCAGCCTCTGCTCTTGGTTTGCTGATCGCTGTCTGCAAGTGCTGTCTGAGGCCTGGTCATGGCAAGGGTGTGTGGCGCAATACGGCTGCCGAGTGACTTTTAGTGCCCAGATGCCTAGCCGGGTCTGCTTTAACTCGTTTGCTCTTTCGTCATGGGGTCTGATAGAGGTTCCTTGAGGTTTTCGCACAACCGAGGACACTTGACTGGGATATAGACTTGTCCACTTCGTATAGCATGCCACTTGGGAAGTCTTCACAGCGACTATACTTCGGCTGAGGATGAATTCGACAAGCTGTGTCATTGAAGCGAATCCGGATGTATCTGGTGTCGGCGTGAGTAACATTTTCCTGAGTTGTGATGTTTCAACGCTCGCCTCAATATCCCACGCAGTATGGCTAACTCCATATCCCCAGATCCGCATATCTATATACGCCCTCTGTCTGGGCGGATCAATAGTAAGCTACTTGCTCCGTGTCTTTGCACCAGGAGAAGACCAAGAGGAATTCTCGCGCGGTGTATCCTCCGCCCTGGGCATGCAAGGACTAGCCCTCCTCTGCACAGCAATCTACCAGACCTTCAAGGGCGACCTGACACTCTTCCACGCAATCTGTGTCGTGCACCTTCTCTCAATCTTAGGCATTGATCTAGTCAACAAAGGAAGATACGCAGGATTTGGCCCTTGGCGACTATATTTCTTCGCCTTCCTTCAAATCCTGGCATTGGGGGCTTTCCTCGCCTTCAACATTTACGTCTGGGTCACGGCGCCTCATTTCGGTAGTCAACCAGAGTGTAACTCTACTACCGTGTATGTTGTTTTTGGGATCAGCATCAAAGCAGTCTCGCCTGTCTTCCGATACATCATTCTTGGGACTTTGGGGACGGTAGTGGCGAGTTTTGCCATTGCCTTTACCTGTATGCTGCCATGCATGTGCGTGTACTATGGGTATCGCCGGCGGAATCCTTCGGCTGGGGACAGAATCGAAGTACAAAAGAGGGGATGGAGTTGGTTTGCGGAGTTCAAGTCGCCGGGGTGCCGGAAAGATAGTGGGCCACCAGAGAGACTGCATGGCCAGGCATTGCTCAAATACACCCTCAACAGGGTGGCTTATTGCTCTTTCTGTGTGTATTTGATTGTCTCATTGGAGCAGACTATCCAACGCAACGATCTTGATCCCGAAGAAGCGGGTTGGACCTTCGGCCAGGTCATTGCAATCTTCTTGCTCTTGGGTGTCGCAAACGAGCTGCTTAATGTTTTCCTTGCAAGCTGGGATAGGAGAAAAGGCGAAAGCTTGCCACAGATGCAATCGAGACCGAGTGCGGCAAACTCTGTAGCCTCGTTGGCCTGTTGAATATTCACATTCAGCCTCTCATACGTTTTATCGGACCCCTTCTCCCTGGAGCCCATTGTTGTACTTCCAAGGTGGTGTTGCAAGGTCTAAATCAACAGTCATATTTGACGAAACTGAGTGTGTCCGGGTGAGGGCCTGTTCGATCTTTCCAAGTTGAAATTGAGCATTAATCATATATTCGTTCTCTAAATGTAATATCGCGCCGCGATTGGAACTTCCGTGTATATATACCTACCTAGGTAGGTATATAAAGAATAGAAAGCCCAAGGCACGGGCGGGTCGACTAGCAGAGACGGGTAGCGAATTCTCCCGGCTAGGTTCCTAGTAAGGAATAAAGTCGAATTGCATTCGGTCTAAAAGGAGAAAACGTTAGCATGGAAATGGGAAAGCGTATAGTCATCGTACCAAGGAAATGACTCCAATCTTCTTCCTCGCTGAGCTGATTTGACCAATACTGCTCGAGGAACCTGAGCGACTGCAGGACATTCGGGACGCGAATGGTATCATGTAAAGATGATAGCAGTTGCCTGACTTTATCTCTATCTGCGCCGCGTGCTTCGCAGCCGGCAATGAAAATCGGCGTCGTCAACATCACCCACGGCGTGAGGCCTGACGAAGGGCCAATTTGCGCAGTGCATTCCAAAATTCGCTGCACTGACTGCTGTACCTCCGGTGAAGTGGTCGGCGTTTTTCGCAAACGACGATGTATTTGGATGAGAGCGCTATGCTGGAAAGCCTCATTGCACAGTAGAAGCTGCTGCGCGCTTTCCGCCGATAAGCTTTGGGCAGCTCCAGGGTAGAATGAAGGTTGTGAGTTGGAATCGCGACTCATGAGCCCTCGGATTGCGAGCTCCAGCGCTTCAGCATCATCATTAACATTGCTGTCAATTTCTCCCGCCACAAAGCCCCCGGAATCCTTCTCGGCTTCATGATTGCGCCAGGCGACAGCCCCGATCTGCCGGAACACGGCTGCGAGATCAACACTGAAGCCCCAATAGTCGTCCAGGTAGTCTGGGGACCCGCCCATGCCCATCAGATCAGAAGACACAAAATCTGAGGTCTCTCCAATCGGAGGACCATTCCCTGTTAAGGCAGTGAGCGATACAATCGACCAATACCAGCGGTCTAGGTATCGACGGAAACCGGTCGTAGACCGTAGTGAGTCTTCCCCGGTTGAATCGGATGCCCTCATTAACGCCCTCGCTCCGTCAATATGCGCCCTCCACGAGTTTGGATTGATAGCCCCCGAATGGATCTCCGCGAGACATAATGTTCGCGCAGTCGCCACCAGGGCCTCTGAATCTTTGGACGAGGGGTTTTGTAGTTCCGTGCGGAAATGCTCGAGGCTGAGAGCCATCAGTCGGGCAATATCCGGTGCTGATTTCACGCTTTCTGACTGATTGTGTAGGGCTTGAATGTGAATTGCGGAGAGCGCAGTGGTGGCGTAGAGTAATGAGGGAGTCTGGAGAGCCATGGGGACTAGCATGCGGCATATATCCTGCTGCATGCCCGAATGGCATGCGGTAATCTGGGAGGCATCGTTTATAAAGTGGTGTAGTAGGGCCTTTTGATCGGAGGATAAGGAGGAAAAAGGATCGACGGGTTGCGATAGAGTCAGTTCTGACCCCGACTGCGCTGCCTTGGCCTTGGTGGTGTAAATGAACTCCCCGGGAGAGTATTCTAGTGCAGTCAGTATATAGATTGACAGTCCCCGGGCTCAGATCGTACCTAGTCTTTGCATTCCCCCGGTGCCGACGCAGGCACCAAATCGCGATCGTGAGAATGCCCGCCCACCCCACTGCAGTTGCATTGCATATTGGCACTGTTCGCCTGCGGTCTGGCACCGCCCGCAATTTGGCCGTTGCTCGTCACATTTTTGTCGGCGGGATTTACATCTTTTGCAGCCCGTGAAGGATCTCGACATGCTGGGTGGTGCGGCGAAGAATTTCTGCGGGGAAAGAATGACGACCTCGGGATGTGGCGAATGTGCTTATCTGGGGATTCCCATACTGAGAGGATATAAGAAGCCAAGACTCGCACATGTGCACTTCTGAAGTAGTATTGGTTCTTTAGCGGTCGATCAGATCCACTGATATTGCAGACTCGGTTGATTCTAACCCCAAAAGAGGTGGATGCGCTATGGCAAGAAAATACACAGTACATGCTCAGGAGTATATGTTCACCCTGGTAGAAAAAAACAATCAGAAAATAGTATCACCCTTCAAAGGTATACCGGAGCCACTCGCCCACGGCGTGCAGACTCTCCCATCGCACCGCTTCATCCTTATCAGCCATGAGTTCCATGACTCGTGCCTTCAGGCCCAGGCGCTCCAATTGCCCGCGACGTTCTGGAACCTCCTTCACGAGGTTCCGTACGTCGTTGCAGGCAATAGCGAGCACCTGCTTATCGTTGTCCCAGCTCTTGGAGAGGATCTCGACGAGCTTCTTGGGCAGCGCGCCGTTGGACTCCTCAACGATCCGTCGCGCATTCTCCTTCCAGAAAGTCAGGTTCTTGTGGGGAGGCGACCAGCGCAGGTGGCCCGACTGAACCTCGGCGGAATATTGGTCAAACGTCGTCTGGGTCTTGGTGTACTCCTCCAACATAGACGAGAGTGCAGTGAGATCCTCGAGCAAGTCGGGGTCGGTGAGGTGGCGGCCGGCCAGGTTGGCGAGCAGGGCGGGGAGTCGAACGAAGACGGCGATGGGGAGCAAAGTTGTCCGGTTTGCGGAGCAAAGGCTGTACAGAGTTGCGAGGAGCAAACGTGTGGTCTTTTCCTTCGGCGAGAGACGCAAGAGCTGGGTGTAAAGCTGGATAATTTCATATTCCCTAGACAAGGTTAGCAACCGCTCGAAAAAGTAGACCCATCGCTGGTCTCTGGAACTCACTCCTGTAGCTCGTCACCCACAACGGCACCCTCGAATGCGAGCTGCCACAGCACCAACAACACTCGGTACAAGAGCTGCAGGCTAACGCCGCCTGCAAGACCGGGCTCGGTGCTGCGAGTACTGCCTCCGAGGGTGCTGGCATTATCTTTAGTTCCCGCAGCAGTTCGGAGAGTCTCCGCCAACGGACTGAGAGTCTCCTTTCGTTGCGCCCAGAAGATCTGTCTGGATTTGGAGGTTCTCAATAACTCTGAGAACCCTTGAACGCCGATGTCTTGGAGCCCACTGTCTTGACTCTTGGCCAGAGTGGAGAGATAAGCGTAAAGCTGAGGGAGAGCTTCATTGTCGCGCGTCGCAGGTTTGGATGTGGCAACCAGGCTATGCGAAACTAAAGCCGTGAGGAAGGTGGAGGTGAGCAGAGGGATGGGGTCTTCGGCGTTGGTCGAGTGCTGAAGGAAAGGTAGGAATGGCTTGTACGGTTCAGGGTGGGAGATAAGTGAGTTCGCCAGAGAAGGCACGTCTATGAAATGTTTGATTAGTACAGCATGGCTTGAGTAGGAATGTTGGGTAGTACCTTGGATTAAGTCCGAGGCCAGCACCAGGATATACTGGACGATATCGGTCCTTCGAGATGCCGAATCCAAGACACTCTTGCCTTGGGCTCCGCCGGCCAACAGATCTGTGTATCCAGAAAGATCTGCTTCTATTGTTTGGCGACGCTGGTCCTTGCGCACCTTGTCTACCGCCTTGATCTTCTTCAAGTGGTCATCGGTGATGTTGCCCGCTCGGACAGCGCCCTCCCATGGAATTGGACGAGCTCGAATATTATTCTGAAGGGAGCCGAGGTAGGTGGGGGGCTCCAGCGACATCTTGGATATGATGTGAGCAGTGCTGAGCCAGGAGGAAGGGCGTCGCTGGCGGTGTCTGATAACTGGAGGTGTGTCCAGAGGGACGGGGGAGCTTGGGGATGACGGAAGCCTGCGCCAAGACCGACGGTATCTCAAGCCACAGCCTCAACAACTGTCTTTCTGACTTTAGCCTTCACTTTCTTTGCGCTTCGCTTCCCTCGAATTGCCCTGTCGCTTGGGCTCATCTCTGTTACCCGTGAATCTATTCGCGTCCCCGGGCTCGTTGGCCTAGCGCCTTACGCTACGTACACTGTTTCTGCCTGTACCGTTTGCTCGGCACGCCCACCAGTCGGTCGTTTTACCCCGGACAAGACAGAAACGAGGCTTCAAGATCTAGGGACCTAGAGAGATAAACCTCTAAAGTTCCCCCTCACGATAATCTCGCGACAAGCCGGTGTCCGAGCGCAGCCCCCGCCGAATCTATGCAAATGCAACCCGAGACCTCTGCCGCATTATAGTCTTCTCGCAATCATTGACACGTTAGCGTGCAACAATGGCTCAGGACTCGTCCACACAAAAACAAAAATGGGGGATGGGATCCTTTTTCCAGCAGGCAGTGGCGGGCGTTGAGTCTCGGCTGGACAATATCCTAATGGACGAGAGCGGAAACCAGACCAACACGACTGGAAAGGCCGCGGAGAATGCAAATGGGGACAAGCCAGCTACGAAAAGTCCGGCTGCATGTATGGAATTCCCAAGGAAATTGCCCGGCCCAGAAAGTTGACTAACAGTCTCTAAGCAATGTCCCGCAGTTCATCAAGCGCAAAAAGGAATGATCGACTACAGGAACGCCTGGCCCGAGCCATGGTCAAACAAAATGCCTCGAACCTATCCTCTAGCTCCCCGCAAAGCAAAGTATCGTCACCGCCTGCTAGCCCGGTGCCAAGTATCGGAGCTCGGTCAAGCATGGACATCGAGTCCAGTGCTGCGTCCGTGGCGAGTGTGCCAGAAGACCAGAAAGGCCCGTCAACTGAAGCAAACGCTGTAAATGCGATAGACTCTCCAAGACCGAGCTTCGATTCCGCGGACGTGCCTCGGGTGTCCGCAGACATCAGCACCACGAGTTCTGTCCCTAGGACCTCAGTCGACGTCGCTCAGCCGTCTGCGGAATCCGATAATATTGACCAAGACAATCTGGGAGCCCAACAACCCGAGTTATCAAATACTGTTGCTCCCTGCGATAGTCCACGAGCTAGTGTTGATGCACCATCCAATTCAACCGAAAACCAAAACCCGGAAATTGTGCGCATGCAAGCTGCCCACAAAGCAGCAGAGTCTCAATGGCAGGAAGAAACACATGGCTACGTTGAGCGCATAGATGCATTGCAGTCAAAGCTCAAATATCTGGCGAAGGATTCTGCAGAAACCGCTAAGAATGCAGCGGCGAACGCTACACCCGGAAGCACACAAAGGCAACTTCTTGAGAAAGACGAGAAGATTGCTTTGCTGCTTGAGGAAGGCCAGAAGCTATCAAAGTCGGAGATGGACCACCGAACTGTAATAAAAAAGCTGCGCCAGCAACTCATTGAGAACACCAAGTCGCAGACTGAAATAAAGAAGAAGACGGAGAAGCTTGAACGAGATCTGGCAAACTCGGAAACAAGAGCTAAACGGGCAGAGGCCGCTGAAAAACGGACAACCGAGTCTCTATCATCTCAAAACCGATCGGCGAAGGATCTGAAAGCTGTCACGAATGAACGCAACGCCCTCAGTCAAACTGTGCAAGAAATGAAGTCGCAGCTGAGTCGTGCGGTCTCTCGCGCCGAAGCCGCAGAGAGCAAAGCAAGCTCAGATGCGCTAGATCTGGAGAAGCAACGCGCGGCAGAATTAGAGGAGGAGCTCTCGAATCTGAAGATTGAGCATGACATTAGCAGCGAAAAGGCAAAGAGGGAGATTGCCGAGTTGCAAGAGAGTGTGGACCAGGAGAAGGACAAAGCGCGAAAGCTCGAAGCTGAGCTGAAGGGCGAACAAGCCGTACTGGAAAGCAAGATGGAAAGCCTTCGCGCCCGCGCCGAAGAAGCTTCATCGGGGGCGACCGGCGAAACCCAGGCCAAACTCCTGCGCCAGATTGAGACCCTTCAGACTCAATACGCCGCTGCTAGTGAAAACTGGCACACCCTTGAAGGCTCTTTGCTTTCACGCCTGGCTAATGTGGAGAAAGAGCGCGATGATACGGGTCGACGCGAGAATGATTTACGAAAGAAAATCCGAGAGATGGTGAGATCAATTACACGACGTGTTTGATTAGCGATACTAACATTACGATCTAGAATACCAAGCTAAAGAAGTTCGAAGAAAATCTAGACAACGCAAAGGAGACCGAGCACGACCTGAACAGCCAACTAGAGGAACGCACGCAGGAGTTGGAGAAGCTGCAGCAGAAGCTTACGAAAGCGGCTGAGGATCTCACTTCAGCGCAAAAGGACATAGCGGAGCAAAAGAAAACCTACGATAATACCTTGGCGCAGAAGCTGGAGGATGAACGAACCAAATGGAGGGACCAGATGCAGGCGCAATCTCCATCGCAGACACGTGGAGTGTCCCCCGTCGCATCCACTCGACGGTCCAGCACCCTGGACGCCCTGGCCCCCGGGCTCTCGGACTTCCGCCCTCCCAGCCGACGCTCGTCCGGCATGCCGTTCGCTTCGCCAGACATCGGAACACCACCGCGACAAAACTCCTACCCTGCCTCGATCAACCAGACGACTCTTTCTCCCCCACCGCTCAACACCAACCCCTCCATTATCGGAGCCCCCTCCATCAGCTTCGAGCCCGATGAATACTTTGGTGATTCGGGCACCCCTGCAACTCCTTCCGCTTACGGGGGTACCCAGGCACCCCCACGGGGCATCAATGATCTTATTTCCGAGAACACCGTTGGCGCTGGCCCGTCCGTGCAGCTGGTCGAGCGCATGAGTGCATCCGTGCGTCGGCTGGAGAGTGAGCGGGCCGGCACCAAGGATGAGCTGGCACGTGTGACGACTCAGCGCGACGAGGCTCGTCAGCAAGTCGTGGACTTGATGCGTGAGCTCGAAGACAAACAGCTCTCCGCCTCCCGTGCCGAGGAACTTCAAGCCGAGCTGGACGACCTTGATCAGCGATACCAGACTACGCTTGAGATGTTAGGGGAGAAAAGCGAGCAGGTGGACGAGCTCAATGCCGATATCTCCGATCTCAAGAAGATCTACCGGGAGCTGGTTGACAGCACGATGAGATGACGAGCTCTCGATACGATATGTAAATACCTGTACAGATTAATTCGATGACGCCAGCACGTTTTCGTATTCCGTTCTTGGCAACTGACTCATAGATCTGGAGTTTCCGGAGATATGAGGCTCTCGGGGTTAACGGTGCCTCAGATCCATGGATCAGTCCCCGATTGATCTGTCAGCATAGCTTATTTGCACGAACTTTCACATGATTTCCACGGTTGGCCCCTAGGCCACCCATGGGCACCCAACCCAGGCGCTCTTAATTCGACGAATACGAGCTCAACGCTGTCGTGCTGATTCGGGATCGGGCCAACTCGAGCACAACCCTGCCCGGATGGCGGTGGGAGACCCTGCTGATTGGCGGATCGAGATCTCCACTCACATTGATTCCTAAGATTATTTGATCGTTTTCTCTGCCCGGGGTGACCCTTGCTTTGGAATCAAACTTGATTATCTATCCATGGACTGAATTGGAAACCCGGGACAAAGAGAAAGTAGTATATATTATGCCTGTCCTACCTGACATGATGTAGTCAATTAAGTCGCACTCTCCGTATCGATATACAATGGAAGCTGCCATTCGAGATGCTCCCTTCGGGCAGCTGGTCCGCTACCTGACCAAGAACAAGTACTTCAAGTACCCCGAAGAACAACCGGACTTCCACCTCCCAGACGCCTGGCTTCACTTGTTGAATGAATCCAGTGCAAGCACCATCGGAGACGAAAAGGTGTCCCCCCAGGACACCAAGGAAAGCAGCGAGCCATTGAGTCGAACCTCCACGCAAACCTCTCTGACCGCCACCGATATCCGTCTCCAGCTCGAGGAACAACATGAGATCGAGAAAACAAAGTCAATCCCCATCACCCCCAAGAAGACTAAGGATGGTGCTATCCTAGTCGATTGGTACTATACAGATGACTCGGAGAACCCTCACAATTGGACCAATCGAAAGCGGGCTCTCATTGCCACGATCATCTGTTTATACACCTTTGTTGTATACACCACTTCTGCCATCTATACATCCTCCCTCGAGGGTGTGATGAAAGAGTTTGGTGTAGATACCCTGGTTGCAACATTGGGCCTGTCGCTTTATGTTCTTGGATATGGAATTGGCCCCTTGGTCTTCTCGCCACTGAGTGAGATCCCTGTCATTGGCCGCAACCCGGTATACATCATCACAATGTTCCTCTTCGTCATCATCTCTATCCCAACAGCCTTGGTGAAGAACTTCGCCGGCCTGCTGGTCCTTCGATTCCTGCAGGGTTTCTTCGGCTCGCCATGCTTGGCTTCGGGAGGTGCTTCCATCCAAGACATGTATAGTCTGATGTCTCTTCCATACGCTATGATGGCTTGGGTTTCTGCTGCTTACTGTGGACGTGAGTACCCAACCCTCAACCCCCATGTCATACATAATACTAACCTAAATCACCAGCTGCCCTTGGACCCCTTCTCAGCGGTTTCGCCGTCCCAGTCAAAGGATGGCGCTGGTCCCTCTACGAATCCATCTGGGCTTCCGCCCCAGTCCTCATCCTGATGTTCGTGTTCCTCCCGGAAACCAGCACGGCCACGATCCTGCTCAGACGCGCCGCCCGCCTGCGCAAGATCCACAATAACAGCCGCTTCATGTCTCAGTCTGAAATCGACCAGAAGAACATGCGTGTCTCGGCTATTGCCGTCGATGCTCTGATCAAGCCTTTGGAAATCACGATTAAGGATCCCGCCGTGCTCTTCGTCCAAATCTATACGGCCATCATTTACGGTATCTACTACTCCTTCTTCGAGGTCTTCCCCCTCGTCTACCCAGTCGACTACGGCATGAACCTTGGCCAAATTGGTCTTGTCTTCCTGTGTATCATGGTTTCCTGCATTGTCGGAATCGCATTATACGTCGCATACATCCACTACTGGATGAATCCTCGCATTCGACGCTACGGATTCGGAGCTCAAGAGTCACGTCTTCTTCCTGCTCTGCCTGCTTCTTTCGGTCCGACGATTGGTCTCTTCCTTTTCGCTTGGACTGCTCGGTCCTCTATTCACTGGATTGCACCTACCATCGGTATCACCATTTACGGTGCCACGGTCTTCATCGTCATGCAATGTATCTTCGTTTACATCCCGCTTAGCTATCCCCAGTATGCGGCTAGCTTGTTCGCCGCGAATGATTTCTTCCGCAGTGCTCTTGCTTGTGGAAGTGTGTTGTTCGCGCATCCGCTGTTTGGCAATCTGGGTGTGGCTAGGGGTGTCAGTCTCCTTGGTGGTTTGAGTGTTATTGGTATCATTGGTATTTGGCTGCTTTTCTTCTTTGGTAGCAAACTTCGCGCTCTTAGCAAGTTCGCTATTTCGGAAGAGGACAGCGATTGATTTGCACGGAAAAGTTATGATCTGAGGGGACATGGTGTATGGTGTGCACTTGGAATGATGAACATATTTAATTAATCAATAATGAATAAATGTATTTACTTTCGCATCGGTCAGATTCTTTCCCTTGCGAGGACGACAAGCAGCTGGAATATTCACAAAAAGCAGAGTGTAACCTTGGAATAGAATTTTGCTTGAGATAGTAGGAATAGAGAAAAACGGACTAAGAGCAATGCCCTAGAAGTAGTTACTCCGTCTTATCTTGCCAAGAAGAGAACTCATCCGCAAAGGGACGTGATATCCTGAGGAACGTATGGACTCAAAATATCAATGAGTTTTGAGAGCGGGACCCAATCAAGCACCCCGTGGACACTTCTCAAGGGATGTCCGCTGTAAAGAACGCGAGCATAGAATGATTTTCCACTTCCCTCAGTTTCCCTAGTTCGCATTCACGTTAGTTGACATTGACGAATGAATACTATTCCGGGCCAACTTACCAAACCTCCAAAGCAATATTGGATGCCATAGCCGGCCAGCGAAGCACATCAATCCCCAGAGCACCCAATATAGGGCCGATGTCACCATCATGAACGAAGATGTGACTGTAATCAAGAGACGATTTGCCATCAAGGACAGCCTGCAGGCGGGAAACGATCTCGCCAATGAATAGACCTTCGACAACTTGAATGTACTTGATCACATCTGGGTTGGTGCGCCAATAGTAGTTCCACTCCCAGTCGCCAGCACGGAAAACCCCCTCAGCCATGTCCATACTGACACAGGCCGAAGGGTCCGACAAGCTGCAAGGAAGCTCATATCCATTACAAAGGCGGGCTTGGAAGTTGTCCGAGAAGTGGTCGAAGGTACTCTGCCACGAACTATCCGTCGCACCAAGCATTGAGCCCAGCTTCGAACGCAGCTCTTCGGTGACTGTCAAATGCTCCTTCCATTCTGCCGTGGACTTGATATCAGAAAGGGTAGAGCTGACAGCAGCACACGAGTATCCTTCGTTGACAGTGTCAACAGAGGAGACCATTTGATGCAACGGTAAAGCTCCCTGGTAATCCGGCCAGACACCCCGCAGGACAGCACCAGCCGAGGCCTGGGTGAGAGGAGACTCGCTGGAACGGAACCAAACTCGACCATTTGGCTTCTTAGGAATCAGACCCAGTTTCCGGCCGTAGACTGCCCACAGGTCTTTGCCATGCTGGAATCCGTCCTGGACACCCCCAATCGTGATTTGCGGATACTGACATGTACCGTTCACACCAGGACTGAAGGGATTGGCGGGATCTTGGTATGTCTGAGCGTACATAGGCACGGGCTGGATGCCACTTGCGCTGTTGGGGCCTGCGTACAGGTACGGACGGACGTCGTCACAGTCATACGCTTGATTCTGGGGAGTGGTCAGCGCGAGTTGTAGTCTCTGTCAAAACTGGGCTGTTACCTCTCCTCCTGGGAGGATGTTGTATGGAGTTCGCCGCTGGTGACGCTGGAGGTACTCTAAGTACGCAAGCTTGCCCTTGGTCGACCCGTTGGTGAGGGCTTCAGGCAACTCATATTCCTCTGAGCGAGGATGCGGCATGGAGCAATAATCGTAGGTCCCGTACGGGGTTCCACCAGTCGGGCCATTGGTGGCAGCCTTGTAGATACCACCGTACGTCCCAATGGAACTATTGGTGATATAGGCAGGGTCACTCAGGGTGGGCGGGTAGAATGTATCTCTTGGGCTGAGAGCCAGGGCGGTCCCGGCCGCAGATAGAAGAATGAGGCGCATACTTTCGAAAGGCTGAGGCGAATAAAACCACACGCGCAGGTCTCTGAATATATAGAGCTCGAATGCGATGGCAGCTAGTCCCGCTACCCAGATCCACCATCTCCGCGCCAGTCGCAACCCGGGGATGGGGGCACGTGTGTGAGTGACAACCATTTGGCTTCATTCATCGCAAATTACTTCGTTTGATGCGATGTCGTTGGCTCTTTTGCCGAGAAGAGTAGAAAGTAGGTAAAAAGTGACGTGCAGTGGAAGCGACCTTGGCGGCCCCCTGAGGCATTATTCCGCTTTACCTGTGCTGCCTGGGCATTCCCATCATTCCTCCCGAGTCACGCTCTGGAATGCAAAACCCCAGAGAGTAATATTTCTCTCCTTATAGCTCAATATCGCGGGGATGTGGAAGTCCATGCTCACGGTGCTGGCCCTGTGCGCGTCATCACTTGCATCTTCGCCCCTAGCGGACTTCGCCCTGCAGAAAGTCCTCGACGATGCATCCCCGATATTTGGCCCTTATGCCGGCAGGTCAGGGAACAGATCGCAGTGGATGAAAAGCTATTCTGACGACACATTGCTGGTCCATATGAATATTCCCGGAACCCATGACAGCGCAACATGGAATTACACCCAGGCCTCGCAAGACGCGATGAAAGGCATCACCGACCTCAATCAGGTCGTTGTACCTGCCCCAGAGACATTCCGCTGCCAAGAGTTGTCCTTGATCAATATGCTTGATATGGGGATACGCGCCTTCGACCTGCGATATGCTTTCGACCCAACCAACACCACCTTGATTTTCTACCATTCCAAGGCCCTGCTCTCGGAAAAAGCCTCCGTCAGTGATGTGATCTTTGGCTTTTATCAGTGGTTAGATGACCACCCTTCAGAGACGGTGTTCCTGTCATTGCAGTATGAGAGCTCAACGGCTTTACATGCCTCCAACGACGCCGCTCTGCAAATGCTGCTGTACAATACACTCACTTCCCCAGCGGCCCGAAAATACATTATCCAAACCAAAGACAGGCTGGGGAGCTTAGGCGATGCACGAGGAAAGATAAACCTCCTGCGCCGTTTCGATCTGGACAAATTACCGCAGTCTTACACAGCCGCGCTCCCCGGTCTGCATTTCTCGCCTAGCCTTTGGACTGACAACGGGCAGGATATTGAACTGGTGTACAATGCTGCGGATAATTTGACTGCTTATATCGAGGACTATTACCAGCCCCTCACCCCAATGGGCTCCGGTGCAGAGGAGAATGTCCGATGGAAATACAACGCTACCGTGAAACACATCAATAAAGCCACCAAGGAGCATCCGGACAGTTTGTTCTGGACCTTCGCGTCCGCCACAAATACCCCGAACAACCCCCCCGTTTGGCCTCGCATAATGGCGCTGGGGAACGGCACGGAGTATACTCCAGATGGCGGAGTAAACCAGTTGCTGGTTCCCTTCTTAAAGGAACAGACCGGCAAGCGGGTGGGCATTGTGATGTTTGACTTCTTTGACCAGCCGGCCGAGTTGATTGACATCTTCCTGGGACTATAGAAAAAGGCCTTGAGTATCTTGACAGATATTTGGCATCGATGCATGTTCTCCTTGTAGATAGAAGGCAAATATAGACTACTGAATTGTTTCAATTCCGCATCAAGCGCGGTGTCCGACTCGAAGTTGACGCGATAACCAGCGCATTACTCCATCCAGGCAGTGGAGTAAGGAACAAAGCTCGGTCGCCATTTACTAGTCGCTTCTTGTTTTCTTTTCCCGTCCTCTATCGCAAAGTGGAAAGATCGACGTGGGTCGCGATGGGTCCTCCATGTCCAAACAGGAGCTACACTGTTTGACAGGTGGACTCGGTATCTGTTTGCTCTTACACATGGCGCAATTGGCGCCTCTTGTCTGTGTCCAAAGACCGAAACCGGAGAAGCAAAATGCCATACCGGGCTGGGTTGGGACCGCGGCAGTAGGGACGGCCGTGTCAGCTTCGCAGTATAAGTAGAGGCTGTTTGTCCCCAGCTGGTTTCGCTTTTCCCATTCTGCTTCTATCTGCTAGATCCCTCAATATGTCCGCCTCTACGATTCTTTCATTGACAGACCAGATCAGAGAAGCAGCCTCCTGCGAGAGTGTTTCCTCTGGCCATGGACATGACCGACTTCTTCGTCTCGCCGATGAGCTGAAACTGGCCATTGAAACTCCCACTGAAACTGTTCTTCGGCTGATCTACCAGGTCTGTTCCTTGAATTATGTGGTTCTCACAGAGTTCTCATATTAAATTGATATTTACAGCCCCCGGAGAACGCTGCTCTGCGCACCGTTGTAGATTTGGGTATTTTCCCGCTTCTCGTGAGCAAAGGCCAGAAAGATGGCCTCACAGCCACGGACATAGCCCTTTGCACAGGAGCAGACAGATCATTGATTGGTACGTCAACATCGACTGTACAGATCATTCCAAAGCTCATACCAACGTTTCCAAGTGCGCCTTATGAGAGTTATGTCTGCACTGAGCCTATGCACAAATATCGAGCCGGAAAAATACCGACCAAATGAAAAAACAATCACAATGACCCAGCCAATAGGTCAAGATGGGGTGCCTTGCATGTAGGTTGGGCTAGATCCTGCTTCATATGCGGAAAGCTGACAGCATCAGCTACGACCTCACCCTCCCCACCCTGAGCAAACTTCCGGAGTATTTCCGGGAACACAATTATAGCAACCCAGAGGACTATACAACATCTCCCATGCAGTGGGCTGTTGGACAGAGCCAATTCGAATGGCTTGCCAAGAACAAACGCCACCAGGCCCTGTTCAACTCATACATGTCCAGTCGACGAGAAGGAAAGCCTATCTGGTTCGACGTCTACCCGCTGGAAAGACTAACAGACGGGGTCAGTTTCCACCCAGAGGCCGTTTTCCTAGTGGACGTTGGAGGAAACCAGGGTCATGATCTCGGGAAGTTTGTCTCCGAGTACAGCCCCAAGCCGGGACGGCTTATCCTACAGGATCTGCCCAAAATCGTCTCAACTGTTGACCGGACCGGCATTGAAACAATGGGATACAGCTTTTTCGACCCACAGCCCGTGAAGAGTGAGTTGAGTCTCGATTCCTGCGACGTCCAAGTAGACCGGCTGAGCGGGCTAACCGTGTCTCGATAGATGCCCGCGCATATTACTTCCGGGCCATTTTCCACGACTGGCCAGACCACATTTGCCAGAAGATCCTTCTCAATACGGCCGAAGCGATGGATCCCACATACTCGCGTATCATTATTGTGGACTTCGTCCTACCTGACACTAATGCGGGGCGTATGCAATCTGCGCTCGATATCCAAATGATGAGCCTTGGTGCCGGGGTGGAAAGATCGCAGCGCCAGTGGTCTGAGCTACTGTCTAGTGTTGGGCTGAGGATTAACGGAATATGGAACTCCAGCCCGGGAATGGAGTCGATCATCGAAGCTGTTCCCGCTCTGGGTGCACCCGTGAACGAGCTTGATTAAGGGGATATCACTAGGCGTTCCGGGTTTCGGATTGATTTTCTGGTGGCTTTTCTGTAGCCCTGGAATGTCTATGTTATTCCAAGTTGTATACGAATAGTATTCCGTCGTTCCACACGATCATGTCATTCGCATATCAAATGTCCGAGTGCAAATCTATCGCCACCTTGACGTCGGCTAACACTGGCCCGGCCCACTCCAGGGCTGGAAAGCTTGTCTGGATACTGATCGCCGATCAGATAAGATTTGTACTTGTGTCCCTGTCCTCTGGTTGAGTCGCCAATGCTGAGGGGATCGTCGACAATGCCTGTTTGGGGGTTGAGGACGTTGATCTTCATTTGGGAGATCTTTTGCTGGCATCTGCTGATGATCTCTCTGGTTCCTGTCTCAATTGTTCTAATTCAGTCAAGGGGCCATTTACCGGTGGGTCAGAAAGGTATAGTCGCATATAGGTGACTTGCATATGTACTTCAGACTCCAAGCGGGGCTATTTTGGTACTTTTTGGAGGGGTTAGAATGAGTCGATTTCAGCGTAGTTTCATACTAGGTACTGAGCTGCTCGAGTCTCTTTGCTGCTAGGTATCTGTTCTATAAATCACAAACTTATAGAACTGCCCCTCACGGCTGTAACCTGTTGAACTTAGTCCGCATTGGGGTTGGGCCTGAGGTCCCGGAGGCCTAGCCCAAGCCCGGGCCCAGTGCCGGGGGCCCACTGGGCCCCGGGGAAGCCCAGTTCTACATGGGTACCCCGACCCTGGATAAAGCAAGGGGGTCATTCTAGTCAATGATCCTGCAACCTCATTTGCGATGATAATTATTCATTTCCAGATCTCTACCTCAGTCTCACAAATTATTTACTTGATCCTGCCTACCAGTTCGAACAACACTGATTGTATAGTAATTATGGCCAACCTATCTGATATACGAAGAGATATTCTCAATGACATTGCAAAACGAATTGTCATCAAAGTGAAAACCCAAAGCCTGGATTCTCAGCACTATCTCGCTTCAGCAAATAAAGTTATCTGCGAGGTACTTCCTGACTGGGAAAGCGATCCTCGCATCCGTTTTCCTGTCATGGACGTGTGGAGTGAACGGACCTTCATTGTCCTCGACATCAATCATCATGAGTATGATTTCGGCACAGAGCACAAAACCAAGACCATTCTGCCAGTTTTTGTACTTTCGCAGCATGGGAAAAGAAAGGACTGGGATTTGATCAGATGGCCTAAAGAAGATGAATCGCTTGCTGCACAGTTGGCAGACCTCCACAATGTCAATGGGTTTGACGCACCACCTTTCCTCGAAAACCACAACTCACGCATTGTACATGCCAGCCCGCGTGAGTTTCCTGTTTGAACCGCCGTTGCCTATCTTGTATTTCAGAAGCGAGCTATTTGAACTTAGCTGGAGACTAAGCACCTGCAGTGGTTGGGCATCGGCTTTGCTTGACCACTCTGAGCTGATCATTCTGGTCTTATGTTGAAATCTACCAGGTATGAGAGCCTGAGCCTGAGCTTCTTAGAGCGGCAGAAATAGGAAATCCCCGGGAAAACAGTTGCATATCTACACGAAGATAACAACCTTGGACAGATGAATTGGTTTAGAGCACCTAGGCATTGTACAAAAACTAGCTAATTTTTAAAAGCAAATCTAACACGCAATGATCGCTAGAAAATTCCGTAACAAGAAAACAAACACACCGCCAGTAAAACCAAATCGCAATGCTATGTATGAATCAATCCAAGCTCACTCTATTTGAACTCCGCTGCGAACAGCTTATCCACCAGGTTGGCCCAACTAGGGATATTGGCCTGGCGACCCGAAAGCACATTCGTCTTCCACGTTTCCCATTTCGGCGTATCCAAAGCGAAGACCAAGCTAGTGCAGCGCGCGACTTCGTGATTCGCGAACATCTCATCCTTGTCAAGACAGATCGATCGCCATGCATCATCCATCTGCTCCACATAGTCTCGCACACCAGAGCATCGGCTGTACTTGATATTTTGCAGCTTCAGCCAGCCCGTTTGAGCCAAGCTCCAGTCTGAAGGTTTGCAGTGTCTCTCGAGCTTCTCCCACATTTCCCGGGGGTTGGTCATGGTGCGGACCATAGGCTTTGTGAGTGCAGACAGGTTCCTGGTGATGATCATGGCTGCAGTGGAGTTCAGTCTTTCAAGATTGCGATCCAAGGGATGCGACTGAGGTAGTTGTCCGACTCTGCCTTCCACAATATCTAGAACACAGTTCCGCTTGAGGATCATCTTGATTTTGCGACTCCAGACCCGGTAGTCGGAACGACCGCGCAAGGGTGCGCAATGACATTCGATTGGGAGCAAATCATCCTCGAACGCTTTCCATGAGCTGAATGCTCGCTCCACGAATGCGACGGTTTCCGCCAGTTTTCGGGCTTCGGGGTCTATGACGGCTGGGGACGGGGGGTTTTCTGTCTCGTCCCCGAAATACTGTTCAGCCAAATATACCCTGCGCCTTTTTGCGGGAGAGGTGGTCAAGTCTTCTCCCAAGGGTGTCTTGACTTGAGGGGAGTGTGGGCGTTTCTCCAATACGGTGGGATTGCCCATGGTTTTGATCCTCAGTGGGGCACGATAAGGCATGACGGCGAGGCGATTGTAGATCGTGTAAACAAACGTGTAGTGGGGACTGAGGGATTGCGATTGTGACCTGCTTGTTGGTAGGGTGAGAAGACTTTGCAGAAGGGACACATCACCTTTCATATATATGCCGAATCGAATTACACAGGAAGGCTGGGGATTCCAGAATTCCAAAATTCGAAGAATGCGACGTGCATTCCGCGGACTGGGTGACATGCCGATCACTCACCGCCCTCCTTTCTGCCCCGCGTTGTGCTGACAGCCAGATCTTGAGTCTATTCGCATAGCTCGTCGTCAACATGGCTGCACTGACTTCCACAAAGCGACCATTCGATCCCATTGAAGATTCATTAAGTCCAGCCGCCAAAAAGCTTCGCTGTGCAGCCAGATTAGAATTCAAAGCAGAGAGAGATTCGCCTGCAGCGCCATCACCGGGAATCCCGAGAGACCATGACACCGAAGATACAGAGGATGACCGCCAGGTCTTTACTGTTCGATATCTTGAGATTTTCAAGCGAAAGCCGGATACGAAATTTACGCCTGGGAACATCAAATGTCGTGGGGGCCCTCTAGCCGGGCGATACGATTATCGCCGTTGGGCCCGCGAGATGGGAGAGATATTCGAAACGAACGGCCTGAAAGAAGCTATAGAAGGCAAGCTTGTTGCTTTAGGTCAGCTCGCGGGCTCTCCTTTCCAAGCCGAATTGGTTCGCGTGCATACGATTGCCAGACATATAATCAACTCAAATGTGAACGAATCCAGTCGAGCAAGTTTGCATGGTATAAGATGCTCGCAGGAGACCTGGGAAAAGCTGCGGAAGCTCTATCAGCTGTCACCGTCTGAAATGTCTCTAGAAGGCTGGGGTCTCATAAAGGAAAAGAGGATCAGCCATTACACCTCGGCGATACAATATACAACCGCCTTAGAAGATGCCTGGAGACAAGTTTGCATGGACCAAGACGATATGTTCAAGCAAACCCAACCCATGCTCTGCACAGCTCTCCTCCATGGCCTAGACGGGTTTGAGTGGTCATTGTGGAAAAACACCATCTTGGCGAATGGAGACATCGCGACTGACTTCGAAAAGCTCGCGGACAAAGTGAAAGATCAGGATCCGCTGATCAGATCAAAATCGAGACAGAGACCTATGCTGAAATGATACCACTCGAGATCTGGTCTTGTCTTCAGCGCCGTCATTCTTGCCTATCTTCATTCGAATCCGTGGATGTCTGCACCCTACGGATGAACATCTACACCCATTTCAATTTCCATATACCCATTTTGATAGATTTCTGTGGACGAATTGCCGACTCCATACCGCGCTGGGGTTATGCAATATTCAACGCCCGGAAGCGCTCTTCACGCCCTCCCCCCGCACGCGGGAGAAGACCTACAAAGTTAGTGATTGGATAAAATCATATCACTTTCCATGCACAAAAGAGGAATCTCCATATTGATGTATCAACAGTAGTCTTTCAACCATGTCTTGAAATCGCCAATCGTGGCACAGTCTAAAAACAAGGAGCCGCGCAGTTCCAGTTGCAGCTCTTCGGCAAATTTCTGCACCAATACCAGGGACATCAGGGAATCGATCCCGATACAGGCGAACTCGGTATCGTCCGTCAGCTCTTCAAGATCAATCTCAGTCTCTCTGCTGATCAGAACCATGGCTTGGCTGATGATTGAATTCTCTGCTGATGCATTCGGCGGGACTGGCTCCTGTTTGATAAAGGAAGAGCCAGCCTTGCTCGTTTGACTGCTGGCTTCAGTCGGTGGTTCTGAACTGCTTTGGCTCGGCGATGTTGGAACCTCTAAAGCCTGCGAAGCATATACCGGGGGCTGCCTGGCAACATGGACAGGCTGGGAGATATTGCTCGTGTCGGGTGGACTGAAAAACTGTCCCAGAAGCGAGCGCGGGAATGTGCGGAATGTCACACCTCCAACCAACCCAACGGTCTCACCATCCTGCAGAATATAGACATCACCGGCATAGAACCCAGGCTGCTTGGGAATGGGCTTCATGTTCACATAGCACATGTATGGGCGACCAGACACCAGTGGGCGAGCGAAACGCATGGATTTCCACCCGGGCGTCACATAAAAGAACTTGCGATGATCAACCGCATTCCCGCAGTTCAGGATAAAGCCTGCAAGATGCACGATGCTCTCTATATGGTATGGTGCCACAGTCCATTTGCCCGATGAGTCGTCCGGGGCAAGTACCACTTCTGCAGTTGCTTCCAAGCCATTGAGAATGACACTCTTCATTCCGCGGTATTTCTCTGAATAATCCACCAGGGCCCCGAAAAGCATGTATACCATGTCTTGAGTCAGTCGACTTGCTGTGCCTTGGGAAGCGAGGTTCTGCAGAACCTCGACTCTACTAGCGACCAGGTGTGAGGTAGGCGACCATTCGTCCAGCCAGGACTCGGGGTCATCCCACACCGCGGTAACTGTCGCAAAATAGTCTGGCGCTTTCTCTTCTTTGTCATTGAGAGTGTACCAGAAGAGCTGTACCGAATTGGTCAAACAATCTGCTGTGGCATGCACTTGGATCCACTGGGGTCGGGAGTGGTCTTGTCGCACAACGAGCCCTTGCTTGACTTGCATGTTCTTCAAGTTTATCGCAGGTGTGGCTGACTGGGGCTTGATGCGGCTGTGGAGGTAGCTGGACAAGGTAAATGCAATATCTGCGTGAACGGACTGCGGCAGAGCTTGTGGTCAATTCCAAAACACGATCGATTCATGATAAATTCTGACTTACTGATGTGACGACTGCACAGCCGTTCATTTCATGACCTCCCATTCCCTGTAGGAAGTCTTCTCGCAGGATATTGGACTGGGCTATAACTTTGCCGGCATCTTTGCCGATAGATTCCTCGATGATTTGGTGTACAAATGCAGTCTGTAATGAACCCTGGGTATCTTGGGTACTTCCTTCTGGGATTCGATCTTTTGCTAGCATCCAAGTACCGTTGTATTGGATCCAATAGTTCTTGTTATTCCACTGGTATGCTGGAAGATCCAGCAGACGTAACTGGGCCTCAAAGGGCGCATGCCATGCCTGCCAGTTGATGATGAATCCGATATTGTGCAGCTGTGCCATATTTCGGGCAAAGGTATGCCAGTTATCCTCATCTCGCTTGAGGGTTGACACTAATGTGGTTTCCCAGGCCATCGCATTGCGAACAAACGGACTGTAGGAGGCATGGGGTCCTATTTCCACCCAAACAGTATTTGCCTCGATCAACTCCATCTGACGAGCAATATCTAATGCCTTGGTGAATTGAACAGGGCACCGCGTTGCTTTTCGCATATAGGCTGCATTGATGGTGTGGCCATCGAAGACGCAGTCAGCCAGCAATGGGGAGATCACAGGGAAATTGGGTGCTTTGAACGTCACTCCCCCACACAATTCCTCATATTTGTTCAGAATAGGTTCCATCTGGGCGGAGTGAAATGCGTAAGGAACTGTGAGTTGGGTGCACTTGTACCCAAATACTTCGATCTTAGATTTGACTGTGCTGATCTCTTCAACGGTGCCGCTCAAAGTGATATCGTTGATGCCATTCACGCATGCAACTTCGTACGGCAGTCCACTCAACGCATTCTCGATTTGCTCTGTTGTCGCGCGTACCGCCAGCATAGCATGACTGTTGGGAGTGCACATCTCCTGTATGAGCAGAGCTCGGCGACCAACCAGATAGATGGCATCGCTTGCAGAGAGAACACCGGCCGCGTAAAGAGCAGCAAACTCCCCAAGGCTTGCTCCAATCACGACGCATGGCTTCACTCCGAGACTGCCCCAGAAATCACACAACGCAATGCTGATGCAGGTGATTGCCAGATGCACAATGACAGGGGCAGGTTCGGCGACAGGCTGCCGCTCACTGGGCACGGCAGCGATGACCTGGAGAATAGAAGGAAACTCGTGACTCAAGCAGATGTCGTTCAGTTGATGCAGCAAGTCCCTGAATCTTGAGTGGCTTTCGTAAAGCTGGTGTCCGATACCCATGTAAAAGCTTCCCTGGCCAGAAAACACAAAGGCAGTAGAAGGAATCGTATTACTAACGGGTCGATGCGATTCCACTGTTGGGAGATATTTCTCGAGTTGTCGATATATTGCTCCAGGTGAACTGCCACTCACGGCAATGCGATGGTTGTGATGCATGCGACGTGCAGTCGTGGTGTATGCAAGATGAGGAAGGCTCTCTGACGGCATGGTCTTGACATATGTCAAGAGAGATTCCAGATTTCGTTTCAGAGATACCTTACTCTTTGCCGAAATTGCCACTGTAAAAGCTGTCCGTATATCCTTCTCAGGCCTATGGCGCATGGGGGGCTCCTCCAGCAAGACAGAAGTGTTCCCACCAGCAGCACTGAAGTTGTTGACAACCACATAGCGTTTTCGAGTCGAGCTTTGGGGCCATGTCACTTCTTCGCGGGGTATATGCACATTGAGACGACCCAAATCGGGAAATGCAGGATTCAGAGCAGTCTTGATGCCTACGTGCTTCGGGATAACTCCTTTCCGCACGCTTAATAAAACCTTTATCAACGCCATGATACCAGCTGCAGCCTCTCCATGGCCTAAGTTGGCCTTGACTGATCCAATGTGCAGTGGCCGAGTCCTTGTGCGGTTGGGAGGTGCAGGACTGAAGACCGAGGTGACTGATTCGATTTCGGTTGCATCGCCTGCCTGCGTGCCGGTACCGTGCATCTCGACCATATCTACATCAAGAGGACTGACACCAGCTTCGGTCATGACCCGACGGTATAGATCAGCCTGGGTAGGAGCATGTGGATGTGTGATAGAGACGGCGTCCGCTGAGTGGTTGGTTGCGGAGCTCAGGATCACACCCAGAATGTTATCGTTGTCTCTTTGTGCATCGTCCAGCCGCTTCAAAACAACAGACCCAATGCCATCTGCCCGGCAATAGCCATCTGCAGTGGCATCAAACGTTTTGCAGCCGCCAGTTTTGGACAAAAAATGACCGCGGCTTAGTCCCGCAAAGCCATCGCTGTTCGTAAGAATGTTGAGGCCTCCTGCTACTACCATGTTGCAGTCCCCGTGAAGCAAGGATGTGCAAGCAATCTGAATAGTGGCTAGACTTGATGAGCATGCCGTATCGCAATTGAAGCTCGGTCCACTGAATTTGAAGAAATAGTTGATACGCCCGGGGGCGAAGGCCCGACAGCCCCCGGGGATGAAGTACGTATCAACCGTCTGACTGGCGTTGACTTCGCGATAGTCGTCGCTCGACTGGCCGTAGAAGGTCGATATACCCCTCCTATCGGTTGACTCTGTGCGGTCGGGGACAAATCCGGACTGTTCGAGGGCTTCGTAAGCCGTCACAAGCGCGAGGCGATGCATTGGATCAGTCTGCGCTGCTTCTCTGGGCGACATGTCGAAGAAACCAGCGTCAAACAGCCCCGGTTGGTCAATAAAACAGCCGAATGGAGTCAGACTGGTATTCCGCATCGCGCCAGACGGATCGGTGTGACTGTCCACATCAAATCTGTCTGCGGGAACCTTTTGATGCACATCGCGACCTTCTTGCAGCAAGTCCCAGAACGAATCCAAGTCGTTAGCTCCGCCTGGCATTCGGCAAGACATCCCCACGATGGCAATCTTGGAGTCCTCTCGCCTGAGAGGTGCTGTCTCCGAGGTATCCTCATCAAGCCAGTCCATCAAATTGAGAATTTGGAAATTGCAACTGGGAGCTGCAGATGCGCCATGAGCAGCAATGTCCGTTGCTAAACTGCATGAGCCAGGTGCGAAAATGGAGCACTTCGCCCATGCTGTTCCCATCACCGCCAGGGCACCTTCCTTTGCCATTCGGGATCGAGTTGGGCTTGTGAGAAGCTCGTAAACAACCGCGGCAAACATATCATGCGGTGTCGATGCTTGCATTGGTAACCCATCGGTATTGGAGATGAGAGGAGAGGAGTTGATCAGTACCCGATCGACTACTGCTGCATCCGCTGTTTTCATTATCGAGTAAACATGGCTATGGTTGAAGATGTGAGGTGCATGACTTAGGCCCCCATAGATAGGCAAATACACGTAGCGTGCCGATCTGAGACGCTCAGAAACCCTGAAAAGTTTCCGTAGCTTTGAGGGAGGGCCACTGACGGTGATGGTGTCCTCGCTGACTGCACTGACGAATACGTGGCTAGGCAGTGGATTTTGCTAGTTGCGGTCAGCTCATAGCTTTTTTTTTTCTCTTTTTTTGATGTGAGCTTACCGTGGAAGTATTGAATAAATCCAATTCTCTCCGGACAGTGTCTTCGTCGAGGTCCTTCACGGCGGCAGTCCAGCTTTCCGGTGGAGTAGATGGCTCTCTAGCTTCGATACACCTAGACGTTTGCCCAGCCAGCACGCCTATGCGCAGTGCAATTAGAATAGCCTCAGCACCCAGCCTGGGGAGATCTGCTAAAGTTGGTGAAACGGCGATGGCTGCTCCAGCGAGCATGCTCACCCCAAGGGCAGCAAAGCATGTTGTCGATTTGGCGAGATTGAACTGTTCCGGTTTTCTCTCGTAATATCTGCTCTTATCAACAGCTTTCTCTGCATTTCTCGAACAATGGCTTACCCGATAAATGATGTGATATGCAACAAACATCGCAATATTCCTCCTAACGCACCGGCTAGAGGACCGCGTTCCCAATTTTGCAATTCCGCCAGATCCAATACATTGTCAAATGGTGGTAGCTGGCATCGGAGGCTTTCTGGTAGGGACCGAATCTCTTCTCGCAAAACCAGCGTTGTGTGGGAGATGAAGTCTCGGAGTGTTGAGTGATCACGGACTTTGCTTTGCGTCCGGACTCGACGGAACAGATCGAGTGAATTCTCCGGCAGCCCGTGGGCGAAACAGAAGATATTGAATTGGCTGGGACTCAGCATGTCCGAAGAGCTCGAATCTTACGGATTGGCATACAAACTCGTCGCAATGGCATATAGTCTTCTACGATTTATATGCAGCAGGGGTGTGCCCCGAGAATCCCACAAACCGGACACTCTTACGCAGTGAGAAATTAGCGCTGAGTGGGATAGGACTAGTGGCGTTTCTGCATACAAATCCCCTTTGGTGAAGAGGTGGGGGCCAATTGAGTCCTGTCAATTCAACGACAAGCAATGCAATTGAACCAATGCTTCTGTCCCCCCTGATATCGAAAGCCCATCCGTTTCTCGCGAGCCATTTTCATGAGAATCTCTCTGATCTGTGGTCTGAGGTGATCGGAAACGTTTGTGGGGAGTCGAGTGCCAAATATCGCGGTGACGATCTCCGTTTCGGTCGCGGATCCTTTATCCCCCCGTCGCCTCCCAATGGCTTCCAATGAAGCGATGATTTGTTTTTCGCGGCGTTTCCTCTGTGTGAGTTCCTGCTGCAACTTGAGCTGCAGTTTTGGAATCACTGCCCCATGGCCTGGGTACCCAACATGCGAACCGAACGTTTCCAGTTTGAGCAGACTGTGCATGTATTCCCACAGATCCTCCACCACAGTTGTTCCGTGGCCCAGGATGGTGTCACCGGTAAAAATCGCATTTTCTTCTTCCAAAAGAAAGCACATATGGTCGTTGGAATGACCAGGTGTGAAAACAGCGCGCACTGTGGCCCCTTCCACGGCAAAAACCTGTCCGTCGTAAATTGGCTGCTGGTCGGTGTCGGGATTGTTTTTGTAGATAGCGCCGTTTAATTGCGGATCCTGCTGGATGAGATCCTGGACGCCACCAGTGTGATCCAAGTGCCAATGGGTCAAAAGTACTTTGCAAATTCTGAAGCTATGCTGTTCCGTCAAAGACGCTATCAATGTTGACCACGATATACAGCCCTGTCCGCTGTCAATCAACAGACGTTCCGGTCCACTCCCGAGGATATAAGTATTGGTTCCTTGCAGGTGCATCTGAGAAAATTGTGAGCTTCATGGGTTTCACAATATGCCCACAAAATCGGCTTACGACGCCTGGATTCCCACCCAACACCCGTATCACCCGCGGGGTCAAGAATTCGACCTCTTCTAGCTCGGGGAGAGAGCGGCTCTGAGCCCCCATGTAGTTTGCGAAAGCGACCACGTTGCCGTATTCGTTCATAGCTCTGAGGACTTGACTCGAAGTACTGTGATTGAAGGAAATAAATGACAAGAATGAATCCTCGTAATTCTTGGCGTATTAGGAGCTCAATGGCCCGTCATCTGCCGTGAAGTCCTCGGGGTAATAGCCACAAGCGTGTACAATACTGCATCAGTTAAAGCCATCCAGATAGTCGATCCTATAATATATTGCACTAGTGAGATGCACGTTTCACGCACCCAAGACTGCCCTTAGTAATCTCGTCGCTCGCCCAGCCTGGAGTGGGGGCCATTGCCCAACCCCTGTCAACGTCGGCGTCATTCTTCACAAGTGCTCGGCCAACGTCAACATGATATCCTCGGACAAAGTGGTCACGATCACCGCAATTGGCGGAGCCTTCTGGCTGTCGGGTAAGTTGATTCACCGTCAATCGCACTCCAAATAGACCCCACATTATGAAGATAGTAACACATTATGCAGGCAAGGTCTCCGCATATAGCTTAGTCGCATTACCTGCAATGCTGCTGGCCAAATCGGAAGACGATGTATCATCCAATCCAATTCTCAAAGTGTGGCGACGTCTGTATGAATATGGTCACGCATACGGCCCAAAGGCGGCGGCGGTGACTTCCACCGCGTTTGCATATCTAGCATGGTCTGCGAGCGATCAGCGCACCGGCTCTCCTACTCCCATGATTATGCACAGCGCGGCTGCTTCATTGGTGCTGGGTATCGTGCCCTACACGATCATCTGTATCGGGCCTACAAACGATCGCCTTTCGGAAAGAGCGGCTGGCAAGGATGCGTCGGTCTCTGCCTCTGACAGATCAAATGAAGAGAGCGACGAACAGCTTCTCCGTCGCTGGGTGGTGCTCAATGGAATCAGGGGCTTGCTGCCTTTGGCAGGTGGTGTTTTGGGGTTGTTGACCGCCCTCAACTAAAGAAGTCTCGTCAATGATAGCCTATGCAGTCGAATGAATTCAATCCCGGGCTTCAAAAATCATGATCATGATGTAAGTATGTGAATGAAATTGCTGGCTCTGGATGATCTCAGAGAATCGAGTAACGACGGAAATTGCTCAGTCATCGCTCGACCACTCGGGAGAAGGTAAAGTCTGAACAGCGCTGTAGACAAATGCTTTAATCCTTCAAGGTCTCTTGAAGAACATAGACCGGGCGACAAAATAACCTGCCACCGATAATGCTCCGACAGCTGCCACAACAAGTGACCTATCACTCAATATGTACCCTTCACTTGCCTGTTTGACTTTGGTATTCGTCTTCCCCAAAAGTCGCTTCCTACCAGTGCCTTCGATTGCATAGTCCTGCCAATGTACATTCGAAAGTTCAGTCTGATAATCCACCACAGTCCCGCACCAGTTGTTGGTGATCAAACCATCATCTCTCTTGTACCAGCTGGCGCAATTTGGATCCGCGAAGCTGGTATTTTGTAACACCGACTGGATCCTGTCATTGAATTTCTTCAGAGCCTCGGGTTCGGGCTTGAATGTTAAGCTCTCGCCACGCTGACGGGCATTGATAACTTCACCAACTAGCGTGTTGAGATACCGCGATTGGGCTTCGATCATCAGAATGATGGAGTTATGACCTTTTGACATATTAGAAGGCTTGTTGCATCAACACCAGAGATCGAATGTAGTACACCACTCACCCAGATTGGTATTGGGGCCATAGAACATTCCGAAGTTTGGTAAATCCTCCACTGTCACACCATTGTAGGCTCTGGGACCACTGCTCCAGATATCCTCCAAAGACCGACCTTGCGACCCATAGATCTTAATCGGATGCATAAACTCGACGGTCTTGAAGCCAGTGGCAAGAATGATTAGATCATAATCCTGCTCGTATTCTCCATCGACTTCAATGCCCGCATCGGTGATGCCCGTGATCTCTCGTGTTTCCAGATCGACATTTTTGCGGGCGATAGTGGGATAGTAATCATCTGTTATAATGACACGCTTGCATCCGGGCGCGTATTTGGGTGTAAGGGTATCCCACAGCTCCGGGTTGTCGGGCAGTTGATCTTTCAATGCCTGTGCACATGCAATTCGAATTGCCTGCGCGAATTGTGAGTCTTTATCCGCCACTGCTTCGTAGAAGCTTTCCCGGTAGTCCATTTGAGCGGCACGTTTGCGCCACAAAAGTGGCGGAACCCATTTGAACAGTGTTTTGTGGAAACCAGAGACTGGTCCGTCATTACGCGGAATGACCCAATTCGGTGTTCGTTGGTAGATGGTCAGATGAGAAGCGCTTTGAGCAATCTCCGGTGCTATTTGAGCGGCGGTGGCGCCGTTTCCGATCATAGCGATTCTCTTTCCTGTCAAGTCATAGGTCCAGTCCCATCGAGCGGAATGCATCAGCTTTCCTTGGAAATCATCAAGTCCCGGGATGGTCGGATATCTGGGAAGATTGAGCTGACCGACAGCAGAGACTAAGAAATCTGAGCTGATGATATAGGAAGTTGAGTATTCGCTGTCCTTCTGGCCCGATAAAACCAGCTTAACTTTCCATTTGGCTTCAGCATCGTCCCAGCGAGCCTCTTCCACCGTCGAGTTGAATCGAATGTGCTTGTAAAGCCCATATTTCTCCGCGATGCCAACTAAGTATTGCTGTCACTTGGCGTAAGCAGTGCATTATAGAATGAAACAGATACAATATTCACGTCACTCACATGGATTTCTTCCTGTCCCGGGTATTCTCTTGACCATTCCGGGTTTTGCTCGAATGAGTAACTATATAGGGAGCTCCATACTATTCTTGATTAGCGTTGGCTGCCAAAGCTGACCAGAAGTGTTCTTACCATCACAGCAGCTGCCAGGATACTTGTTATCATTCCAGGTCCCACCAACACTGCTGCTTCTCTCCAAAATCACAAAGTTGTAACATTTGTTTCTTTTGATCAAGTCGATGGCCATGCATATTCCTGCAGAGGTAAGCATGTTGCACTGCCCATAGAGACTTGAACTTACCAGATATTCCAGCGCCGATGATAACAACAGTTGCATCGGTGAAGTCTTTATTTCCAACGGGGAGCTGTGCTTTCAACGATTGAGGCATCTTGAATATATGGTTGATGTTCGGGTTCACTTTGAAGTGGTAAATTGAGGAGTTGATTGAAGACGTCTTGACTGATTCTGAAGATCGCCATATATCCGTAGGCACTTTATTCCAATGAGGAATATAACCGAGGCCCCTCATTCTTTGTCATATGGCAGGGATTTATGCAGGCCATGTCACAATGCATCCACCTTCTCGTTAGCCTGGCGATTCGAGTAGCCTTGTTTGGACATACCTGTTGCTTTTCAGCCTGTTTACAAGTCTACACCAATATTCTACGCTGAAATAAGACCCCTGCTGGATATCTTGATTGGAAGAAATCTGTGAGCCGTCGGAAATCGTGAAATTGATGCTAAGGACAGTGGCAGTGCGGGGAATTGCACATCCCGAGGCACTGTTCCCACACTGGTTAGCCCTAGTGTCTGCAGACTAAAATAGATGCCAAAGGGTGTCGCTAATCATGGGAGCTCTATCCCCTCTCGCTCTGCCGTCTGAAGAATAAACTGCTTGACCTTTTGATTGGACAAAGACAATGTCAGTTCTGGCATCTTGGCCCGAGAATGAAAACATACCTTATCATCCGGGACTAGCTCAATGGCCAATTTGCCATCACTATCCCTCTTCAGTGGGTCCGCTCCTGATTTCAGTAGCAAGATTGCGGCAGGGCCATGGCCTTCGGCAATGGCCTGGTGGAGTGCCGTATATCCATCAGCGTCAGTTGCGTTGACAGGGCTCTTGCCTTCTTCCAACAGGGTCTTCAGGATCGGGACAGATCCCACTGCAGCTGCTCGATGAATAGGTAGCTGGCCACGCTTGTCCTTCACTCTGGCGCTGCATTTGTTGGCGATCAGAGCCCGGACAGTGGAGATGTTATTCTTTGAGCTTGCGAAGTGTAGAGCATTCTAGCATTGTGTTAATTCCAGGTCCTTCATGGCTTCGAGGTTTACATGAGCCACTGACCTGTCCAGAATTACTTTTGGCAGACACGTCGGCCCCCTTTCGAATGAGTAGCTCAATGATTGCGTCGCCCGAGGCATCTTTCAAACTGGCTGCAATCATAAGGGGTGTCCAGCCCGAACCATCCTATGACATATTAATATTCGGCTTCCCGGTTCAGCGAGAAGACGGATTGGACACACCTCGACATCCGGATCGAAATTCTTGCTGGCGACTAGTAATTCAACCACTGGGAGGTGATTGTAGGCTACAGCCCAATGGATTGGAAGACGCTCATCATCGTCCTTGACATAAGCAGATTTCGGATTTGACTATCATGGGGTTAGGCCATTTTAGGGTAACGAAGAATAACCACCTTGAGTTGACTGTATGGATGGAGCGAGGGGCAGCCCGAACATGTGGAACACTTACGTTCAACAACGACTCAACGACCTGGTCTAAGGGAAAAAGTCAGCACCGCACATAACAGACTGATTCGCACTCACTTCTCCCCTCACGGGCAGCCTCATGCAAAGCGAATTTCTGATTTGAGTCCATGATGGTGATGAAGAGTGATATTGCGATAAGAGCTGCGATAAGCTCACTATAGCTGAGTAAGCGGGGTCGAGGCGTTGAACTTGACAGCAGCGAGTCCCTCACAAAAGCAGAGCTGTAAGCTGAGGGATAAGTGCGTTGTCGAAAGTGCGCAGCAGAAGGTGTCGTCTTCGACACCAGAGGAGTGACATCTGGAGTCTGGGGCAGGTGGTGTGGATACCTCAGGCACCAACGCGGATCCAGTCTCAGTAAAGACTCGTCTTTCTTCAACTTTCAACATCCGCCGGGCTGCCAGTGCGATTCACCCACGTCTTTATCAATCGCTACTTGTCCCTCAATGCGCTGAGTCTATCGTCCTGATCGAATCGAAATATACGTCCGCCACACGAGTTTCACCGCGCGCACGATCAATCGCGGCGTGAAGCTCTCGCCCTCGGAGAACCACTCGCCTCTTCCCTCACCCACCTACTCACATACAAACAATGGATTTCAACTCAGCCAATCCCGTTGAGGATGCGGTGCGACTGTCCGCCAAGCGCACCGCGGAGCTCTTTGGTCCGGAATATTTGATGGTCACTCCCTCGACTCTTACGGACGGCTCGATTGGTGTTTCCTACCGACGGAAGGCGGAATATGAAGACGTCACAGAACTCCCCCGAGCGCTCGCAGAGAAGCAAGCGAAGGCCACCGCTGGCCGGACGAAACGACCCAAGATCCAGGCACAGAAACCCGCTGACGGCAGCGGAGCATCCATGTCGCTTGTTCGACGCCCATCTGGCGCGAATGCTGGTGCAGAGGCGCCTAGCACCCAGCCCACAAGCTTGATCCAGAGGCCTTCGGCTACGCAGCAACAGAAACCGGAATGGCACGCGCCTTGGAAGCTGATGCGCGTTATCTCGGGTCACTTGGGATGGGTGCGCGCTTTGGCTGTGGAGCCCAACAATCAGTGGTTTGCTAGTGGTGCTGGAGATCGCACTATCAAAATCTGGAATCTCGCGACGGGTGCGTTGCGTCTGACCCTGACTGGTCACATTTCCACGGTTCGCGGGTTGGCGGTCTCACCGCGGCATCCGTACCTTTTCTCGTGCGCTGAAGATAAGAAGGTCAAGTGCTGGGATTTGGAAACCAACAAAGTCATTCGCGACTACCATGGTCATTTGAGTGGTGTTTACACATTGGCTCTCCACCCTCGTCTGGATCTTTTGGTCACTGGTGGTCGTGATGGTGTCTGCAGAGTTTGGGACATGCGGACGCGAAGCAATGTCCACGTCCTCGGTGGGCACAAGGGCACAGTGGCCGACATCAAGTGTCAGGATGCAGAGCCTCAGATCATCTCCGGTTCACTGGATTCCACAGTCCGACTGTGGGATCTCACTGCTGGTAAAAGCTCGGGCGTCCTGACTCACCACAAGAAGGGTGTTCGCAACATCGCCATTCATCCCACCGAATACACCTTTGCCAGTGCTAGTACTGGCAGCATCAAGCAATGGATGTGCCCCAAGGGTGACTTCATGCAGAACTTCGATGGTCAAAACGCAGTCATCAACTCTCTTGCTGTCAACGACGAAAACGTCCTCTTCTCCGGCGGTGATAACGGCTCCATGTCCTTCTGGGACTGGAAGACCGGCCACCGCTTCCAGTCTGTCGAGACTACCGCTCAGCCTGGTTCGCTTGAAGCGGAAGCTGGTATCATGACCTCGACCTTCGATCGCACTGGTCTGCGTCTCATTACCGGTGAGGCTGATAAGACCATCAAGATCTGGAAGCAGGATGAAGACGCCACTCCCGAGACCCATCCTTTGACTTGGACTCCCACCCTCGGTAGACAACGGTACTAGAGATAATTGGCATTCATGATCTCTGCTCCGATTCTTTAATACCCTCTTTTTGTTACTAGTTGCACCGTTTGTTTCGGCACTTGTGGAGTTAGGCGTGGTTTGGCGAGGCCTGGAACCCAGTCCAGTCGGAAAAGAATGGATGTTTTGTACCATATGAAGTTTCAAGCAAATGGTTCTTTTCAGAGCGTGCATGTAAATATGGACAATATATTCAAGTTGCCCATTCCAAAGGTCCACCGCGGAATTCGTCTGACAGTTGGCATCGTACACATCGATTATCCATCCATCCATGGATGGACGGACAAAAATATCCATAGTAACAGGCTACGAATATCATGTTGAACAAGTACAAGACTAAATTAGCCAATTGTGACCAAAGGGTATCATATGCAAATTACAATGCGATATCGCACTACTTGAAAAACTCCGAATAATGCGCACCATATCAAAACACCCCCAAGGCCTGCTGTAATCACTGCTCGATTCCCAGTCCAAATCCTTTGGCTTCAAGATCTTCGCGGAAAGCAGACCTGACATCTTCCGCCGCGACTCGAAGTCGCACTTTGCTGCTGCGATCGCCACGAGTGGGTATGGTTGTCCCTCCGAGCACGCTCTTGGATCCGGTACCTTGTTCCAATGCAAGGACACCTGAGTTCATGAGCGACATAGCTGCATGGCCCATTGACCGGACTCGCGCGCTGGGTCCTCCCAGCAGGAAGTTTTTCACGCCAGCACCGGCTGCTCCAGCCACTGCGACGGCGGCATCGCCGATGCGGCGGGCCTCGTCGAGGACATCGCCGAATGTCGATTCTGAGATTCCTGTTCTCTGAGCCCTCGCCAGAAGAGCGGCGAGGAACAATTTCCCGGATAGTGGGAGACAACGAAGAGATTGCTGGAGGGGGGTTGATGTTGCCTCGTGAATGGCTTGCTTGATTGTTGCAATTGTGACACGTCCCGGCTGGCCCTTGGTGGGCGCGGCTTCAGCGACGGCTGATTCGCCAGCCGGCTGAGCTGCGCTTGCTTTGTTGCGACGAGCGGGGGTTTTGCTGGGCGTGGGAGGTAGCGACTCGGTTTCGTCTTTGGTGATGTCTTCAATTTTACCGGCCTCTTCCGCTGCCTGCTCGGCAATCTCAACAGCTCGTCGACAGATGTCCAAAGCTCTTCGTGCGTCACCACTGACGGCGGCGACCTTTCGACTGGCAAATTGGACCGCATCTGGATCAACGATATTGCCTGGAACATTGGCAAGACGTGTACTGATGATTTCCATCAGGTCTGTGTGGCGGTAGCCCGGGAATGTGATACGGGTGAGACCGAGACGACTGGAAATTTTGTTGCTCAGGGTTCTTTCCGGCAGATCCATAGTATTTGCGACAGCCAATACGATGAGACGCGAGTGACGGAGGGCCGGCCAGTTGAAGAAGTTATACATGACCGACTGGTTCTTCGTGACCAGCTGGTCCAATTCATCCATGAGCACAACACAAGACACACGGCGAGGAGACGGGTGCGAGAACTCCTGCTCGAGCAGATCGAGTGCATGAGAAGGTGATACACGATCACCTTTCAAGGCTTCCCATAGTAGCGAGTAAGATTGATGCGGATCCGTGACTTTCATGCCGTTGATCTCAACGAAGATAAAATCGTCCATTTCTTCTTCGTGTACAGCGGCATTCAGCTGTGCAACCACCTCACGCACAGTGGCAGTCTTTCCGGTACCGGGAGTACCTGAGATGTAGATGCAAGCTCCCGTACCTTCCATGATGGCGGCACTGAGATGGTTGTATACTGTGTTGAACTCGTTCTTTCGGCATGGAAGCGCATCAGGAACAGTAGAAACGTGTAGCAGGTTGCGAGCTTGCCGGTAAGGGGAATCAAAATGTGTGGGCGAGAGAACACGAGTGCCCAGAGGCGTAAATTCGAGAGGCTTTTTCACAACGATTCTGAGATACGTCAGTACTTTGATATGCAAAGAAATTACACCATATCATACCGTTTGTGGGTCGGTGTTGTCAGAGCCTTTTTGCGTTGTGACTTCGGCGTAGCACTTGTCGCCAATCGCTGTCTTTTTCTTGGAGTGGTAGGGGCTTCCGTCTCCTTGGTTTCCACATACTGTTAGATGACCTAAATTAGCCCCGTTTTCTTAAGATGGTTGGTTATAGGTTGCCTCTCACTTCATCGTCCGCAGCTCTGCGTTTCCGGGAAGTCTTCAGCTGTTCCCTCACCCAGGCAATGAGCGTGTGGATGTTGCTCAGATCATATACATCCTCCCATTTAAACTCATCGGTATAGCGTCCTTGCAGCTGATTCACGCCTCGCCGGCAAACGATGCACTTGTTGTATTCCGCCAACTCAATCTTGTTCTTCGGGGGACCATTGGGGTATCTCGTTTCAAAGGCGGTTGGAGACATGACGACAGCCTTGCCGGAAATCGAAGTCAATGGATTACTGTTGAAGTCCAGAGTGATGTATTGCTCATTCGGTAACGCATCGACTCGACGCTTGTTCCTGGTGCCGATGAACTCATCGGGCGATGCGAACCACATGATGTGCGCTGATTTGCATGTCTCGCCCTCCTCTTCTTCGTCCTCCTCTTCCCGAAATTCCGTTATGATTCCCACCCACTCCTTGCCTGCCTCGGGGGACTTCAACAGAACGACCTCGCCAAGTTTGCATTCGAATGTGTTCATCCTTGCGCCGATGATTTTTCGTTTCTGGCGGGCGGGGCGCGAGGATCGCCTGCGGCTTCGCTTTTCAGGGGTGCCCTCTGGGCCTTCCTCTGGGATAGCTTCGAGCTTGTCGTAAACCCATTCCCATGGGTGGTCTTCATTGCCGAGTTCATCGTCCGAATCGTCACGCACTAGGGCACCCTTGGTCATCCATTGCTGTGCCCGGGCGCTTGCACTGCGCCGTGGAGGCGGAGTACCATCTGTGTCGCTATCACTCATTGGAAATGCAGAACGGTGGACAGTTCGAAGGTACAGCGAAGAAGGAGAAATCGCGTTGACGCGTTGTCCACTTTGGTCCTGTTTGGGTTTAGCGCTGCAAGGGGGACCGGCCAATCAGAAGCTTCTATTCAGTACTACTACAGAACTATATATCTGCAGTGTAAAGAGTGGGCTATACTTCATTCTTTGCTAAAAGCAATACCTCTTTTGATGCAGAAATCTACTGTGAAAATAGCTTACGGTCCTCAGACTCCCAGCACTATGACCTGCACACTCAAAACCAAGCCGACTTTGCCTACAGTTTTCACTCGGAATTGCTAGCTAGGTGGTATTCTACTCTGTGGTATTAGAGATGTAGGTCTACGGTGCTGTTAGCAGTGTGTGTCTTGTTACATTAGGAAGGAACGATCGCTGTCGCGCCTTCTGTTATGATTTTGTGCTGTGCTGGCGATCGCGTTCAACCTCCTCTTCTCATCTCTTCTCACCACCCCTCGAACGGTTTGTGCTTCGGCCCAAACCTACTAGTGGTCACTTTTCAGCTTTGGATCTCACTCTTGATATTGATATCAGATTCAAATTACCCCTGAGCTGTTTGCGCACAGAGAGACATAGCTTCCTAGAGTCTCTTCCGCGCCAAAACCCAAGATGGAGTAAGTGCTCAGCTGTCTGATCGCCTGGCGCTACTTTAAGAATCGCAACTGCTGACACTTTCTGCGCTATAACTAGATGGGAAAAGGAAGGTGCAGAGTGTAAGTGATATCTCTTTCGGTTCACATTGAATTCGTGCTGATATTCCCAGCGTGGGCTCTACCGGACTATGGCCCTCCTCGATTCAACATTTACAACCCGACTGCGTTTACTGAAGAGTCTGAAACCGATACCGCGACCGCCGTCAAGTCTAGCGTCGACACAGATGAAGATCATGACACTGTCCCGGATCCCGCGAATCCGCCATCTAACATAAAGTCTATACCACCCTTCACCTCCATCCAATCGAGACTGGCAAGCCTGTTATCTGCTGCAAGGCAACAGAGATTGCCGTCGCGTGCCTTGAGAAATTTGGGAACTAATTTCAATGCTTATAGAACTCATCAGCCCACTGAAAAGGAAAAGCTGCCTGCTCAGGATCGACCTGATGAGTCCCGCAAACACCGGAAATCTGGTCGAAGCAACCGCCAAGCACCCCCACCTACCAAGAATACCTATGCTAGATCGAAGTGGCGCAAGGGCAGTGTTCCTGATGGTACGTGGTAATACATTATTCTGTACTCAAGGGCTAACGTTGAGCCAGCTTCGCTTCGGCTGCCATGTGCATACACCTTGTTTCAAATCAAGTAAGGGAGCAAGTCTCGGTCATTTTGTTGATCGCTGAATCGAACGAAATAGAATTGCACAAACACCAAGCCTATCGAGTGAAGACAGCCTTTGCCGCCGGCTTGTGCAAGAGACGGGTGTCTATGCAAAAGTCAGCAACGCAAGTGCCGATGTCAGTATCCACGTGTAACACCATGGTTTTTGACGAACACTTTTGACACGCAGACAGATCATCCAAGTATGGGGGAAGCCACGCAACGTGTTGAGTGCTCGAAGGATGGTACGACGATTCGTGGAGGCAGCCATGCCAGACGCAACCATGCCAGATAGCGATGAGGAGGAGAAGAAGCTTGGATGGAAAAGAATCAGCGCACATTCAAACATAAAGAGTGTGACCGACAAGCTCAAGGAGGTGAATGATGCCAAGCTGGAACGGCTTCGACATGCACCAGAGACCCGTACCGATTGCAAGGTATGAGCCTCACTCACTCTTTATCACTGGAATATTAACCCAACTGACCATTGTAGTACATCTTCCTATGGCCTCCACATGGCGAGCCCTCACTCAAGGACGGTCTTGATCTCCGCCGTCAGTGGCTGGACGAGATCCGCGCTGCGTATGACGTGTATATCTACACAGAAAGCGGAAACAAGAATTGCCTATACCTATCTGCAAACAGTGAGGCAAATCTTTGCAATGTTTCCAACGAGCTTCGCGCGATGCGGCAAGCACTCTCGGTTCGGGCTGAGGGTGGGATCAAGTTATTCCTCGTCGAACCACCCACTCCCAGCCTGATGAAAACGGAGATCCGCGTGGAAGAGACTGACGGGTTTGCCAAACCATTCCTCCATGGAAATAAGCTACCTCAGGAACAAGCCCTCGCCTGGAGTTCCCGGGCTCAAGCCTTCAAGCAGGATAACAAGGATGTGATCCAAGGCCATCTGGGAAGGGCATTGGTGTCGGTGCCACCATCCAATGGCGTGCTTCAAATGAGAGCAAAGTTTGGCACTTTCACTCTGGATGAATGGACAAAGCCAGCGGCCGGGGACACCTATCAATTCAAAGAATTTCGTGACATATTGAGACGCGACAGCGTGGCAGGACGTCTGCTTCCAGGGTTTGTGATCCCTGTCAGCCATTGTTCAGACTTGATCGCTAACATTCAGATTAGGATTTGCCTGTCGGAGAACGAGCTATTCAAGCGAATCAGGGAAGCAAAGGATTTGCTTGTGCCATGGGGTGATGTTAAGCTCGACTCTTTGTTGAAAATTGCCCCCAGGCATTCTGCTAGCTTTGATTTCCAGGCAGGAACAGACGGAATCATTCGGGTAGAGGTCAACTTCTCGCTGTTGGAGGGAACGAGCGAATTTGAGGTCAGTGGCTCTCGCTGCTTCAAGCCGCGCAAGCCGTGCAAGCCGAAAGACTCGAAAGAGGCGAAAGACTCGAAGGGCCCGATAAAGCCAATGCAGATTGGGATGATTGATTTTGAAAGGTTCGGGGGCCTTTTCCTTAGCAATGCGTTATCGATACTGACATTCATGATTATAGAGCTGACTGGGAACTCGAGATCAAGGCCCTCGAGCTTCACCCGGCAAAGCAGCACAGCGCTGAACTGCGAAAATTCAAGCATTCCATCAGATACGTGTGGAACCCGAGCTCGTCAAGCATTGGGTCTATGCCTCAGCGGAAAGCGAAGTTTCACCCCAGCGCCCCAATCACTCGATTCGTTGAGAAATCAGCAATCCAACTGAGTGTTATCGGTACCGCTTACACCTTCGAGCTTGCTCGTTTTGATGATTACCTCTATGCCAATCACCGCTGGGCAAAATCACCCAAAGTCTCGTGGGGGGCTTCACTTTTCAACCCCGAATGGGATGAACTCCTGACCACACAGGCGCACGGTGGTACCATCTATGATACTTCGTGCCTGTCATCCTTCTTTCAAGCATCGCCCGAGACCGTCGCAAAGGCCATGGAGGGCATGAGCGATGACGAGGCCGAGGAAAAGTACGAGGAAATCCAGACTCGCCTGGACCTGGAGGAGTTGAGGACGTTCATGAGCAAAGTTCAGACACTCGCCCGCATGCTAGGCTCCTCGGACTTTGAAGCAGTTGAAGTCCTTAACGCCGATCTTGGAACTCTGTTTTGATCAATTTGACAATGTCATGACGAGACTGGGGTTATGCCTGAGGACAATGGGGACGAATGATATGTTGCTGGAATGGAGTGGAATGGATTGGACGCAGGAGAGTCTTGATGCTTTCATGCCGTGGTTGCGTTGCTCCAAGTTGCTGAAACTAATATTTCCCCAAGGGGTTTACTGGTCTCGTCAACTCAATGCCATCGCGATATCTGGGCGATAATATCTGGGCAAATTCAAGCCACAAAGTGAGAAAAGAGAAAACACAAAAAAAGGAGAGGATGATAAGGAATCGTATTGACGAGGCTAGGTAGTGTCAAATACCAATGGTTCCACGAATTTCCCGAAGTCACTGTAAGAACACTGGGTATCATGGGCGTGTATAACACGCAGCGCCACGCTGCTTCTAGAATGTATTTGTTGACCCGACCTTGTCAAGATTTTGCCTGCATGCGATGGAGTAGATCATCGCGAGCCACTTTCCATGATCGCAAGCCGTCGATCTAGCAATAGCAGGGTTCAATTGGTATAGCTTTGATTGCTCTATTGTATGTCATATCAATCTGTTGGTGCTATGGCTTAGCCTGCAGTCGCCGCCTGGGGGGGAGCGCCCTCCCCGGCGAGCATCTTCTGCCTCAATGCTAGACAAGAGTTAGCCCACGAACCCTGCACATGGCCATCAAAGCTACATGTCGGTATCAACTTACTTTCTTCCACGACGCGCAATTGCGTGCTCTTAGTCTGTACAATCTTCTCCAACTCGCCCAGGTTTGTCTCCAAGTCCTTCACCTTGGCGTTGTAGAACTCCTCCGCCTTCGCAGTCGTCTGATCGAGCCCGTCAGTCATGTCCCAAATCAACACCATTGCAACAACAAACCTTCTCAACGTAGAAGCCAGTTCCAACGTCCACCAGCACCTTCTCGCGATCCGTCAAGCGTCCCTTCACATATAGCGAGCTGGTCAAGGGGACCAAGATCTCATCACGACCATCAGTCCCCTTCTTCTCGTTACCAGTCACACCATCCGTGATCGAGCGCACACAGTCCCGGAACTTGGCCTGAGCTGCGCGCAGCTTCGTGTGCGAGGTCGTCAGGTGTTCGAGTTCGGAAGTGAGGCGGGTTTGCAGCGCGCGCAGCTGCGGGACAGAAAGAGAGGCGAGGTTAACTGATTCCGGGGATTGGTTAGTGGCTTGTTCTGGCATTGGCTGTGTCTGTGGCCCGGGGCGGACGTACTCTGGCCCTGGGGCGCTCCGTCTCCGGCTTGCGACATTGTGGATATGCACGTTGGAATTGGGTGGTATTTGTGTATACAATGCTCCGTAGTGGGGGAGAGCTTCTGAAAACTCCCTCGCGTGGTGATTGTGGGCGTAGGCGGTGCACGGCGAATGGCGGGTGGGACGGGGTTATGCACACGCACCTTGACGTGGGGTATTCACTGTCCATCTGATAGCTTGGCTGGAGCAGTGAGCATTTTGTAGTATTTTTTATAAGTATAGCAGTGGCTGTACTGTATATAGAAAAGTCCATGTTTATACCTACATAGGTAGGTAAGCCCAGACTGAAGCCTCACGCTCGAAGCAGATACAATTAACCGACAAGGGACTCAAGATACGTAACCTGCATGAATTTTCCCTAGACAGTTGATAGCAAAAGAATAGAAACACCGAGCACTGCCAACTCCCAAGTAAGAAGTACAAACACCGTGAGGGACCCGCGTTACTCCGAAAACGCCGGTTCTCCGCTCCGCGCCGAACTTCAACTCAGACACAATGGCTTCACGACTGGCAGCTTGCGAGGCCTGCAGGAAATCCAAAGTCGCCTGCGATCACAAACGACCAGCATGTACAAGATGTGCAAGTAATGAAAGGGCAGGGATCTGCATCTACCGGACCACCCCGTTCAAGAGGAAAAGAGCCGAGAGTGCGACTCCGTCAGCGCAGCCATCTCCCAGGTATAAGATACATCCTCCCCCCATGTGGAAGTGTGCTCATCGGTCTGGGCAGTCGGGTATCACCGGCTCAAGCTCCGCCGCTATTCGCGAGAAAGAATCCCTATCCCAACCCGGGGTTTTTAGGATCATCAAGCCATGTCGCGATCTTCAATCAGATATCACCCGAGACATATCATACCTCGGACAATGCCCATGCATCTGAGCCCGATATGGCGACAATAATGCACTCACAGGTGGCCGGCGAGAATCTGTTGATGATCCAGGGCGCCGATGTCCTCAGACAGTTACTCAATACATTTCCGCTGGCGGCAATGAAAGACTTCGTCATGTTCTGGCTGGAGACTGGCGCCAATATGTCTTTGGCAGAGCCGTTTGTCGAGAAATGCACGGAGAATATGACTCGTTTGTTTACAAGCTTCTCGCAGGAAGATAACTGGCATTTGGCGTATGCTCAACGCCTGACGCAAAATTCTCGGATGCCGTTGGAAATCAGAACGACAGCGGACATATCAGATTTCTCAGCTCAGTTCCTTGATCAAAACTTCCGATGGGAAAGTCTCGGCATATTTCTTTGCGCTGTCAGTCGAGCGACGATAGCCATATCTTTCTTCCCGCCTCTGTACAAAACAGAAAAAGACCAGTTTACGCTTCGGAAACTATCGACGAGTCTAAGCGATCTAGCCCTGGATATCGCTCTCTCCTTGGATTGTTTGAACGACTTACAGTTGGTCCTGCAGTACGAGAATTTTATCATTCACACCCACGTTGACGGGGATCAGAGTATGCCGACCCTTGCACTCCAAGCCTTGACGCCGACTGACAAGAAGTTCCAGGCTTCCATTCATGGAGCAGACTGGGAAACGTCGTTTCCTCCATGTTCGCACTCGGCTACCATGAAAACGTCGAAAAAAGCAAACCGCCGATTCCCAATTTCTTAGCTGAATTGAGAAAAACAGCATGGGCCATAACTTATTCTGCTGATAAGAATGTGGCCATATTCTTAGGTCGACCACCTCGCATGAGCAAACGATTCTGTCATTTTCAATTACCATTGAATCCGCCAGACTCTATGATCTCTGCGACCAATGCCTGGGATAGACACACCACATGGAATGAAGACACTCCATTCTGCTATAGAGCGGGGATCAGATGGGCTGCATTATGCTCAGCACTAAAGGAAGATGTCCTTGAATTGCTTCGAGATAGGCAGCGCGAAAACTTCAACCAGAAAGCCAGGTAAGCCAAATTGATCTTCAACATATTCCCGAGCAGAGTGGCTTATTTGTTTCAACAGTGCTGTTCGCGAGAAGGCTGCCGTACAATGGGAAAAATTACCTTCGAAATTCAAGTTGTCGTCTACGTTGAAAGAGTGCTCTGCTGATGCGTTCAAACGGGACATGCTGGCGAGTATACGTCTAGACCAGCTCCATGTCATCTTTCTGCTCCATTTGTCATTCATTGATTCTCTGACTGAGCCGGATCCAACCATAATTGATGTGTCTGACCAGATGCTTGGTCTTGTTATTGAAACGATTCTCTTACGGGACCAGTTGGTATTCTCCGGGACATCTGTAATATGGAAGGTAAGTTCTTTCATTTCATCTCATCTCATTTGATTTCATTTGATCTCATCTTATTTCATTTGATCTCATTTCTTTTCAGTTCATTTCATTTCCCACAAGTCACTAACTTAGGATGACACAGATCGCACACTACGGCCTCCCAGCAGCGGGCATCATTCTTCTATCAATGTTGAAACAAAGCCACACGCTAACCGAGGCGAGAACGTCTCGGTCCAAAACGCTGATGAACCTTGGCATCTTCGTTGCCCAAGTTCAAGTCGGAAGTATGGTTCGACGCGGAGATCCGAACTATGCCTTGATCTCCAAAGCTACACAAACGATAGAGCGATTCCTCGATTCAGTTCACCGCGACGGAGCACATATTCCTGCTCCACCACCTTCGCATCCAGTCGAGAATGGGGAATGGGATACATTCTTCAGTCAGGATCTTTGCGATTTCGAGACTGTCTTCTGGGATAATCTTGCGGATCATCCTTCGCTATTGGCATCGGATCATGCTTTGCCTTCAATATAGCGAGGTTCTAAGGCACTTGAAATGCTTCTCTGCTGAGAGCTGAATTGCTGCATGCCTGGTTAGGTGAAGGTGAATCTGGCCCCTTGATTCCCCAGTCAGCCCGTGGTATCTCTTCTCTTGATTCTCTCATTTGCCTCTCTCTCGGGCTAAGAATCAATCTGTTCTCTAGCTTCTTGGCCCCAGCAAGAGTCAGATCAAACTTTGCCCATTCGGGATTTTTTAATGATTATGAATTGATACCTTTTACGATTGTGATCTTGATAAAAGGGGTTTACGAAATACAGAACGAGTACATCATGCATGAATCGAGTCGATAAATTGACACCCGTATCAAAATCTGGAAAAGTAAAACCTTGAAAGAGATGAAAACTTCCGAATTCAGCCAACATTGACTTATACCTAAACCCCTTATATTCCGTTCCTGCATGGATATGACCATGAAAGACCCCCAGACAACCTACAAGAAACCCCAACCTTTGAAGCCCCACCCCTTATTAGAAGGCGCTGCGTCATTGAGATCATCAGCATCCGGCATTGGAGTATCGTTGTCCGCGTCAAGGACTCTGTCGTCGACTATAGCATCCATTAGCTGCTTTGCTTCGTTTTGGTTATCTGCGAATTCATTTTCGCTCTCGGAAGTCTCACTCTGGAATCCTTGCTCAACGTCTGCCTCGACAGCTTGAGCCTGAGGTTGGACCTGGACTTCCCGTCCAGCTTCTACCTGGGGTGAGCTTGCTTTGATGCTTGGCTGGTCACTTTCTTCACCGGGATTGTTAGCGATCGATTGTCCCTGTGAGTTAAGAGGGATAGCTTGCGGATTAGGCAGTGGGCTTGGAGCCGGGGCCAGTGAGTTGCTCTCCCTTTGCCGTTCAGGAAGTCTTTTGGCTGTGGTCACCTTCTCTTCGCTAACCGCTCGCTTCTTGTGGGCTGGTGAAGCAGCCTCACTGGTTTCAGCGGCTTCGCTCTTTCGCTTGCGCTCGTTTTCGGACTCAGATACCTGTTCTGGGTTAAGGGGTAGGGGGACGGCTTCTGTTGGTGATGTAGGCAAAGCAGGTACAAGTACAGGTGCAGGAACGGGTGCAAGGACAGGAACAGGGGCGCGAACTGGATTCATAGCCCCGGGCGGAGGACGAACAGGACCTCGTGGGACAGGTGAAAGGACAGGGACAGGCGCAGGAGCAGGTGCAGGCTCTATAACTCCCGGTGGAGCAGGGGCTATAGGTCGGAAAGGACCACCCCGAAAGAACACAGGCTCCGGCGGTGGGGGACGTTTAGCGACCTTGCGTGGCCGAGGAGGCTCTTCAGGCACGACGGGAATGATAGGAACGTAGTCAAGCGACACCGGTACAGTCCTCCAGCTCTCATCGTACTCACGGGCCAACCAGAGAAGATCAATGGCACTTTTGGCGATCCGCGCTGCATTCACAACACCCCGGTTTTGGGCCCTGGAATGGGCGAGGACAACTTCGGGCATGTGTGGTACTTCGATCAGACATTGTGCTCTGACTTGGCGTATGAATCTTTGGCGCAAGGAGATTGTCTTTGCGTTGGTTCCCATGTCGGATTGTGCGTTGGCCAAAGGCGCGTAGAAGGCTCGGAGGAAGCGTAGGACGTCGGCTAGGGCTCCGGGGTTTTCGATGCCTAGAGTTGTGCGGATGGCCTGTTCTTTGCCAGAAGGTGAGTAAGGCATGATGGATATGGGGTGTGAGTTTGTTGCAGCTTGGCTTGGTGGATTGATTAGTACTTATGTCAATATGCTGAATATATGATGTTCTTCAGGATAGCGAGATTTGGACTTAAATAGATGGAACCGATACCCTCAAGGATGGTTTCTTTGTGCCTTAATGACATTGTGTTTGAGGTTTTGGACAAAGAAACGGGGGTGAATCATTGGACAAAGGCACGGAGGTTGAAACAATGGCTTGACTTGAAGGCATTGTCATCAAAGAGTGCAGGATGAAGTATAGGATGAAGTGCAGGATCGAAGGGCATTAGGGCTTCCATGCCCAGGTGGTTGATTTACCAGATACTGAGATACAGTATCAAATCATTTCCATTGGATCAAGGTGTAAACAACGTAAGATATGTATATGAAGTAGGCACGCAGATGGCAGGCTCGACCTTCTCTTGTTGACAGTTGGAAATTCTATCTTTTTCGACTTTCAACCCTTTTCTTCCTCTACCTTTACTTTGACCCGGCTCTATGCCCTGGATTTTGGACTCTGGATCCTGCTTGCTATACTTCCAGGATTCTCTCCCCATCTTCCTTCCTTTCCCTATCCTTAATTTTCCATATGAATGCACTTCGAGCGCCCGCTTCCCTACCTGGCTTCCGGACCTGGCTTCCTATGATAGCCATTTGGAATACTTTACATCATGGTACATCGAGAGACGATCAAGTAAGTCCGAAATTTGCGTGTGGTTGATCAACGATATCAATTCCCTTCATCCTAACTCCGTTTGGCAACAAGAAAATATAGCTCACATTTTGACTAGACAGATATCTGAGCAACCCATCAAGAAGCCCTGGAGGATACAGGAAATCAGGGAAAAGCTGTCCAGCAGCCAACCACTCAGCGCGGACAGCAACCCAAGGGTGATGATCCCACAGCCCTGCGTCTTCCACTGTCGAGTCACGACCGGGACTTCCGGACACGGACCCTGGGTCTTAGGAAGTGTTAGTCTCCTAATACTTCTAAGAAGCCCTTAGACTAACATCTTGTTACTTGAAACAGCCAACTCTGTCGGCTCGAACATGTCAACTAGTTCAGCCGGAGGAAAGGCATTTTCAGTCACTCCTAGCACCCAAGGGCTGTATACGTTGGAGGAGGTGCGAAAACCTGGCTTTGTACTGGTTATGTTATTGCGGCCATCTGTTGTGGAGGATCAAGTTCGAGAAATACATGTGCGGAGGCCAGCCGCAATTTTGGCTCTATATTTTTATGGACATATCACTTGTCTGAGCTGGTGAAAGAACCAAGGTTGAATGATCGCTTTCAAAGATCATAATCCTATTACAAATATATCTTAGTTAGCATGTCTTGGATCCTTGGAAGATCACGCAGTGGAGTGAGGAACTTACCATATCATACCAAACACCACCGGCAAATGAGGACTCACTTTGGCCCCGATTCTTAAACCCAACACTTTCATAAAAGTTGACCAAGTAATCATGCGCCATGAGTATAGCCCGGCTCAAACCAAAGCATCCGTTCTCAAGATACTTCATGTAAGCTGCCACCAGAGCTCTCCCAACCCGCTTGCCTTGGAAGTCCGGTGAAATAGCCACAGAATGGATAGCGGCAGAATCACCATTCTTGTCATTGCCGATCAACTCCCCGTTCACATAGACTGGCTCGTCGTCCGGCAATGAACGCCAGTTCTCGGGCATTTCCATGGACCCGTCTGTGATACGGGGATATGGTGATCTGACGGCAATGACATGTCCGATCATCGTAGATGACCCGTCTTCGTTCTCAACGAAGAGACCGAAGCACAGCTCGGGACTTGCAGTAAGTCGGTAGCAGAACTGGGATTGTTAGTTCAAACTTGGTGTATCTTTTGGTAATTATTCTCTGATACCTTCTCCTTGGAACATCGCTCTGCTTCAGTGAATGCTTGCTCGACGTTTACGCAGATGTCTACGTCTTCCTTGTTGAGGGGACGTGTAAAGGCCTTGGTGCCTGCAAGGCCGGGAATGTGAATGCTGGTTTGACTCATGGTGGAATTGATTGAAATTGAATTAGACAATGCTCAAACAAAGAGAATAACCATCTTTAAGTATTTCCAGTAGATGAGTCAAGTGGGACGGAGTATGCTGGACCCGGGGATATCGGAGTGTTCTGACCGGAGTGTTCGGTGTGGTGATCTTTATACTCCGATTGTCTACTCGGGATATGCTTGTTCGATCGCAAGTGGGGCAATTAGTTTACAAAGGCCATGAATATCTAGTTCCTGATCGGCGATTAAGACCAGCCCTGGAGAGCGCAGACCTCGGCGTATCTCAGCAATGCTCCAGGTCGATCTCTACTAATCTGAGCGGACGCTGATCGCGAAGTCAAAGAAGTCAAGTCCAATCGAAAGTGAATACATATTGAATACATATATCAAAGATCAATGGAATAAGACAGGCTCATATGGAAAGAGTGTCCATCGACCCTCCCTTGAACTATCGACCTACACGACTGCCTAACTCGTTCTTGTACTTAGCACTTTCAAACCGTTTGCACGGTGAACATCAAATGACTTTTACTTCAAACTCAGAGACTACCCTCAAGTCACTTAAAGTTACCAATTCTCTCGCTGGCATGCTACAAGCATTCAACCCTGGGCCATGCTGGTTCTACCAATGTGAACGTCTGCCTTTATGATGCAATCCTGATGATGGTATTCCTGATGCCATTTGGCCTTTTCTACTTGGCCATCCACCGTGAGTGCACCTAGTAAGTCCGAAATTTACTTGCAACGGATCAATATCAATATCCTTCATCCTTACTCCGTTTGGCAACCAGGAAATAGGGCTGACGTTCTGACTAGCCCTCCAAAAGCCCTCCCACAGACCAACGCCTTTGATCCGCACCTGAACAAATCCAAACGAAAAACTACAAATCAAGAAAGAATCATATTAAGGAGGCTCCTCCTAGCTACCAGAGGGGATTTTGCAAGAACATAGAGTCGAATTGGCTAGGGGAAGAACTGAGAGAAACGACAGAGCAACACTACACTACGGAAAGCCTGGGGAAAGGCAGATCACTTATCCTTCACGACAATTCTCAAGGAAGCTTTGATCAGAATGACAGTCAGTCGAACGACGGTACTGGAGGTTTTAGCAAAACAACCTCTTACGATTATTCTGCTGCCCTTATGGGTTTTTTCGATGTTGCTCGCCATCCTGACACCCTTTGCCATTTTCTTTATCCTTGTCCATAAGGAATTGGTGGCGTAAGTCCAAAATTTGCTTGCAACTGATCAATATCAATTCCCTTCCCTGGTTCATCCTTGCTCTTGACAAGCAGAACATGACGCTGACATTCTGACTAGACGGCGCCTGTATTCCCACCAGCTTGCCAAAGATTTTCTGGAAGCTAGGAGAGCAATCCCGGCAAATGGCCTTGATGCCGTTTTTTTCTTCAAGGTTGCGGTCATGGCGGCATTCCCCATGCTAGTGGGAATTTTTTCAGTTATGGCGACCGAGAATACATCCAGTAAGTTTGAGATTCGCTTTATGCCTCCTCTTGCCAGCCGGAACATAAAGCTGACATTCTGACTAGGGGACCGGGATATTCCATCTCAACCAGAAAGGAAGGTGGAATCCTCGGAATGGGTCTGACAAAGACCAGCAAAAGACCGGAAGTTAGGTGTCCAAGGCCTTAAGAAAGGTTAGTCTCTCTATATTAATAAGAGATTCCTGGGGACTAATGCTTAAATACCTGGAACAGCTGCCTCTCCCGCTTTTCAAGTTCGGCCGGCTCTGTCACAATAGATAGCCCTCGGGCTTAGCTCAGAAAGATATTCTCTTCTCTCCTTGCTTTGCGTACCATACGTAGCCGGACGCGTATGGTCCCTTACAAGCTCGACAGAAGCGGCGGCCGGCATGTCCGATAGCTTTGTCAAGCAAGACAAAGCAGAAGGACTGGGATCCTGCAGTGAACCGTAAGGCTTGTATCTTGTCCCCGCCGACGCCTTTCCACACCGTTATCATCGATTTCGTCGTGGGTCTCCCCTCAACGTCCAGCAACTACAACGCTATGACCACCTTAACCGCCAAGTTCACCAAGCTTCTAGCCATAGTACCTAGCTACCAGGACGAGCTCACTGGACCGCCGAAGCATGGGCCACGGCAATAATGAGCATGTGGACCATGGCGAACTGGGGGCTGCCCTAAGTTTTGATTTCTGACCGCGACTCTAAATCCGTCACAGGTTTCTGGCGCGCCCTGTTCAAGCAGATGAACAATGAGCTTTTCTTCTCTACAGCTTACCATCCACACACAGAAAGTCAATCCGAACGCTCCAACCAGATAGCAGAGATTGACCTTCGTCGCTGGGCAGCCACGCACCGAGGTCAGGACGAGGACGACAAACTACCATTATTCCAGATGTCTCTTAACGCTGGTGTAAAAGCCTCCACAGGCTACACACCTCACATGTTACTCTACGGCATCGAGCTCTGAAATCCTTGGACACTCCTGCACAATGCGGATGCACCGCTAGATAAGCTACCTCTGCGAGCTGACGCTGAACCTTGGCATATCCCCTCGCTTACCCAGCTACCTAGGTATCTCAATGAAGAGATACTACGACGCAAAACACTAGCCGCCCGTCCACTACCCAACGAGTGGTTGCAAAGATGACCAAGGCAGTATCAGCGAGTTGGTGCAAAAGTCCATATTTTACTTCTAAACGCGGGCTAGCGGGTATGGGCTTTCAGCTCTCCTGTGGTACGTTAAAAATTCTTTTGTCAATACTGACTGGAAGCAGATATATATGACCATTTACTTGATACCTAATCCCCATATACGTCTGAGCCTGTCTGGATGCCCAATTCCAATTTTGTCTTCCCCTGCCTTTCATCAGTTGCAATTTTCTGACAATCATTCAGGTGAACCAGGTGACAGGCAAGGAGAACCTTGAAGCGGAGTGGAGAGTGTTGTGGAGTTTATTCTTACACGCGTATCTTTACAGGCAGTATTCCGTCCGGTCTTTTCCCGAGATCATACTATATATCATCCAATGGAATGATCTCCCCAGGGCCCTTTGAGCCCCAACTTTCAGTTTTCAAGTAAGGAGAATCGATTGAGGGTATCAATGATATGCAAAGATGCTTAAACTACAATTTCATAACGTCATGCATCGACACGCTGTTTGAAAAGACTCTTGCCGCGGAGCCACTGGCGGTACCGTTTATACCGCTTTTTCTCATAGTCCTCGCTAGAAACGGTGAGACCTTCCTCGGAGATGTTCAAGAATTCAGCATAGTCAGCGAGACTGCCCTCTGCGTTTCCTTTCAGGGCCGATTCTTCAACGTTGCACTTGTTCACGTATTCGAAGAAATCATTGTATCCATTATCCCGCAGTGAAGCGGCTGTCATCTCATCTTCGGATGTGACAACAAGCGGGACCTGAAGTGGATGGTTGATGTATCGCTTGTATTCTTCTTGTTCGGCCTCGGTCACCGACGGATTGAGTGCGTCGCTGACGAGCTGGCCGAGACCCCACTGGGCTATCTGAGCTTTGCTAGGAGTGGACGGCGTACTGGGAGGATTGAGGGGAGGAACATTGGCGGACTGGTGGAATTCGAAAGTGGGATCTTTGATAATTCCGCTGGCTGGGGGGTTCTTCGAGGAAGACGGGGGCTGGTGGGCCCATGTCTGCTCAGCTTGGGCAATCGGAATGGCGGCAGATGAGGATCGGCTGTGGCTCTTCGATGGTTCCTGGATCTTGACGCTCCGTGGGGGCACGCGCTCTCGTTGGATCTGCTCTTGGGGAATGCGTGGGACGAAGGGACTCAGGTCAGGAACTGGATGCCCGGGGCGAACTGGAGGTAGGTAGCGGGACGTGGAATTCATCTTCCAGGAGAAGACCTTGGAGAGCGAGGAAAGAGCAAGCGGTCGGTAATACTCCAACCAGTAATCGTCGAAGCGTGAAAGTGGTTCTCTGGGGTGGAATGGGAGTGGAGGCATTTCTCGCTCTTTCAAATTCTCCGGTGTATACCAAGAGATGTAGCTGGGCCGTTTCCTTTCCGAGTGAGATTTTGGGTTGGTGTGGTGTAGGTAGTAGTCGGAAGGGAGGTCCCAAAGCATCGGAGTACCTTGCGAAAAGATGTAGTTTCCGAGGAAAAGGTTATATGCCTCTTGGCGCTGTGCATCCAGGAAAGAGTTGTTGTAGAAACGCTTGAAGCTTTCCACCATATCACGAGACTGACTGCTCCATTGGTTGATCTTGCGGTATGTAGCCATGGTGTTGACGAGATGTGACCCGCCATATTGAATGGCGATACTGTCTCCATGATCATGCCACATATTCGTGAAAAGATTGACAGCATCCGTGTCATACTCGATCGTATTCTTATCGATAACACCAAGAGCATGAAGTTGGTAACCGAGTGCTCTTTTGCCAACGACAAACTGGGCGGCATTCGTTCGGTCAAGGCAATCAATACAGTTGGTTCTCGCAACGCCGTTCTGTAGCCGTAGACCAGATTCAGGATCATCTCCATTCTTGAAGAATTCAACTTTGGGGATAATATCGCCTGCGATATCTTCCAATATCTCAATCACATCCTGATCTCGACTTTTGGATGCGCGGCTCATGTCCCATGCCTGGTATATGAGCTTCTTGTCCTCGGGAAGAAATTGGTTCAAGTAGGTCACAGCATCTGTGAACTCTTTAAGAAGTATCGATTCTCTTGGTGTTCGCTCTCTGGACTTCACCAAGTTCAAGATGTAGATCGGAGCGCCATATCTCTCGAAGAGATTATCGAAATGCAAAGCTGCAGCCGAGTAAAATGGATCAACAAGATTAAGCTCAATAGCCGGCTTGGGTGATACACCGGTGCTCTCTTGAGTCCAGTGGAGCGGTATACTGCCACGGTGTTGAACGAATGAAGTGTAGTGAGGGTTTGCATGAAGCGCCGGTCCAGCCGAATGGAAAGATGTCGTGATCTGTTCGCAGACAATTTGTTCGGTCTCCACGTCGTTGGCAACATATCCCAAGTCATTTGCGCCTCTTTTGAGGAAACGTGCACCCGCAAAAAATCGAGATCGACGGGCGATTATTGTGATGTACACCAATCGGCCATACACACTCATCTTGGCCTGGTCCACATATCCATGAATGATAGGAAGGCACCACTCGTAAGGGTTTTTGATGGCCTCGTATGTAGGCGTAAGGAGATGGTGATTCCAAATGAACATCGAATGGTAGTCTTGCGTGAAGGGTCGCGGGTGTCCATTCTGATCAACCTTCCGCTCCCGGGTAATGTTGTGCTGGAGCGTGCGAGTGATATCATAAGAGTAGCTGAAGTAGAAAGATCGTGACAGGTCGAGGTTGTTCAGTATTGCAATGTATCGTGCCTCTTCGGGGTGACTCTCGGCCTTGAATTGTGAGGACTCCGAGGTAGTCAATGGGATCAACTCCGTTTCGTCGATCTGGTAGATGTTGTGACCGCCAACCATGGCAACCTGGCTTCGTTTGGTTACCAGGAGCATGTAGTATGCCCCGGTCAATTTGATGAATCCAAGAAGAGCCCAGGCACTGCATTTCTGGTTCAGACCGCCAGAGCTTTTGTTTCCGTCATCAATAGCATCCAACAGCTGCACCATTTCCCTCTTATTGTACACCATATCATCTTCGGTGATGCTCAGTTCTCCAGACTCTGAGGTCCGGTCGATCTTCAGAATCCGAAAACGAGTCTCTGCAAGGTTTATTCCAACCATATAGAAACGCGTGGCAGTTTCGTAAAGTGTAAATTTATGCATGCGGCTTATGCCTTCATCCTCAGAATTATCTGGGATAAAGCGATTTTTCTGCGCCAATGTTGTAGAGGCCTCTCGTTCAAAGGATGTCGCTACCCGGGGTTCTTCGTCTTCGCCGTCCCCTTCCTCTTCGAGATGAGGTCCAAGTTCTGGGTTGTAGGGTAAAGGAGGGAACTCCGATGCCGAAGACGTATCTCCAGCCAGTCCATCATCAGTGCGCTCTATTCTCGATGACGGAGTAGGCGTTATGCTAGAGGCCGGTGTCACCACGAGCTCGGGTTTGCCCGATACCTCCGAGGCGTTTGATGGGAGGGGTAGATGATCATCATGAAATGAGGGTTCGTGAGTGACCGGTCCAATAATAGGAACATCATCGAAGCTCTCCATTTCCCAAGAAGAGCAGATGTCTGGAAGCTGAGTCGAGGTGAAGTTGGGAGGTCTCCACATGACGTCGATCCGTGCCAAGACCCGATCTACTTCCCTAACGGAAAGACTGAGAAGTGCAGTACAGGAATAGAGCAAATGATAGGCCGATCCTATTATTACTTTTGGATCCCACCGCAGCAAAGCCTGTTTAATAGTGATCTATGGACAAGTGGCCAGCACCTACGATTGTGTTGGAATAGGTTCCCAGTGTGTATTCTATGATTGAGGTATATGCTATGGGGAAATATTAAAGCTGTCATGGATTAAGCGCGCTCAAAATCATCGCTAGGAGGGTTCTCAGTGTCCCGGGGGCCGGGCGTCATGTTAAGGGTCCCAGCATCTAGCTGCATGGGAAGCCCGATCAGAGAGCGACGATGATTGCGCTTGTCCAGCTTCTCGCTGGTCTCCTCAGTTCCCACCGGATCTTCTGGGGCTGGTGGGCCTTTGGCGTCGAAGCCCCGAGCCTCAAGGTATTCGACTCTCACAGCATGACGCAGATTATCAACAAAGCTTTGCATTTCAGGCATCGGGAAGGCCCCATCAGCCTGAAGCACATCTGCATATAACCGCTCGGCTTCTTCTAGACACGCTGAGGCCAGGGTTGGCTTTCCAGCTTTGAGCCACTGGTCAGCTGCAAGAATGCTCCACATTCCAGCTTTTCTGCGTCGGCCGCCCCATTTTGCTGCACCGTGGGGTGTTTTGCAGGCGTAACAGGCTGCTACTCGTTCGGTGTAAAGGATCTGACCCACTGAGCCGACCAAACCAAAGTCCATGACCCGCATGGCCCATTTGGCGGCGCTCTCGGTGGCAGAGCCACCCCGAGATTTGAGAAGCTCAACCGCCAGGGAAAGACAGCGCAGAGCATGGGGTGCGTCCGAACAACGTGTGAGGTATGAGTAGCAAGCAGTTTCAAACAGTTGGTCGACACTGTCGAGCTTGATCTTAGCGGATGTGGCAAGAGGGTTCAACAGCATGCTGACAGCACACATCTCATGGGCACCGGCATGGTACTTCCAAGCCTTGTCATTGCCAAAGTCAGACCGTATCATTTCGTACGTGGATGTGGAAAGTTTCCAGTCACGAAGCATGAACGCGAAGTCTGCCATCTTTCGCAAGACAGCCTCTGGGGAGTCTGGGCCGTAAAAGTGCTGGACTGAATCATAGTTGCCACTGTTTCCTCCAGATGAGCCTGCGATGCTCGTGCGCGAGCTTGACCCGAAACCGGCCCACCGTCGTGACATGGACATGAACCTGCCGCTGATGCCACGCCTGCGAGAGGCGACTTGATCATTCCACACAGCCACTTTGTTTTCCATGAATGGTATCACCGACTGCACCACTAGCTCGCGAATGAATGCTCTTATTGAAGTGGCATCGGAATCGAAAAGGTATGGGGTACCATCAGTGCCGAGGTCAACTAAAGCTTCTAGCGGACGATTAGAACCTGGCCAAGAAATCGCAGATCGAGTCACTTCACTTACCTGCTTCTCCTACCCCCGAAAGATGCTCTGAAGGCGAGAGCCATTCACACTGAGGGACTTGCATGCTGTCATCGTCTGTTACCACACACTGGCTGCTCCGCAGTCTCAGAAGGTGGCAGTGCAGCCCGAAGTGCCGCTTCATCTGATCGTAAAGCTTCGTGGATTCCGTAATATCATCTCGCTCCTCATCATGAACCAGGACGTAATATCTAAGGTACTCCTGGTTGACCCACTCGGGGGGTTGTTTGTTGCCCGTGGTAGTGTCGGCGTATAGTTGTCTGAGGGTTTCCAACGGAGCCGGATTTCGCGAGCTGATTGCTATCACATTGGCCACTGGGTGGCCAAACGTCTCATGAGGCGCTGCGGGGGCTGAACATAGCAACTGTTGAAGGAACAGCTTGCATAATGGTGTTGTTGCGGGATAGCCCAAAACGTCCCTAGTCCGTACTGAGGCTCCCAGCAAGCCTTCTGAAGAGTCCAAATGTTTGGACAGCACCTCCTCCATCTGCGCCAGAGGCCCAGAATCTCGGCCCGTTGGGGCCCTGCCGATCCCTTTGAAATCGACAAATCGGACTCCATAGTCTTCCCAAGCGCGACTTGAGCCGATACTGTCCCGTATCACAACCTTGCCAGGAACCGTTTCCCCAAAGGGCCGAATCAATTCCCAGAACCCCCCTTTGAACCCCTTATTCCTCACCAGATCGTCAGTGTCCTCGGAAGCATGGACAGCGATAGTCGGCGAAAATGACCGGATGATTAACGACCTAATATCCTCTGAGCCATCAAATCGTCCATCTAAAGGTGATCCGACTGATGATCTTGCTAATTGCGGGGTTGAGGATCTCCCAGAGCGCGAGTGTGTCGAGCCAGGTCGTAGCGGCAAGTCGGCAATCGTGGACGAGAGAGGACCCGGGGAGGTCACCGACCGGGCTTCTGCTAGGTCGGCATCTAGGGATTGGGGTGGTTCCTGCTCCCCGGGGTATCGCGATGGCGAGGTGGATGCGACTCGCGCAACGCCGGGGGAGAAGGACGGCGGAGGTTTGACCGGCGCAGCATCTCCGGGCGATGTCATGGGCGGACACCTGCTGCTTTTTGCAAATTTAGAGCGAGTGAAGTTGATCGACAGGCCCCATCGACTGGTAGATGAGATCGGGGAGTAGTAAAAGGTAAAGCGAGCGGGATGTACGGAGTCGGCGTCAGAGGGTGTTGGGGGAAAGAAAGCCAAGTCGAAGATATCGGGCCGAGAATCACACGAAATAAGGCAGCAGACCAGTTAGGCTCTGAATGCAATGCGTACAGGACTGTCGGGGTCAAAGTAGTCAGGTACGGAGACTAAGAGCGCGGCGATCGCGGTGATGCAAACCACGTGAGGGTCCTTATCGACAATCACTTTTGACTCACTTGGGGAATTATTCGCAATGTTCAATGTGGTTGCGCCTTGTTCGATGTTTCTTGAATGCTGGTCTTTCTTCAACTAAAGCTCCACCTATCCGCCTAGCGAGAAGATCAAGGTCCATCCAGGACCTGCCCCTCCGACCCAACCTACCCTGCCTTTTTTCCATGCGCAGCCCCGAATCAGACTCAGACCCCTCCGAACGAGTCAGTAAACGGCGTCGCATCTCTTCGCCCGCGCGGAAAGACTTACATGCAACCATGACTCCCACCGGTCCAAGGATTGAGCTCACTCCAATTGAGAGTACGCTGCGAGCTCTGCTTCTCGATGTTGCCCAATACATCAATGAGCAGGCGGCAGAGGGCAAAGCCAGCAATGTACAGGATTCTTCCAAGACTGTGCTGCGATTTACAGGAGGCTGGGTGAGGGACAAGCTGCTTGGAATCGGGAGCAATGACATCGACGTCGGCATCAGCAACATGACGGGATACCAGTTCGGGATGGCTCTCAAAGAATACCTTGACGTCCCGGAACGTCTTGAGAAATATAAGCAAAGCCTTCCCAATGGCCAAATGCACGATGCTATCGTCAGCTTGCACAAAATTGAAGCAAACCCGGAAAAGTCCAAGCACTTGGAGACCGTCACAACGAAAATCTTTGGGCTCGACATTGATTTGGTCAACCTCAGGAAGGAAACATACACAGACGACAGTCGAAATCCCCAAATGGAATTCGGAACTGCCGTTGAAGACGCTTTGAGGCGCGATGCGACTATCAATGCGCTCTTCTACAATCTAAACGAGTCACAATTGGAGGACCTTACTGAACGCGGCCTGGATGATATGAAGCACCGGATTATTCGATGCCCAATGGAGCCATATCAAACGTTCAAAGACGACCCGCTGCGCGTTCTTCGGTTGATCCGATTCGCGAGTAGACTGGGATACCAGATTGACTCGGAAACGGAGGCAGCTATGCAGATTGAGGATATTGGCGAAGCGCTCAAGCTCAAAATCAGCAAAGAGCGTGTGGGGACGGAGCTAGAGAAGATGCTGCGTGGTAAGGCATCCGCGCTTGACGAGCACGAGTTACATCTAACCCATCAACAGGTCCTGATCCACGCGGTGCACTGGAATTCATCGATCGACTGAAACTCTATCACACCATTTTCGCCAACCACCAGGACGACATCAAGGCCGATACCTCCACATGGCCACTTGCGTATAACACATTGGCACGCTTGCTCCGCCCAGATTCTGGGAACAGTCAAGAATCCGAGGCTACAATCAAGCGAATCCGTGAAATCCTGTTCCGTGATGAATCAACCATATATTACGCGTGGATGGTCGCAACATTTGCTCCTTGGTCCTCCATCCCCACACGTCCTACGAAAGGCCCCAAAGGAAAACCCTTACCCCCAAGGACAGTTGAGGTCGGCAGAGATAGTCTCCGCACCGACAACAAGAACTTGACTGTGCTACGTGCTGGGTCTCAAAATTATGAAGAAATCATTGAAACCAAAACGGCACTTCTTACCAAGAGCCTGCCGGGGACCCCAGCGGAAATCCGACAGAAAATCGGCCTGCTCATTCGAGCATGGAACAAGGAGTGGAAGCTCTGTATTCTTTTGGCCATCTTGCAAGAGACCATGGCACAACGGGACTTCTCTGGAGGTAAGACCCTCTTCATCCGCTCGAATCCACTGGTCTAACATTCACGCTTTCTAGTGGCTCAAGAATATGACCAATTCCTGGCGTATATCGTAGAAAATGACCTAGAGGATGTGTGCGACCTCCGGCCGATCGTAAATGGCGATGAAATTATGAATAGCCTTGGGGCCAAGAAGGGACCCTGGATGGGCAAAGCAGTCAATATGAGTCTGGAATGGCAACTGCTTCACCCCGAGATTAGCGACAAGGAAAAGGCGCTGGCGGAGATCGTGGATCGACGAGCAGAATTGGGGTTGTGATGACAAACTAGACAAACGGAAAACCCAATCTACTTCCACTTCACATCCACAACATATCACTCTGCGCTGCAAGTAGCACATCCAGAATGGAGGAATTACGCAAAGCTAGGGCGACTTTAGCCCAAACCCCTGGCAAAGTGCCCGACTCGTTGCCCTTCGCGGGCACCGCCCACTGTGGAATCGATCAATTATGGCAGGATATTGACTCCCAAGACCATTCAACCCATTCTGATGTAAGTTTCTTCTGGCAATTCAGTGCCAGCCTGCTAATTATACAGCTTTGTGAGAGTCTGCTCCTAGCGACGGGGGTGATCAGAAATCGCGACTTTCAAGTGCCTGACGATACTGGCCCTCGACCATTAAGTCCCATCGAGACGAAAGCTATCACCAACTTATTTACTTGGGCAAGTCGCGCTGCTCTGCCCTCATCTGAATTTGCAAGTTATTTTGATGAAACAGCTGGTTTCTCAGATGGTAAGCCTCCGAAAGTGCCCATGAATAGCTGGTTTTAATGTGCCGATCAGATATCATCCAATGTCAGATTGATAGCCGATTCAGGTCAGAGCTGGCCATGGATTTCCTCCTAGAATCGAGCAAGCTACTTCCCAACTTATCCAAACCCAGCCCAGACAATGTGGCAGACGTCCTTCTGGCAGGGGCGTGTTTCAAAGAGTCAACCCCATGGACTACATCATATAGCCATGGGGCGGCATCAAAGCTGCTTGATATCTGGACTCAAAGCAGTCGCAAATATGGCACGTTCTGGCCTGCTATCGATCTCATCCTCAGGGAGAGAATAAGACCTCTGTTTGCAAAACAAAAGAACCCGGCCATCACCAGTGCGGGCCGCAAGAATTTCCATCCTCAGGCTCTTCCTCGCTTCGGTTCAAATGGCTTGGATGAGTCTGCAAAACCCTGGAAGACTACTGATATCTACGTTGCCTCGGTGCTGTCGTGGGTTCTCTCACAATACAAGGTATGTCCCTCTCGGGAGACATATGTGAATATTCGTTGGAGTATGCTAACTGTCACAGCCTGAGGATAAATCGGATTTCGAAGCGCATTTCCCGCTCTTCGTGCCGACGGTGTTGGCAATGATTGACGACAATAATCTTCCCTTCAAGACGGAAGGATGTCTCGTTCTCAGCCAGCTACTGCAAGCTATTCAAGCGAGCGAATCGGACATTCTTCGTCGCACTAACCTAACATCTGTCTTCGAGGAGGCAGTCACTCCATGTCTTCTTTCTATTCCCACTATCACTCCAGAGGATAGATCTCTTAAGCTTCTCGGGGCAGCATATCCAGCACTCCTTGATACTCTGCAGACAGCCTACAAGGGTCCGTCTCAATCCAGCCAGAATCGGGAAGCCTACACAAACGGGCTCGCTAACATACTGCGATCAAATCTCATCTCTTCTTTCCACCACATCAGCTCCAGCACCCCAGCTTCTGGCTCTACGGCTGCCTCATTCCCATTCCCTCGCCTCTCAGCCTTTCTTTTGGAGAAGATCTCTCTATTCATCAGTGAGCTGGGCATCCATGCTACAAAATATCTTCAAGAGCTTATCCCTGTTCTTTACACAACACTCTCCAATCCCTTTGGAACTGCGTATCCTCCATTGCTACGTGCAGCAGCGACAGCCACACAGGTAATCATCCAAAATGCCCACCCCCGTATCTGGCGCTGGCGGGGTGAGATTTTGAGTGGTTTGAGTTCTTGCTGGCTTCACATTGCTGCCGATGATAATAAGGAAAATGCTCCTCAGCTGGTCAAACTCAAGGTTGAGTTGCAACAGGCGACAAAGCTACTTCAACATGTTTTGCAAAATCCTGTCCCTATTTCATCTGATACCCCAGAGCCTGGTCAAGTACAGGCTAAGCTGACCATGCATGAAGAGTTGAAAGAGCTCACCGACGCCGATGCAGAGCTCAGACTTCTCTTTGAATGATTCCATCCGAAATGTATATATACAAATTTAATTCTATGATCTCAAACGGGACTCAAACCGTATCACCCTAGCATATCTGTATTTATTCCATGAAGCCATAGACTGCTTGAAGTGATGTACAATCACCAGCACAGGCTCTCCCCGAATCTCCAAATCGATACCCAATCACGTGCGCTTATCGATTAAGCTGTCGGCCCCAGCAACAGTGGAGCGCAGACGATCCCCTCATATCTCTTCTGGTCTGTTTTGTTGTGAGCCCAAACAACTCGGCCCTGTTCTCAAAGAGCGTGGTCTCGCTTTCTGATCCCTATACAACCGCATCATGAGCGACCTCCTCAAGTACATCCTCAACAACGAGGAGGCATTTCGAAGGTAAATACTGGTCACAATGATCTGAAAGCGATCAACAAGTCATACCAAAGGGTGGAAGTGACATAGCCAGGCTAGCGCTGATACACAATCTAGAAACCGTTTACCCTCCCTGTACTCCGACTTCACGCCCCAGAAGAAAACAAACCCCGATGGCTACGCCGTGAACGTTGCCGCATGGGAACAGGCTCTGAACCGAGCCGCGAAGCGTGGCTATACATCATCGCGCGGCATGCGAGTGCGCTCTGGGTCGAGCAGTTCACAAAACGGCAGTGCCCCTGTCAAGCGAAAGAAGACAGACCACCTTATCTTGCGGACGGATGACTCGCTCCTCCGTGATCTAGAAAGTTCGGAGTGGGGGAGACCCGCTGCTTTGGGAACTGTTTTTGTATGTCTCCGGGGAAATTCCTATGAGAACCTCCCTTGATATAGTGGTATGGCAGAAGCTAACATGGAGTCTTTAGGACGACGCGGTGCGCAAGAATTCGATGATTCCCATACAGATTTATAAGACTACTCCTGGGCTTCTGCAGAAGAAGAGTCAATGGAGGATTATTGACCCTTCAACTTTGAGCCCATGGAACGTCATGAGTTGGGGTGTTCGGCAGCTGAAGGGCTTCGTGGTAGCGGAAAGTGACTCGGCGCCGAAACTGCAGGTGCAAGAGCTGGTTCTCGTGGAGAATCTCCAAGAAACTGCGGACCGAACGGTCAAGAGAGCCACAGGAGGTACAGCATCGAAGCTGGACCTTGTTTTCTCCAAGGAGCAGTTCGCAGAGGAGTTCTCCAATATACTAAACGACGCCACGGAACTGTCTGATTCGGATCTTGAGGTCTTGTTGATCTATTTATCCCGCGACAGCGGTTCTATTGCATACGATGGCAAGGTAAGTTGAACTAGTTACATGTTGCTCGAGGGGCTGGCTGATCCAATGACCAGACCATCAAGTTCAAATCTCCAGATGACAATGAAGAAATCACGCAACAAGACACAACAATTGCTTCCATCAAGGCCCTGGTGTCGACTATGTCAAAACAAGTCGCAACTTTGGAGGCTAAGATCGCGGAGCTCAATGAATCTGCAAAGAAAGCGCTAGCGAACAAAAACCGCGTCTCCGCCTTGTCAGCCGTTCGCTCTAAGAAGATGGCCGAACATAACCTCCAGCAGAGATTTGACACTCTGATGCGGCTTGAGGAGGTCTACGCCAAGATCGAACAAGCTACGGGCCAAGTGAATATGGTCCAGGTCATGCAAGCAAGCACTGACGTGCTCCGTGGTCTGCACACTCAGATCGGCGGTGCCGAAAAGGTCGAGGATATCGTGGAAGGATTGCGCGAGGAAATGACCAAGGTGGATGAGGTCGGAAGCATCATGAATGAGGCTGGTCCAGTCATTGACGAGGGAGAGATTGATGACGAGCTTGCAGCCATGGAGAAGAGCGACAAGGAGGCCCAGGAGAAGGAAGAAGCTGGAGCCATCGAGAAAAGACTGGCCGAATTGGACAGCGTCAAGCAAGCCTCTGCCGAGGCTGCTCGCCAAAGAAAGGCAGCTCAGAACGTGGATGCTGAGCTGTCCGATAATATCGATCGGCTCTCCAACATGTCGGTCGAGGACCATCCGATGCCCGCAAATTAAATTATTCCTCCTCAGAACACAGATCGCGAATGCACACCACGCTCTTCGATCTGTTGCTTCGATATCAACTTGCCTTGTCATGGTTCACCCAGATAAGTCAATAACATGGTCGGCGTCGGTGTCGATATTGGGCTCGGCTAGACTGCTATTCACCAAGGGTTCGGGTGGCGTTGGTGCTGTTTCAGTGGCCGGCGCAATCTTGGCTCCGGCCTTCTTGCGCGCATTGGCAATCAGGCGCTTGAAGTCATCGTCATGACTGGATGACCATTCTTTTGCGTCGAAATCTTTACGCATAACATTGCTAGATGAGACAAAGGGCGAGGGTCCTGTCGCAAGTCCTCCCTGGGTGCGTTCCCAGATATCCAACTCCTGGAGCAGTTCTCGCTTCGACTTGGGGATTTTGGAGTCGCAGTTCGCATTCCATAGGTTCATCCATTCGGTATGGCGTTTGTGCAAAAGCTGTTTGGGACCCCAGTTCGGAATTCCCAAGTCTGAAAGCTTCTTCCGCAGTGCGTTTTCCTTCAATATGGAGTAGTTGATGGCGGGGATTCGCTCTGGTGGTTTGCCGGAGAGGACCAGGCCTTTTTGGGGGGCTCGTAATGGCCTGTTATTAGGATAGAATTAGCGCAATTCACATCTGATTCAACAGAATACATACCCAAACGACGAATTCGGTGGTGCCTTCTTGGGCGACTCTTCATGTACGTTGAGGTGGGAGAACACTGCCTCCTCCTTCATTTTGCGGTTACAGATTGGGCAAGCAACCAATCCATGCTCTGTAGGGCGATTAGACCAGGACTATGACCCATGTTGTATAGTGACATACCGGGTATATATTCATCTTCGTCTTGGCTATCCTCAATAACTTCTGGCACAGTGTCAATGGCAGCATGCTGTTCCGGTTGGGGATAGTGCCCTTGGGAGCGCGTGCGCCGTCGTTCAGGTCTGGGCTCGGATGTCTGCATATCCTCGACCGGTGCGACTTTCCGTTTCTTGTTAACAGGCTGCTCTCGCTCCTCCACTTGGGCTTGTTGCGCGGCTTTTGTCGAAAAGTCGAGCACGCTCGGTCGTGCGGTTTGGAACGCGTCGACTAGTTCTTGGACCGCCCAGTTGCGACGTAGTTTGAGCTCTTGGTCTGGAGCTCGACAGGCTGGACACTTGCCTTCAGCACTCAGACACCGGCGGATGCATATTGAGCAGAATGTATGGCAGCAAGAGGTAATGACCGGGTTGTTGAAGAACTCTTTGCACACTTGACATCGGAGGGCCGACTCGAGCGGCGCAAGTAGCGATAGTGGCGTCTCCAGCCATTGGGTTGGGTCCGATATATCACTAGGAGTATCCATTGTTAATTTCAGCTTCCAGCTGGCGATATCTATACTCCTTGACCGGCAACCGGTGATAACGAAACAAGAGAGTCAGTCCCGGAGGGCACAGCGACGCCAAGACCCGCTGACTGATACGCGTAAAGTGGTCAAGCACGCGTAGCGCTTCCTTGAAAGCCTGTCACTGCAACTATGGATTCGAAGCTGTTCCTTGCTGAGAATGTTCTCAATGAGCATCGGCCTGTGAGGCACTTGGATATTCCTCTGCCACCCAGAATGCTAATTGGAGCTAGGTCACCTATCGGTCGTTGAGTCGCGCGCTTAAAGTCCACGCCAACCGGGCCAAACAGTACGGTGTCAGCACAAATCGCAAACCGAATTGGCACTGACCCCTATATAGGATCCTGTTTGAGTTCCATCGCAACGAGAATGCGAAAAAGCCCGCGACTGTCCACGCAACCTACGTCATCTCCGGTATCCAAAAGACACCCGAACCAGCACCCGCAAATGGCAACGGGAGCGATGAGGATAAAATGATGGGCAGTAGCCCTTACCTTCCTAGCTCAATGCCAGACCAGGACGAAGCTTCCGACGCGGTTGTTACTACTTCTATCGTCTTGGTGCGCGAGGAAGATTTAGAAGGTTGGCCAGTCTGCATCTCTTGTTGGGCTGATAACTGAGTGAAGAAACCCAGATGCCAAGGCAACATTCCAGTCGATATCTGCCATTCACGTCTACAGTCTCGAGCCTTCAACGTTACCGGACTTGAATGTGCTGATTGATGCCAACCGGGAGAGTGCCCGTACACATGCGCAGGACGATCCATTGGAGTGCGGGAAACAATGGGGAATGATTCAGAATCGCAACGTCAAGGTAAGATATGTTTAGCTGAAACTATAGTCTGGATCTAAGATGTGATCTGCAGCGGAGAACTGGTCCACGCCCGCCCCCAGCTCCAGTCGCTAAACCGCCGGCTGCCAAACCCAAATCCTCTGCTGAGTCGACTGTTCCTGCCAAACGACCATTGCAGAAGGAAGCGGCCCCTGTCAAGGCAGAGGCGAGCAAACCCGATGAGGCGAAATCCCAACCATCTGCTCCTGTCCCTCAGGCTTCCTCAAAAGCCTCTGGTAAAGCTGCCCCTTCAAAGAAGGGCAGTCTCTTCAGTTCATTCGCCAAAGCAAAGCCCAAGACCAAAGCTCCTGCCGCTCCTGAACCGGCTGCACAAGATGTGGTTCTTGACGATGCCTCTGAAGAAGAGGCCGAGGAACTGTTCCCTGAAAGTACCGAGAAGGCCGCCGCCGCCAACCGTGAGAGTAGGAAGGAACGTGAAGAAAGACTTAAAAAGATGATGGACGATGATGAAGCAGACGGTATTGTCTCTTATATTGAATTGATTCTACGAGAAGCTGACCCCAGATGCAGACGAAGAGATGCCTGATGCCGACGAAGAGCCTCAACGAGAGCTCACACCTGTTGAAGCCCCGCCCCCAATCAAGCCAACAGAGCTCAAAGAAGAAGTGACCGTGCAGGGCGGTAGACGACGCGGCAAGCGTCAAGTCATGAAGAAAACCACCGTCAAAGACGAAGAGGGTTTCTTAGGTCCGTGCCTCCCGCTCAGATATCAATGTTGATGTACTAATACGACGCAGTGACTCGGGAGGAGCCGACGTGGGAGACTTTCTCTGAGGATGAGCCGGCACCGAAGAAGCCAGCAGTCAATGTTCCCAAGAGCAAACCTGGCAAGGCCCAGGGACAAGGCCAGGGCAACATCATGTCGTTCTTTGGAAAGAAATGAGTCGAATTTCCCGTCTGGAATCGAATAATATTGTAATGACTGGGAATTACAATATCCTAGTTGGCATTTAGAGCACAAAACGTATTGGAATAGTCCATTGACTCCCAATATACGACCCTACAGTCTCCAGGGCTGTTCATGTTAAGTCCTATAGTTGTGTATCAAAAATACCAGACGGTAACGAATACAACCCCAGACGGAAACGCCGATCTGTGGGGAAAACCGATGTCACCTTGTATTTCCCCGACTGCGACATCGCGAGGTATAGATTGGGTTGTGATCGGCATTCTCTATTTATTTGTCTGCTTTCCCGCTTTCTCTTTCGTCCCACATACATCATGACTCTCTCCACGGTCCTGGCAATTGCCCTGCTGGGTACGCAGGCCACCGCCCTTCCCGGTAGAGACGAGTCGGCTATCGTGCGACGAGCTTGTCCAGAATATACTTCTTATGCATCGACACCACAGTGAGTCTACCTTTGCTGCACCCTGGCCAGTTACCAATCAAAGCTCCAGTGCGCCGTACAGCGGGGGTCCCTTGAACCTGCCCTTCCAGCGGCCCGCGGAAGTATGCAGGACATTCTCGTCTCCGGCCGTCGAGAAGGTGATTGAAGATATCACCTCGCGTCTGGTGGACAAGGACCTTGCGCAGTTGTTCCGCAATTCCTTCCCTAACACTTTGGACACCACAATCCGGTGGCACCAGAATGCGTCGACTTCAGCCGGCGCAAAGGGCAAGAGAGATGGCCCGCAATGGAGCGGCGTGCAAACCTTCATTGTAACAGGCGACATCAATGCCGAATGGTTGCGCGATTCGACGAACCAACTCGTCAACTACCAATCCCTGGCCGCCAAAGATAAGAGCCTATACTCCCTTATCCTCGGTGCTATTAGCACTCAATCCGAGTTTGTGATTCAGTCGCCTTACTGCAATGCATTCCAGCCACCCTCTGCTAGCGGCGTCAAGCCCGAAAACAGCACCCAAAAGGATACCGTCCACCCTGCATACAACCCATCGTTCGTCTTCGAGTGTAAATACGAATTAGACTCGCTGGCGCACTTCCTTCAACTGGGTACTGAGTTCTATGAGAAAACCGGCTCAACCGAGTTCCTGACCGAAAGATGGTACAAGGCGTTACAGACTGTGTTGAAGACCATCGATGCACAGTCGAAACCGACATTCAATGATAAGAACCAGTTCGTTACAAATCAATACACCTTCCAGCGCCAAACAAACATTGGCACAGAGACCCTTAGCTTGTCTGGCGTGGGCAATCCTCTGAACGGTGATACCGGTCTGATTCGCAGCGCTTTCCGTCCGAGTGACGACGCGACAATTCTGGGATTCTTCATCCCCCCTAATGCCCAGATGTCCGTGCAGCTCCGGAAGACCGCAAAGGTCATCAAAGCTGCTGGCGGACCCGCCGATCTGGCCGCCGACCTCCAGGAGCGTGGTACGAAGCTTGCCAAAGCAATCCACGAACATGCCATCGTCCAACATCCCAAATACGGAGATGTCTACGCCTTCGAAGTCGACGGGTATGGCTCTCGCATCCTCATGGATGACGCCAACATCCCCTCCCTGCTTTCTCTTCCATATCTCGGTTTTGTGGACAAGTCCGACCCCGTCTATCAGAACACTCGCAAGATGATTACTGACAAGGCATCTAATCCTTATTATTTGGAAGGACCCCAGTTCCATGGTATTGGTGGTCCCCATATTGGACTGGAGCACGCGTGGCCCATGTCCCTGCTTGTGCAGGCCATGACTTCCGACGACGACGATGAAATCCTTGGGAATCTCAACCTCGTTCGGAACTCGAGTCTACTTGGACTTGTGCATGAGTCTATCAATGTGACCAATATCAAGGACTATACTCGTCCATGGTTTGCTTGGGCAAATTCGGTCTTCGCTGAGACTGTGCTCAAGGTTGCTGCTGAGAGACCGCATTTGATCTTTGGGGAGGGTGCTGAGCCTTACATTATTTCTTAGCGTTGTCCTCACAGTGGAAATGGAATTCATTCTTACCTTCTCATTGGATATACTATATCAACTCTGTACCAAGACTCTCTTCCAAGTTGCGCAGTACCAAACAGTCCTGGAGAAGTACTAGGTAAAATCGCCTACCGAATCAGCCTCACTGGGCATTAGTTTTGGCTTCGTTTTACGAATATGTACGATGGCTCGCTTAGAAGGCACTCTTTCCACTCGGTTATTTTGGAATTTAAGGGATTGTCAACCCTTAGTATTGCTCAGAATTATATCTAGGGACAACCCGATGCCTGTCGTATACCGTAAGCTAACGCTTGATGGGCATCGCTGCGGATGGTGAAATCTTGCGGACGACCGTCCGTGCCGGCTACATGCCACGGCTGGCGGGGTTGAAATCCATATAGTAGCTCCTGGGGGGTCGTGGTCGTGGCGTAATTGACCGACGCGTTCAGGATCGCTTGAAAGCTAGGTAATTAATTGTGTCTCCCAGTTCTTAGCCGGGTTGGTCGAACACCAGAATGGGATCATGATTTCGATGGTCTGATTGGTTCTCTCGGACTGTCCGTCCGTTTGGGCATGGTATGCTGTGGAGTAGAGCAAGCTGACCTGAAGGGCTTCGAAAACCGTCTTCCAGAATCCTCCTGTGAACCTCGTATCCCGGTCGGAGATGATGACCGTTGGCAGACCCCAATTCGCTATTTGCCATGCTTGCAGGACTATCTTGGCCCATTGCTCGCCCGTCCAATCCGAACGACCCGGAATGAGAAGTAGACATTTGGAGATATGTAGGTACATGTGAAGTCCTCCAGGGCTGAGGTGACTGCGGTTGTTCCCTAGAGCTCGCTCCGCCCTTAGTATTTCTCTTCTTGTCTTTCTCTTCAAGGTTCTTCGTCTCTCTTGATAGCAGAATCAATCCTTCCCGAAATTAATCAGCGCGTCCAATTTGTATCGGACTTGACTCTCTGTGCTTTTCGCACGTTCTGTAAGGGTTTCCCCTGCCTCCAGTGTGCTCAAGGTTTGCTCGCGTGGAAGCACCTTCACTTCATCAATGCATGGGGAGGGGGAGGTGAAGCACTGGAAGAATCTGAGGGTTCAAGTAATGTTGGAGCTCCATCTTCTGATAGAAGACATAGTCTGGTATAAATCCGCGGAGGTAGCTTCCTAGGTACTCTGGATTATTGTCAGAGAATTCCAACTGATGAAAGGCAGTGGAAGACAAAACTGGAATTGGGCATCCAGACAGGCTCAGACGTATATGGGGATTAGGTATCAAGTAAATAGTCATATATATCTGCTTCCAGTCAGTATTGACAAAAGGATGTTTAACGTACCATAGAAGAGCTAAAAGCCCATGCCCGCTAGCCCGCGCTTAGGAGTAAAATATGGACTTTTGTACCGACTCGCTGATACTGCCTTGGTCTCCAGCTGGGATAGCAGGCTCGGAAGTCCCCCGATTGACCATGTGCCCTTTTTTCGGATGGCAGTTCGGAAGACCGGAATATCACACATCAATTCAAGATGGCCCGGGGCCTTGGCCCTTTTCGACTTTGTTGGCCAGGTCGGCGCTGTCTCTCTTTGTAGTAGTAGCCGGGCAGCTAGTCAGAATCTCAGCGTTGCGTTCTCGTTGCTCACAGGAGTAATGGTGAAGGGAATTGATATTCGAGGTTGATCAGTTGCAAGCGCATTTCGGACTTACCGGGTGTGCTCCTGGTGGACCACCAGGTAAAACAGCGCAAATGGCATTAGAAATGCCAACATTGTCACAAAGATCCACAAGGGGATCAGTGCCATTGGCCATGGATGTTGGGACATCAGCCGCATCATGGTTGGTAAGTTTCTTGTTATCACGGTTAACGCCTCAAGGGCGGCGGTATCGATCTCGATGGTATTGTTCATCTTCAAGGTTGCAAATTACTGCCCGTCGTGGCTCTGCGAAACGCCGCAGACTTTCGGCGTGCTCTTGGATTTGTGCCTGCATGCGGTCTCTCTCGCGAGAGGTCGTGCGTCTTTAGACGCCCTCGGGGGCATCCTTCGACATGAGCTGCAGTAAGGTGGGTAGGTTTGCGGTGATGGTGTTTAATGCCTCAAGGGCGGCGGTACCGATCTCCTTGCTGTGGTTCATCTTGCAAATTTACTGGGTGTGCTCCTGGTGGACCACTAGGTAAAAAATAGCAAATGGCATTAAAAATGCCAGCAATGTCACAAAGATCCACAGAGGGATCAAGATTATGGGCCATGGGTGCTTGGACATGAGCCGCAGTATTGTTGGCAAGTCCCTTGCCAGGACGTTTAACGCCTCGAGGGCGGCGGTATCGATCTCGATGGTGTTGTTCATCTTGCAAATGTTTGCCCGTCATAGCTCTGCGAAAGACCGCAGACTTGCGGCGTGCCCTTGGATTTGTGCCTGCATGCTGTCTCTCTCGCGAGAGGTCATGCGTCTTTGGATGCCCCCGAGGGCATCCTGCAGCTCGACGTCCGCTGCGTCCAAATCAAACCCCCCAGAGTCCACCTCGAGTCCAACCTCTCAAGATCACTTCCCTGTTGTAGGGGGCCATATTCGTCTCCGGTAGGTGTGGGCTGCGAGATGGGGTCTTTGCTGTGTAGATTCACTCTTGACCGAACCTTCGACGGCTTGGACATATCGAGCCCTAACCTGCTCACCTGGGCAGGATCTGATCCCTAATCAACATCAAACCACATTGCTTGACGAATGTGGATAGTTGTCATCGTTGGTCATGAGGTTGTGAAGGGGAAAACAACGGGGGCAGTCAACGTTTCAGTGGCGATGGACGCTCTTTCCAACCTTGGAAGGCATGGTCAAGGTGACGTCTACGTCCTAATTAGTCCGCGGTGATATTTTGTCATATGATTTCTTCGTTTTGATACTAGATTTGATACTATATTTCGTCCATTCGACACTCGATCTCTTCGATTCGATACCGGAATTCATTCTGCTTCATTTCACGATGGGCATCCGCCTCCCAGGTGACAGCCGGCAGGAAGAGATTGACCTGGAGAAGTCAGGAAAGGTCTGCTCTCTCCAGAGATATCGATGGAATATCTTGCAAGACAAGAAGGAACCGATGGATATCGCTGGTCTCTTTCGGGTCGAAGTTCGACTCCGGGAAAACACCCAGGCGCAAATGAGACTCACTGCGAAGCTGCAGGAGGTACTTACCGATCCACTCCAGAAAACTGTGATTCTGGAACTGCAGGAGCAGATTGCCAAGTTGTCCAGCGAGTATTGGGACTTGGAAATGCGATGGTGGGAGATCAAATGCGGGTTTTACGTTGGCCCCGTGTCAAGAGGGATTGATTTCTGGCGCGCACAGCCGAAATGGTATATGCACCCAGTGCTGATAGAAGACTGCGCGGGGAGAGGGGGCTGTTGTGCGAGAGACTGTGGGTGCTGCGTCCATCGAGAGAGGCGGTGGGGACGAAAGCTTGCTGCTGGCCATTGCACGACGGAATGTGGTTGTTGCGAGAAAGCTCGCGGCTTCGAACTCAGCGATGAACAGAAGACGAGGCTCCGAAAGCTGATACAGCCTGAGAACGGCACTGTGCACTACGAGAAGATAAGATTCGCATCTCTGCTCGGCCTGGAGGTTGGGAATTTCGAGAATCCGCTTGATCGGATTAATGCTCCCAAGATATACTGGATGTGGGCATGGATTCTGGCGGTGCTTGCTTGGTTATAGATGCTGGATGTCGAATAATTCAGGGATATCTATTGCTTCACACTCTTCTATACTCGCTGTACAATCCAACATTTAGATCAACACTCTCCTCAGCCCATCAGTACCACCAAGTACTCTCCTTCCCGTAACAGGGCATCGACCCTTGCCACTCTCCCACTTCCCAGATCTCTTTCGCGTACCCTTCTCGCCCTCGTCTCCCTTCTCCTCCTCCTCGCCATTGATCTCTTCCTCCCATGGCGCGCCAGCACCTTCGCCATCCATGAAATCCAGTTGGCGTTGATGCTCGCCGTTCAGCCAGTGGAAGATACAGACGTAGCAGAAGACATACCCCGTCTGGCAAGCAGTCGGGTTGGTGAGCGGGCCCATGCAGACCGGACACGTATTCGCGCTGGACGAATCAGCCGGAGGCAGAGCCACGGTGTATATGGGGAGATAGGAAGTTGCGGAGATGGGAGGCTGATGACGACGAGAGGATTTGAGCGCTGGCTTGAGATCTGCGCTCTTCTTCTCCTGCTCTTGCTTCTTCGCTTTATCTTTCTCGTCTTGGAGGGAGGATTTCCGTCGTTCGGCGGGGGACATGAGGCCCGCGACGACGGGTGCCGGTAGATCTAGTACCTCTGTTGCTTTGCGCGCAAGCTGTCGGGAGAAGTCACTGGCGTGCCACCATTCCAGGAACTTGAGGGCGAAGATCGAGGCGGGGAGGAAGTACCGCAGTGAGGTGAGCATCTGCGTGTGGAGGTTCTGCGGGCTTAGAAGGCCCAGCAGGCCACCGCCCGGTCGTTGAGATCGTCCAGTACCAGGTCCTGGCTTGGGGTCTAGGACCGCAGCGATGGCTCGATGGTCGGCGGCGCCGAGTCGGCGGATGCGTGTGCCAATGAGCCACAGGAACGGTGATGAATACTTTGTGTTATCGAAGAGGTAGGCGAGGTTGAACGCTAGCACGGAGAAGTAGTATGCGGCGTTCACGGAGGGATAAACGTTCCGCAGGAACCACTTATAGTAGTGCAAGAGACGCTGGCGCAACGACGGATTGGCCGGCAGGTCGTCGTTGGGATTATATCTGGGGCCGTCGCCCATGACGAGAGACGCCTGAGGGGCGGCATGGATATCGTAGCCTTCGTCGAGCCGGCGCTTTATATAGGGGATGCCCACCATCACCAGCAGGTTCTTCCAGATATCCGTCGAATGTAATTTGAGGGCGTCGCGGACAGGCCCAGCGGCGCCGACCTGGGCGCGCGGAATCTCGCCATTCTTGGTTTTGAGAACCCGTTCGCGTTTCAAGGAGTAGAAATTCTCGGTGAAGGATCCGCCGAACGTTCGGAGGTAGTAACGTTCGACTATTAGGGAGATGAGGGCGTAAACTTCGTCATAGGAATTGAGGATGCGGAGGAGATAGCGCGGGTGGCGGTGGGTTGCGACTGCGAGAAGATAACGTATAGATGGTGGAAGAAGATCTGACAGTTGTTGTTCGGCGAGGAGTTCTGTCCGCGATCTTGATCAGTGATGGGTCCTGGGATGGCCTCAAGTCCGGGGGAGCCCCATTCTCCGCGGGGAAGCATTGAGCGTCCATCGACTTACCAAAGAGCGACGGCTTATTCTCGTCGAACTCTTGCTGAAGGCTAGGAAGGTATTCCATCGTCGAGAGTGTCAGTCATCCTTCACGAGGGTGGTGTCTGGAGGGAAGAGGAGAGCCGGAAGTGATCGTCTGCCGAGGCTCAGAGCTGACTACACTTCTCCGACCACCTCGGTGTCTACTGTACGGAGTAAACTAGACAACGCAATGAAATTATGCCACAAAATTGCTATTATACAGTGAAAATATATGCTTAATTTACAAGTCCACCTTTCACTCTCTTCCAAGTGCCTCCTGGCACTTGGTCCACAGCGGAAGGTAGAAACTGGGGGGAGCTTCTTCATCGCGGCCTTGAAGGTTTGGATCCGCGACCAGAACACAATGCATGATAGCGGTGACTATCGGACCTTCGAGCTCAATAGGAGGGGACTCCTGATTCATCGAAGAGACCCCCGTTGAGATGCACTCGCGGGCTCGTCGTTCCTCGCCGAGCTCGGCATGCAACTGGAACAAGTTCACATAATCGTCCTGTGTGCGACTCGCACCCTTCAAGGGAAACTGGCGCCACAGTCGCCAAAATCCATCAAAGTCCCCGAGTCGAAAGAGGGTGACCATAAGTTGACGAGCATCTTCTGCAACAAATGGGAGTTTGGCCGCCGACAAGAGCTTCGATAGCCGCGAGTGAATTTCTTTCTGTTGTTCAGCTGAGCGAGCCTTGGAAGATTTCTGCGCGTTTCCATCCGGGAGCGATTCACTAGGGTTTGGTGATAATGGGCTCGACGTGCCAATTACCTCGTAGAGCATATTGAACACCCTCATGTTCAGAATCGGCACACCGCGAAGACTTAAACGATCAAGCGCAGACAAAGCGAGCTCCAGGCTGGAATTAGAGATTCTGAAGGCGGAATCCTCGGGAACGGTTTCTCCTGGTTGTGGTGTCAGAAGAGCAGAAATAACATCGAATCCAAGGTCGTCTGGAAGGTCATACCCGTCGCGGAGGAAATCCGAGAGTGCGCTAAAGAGGGAATCCTTGCTATAAGCCGAATGTTGCCTGGATACGGCCATAGAGCGCAGTTTGAGTCGGAAGGTGGCTTTTTCTTGTGCAGAATACCGGGTTGCGTGGTTGTTGTAGAAGAGGCGAAGGAAAACAGTGGACAATCGATCATTTGGGCCAGTTCCAAGCTCAGTCCGGGCACTCTCAGCTGGAAGTTCAGAAAGGATCTGAAGTAGAGATGTCGGGGTCAGTTGAGATGCGGCGGCCGCTGCGCCACCTTGGGATGAGGGAGCACCCCCCATGCCAGCAAGTCCGGGCTCAAGGGAGCTCATTCCTGGATGTGCAAGTCGGCGCATAGTATGTAAACCCCTCCTCTGTCCGGGAGTTGACCCAAATCCATCAGACATGGAGCGGGGAGGCGCAGTATTCCTGGAAGCATCTCCCGACTCCCGCGATTTCTTTCGTCCTTCTCGGCTCAAGGTAGCCTCCCAAAGTCCGTCAAGGTCGACATCAGCTCGCTTCTCTTCGGTGAAGATCTGAACCACCACGCTAGTTCCGAGGTCAAGGTTACCAAATCCTTCAATGCCAACATCACTAAGCTGTGTCGTGGAGGCGCCTTCATCCACCACCCCGGCGTTCACACAGATCCACCCAGTAGTGATCCCGTCATCCTTCTCGTCGATCATGGCGCCCGCAGCACTGGCAGCTCTCGCTCGCTTAGCCCTGCGTCGGAGTTTGATCTTCAACTCGTTGCGTCCCAGCAGACCGTCGGCATAAGGTGACAATTTGTACTGGCTTCTTAGCCAGCGGCAAAGTCTATCCGCAGAGACGTTCAAGTGCTTCGTGCTGCGAGCAGTTCCGATGATCATGATGACATTGGCGCCGAGAGCTGCAGGGATTTCCATCCCACGGAGATCGAAGAGCTTGAGACTGTCAAGGCCCAAATCCTTGTATGTATATTCCAACAGGGTCGAAAGCATTTCGGGCGAATCCTTCGGGATTTCAGGGAGTTGCGCTTCCGTCAGCGGACGGTCCCTGACTGGGGGTGCCTCTTCCTGCAAATACCAAGGAACATTCTGCGTTGAAGTCGATCCGGTGGGTTCTGAGTCTAGTTTCAGATCTTCTGCCTCGGACAGATGATTGTCTAGCTGCTGAGACGTGGGAGGTCGGTCAGATCGCTGCAAGGTTGAAGCGGAGAAAGCTCGAGGGTAGGAAACAGGTGAAGGTCGCGGCATTGAAGCACTGGAGGCAGAGAAAGTCGACCGGAGTAGCTCATTTCGGCCATACTGGCATGTCGCCCTTCTCAAAAGAATCCTGCTCATGGTGATGTTGACAGGAAGAACTTGGAAGTCCGTGATGATTTCCGATGATATCAATGATAGCGGGCGCAAACAGTGCAAACAGGGTTAGTCATCGTAACCGCGGGGCTCGATAGGAATCTTTTTCTTGCGCCGTGTGGAAAAAGTTGTAACATCAAAAAACCGATTTAAGTCAGATTTGCCAAATCGGAGTCCGACAAGATGTCGATGGATCTGGATGCCCCCGTCTACATGCAACAGCAGGAGCAGGTCGCCGCGACGTGAGTTATGCCCTTATCGCAACTTTTTCAGTCCATTCCCCCACCGAAGGCCCCGTGCCCAAGATCTACAGGCATGAACGATTGTACTAATTCTGCCCTCGTATAGTATCCTGTGTTGCAACTGTGGCGCACCCATTGATGGAACCGTCGCCGCCGGAGCGCTTTGTACCGACTGCATCAGGCTCTCGGGTTAGTAGGAATATTGGCAGATACAGAACTGTTGACTGACTCAAGCTACAGTCGATGTCACTCAGGGCATCCAGCGTGAGGCTACCCTCCACTGCTGCAAGGATTGCGAGAGATGGTTGCAGTAAGTTATTCCACCGTGCGGTCCAATGTACAACGTTGCTAACATTGGCTTTCTATAGACCCCCCACCAGCTGGGTCGTCGCGGCCCTCGAATCTAAGGAGCTTCTCGCCCTGTGTCTCCGTCGTCTTAAGGGTCTCAACAAAGTGCGCATTATTGACGCCTCATTCATCTGGACCGAACCCCATTCTCGCAGAATCCGAATGAAGATTACCATTCAACAAGAAGCCTTCGTTGGTACCATTGTCCAGCAACAATTCGAAGTCGAGTTCGTTGTGGCCTCGCAGCAGTGCCCTGGTATGTTTTTGCGCAGATAAAGCAAATGTTCATCCTGGTTTTGTTAGATCTATACTAACATTTTTCTAGACTGCCAGAAGTCTTTCACTCCCAACACCTGGCGAGGTTCGTCCAATTTCTTCACTACGGAACAACTGGATACTAACGACAAATATAGCCTCCGTTCAAGTTCGCCAAAAGGTCCCCCACAAGCGAACTTTCCTCTTCCTTGAGCAGGTCATTCTGAAGCATGGCGCTCATCAAGATACGGTCAACATCAAGGAGGCCCCCAATGGTCTGGATTTCTACTTCTCCGCAAGAAACTCCGCCGAAAAGATGGTGGAATTCTTGCATTCCATCGTTCCCTGCACGTTCGTCTTCCCTACAGTCCTGATCCCACGCGCGCATTTCTAACATTCCTCGTACAGATCTAAGAAATCCGAAGAGCTTATCAGTATGGATATCCATACCTCCTCGCGCTCATTCAAGTTCTCCTTCTCCGTTCGTATCGCCATATCCCCCGATTTTATACTTATGCTAACATCTTATCTCCAGGTCGAAATCATTCCCATTTGCAAGGATGATCTCGTTGCGCTCCCATTAAAGCTAGCCCGCTCTCTAGGGAACATTTCGCCATTGACCCTGTGCCACCGAGTTGGAAACGCAGTCAACCTTGTATGTTCCAGCGCTCCTCGCTCATTTGACATGACTGACTCCTTCTAGATTGACCCGCAAACACTCCAAACTTGTGAAGTTCCCACCGCCGTCTACTGGCGCAACCCCTTCAAGAACCTTGCAGACATCACAGAACTGCGAGAATTTATTGTTATGGATATCGAATCCACCGGCCAGTCCAATGGACGATTCCAATTGTCAGAGGTGACTGTGGCTCGCGCCTCGGATCTCGGACGCAACGACATCACCTACTTCACACGCTCGCACCTCGGTAACGTCATCCACGTCGGTGACTCAGTGCTCGGATACCACCTCACAGGAGCCAACTACAACAACGACGAATTCACGGCCATCGAGAACAGCCACCAGTACGGCTCTCGAATCCCCGATGTCATCCTCGTCAAGAAGCACTACACTCGCAGCAAGAAGTCCAAGCGTAACTGGCGTCTTAAGCGTATGGCTCGCGAGTATGAGGAGGAAGCCACTGCCCCTGTTGTCAATGTTCCCACCACAAAGAGACAGGAGCAAGAGCAGGCCCGTATGGAGCAGGACTATGAGATGTTCTTGCGCGATGTCGAGGAGGACCAGGAACTGCGCCAGACTCTGGACCTGTACAAGGTGCGCCAGCAGCAAGCCCAAGATCACCAGATGGAGATGGATGAGGAAGATGATGAGGAAGATGGTCTTGAGGGTGGCCACGCTGTGCCTAAGATCAACATGGATGAGCTGCTTGATGACTTTGACGAGCTCAACATGGGCGAATAGGCTATCGGCAAGTCGACTGCTTGACTGATGAATTGAACATGGGCAATGAACAAGTCTCCAAGTGATATCCTTGACGATGATGTGCACAGGCCGGCGTTTTGTTATATTTTCTGGGGTTTCCAAAAAGTTATTTTTTCACATAGATGCAATCTAGGGCTTTGGCCCATGTTCATATATGATTTGCATGAGAATTCCATATACACTGTCCAAGATCCCAACCTAAGCAAATAATCATACACGAACCTCGATATGCGGGCCAATCCAGCTCTATAGTTCACCCGCTCAATTTTGAATTAGAAGATCTTCCCAAGCACACGCTGAGTATCATCCGCCAATTTCCCATCACTCTTCACAGCCTTGGACTGCTCGAACGTTCTCCTAATCTTGCGCGCAGGCTTTTGTGTTTGCTTCACTTCCCCGTCCTGCTCTTCCAGTCGCCTCTTCATCTTCTCCTCCTCCTTCTTCTTCATTCCGTCTGCAATTCTACCAGACTCCACTCCAGAGAGGTACACCTTGTCCTCGCGCTTCGCCTTCTGGTCAGCCATGCGCTGGGTGGCTTCTCTCGTGGCGCGCTCCATCTGGATCTGTTCCATCAGATTGGCCCATTTGCTGCATCGTGTTAGTGCGGTTCAGTCTTCGAGGACGGGTATCTTACTATCCCTTGAGGTATTTCATGTTCCACAGGTCATCCCGGTACCAGGACGATTTGAGACCTCCTATGGTTCGGGCGTTCAATGTTTCTGCGCAAAGCTTGGCTGTCCTGTACTGTCGTTAGTATCTGTTGCAGGCACGTTGATACGGGCTGACTTACCGCTTGGACTTAAATTCAACCCAGCCGTCTGTATAGAGCTTGCGCTTGTTGGATTTTTGCTTCTGGCCGGCGGCGGACGGGAGCAAGGGTGCGAGGAAGACCTTTGTGATCGGGCCGAAGTTTCGCTTCTCGAGCATGTTCTTGAGCGCGAACTGAGAATAGGATTAGTATAGGTTTGACGCAGTTTATAAGTTGTAGAACTCACGGGCTTCAGGTATGGTGGGAGAGATGATAAGTACACCACACCACTCTTGTCCTTCTTGGGCGGTTTACCGCTAGTCAACTTTGCGAGTTTCTTGTTGAGCAGTTTGTTCTTCGGTCTGGAATCCGCTGTGTCTAGGCTTGCGCCGCCGTCTTCTTCGTCGTCCATTTCTTCATCTTCGTCGTCGTCTTCCTCATCTTCCTCTGCGTCTTGTGTCTTCGTTTGCTTGCGGCCCTTTCCCTTTGGACGTGATTCTTCTTCCTCGTCGTTATCGCTCTCCTCCTCGTCAGATCCGAATCCAAAGGGATCTTGGTTGTCCGCCGTCCTGCGCCGCTTCACAGCTCGGCCTTTGCTCTCCGCCGCATCCTCAGAGTCGTAGCCGCGATCGACTTCGTCCTCGCTGCCAGAGAGGTCAAGTAGGTCGTGTTTTCGGGCGGCCATTGTATTCTGCGTTCAGTGAATTCGAGGAAAGTCGGAAGTTCAGAACTTTTTTTTGCCCGCGAAGTGGTCCGTGCGCGTGTCTCGACACAGCACTGGGAGTATACGAATGTACAGCGACAACCTTTTCTGCCAGTCGAGATGAATACTGAGAATATACGGAGTACAAAGAGAATCAATGAAGTGCTGAGACCGAAATTGTCGCATGTAGCAACTTGTATCCAGGCTTATCTTATCGCCTATATGTAAGGTGTATCTAAGAGTCGATCAGACTCGAGTTCTAAAAACAGTCCCCAACGCCAGAGTCGAGGATCAGATCCTCGTATGTGCATATTGTCCAGATCAGCTAATCTGGAGTGTCCCCTTGACCCGCTCATAAACAAAGAAGGCAACGGCATACATCGGCACCACCTTGATGTACCCGATCGTCAATCCCACCCAGAACCCACGGAAACCGCACTCAAGCCAGATTTTCCGCGCAGTCTCTGCAATTCCTAGACGGTGTCCATCCCCCACTGCTCCACCGACTTGCATTCTCCGACGAATAACTTCGATCGGGTATGAAGATGTCTGTGAGGCGAGACCGGCAAGAGCACCGGCGAGGAGTTCGAATGGAGCGTTCAGGAGGGGACGACTCTTGTTCAATTCTGCTTTTCTAGGGTCCGTATCTTTATCCAATGTTTGTTTCAAAGTGTATGGTGCAAGAGATGGGTGGCGGAAAATATCACCCACGGTATCGTGGGTCAGGAAAGAGATGCCGGCATACGGCAGCATTCCAAGGATTGTGGGGGCGAAACCGCGATAGAAGTTGACCAGGCCGGTTCGCGGGGCGATTTTATTCACGGCGGATGCGGCGCCTTCGGCGGCTGCAATCGTTGAAGATTCGGCGGCGGCAGTGGAACGCGGAGATGGCTGCGCGCGCTCATAATATATTTGGCGCATGATATCTAGTATCCCCGAGCGATGTGTGTGGCTCGTTTCGAATGCCATGCGGACGCGCATCAGCTCGAGTGGGTAGGTAAAGCACACAGATGTGACACCGGCCAAACTGCCCGAGATCAATCGGCGAATGGGGGTCTCATGTTCGCTGGACGGGATGAATACAGCACGGATCTGCTCGTAGGCGAGGAATTTAATAGCGGCGTAAGGGAATATGCGGAGGAGGGTGACGGAGTGGCCCTTGTACAGGCCTTTGGCGCCTTCGGTGCGATTGATATCTCGTATCGCATGAGCCAGCCCTGTCCAACTGCCTGTGTATTTTGCGAACTGGGGATTTGACGCCTGGAACAGGATCTTCACGCGGTCGAGGGGTGCGACAACCGTTTTGGCCTAGGGAATCGCTGTCAGTACGGACATGAAAGATCTGCGGTGCACACTCACAGCACAGCCGGCCAGGCCTCCCGCAATACCACTTCTGATCGCATATTCTAGACTCTGTTTTTCGATCTTGCGGGTGCCGTTGTTGCCGTTGCTGTCTTTGGAGACGAGCGGCATTGCGCCGATCGAACCCTGTGCGGTCTCACTCATCGGAGCAGACTGGAGGTTTGTTGGGGTAGCGGTATCATAGGCATGGTCTGAATGACCGCTGGACATGAGAGTGGCGATGAGCAACCGAGGCTCATAGGAGAAAGATCCGGGGCAACAACGGGATTTCCCCTCGTGACGATAATTCTCGGTCTACCGGATGATCTGCGGGTAATATACGGAGTATACACCACGGACTTCAAGGTTGAAATCGTAATTCCACTCACAATAGACCAACAGATGAAGAGTTGTTCACAGAAAGTGATCACAGGAAGTGTTCAGAGGATTAACTACAGTTAAGTGACGTATGGAAATACACTGACATGCCGATACCAACCGCAGCCCGCTTAGTGACGGGGCAATACGGTACCGATACCCGTTCCAATCCCGAGAAGCCGAATGGTCATCGTGTTATCTAGAATCTATCAAATGCTGAAACGCCCCCATGCAGTATAAAGCAATATCGTGGTCTCGTTAAGAAAGGTATCAGCCCTTGCGCTGCGCACGAGTCCGTAAGGGCTTCGCCTGTTTAGCTGCCTTCGCACCACGGGTGTCATCGCTGACCCGCTTGCGCTTGGTCGGGCGCCCAGGGTCAACATGAAGATGGCCATGGACAGAGAGAGCCGTGTGGTTCCTCCAGCGGAGACAGCGGAGGCGGTTGTCACTCACGTCCACGTAGGTCTTGGTGCGGGTAGTCACGCGCTTTGTGGGGAGATCCTCCGACTCAGCTCGCTCCGGGGTTTCAGCGAGGTAGTCCTTGCGAGTCTTCATGTACTTGGCGATAACGTCCTGCTGAAGGAGAAGTTCCTTCATCAATTTGGACTCCCGGTTGCCGCGTACTTCGAGCCATTCGATGAGCTGGTCGAGGGCCTCGGGGTCTTCGTAGTATCCCCATTCACGGGCATTGGAGAGATGGGTCGGTCCCTCTTCGTGCTTCTTGCGCTCAGCCGGGGTGGTGTGGAAGTGTCGCTGGTACTGCTTGCGTTGTTCGTCGGTCACGTCAATGAACCCAGAGTATTCCAGCTCGTCCGGACCTTGCACCCACAAGCGGCCGTTGGCGTAGCCTGCTTCGGCGCTCGAACTCTCCGGCATGCCCTCGTAAGGCATCGCGTTGCGCTCGAACCACCAGTAACGGTTGCAGAAGCGATCCTGGCCAAGGCACTTGGTGCGGGGACAGTCGGTTTCGCGCAGGCTGTTCTCCACGGTCTCGATTTGCTCCTGGAGTTTCTCGATCTTGGCCTTCTGGTCGTCGATCTTCTTCAAGACTTTCTGATACTGCTTCGATCCCTTCGGTTGCTTGGCGAGGATCTCCTTGCGCTCCTTCTCGAGCTCTTGCTTGCGTTTGCGCTCCAGGGCTCTGTCCACTCCGCCACGCAGAGCGCGCGGTCGGGGAGCATCCTCATCTTCTGAGTCCACAACCATCTCGGAGTCTCCTTCGAGACCGGTCATTCTCGAATCGTCCAGGCCGTCCAGTTCGGGAACCGGGGTGGGTGACTTGCCGGCCTTCTCGGGTTCAGGCTGCACAGCCTTGCGCTCCTGGTGTAATTGGCGAAGCTCGATGAGTCTGTAAGCGGATGTTAGCAGCTGTCAGAAATGGTGTGTAAGGAACATACGCTGCTTTGCGCGCCTTTTGGTACTCGATCTTTTCCTTGCGGAGCTCTGTCATCTGGTTGCTGCACTCCTCTAGATAGTTTCGGATAGCCTTCGTCTCCAAGCTCAGCATACAGATTTTCTGCAGTGCCTTGGCACGCAGGTTGATGTCCAAAGTCTGATAGTTCTCCTGCACAGTGCTGGGGGTGGGATCAATATCGAGAGGCACCAGGTGTTTGAGAATGTCGTTGCAAACCTGCTCCGAACGAGGTCGAACAGACAGTTGATGCAGTAATCCCACCATCACTGTCTGCCACCCACCGTTGCGGAAGTCTCGTTTGCGAAGGCGGTCGATCCAACCGGATTTCTCGAACAGCTCGTCGGCGCGATGCAGGCGCGTTTCTTCCGGCTCGGCCTCTTCGATCTGTGATTTGATTGTGACCAACTCTTCCTTAGCCAGACTGCCTCGGGTTGCCATTCTCTCGGGCTTGGTCTGAGGCTTTGGAGACTCTTCCTCGTCGTCTTCCTCTTCCTCCTCTTCTTCAGACTCATCAGATTCATCGACTGGGAAATCTGGGAGGGTGACTTGAACGGCGCCATCGCCACCGTCAGATGCGTTCACGAGTTTCTTGAGGACAGCGCAGTGCACCTCTACAAGAAGTTCACAATCAATTTCCTCCGACGAGAATCGCATGGCTTGGATGAAATCATCGAAGGGGAAAGAGTCCAGCTCAAAGACTTCACAGTAGACATTCAGTGTATTCCAGGTTTCCAGGAGTAATCCGACCGTCTCAGGCTCTAGGTCATCCGGAAGGAGGTCCTGCACGGCTTCATCATCAGAATCACCTACCATCATGAACTTGAGGGTCGGACGATGTTGTTTCTCGGCATCGGGGGCAAGTTCAAGATCCTCAATGGGATACTTGATTGGGGGAGGGGTTGCCATTCTCGATTCATGCTTGACCACTGCTGATGGTGAACCAGCATGCTTCCTGTCGCCAACCAGTGGCGGTTTGGAAGGGCGCAGGGGGTTGGAAGGCAGCAGGAATGAGGCATCGCCGTTCAGGGATCGCTGGTATTCTTGATACTGGGCCTCCCTAGATTTGACCATGTCGTGAGCTGACAACTTCGACTTCTGTCCCTTGAGCGCCGGCTTCAGCTCGGGCAGCTGCTGGGAAGAGAAGAAACCGAAGAAGCCATCTTGATCGGCTTTCTTCATTGCTTTCTTTTCGGCCACCTTCGCACCATACTGCAGGTGCTTGGGGACCTCAATCGGGATCTTGTAAGTCTCTGCGACAGATGGCTTGACCAACCATGGAGCGCCGGTCCATGATTCTCTAGTCACATTGTTCTTAATAAACCCACGCAGCATCAACTTCGTGAATGCCTTTCGATCCCGCGTGATGTGGTCCTGGTCCAGCAGAGCCTCCTCGTTTTGTCGATCCAGAATCTTAACTAGATATCTAGCAAAAGCAGGTGTTTTGATGGTTCCATCGGCGTAGAGTTGCTCTGCAAAGTTGGCCTTATCTCTGATGGTACCGTGAAGTCGGCTGCTGTCCTCTAGCAAAATCAGCACAGCTTCACCGGGGTAAAAGTCTGATTTGAATTCCTGCCATTGTTAGTTTCTGTCATCAATCATCGAGAATTCCTCTCACTTCGTAAACCTCATCCACTAATATGATTGTTAGCGCGGCTCAAATGGCATAAGATGAAGTACATACCCAAGCTGTCTACCCGTGAGACGGTAGAAAACTGAATTCGGCGCAGAATTGGCTCTCTCAGAGCATCTGGGAAACTGTTGTTGACCTCACGCGACTCCTCCGTCTGCTTGAAGTTTAGCGCGTATTCCTCGTCGGTTCCCAATGGTAAATGTACCTCACTGCGGAGCGCCTCGAAGAATGTCAGGCCCGAATGGCCGGTAATCTCACATATAAACCTCCGTTGTTTGTAGAAATCCATGCGCTGAAGATAGGGTTCGTATGTGGTAAACACCTCGTTGGTCTCTGGGATTACCCAGACCTGCGCGAGAACGAATGGTGAGTGGGGGGAGTTCCGCGGACAATCTAGATGCGTACCTCGGAGCTATCATCTTCAATTACTGTCTGCGGAAGGTATTGCACCGGCTTGCGTTTGAATAGGACCTATCCCGGGAATTGTGTCAGCCGCTTTGTCCCCTCACATGCACCGCTCTCCTCTTCGACGAGTGCGGAGATCTCCTTCGGGAAGGTGTCGCGTACCATTATGCTTTAACAGCCGGGGGTAGACGCGCCAGTCGGCCAGAGGATAGCGAGAGCACGATCGAGCATGAACCGACTAGACAAAACGCGACCCTGGTTAGCGAATGCAGCTTGACCGTGTGAACGTGTGCGTGTGGAGACCGCGTCGGGCCCGAAATCGGCGTGGTTGATGCGAGGAGCGATGGGGGAGATTGCGGTGGCAGTGTTGGGCTCGGGCCGGTGACGCGATGATTCACGGGTGCGAGGGAGCCCTGATCAGGTGTCGCCGACTCGAAGCACGCGAATGGAGCGGGAGGTATGAGCGGACTTACCGGAGAAGAACGCGTCGACGGGGTGAAATAATGGGGCCGGGCAAAAGGACGGAAGTGGGCAGAAATATATGAAGAGAGAGAAAAAGAGAAAGGAAAGATTGACACAAATGGAGCAGCGGTAGTACCGCGGTGGCCTGTCATTGGTGGAGAGCAGGAGCAGAAAGGCATGGAGCTCCTCGGGGGGAAAATCTTCTGGACTCCCCTTCTCCCCTCGTCAATCCTCTCCTATTGCTGATCGACCATCCACCACCCGATATCACTATTTACCCTCTTTCGATTCCTCTCGGTGAGCTGGTCTCGATTATGTGACTCCGGTTTCACCTCTGCAGCCCTGTTCCTCGTCCTGTACGATTATCAATTACTCTGGGGCTCGGGCTCGGATCGGATCTGATGGGGCCAGCTCAACCATCTTTGTTCGTATTTTTAGCATGAAACACCACCTTTTCCGAGTGGATGTCCTTTGATCACCTTGACCTGCTGGGTCGCTGGAATACCCCATGTATATTCATTATGTAGATCTCTTTGATTTAGTTTACCCGAGAGGGTGCGTGATCTCCTGCAACTTGCCCATTCTTCAATGTAGATTCTGCTGGGTCTTTGAGTGCCAGATCCTCCAGGAAAAGCTCTACTTTTATCCTCTGCCAATTCTGCATTCATCCTTCCGGCAGTGTCACTGGCAACGTCTATCCCCGCACCTCAAGCCACCGATCCCGGGTGGCAACCAGCATGATAGATATGCAACTTTGACATTGTATCTGCGACGTATATTACTCGTAGGCCCTCTGAAATCAATGTACTAAAACACAGCCAAACTCTGATTGGAATCTGCAGATATGCTTCCAGCCAATCCCTCGATCGCTGAGATAGGGCTTGATCTGGAGTTGATCCCACATGTACGAATTGATCCCCACACATAGCACCATAATCCGGCAGAGGGAAGAACTCAATACGGTGCTCCGTCCTCTGTACTCCGTTCTGTCGGCAGATTTAATACATGATTTGATCTCTCATATCCCCAACTGACCCACCGGATTGCACTGCACTATTGAAAGCAAGCAAAGTTGATATGTAATGTTGATGTACGATCAGCCACGGTGTAACAAGCGCATTGGCCCCCGGGGTCTGACTGGCTGCGACGGATCTGGTACTAGGTAAGCCATGGATTCTTCTTTCGGGCCAGACTGATTCTCATTTCGGAGTGTTGCTTCCAGCTTCCTTTGTCGGCACATAGTTTGCTGCCACGCACCCTCGGAAACCCACGCTTCTTTGTCTTGCTGGCAGATTTCACTGTCCAATCCTTTGAATATAATTATTAGATTCTAGAGGCTCCGGGGCTTTGAGAACTCCACATCCATGGATTCAAGGTATACATAGTCGTCGCGACTATCTAGGTAGATGACAATCTGACGATTTACCTTCAATGTTCCCTTTTTTCCCCAACACTTGAAGGACTGCGTGTGACTTTGACAGTGATATCGTTGAATCCAATAGGTAGATAAATCGACTTTATTATCGAAAGACCACCTATGAGTTGCATCTTCAGCTCGTTCCTGGATATATATTCCGTGACAAAGCATATCCCTTCCAAGATTGGAACTCGTAACTCCTCAAATAAAACAGCAATACTACTAGATAATACTCCATTCAACGAGCAAGTATCAACGTACCTAGGTACTAATTGCAAGCAGACAGTCCCGGAAAGGAAATCGGATGATTCCCCGTGTTTCTATCCGTCCTGCATTTGGCTGCAGCCCAACCATGGATGAGGAGGCACTAGGCCCAATCGAGCCTAGTTCCGGAATAGACTCCATGAGCCGTGGGTCTGCTCCACGTGGAATCAAACACTGCAAACAAACTATTGCATCATCGAACAATAATAACTTTTTCAACATTTGAAGAGAGCTACCTATGCTGTGAAGTAAACCACCATGAATCCGACCCAGCTGCCGACGACTCCAAGAGCGGAGTAACTGCTCATAAACATCAACGGCAGGAATTCCAGCCGATCCCAGCCAAAGATCAGTTGGTGACCCAGTGAGCAATAGACGATCAGAGGGATAGACACAGTCAAGTAGAGCAGGGACAGTCGGTCGAACACAAAGATGCGGGGTCGCTCCGAGACGGGCGCGACCTGATCAAAGACGAACAGGAACAGAACCAGCCACAGAACCGTGTAAACAGTCTTGAGGGGGAACTCGGCCGCCGTGAAGAGTAACGGGAAAAGTGAAACATGTCCGGCAACTGCGAGAGGGCGGAATGCACTGAAGTACCGCCGGTCTTTGAGGGCAATGAGACTGAATGGGATGATGATCAGCAGGATAGCCTTTTCGTGGACGTGCCAACCGAAGAGGAAGGATGAGTAGCCACAGAGCGTGATCGCGCCAACGAAAGTGTCCCAGCACCCCGGGTTGCGCCAGACCTTGATGAGAGGCACCTAGACCATTGTTAGACCGTGTCGGGTAGATGGGATGTGGGCATACCAGTTGGAACAGGAATGTCAGTATGAAGGTGTGCTCTTTGGTGACCTCGGGGAGAATGGCGAAAGAGGTATCGCCAACCAGTCCGCGAGTCACGCTAGTCAATGCTTCGTGATTCACGGGAAGGCCTAACCGAGGCGCAACTAGAGATGAATTAGCGAGGCTCACCCCAAACGATCAGACTACATACGAGGGATCAAAGCTCGGTCAGTGAACGAGTACATGGCCCAGATATTCGGAGCCCAGTACGCGTGGCACAGTCCCCGGGAGAAGGGGAACAGCCGGTCCTTGAGTTGCAGCAGCTGGCCCCATTGCGCAAATGGACCAAAGGCAATGGCGAAGACACCCACCACACAGAATCCCAGTTTGATGATGTTTCCGAACCGAGGTCGGAAAACGGATTTGGCATCCAGGCAGTAGGTGCGCAGCAGATAGACAAAGTATGCAAGAGCCAGGTAGAGGTAGATGTGCTTCATACACAGCAGGACCGCGAAGAGAATACCACTGTAGAGAAGAGTGGACTGCTTCCGGGCGAGAACGATGGACAGGATCAAGAGTCCATACATGAAGCCATTGTATTGGAAGTGAATATGATCAATTATGAAGAGACCCGGTGACAGCAGGATGGAGAGGCTAGCCACATGCGCAGCGTTTTTGTTCGGCAGAGGAACGGATTTGACGAAGCTAGATTCTCGACAGTAAGTATATGTCCTGCCCCCACCCCAACAACCAGTGAATTGGCTTACCGACTAAGTGCAAAGACGAGAACCAGTTCCGTCAATATGACCGTAGTCCTCTGGAAGTAGACAGTCTGCCAGGAATCGTAGCCCAGGTTCTTCACAACCAGCATGGCCGGGTCCACATATGCTGCAGCCTGCGACATAATCCATTCAAAAGCCGCAAAGAACGGTGGGTAATCGAGGGTCCATTCCGAGGATTTCTGGAATAGTCAACATCTAGATTCTGCACCCACGCCTGGATGCGCCCGGTCGAACCTACCTCGTAGTACCACTCTTGAATCGGAAGGGAATGGGTAATGGCGAGCCAGTTGCGATGGACTTCAAAGTCGGTGGATTTGCTATAGCAGACAGAAGTTAGCTTGGACCTGGGTGTGCCGTGTTCGATCTCAGGACAATTGCGGCGGGACTCACTAGGCAGGGAAGAGCAATACCTTGAAGGCAGCTGCGACAATAGCGCATTGCGCCAAAGAAGGATATAGTTCAACCATTGGAGCCTTTGCGCATACTGGACACTCCCAATGACCTCGGGAGACTAATCGGAGGGGAGCTTCCTCCGCACGAGTATTTCCAGAACACGTGATGTGATGCGGAGGTCGAATCAGGAGTGAAACAGGACAGATATCAATATCGATGCAACGGCACTTTCCGCATGGACTTCACAGACGTGGGAATTCGACACACCATCCTAAACAGTGTACAGCTTCATCATTTCTTTGATTGCTCGCCCTCTGCTGCCATAGTTGCAAAAGAGGCCCGTTTCTGCGTCATTGCTGTTGTGGTGGGCTGGATCACCACACGCGTTATCTCCGGCCTGTGTGATCTTAACAGGAAGCAGCACTGCACTGCATCAGATCACTGCCACTGCAATAGAGCTGATTGATTGCTTTGCCAAGCCATTGACACCGAATAGCAAGCTTCGCTCAAGCTGCACAATATGATGAAGACATTCGCTTCCCTGGCATTGCTCGCCGTGGGCGCCACATCGCAGATTATCGAAAGCTCCAGCTTTGGCACTGGTAAAACGTCAGTACCTGGTGCTCTTCGCCACAAACCCATCTGACATGGATCAGGATATCACCAAACCGAGACCACACAATCCCAGGCTGGACGATTGGAGGAGAGGGCCATGACCCAAACCTGGTGAGAGGTATCCTCCATGCTGAATGACTGGGACTAACAGCCAGATAGCTGTCAGACAAGATCATCTTGACGCCGCCGTACCCTGGCAACACCCGGGGATCCTTGTGGGCTCAGAGTCCGTAAGTGGAAGAGCTTCAGAGCGACAGCATGGACGGACACTAATGCGCGCATAGTGTTGCCCAGTCGGAGTGGACTGCAGAGTTTCAATTCCGTGCCAGTGGCCCTGAAAGAGCTGGGGGAATCCTGCAGTTATGGTACACCAAAGATGGCCAGGCCCGGATTGGCACCTCGAGCATCTACACGGCGGGTCCATTTGATGGTTTTGCCCTGGTCGTTGATACGCATGGTGGACGTGTGCGTATTGTCGCCGTATTGTCATGGTGTCCTGCTAACCTGCTGAACAGGGCGGCAGTGTTCGAGGTTTCCTGAATGACGGTACCACCGATTACAAAAGCCACAACAGCCCCGACGCTTTAGCCTTCGGTCACTGCGATTACTCCTACCGCAACCTTGGTCGTCCCTCTGTCTTTAAGATCAAGCACACCAACTCCATCCTCGAAGTGACAATTGACGGTCAACCCTGCTTCTCTACCAACAAGGTATGCATGCACAGCTGGGGTTCTTCCCATTGACCTAACAGAAGCCTCCAGGTCGCGCTCCCCGCTGGAAACACCTTCGGTATCACAGCCGCCACCCCCGAAAACCCCGACTCCTTCGAAGTGTTCAAGTTCGTCGTCGAGTCCGCTACCAGCCAAGGCTCTCCTCAAGGAGTGCCTCCAGTTGTCAACCAGCAACAAAACCAAGCTCCTCCTCAACCCCAACTCCACGATCCACCAATGGCTCCAACTTCGGATGTCTCGATGGCAGGCCTCGCCGCCCAAATCGTCGACCTCGGTGGTCGCCTCCAGCTTAGCAACAAAGCAAGCAGCACCATCATCCAAGAAATGAAGAACCAAGCCGCAAAGGGAGATTCGCGCCATGCAGAACTCCTGAAGACCCTCATCACAAAGGACCAGTTCAACGCACTGGACAACAGACTGGCTCACATCGAGCAGCTGATGACCACTATCGTGCGCGATCTCGGTGACCGGGACTACAGCAGCCGTTTCAACCAGCTGCACGACACCCTGCGCTCTTCCCATGTGAGCCTGAGCGAGAACCTGCAGGGCCACCTCTTGAACGGTATGTCTCCTAACCAGGTTTCGCCCCGACCAACCTGCTAATTGCTCTATAGTCATTACGGCGTCGAGCCCTCGCATGGGCTTTTTCCTGTTCCTGGTCATCGCTTTCCAGGTGCTGCTTGTGATCACATATGTGATCTACAAGCGTCGTCGGGCTAACATGCCCAAGAAATTCCTGTGAGCTGCGTTTCGCGCCACAGTGATGCGGCTATCGCATTTATTTTCTGTATTTCTTAAAAGGATGTATTTCTTAATGAGAGGCAATGATCCGTTTCACTCGCAATTTCTGTAAGACCAAGCTCGCCGTATTTTCGTAGAACATGAGTATCATTCAACATGAAGCCTGAAGCCTGAAGCAATGGAAGACACAGATTATCACTACAACAGAAAATGAACTGATGTTTCGAGTTTTTTTGTTTCTTTTTTTGATCTCACAATTATCATACAGGTCTTTCCTGGGGTTGCCCGACCATGTTCCAATTTTCGAAGAAAAACAGGGGGTAACCATCGCAAAACAGGTGAAAAGAGGGTACATGATCGGGCAACCCCAGGAAAGAGATTCTCACAAAGATATCATAATTCACTGGGCTTTGAGAGGCCGCAGCCTCTCAAAGCCCAGACTCCCCCCCCCCTCCCCCCCTCCCCCCCTCCAGGGACAGCTCTTTCGAACTGCCCTGGAGGGAGGGAAATTCACTGGACTTTGAGAGGCCGAAGCCTCTCAAAGCCCAGACTCCAAGCCCACCTCCAGGGCAGCCCTTTCGAACTGCCCTGGAGGGAAGGCAATTCACTGGAACTTCGAGAGGCCGAAGCCTCTTGAAGTCCAGACTCCGAGACCTCCCGCTCCACGGTCTAAATGACCGTGGAGGAGGAAGCCTCCCCTCCGAGGCTCAGGCGGCGCTTTCGCGCCGCCCGACCTTCGTCGGTGGAACCTTCTCGCGCCCGTTTGGGGCGAGAAGGCCCAGCCTCGGAGGGTTGGGGCCCTCCCGAGCCCTCACCCGACGTGGGTGAGGGGCGGGAAAGCCCCAGGAGGGCGGTCGCCGCGTCGACCGCTTCTTGGGGGACTTCCGTCCCCGCAAGAATGCGGCCGACCGACTCTGACACGCCCTCTGCGAGGGAAGGGGGTAGCCCCGAGACAAGCTCGGGGTCCGCCCTTCCCTCGCGGAAGAACTGCCGAGCGAGGCTCCTCGCCGCATCGAGGCACTTGGCCTCGATGCGGGAGTATTGAGCCACCCGCTGGCAGTTCTCCCACTTGACGGCCCCAATGAACTCGAACACCACATCACCCGCGGGGATGATGTGGCGTTCGTCCCTCCACTCGCGAGAGAAGAGGGAGTCATTGGGGCCGTCAGGAAGGAGGATTTCACAATCCAGGAAGGATGTGCCCGCGGTCCGGCGGTGGCGGCGCGTACGCAGCTCGCCACCGCCGACCTCCTTGGTGACAACCATGTCCGCTGGGGTGACATGGTTGGGACACATCCATCCGGTTTTTGGATTGGGGGGCTGCGCCCGTGGTGGGTCGAGACAGTCCAGGTGGAATCGACACGGACAGTAATCGCAGGTGATAATGGGGCGGCCGTTTGAGGTTTGGCCGCATTTCATGCAGATGATTTTTTGTCCTTTGTTGTCGACGTCTCGAAGCAGCATGGGATCCGCGTATGAAATCAGAACATCATGCTTGGGCGGTTTAGTCAGCCGTGGTAGGTGGGGCGTCTCCCGGTAATATCGTTGGTGCTTTGGATTCCGCGCGTAGTCGGGGTCATAGACTACCCCTTCGCCCACCCCCAAGAAGCGCTCCTTGATGTCTTGTGGGAGCGAGAACTCGGTCTTCTTGGCTTTCTTTCCGTGTGCAAGCAGCGTCGTGAAGCTGTTGCGGACTTGACACTTGGGGCAGTGCCATTCGCCCTCGGGGGGATTCTTTGGATTCAAGGGGGGATCTAGGCACGTGAAATGATACGAGTTTGGACAGGTCTCGCAGCAGATCAAGTTGCCTCCCTTGCCACATTGATGACACTCATCGCTGTTGTCGGGGGGATCACTGTGAGATTCCATGTTAGCAAATGCATAGGAGATAGAAGTAACACAAGATACGTACATCGAATTTGGCATTTGCCGTTCTCCATGGCTTGCAGCCCAGTCGTTGTCGCGCACCGAGTAGCAAGAGTTGGAAAGTGTGGAGACATCACTCATAGTAGTATCAATGGAGAGCGACCGTGCACGTTGTGGCCGCTTGCCTTTCTGTTTCTTGGATAGTTTCTTGGTTGGCTTGCTGGTTGGCTTGCGGGCTGACTTTTTATTCGTAGCGGTGGTCACGGCGGTGCGGACGGGGGAAGCAGACTGAGAATCAGAGTCCCAGTCGAAAGACTCCGGAACGGGGGCTGGCGATGAGGATCGCGATCGCTGAGGATTCATTTCTGGCACGCGCTCGTCGCGAAATGCACTCCAAGCAGGTCGAACGTCGGTGGCCACGTCGGGTTGGGCCTGACTGAAACGGAGACGCAACTGTCGCATATTTTCATCGTGGTCAGGATCTGATTGCCATTGGAGCTTGCGCCTGTGAGCTGCCTCATTCACAGGGCATGGTTTCTTGGGACGCTTGAGTGGAGCTGTATTGGTTTTGCCGCTCAGGAACTGTTCTTCGAGACGAGGACCACTGGTATCTCGATAGATATCAGAAACTTTGAACGCAGACTGTGGATCGGTAGGTCTGGCAGATGGTGTACCTGAGCCACTGGGTGGAGGCAGGTCGACAAGGGGAGATAAAGATGGACGCGCGGTGTAGCTTTGATACCATTCGCAGGCTTGAGGCTCATTGTCTTTCAGGATGTGCATAAGACCAGTGTGCAATTCAGGAGCCTGCTGCCCGTGACCGAAGAGGTCGGAAGCCAAAGCCAGATTAAATTCGTCTTCGCTGGCCATGTGCCAGAAGTGAACAAGGCTCATGCACTGGGCCGCATTGCCAACGCGCATGCTGAAGTCGAGCGCAAATTCTAACATCCTTCGAATCCTGGACACATCGTATCTTTCTGAGGTTGGTGGAGTGATTCCGCGGAACACGGCCTGGTAGTCGGGGATACTCAGGGCTGGAGTTGCGATTGCGGGAGTGGAATCGTCGATTGGTGTCTCGACATCTGGAGATTGCGCAGCAGTAGTGGTAGCGACTGCATCAGCGGGGGTATCGGCAGGTCCCTCCTCAAGGGTCAGGTCCTCAAGCCCGCTGTCAGGGCTGAGTGCAGGCGTCGCGACGTTCTCCAAGGTCTGGGGTCGGTGGGGCTTGAGGCCGGCGGCGCGGTATTCCGCGGGTGATGGGTATTCCCCGATCGGTCGCATGGTCCGCCAGGGGTTGTGGGACTGCGAAGTGCCCTGGGGCTCCTTCTGAAGCTTCCGTCGGGTCTTGCTGGAGGTTGCGATGTTATCTCCGTGCTGGGTGGAGCCCGTAGGGGCAGGCGGAAGGAACCTGCTAGGGTTAGTGCCACGCGCCTCATGCCCTAACTCAGGATTCAACTTACTCTTGACTTTCTTCGCGAACCACGGGTTTTTTGCCTTTATCGGCTGAGGCCTTTGAAGTACTCATGTCCTTGGACGTATTCTCGATCTTTGAAGCTGCAGCGGCTCTGGTCATTCTCTTTGAAGGCTTGGAGCTACCTTCTTCCTCTGGAGCCGCGGCGATGTTGGTCTTCTCCTTTGAAGCCTTGGAGGTATTGTCTTCTGCGGCGGGGGAGGCTGTTGTCTTTCTTCTCTTTGAAGCGGTGGAGCTACTCTCGGCTGGAGCGGCGATGGCGCTGGCCTTTCGCTTGGAGGCCTTGGAGGTGTTGGTGACTTTTGAAGCTGTGGCATGCTTGGTCTTTGAAGATGAGGCCGTGGATGTATTGGCGACCTCTGAGGTGTTATCGATCTTTGAAGCTGTGGAGGTAGTCTCTTCTGCGGCGGCGGAAGCTGTTGTCTTTCTTCTCTTTGAAGCCTTGGAGCTACTCTCGGCTGGAGCGGCGATGGCGCTGGCCTTTCGCTTGGAGGCCTTGGAGGTGTTGGTGGCCTTTGAAGCTGTGGCATGCTCGGTCTTTGAAGCTGAGGCCGTGGAGGTATTGGCGACCTCTGAGGGATTGTCGATCTTTGAAGCTGTGGAGGTAGTCTCTTCTGCGGCGACAGAGGGTGTCATCTTTCTCCTCTTTGAAGCCTTGGAGCTACTCTCTTCTGGAGCGGCGATGGCACTGGCCTTTCGCTTTGAGGCCTTGGTGCTGGTGACCTTTGAAGCTGTGGCATGCTCGGTCTTTGAAGATGAGGCTTGGGATGTGTTCTCGACCTCTGGGGCTGTGGAAATTTTGGCCTTCCCCTTTGAGGACTTGGAGATGCGGTTGCGATCGGTCTTTGGAGCTGAAGTGGCTTTGGCCTTTCCCTTTGAAGCCTTTGAAGCCTTTGAAGTGTTCACGACCTCTGAAGTGTTCTTCACCTTTGGAGCGGCAGCGGCTTTAGCGGCTCTGGTGGGCTTCTTTGTGGTCTCGGTGACATCCTCGGCGGCCTTCTCGGCGGCGAAAGTGATCTTCAACTTTTGGGATTTGGGGGCGCCCGCAGTCTTGTTGACTTGCTGGGTTGAGTCGGAGTTGTCGGCCTGCTCATTTTTGGCGGCCTGCTCGTTTTGAGCGGCTTGCTCGGCTTCCTGAGCTTCCGCGGCGCGGGCTATCATAAAGTCAGTGCTCTCTCTCGTAGTCATTGATCGGCGTGTGTGATGAGTAGTCTTGTAGTCCCATTCAAGTTGCAACATCATTGGGCAAAAGGTAGAAGGGACCAGAGGGTTGGGGGGATCAGAGTAGGAGAGTGACAAGCCATGTGATGTGTAGGGCCAAGACGAAAGAGACACGATGTAAACAACTTGGAGGGTGGAATGGGGGATAGGGCTAGGGCAGGCACCACCACAGACACTATCACAGACACAAGCCCCTCTCGGCGATCGAAGGAGACTTGAGCCAGATGATACCCATGTGCGGGGCAAGCAGGGCCTTTGACACGAAGTAGGGCACAAAACAGGTGATGGGGGGAGCTCATGCCGTTGAGTGACTTGCAGTCACCCCCAGACACGAGCCCGTGAAACGCGGACACCGATGAGATAGGACGTGGGCAGACGCGAAGAGAGAGTCATAACATACCTCTTTTGTCGGAAAGTCGGCTTGAAAAGCGCTTGACGGAGTCCATCTTGTTCGCGATGGAAGACATACCGTCGATGAGATGGGGGTACAAAGAGATGAGGTTACAAGAAGAAGATGTGACGAGGGAATATGAAGAGAAACAGGAGTTGGATCAGGAGACAGGAGTTGGGGGAACAGAAACAGAAGAGGAGACAAGAGTAGGATGAGGTACAGGATTTCTGAGAGTTGGATCAGGAAACAGAAGTGTAAAGCCTGGCAAGAACTAAGGTGCTACCCTTGAAGCGAAGTTCTTGACAGAAGAAGAGCTTGGTAAACAGCAAGAGTCGCGAAGCAAGAGTTGCGAAGCAGCAAGAGTTACGAAGCAGAAAAGTGGGAAAGGGTGGAGGAGAGAAGAAGAGAAGAAGAGAAGAAGAGGGAGAAGAGGGGATCAAATAGTAGAGGAGAGAGACAGAGAGGGAAGGAGCGACTGAGAGAGAGCAGCAGCGAGAAAGGGAAGGAGCAGAGCAATGCACAATGCCCCAGGACACAATTGAGGTTACGCCGATTGTGTTGACACTCCATGCAGGACAATAACTCCAGCATCTGGCGACGAGATTGACTCCCGAGATCGGGGATACAACAGTTGATCTGAGCCTCGCATGGGCAGAATAGAGCAATGGAGGGTATCATCTATTGATTCTATTGAGATAGGGCCCTATTGGCTTGGGGATTTACAACAATCGAATAGCTGCATCATGATGAATAGAGGTTTGCTCTACAGACCAGCGTAGACACCCCAGATTGTATTCGGGGATACTAGCCCATCCCCAGCTACGCACAACTTGATACCACGTTATGTCAAGGGCCCAGAGCACGAGGCAAAGGCATCATCCTCCCGAGGTCGTGGGCCAAGAGCCTTGGGCAATTGAGAAGTCCGGGGGCGGATCCCCTGGCTACAAGCGAGGCGGTACTTCTAACTGCACGGCGACAGATCCAGAGACAACTGACAGACTGGTAACATATTGATTCGGTCTTGGAGTCTGCTCCAACTGCTACATACAAGACGGACAGACCAGCAGGAAACCAAAGCTCCCAGCGCCAAGTTCGATAACGTATATACCTCCGGAGATGGAATGACACTGCCCGTCGCAATTGGAAAAATCAAACTGTTCTTTTGTTTTTGGTTAGATTTCACATGACCTGCTCACGAGGCTCATCATTGGATATCTGTTTTGTATTCAGATCGGACGTGGACGTCCTACACTATATCGTGTTGCATGAAAGACGGATGACGGGAATGGGCGTGAGGATTTACTCGGCACCCTCGGTCTTGGTCTTCTTCTTGCTCTTGTTCTTCTTGGCTCCAGTGGAGCGGGCGAGGGGCTGCTCAAGAATCTTGAGGATCTCCTCATCCTCGAGCTTCTTGTCAGACTTGACCTTCTCGAGGTCAACGGCGTTGGCAGCAGCAAGCTTGGTGAGACCGTTCTTGGTGATGGCTGTGGGATGGTCAGTATTGATCCGATTGACGTTCAGACCAGACGAAATTGGGACTTACCAACGGTGGTCAGCAGGCGAGAGACGGCAGAGCCGTCGGTCTCACCGGCGGGCTCGTACTGGCGCAGGACACCGGCACGGACACACTCAACAACACCGACCTTGGCGGCCTTCTCGTCCTCAAGCTGGCGCAAGCTGAAGGGGAAAGTACCGAACTTCTTGACAACCTCGGAGAGGGTCTGGCGGGAGCTGGGGCGCTTGAGGCCGTAGGTGGTGGTGGTACGGCGGTGGAGAGTGGCGCGGTGGTCAAGGTTCTTCACCTTACCGGAGCCGAGAGAGAGACCAACCTCGACACCCCAGACCTCACCGACCTCGGGGACACCGTCACCACGGACACCGTTGCCGGGGGAGAGAATGATCTTCTTCTCACCCTCAATCTCGTTGCGGCCGAACAACCAAGAGGTGGTGTTCTCGACGACGTTGCAGTCGTAGGTCTTGGCGATCTTCTCGAGCAGAGAAGACATGTAAGCCTGGGTAGGGGCCTTCTGAGCGGCGGCCTTCTTCTTCTCCTCCTCGGTGCCCTGGGCCAGCAGACCCTGGGGAACCATCAGGCGGAGCAGGACCTCGTTGGCGTAGTGAGTAGCGACAATGAGGTCAGCCTCACGGCCGGTGATAACGTCACTAGAATCCTTCTTGGCGACAACGACCATGTCGCAAACAATGGTACCGAATCCATCGATCTGAGCACCGAGCTGGATCTTGACCACCTCACCGGCCTTCAGGACGATCTCGGCCTCGGCGGCGTCGGAGACGAGAGGGGTGTAGGGAGTGACATAAGAGCTGGGGGAGACAGTGGTGGGGTGAGAGATACCTTGATATCATGTTAGAATCAAGATGAAACTCCTTGAAGACTTGAGGGGGAGAAACCGACCCTTGGTGATCTTCTTGCCCTTGTAGACCTTGGTGATTTCCTCGTCGAGGAGCTTGTCACCCTTCTGACAGATCTCAACGATCTTCTCGCCCTCAAAGCAAAGAGCTAGATATACATGTCAGATCAAAGACGCGACTGGAGACTTCATGCGCCCTAAACATACCACCAACAGCCTCCAGGACTTTGTGAGAAATCTGCGCCGCGGTCTTGTACTTGGTCAAGGTGTCGGGGTTGTTGAGGGTGTAGTCTGGAAGCAAGCACCGCGTTAGTTACAATCCATCGACCCGGTCCTCGTTTTGCCCTCCGAGCTGGCCGACTGAGCTCGAGGCCATATTGACCTCAGCGCCCACAACCATCAGAGCTTTTCCATGCTACATACCAACCTCGGGTGCTTTTTCGTCGGCCATTGTGCAGGTGTATAAGCTCGGGGAGCTGCAATCAACAAATAGAAGCAGGGGGTATGAAAATGGGTCGGATTGTAAATCCGTGTGAAGCTAGAGAAGTGGAACAAGACCGAGATCGAGTCGTGTGCAGAGAGTAGAGGGCGTTTAGCGTTGGTGGGGTTTGGTAGCCTGATATTCCAGGCATCGGAGCTAGGGCTTTGCCGAAGACGTCATGGTCTTGGACGTGTTGTGATGTAAGCTACAGGAGTCTCGAAGAGATATATATTATATATCTATATCTATACTGGTAGTCATGGCCTTTGAGGTTCAATCTGCCCAGGTGGGCATTTACTGTGGGCTTGTAGTGCTGATACCCCGGATTGCGAATCGCTCAGACCTCCCAACTTGCAGGTTCCTGTTACGGAGTACTTGTCACTTGACCCATTTCCCCCTCTTTGGGCTTGGTGAGATCGTCATTGCCCAGGTGTCGACCATGATGACCCAGGTGCTTCCCATCCGGGCTCTGACCCACAATATCCGGTATGCAACCTCCTCGCCTTTCCAGGGCGAGCGGCCTTGGAGTGAACGGAAACAACTACTGCTCAATGAACTCCATTACGAAACCCGACACTGCCAGGAGACTTTTGTCTGTCTGCAGGAGGTTCTCCATAACCAGCTGGGGGACATTCTCGCGGGATTAAACGAGGAAACAAAGCCCGAGGCCCCGGGGTGGGAGTATATCGGCGTTGGCAGAGACGACGGCCATGAGTCCGGGGAATACTCGCCCATCTTTTATCGGGCTGCAGTTTGGGAATTGGTGCACTGGGAAACGGTGTGGCTATCGAGGACACCCGAAACGCCGTCAAAAAGCTGGGATGCGGCCTCTATTCGCATCGTGACCATTGGTGTTTTCACCCATCGGCAGACCCAGAATACCATCCTGGTGATGAATACGCATCTGGACGATCAGGGGTCCCGCTCCCGTCTGGAAGCTGCGCGTATCATCTTGGAGAAGATTTCCGACTACAGGGGAAGAACATACGATCAGAATGGGGTGACACGAGCTATTTCGGGTACCTTCTTGGCTGGTGATTTCAACAGTGAAGAGAACCAGGAAGCCTACCAAGAACTGACGGTGAGTTTGCTCGATGCATACAAGGAAGTTCCAAGCTCCAAACGATATGGTAATCACATTACTTGGACTGGCTTTGGATACGAGAACGAAGCGGCCTCGCGGATCGACTACGTCCTGGTGGACCCCACGATCAACCTCAACCGGAGACTCACAGTCCACGGGTACAGTGTGTTAGGGAACAAATTTGACGATGGCGTTTACTGCTCCGATCACCGTGCTGTGGTGGTGGACCTGCTGCTCCGATGAGGTCGAGTCCTCCGCTGAGCGAGACCCGTCTTATGTAACCGGCTGGATCGTGTCAGGTCACATGATATTTAGTAAAATTGATCAACGGAGTCGTGGAGGGCCCCAGAAGCCTCAGAATGTTCCCAGGATGTCCTCAATAGATATAGCATTAAAGTAATCAGGTCTCTCGATATCACCTAGTCGTGGCTGTAGTGTGAATGGCGCGCTTTCTGGCGTTGCTTGATCGTGACGGGTGCGGGCACTTGTACGGCTACTCTGCCTCGTCTCCTTTTGCCTCTTTCATCTATCTCCCCAGCCCGAAAGAAGCTCCACCAACCTCTGAGAATCCCCTGTGGATGAACTTCACCTTGATTGGGATCATCGCATTCGAATATTAGCGTCAGCTGACTTGGCCCATCCGATCCGGAACGGGTTCTGCGCTGCAACTGCCGGTCCACGCAACGTCGAGCTCTCCCCTTTCGGCCCTGGTATGTTGGACTATCTTTCCAATCGATCCCCTAGTCCGAGTTCACCTGCTGCAATGTCACTCAATTCGTCGCGCGCCACTCCCGCCGGTGACTTGTCGTGTGTTCCGGCTATGCGCCCGTTGCGACACGTCTATCAAGCTCATATCATGTGGCATTGGACACACGGTCGCGTCGGCGACGGAAGAAACAGCCTGTTCTTGGAGAGTATTCGCTAATACATACTCGACTATCTTACAGATTCCATCCCATAATGCTACGGTAATCGGCCAAAGCCTATCCCTGTCGCGTTGAGTCACTTCGAGCTACCAATACCATACGAGTTGCAGCAGACTCTCGTTCGAATTCAATAAAATATTGACAATGCCATCTCCTGGAATACCGAGTGGGTCGTTGCCGTCAGAGCAACCATTTGGTGACCCTCAATTGAGTGCCTCAAACAGCTCCCGCGCGTCGGAAACGGGGGAGCCTGGTGCAGAGAGCATTGACCCCGGCACAACCCAATCGACCAACGGTCACTCTCCAGACACGCTTGGAGATGGAAAGCAAGGCGCGAAAGCCATGCTAGCTGCCTCGGGCGCGTCAGACCACGGCAGTGAGGGTTCCAACGGCACACCTCAATCCAACGGCACAAACGGTTCAGCGAGAAAGCGATCTCGTGATGGATCTGCTCCCCAGTCCAACGAGGTCACCGGGACCATGACTGTCCGCACTCGCGACCCACCGCTCGATCAGATTCTCCTGTCGCAGTATGTTGATCGCGAATTCCACCACTCGGCCGCTAGTGCCTGGCAAAATCCAGGTCAAGAATTACACAAAAATAAAAAGGCGGAGCGCGATTTCTATTTGACGGTTCGTCGCGAGAACCAGCACAACCCAGCTGTTTTATATGGGGTTGGATATGAAGGATTTGGAAATCCTCGTACCGACCTTCGCAACCAACATCCCCAGCTTCTGTACCCTACCCATCGCCGCCGGCCAGGAAATCGAAAAACTCGAGAATTGCGCGTTTCTCGACGCGAAGCGAAGATCCAAAGCGAGCAAACGGAAGACCTCGTGCCTGTGCGCCTAGATATCGATTGGGAAAAAGTCAAAATCCGTGATACCTTCACATGGAACTTGCATGACCGAGTTGTGTCCCCAGATCTCTTCGCCGAGAAGCTGGTCGAGGATATGGGTCTCGCGCTGGAGACTTCAATTCCTCTGGTGCGCATGATCTCCCAGAGTATCCAGGACCAGGTTATCGACTACTATCCGCATCTCAATATACACGAAGACGCCCTTGATCCCCAGCTGCCCTACACTGCGTATAAAAATGACGAGATGCGCATTTCGGTCAAGCTGAATATCACCATTGGCCAACATACCCTCATTGATCAATTCGAGTGGGATATCAACGACCCCAACAATTCCCCCGAAGAATTCGCCTTGCGTATGACTGACGACTTGTCACTGTCCGGCGAATTCACTACTGCCATTGCCCACTCAATTCGGGAACAAGCTCAACTTTTCACCAAATCCTTGTACATTGTCGCTCATCCATTCGATGGTCGCCCGATCGAGGACCCAGACCTCCACAACTCCTTCCTTCCTACTCCCGTGGCATCTGCCTTCCGCCCCTATCAATCTGCCAAAGAGCATACTCCTTATCTTTACGAACTCAACGAAGCAGACCTCGAACGCACGGAGATCTCCATCTCTCGAGAACAACGTCGCCAGAAGCGATCAATTAACCGTCGGGGTGGTCCTGCTTTACCAGACCTGAAGGATCGCCAGCGTACGATCCGTACGATGATCGTCTCCTCCGTGATCCCCAACTCGGTAGGATCATTCGAGGAGAGCAATGTCATCAAGCGCACCGGATCGGGTCGCCGGCGTGGCATGGCCAACCGAGGCGATGACGATTCGGACGAGTTCGATAGCGATGACTCCTCTGTCGGATCTCCGGCCATCGGTCCCAATCTTGCACAGGGCACTGCCCGTACAAGAGGTATGAGGGGTGCGGCAAGCGCCGCCCATGCAGCCCTTCGCGCCAGTCTGGGGCAATCAGCAACCCCCGAGCCAGTCTTCCACGAACCTCGAGTCTCGGCTCGGAGGCAACAATATCGAGAGGAGAGCGTGGAGGAAAATGAGAGATTGATCGTGAGACTCAAGATCCCACGTGATAAATTGGTCGACTTGAGAAACGGCAGACGCATTGTCTCCCAGGCTTCCCAGGCCGCTGCGCGTGCAATGGCACCTCCACTGGACAAACAATCCCGACTTCACCCTCCGCCCCGGCCGCAACAAACTGGCGCCGTTGATGCTCCAAACCCCCCGCAGCCTGGCGTTTCAGGTGTAAGTAGATTTTATTAACCTCGGTTTTTGGCTTCTGGCTGACTCTGTGTTCGTAGCCCCCACCGCCAAGTTGGCTGGCCACCGGTCTCAGCAGACTCAAACAATCCCACACCAACGACTCCTTTGAAGGCGTCATGCGGTACTCCGCCGTTGACATGGACACCCTTGCCCCAGTGGCCAATCCAAACAACCTCCAACAGGGCCAGAAGATCAAATACCAATATCTTCCTCGAATCCGCTGCCACGACTGTCCCGGGAAGCTCTACACGCCAGGACCAGGCATGACGGTGGATAACTTTGAGGTCCACCTTCGAAACAGACAGCACAAGGAGCGTGTTGAAGAGCGTCTTGCGAAGAATGGTGGCTTTGCTGGCGACGGAAGTGCCAGCGCCAGCCCTGCTCCCGGTGTACACGCCTCTCCCTCTGGACCGTCATAGTCAATTTCGATCACGAAGTGATGATGGCGTCCTGTGTACTCTTTTATCTTTCCAGATCGCTTGTATTCTTTCCATTACACATTTGATGAATTCTATTCTCAGTCCAAGACTCTTCTCGTGTATAGGCTTTCTTTTTCCGGTGACGGTCCTTGGAAACAATTTATAATTCTGGCGTGCTTTCACTGACGTTGCACGGCTCTGGTCTGTGTTATCACAAATGAGAGACCCGATTAAATACAATATATTCGACTTTGACTGGACTTTGACCACAACCTCGAAAGTATGAAGATCGTATACAGCGTCACGTGCGTCACTCCCGGGCGACGACGATCCATGAGTCATGATGAATCTTTAAGCATACACAACGTACATGTTGCACGTCAGATAGTCTGTCACTATGTCGCCCTGTATACCACCTTAATGCTATATAAGACCGGGTCTCATGGAGTCCCTAAATCCCACTCCACCAGCAAAGCCCTACAATGGATGAATACACCACCAAAGAAGATGTCCTCAAGCTAGGCATCGTAGACCCAGAGTTCGAAGAGGTAAGTGCATACCAACAAGACAGCCATAAATCCGTACTCACCACCACAGGTCCTCAAGCACAATCCACCCCCAGTAATGGACTTCTCATACCCCATCGAGCTCATGCGGGAAGTAGTCTCCACCATGGAGAAAGCAGCACACGACTCCTGTCCCACATTCGACACACAGGAGTCTGTCCTCGATATTCCAATGCGCGATGGCCACAAAAGCCAACTCCGCATCACCAAGCCCCCAAACTCCAAGGCAAACCCTGTCGTCGTGCTCATCTTCGGCGGAGCCTTCGTCATGGGCACCAATATCCAATCCACCGTCTGGGCTCGCACAATCTCTTCCCTTTATGGTGCCACTGTAGTCCAGCCGACTTACCGTGTGGCTCCGGAGCATGTATTCCCCACTGCCCCCAACGACATCTGGGATAGTGTGCGGTGGATCGCCGAAAACGAGTCAGTCCTCGATGCAGACTTGACCAAGGGATTCGTCTTGGGTGGAGGATCTGCAGGTGGGAATCTCTCGATTGTCACGGCGCATCGCTCAGTGAAGGAGAAGTTGTCTCCGCCGATCACGGGCGTTCTCGCTAGTATACCGGTTTGCATGAGTGCGGAGACTGTCCCGAGTAAGTACAAGGAGATCTGGGTCTCGCGCGAGCAGAACGCGTCTGCGCCTGGCAATCCTGGTCTTGATTCGAAGTCTGTTGGGGGGTACGAGTCGTTTTATCAGCAGGATCCCATGTCTGAGGACTTCTCACCTTTTAACTCGGTTGTGCCGTTTTCGGCTCTTCCTCGGACGTATGTTCAGGTTGCTGGTTTGGATAGTCTTCGAGATGATGGTATTGTGTACGCGAAGGCTTTGGCGGATAGTGGTGTTGATGTGAGGATCGATGCTTATTCCGGTGTGCCGCATGGTCATTTCAATCTGTGGCCGCGTCTGAGGCAGTCAGTCAAGTGTCAGGAGGATACTATCTGGCATGCTGGGTGGCTTCTGGGTCGTCCGGTGTCGAGGGGACGAGTGGAGGAGGTGGTAGCTTTAATTTTGAAGTGATCTCACGTTTTTGTGTGATGTTCGGCTCAGATTAGACTGTATAGGTGCATAGGTGTATATATATAATGGGGGTGTTTACCTCGAAATACCTATAAAAATGACCGGACACCGTCAATCTTGGTAATAACCATCTACAGGCCTGTGCATGGATCTATATAACAGACTGAAGTACCTGCAACCACTTGATCCAGCAATACACTCACTGTATAGTCCCAAATGGAAGATCAAAGTGAATATAAAGTTGAACCCCCCAATCGGGTAATCGACAGTCACATGTCCAGCCAGACAGCCCTGGAAGGAACGACCCTGGCACCTGCCAAATCCAGACACGTGAGATGGCCTCAGGCTCTCAACGTCCACGTCCATCTAGACACACCCGTGGACGAGAATGCAGAATGTCTACGTTGAAACGGATGAGTCTACATGGCCTTGAAACCACGAGACATACAGTCCGAGCGGATGAGCCTTGAGTGCAATGAAATTGAAAATCGAAAGGTAACATGGGAATCAGGCTATGGATATGAATATGAATATGAATATCGATCGAAATGGAATGGATAATCACACATTGAAAATAGACCAAGAAGCGAAAAGGTGGACAGGTCATCAACATGGTAGAATTGTCACTGAATATGTAAAAGGTTCACATCAGCGTATGAATCAGCCACGGCGCGAACTCCGCCGGGAGGGAAGAGTAGTTTGTTTCGAGTCGGACTTCTTCGCATCCTTCTTCGCGCTCTGCACCTTCCCACGCGCCTTGGGAGGTGGAGTAAGTTCCTTTTCACTGGCCTCGCTGACCTCAGGCTCACCACCGTTCTCCTTATCGTCGTCCTGCATCTCGTTCTCACTCTCGGCATCGTCTTCGTCTTCGTCTTCGTCTTCGTCCTCGGCCTCTTCGCCCTCCGCATGACCGGAAACCTCGCCCTTGTCCCACTCCACCATCTCCTCGTCGGCATCGTCGCTGTCGTTATCGATATAGCTGACTTCTGCCATCGCGGTACCTCTCATGCTGCGCCTGCGAGCAGAAGCCGGTGTGGCATCTTGAGGAGCTTCGTCAGAGGACCAGCCGTCGTCATTCTTGGACTTCCGCTTGGGCTTCGCACCGACCGATGAGGTGGACTTGCGTGGTGTACGAGCAGGCTTCTCCTTGCGGGCCTTCTTCGTCGCAGAGGGCTTGCCATTGGCATCAAGAGACGGCTTGCGCTTTTTCGTAGTGCCACCTTGCGAACTGTGCGCGGAAGTGTTTTTGGGCTTCATGGCATTTCGCACAACTCGGTCCAGAAGATCATCCATTTCCTCAGGGAGGAAGTTCTTGTCAGCAACATCCTGGGCTTCGCGGTGGCTGCTCATGGGGCTGAAAAGGGAGCTTGGGACTCCCATCTTCCCTGGATAGGTTTGCAGAATGTTGGTGGCGCCAGCAGCACCCCCACCGAACTTGTGTTGCTGGGAGTAGATGTCTGCAAAGCGGCGGACTGTCGCTTGTGCCAGGTCTGACAATGTGTGAAGACGAGTGGAAATCTCGTCGGACTGGGTGATTCCGTCACGGAACTGTTTGACACGTTGCCCAACGTGGAAGACCAGTGACATGTTGTGCTCGTTGGCAACTGCCGAGAGATAGAAGAGGATGTATTGCGAAAAGTCCGTCAAATCGCCCAGTTTCGTGGACTCGTCCAGGTCCTCGGATGGATAATCGGGGTGGTAGGCAAGAAGAGACAATAGACGCGAGAATATTAATTCCATGACCATGGTCTGTTCGGTACGCTTCCCACTAGCCTGTGCCTGCTGCGCGAAGTACGCTGCTCGTGATCGCAGCCATGTCAAGGTGCTTTCCTTCAAGCTGTGAACGGGCTCGAAAGCCAGCAAACATGGGACGATGTACCACCGGTGGCTGAGGTGTGACTTCTGCACAAGCTTCTTCTTGAGATGGCTGATAAATCCACTGCGCACCTGCAATAGTGGGTCTTGGGCAACAAGAGCGATCGCGTTGAAATCAGCGGGCGTCAAGAGACTGTCACAGACGGTGTTTCCAGCACACAGCTTGAGTAGCGACTTGGCAGCAAGCAAGCGAAGACGCGATTTCTGACCAGCAGGGGTATCTTTCGTCTTGGACATCTCGCCTTCGCCCACGACCAGCTTGTTCAAAGTTTCATAGACGGGTTTGGCAAGAGCACGGAAGTCCTCTTCGTTGTCTGCTCCATCTTTGGCCCGGAGGCGGTTCACAATGATTTTAAGTGCCCATTCTTTGGCATTTGTCTCGTCATCCGCTGTCTCCGACCAGGTGTAATCGGAATCCGGCTCGGGTGTGCGATTGGTAAGGAGGATCTGGTTGACGGCGATGGAAATGATAGCATCACTTTCTTCGTCCGCCTCATTTGGCGCTAGAAGATTGAGCTGCGACAAGGCAGCAAGCCGTGTAAGGAAGTGGTCAGATCCATATGTCCACTTCTTCACACACTTTTCCACCAAGTCCTTGGCGTACATTCCCCTGCGGTCAGCAGTGGCCATGAGAATGGAGACGGCATGCTTGGCAGCATGTGGAGATGAGCTGTACAAAGCATGATTCGTAAGAGCCTGCAAGAACTTTCGTTCCTTAGGCAATTTAGCAGGAAGCTTCTTCGCAAAGCCAGAACAAGCCTTGAGGATATCCTCAGCACTCCCTTCACCAGCAGCGGACGAGGCCTTGGGAGCCTGAGCCTCGAGATCCTTGCACATCTCCTGGACCTGTGCCTCGAGGACCTCAGGGTTTTGCGATGAGATTTGCTTCAACATCTCCTGGGCGGAGTTGGCTAATCCGTTCTCATCTGTCCGGGAAAGGCTCATAATGGCGGGAATGTGGCTGCGGTTAAAAACGAGAGATCCACAGCGGTAAATGAGTGGTGTGATGGTCTCGAGAATAGGGGAGTTGTTAGCGGATTGTACCCGCCTCTGCAACTCCTTTGTGGCCTTCACAACAGTGCGATAATCGCTCACAGCAGCCATGGTAAAGCGAAGAAGTTGATAACTGCGCCTGTCGTGGACCTTGGCGAACTTCCACAAGTCAGCTGATGCCCGTGAGGCATCTGGGAATGTTTTGGATAATGAATCAACGATCTTGGACAGCTGGTTCTTGATAGCGTCCCCATCTTTGTTGATAACCCCACCGTTATACTTCTCACAAGCCTCGAGATAGATAGTCGCGGCCGATCTCATAGACATTTGGCGAGCCAGCAGAACAAAGAAGACTCGCCTGGCCTTCTCATCTAGGCCTCGGAGTAAAGTCAAAATTCGACGAACACGGATCTTGTCAACATCTGTCTCTTGCTCCGGTTCTGTGGCCTGACTGTCCTTTTCCTTCTGTTTCTGTGATTGATTCGAGTTTCCTCGAGAGAGCTTGGATTTGACAGGGGGGTATGCAAGTGGCAAAAGCGTTTCAAACATCACTCTATCAATTAAAACGTGAATCTCTTGATCATTGGTGTAGAACGCATCAAAGATCTTGGAAGGTGCGTCCTTGAGGAGTGTCGCAACCGGCTCGGTATTTTGCTCGATATCACCGGCTGCCACTGCCCACATGCGAGCCAAGATCTTCATGGCGTGCTCCCGCACATGTGGCTTGCGGTCCTTCACTCGCTCGGCGAGAATTGCCAGAACCGAGTCCTCCGATGAACAGCCCCCGTCAACACTGAGTCTGTTCACAATTTGTGAATAACCGAACTGGCCGACGGTGTCAACCGCAGCCACACGAACCTTTTCATCAACATCACGAAGCATCGACGCAAGGTTTCGAACAAGGCTGTGCTCCTCACTTTCGTGGAGACCAGATCCTCCGGCCGACGTCAGAAGAATTCGCCCAACAACCGTGACCCAGGCAGCGCGCACGGATGGAGTCTTGTCAAGACGACGGCTCAGGAAGGCTTCGTAGGCAGAGTTGTGGACCTGGGAGAAAGGTTTGGGAGAGACGGGGGTTACTAGGACATTAGGCTGAGGGATCGTTTTATCATAATCCACCAGAGATACCGGCGGATAGGTTGTCGGGTCCATGGGAGGTGGGGGAGGGGGTCCCGCAACCCCAATGCCGGCAGCAAGATCTCCGATGGTCTGTGTAGCCAGCAATCGAAGGGCCACTGACTCCGCAGACAGTTCCGCTTCGATTTGGGGGATCACATTCTGTAGCACTTCAGGACAAGCACGCCACAACTCTCTGATCAGACGATGCGCCTTGCTCAATTCTTTGATGTCTTCTCCCTCCTCATCCGAGTCGTCGAGGTTGGGTTTGCGCGCACCGTGCTTGGAGCCATTTGCCTGACCGGCAAGGACAGACGCGTCGATGATCACATTGTTGAAGTATTGACTGATATGACTAGTCATTCGTTCGGGACAAGCCTGGCAGATTGCCTTGGCCATGTTGTAAGCGGCGGGATAGTCCTTCAGCAAAAGCGTATCCTGCTTAGCATCCACTGGCGCATCTGGGCGCTTTCCTTTCTTGTCCAGGACCCGTGGGTCTACGCGCAGGAATTGAGCGACAATGATATCCACAACTTCGGGGGCGAGAACGAGCGATTCGTCAATTACCGTCACGAGCACTCGGGTCATATCGAACTCGACATTCTTGGCAACCTCCTCGCCGGTGGAGGCTTTTGATGAGCCGGAGACAATATCGAAACAGCCTGCGAACAACGGGACAATGAGAGAATCGGGATGGTCGAGGTCGACCATCAGAACAACACTCTTCACCTCAGCGAGAGATCCCAGGACGTAGATATGTTGAGCATTGTAGGCGTTGGACGGATCTGCCAGCGCGGGGATGATGGAGGACACGATACAAGTAAAGATATCCTGCACCCATGTTAGTTAAGAGGTTCTCTCGCGCAGAGATTGCGCATCATTCTGAGCCCTTCAATTGCCCTACCTTCAGTTGATTACGCGTGAACGGCGCGTCGGGGGCGCACAGTCGCAGAACATCGACGATACAGCACGTGGCCCACGCTCTGACTCCCTTGTCCTTGTGGGCGAGTAGATTCCCGCTGGCCAGCTCCTGAGACACTTTCCGGAGCGATTCCTTATCAATTTCCTCCTGATCGAGTTTGCGAAGCTCCTGCGCGAGGGACCGCAGACGCTCGAGGAGATCTGCGATGGGGATGGCCGAGCGCCCCACGCGCCATGATAGTGGCTGGTTGAAAGATAAACTGCGAAGTCCCGAGTCTTCCACTACCTCGGGAGGACCTTGGCGAGAGCGCAAAGGCATGATGGGCTGCTCATGGACTTGACAGGCGGGTGTTGCGGATTGAAGGTGGTGTGGTGTGCTTCACCGCCCGCGACTATCGCGACGCGTCTCTGGGCTTGTACAGATCGGGCTTCTTTCTTTGCTTTCTTTGCTTTTGCTTTTCAGTGTGCTCGGATATTCAACTCTACCACTATCACTTAATCTGGACTCGAGATATGCCACCTACCCCATAGGTCAACTGGTGCACGTTGGAGCTATCAGGGTGTCATAGCTAAGCGCCCTGAGAGACAAACATCAGCAGCAACATCCCAGTCACGGACTGCTGACTGCCAGTTTTGATTCATGGATGCCCAGCTAACCTTCAGGTCAATACTTCTATACATGTCTTGCTCGGAAGACATCTATGAATTTATTTCAGTGACCCTACTCCGTACTCCGTACTAATGGTCCATCTTTGTTGATAGCCACCTCTCTGCTGAACGAGCAAATGATGCAATCTCAACTGCTCTTAGCAATCACTCAGCTCGGACAATCCGACCAGTGCTGAATAAACCGAACCGAACAATCATAATCTGGAAGGTCTGGACATCGACTTAGATGAACGTGCCAAGAGCTCCACTTCTCGGTGGCAGTCGAAGACCGAAAGACCGAGCGTTGATTTTGCGAGTACGAGTACTAGGATATCCTGTGAGTAGAATGTTACCTTATTTTGACTAAGGACTAGTCGCATCGTCCTAGTCTATTGATCTAAACCTGAGATTTCCTCGACATCAGATTTCAGCTGGATTGGGTAGTAGGCCTAGTATAACCTCGGGACGCTTCAACGCAATTCCTCAGCCCTGGAGGGCTCGATGCATATCCGCTGACACAGTGATGAATGCAAGTACTAAAAACCAGAAACAATGAGTCAATCGGAAGTAGCATGACGCGAAACCGAGTCCTTAGTGGCGATTCGCGTCTCGGACTTCGACCTTAGGAGCGAACGACCGCAGGTCCGAACCTGGAACTATAGCGAATGAAACGACTCCGCTCTCCTATTTTGACAGCGAGCTGCTTAAAAATGGGTTTATGTCCGATTCCGCTCCATGGAATCTCCGAGCGGAGTTTTTGATGAAGCACATTTATATCTGAGGTGGTTCCTTCCTGAACACTCAGACATAGACTCCTGACAAACTCTCACCATGAGTACTCACAGTAAACCATTCGAGTCAAGCGACACCACGCCTCGACACAGCATGGATCAACGTATAGATGCAGGTGCTGAGAGCGAAGCCGATATCGAGAAGCCCGAGCCCGAGACGGAGGCCAAAGACCCCAATCTGGTCGAATGGAATGGCCCCGACGACCCAGAGAATCCCCAGAACTTCTCGAACCTGCGCAAATGGGTGATCACAGTGACCATGTCTTCCATGACTATGTGGATCACATTCGCATCCAGTGTCTTTTCAACGGCCACCCAGGTCACAGCTAAGGAATTCAACGTCTCGACGGAAGTGATGGTCCTGGGCACCAGCTTGGTCGTCTTTGGGTTCGCTCTAGGCCCTCTCTGCTGGGCCCCGATCAGCGAACTATATGGTCGTCGGATTCCACTCTTCTCGGGCTATGCCATCTTCGCCATCTTCCAGATCCCCGTGGCTGTGGCCCAGAACCTCGAAACTATCTTGGTCTGTCGGTTTCTCATGGGTGTCTTCGGTTGTTCCCCGCTGGCTGTCGTCGGTGGCGCTATGGCCGATATCTGGAACCCTGTTGATCGGGCCGTGGCGATCGCCATGTTCAGCTCGGCTACTTTCCTGGGCCCTGTCCTAGGCCCAATCATGTAAGTGTGAACCGCCCTAGCCTACTGCAAAACCCTTCTAACAACCCTTAGCGGCGGCTTCATCACAGATTCACACCTTGGTTGGCGTTGGACAGCATGGATCACCCTCATTGCCTCGTCTTTCTTCGGTCTAGTCGCACTGTTCGTTGTACCAGAGACATACGGACCCGTTCTTCTCCAAAAGCGTGCTGCACGCATGCGCATCGAGACCAAGAATTGGGCTTACCACTCCTTCCTCGATGAGCACAAGCCTACAATGTCCGATATTGTGACCAAGTATCTATTCCGACCCTTCCAAATGCTCGTCCAAGAGCCCATCCTCGTCGCTATAACCATCTACCTCGCTCTCATCTACGGTATCCTCTACCTCTTCTTCGAGGCCTACCCTATCTCATTTAATGAGGTTCGCGGCTGGAAGAGCCTAGGCGTCGCAGCACTTCCCTTCCTCGGTATCCTGATCGGTGTCGTCCTCGGCGTCTGTCTAATCGTCTATACAACCAAGACGCGGTTCGCCCGCAAGCTCGCAAAGCACGGACGTGTCGTGCCGGAAGAACGTCTCGTACCGATGATGGTCGCTTCAGTTCTTCTGCCTATTGGTCTCTTTTGGTTCGGTTGGACTTCCAGCCCTAACATCTCCTGGGTGCCCCAGGTCATCGCCGGTATCCCTATCGGTCTGGGAATCCTCGTTATCTTCATGCAGGGTCTCAACTATATCATCGATGTTTATATGATGTTTGCCAACTCTGCTATTGCGGCGAACACCCTTGTCCGATCTGCGCTCGGTGGCTCGTTCCCTCTTTTCGCTACCCAGATGTACCAGAATTTGGGTGTGGACTGGGCCTCGAGTGTTTTGGGTTTCATCACTGTCGCTATGATTCCTATACCTATTCTGTTCTTCATCTATGGCTCGAAGATTCGCGCTATGAGCAAGTTTAGCCCCAAGTTCTAGAAGTTCTAGATCGGCGTTGTCTTATACCCGGCTTTCTGAGCGTCTATTCATATAACTCAATTCCTCGACAGGAATAGCATAATCCGAACGATGCATTATATTACGATTAATAGCTTTAATGAATAAAAGACTTCCAGTATCCAAATTTTCAACACACTACGTATCGGAGAACATCCTCACTGCTGACATCTGAGATCGTCCCTCTGATGAGAAGTAGAGTATACCCCGGAATTACACCGTACAAGGATTTATTGAACGTAGAGATCTCCACCTGTATTGACTATTATGGCACATTGTATGTGGGCAAAACAGGAAGAAAAAAGATCAAATTAAAAAAAAAGGAACACTCATGAGCCCGATTGAACCAGAAATTCCACCGCAAAACGATCTATTGCGCGGATGCAGTAAGAGTCCTGGATCAGCCAAGCCACTAAAACAAAGTCATTTCGAAGCTTGGCCGTTTAATCGTAGAGGCTGTCGTCGTTGCCAGCCTCACCAAAGGTATCATTCTCCTGGACCTCACCAGCAGAGGGGAAGCGGAAGAAGCTGCCACCTCCGGTGTTCTTGAGACTTTGGGCGAAAGCCTCGTAGCGACGGATCTCGACGTCGGTGACTGAGCGGCGGGCAGACTTCATGGCCTCCTCGAAGTGGGCACGGGTGAGTTCGGGCACGGGGTCCTCAACATCCTCTTCCTCATCGTCCATCTTGACATCCTCGCCGGCAGCCTCGCGCTCCTTTTGGCGGTCGATGTCGGCGGAGATGGCCTGCTTGATGGCGAGCTTGACGGCACGCTGGGTAACGAAGCCAAGATCGGCACCGGAGAAACCGTGGGTCTTGCTGGCAATGAAGTCCATGTCGACATCGCTGGCGACAGGGGTCTTGCGGAGCTGGGCCTTGAGGATACCCTCGCGAGAAGCTTGGTCGGGCAGGGGAACGTAGACGAGGGTGTCGAGACGACCGGGACGGACCAGGGCGGCATCAAGCTGCTCGGGACGGTTGGTGGCACCGATAACGAAGACGTTCTTCTTGGAGGTCATGCCGTCCATCTCTGCAGGGGAGTTAGTATATGGTCAGAAACAAAAGGAGCAGGAAAACTTACCAGTCAGAAGCTGGTTGACAACACGGTCAGAGGCACCACCGGCATCACCGACGGAGCCACCACGAGACTTGGCAATAGAGTCAAGCTCGTCAAGGAAGACAACGCAGGGAGCAGCAGCGCGGGCCTTGTCGAAGATATCACGGATGTTGCTCTCAGATTCACCGAACCACATGCTGAGAAGTTCGGGACCCTTGACGGAAATGAAGTTGGCAGCACACTCGTTGGCGACAGCCTTGGCCAACATGGTCTTACCAGTACCAGGAGGACCGTAGAACAGAACACCACGAGAAGGTGAAAGACCGAACTTGTGGAACATCTCGGGGTGGTCGACGGGGTATTGCACGCTCTCGATGAGCTCGCGCTTGACTTCCTCCAGACCACCAATGTCGTCCCAGCGGACGTTGGGCACCTCGACGACGGCAACCTCGCGGAGGGCGGAGGGGTTGGAGACACCGAGGGCGTAACGGAAGTTCTCCATGGTGACACCAAGAGAGTCGAGAACCTCGGCATCAATGGTGTCCTCATCGAGATCAATGAGATCCATCTTCTCACGAATCTGTTGCATGGCAGCCTCAGAGCAGAGGGAAGCGATATCGGAACCAACGTAACCGTGAGTCTCGGCGGCAATGGTCTCGAGGTCGACATCCTCGCCAAGCTTCATGTTCTTGCAGTGAATCTGGAAGACCTCCAGACGGCCAATGGCATCGGGAATACCAATATCGACCTCACGATCGAAACGGCCGAAACGACGGAGAGCAGGGTCGATCGAGTTGGGGCGGTTAGTGGCAGCCATGACGACAACGTTAGAACGAGCCTTCATGCCGTCCATGAGGGTGAGCAGCTGGGAGACGACACGGCGCTCAACTTCACCGTTGGTCTTCTCACGCTTGGGGGCGATAGAGTCAATCTCATCAATGAAGATGATGGCGGGAGAGTTCTTCTCTGCCTCCTCGAAGGCCTTGCGAAGGTTGGATTCGGATTCACCAGCCATCTTGGACATGATTTCGGGACCGTTGATGAGGAAGAAGAAAGCACCGGTCTCGTTGGCGACAGCACGAGCCATCAGGGTCTTACCGGTACCGGGAGGACCGTACATAAGGATACCACGAGGGGGCTTGACACCGATAGACTTGAAGAGTTGGGGATGACGCAGAGGAAGCTCGACCAATTCGCGGATCTGAGCCATCTGCTTGCGGCAACCACCAATATCGTCGTAACCGACCTCATTGAGGTTGCCCTCCTCGTCCTCGCGCTCAATTGGCTCGCCTTCGCAGTGAATAATTGTGTCCTGGGCAACGATGCCGTACTCTGGAGGGTCGACCTCCACGACCTTAAATTCAACTTGTCTCATACCACCTCGTACTGTGAACAGGTCTCCCTGTCGGACTGGTCGGTAGGCCTCGCGGAAGTAGGGAGCGAGGTAGACATCGAAGAGAGAACCGGTCAGGCCCTCAATGGTATCGGCGATGGGAAGGACAGCAATGCGCTTGGCCTGTTCGAGAACTATTAGTACGAGAATGAGGAGAAGCCGAATTTGATGATCCACTTACGTATTTGATATCGGGGCAAGGGTGGACAGTGATAATGTCGCCGTGCTTCACACGGAGGTTGTGGCGCACAACACGGTTGATACGGGCGCTTCCATCATCAAGGTCGTCATCGGCCAAGACGATCAGCACAGTGTCCTTGCGCTTCTTGCCCTTGACCAGGACTGTGTCACCACGGAAGAGCTGAAGGGTCTCCATGGTGTTGTTCGAGAGGGCGATCACCGAGTTATCATCGTTAACGGCATCGGTCACACTGGGGGAGAATGGTCAGCTCGGCTCCAGTACAATCATCGCTTGCCAGCTGCTTACATCAACGAGTTAGGCTTCTTCTTCTTCTTGAGGATAGCTGTCGAGGTGTCGAGTTCCTGTGATGAACATCAGCTTTGAAGCACTTGTGAGCTATCTCTGAATGAATCCTGACCTCCTTGTGTTCAGCGCCAGAGGCGTCCCTGGAGACGGGGTTAGCTGCCAATCATCAAAGAACAACGTCCAGATCCCACATACTGGAGGTTGACCCTCTTCTTCTCGTGCGTGTGATCCGGCTCGGCAGACATGATGGCCGTATCTGAAGTCGTGACGTGGATGGAAGAAAGGCTGCTTGAACCGAGTGTCAAGCGCTCAGAGAATGGCGGGATGGAGATAGATGGAGAGAACGGTGTGTTGAGTTAAATAAAAACAACCGACAGATGAGACAGGCGCAATCTGACGGATGAGAGAATGAGGAACGTTGATGGAGCTCCAAAGGTTCCCGCAGCCCTGGCGACGATGACTTAAGCTCCGCTTATGTCATGGTACCTTCCGCCACCGTGGACGACGATGGAAGTCAGTGGATTGGTGGCCTTGGTGCCTGATATCGGTCAAAGATTGTATAAAAATTGATATCTGATTCATGTTTGTTGAATGCTAAGCAGTGCAGAGTGCAAAGCTGGGACATGGTAAGATTTGTAACATTCTACCTGAGAGCCCTGGAGGATATACAACGGGCAGATAGCATACAGAGTACAGAGCGGTCAGAGTGTGCATTATCTACCTAGGTAGGTAACTGAGTGCATCCCCAGAAGCCCAGTGACAGTGATCCTGATCCCATCGCAGTGATCAGCTGCACTCATTCAGCGGTGTATTTCAAGTCTTCAGGGCTTGCCCCAGATACTTTCAAGATGACACTAGGCAGACTAATCCTAGGGATCCGGTCTGAGGAAGGTGCTGCAGTTGGCGTCAAGACTCGCATCGCCAGGGCGATGCCCGGGTGCCTACATAGGCAGCCAAGCGAGTCCAACAATCAACACCCTGGGATTTCTACCTGAGCTGCTTTAAGGCATCTTTTTCTTGTCGAGTCTCAGCTTCACGACTACCGCTTCCCACACGGTCACTCAGAGAAATCAAACCTGACACTCTTTCCACCAACCCCATGAACCTGGTCTTTGGTCTATGAGTTTATCATGATGCGACTTGTTGTTTATGGCGCAGCAAGAGGGTAATCTCAGCAACAAGAAACAGCGGCACCATGGCGTTTAGCCTAAGCCTCCCAGCAGACTTCAGGGAAGCCCTACTCAACACCTTGACGGACCAGGATGTCGACTCCTTTCTCAAACAGCCCGACAGATCACCTCGCTTCGTGTATGGAGTTCTCATGTTGCCAACAGTCCTCAAGTACCACCTCGACCTTCACCAGAGTGTCAACATTGAAAAGTCCATGACCCAGGCCACCCTCCATGGGTATCAATTGTACCAGTATGCTGTGGGGGATATGCCAACCATCGTGCAATCAGACGATCCCAAAGTCAAAGTCGAAGGCATGTTAATCTTTGGCATGGACCGCGAGCAAAGAAATGCCATTCATGAACTCGAGGGCGGGCTTGCGAGATTGGCAAGCGTGCAAGTGCAGATCCTCCAACGACACCACAAGGACAACAAATACAGCATGAGGGCAATTGATGCCGGAACATTTGAATGGAAGCCATTCTGCAGTCTGGATAGTGAAAATCTCGAGCTTCAATTGATCCCAAGTTCATGGTGGGATGTTGTGCCATTTGTCCAAAGCCCGTTATGTCGACACATGGTGCAGTCGCAAGATCGCCACAGACTGGAAACCTCTTCAGTCGCCAAGGAGGGCCATTGACACCGAGCGGTCAAGGAACCCGGGGCCATGGATGATTTTGAGAAGAAAACCAAGTACGGAGTACACACTACTCGTACACGCATTTGGCCAAACGATCCTGGAGAGATTTAGCCCCACAGAAATGAAATAAAAGAGCATCTCAATCCACTCTAAAAGCTTTGTGTCAATGTGTAACTGCGACACCAGGTATATATGCAAGTAAATCTGTACAAGAAGAAATCAATCACGTCTAAGCCTTCACCGACTTAGTCGCCGCCCACATATCATGTAGACTCCAAGCCCCGGCCCCAAAGCTAATAACCCCAGCCAAGCTTTCTGGAATGCCAATCCCCTTCTCGAAACACCAATGCAGACACAAAGGAGCCCAGAACGCATTGTTCACCAAACTCTTCTTCCAGGATCGGATCTCCAAGCGCAGCGCCTCGTCATCTTCCGCTTTCGTCGCCTTGCTCTCAACTGTCCCGGCAGCCGCACGCTCCGCAGCCACACGTCGCTTGCGCAGGACATGTTGCCGCCAGAGAACGAAGAACTGGAAGAAAATGTGTCCAAACCAGCCCCTGGTACTCCATAGATCCCATTGTGTGAGACTCCCATATTTCTCGACGAGACGTTTCGACACGACGCCTTTCGAAGCGAGATACCCCACGTTCTCCAGGAACTGGTAGATCACGTTCGAGATGACCTGGAGCACTGTCAGGACATGGAGCGTGCGATCCTGCGGTGGGTTCCGGAGGGTATCGGCGCCCCAGATCCAGAGCTCGAGAAGCCCGAATAACCGCAGATTATATCTCGTTTCCGAGGCGAGGGAGGACAAGGCGGAGAACTTGGATTTCGTAGATGGGGTGGGCTTCGGAGTGTGGCCTTTCAGTCGTGCGAGTATCCCTAGTCTGGTTTGCAGGGCTAGCCACGGGGCTGACGCTGTGAGGTGATGGAGTATGGAGGCGGTGTAGTTGATGGTTGCTAGTACTCGTTCTTGTCCACTGGCCGTGGAAAGCATCCTGTAGAGGTCATTAGCGGGATGTGTCTGCGGGGAGCGCAGCGCGACTTACAGATCCAAGCGGCGGATTGTCAGGTCTGTTGTGGCCAGGACGCCCAAGAGCTGTCGCTTGGCACCGCTGCCTTTCCCCTCAGGTAGAGCCATGGTGGTTCAGTGCAGGGGAACGAAGGTGTAATGAATTCAGGATCCGGAGCGACGAGATGCGGGATCGCGCGATACCCGCTTCGCCGCAGCCGAGGCTAGATCACTTAGGCTGGGCTTGCCGCGTTGGGATTTATTCCCTTTATTGTTTTGCCGCGTTAAGAATCTCTTGCCGAGGGATTCCCTGAACATCTTCAAAATTCAAGGAGCGAAAGACTCTTTACTATTTTACTAGTATTCAGCTCTCACATGCCGCGGCTGATCCGAGGTCTTGGCGTTGAACTCCACTACTCCGTAGTCTGACTTCAATCCTCGGACACTCCCTCTCGGTCTGTGCCTCTGGGTAGATTGTACCAGTAATCGGCACCTCAAGAGCTGTTCTCTCAGCTCGGAAATATTGATACCTTTGCTGGTCCACAACGCACATTTTGAAGCTGGCTTTGGATTCACCTAGGCAGACGTAATTCATGTCTGATTAAGCAGCTGAGAAATCCCGGGGATATGAGAAGGAAGACATAAAGAGCAAACAAACCTATGCCCCCCTGACAATGACTAAAATCTTCCAAGCCCCTGGGCACACATGCAGGCGTGCCCGGGCACTGGGAAGGTGCCTTCAACAGGCGGATGTTTGTCTCAACGGCGTGCACCAGCCCTGGAGGTCCTTAGCAACCATCTTCCACATCGACTGAGATGACCATCCCTACCATCCGCTCGTTTACGAACGGGAGGAGGGGAACTGCCTGAGCCACGACAAGCACCCCGATGGTTCCAGGCCTAACGAGGGTAGATCCGTTCCCAGTGACCGGGCACCTGGGCATTTCCTTGTAGGTCAACCAGTCCAGATCAGTCAACTGTTCAGACCCGGAAAGGAATCCAGCATGTTATCCTCGAGTTGGTGCTCTTCGGTCGCTGCATCTTCCGATTCGAGTGGGGCAAATCATCCCCATAGCGTTGAATCTTGTGCGGAGTGAGACTTGATCGATGCCCGGCGGGCAAGACACGAAACCAGACGGGAATCCGAGGTCTGACAGCTGGAACGAGGTTGCGAGTTACTGTAACAATCGTTGTGTGGGTCAAGGTCAGATCTCATTCAATGGTAATACTCCGTACTAGATGAGCCGAAGAACCGTCAGCGGATGATAGGCGAGCAAGGATATGATGCAGCTGACAAGCAATCAACGAACCGTCAGCGGATGATAGCTGAGCAAGGTAATGATGCGGTCGACAAGCTTGGAAGCAACCATGCATGCAGGCGCACCTTGCAAGGGATGCGGCACATGCACTGACGGACGAACAACCTTGGAAGCAACCAACGAACCGTCAGCGGATGATGCCCGAGCAAGGTAATGATGCGGCCGACAACCTTGGAAGCAACCAACGAACCCTCAGCGGATGGTAGCTGGGCAAGGCAATGATGCGGCCGACAAGCAACCAACGAACCGCCTGCTGCCACACGACCTAAACCTGGCAGGTAGGCACGGAAAGCTCAGGACATAGCCGTCCGTCACTGGCCAGCTGGGCAGGTGTCCAGGTGGAGGGTCGACCCACTTGTTGGAGGACGACTCACTACAAAAACGCAGTTTCGACCGGAAAACCCGGCTCTACTGGCTTTGGAGACAGCGACGGCGAGGTGGACTACAGATACTTACTCCCATCTGTGTGGGGTCATAGTACTATGGGCATACAAAGATTACAGAGGAATAGGCCGCCGATAATTGGCCAAAGGCGAAAAAGGCACCGACTTTTTTTTTATTTCAAATTTTCTTATGACTGTCTCCTCGCGATACTAATTGATCCTTCTGATGGCTAACGATAACTTCACAGTCGGATTCTCCACTTGATGCATAACAATAACTTGTTCGCAGGGATGCTCATGCTGGCGCGTAACAATATGTTACTTGGCATTGATAGGAGCGTTGAATTACTCCTTCTTGGTCTTGGAAGTGTCGACGACCTTCTTAGACAGACCGAAAGAAGTGAAATCGGTGGCAAGGTTGTCGTCGTTGGTTTCAGCAACAATGGGCACGCGGTTGGGGCACACCTTACGACGAACAGGGCCGCAGGTGCAACCGGCGCAACGGCGATCATCCTTGCTGGAAAGATCGAGGGAGTCTTTGTTGTCGGCCTTAACGTCCTGCGAATCCCGATTATCATTTAACGAACTATCCTCTTCGAAGAAGGGGGGGAACGTTACCTTGGCCTTGTCATTTTCAACGGACTTTCCGGATTTCAGGTTCTCACTGGCCGACACCAAAGGTGCCGCTACGGCCCCTTCACCAGCCTTGGTCATCTGGGAGACGACCTTCGCGCCTGGGTTGAGGTCAGTGATGAGCGTGCGATTGTGGCCGCAGCCTCGAGGGAAAGAGCCAAGTTACCTTTGACGCAGGCTCGGACTGTGTTCATCGTGTTTAAGTTTTTGAGTTGGATGAAATGTTGTTGAGTTGCTGAAAGCGGAACGGAAACGGATCTGGCTAACTTGCGAGATCGAAGAGATGAGGAAGAAAGAAAATTGGGAAGAGAGAGTCTTGGATTAAAAGCGCACGCTTTCTCGGCGATTACCAAAGCGGGTGCGACAGCGATACGACAATACGGTTTAAGACGAGTCACGAAAACGACACAGGCCTCGACTTCTCTGGGATATGAGCACTGCCTGGCTTTTCCCGAGTATTCCACGCGTATTCCACGCTCTCGATTCACCGAGTAGCACAGGAAGCCTGTCTCTTCATTACGATGGTCATGGTAGCCTGCAAACCTGTGACAAGAGATGCTGGGCCAAGCCTAATGGGCAGACAGCGAAAATGCATTTCTTACCCAAAAGCATCGGTGGCATTCACATGAATTGGAAAAGATTCCTGTATGCAAGTCCAGTGGTTCCAAAGCCGAATGGCATTGTTTCATCTCATCTGATGCAGTCCCAAAGAGGATCAAAACAATGCAGGCAGCGATTGCTTCTAGAGTCATGGACATGGAGCCTTCGCATACTCAATACTGCCAGAAAAAACCCAGCCGGTGTCTTATATCAGCGGCGGGATATGCATACCCAGGTAGGTTTATATCAATGTGGTCTATCTAAGGTATCCCCGTGATCAAAACGTGGCGCCACGTGTGTTGCACGTGATTTTGGGCTGCCCTAGACTTGGGGGGAGTGCGAGGGGAAATGAAATGGAGATAGACTGCCCTCATCTCGACCAGCTCACGACTCGTGGGTGTGTGAATGCCCACCGGGAAGTTTGTAGGGCTCGGGAGGTCACGGACAAGTGCAGTGGCAGAAATTGGCGGTCAATGGGATCATGAATGGGATTTCAGTTGACGCCCCCCATGGACATTGCCTGCCAAGGCCGGAACCTCCATCAAGTACCTCGAATACATGTGAATGGTCTTGTAGGAGGATGACTGGGTCTCAAGGGGCCCGACTACTGGCGGAGACGTATGTGGATAGAAGCACAACGGCTCCACAATCGGCGTCGACACGGAGTGAGACGCAACAGCAGATTGACCCAGATCTCTGACCTGGGCTTCTATGTGAATTCCATCTTGATTCTTGACCGGATGCGGCAAGACCACCTGGGCAACACCTGTTTGAGGTTATACTGGTCATTGTTGACGTCATCTCGGCGTGTCACCCTGGGTGCTCGATCTCGATCTCGAGTCCTCCATGCCTAGATCGCGCTCACCATGGCACGTCTTGATGTTTTTTGTGGCTCGCATACTGGATCTGATGCTGTTGAACCTGCTTTCTCGATGATTGTGCGATCGAGGGGTCATCCAGTGGCGCTAATGCAACGTGATTATGACGATTGAGGCAACGGGCGATTTGGCATAAATATCTAGTTCTTGATATGGACCAAAATCCATCAAAGCAGTCCATAGTCACACGAACACAGCCTTTGGAGACACAAACAAACACACCTTGTATCAACGTTATATCCATCATGTCTGCCCCCAATGATATTGTTGAAGACGAATTCGACTTCGAGGCCGAGGATGCGGACTACGAAGATTCGAATGCACCGATCTGTGAGTACCTCTCAAGGCGTATATGGAAACTTCAATTGACCTAGTTTACAGCTCTAGATGACGACCAGGCCATCAACCAGTCCAATGTCATCAAGGGTGACGGACTTCGTCATGCGAAGCCCCAGACCTCCAATGGGTACAATGAGGGCCCCGGGGAGGACGACTTACCACAAGAGGCAATTTAGTGTTACGGCGCCTTCTTGTCGATGGAGACACCATGTTCTGTTATGAGTTGCGTCCAGAAACTTAGAAATCACGTATTCAAATGTTCTGAGATATTCACGCCTGGTCTGATGCTAGTTCGTCCACAAGGCTTTACTATACCACATTGTTCCAAGTGAGGATCCGTAAGTGAAAGATGTCTGTTTCTACCTGGACATCGTAGAGCAGAATAGCCAATAGCCGAGTCCAAGCTTGCCTTGCTATGGGTCTACATGGCAGCGATTAGAGATCCAAGCTCATAAGATCATTCGTAGACTACCCCTTCGGCCCGTGCAGGATTAGTTGCGGGGCAGAGAGAACATCAATTGACAGGATAGATCCAAATTTCACGTTTAGGGGGATATGGTCTTCACCCGTTGTGATGGGGAATAGACAGTCGAAGTGAACGTGGATGTGAACCCTGTATGTACTGTCCCAATACAGCAACAAGGGGTGTAGATCACCTAACAAGACAAATTGATCTTTTAATCTTAATCGCATCGGAGACGCAGCCTGCGCGACAGGTTTTCCAGACTTCTTTGGTGGGGCGATGGGTCGTAACCAGACAATCAAGCCGGTTGCTATGCCAACTCTGTGTACCCGGATGTCTATTGTATTAGACCAATTGGTACGGAGTATACTCTGTCCTACATATCCATAGTGACAACATTGATCCTATGGATCCATGTTGAGGTGGATTCTCTTACCTATGTAGGTAGGGCCATAAGGACCAAGCCTTGCGAATGTCTTGGCATGGAATACGGCGGATGCAGGGTGTCTATAATTCGAAATACTATACCTAGTAGTAGTTTCTGCACGGAGTAGAGGTCAGGGAATTAATAATTTGGGAGTTTCAGCTCTTGGTACTTATGTTCTTGTAGTCGCCCTGGAGTAGGGAGTAATGCCAATCTCCCCCTGCAGGTGATTGGCCGAGGTCCAGCCATTTCGGCACCGCTGGCCTTCCGAGTCGGAATCGATTCCCGTAGTCTTCGCTGCCCACCGTGTTCAGTTGTTCGTTTTGTCTCGAGTTTTTAATAGCCCAGTACCCACTTAGAGGTGTGGAGTGGAATGAGAGGGGAGTATAATATACTAGATCGATTCAGCAGTGCTCCACGGGAAACAAATCAGTCATCAGAGTAGAGTGCAGTACTGTAGAGGAGAGTGTAAAATGTGTACGGAGTAGAGTGTAGACAGAGAGTGTAGATGTTCAGTGAAGCGGCGTCACCTGACGAAGATGGCGGCAGGCGGCACTCTCCGGGTTCAACAGCCGTGATGCGGAGAGTGCATCGTTATTAAATTCAGCAGTTCAGCCAATTCTCGTTTCAGGTCCTTTTCATCACTCCCGGCACCAAAGCCCGTCATTGGTCAGATCTCGGCTAGGCCCAACCTCTCCATTTGGACCTCGGAGTCTCCAGATTCAAAACAAATCCCCCCTCTCGCACATATTACCCAACCCCCGGCATTCATCATCCTCTGCATATCCACTCGCGCGTCTGACTCCATTATATCATGTCTACCTCCGTGAAGTTCGAGGAGACCGTCCGCGCCGTCGGCGAGGGCAAGTCCAAGGACCTCATACATCGGGTCGGGGAAAAGCTCACGGGCGGGAAGACCGCGACAGGATATCTTCAGGTAAGCGACCCAAGCCCCCAGGGGACGAGCCGCGACTGACAATCGAGGAACAGGCCTATCTCCTCCACCTCCAGAAGAACCCGCTGCGCACAAAGATGCTCACCTCCGGTGTGCTCTCCGGTCTGCAGGAGCTGCTGGCCTCGTGGATTGCGCACGATGTCGGCAAGCACGGCCACTACTTCAGCTCGCGCATTCCTAAGATGTCCCTCTACGGAATGTTCATCAGCGCCCCGCTCGGCCACTTCCTCATCGGAATCCTCCAGAAGATCTTTGCCGGCCGCACAAGTCTGAAGGCCAAGATCATGCAGATCCTCGTCAGCAACCTGATTGTACGTGTCGAAGCCACTTCACCCACTTGACCGCCTTTCCCCCCGGTCGCTGACGCTACAATCCCTCTAGATCTCCCCTATCCAGAACAGCGTCTATCTGACCTCCATGGCTGTTATCGCCGGTGCGCGCACCATCCACCAGGTCCGTGCGACCGTCAAGGCCGGTTTCATGCCCGTCATGAAGGTCAGCTGGGTCACCTCGCCCCTGGCCCTGGCCTTTGCCCAGAAGTTCCTGCCCGAGCACGTTTGGGTACCATTCTTCAACATTATTGGTTTCTTCATTGGAACCTATGTCAACACCCACACCAAGAAGAAGCGTCTGGAGGCTCTCCGCAAGGTATGTTCTCCCTTCAACTCCCAATTCAAATCAATTGCTGACTCTCCCAGCGTTACGACCAACGCCGCGACCCCGGATACGAGAAGCGCGACTACCCTTAAATGGGCCCAGTCCGCCATTGGCAAATAAGACGGGATGCATCGGCATCTTTGAATAGATTCCTGCCTTGCATCCTTTTTCCTATGTTCCTCCCTTTTGTTTTTATTATTCTCCGGTGTTGGTCTCCCCATGTACACACCCATCATGCTCAGCATGTCGCAGATATCTTCCCCCTGATGTTATTACTCAATCTCATGACGAATGGCCTTACCTCTCCCTCCCTGTGGGCTGGTATATACTTATTTTAATCACTTAAATGGCATTTGTATTCAGTAGGGTATCAGCCAAACAGTCTCAACGGCATACTACATACTAGTAGAAGGGAATTGATAAATTGTAAATTGTAATGGACCCACCATTGATCCATAGTGGATAATTCAGATATGCATGCAGTCCCATACATCTTTGAAATGAAACGCTCAAACGCACTGCACTCTTCTACTCGACTTCCATTTCAGAGCCCTTGCCTCTCTTCGCCTGCACATAGGCAACAAAGTCATCCAGTGCCCCAGGCCAGGCCCCATCAGGACTCCACCACTTCATCTCCTCATCCTCCAGACTCTTGCGCATGAAAACTTCAACCTGCTCCCACAGATCCTTGTTCACAGGCTTCTTCCCCCGGCCCTCGAGGAACTCAATCCACCAATCCAGCCAGGGCGTCGTTTCCGTGTTCCAAGCCACACCGCCGTGGTCGGGTGTGAAAAACAGATTCCATTGATCAGCCGCAATCTCAAACTGGAGGTTCCGCTGCCCTTGCATCCTTGAGAGCGGGAATGTATATCTGTATACCCGACGGAACAACTCTGGCTCCCGGGGAATTCTCTCCCGGAGCTTCTTGGCGTGCTCAGTAATTAGGGGAATTGTGTCGCATCTGCAGTGAAGAGGTGAGCCTCGGCATTCACGGACGGTTCTCAAACTTACCGAGCACCCGCCATTCCACGCTTCCACTCTTCGCGCGTAAACTCGCCCATTGAGGGGGATTGAAGAAGCTCCGCGATGGCGAGACAGGTGACTTCGTCAAGTTGCACGCCGATATCATTAAGGAAGTTCATGGCTCCGTGAATACCGATGGTATCTGGGCTTTCGATTGGGTCATCTTCGGGGTGTTAGCTGTGATACTACCCAGAGTGGATAGGACCATACCCCGATAGGCTTCAAAGAGTTTGGTGAGGGCTGAGGTGTAGGTTGCATGAGTGCCAGCCTCGGCAGTGAAGTATCTAGAAGAGTCATGGTCTTAGCAGATGCGAAGATGATAGCCAAGCAACAGGGCCCTGGAGGTATGTTGGGGGAATCACAGAGCCTCTTCATCGGGTTCATCCCTAGGATGCTTCGTGCGACGCCGTTTGAAAGACATGTTGGGCACCCAGACTACCGCGAGACTACCGCGAGGAATGCAATATCTCGGACGACTGGGAGACCCACAAACGGCACGAAGTGGCTTCTGCCCGCAAGTTCAAATGAATGCAAAGGTGGCCGGGGAATGACAACACAACATCGGAGTGAAGAGCACATGTGCAAGTTGATCACTTACGCATCGAGGGCCTGAGTTAGATTCCATCCGCTTGCTTTCAGGAACTATATCACCAGTTAGGCTGCACGTGATGGGTTTTAGGTCGCAAAGAATAATTCAAAATGGCGCAGATCAGCGTACCTTAGAGCCAACGCTATCCTTAGTTCTGGTCAAAGCCCCAAACTCAGCAATCTGCTGCTTCTGGCTGGAGGAGTAAGGTGGCATGGTGGGGTTGCAAATGTTAAAGCTGCTGCGCTCTGAAGATCGCGGGGGGCGGTGAAACTGGGCGAAAGCGTGAGTGAAGTTGCGAGTGCTGCGCCCTGAGTCGTGAAGGGTACTAGAAGAACAGAGCTTTGAGCTGAAAGTTGAGTTACCATCCCGCTATTCCGTGCTCTTTGGATCCCCGGCGCTACGCTGACTAATCACGTTCGAAGTCCACCAGCCCTCCAGGCGCTGGCAGTCAACTGAAAGTGGGCATCTACGCATGCTGCAGTTCAAGGCGGAGATTAAAATGTTTTTGTGGACTGTGCTAGTGGATATTTATGCGACGTTCAGCGGACTGTGTCAATATTTACCATCAATTCATGACATCGAAGCGACGACCATGGCATCGTAGAAGATATGGCCAACTTTTGTAACATCAAACTGATCAAATGAAACTCCCAAACGCCTTTTCGATGGTCCGAATATGTAGTGTTCGAGCTGCTTAGGTGGTGAACAGGGAGTCCTCCTGCTGGATGTTAGCGAATCGGCCCATAGGACTAGTAAGTCGGTTGCACGAACCTCACGAAGGTATTCTCCTGTATCAGCTTGTCTGAAGACAACAACACTTGTGCCTTCCAGCTTCTTGGCCTCTTGACTTGAGCGGGAGGTGACGCCAAATCCAAGGGGAACTGGAGTGTGTGGTTAGCAATGATGACCATGCGCCTGGGGCCAAACTTACCATCGTTCTCATCGACAACGACACAGCCAGCGTGCTCAGGCATGTCCTCGCTGTGTTGTAGTTAGTACCCTGTTCAAATATCGTGTTCGACTGGTACATACGAGTACTTGGAGAGATGAGCTCGCAGGACGTTGGAGCCATAGAGGAAAGGCATGACTCCGTTGGACTTGATATAGATCTTGTAACGGGCGTGGGCAGCGATCAGGTCCAGGCAGGTGAGGTTGAGGCGGAATTTGCCAGTCTATAGTCGCATTAGCATGAGTGAAGGACCGGAGAGAATGCGCCATACCTTTGTGAATTTTCCGACCTGGGTACCCATGGACAGGAGCTGGTCTCGGGGAATGCTAGTGCTCAGATTGGCCAATTCCTTGTCGACATAGTAGACACGGCTACCCTGGAGTCTGAAAACAGAGAGTCTGCCATCTTCATCGGGTGTGACCAGAGCGTTGAGTGACTTTCCGGTGTAGTGAGCAAGCTTGGTGAAGAGAGTGCGAGTCTCTTCCTCGGTAAGGGAACGCATCTTGAGGAAAAGAGAGGAGGGGGTAGATATTGTACTGAACTGAAGTCGCGGAGCTTCGATGAAGTTTTTCCAATCAGCATGGCAAAATAATGTCCACCGCCTGCCACAAGTAGAAGCGGTCCTCGAAAAATGTCGAAGTGGAGCGGCAATAAGCGCCAATCAGTGTCTTTCAATGTCTTCCCGCCTCAAATTTTCGGGGACCGCCTTTGCGTTTCGAAGATTCGATTTTAGACACCGTCGACCCCTCCAATCCACATTCCCAAAATGGCTCGCGGCGCAGAATCCAAGCGGAGACGATTGAGCCCCCCGGGCGACGACGAGGCCATCCGCGCCAAAGCCGACGCGGAGTGGGATGTCGAGCAAGACTACGAGCGCCGCCCGCGCAAAACAGCGAAGAAAGCCGGCGAGAGCGCAAGATTGCCCATCAAGACCTCGGAAGGATTTGTCCAGGCTGAAGTTCAGCCCGAAGTACAAGACGAGGACCAGGGCGAGGAGACCGACAGCTTCTTAGGCACCGATGATGACGAGGAGGAAGGCTCAGAGGAGGAAGAGGAACCTGAGGAGGAACAGCCAAAGATCCCAGTGAAGGTCCAAATCATGCAGGCAAAGGAGGAACTTGCGAAGATGGCGACATTGATCAACGAGGAGCCCGAAGAACACACTTCTCTGTTCAAGACAATGGCGGAGATGGTCACAAGGAAGAACACCTGCCTCACAGTCAAGAAGCTGGCCCTTGCCTCGCAGGCAACCATTTACAAGGATGTCATTCCTGGATACCGTATCCGTCCGTTGAGCGAGGAAGACAAGACCGGCCGAGTGTCAAAAGAAGTGCGCAAACTCCGAGACTTTGAACAGGCTCTTGTCTCAGGATACAGAAACTATGTCCAAACCCTTGGCGCACTAGCCAAGAACTCCAAAGATGGCTCTGTGGACCCTTCCCTGAAGAGCTTCGCAATTAACATGGCTTGCACCATGCTTCTGGCAGTGCCTCACTTCAACTTCCGCAGCGAACTACTTAAGATTCTGGTGAACCGCCTTGCGCGGAGACAGGTTGACGCCGACTACGTCAAGTGCCGTGATACATTGGAAGATGTCTTTGCGCAGGACAACGACGGCACTGTCTCCCTCGAGGCCACAGCTCTGATTGCCAAGATGATGAAGGCCAGAGATTTCCACATCCACCCCAGTCTTCTGGACACATTCCTCCACCTCCGCTTGCTTGGCGAGTTCCACCTGAAAGCCTCGCAGGACCGCGTTGACCGCGAAGAAGAGGAGGCACCCGGGAAGAAGCCCAAGCAAAAGCGCGAGTTCCGTACCAAGCGGGAGCGCAAGGTGCAGAAAGAGCGCAAGGAAGTCGAGAAGGATATGCGTCAAGCAGACGCCGTGGTATCCCACGAGCAAAGAGACAAGAACCAGGCCGAAACACTGAAGCTGGTGTTCGGACTCTACTTCCGCATCCTCAAGCTTCGCATCCCCCCTTTGATGGGTCCCGTTTTGGAAGGATTAGCGAAATACAGCCACTTGATCAACCAGGACTTCTTCGGTGATCTCCTGGAGGCCTTGAAAGATCTCATTAACCATGCCGAGCGTGAGGAAATGGGCGAGGAAGGTGACCAGGAAGTCACCAACGAGGACGACGACGAGGATCAGTCGACGATCGTCGAAACAGCCGCTCGGGATGCCCGCCGGCGAACTCTTCTCTGCACAGTGACCGCCTTCGCTCTCCTCGAAGGCCAAGATGCCAGCAAAGCCGCTGCCGGCCTCCACCTCGACTTGAACTTCTTCATCAAGCACCTCTACCGCTCCCTCTACTCCCTCGCCATGAACCCCGAAGTCGAGTTCAACCCCGACAAGTCCCTCCGGCTCGCCGACCCCAACTTCTCTTCCGACGCATCTCAGCTCGAACAGACCCGCTCCAAGAACAAGGTCAACTTCCAAACGCCCATGGTCCTGCTCCTTCGCTGCCTGCAGCCAACCCTGTTGTCTCGGGCCCACGGCAACCCGCCCCCTGCGCGACTGGGCAGTTTCTCCAAGCGTCTCATGACTACTTCGCTTCAGCTGCCGGAGAAATCTGCCCTCGCGACGCTGGCGCTTTTGAGCCAGGTCTCGAAGTACCACGGCCGACGCATCTCGTCGCTGTGGCACACCGAAGAGCGCAAGGGTGATGGTGTCTTCAATCCCCGTGCCAATGATATCGAGGCCACGAATGTGTTCGCTGGTACAGTGTGGGAGGGTGAATTGCTGCGTCTGCATTACTGTCCGCAGGTTCGAGAAGCGGCCATTGACATTGAAAAGATGATGAACAACTCCAAATAGTTTAATTCTATACATATAGACGTGTATTTATTCTTTCCCAGCATGGTTTACAGTGAAGTCGATCGACAACAAGAAGACAAGAAGTTCATATTACATAGTTTCGCAGGGGTATCCGATTCTCATGACAAGGGCTTAGCCTCAATGACTGACTCCATTCCCGGCTCTTGACTCCAAATTCCAGTGATCTCCAACCCAGCTTTGCGCAGTAAGTCCCTCCACTGAGTCTCCGAGCGCTCAACCCCAGCCCCAATGCTCATCATCTGGATATCAAGCGAGGTCTGCATGAGCGGGACATCAGTGTCCGGTAGCACGAAGTCCACAATCAAGATCCGAGAGTAATCCGGCGCCATAGCAGATACCGTATTGCGCAGGATCTGATGACAAGTCTGATCGGGCCAGTCGTGGAAGATGGAGCGGAAGTAATAGACTCGCGCGCCCTGGACCGGTTGAGGATCCATGAAGTTGTATGGCATGACCTCGATGCCTGATTCGCGACCAGACACCCCGCTCACGATCTGTGGGAGATCTTGCAGAATGAGCTTGCCAGGAAGATGTTTATACTTCTGGCTGAACTTGCTCAGGTCATGACCTTGGTTACCGCCCACATCGACGATGAATACCGTGTCGTGGAATGGGGTTGCGTCGCCCATCAGCCTCTGTACTGGATAGAAGTTGAACCACATCGGTCGATGTTGCCTGCGGCTGGCCATGTATGAGTTGAACGAGGATTGGTGGTCTTTGTGGTCGGCGAGCCACTCAAATTGACTCTGCCCGACTGCCCACTGCATCGGCGAGTTGTTATAGTCGTCGGGGTTGGAAAAGCCATGAGTTCGCAAATACTGCGGCAGCTTCTCCAGCGTTGGCAGAGTGAGATCATATCTGGGGATGGATCAGCGTGCGTTATATTCAACGGTGCTCTTTGTCTTACATGCAGGGGACTCCATCACGACCGGCTGGTTGAGCCATCGCCGCTGTTTTCTCATTCGCCTTATATACCTGGAACTCCGATGAAGTACACAGACCCAAGGACGCCATGACTCGCATTAATCGAACTATGATGCTGTTAGCTGGCGCTCGAAACCTCGACAGGCCGGGCTTTACCGATCAATTCCTGATCCGCTCCTGTGTATTCCGCTATTTGAGTGGCTGAGATCCCTGAGACGTGCTGCTTCTGCATCAAGAGGGGAAAGATCTCGAGATCGACGACACTTCGCAAAGCGGCATTCTGTGGGGGCTACAAGTCCAGGTTAGCTTGAGCAACTCCAAGTCGCCTGGGTAGTCGCACCTGATAAATAAGTCGCTGGACAGTCTCCGATGGGGTTTCCACTGCCAATCTCAAGCGCTCGATCATTCGCAGAAGCTCGAAATGTGTTTGGGGTGACGGGTTGGTGGCATTCTGTCGAGCCAGCTGGGATAAATGGTCAAACAT